ATGCCGCCTTCTATGAGAGCTAGCTTCGACTTGCATTGTGTTTTGGTACATATGTGTATCTACATCCTCGATGCAAATAATCATTCTCTCAATCAGCAATTTATGAGAACCTTGGAGGGATTTCTTTCCTTTTCGTTGCCTTTTCAGTACACATCGATAAGGCTGGCACTGGTAAGCTTTTGATAAAAGAGGTAAGCTGCGGCGATAGGGCCGTAGTATCACCGCATTTCTGTCCTCCGGGGACTTAGCGCCATGCTTCCCTCGCCCTGTTCAGGTAGATTCAGGCTGGCTTCAACCACGTTCGGCCAGCCCTTTGGTTTTCACCTGAACGGACTGAGCCGTCGGGATCGCTTCTCGCAAACATCTACCGAGACAGAAAGCCCTGGTGGTGGCCAAACTCTACGCGCTCTTTGGTTGGGAGGGTGGGTATAACCCTTCCCGCTCCGGTTATTTTCTTCCTGAAGTGAGAAACACTCATCCTGTTGTGTTTCTCAAACCCCGCAGAAGAGCGTTATAATGTGCAAAAAGTTTGCCTACAGAGTATTTTTCGGGAAGTCCGTCTCTTCAATACAACATACTGTTTAGAAGGACTGACTACTTCTTTGGCAGGCTCGAGGAACAGGTTTCTGACATGAACAGGTATGGCAATAGACCTGTCTGCAGGAGCATGCTGCCTCGCACCGGTAGAGGCTATTAGAGAGCTCTTGACGCCTATGACAGGTTTGTGCTCATTGATCCTGTGCAGGAATCATCTTTCAGGACCAGATAATGATCATTGGCAAAGAACCAGGTGGCATATGCGAAGAATCCGCAAGCACCCCCTCTCCTTCAGACATACAAACCTACAAGGGATTTTTGGCCAGTGTTGCTAACGCAATGAAGGGCCCGTCTATCAAAATTAGGAAAGCCTGTTCTAGGCAGTGTGGACTGACTTCGAAGAGCGTGAGAAAGGAATGATTTCCAGCTCTCTCAACTTCCTTCAGAGATAACTTGCTAATATCTGATGCTATAGTTCATTTGCAATGAACTGCTGCAGATCATCAAGCGCATGGAGGAGGCTGAGATGGAGAGACACTACCTGTGGCCAGATAATATTATGGCTGATCTGTGCGCATATGGTATATGGACTTCATGGACTACAGAGGAAAACATATGCTGAAAGCTTGCAGCCAGAAGAGCACAAATGGACGGTCCAAAGCTTCACCTTGGTTTTTATCAACCCTGCTTGGGCGACTTAAAACATGCGGCGTTGTATCTTGATACCGATGACCGGGATGTAGTCTTTGAGGTTATTAGATTGCATCCAGTCTTTCAGCACAACATTGTGCATTGAGATCAAAACATCCCAAGAATTTTGTTGGCGAAGTCTTCATTGCTGTGATTAGCAAAAATGACATGTAAAGAGTATACAAAGTTGTCAGTGCGACCCCTGTGGATAACGACATCATGAATTTGGATTGCCAGGAGTATGTGCCTGATATTCCCAACAAGCTAGAATATGAGTTTATTTTGGAAGAGGGTGATAAGGAGAAGTGTGCAGCCAAGGAGGGATTGAAGGAAAAGCAAGGTGCAATTCCCAATCTAGTCTTCATTGCAATCAAGTGTCAATTTGAAATTCCTCCATTCCCTTCCAAAACCAAATGATGATAACTCCACCAAGGCCTTCTGAGCGTAGTCCGGTAACCACCACACTCCATAGAATTCTGGTGAAATACACTCTGGTAGGAACAGGTACCAGTCGTCTTCCGCAGAAGTGCTGAGACCGTTTGAGCTCTTGATCAGCTCATGATACTCAGGATAGAACCCACTATATTCCCAATCTAAAAGACCAGCAATACTGAAGCGGTGGGCCATCGCTTGATTCTATAGTGGGATTATTATTAGCTCGCAGATCACCATGTGCAAATACACATCCGATTTCTAGCAGCTGGTGGGGGCTGGTCGATAGTAACCTCTGTGAAAATAGGGGCACGCAAAAAAATGGAACAGAAAATTCTCGAAATTTTTGATGGTTAGAATGGGTTCAGTGCCATGGCAGATATGTCTCCTAGCATATTTGCTCTGTACATCCTTCACCACAAACGCCTCCAAGCGGTGTCCCGCAAGGTGAAGTCAAACGGAGACTACATAGTAAGTCAAACATACAGGAGTAGAGGGACATTAGTCAGCGATTTCCCCTCCCCCGCCAAGACCTCCGTCATTGCCCTTTCTGTCTCCAAGGCTGCCGTCGATGTGTTGATAGCCTTCGAGGTAACGAACACCTCAATCTCTGCACCACCGCTTCCCGCTTCCCGCTTCCCGCTTCCCGCTTCCCATAACCGCTGAGCTTTGGGACTCTCGTCTTTTGCTTTTTCCCTTTGCTCCTGCGTGTAATCCATGTATAACTATCCTCCCCTCTTTTTAAAGCGAAACTTGACTCTGCCAACGCCGTCGCAAAGCCCCGCCTCCAGCAACACCACCAACAGTAACAACACCAACCACACCAGCCGCATCCCTTCTGCTGTCTGAAAGGAAAGCCTTGTTTGCCGAGAACAAGGTTTTCCCGTCTCATTACTAGCCTTCACAATTCAACCTCACGCTGACATCCCGCAGCGGACTGGGAAGCTGGGTAAACGTAAAGCTTCCGCAGGGGAAGAAGATTCTGAACAGCAGCAATACACTCTCCTGCAACACCCTGGGAAGAAGGTTTTGAAGGTATGTTATATGGCCTACGTTCGGTGTTGTAGTTTTGTGTTTGCCTTTCTTTTGATTCGATGGAGACCATGCGGGGTGGGGTGGGGGAATAATTATCCCGATTGCTTTAAGGGAATATCCGTGCCTGTGATTGTCATTGCACAAGTCGTTGCCTACAAAAGAATAAAAAATTCTCATGCAATATGCAGGATTTGCTATATAAAGATACCTTATTTCGAAGTATCTTGCCTGCCTATATATTTGTCCTTGCGTTTTTACATGCTCCTCCCTTCTCTTCCTCCGGCTCAACCTTAGCTAACTTGACACGGTCACCACATATTTAGAACGGCACAATGCAAAGCAGTCCGCAAGAGATCGTGGATATGTCCACGCACCCAGAGATCGACGAGTCGTTATATAGTCGACAATTGTAGGAGTCATGTTTTCTCCTCCCCTCCCGACTCTTTTCAAGTGGACAAAAACTAATGATGTCGACCTCCACTCCAGGTACGTCCTTGGCCATGAAGCCATGAAGCGGATGTCGTCTTCAAATGTCCTCATTGTCGGGCTTAAAGGTTTAGGTGCTGAGATCGGTATGTTGATACGGACAATAATCCCAAGGACGTGGATGTTCTTGATACTAACCACTTCATCATGACAGCGAAAAATGTCGCCCTTGCCGGCGTCAAGTCCCTCTCTCTCCACGACCCTACTCCCGTCACCATCTCAGATCTATCCTCTCAATTTTTCCTTAGCCCAGAAGATATTGGCAGGTCCCGCGCCGAAGCTACCGCCCCTCGCGTCGCGGAATTGAATGCTTACACACCTGTCACCATTCACGACTCGCAAAGTTTGACGGATGATTTACCCCAGCTCAACAAGTACCAGGTTGTTGTTCTAACCGCCACACCGCTGCGAGACCAGCTGGTTATTGCTGAGTATTGCCACAAGAATAAAATCTTTGTCATTATTGCGGATACGTTCGGTTTGTTTGGATATATCTTCACCGACTTTGGCGAGAATTTCACCGTAGTAGACGCCACCGGAGAGGAGCCCACAAGCGGTATTGTTGCTGGAATTGATGAAGAAGGCCTGGTGTCCGCTTCGGACGAGGCTAGACATGGGCTAGGGGAAGATGACTACGTTATTTTCACTGAGGTCAAGGGCATGGAGAAACTGAATAACTCTGAACCACGCAAAGTCGACATTAAGGGCCCTTATACCTTCTCCATCGGAGATGTGTCTGGACTGGGGACCTATGAAAGTGGCGGTATATTCACCCAGGTCAAGATGCCCAAGACGCTCAACTTTAAGTCCTTTAAGCAACAGCTCGAAAATCCCGAGATTCTCATCACCGATTTCATGAAGATGGACCGACCGGCCAAGGTCCATCTTGGTATCCAAGCTCTCCACAAGTTTGCCGAGATTCACGGTGGCAAGTTCCCCCGACCTCACAACGAGAGTGATGCCCAGGAGGTCATTGAGCTCGCGTCTAGAATCGGAGGCGAGGTTGATAAGGATATCCTTCGAGAGCTCAGCTATCAGGCGCAGGGGGATCTGAGTCCAATGGCAGCTTTCTTTGGTGGTCTTGCTGCACAGGAAGTTCTAAAAGCCGTCTCAGGCAAGTTCCATCCCGTAGTTCAATGGTACTACTTCGACTCTCTGGAATCTCTTCCTTCATCGGTCACACGATCTGAGGAAGAATGTGCTCCCCTTGGAACCCGATACGATGGTCAGATTGCGGTGTTTGGAAAGTCCTTCCAGAAGAAAATTTCCGAAGTCAAGGAGTTCCTTGTCGGCTCTGGCGCGATTGGTTGTGAGATGTTGAAGAACTGGGCAATGATTGGCCTTGCTACCGGTGAGAACGGTAAGATCACGGTCACGGATATGGATCAAATCGAAACCAGCAATCTGAACCGACAGTTCCTATTCCGCCCTAAGGATGTCGGCCAATTGAAGAGTGACACGGCCGCAAAAGCTGTACAAGCGATGAACCCAGACCTCCAAGGCAAAATTGTCTCACTGCGAGAGCGCGTTGGTGCCGATACTGAGCATATCTTTAGTGAGGATTTTTGGGAAGAGTTGGACGGAGTTACCAATGCTCTGGATAATATTGAAGCGCGAACGTATATTGACCGACGTTGCGTGTTCTTCCAAAAGCCACTGCTTGAGAGCGGAACGCTGGGCACCAAGGGAAATACCCAAGTTATCCTACCCTGGCTCACGGAGTCATATTCCAGCTCCCAAGATCCGCCTGAACAATCCTTCCCGATGTGCACGCTGAGGAGTTTCCCGAACCGAATAGAGCATACAATTGCATGGGCACGTGAGCTTTTCCAGACAAGCTTCGTCGGACCGCCCGAATCTGTAAATCTATATCTTACTCAGCCAGATTACACCAAAACAACCCTAAAACAATCTGGCAACGAGAAGCAAACTCTGGAAATTCTCCGTGATTTCCTAGTAACAGACAAACCTCTCAGCTTCGATGACTGCATTGTCTGGGCGCGCCACCAATTCGAAGCCAACTTCAACAACGCCATTCAGCAGCTCTTATATAACTTTCCCAGAGATTCTGTTACATCTAGTGGAACTCCCTTCTGGTCAGGCCCTAAGCGTGCACCTACCCCATTAAAATTCGATCCCACGAATCCTACGCACTTCTCTTTTATCGTCGCCGCTGCAAACCTCCATGCCTACAACTACGGAATCAAGAACCCTGGGGCGGACAAGGGTCATTACCGAAAAGTTCTAGATGACATGATCGTCCCCGAATTTACACCCAGCTCCGGTGTCAAGATCCAAGCTAATGACAACGAACCCGATCCGAATGCGAAGCCAGGTTTCACTGATGAGGAGGAACTCAAGCGTCTCATTGCTGCACTCCCATCACCCAAATCTCTAGCCGGATTCCAATTAGAACCCGTTGTATTTGAGAAGGACGATGATACCAACCATCACATCGACTTCATCACAGCTGCCAGCAACCTGCGCGCCGCGAACTACGACATCCAGCAAGCAGACCGACACAAAACTAAGTTTATCGCCGGCAAGATCATCCCTGCCATCGCAACGACAACAGCGCTGGTTACCGGCCTAGTGATCCTCGAGCTCTATAAGATCATCGACGGCAAGCCACACCTCGAGCAGTACAAGAACAGCTTCGTCAACCTTGCACTGCCATTTTTCAGTTTCATCGACCCTATCGCCAGTCCAATGGACAAATACCATCACAAGGGCCGCGAGATCTGGTTCCACAAGCTCTGGGACCGTTTCGAAGCAGACGATATGGTGCTCCAGGACTTCCTGAAAAGCTGCGAGGAGCAGAATGGATTGGATATCAGCATGATTAGTTCTGGGGTTAGCTTGTTATACCCTGTATTTAACAAGGGCCCGGATGTGATGAGGAAGCGGTTGCAGATGAAGTAGGTTTTTTTCCCTTTCCCCTCCCCCGCTCAGCAAAGCCACAATCTACTCCGCATCGTGTATTAGCATTAGTGCTAATGCATATTTTCTGTGCAAAATTAGGTTGAGCGAGCTCGTCCAGTCCGTCAGCGACAAGGCGATCCCCGATCATCAGAAATACGTCATCTTCGAGTTTCTGGCGCGCGACGATACGGATGAAGATGTTGATGTGCCGTACGTGAGCGTGAAGGTGGATAAGCCAGCGAAGAAGGATGCTAAGGCGATGGTTTAACTAGAAATGAAAATAGAATAGAATGGATTGAATTGAACTGAATTAATTGCGCAGAGAGAAAATACGGATGAGAATTTGATGTAAAATTGTTTGTTTCTGCTTTCTTAATTGAGTTGTGGGTAACAAAAATCAAGATAAGCTTTCATTTCTTCAGGTTTTTTTTCTGACAAAAGACATGGAACCATTGGCAAAGGATAATAGAAGCGGACTCAGAGATGAGATAGATTTTATAAGCGGCGCGGCTGATAAAATAGACCAAAGGATTACCTGTCACTTCCCAATCGACAATGTGAGCAAAAATTCATGCCTAGGACTTGAATATGGCGTCATCGTCAGGAGATGTGGGTGTCATGAATTATTAAGCACGGATTTGAGCGCAGAAACTAACTGTAGCTAATAAACTATAAATGACGGACATAAATAATAGATTTGAACGCTTCACCAGCCCTTACTGTCTTGTTCCCTACCCACTTCCCTTAACTCACTTCCCTTTCATCCATTCAAAACCCATCAGAAACTTGGGTTTATTCTCATGTCATCCACTCTCGCTCGAGCCCGACAACTCCTCGCATACTTCAGTAGTTCAAAGCCTCCTACGTCACCGCTATCCGTAGCAGCAGCAACAACAACAACAGCACCACAATCGGCCCAGTTCTCAACTGCAACACCAATAACAAACACTATGGCGGTAGGATGGATATGTTTTCATTCCAATGCGTATTTCCCATAAACTGTTGAAAACATTTTCCAATTTCTCCAATTTCTATTTTCACAGACCGGCAATGATCAAAAGATCACCAACTGGGTGAATCCGTCAGATCCGAGCGGGGAATTCAAGCGTGGTCAGTCTGCCTTTCGCAATTGGATCTCCAGAGAGCCTGGCGCGCGGTTCCCGCCTGAGAAGGGCCGGTATCATCTTTATGTTTCTTATGCATGTCCGTGGGGTACGTATTAATGCTCCCCTTCCACGTTTGTCTTTGTCTTGGTTTTGCATGCCGCCTGTTTCGTTAGCTGGAGGCCCAAGATGACCCATTGGTTGGCTAAAAATTTGGTTGCTTCATCTATATAGCCCACCGGACCCTGATCGCCCGGAAGCTCAAGGGGTTGGAGGACATAATCTCCTTCACATCCGTCCATTGGCATCTGGGAGATCTGGGATGGCGGTTTGCAACCGCTGAGGAAAACCTGCCGGGCGAGAATACGGGGCCGGATCCCCATCATCAAGGCTTTGAGCATCTCAGGCAGATTTATTTTGATGTCGATCCGGAGTACAAAGGGCGGTTTACTGTGCCGACGCTGTACGATACGAAGACGAAGACGATTGTCAGTAACGAGGTATGTATGAAGCTCACTGCTGATGAATGGGATGCGAAAAAAAAGTTGTTTCATCCAGGAAAGGCGGGAAGAGATGGTGAGATCTGCAGGGCTGACCTGGGTAATTTTTTTCACGATAGAGCTCTGAGATCATTCGCATGTTTTATTACGAATTTGACGATTTGTTGCCGGAGGAGTACAGAAAGGTTGATCTGTTTCCGGAGCATCTGCGGAAGGACATCGAGGCGACTAATGAATGGACGTATAACGACGTGAATAATGGCGTCTATAAGTGCGGGTTTGCAACGTGAGTGGATCGCCAACCCAGCTGCTCATAATCAGACACAAAATAGGCGGAAGCCTAGATCATCCAAGATACTTGACTCCTGGCTGACATATGTATGACCTCCAGAAAACAAGAAGCATACGAAAAAGCAATAGGCCCCTTGTTCTCCTCGCTCGACCGCATCGAATCACACTTACAATCCAAGATCGCCACCAGGCCTTCCAAAGATACTCCTACATACTACTTCGGCGATACAATCACCGAAGCAGACATCCGCCTCTACACCACCATCGTCCGCTTCGACCCTGTATACGTGCAGCATTTCAAGACGAACATTCGCGACATTCGCTCCGGATACCCCGCCATCCACCGCTGGCTGCGTCATTTGTATTGGGATATCCCGGCTTTCAGGGAAACGACACAGTTTGAACATATCAAGAAGCATTATACGAAGAGCCACTCGCAGATTAACCCCCTTGGGATTACGCCTGTGGGACCAGTGCCGGATATATTGCCCAAGGATAAGGAGGTTGTGGCCGTGATAGCGGCGAGAGAGTAAATGTCAAGGTTTCTTTTTTCCATCTGTTTCTTCTTTTATTATCTCTTTTATTCAACTTTGTTTATTTCCTTTTCCCCTTGTATTGATATGTATATTGATTTGTAATGATTCGGAACATGAGAGCTGTATATAGGTGAAGGAGGAGTGAGCAGAATGAAAGCGCCAGGGCTAGCCTGTGGGATATTTGTGAAGATCTAGGGTTCCTTGATAAGTTGAGACAGAGCTGGTGGGACTTTAAGGGGCTATAATTAATATAGGTAACTAACTACTAATATCCGCACTTAAACCATCTGTTAACTCCGTGCATTTTACTTCTGACGTCACCCACACACCTCCATCAAAACTACTATACAAGGATCAAACCCGAGAAGTTGATTCGCCTTTGTTTTGACCATGAGGGATCTGACCGGAAGGATCTGGCCGGCCCATATTCGTCCTCCAATGATTCAATAGTTCGACCACGATCAATTATTAAGCAGGAACAATAAGCGTCCAAAATACAGAATCGTGCGCAGTAGACCGCGTTCTCAGGCCGTGTTTAGCAGGATCAGAGGGACAATTGTCTATCCTGCTCTCTCATACGCTATGAAGGGAGCCGAGCTGATAAGTTCCCTGTCTCTTTATGCCACTACCCCTCATCAGCTACTGGTATATAAGAGCTATGTCTAGAAGCGCACGCTGTGTGAAAAAACCTCTCACACACCATCTATATCATATCCTCCGTTAAACCAGCACGATGCCGTCTCCAATCCTACTCCAAAACGCGACCGTTATCGTGCCCAGCTCTAGAGCAGGCGATGATGCTGTTCCCTTGAGGGAACATTCCATCCTCATCGAGGGCAACACAATTACTCGCATAGCTCCGCATGCAGATGTCCGAGCTCCCTCAGCCGATACGGAAATCATTGATTGTCGCGGCAAGATTGTCTCACCGGGCTTCGTTGACACGCACCATCATCTCTGGCAAACGCAGTTGAAGGGCAGGCATGCGGATCATTCGTTGGTCGAGTATATGACTTCTGGTAGGCAGATATAGACATGGGCTTCTTATTTATTTCGGTTGCTGTTGCCATTGCAGCGGTGAACTACCTTTTGGGATATGAAATTTGCAGGCAGATGTTCTCGTTGTTGTGTTATCTCAGCCCTACATATTGTGAATTTGTATCCTTTTATGTTTTCATGCTCGTGATGCGACATATTCTTTAGTTGAAGAATACCAGTCTATATTATGTGGCGATTCATAGCTAATTAGTCACATCTCCGATCAGGAAACATGCAATGCTCCAACTATACGGCAGATGACATTTTCTGGGGCCAGCTTGGTGGTTGTCTTGCTTCCATCGATGCCGGCACAACCACTGTTGTCGACCACGCCCACATGAGCTACTCACCAGCGCATGGTAAGTCACCTCCAATTCCAGAAAGAGGATAGGGAAACTATTCCTGAAACCTCATACTTACCCCTTTTTAATCACCCAGTTGAAAACGCCTTATCCGCAACAATTTGCTCTGGTATCCGCTCGGTTTTCGGTTTCACTCCCACCATGAAAGTGAAATCATGGGATCCGCCGTTTACGCTGGACCAGGACATCTTGCCAGCTTGGGTGTTTGAAACTTTTGATAAGCTGGCCCAAGGGGCCCCCTTTGGTGACGGCCGCGTCCAGCTTGGCTTTGCATTGGACCTGTTCTTCCTTCCCAAGGAAATGATTCTCAATATATTTGACCGAGTAACAAAGGCTGGTGTGAAAACTATCACAGCACACTATCTGCATGGCCAGTATGGTTAGTTATTCTTTTCTTTCCGCCCTTCCCTTCACTGCTGCACATGCCTTAGGCAATCATATAGTGTAAAATAACAATCCGCTCAACAAAAAAATCCCTCTTCATCCCCACACAAAGACTACCACGGCATGTCCCTCGTCGACCTGCTTGACTCCTACAATCTCCTGGGCCCAAACATCATCCTCTCCCACGCCACTGGTGCCACCCCCGCCACGGCGCAAAAGATATCCTCAGCCGGTGCCTTTGTCGCCACTGCCCCAGAGACAGAGTCACAAATGGGCCAGGGGCTGCCCGTCTGCTTCCGCGACGACATGAAAGACCAATGCTCGTTAGGCGTCGACTGCCACTCCAACAATTCCTCCGATATGATCACGCAGATGCGTCTTGGGTTGCAATCTGCCCGCGCCATCCGAAACGAAGCGCTGATCCAGAAAAGCGAAACGCCTATCGTGAAGATCTCGGGGAGCGTTAGGGATGTGTTCCGCCTCGCGACGATACAGGGGGCCAAGGCGGTGCGTATGCATGACCAAATTGGGAGTCTGGTCGAGGGGAAAAGAGCGGACATTGTGGTTTTTGACGCGCTGAGCCCTGGTATGGTTTGTGCGGCGGAACATGATCCCGTCGCGGCTATTGTACTGCATGCATCGATAGCGGATATTGAGACGGTGATTGTCGATGGGGTAATTAGAAAGCGGGGTGGGAAGCTGGTCAAGGTAGAGGTCGAGGAGGGCATTGCGGGGGTTAGTAAAAAGGAGGTTGTGTGGACGGATGTGGCGGAGCAACTTGTTAGGAGTCGGAGGGAGATTCAGGAAAGGATTGAGAAGATTGATCTGGATAAGGCACTTGAAGCGTTTCTTAAAATGTTTTAAGGAAATAGAAAGACTGTATTTTCGATTTCTTGCGAGGGTTTGATCGGCTCCAGAAGTAATTAGTACCTACCTCCTTAGCTTGCGCTGGAAGGGGTGAGAAAATGGAATGTAGTTTCTGCCGAAGCACACGTTTTTCTCAACGTCTATAAAGAAATCCGGATAATATCAAGGGAGAATAAAAAATAAATGCAGTCCACAACATACTGAACCAGTCACCTCTTAAGTGAAGAGAGGTTAGCCAAGGTTAAGTACGTCTAGGGCAAAAATTGGAACGATGGGCCCCCGTACATGAAATTCAACAGGCATATGACCCAGAGCGAAAGAGAAAGAGAATTGCCAGATAGTTTTCGAATTATTTTTTTTATCTCCTCGTTTCCACAACATAGAGAAAAGCGTTGTTGTACACACGCCGAAGGAAAAAATTTGGGCAGTAAAACTTAGGTCTAAGGGCTGGAGTAAGCAAAAGTCATTCCAGGCCGTCCGCCAATCCTTTAGCTAACGAATCGCAATTTTGCCTACCGCTTTCTCTGTATATATCTCCAGACTTCGAGGTGGGAAAAATAGTCGAGAGAACTGTGATTTTGGTGCGAGACGAAACCCAGATAAAAACAATACTATATGTATACCAATGGAATGAAAATCCAGGCGGTGGCTGAGGTTGTGCTGGTACATCGGGTGGCTATGCGATAGAGAGAAGAGAAGGAAATCATAGAAATAGGTTTAGGATATTCTCTCATGGGAAAGCAGGCAACAAAATATTGAAATTGCAAATATTGTCTTCTTAGTGAGAAGAAAAGACCGAAAGCATGAAAAAAAGTGAAAGTGAAGGAAGGGTGCAAAGGCGCCGCTAATGAGAATCCTAGGGGTATCAAAGCATTATATGGCATGCATACATTTCAAAGTGATGTCTGTGAATTGGGGAGGTGGTTCATAGAGGTCCTTCATATCCTGGGTTAAATAAAGACTGACATATCAGAAATTAGGGGGAAGTAAGAGTAAGAAGATGGTAAGGGTGCATGGGTGGATGGTTGGCTGTATTAGGCTAAACCCAATAAACGCTTCGAGTTTTCGTACACGACATAGCTAATCGACACAGACGGGGCGACTTTGAGCAAATTCGGCGTGATCCCTCTAAAGAGCCCGCGTAGCCCCTCCTGACTCAACGTTTTGCGCGTCACGTCGACAATGCCCGTATATGTAGGACTGTGCAGGACGGTGCCCTGTGCCTGTAGTCGTGTGCGGAGAACATTCATAGGATAAACTATTGAAGCACTCAGGGCACCGCTAAAGGCTCCGATAGCACCAGTTGCGAAATTGCTAAGAGGTACATCGTCCTCATGGCAGTGGTATAATTTAGCTTTGCGAGCTAAAAGAATCGATTTTAGGTATTCAAAGGTGGTGAGGTCGATCGCCGCATATGGGAACATTCCAATCAATCCCAGTGGCAAGCCGCGGAAGAAAGAGTGAAATCCGTTAGTGGTCCACATCGTTTTGGCGGTGGCCATTATGAGGCGGTTGCCTTGTAGTCCACCTTCAACCACTTCGCATTGCATGCGACTAGCGGAATAGTAAGTAACTGCATATGTGCTGGGGTGGAAAGGAATCGATGGAAGAAAGGCAGATAACTTACAATTTAAGCGTATCTAAAGGATAAACGAAACATCTAAGACAGTAAGTAACTACCGGACCAGTCGAATCTGGAACGGACATACTGGGAAACCATTCCTCCGATACCACCCGCAAGGAATTGTGAAGTTGGAAGCAGATTCTTTGTGTCGCCGTGTCCTTCGAGGTTGGCAAACATGCGTTTTGAAGCCTGAACTACATAAGCAAACCGTATATATCAAAAAGGAATCAAGTGTTGAATAATGGCTCCTATCTTACCTCATATGCACCAAACTTAATCGCGGATTCAGGCATAACCTTCACCACGTTCAAGCCGTTGCCTATAAAGTTAGTGAGACTATTTTTAGCTCATGTTGGATAACAGAAATGAGGGATTCCTCCACTGTACATACCGGCAAACAAACTCCGTATCCCTCCGGCGCGCCATAAATCCTTGGTGGCTTCTATGAGCGGCATGCCTACTCTCTTCAAAGCTTCCAGAGGGTGGCCGGATTTTGCTGCACTAAGAGCGGTATCCCTAACGGCGGTCTGGGCGATAAGATATACTTTCAAACGATCGAGGGGTGCAGTAGATGTCCTTGATACGCAACCCGCCATTCCGCCCGCAAGGAAATAACCTATGTGAGGGGTACTTTCCGTCAATATTTGTAGGCTAGATTGATACCACATCCATAGCGAGACGGCGGTTGGAAGAACAAGCCACTCCAGCTCATCGTCAGTGAGAAAAGGAGCTGTCTCCAGGCTGTAGTAGTATTTATGATGCGTGGGCTGAGTCTCAGGACCTAATTGGGTCACTGCGTTGTCCGACAAGGAACTTGGAAATGTTGGGAAGGGAATTTGATACAAGCCGGGTGGGATTGTGTCTAGTAAATCGGGTTCTGTACCTGAGCCTTGAAATGGTTCGTTTATGTGCACATCTCCTTCTGAGTTTAGGTTTCCAAGAGCGCCGTAATACGATATTAAACCGCCGAGGTTAGGGGTGCCGGCGGGCAGAAAAAGGAGGAAGTCTCTGGTTGCCAAGTAGATTTAGATATAGCGATTCAATCATGGAGACAAGAGAACAGAGTATTAGACAATACCTCCATTCATCGAAAGTGATTACACCATCCTTGTTGGTATCGACGTGGATAAAGAACTCGTCCAACTTCTTCTTAGGGATAGTCAAGCCAGCATTCGCAAACGCAGTTCGTAACTCTTCCTTGTCAAGGTGTCCATTACGGTCATGGTCAATGGATTCAAAGAGCCGCCAGAGCTCCTTTTCAGCACGTTCGACGAAAGCGCGGAATTCTACAAAGAGGACAATTTAGTCCAGTATTTCCCGGCCGAGCATGCTGTACCAGTATTGATGGCCGTACCGTTGAACTGTATCTTCCCATCCCCGCTAGTATCCACATGTAAAAGGACGTCTTCCACCAGGTCATCTGCATTTTTAAGAGCTATGTATAGGTTAGTATATGGGTAACTAGTTCAGAGAACTTATGAGAACAGAGCGGATGAGAAAAAGGATAAAACAGCTTCAAAGTGGTCGATAAACGGCGAGGGGTAGAGAGAAACGTACGGTGGTCCATTTTCCTTAAACCCTTTTTAAAGCCCTTGAGGTCTATTTGGCCCTCGTCGTGAGTATCTAGGGTTTCCCATAGCTTCGCAACCCGTTGGTCACGGTCCCGCTGCGAGTCTATTCCCATTTTTTGACAGCGACCAACATATCAGGTAAACATCTATTTTCAAACTTCCCGCAAAAGATGCGGGTGCAGTGCTGCGCTGGCAATAATGGACTAAACATCAGAGAAAAAATATAATGAAAAAAGACATGCAGCACAATGAACGCGGTATTACCGCTGGAGCTCATGAAAACAGCATCATCTCGAGGTTTACCGAGCAAAGAAGTCGAGTTGGCGCTAACAGGTCGCTGATTTGCCGGTCCAAGCGAGCGCTTAACACCTCCACCCTTCAGCAGGGATCCCAATTCCAACCTAACAATGAGGTGACGACGAGGTGAGAGGAGCATTACTCTTTAATATGACGCTTAATACGTATCAGTGTCATGAATATGTGATGATGCAAGCGCAGCTTCTCTTCCGATGACTGCTCATCCTCCTAATCCATTTTGTTTCCCGTCGCTTAACCACTTGTAAATAAATTCACATCAGCCATCCCCCCATCCACATGTAGCTGGTGACCTTATCTGCTACCTTAGAAAGAAATGGCGGCAAATTACTGGGTGTCAACCCAACGCCGGAACTGGCTTTTCGAGCGAGATCAGCTGGCAGAGATTCGGAGATCCCTCGATGAAGGTGACAAGCAGAAACAGCTCATACAACAATTCCCGCTACCCGATCTAAGGTACTTCAGCATCTACATCAATCTACGTAAGATTGTCTATCTTGATGCACGTTGCGCCTTAGCAAAGCGATTACTGAGACTAACAAGAGTGGTTGTGGTGTCCCAGAGCTGGTCAGACTAGGGAAACGGATGACAATCCGCCAACAGGCACTTGCAACAGCACAGGTCTATATCAGGAGATTCTACACCAAAGTGGAGATTCGGAGGACAAATCCTTATCTCGTGCTTACAACCGCTTTCTATCTGGCGTGCAAAATGGAGGAATGTCCGCAGCATATTCGATTCGTCGTAAACGAGGCTAAGGGACTATGGCCAGGTTTGTCTCCTCTTCGATACCCTTCCATCTGGGTGAATTGGATTGCAGGGGTAATATCTAAATTATCGTAATTACTAAATATTATTCATTTCCCAGACTTCATCGTCTCTGATATATCCAAGCTCGGAGAATGCGAATTCTGGTTAATCTCCGAGATGAACTCCCAGCTGATAGTCCACCATCCCTATCGTTCCCTTTCTGAACTCCAATCTACCCTCTCCTTAACGTCAGAAGAGGCGTCTCTAGCTTGGTCAATAATCAACGACCACTACTTGACTGATCTCCCGCTTCTCCAGCCACCACACGTCGTCGCAGTGACAGCCATCATACTCGCAGTGGGGCTCAAAACAAACACTAGCAGTAGTGCTCATCTGACCGGTGCATCGCCAGTTTCCGCCGCGCTTCGGGATGGCGCTGGTGCATTGGCTGCACTCAGTGACAAAAATCTTCCTTCTCGCGCTCAAATGCTGGTTGACTGGCTGTCGGCGGGAGAGGTTAACATCGAGGCGGTTATTGAATGTACCCAGGAGCTTATTTCCCTGTACGAGGCCTGGGAGCAGTATAGTGAAAAGGGATGTCGGGAGCAAATCAGCCGATATGTTAAAGCACGATCTCTCGATAAGTGATAGGGTTGCTGATTTTACCCAACGGATGAATTTAATTTTTGAAGAGGCTGTATCAAATGGCTGATCGGTTGGACAACCGGATACATCATCAAAAACCCAATCAATACTCGAAGCTGTGTGTGGACTTTCAAGATAAAGAAACGGCATAGTAACTCTAAGATGAATGCAAGGCTTCCCTCAATATCTGCTGCATCAATAACCCCACCTCTGTATTACCTGATATATGTATGAAGCAAGCACCCATACACGACAGATGAGACCCAAGTTATTCGAAAAAAGCCAGTCACGATCCCATTCTTCTCCCAACTCCACCAGCAACGCAATCCCGGCTCCGTACCATTCACACATGTTGTCTTTCTGAAAACCTCTCAATGGCGTATCGAGGCGCCGCGTTCGTCCAGCACTCAGACCCCGCAGTTTTTTTCAAGTTCGTTCGTTGAAGTACGATTTAGAGATAGATATTCCAACCAGTTTAATTTTTAGTTAAGTTGATTAATTTTTTATTTATTTATTAATTAGTCGATATATATAACCCCATCGTAGCTCCATGCCACGATTTACACCCACACGCATTCATCATATCTTTTTATACCACTTTACGTGGTAACCAACGAGACGCGTGCACTCTTGCATCCAATGAACGCACGTTTTCGTCCAATCATCATGAGGAATATACTTATACTTATATACCTCGAGGCTCGGGGTTTGAATCGTCACAAAAGCGAGGCTGGGGGAAAGGAAAGGGGAAATTGAAGCCTAGCCTATTGTGTATCCTAGCCGCCCAGGATTCCTCTTGCAATTCCCATTCATGCGCATGGCGCATCCCGTTCGTTATTCCATTCCATTCCCTTGGGAATCCACAGACACGGCGGCTCAAGGTAAACCGTTAATTTGACAGAATTTGTTCCCTTGGTAAGGAAGGCGTTTTAAGGCAGGTTGGGTAGTTGGTTAACTACGCTGTAGATTATTATGTGCTCCCGTTCATCATTCATTATTGGATTGGAGACGAAATTTAGTATCTATCCCCCGGATGCGATTATTACTCTTTTTTTTTTGCTATTTTGCTATTTTGCTATTTTGCTATTTTGCTATGCTCCCGCGGCGAAAGGTTCCACGAACAGCAGGTCGGCAGGTTATATATTATTAAATTAACATCTGGTCCCCACATACTCCGTAGTTAACTGAAGAAATGCTGCAATTGAACAACCCCAACCCTAACCCGCCCCCCACCGCCGCAAGCATGCATGGAAGAATCAAGATCTTCATCTGGAAGGAGGAGTGAGGACTGTGGCGAATGTTTGTCACGTTCCAGTCCGTGCATCGAGCAAAGTGAAATGAAAAGCTCCCCGTGCGCAAGCCAAACCAAACCAAAAAGAAGGAAAGGAGGCTCAAAACAGAAAACTATCCATTCCTGCCTGCTCAGCCCCCGGATGGCATCAAGCCACAGACGTCGTTAGTTCCGTCGTTTAGCCCGCCCACTAGCAAAAATCGAGAAATAGAAAAACCAAAAAATAGGAGCAAATCAACGATCGAGGAGGCTGGGTTGTTCCGCATATACAAGAAAGAAAAAAAGGAAAAAACAAAAAGAAAAACCTATGCCATCACGCTGCATAAGATTTCCCCCTCCCCGCACGCTCTTCTCTTGCTAACATTATGAAATTGAAAGAGATAGTTGAGAAGGGAGGAGATGAATGACAAATGCAAATCGTTATTTCTATATATAGCTATATATATCAAAAATGAAACAAATAAAAGTGTACTTCCGCGTACTCTGAACAAGGCTACATTTTTTTTTTCGATGGGCTGCACCGTACCATACAAAAACCCTGTTCACCAGAGTCTCCTGGGGACTAGTTAACTACTAAAATAGTTTGGAGCAACAGGGGAGCAGGGATGGATGGTGATGCTGCTATTTATGGGCTGGGAGGACTGGGAGCCCTAGAGAAGTCTGCAGCGGGGAAATCAAAGAATGCAGGATGGATCAACTTCGTCGGCGAGGTTCGTTAGCTATAGCATTCTCTTCGATTCTGCAACCAGAATTTCGTGGTTGCGGGAACCTGGGTCGTGGTATTACAGGACTACCCCACAGTTTGAGGTAAATAAATAAATAAATAAATAAACAAGTGGAGAACATGTTTGCTCTACCCACACTCTGTGCTCCGTAGCTGCGTAGAGCATCACAGGTTTGTTTTTCTTATTGTGCGTGCCGGCGCAATGGATGAGAGATGTGCTTCGTCTATCTCCAGATCGTTCTGTCGGGAGCGTATCCGAGTGGGTTCCTGTAGGCCGGCGACACGGATGACGGACAGAGCAAACAAGCAAACAAGCAAACAACAGCCAGGCCGCTGAGGTCACCCCGCCGCTTGCTCAGGTAGCGATCTCCCTCTCTCCCTCTCCCTCTCTCCGTACCTAGGTATCTCTCTATCCACCCTTCCCCTGCCGAGTTGGGTCATCAATGTGGTGCCTGGCCTACGGAACAAGACATAACCGCATTTAGTAACCCAGTCACCCATCCTGCGACCAGGCGCCTGCCCAGGTACCTTTGGGTACCTGAACTCTGGGCTTGGGCTGGGTCTTGGTGTGGCAGGGAGCCAACGAGACACCGGCCTGGTGACCTGTGCCAGCTTGGTCCAGCCAGTCAGCAGCCGTCGCCGCCCTCCTCCCACGTCACCGCCCGCCAATCACCGCTAAACACCGCCGCCAAGCAACGCAGCCACCCATGGACTGGCGCCCGCGCTTTGCCCCATTGAGCGAGCAGCCTCTGGGCGGGAGGCGCCGTACCAGCACACAGGTATCCTCCAGGTATTGTTTGGGTGGCAGCCTTCGCCAGAAGCTACTGAGGAGTGACTTGTGCGTGTCAAAGAAACCCCACTGCTGGCTGAGTCACCTGACCTGGCTGGTCCGAGTCCCCAGTTCCGGGGTTCGCAGTCGACTCACACCGACTTCTTCTTTTCTTCTCGTCCTCTTCTTCTCCTCCTCCTCCTCCCTTCCCCCAGCCTCCGTCTCTGTTCCCATCCCACCTTGCTTGACCCCCGACCTGACCGATTTCTTTGTGTCCTCCCTTTTCTTTCTTCTTATTCTTCTGCTTCTGCTTCTGCTTCCTCCTCTTCTTCGACTACTATCATTATTTGACTGACGATTTCCTACTCTTTAATTCTTCCTGCTCCACTTCGCTTCTCCTCGTTGGCTCCCTCTCGTGTGTGTTGCGTTGTCCATCCGTCTCGCCCCCTCCCACACCACAACAACGTCCAACAACGGCTGCCCTCAAAACGCCCCAACAGCTAAAGAAAATCAACTCCTTCGAATTCTACTTATCGATTATCGATCTTCGCTCTTCTATCGAACAACGGACTAATCGTTAAACAATTTGTATTTTCCTTCTTCGTGGATGTAAATCTTCCTCCAAGGCTTCTTACCCGACTTCTCCCCACACAATGTCGTCCTATTTCTTCTCGCCACAACAGCAGCATCATGCGGCAAGCCAGCATCAGGCCCTCCACTCTCACCACCACCACCACCACCACCACCAGCAACAACAACAACAGCATCAGCATCAGCAGCTGCAGCAGCAACAACAACACCAGCAACAACAGCAACTCCCCCCTCCTCCCACCTCTCACTCCGCTGCGAATGCTCACGGTGGTGGCCGCTCCCGTCGAACCGCCAAGATGGCTGCGCACAACAGCACACAGCGACAATTCCGTGGCGTCAAGAGTATGAGGGAGCTGGCAGAGGCCCCCGCGATAACTGCTTTTCGTGCCCGGTTCGAGGCTGGCCGTTCGTTTGATCTGGACGATGACTTGGAGTTTTGTCCTGGTTTGCTGACTGAGGATGATGTATGTCTATCACCATCATCACCACCATCATCACCATCATCACGGGGAACACCCCTTTTTCCTCCCAGTTGTTAGCCAATGTTAACCACCTTTTCTCTTTTTCACTGAACAGCTCCAATCCATCCATTCCTATGCTTCGGACCGCTCCTCTCTCGCCAGCATCTCGCCAGACTCCTCCCCACTCCAACACCAGATCCAACCCGCCCAGCAGGTCACCCCGTCTATCTCTCTTTCGCCCGCCTCCCTCACCAACTCCTCCGCCTTCTCCTCTTTCGGTAACAATAATCTTAATCAGATGAAGCTTCATCAGCCCTCTGCGGTCCGTGCCAGGAATGCTATCCCGATCGTCAATCCAAGCACCGGCATGCGGGTCTCAAGTCCGCCAGGCAGCCAACCGAGATGGTAATAAATAATTTCCAGAGAAAGACAAGACGAGACAAATTGAGCAAATGAAAGAATCAACCTGTCCATTAATTTTTTCCCTCTTTTTTTCGCCCACCCCGTCGATCGTGCGATCCATGCCATTCATTCCTTCATTCATCCTTCATCCATATTTCTCTCCACCGTTCTCTCGTTGGCTGTTCTATCCACCCTGCGTGTCCATCTGGATCTCCAGCGAGCGCTTGAGACATCGTCCGCGCCTCTTGTTAATACCTTCGAGTACTTTCGTAATCCTGACCGGATCCCGCTGCAAATCCTCCCACCCTTCTCACCCTGCTTCACTTACCGAAACCAAAAGAAAACAGGAAACAGCGGCTCTGTTGTAAATAACTTTTTGACCGACCACGACCACGACCCCGACCCCGACCAAGTCTCTCCAGGTCGCTGTCGGCGTCTTCTACATTCGATACGTTTTTCTTTGTTTATTTAACGTTTCCGGAACATCCTGGTGATACCATGTACCATCCTGACGATTTGATAAACTCATCCGAATATTTCCTTGGTTTCAGTTTTTCCTTCATTTCGTTTTGTCCCCCTCTTTTGGAAAGCGACGGCGTCCTGCGGAATGGATTCTTTCTAACCTTTTTTTTCCCCCTACTACATACATACGTTATCCACACCCGGTCGGAGAAAACGAGGTACGCAACCAATCAAAAAAAAAAAGGGCCGAAAACAAAAGCAACATTTCTCCCCTCTGGTCTTTGCAAACCAGAGTTGCAAAAAAAAAAAAACATTTGTGTCTTTTTTAAAAGCGGGATCCGTATCACGATGACATACATATATAGAACGAGCGGCGAAAACCGATATATTTGGCACCTAGTTGTTTTGTCCTTTCTGTCACATATATTTTATATATATTTATTTATATATAGTGTATACCTCTCTTGCTTCCTGTCCGTCTTTGGAGAGAAAAGGTAGATGGATGGATTTGGAAGGATGGGATTTTGCATGATTACACCCGTGTGGAAGCGAGATGTCCTGGAGTTTTGATTCTTTCTGATTACTTGATTTTCTCTCACCTTGTCTTATCTCTCTTGACTGACTGATCATCTCTCATTGAGCTTGCTTCTCTTTTTTCTTTTTTTTCTTCTTACGTTTGTGTATTCTTTTTTCACTTTATTTTGCACCATATATATACACACGTCTTTTCACTACATTTTGGTTTTTCCTGGAACTTGGGAACTTTGGAACTTTGGGACCTTTGGGATCTCTGGAAACTGGGGTTGGTTTTGTTATGTATGGGTCGGCGTGTTCGCGTGTATGTGTCGTGTGTGTCTTGTGTGTATATGTTTTTGTGCTGTTGTGAGCCTCTGGGGGTTTATGGGTTTCCTGTTGCCACTGGAACTGGGCTGGGCTGGGCTGGGATGGGCGGTGTATGTGTGGGTTGCATGTGTGTGTTTTTGTCCTGTGCCTGTCCTATCCTATCTTATTTTGATTGCTCGCATCTGTTGTTGCAATGATAAAAACTACTCTTTTATTCATTTAATCTGCCTTTTAATATCCAAGCCTTAGTTTTTGAAGAGTTTGATTTTTTTGTTCTGGCTTTTCGGGTTAAATTTAGTTGGGTAAATAAAGCAGACAATATTAACATATCTATCTAGTTATTCTCTATCCTTTAGTTATCTCAGCTGGTTTTATTTTGTTGTTTGTGGATGTTGATTTGAATAGAATAACATCTTCATGATGTGAATTGAATTAACTATTGGTTCTCATTGCTAATCTGACCAATGTGAATAAGATGGAAAATAGTTGTAAAATATAGGTATTCTAATATTACGGCTGAATGGAATGTATTTATTTATTTATTTTTATTTGAATGGGAGGGTTCTGCTGGATGTATCTATTGATATTATCAAATACTATGTATGTATGCTATGGTCAGTCTTATGAAAGGGCCACACAATGTATCTAAGTTGGGTGTCAACGTTTCACAGATAACTAGTTACTTACTACTTGCTTACTTACTACTCGCCCTGTCTATTAACTAACCACCACGGAAGAAAAAGCAAAACAACCACAATGATAAAGAAACATGCTGCTTTGCAAATCGGGAAGTGCCTGCATGAGGAGAGGTAGGTAGGTAACTAGTGGATAAGGGGGAAACAAGCTAATGAATGTTATACAGAACTTCTTTCTTTCCCCCCATATTCCAACTTCACCACCAACCACCACCTTCGTTCGGGTCGAATTAGATTCTTCTCTAGTTAGTTATGCACACATAACACTTTTACAAAATGTAATGTAAAGGGTGCTAAACTAGCTATGTAGTAGCTATGGAGCTATGGAGGACAGAGTTCATCTAAGTTAATTCAATACCTCAGTATTCAAAACTCGCTTTGCATTCTCTCACTCTCACACTCGGATTGGTAGTAGTAAGCCTGCTGCTATGGCCCGCGGGGCTGAAAAAGAAGAAGAAGAAGAAGAAGAAGAAGAAGAAGAAGATCAATTGCGCGGTGTTGGCACGGCTGCTGAACCTCTTAAGACTCATGGTATACTACTGAATGGAGGAGTCGATGCCTTTGGTACATCATGTTGCTCCCCCACCCCCCCCCCCTCTCCCTTCCTTCCTTCTGACTTAGAGTGTAGCTACGCTAACCGGATGGTTTTATAGGCGACCGATCTCAGGGCTGCATGCAACCACAACTGGACTGACTATTTTCGATACGTTTGTTGGGCAAGGGAACTGGGAACAGACAGCTTAGCTTGTTCAGCTTCAGCTTCAGCTTCAGCAGCCAAACTCGACCTTCGGCGCATACGATGCGAAAAGCCAAAGATGTGGTGGCGGCGTTTCAGATTCTGAGAGCCCCTGATGATACCTAAACCTGATCCATGCAAAAGTATGATGATGGTGATGATCTAGGACTGGGCAAAATCTGATCGTCCGAAGGTGAGGAAATTATCTCATCTCGCTGTCATTGGCGTGGTGGGACCTGGGGTTGGTCGTACTGTACTGTACATTGGGCCTGCTTTAGCTGTTTGGCTCAGCGACAAATGGTGGCTTCTTCAAAGACAGGCCTGTCAACAGTGCATGGGATTGTGAGGATAGCGAAGCCACATGGGATTGCTGGGCGGTACTTCAAGCTCCTTGAAGTCCTTTGTGCGGATTTTGGAGGAGGAAGAGGCGGAAATGCTGGGGCGTGAGGGGAGGGAGCGCGCCGGTCTCGTCAAGTGGTCACAGGCCTCTGGGGCCATGTGGCTGCACATGCTCCTCTCTTCTGGCCTTAATGGTTATTGTGCAGCTTCTCTTTTACGCAGGTGCGCCAACACCTTCATACTGAGTGGGTTGGGTGAACCATGGGGAGGACTTTGACAACACAGAAGAGCTTGAGGCATTTGCAGCGCGGAAGGTGCGCGAGCTGGAATAGGATGATGGATGATGCCTTGGGGGAGAGAGAAGAGATGAAAGCACTTCTCTCTCGACAGTGGGAAGATGACAAAGGAGGAAATTCGTTGCTAATGCGCTGATTATCAGAGCCTGATCCCGGCGCCTGTTTCTCGTCATTTGTAGTTCGTTCGGTGAGACGAGAAACGACAAGGGATTATTGCGCAAGGTGGGCTCCGTTCGTCCTATACCGTTCTTCCTCCACTTCTATGTCGCGTGGAAGAGGCTGGGGCCAATAAGGAAGGAGGTATAAATCCAGAGGGAGGCTGCTCTACATATGTCGAGAGGGATGTTGTGTCTATGGGATTTTGCTTTTGTCAACCCCAATAGGGATCTTATTTTGTAATTCTCCTATTCAAATGCGTCACCAATTCCTGCCTTAACCGAAAGAATGCTTTTCTATCTCTCATCATTCTGCTATGAAACCTTATTTCTACGAGCAAAAGGATATTCGCGATTATATATATATATATATACATCGATGCGGATATTCTGACGGGCACAACCGCAACAAATACTTCGGCCTTTGATCCTGTGGCTATTTATTGTACGAAGGGGGAGCGCGAGTGCTAGCACATGTATGTACAGTACATCCGGCTAGTTGTGACAACCAAAGAACCAAAGAAGATTTTTTCCATTTATATTTTTTTATGGGATATGCCAAGAGTTGCTGGTTTCTTTTCCTAGACGAAGTCCTTGTTATGGATTGGGTTACATTTAAAGAAATATGCTAGTCATTTTTTTGCCTTTCTCAATCGCGAAAAACGGGTTTGAGCTCGACGCTCTGTGGAAAGAAAATAGAATCAAAAAAAAAAAAGAAAAGAAAAGAAAGAAAGAAAGAAAGAAAAGAAAGAAAAGGAAGGAGAAACCAAAAAGCAAAAAGCAAAATAAAAACAACAAATGGATAAGGAAAGATGAAAAGAAAACTCCCGATGCAATTTTTTATTTTTTATGTTTTTCCCCACCCCCTTTTCCATTCATTTGGTAACACCCCCGCCCCTCATTTCATCTCCCATATGCTATTTCATCGCACAATTAAACACGAGACTCAAACCCTTGATTGATGCTGCGCGCCCGCCCCCGTCCCCGGCCCCGTCCCCGTCATCATGTCCCTGTCTGTGTGCATTACCACCACCTCCTCATGATCAGCGTCCTGACCGGGGTTACATGTCTGGAACTGAAAAGCGCGGAGGAATAAGTACCACCCAACAGCTATCACCGTACCCATCGCGGGGCCGAGCCAGTAGATCCAGTGGTACCCCGGGAAGGAGCGGTTGATGACGTCTGGGCCGAGAGAGCGGGCGGGGTTTAAGGAGCCGCCGGTAAAGGGGATTCCTGTGAGATACCTTGTTAGTTGTGTTTTTCTTCTGTTTTTTTTCTCTTTTTCTGCTAATTTCGTTAGGCTTGGTGGGGTGGGGAGACTGGAAGGCGAGGTGGAAATTATTCGCCAGCGAAGCGGGATAGGGAGTGGAAGGGGGAAGAAAAGAAAAAGGGCTGAATATATATATATATATAATTACATACCCGTCAGCTCAGCTAAAAAGAACGCCAACCCAATACCCAACGGTGCCATGAAAGTTGCCTTGTGTTTCTCGACCGCGAGCATTAGTATCGTAAGCACCAACTGGGCCGTCAGGAACATTTCGATGAATAGCCCCTGCGCTATCGACGTGCCGTTGATCAGGCGTGTGCCTACGGCTAGAGAAGTGGGAAAGATGGCGGAGGCCACACCTGCAGCGGCAATGCCGCCAACAAGTTGCGCAATGATGACGAGCACTGCTCGGAGGGGTCCGATGACCCCCAGGAGCAAGAGCGCGAAGGCTACCTGTATGTGTAGATATGTTTAGCGTTGTTCATGTTCACTCCGTTCAAGGATTGGTTTCTTGTCTTATGAATTTTGGGAACACCGCCGCCCCCCTCCAAAAAAAAAAAAGTTCTGGTCTCGTACAGGGGAGGGATATAATTACCGAAGGATTTAGCATTCCGCCTGTCACACGATAAAAGATCCATACATTGACCGCCAAAGACGCGCCGAAGCCCAAAGACACGTAGATAAAAGCCGCAGGGTTATTTGGCGCGGTAGGTCCTGGCACCACGTTATTGGAGAGTATTGCACCCGCAAACGAGAAAAAGAGGAAGAGAAACGTGCCGACAAACTCGCCGGTAGTGGCGACGACGTGATTGCGAATGGAGTCCGGGATGCGATCTACGCGGTTGCCGATAGCGGAGCGCCTTGGGTTCAGAGATCTATCATATTTGGCAGCTGCGTGGTGGTCTGCACTGGAGTTTAGGGTGCCCGGGTAGCTGGGGTAATTGCTGAGAGCAGGGTGATCCGAATCGGCGGGCGGATTGGTGTTTGAATAGTTGGCTGAAGTCGACTCCATAGCTTTCGCAGTCTGATATATACAGGTCAATGCCTCAGTGGGTATTATTTCCGATTTCTTATCGGGTTTCGAGGAAACCAATAGGTGTTTTTATATTTTGTTCTTTTTCCTTTGCCCCTTTCTTTCTTTCTTTCTTTTGGCCCTGGAAGGGGGGTTGAGTAAAGAAAGGAGCGCTGACTTTTCCATCAAGAGGAGGGGGAGCTGGGGCGGGAGATGTATGACGTCTGAATGACAGCTTTGATCAGAGTATCGAAAGGGAAATTGAAGCTCGCCGGACTTCCATATATGCTTTTGGGATTTTGTTTACGGTACTCCCGTTTCTCAAAACCATAAACTAATTAAGCTTTTTGGTATTCATCCCTGCTTTGCCCCTTAGTGTCTAGATCGAGAAGTATTGTAGCGGAAGTCCTTTGGCCATATCCAACATTTATAATCTAGATAAGGGCGGAGATAATTGATACGTGAACGTGGTAGGAATCGGACTTGGTGGTGCAAAACCATTCGATCTTGTCCTATTGGCGGCAAATTGGGATGGGAACCTTTTAAGTTCGAGATTTACCGAACTTTATCCTATGTCATACAATTTAGCCTAGGGCTATATTGCAAGTATGTAGGCGCCAATTCCAGATCGCAAAATGAATACCCCTGTTTGGTGAGAGTGTTAGTCTAGATTTGGAAGATGGGTGGGAATGGCAGGTTATTAATATTACCTCGTATAGCGACATATTAAACAAAGCACGGCTAGCATCGCTTGTAAGAGTGCCATGGACGTTGTTGTCTGTGGAATCCGTGTATGATTTTAGATCTGTCATGGACACGGAAGCTTGCGCTGTATACTGCGTAAAACCATTGGCAATCCCTGCTGCGTGTAGGCGCTTTCCATCCACCACTCTAGTTCATGAGTTTATCCGTGTTTCTAGAACATACTACTCGATATGTTCAATGCTAGTAATTGTGAGAGCCAAGCGGTGATTTCGGATATTCTGTCCAGGTTCTGACAATGGTACCGGGCAGGATCTTGATACATTGACTCATGCAGAATCTAATATTACGAATCATCGAATAACCATCCGCTATCCATGGCTCATCCATTCGAGTCTGAAATTCCTTATTCTTAGCCAATGTATTGTACTGTACTTGTACATTGACGATACTGGCCAGATAGATATGAATTGGGTAAACGAGGGAATAAGCGCTCCTCCTCCAGAAGGTGATAGGCAGAAATAGATATATTGTACTAACTGAGATCCAGACTGAGATTCAGGATGTCTTTCAACATAGACTGCATATCGTCCCTGAATATTTTTATGATAACTAATGGTTATCTGAGCTCATTTCAATATTTGAGATTAGCTGTGGCCACCCATGAGTTCGATACTCGCATCATGACTTAAGCCACACATACATGGCGCCATTTGAAGGCAAACTCGTGAAGGTCTGCAGTTGCTCAAGTCGCTATGTAACATGCACGGCCTAAGTAGGCTCACGTTATAGTGTATGAGGGGCTGTGGATGAGAGATCCCTGGTCTGCATCTTGAGAGTTTAGGAGGGGGTTTGTTGCAACCTCCTTCGTATCCAGACGCCCAGTTGTGAGGATGCGCCCTGCGGATGGCTCCTTGTGGCGGCATCTGTAAAGTCAATTTGCGCCAGAAGCTCTCTCATCATTTCGGCGTCTTGCTGGCCTGCCATTTTTTGTCTCCGGCTTGGACCTGGAAGTTTGCTGCCAAGCCGGTGCGTATCGGGAGAATATTTTTCCTAAAAATAACTTTGTTCTTCGGCCCGCTCTGGACCGCCGATGACGTCAGGTCCATGCAGACCCATGCAGCCCAAGTCTTGGAGGTGGAGAACCCCCGCAATTTCATAGAAAATGGAGCCGTCATTCCGTCACAATTACAGTAGTCAATATCATTGATTCCGCTTGATTTACTATTCTGTACTAGGTGCGGAAATTTATACACACTTCTTTGTATATATATGTGTAACAGGAGGTACTGGCTGCTGATCAACGGGACGGCTTCGAAACTGACGGATTTGGAACTTGTATATCAGCGCGCCACATTTTCATCTTTTTCGCCCCCCTCACATTGCTTGGGAATTGGAAGCTATTGCCTATTTGAATCCTGTGTGTTCTTGCTCTGCCGCCCTTCCCGCTCGCCGTTTGACACTAACCAGCACAGGCAAGTCATTTTTCTTGGGGAGCGCATACGTCTTCAATCCACGAACCACAACCACGCACTGTCTTTCGTCAACACTACACCAAACATGTCGTTTCTCACAATTCCAAAGACCACTCACTTCCTTCGCCCCGTCTGCGCTTTGCGGGTTTATTCACCATGTCTTAGTCATGGATTCCACCAGTCGTCTACTCGCAATGCTCTGAAGGAGTCTGATAGACGTAAGCCCAATCTCTCATCCTACAGCTCATATTTTCATAATTGGTGTGCGGACTAACGTTTCATCTTCTCTCACGGGCAACAACAGATCGAGAAGGCATCAAGGAAGCAATCCAAGCCAGCAAGCAAATGCATAACCAACATCATAAGGATGGGAATCCACGGTGGCACGAGTCTCTGGCTAGCGTTAGTGAAGCGGATGTAGGTAGTCCCCCTTCCAGTCTTAACTACTTTTCCTATGTCTTCTTTCAAGTGCTCGTCGACGTTCAACGCAGTGGAATGGAATTCCATACAGCAAACACCTTAAGACAAACGAAACGGTAGCTAACTTGGGATTTGATTGTTTTTTCTTTTAACCCCACCCCAGATAAAAGCCGACCGTGGTGAAATCTATGAAGCCGCTGCTGAGATGGAACGATACATAAAGGAGGGGAAGATGAGCAGACAAAAGCCCGCTCCCTTACGCCCGGGTTCTGGAAAGGGTAATGGAATGATGGCCTAAAAGGATGGCAGCAACTTCATATGTTTCTACTGCAAAAAGAGCTAATTGCTAGTGGGATTTACATTCCGGAGAGATTTCCATGTTTTCTATATCAAGGTGGATTTTTTTTCTTTTTTTCTTTTCTTTTTTTTTTTTTTTTTTTTTAATTTGCCATTCTCTCCGCTCCAACTTGGAAAGCCTCTTTGATGTCGAGTGGTCTGTTGCTTTCAGCGAACCAAGCTTCAGATATGTATGTATACTTGTGCGTCTGTGTTTGTCAGATTGCAGGACATTAGTGTTCAGGCCCCAACTGCCAGCTCGAGTGCGAAAAATGATCGGGCGAATGACAGCAGAAACAAAGGGCTGAGCTGCAGGAATGGCTTACGTTCGGCCGCTGTAAATATTATGAGCCTTTCTACAGTACATAGCCAGATTGAGATCCACTTGTCTTTTGTCCCCATGTATTCCTGCAACATAATTTGTGGTTGGCATAGAAGCCACCACCGAGTATGATAGAAACTGCGCGCGCACAAAATGGCATTTAAGATAATTCTGTTTTCAAGTATACATATCTAAATATAGAAGCACACCGTTTCTCGGGTGGTTCCTGATAAGCCGACATGAAGGACGCTCAATATACGAACAAGAAAAAAAAAAAGAAGATGAAGCTTTAAGCAAACAAGAACAAGCCGTATTGAAAGACAGGTGTGTAAAATGTGGAAAGGAAGGCGGTTAGACATGTATAAGGATAGTAGTCTGAAACAAAATATAACTGGGAAAAAGTAGAGGTCTGTACCGAAGCGCCAGGTCCCCAAGCACGCCTATTGACCGTATACAGTATATATATCCGTACCTAGCCGGAAAACGCCCATGAAGAATTCAAAAGTGATCCAAGGAATAGCAAAACGAAAGGCCACAGATTGGTGAAACAATGACTGGACACGACAGTCTACTGAAGAATTGGACCTTATTTCAAGATAACAATCAAGATCACCAGGACGATGATTAAACCGATGATAGTCATGAAGCCACGACTCTCCCCTGCGTTGCGTCGGAATTTCTGCAGTCTTCTTTTCGCACCATCTAATCTGCTCGCATGGCGGTCCACATGACCCTCCATATCATCTAGCAGCGCTATGTGCCCTTCCAACTCGTCTCCGATCTGAATGCTGAGCTCATGCTGCCGCCCAATAGATTCACCAAGGCGATCCAGTTGGTCATCCTGCTCTTGCATGATCAGGGCATGATGCGCGTGGATGTCAGAATTTGAGAGATTGGAGTGATCTAATGATGGCGGGGAAGGGGCGTCACGGTAAGGACGAAGAAGCGCGCTTCGGTTGGGATCCTCCTCCTCAACAGTAGCAGTCAGAGTGTCAGTGAACCTGACGGATTTAGAAATTGGATGCTGGGGGGTAGGATGTTTTAGGGTCGTGGACGTGCTGCTTGCACGAGAAAAATCATCGACGAGTGAGGGATCATTTGGGGTTTGCAACGTGGTATCTGAAGACGTGTTGTTATTGCCATAGAATTGTGAAGTGAGGTCATCTAATTGCTCTTTGAGATTATTTTTTTGGTCTTTCAGTGCAGCAGATGTTCTAGATAGAAGACCAAAGAGTTAGCAGGCCGTTCCTGGGGATGAATCTACAGGTACGGTCATGGAATTTATTGAATCTTACAGGTCATCATTCTCCTCGAGCCGCAGAATTCGCGAATCAAGCGATTCAATTCCTTCGCGCAGGGATTCTAGAGAACGGGATATTTCGCCATCCTGCGAGTTAGGCTCAATACTAAGGGATATTGCCCTTTGCCGTTCCAGAAGAGATAGTTTTATGTGATCAGCGAGTAGGAAGAGTTGCGCCGGATTGCTCATCGTTGTGCCTGTTCACAAGCAGACGGGAGGTGGAAGAGCTGACGGCTGGCAGCGATACAATAAACTAAGCGCTTCGTACGTGACTCTGTCGGAGGCCTTCTGAAGAGCGCAGGTGAAGGATTCCAAGGTGAGATGATGTTGGAGATGGAGGTGATGCCTAGATTTCCGTTTCAGCCATCTAATGCTAACTGATACGGAAAGCGCTTGAGGCTTAGCCAACTATGCCAGAAGTGGTAAGTCTGGAGACGCTAATGTATAAATCACGTGGTGTATATTCTTGGGATTTTGATTCTCTTTCCCTTTTCTAATTTCATTGCCGTTCTTATATTCATTTTATGGGGAACATCTTTCCATGCTACCAGCCTTCCCTCGACTCAATCCCTTCTATTCTTCGCAACGTGACTCAGCGGACTTGCCACAAAAGTACATCCATGCACTTGACACTCCCCGAGGGATCATAGTTGACAGCCATGTTTTGCGTGTTGAACGCAAGGCCTACCCACAGAAGATAGTATTCTTCTGTGAGGCTCATCCCACCGGCTCTGATCGCAGTACTTCCGCAGATAATGAATAGCGTCCAGGCGACGGTTTTCTCTTTCGAACCCGCATAGGACAGGCTTGTGAGTGTAGGCTTCCGCTTCGTCCATCGCCCCGACGAAGTAGAGGATGTGGATGACACACTCATCCCATATTGAGAAATTGATTGCCATTTTACTTTGAACATTGAATTCTTTTGCACGTAGGTTGCGCAGGCTGTCAGAGGTTGGAGCGCTTATTCCCTGGGACTATAACTATATAAACTTAACCAAGAAGGTTTTGACCTTGGCAAACGAAACAAACTGCATTCAATTATTAGAGATATGTGAGAAGGTTTAAATTCAACCAAACGTATCCTCCGCCTACATTGCGGAGTTATACCATCCTAGCATGTAGTTCTGCAGCAGATGACTTTTGCAATGATCTTGAGAAAAAATTTTTTCAATTTCCACTCATTTCACGTTCGCTCCACACTGCGCCTCACACTGGTACTTATTTCAAATTTCGCTTCAATTTTTTTGCTGTTCATTTAGGTCTCAATATTGAACAAAATACACTCAATTGTTGGAAACGATAAACGATTCCTTGGCACCTCGGTTTCAAGAATAAAATCACATGACCTCCTTCCCGGCTATATCACCACCCAACCTAACGTATTTCTTTCCTGACCTTTCACTTCATTCTATAGTACTGCATATATACCTACCTACCTTTGTTCTAACCGTTGACCGTTTTCTACACATTTTTGACAGCCAGGCTGTGGTTTCTCTTCCTAGCCCCCCAACAACATCACACTTCTGAACGTTATTCGGATTCTCGCGATTCGAACTCACTGGGCAAGGAATATCAGATCGCATTCCACGCAGCCTAGTTTGCCCTGTGTTAGTTAAAAAGGGAATGGTTGTGATGGAGAGTGTGAAAGATGGAGGATGACTATCTCGAACCTGATTCTCTCGTGGACCTTCGAGCCCTCGAATACGTTTCAACCTACGATGGCCATCTGATGTGCCCGATCTGCCACTGCCCGTTTATACGTCCAATTCGATTGAAGTGCGATCATATATTTTGTCAGAAATGTCTCAATTCATGTATCACTTCATCCCCGTCACACATACCATACGCGCCACCTTCCGATAACTTTGCCTGCCCCACCTGTCGAACCCCAACAATGGCAACGTTCATGAAAGTCCCTCGTCTAATAATTAGCATGTGCGATGATTTGTGTGTGAAGTGTCCATTTGTCCGTCAAGGGTGCGAGGAGGTAATTCAACGAGGCCACGTACAAGCTCATGTGGATAAATACTGCGACTACCGGCTCATGCGTTGCCCCGACCCAAATTGCAATTACATGACAAGGAAGAAGGATATGGACGCTGACCTCCGATGTTTACATGAATTTTGTACTTGTGATAATTGTGAGGAATCTGTGATGGAACGGGATTTTGAGGTATGTTAGTTTTCATTTCAAGGTCTGAATACGACTTTCCAGCTGAGGCTCTAAACTTCGCAGATTCATACCAAAGAATTATGTTCAAGTCTGAAGACCGAATGTACATATTGCCACACAAGCATTTGTCGAAGTGAATTGCCAGAGCATTTAGAGACTTGCCATGCAGTCGAAAGAACTTGTTGCGCTGCGAAATTCGGCTGCCCAGAAAAGTTCAAAATGGAGGCACTTAAGCAACATGAGCAATCATGCATTTTGGCAAAACTAGGCCCGTACCTGGATGCTCAAGCTTCTCGAATGGAATCGATGGAATCGACAATAAAGCAATTGCGCCAGCGAAATGAGATTCTTGAAGATGGCATTGCAAATATCCGGTCGATCCTTGGGGGCCATGTATCCCCCCTGCAACCCGACCCTCAAACAGAGGTTTCGCCTATCATCAGAAGTGACTCTCCCCTATCTTTGTCATTCGAACATCTAGACATTTCCTCTCCTGAAGCCTCAAATAATCCAGCAAACGATCCCACAGATGGTGTCTCCCCTCCATATCAAGAAATCGCCTCCAGCCTATCCCCATCAAACACCACCACCTACCTTCTCTCAATCCACGAGTCCCTGAGAGAGGAGGTGACTCAACTTTCGAATGCAATATCCGATATCGATGCACGAGTCAACATGTCTATTATGAACGAGGGCATTCGGCTCAGAGATGAAATCGCCCATATAAGCGCTGGTGTCAACGCTATTCGGATGCAGGTCCATTGGCTTATGAACCCACGATTACACCAAAGCCAAAGAGTCGTTAATGCCTCCTCTACTACAACACCTTCTGCTAGTGATACCTCTCGGAATATGGGGGTTGCTACTGTTGGTGGGCCGAGTGACAACCCGTCCAGCCCTCCCCTGCCGAATTACAGAAGCCGGCGCCTCAGTGATGGTAGCCGTGAGGGAACAAAATTGTAGTGGTTACGACAAGTACACAAGATTATTTTAACGGTAAAATTTGATTTATGTTGATGAGGGAATGTTTTCACAGTGGCATATTTTCCTTTTGTATTTTTTTTTTTTTTTCAGAATGCATATCCCTGGAGTTGCATCATAGTTTCACGGAACAATGGCAGGCAATTAGGAGCCGAGGACTGGTAATGCTTTCTATTTTGTTCAATTTCTTTTGCTTTATCGTTTCATAAGGGGGGTGGGTCATGCATGCATGTTGTGAAATTTTTAAATCGTGTGTTACTAATGAGCATTAATAGTTTCTTTTCCATCCTTGGATTCATTAATCAATACCAAAACAATTTACCCGAACACCAATTCGGGAGAAGATCTATATCATCCATATCGGGGTTCAACCCCCCCCCTTCCAGTCCTGGCTAAATGCGCATATCCCGCCAGTATATCGTGAGGAAGCTGCTGGGCGATTGCAAGCTGCTAAGTAGTGCTTTCGCATTGGAAAGTTCCGGCTTGCTTTTGGTTAGTTAGCAACCTGTGTAGGTAGGTGCATGTAGTTATGACTCGCCCCGATCATAATGTGGAAAAGAATATCTACCCTGAAAATTAAGCTTTATCGACAAGACATTGCATTTCATCTATCATATTTTGCATGGCATTACGATACTGACTTTTTATCGGAGCACCCCAAGTCTTTAACAAGAAGGCCAAGAAATAGTAATGATAATTATATATATCGTTTTAAAAGGAAAAGAAAAGAAAAGAAAAATCAACCTAAAGATCAACAGATATATGTCGTTCGCTCCTTTGTTGTTCCAGGCATATTCAGCAGACCAGCCGGTCACTAATACCGTCGTGAGTCGCCGTACCCGCCTGGCGGAGCCTGGTAATAGTCATACGTATGAGCTCCTTGCGTGGGAGGTTGGTATTCGCTAGTGTTTATGTTCTGACGATAGTTTTCATACCCAGATGGTGGAGGCATCGTGTATCCAGGATCATCATACGACATCTGATAATGCTGTTGCTGCTGCTGCTGATAGGCACTTGGCTGTTCTTGGTACTGCGGGTATGGTTGGGATTGGCCTGAGTAACCAGATCCGGCGTCTTCAGATGGGAGTGCCCGCGTCTGGCTATGAGGGTTGCCGTCGCCCGGTTCATCTGGCAGCTCACGTTTCGAACCGCCGCCGCCCAGGAAACCTGTCAGTTTGTTCAATTTGTTGAGATTGGACATTCCTGGAATGGGGAGGTTGGAGAGTTGATCCCATGGAATTGAGGAGGAAGCAGATGATGACGTTGGGTGGGTTGAGCCCCCGGAAGGTCCGAAATGAGGCAGCCCGGGGATGTTGGGAAGATTCGAAAGGTTGGGGATGTTTGGGAAGCCGCTGTGAGAATGGCTTTGTGATTGGGCCTGGGATTGGTTATGGCTCCAGTAGCCATGAGATTGGCTATCGTGGCCGTGAGCAGGAGCATGTCCATACGGTTGATGTTGGCTTGGTAAGGTATGCCCATGGGTCTGGTGTTGACTAGGCGAGGCATGTGTGTTACTATTGCCGTGAGCATGAGCGTGAGGATCGCCTCCAATATGATTCTTCCCCGCTTTGACACCTTCCGCACTAAGGATGTCATTGAAATTGACCCCTTTACGCGACTTTTCATGAGCCCAGCGTTCGACTTCCGCAAACATCTCCCGGTGTACTTCGTTGTCCGATCGTCGAAACGCTGGATGGTGGAAAACGAGAACACAGTCGTTCAACACTAGATCTACCGGGACATCAACATGTTGGAATGCATATAAAACACGAGGGACGACGAATTTCACCACAGCTGCAGCTACTCGTCCAGCCGGATCGTTAAGGATATTGCTAAAGTGATCCTTGGAGAGGAATGAGTGGGTGGGATCTGTGCAGGCCGGGTTTGTCCAGGGTTCGAACTGAACGCGAGCTTCTGAGGCTGTCAATTCGGATGAGCCAAGCTGTAGATTTGACGATGCTACTTTTATCACGGGCCGAATAAATGGAGCCAAGAGAGAAAAGATAAATATAGAGAGTGTTTCACTGATTTTCTCCATTAACGAAGCAAGGCCAGGAATTTTCTCTAATGCGGAGGATATGTTTCTGACCACCCTATCTCTAAATTCCAAAATGGGATAGATTTGAGAAATAGTTTCCTGAGGGTTGATATCCGTGGGTACGGACGCCCGTGACTGGCCATACGGGATCGGCTGGTTTAAACCTTGATTTCCATGGGGATCAGAATGACTCCTTGATGCCCCATAATCACCAAAGCCACGCTGTTGGTTTGCTTGGGCCTGAGCCTCTGATTTACGTTTCAAAGCTTCGGCTTCTGCAATGAAGCCTTTCATTCCGGGAACTTTAGAGAGCACGCCAGTGAGCGCACTCAAGGCTCCAGAGGAGCCCGAGCCTGCCTGCGCACTACCAAGTGTATTGTCCATTTCATTTATTTCACTCTGAGTGAGGTTATCTGAGGCTTCACCGAGCAAACTGTGAAAAAAATCTGTCATGCCAAACGTGCCAGTGACGATGGGGAAGACGTATTTTCCTTGGATGTTCATTTGGGTTCCAACCCCGACGTGAGGGAAAACATTATGATAGCCCATTTCGCGCAATACCAATTCGCAGTAATTACTGTGCGCCGAAAAGTCTTCCAAAGTATGGCAAGCTGCAAAAATAAGTTAGCTTTATACGGCAACTGTGGGATTTAGAACTGGGTTTCCGTGGCGGAATCACTGATACGGTTTTGCGATGAAATGTTTGTAAAAATAACCAAAGCATAGGGGCTTTTACCTTGGCCAAGACACCTCAGAGCCTCACTCAAATGTTCTTCGTGACCTTTTTCATGACTCCCACCACCAAGGTAGAGCCTTCCAAAGTGTATACTTCGCGCAATGCTATACTTCACGAATCCAGCACTGGTTGCCCAATCGCCACGTTCGTTGGCAATGTAGTTCTTCATGCCGGTTTGCGGGTCAATCTCAAGCTCAATAGGTCGAATTGGGCCCCGAAGCCGCGGATCACTATGAGTGGGTGTTAATGGATGTGTTGAATAATGCAAGGTATGAATGTATCTATACTTGTTTTGTTGGGGAAGAGGGGTGAGAGGGGGTGAGAGACATACTACTGTCTAGCATCTTTATTATCCGCGTAGCCCTTTGGATTGCTGTATTAAATAGAATCGTTAGGTGTACAGTTTCTTGGAAAGAGGGACAAACATCATCACCCCAAGAGATATCAGGCTTCAAGCAAGGAATTGAAAATCGACATGATGCCGCCATCGCAGCATATAATGCCTGTGCAGGATGGGGAAAGGCAGACGAACTCAATATGTTCTTCCGGCCTGTATACTCCAAGTCTGTCAGCTGTCACCTCAAACTCAGCGGTTGCGTATCCGATAGAGGTGAAGCTGAGAATCCAAACCAGGATCCGGATAGTTTCTGCTGGGATTTTCGATATGGTTCCCACATCTAGGGCTTGGGAGTAATCTCTCAACCTATTATTGTATTATAAGTTAGTTAAATTTCCACTGCGATGAAATACTAACGCGGGGGGAATAGGTAGTCAGTTACCAATTCCCAAAATATAGACGCTTAATCATGATGCCAGTCCATTTATGTCCCTTGATGAAGGCGAGGGCCTTCACGGTGTCTTCGATATCTCCATGGCGCCAATTTCTGCCCTCGACTACAGATATCGAAGCGATGTCTGAGAGAATAGTTCAAAAGACTAGGGATCAGCTCTGATATGGGTGATGCGATGTCAAGCCTCCTCTCTCCCACTGACGCATGTTCGGGTTCACAGGCTGAACAAAAATAAAATGATGGAAACATACTCCCAGCCCCAAAGGCATGCACTTGTGAGGGAAGCAAAACAAGCAAAATCGCTAGAATGAAAAGGGCAGACGTTGTGCCTGAGCCCATCGTGAAGATTGGCGATTGATCCCCTGCTCAAGTTGACGTTCGGTGGGGGACGGCTGAATCAAGTTATTGTGGTAATATTTGATCTTTAGTATTAGTGGTAAATGTTGGAGAGAGCTGGAAGCTGAGAAAGTGAAAGCGAATTCGATTGACTGATTGACTTAGGCTTCCAGTTCTGCAGTTGCTGAATGGCAAAAACCTGGTGAAGACTGCGAAATCGCGTCACAAAAGCCGGCTTCTTGAAAATATTTAAAACCCCCCCAGCACAGCGCACCACCGCCACAGTTGGACCCCGCCATGAGATAACTTAGTGGGATAACTAGTGCCAGTGGATAAGGACAGTTCCATGATTCTTGGCTTAATCCACGTCCTTCAGCTGCGGTGGTCCTGCAGCTGGGCGCTAAGGCTGATTATCTGCAGCAGCCTTGGGAGGCTTGAACAAGCCCAACCGAATCCGCCGGAAATTCCTAGCCAAAGCTTAGGGCGAGAGCAGTTGGAGAGGCCACTCCGATTGAGAAAGAAAGCTAGCTACACTGAACAAAGGAGGTTGTATCAAAAAACTCTTTGTTGGACACGAGAATGAGTTTCATCATCATCATCACTATCAAAAATCATGGTTCCAAAAACTGAATACAGGAGACTCCAATCCGGAAGCTTTGACGAAACTAGCTAGATATCATGCATGTTCTATTCTCTACCTGCCTACTTCTGTTTCTTTTTGATGCCGAAGTTTGGCGTTCATAGCTCTCGAATAAAATGCTTGAAGGAAAAGATCTATCTCCGCGACGAGATTCTCATGGGTGTTGGAACGGGAGGATGTTTAAGATTAACCAGACACATTGGGTCCCGGTTATTCTGACTGATTGATCGAAGGACGACTAACTAATGGAATAGAGTGATCCTCTTCATAATTCTCCGAAGCGTGGTGTGCGCTTTTCTTCTGCGCAAGTTGGCTGTCTGGAGTTTGCGCCGTCACTTAACAAGGCTGAAGATGAACCTCAAGACTTGATGACTCATCCGCCCCTCTTGCTCCCCGCCGATTCTCTGTTTGTTGATATCAGTCCGTCAGAGCCATAAAACGCGCAATTCAACCATCCAGGCATGAAAGGCCTGTCGTTCCCCAAAGAATGAATGGGGTTGGCTCCGGGCAATGTGTCGGTTCGAATTATTAGGCTGCATCCTATTGTTACGTCGCCGGTTTTGTAGGAGTGAGGAGGATCACTCTGCCGGGTTGTTCGCCTTGAATCCGCCCACGAGACGCATTTGCAATTGACTAATACCTTATATTCTAGTAATCTACACTCGTCAGCATGCTCCATGAGATACTCCTCGCCTTGTCGGGTCATAGCTCTCCCCTGTTTGATCAAGAAGAAGGCAGCTCTTCCAAAGACGGTGTTCCGTTCCTCTCCCCCGCTGAGCACGCCCTGCTCCAGCCTATAGCGGAACTATGTCGCCTTCACACGCTGCTGCGCAAACATACATTGCAGATTTCCTCATCGCACCCTTCCACAATATGTCGGGCAGTGTCAACCAATATCTCCACGGACCAATTGGGCAAGTTCCAGAAACAAATATTGGAGGTCGAGACAGCAGTCCTGGCCAATGACGCCCGGTATGTTGGTGGTCATGGGATTGTACCATTATCAACAATTCGCTCGGAATTTCTGCCATGGGTGGGGAGGCTACGATGGCTGTGGCAGATCGTACGGTTCATGTCTCCGATTTCGGGTGAGGAGAAAGGGATCTGCACTGGAGCCAGCTTGATTGATCACCTTCGAAATGAGTCGCATACTGGATATTTGGATCTCGAGGGAATGGCACTTCAACTGATAAATGCCGGAGAAACAGCGTTTATGCGCCAACTCTCAATGTTCGTCCTGTACGGCCAGTTGCCCTCATTTGGCCGTGAAGATTTCTTTATCCAAGAGGATCCGTCGACGGTTGACGAAAAACGAAAAAGTGCGGCCGACTTTACAATACGAGCAGATCTAATGCCAAATTTTGTGTCTTCGTCCACTGCCAACTCAATCTTATTCGTCGGCAAATCCTTGAATCATATACGAGCTCAAGGAAAGTTTTCTGCTGGCGATGAATCAATAGCATCGCTATCCAAGCTGACCCTGCACGGAAACTATCTCGATCATCTCTCTGCTCTTTCTTCACCGATAACCCCTGTTGGCCTTAGTGGTGCAATATCCAAAATAAGGGTTTGCCTATCACAGACTGCCTTGTCACAACTTCTGCCACTACCAAAAATAGTAGAAATCCTTTCCTTGTTGCATGATTTCCTTCTGTTGGGACGTGGCGAATTCGCTATGGGATTGGTGACATTTGCAGATAACCTTTCCAGAGGGAGGCATCGGAGGGCTGATCCATTGGGATTGGGGAAAGATAGTACCAATCTGCTAGAGAACCTCGCCGTTAAGGAAGGCGAAGTGACTGCAGTTTTGTCTCAAACTTGGTCGGAGCTGTATTCCTTGCAGAATGAAGAAGATCCTGTTGATGATGAACTTGACCTAGCCAGAGAGATTCTACATCTTTCCATCAAGGGCAAGTCCGGTACCAAACGGGCTTTTGCGAAAGAAGCGGCCGTTAGTAGCCCAATAATTGATATTTCTGACGTACCTTTCAACGATTTACTGTTTGGCACTCCCACAACGTTGTCTTTAAATGTCCAACCACCACTAGATCTCTTTCTCTCCCAGGCTGATATGGGATTATACTCGAAAGTCCATTCTTACCTACTGGCCATTCGTCGAGGCCAAATTCACTTGAGCAATCTATGGAAATTGTCATCTCTTCGAAGAACTTATCCGGCCCCTCCTCTAGCGAACAAACGTGGAGGCCAGGCAAGATGTCAATCAAACCGGGAACGGGCTCTTACCCGAGCTGCTGCAATTAGACCTGTCTGGATCACGGCAAGCAGAGCACTTTTTATTCTGTCAGAGCTTACAGGCTATATGCACGGGGAGGTTATATCGAACTCGTGGCAACATTTGAAGCAATGGCTTGACGAACTTCGACCAGTATCCATCCGTGACTCGCGACCAGGAACGGCAGCCTCCGCAGCTTCCCAGCGCGAAATTTCAGCTGCAACCTTTCAGCCAAGTAACCTAGATAAGCCCCAAACACAGAAAGAGAATCAGCGTCCGCAGCATGACCCAGAAACGATCACAGCAGCCCACCGCGCGCACTTGATATCTATTATCCAATCCGTATTCCTAACAGATGTACCATTTACCCGAACACTTCGCACTCTCCTCAACGCCATTGACCATTTCATCGCCATGATCATCCGTCTCGAGACCGTACAGCAAAACCTAGACCTGGAAACTGACGAGGGCGTCGTGGATTCCCTAGCCGACTACGCTGCGGAAGACAAGAGAATAATGCATGACCTACGCCTAGCAAGGGCTGAGGTCGACAATAACGTGTCGGATCTCATATCCCGACTGCGGGATATTGACGATAATCGTCTTGGAGATGGCAAGCGACCGTTTGATCTGGGTCAAATTAATGTTGTTGCTAGTAATATAAATGGAGATGGGAGCATAAACCTGTTTGGCGAGGGCGCTAGTGCATTCGTACCTTGGAAACCCGCTGGGGTGGATCAATTGCTGATGAAGTTGGACTTTTTCAGTTCAAGCCAGAAAAGCGATGTCGACGGATTTGAATTCGAGGCACCGTTAACTTGAGAGAACCTTGTTGTTACGGCTTGGGGCTGAGTTGTCGCTGTGTGATCATGAAAGGTTGCATGACTATATCCCGCCGCCTTCCTCCTTCACATTTCACTGTTCTTATGTTCTTTACGATTATGAGCTTCACGTATGTGGCGTTTGCATTTTATTCGGGGTTTAGATTCGGAATCTCCCTAGACAAAATAGTTGGTAGATTCATCGCATAGCTTGAGGATCACGGATAGGGGGAAACATTGAAACCTTAATTAATACTGCCACCTGCTCTACCACCCTCAAAAAGAAGAACCTTAAAACTTTCGACTATTAATGATGCAACTATCTACTCAGCGTCAGCTATCATTTTGAGATGCCGCGCTCTACCCTTTTAAAGGATTTTGCATGAAGTTTTGCCAAAAGACGGAAGTCTTCAGGTATGAGCATCATAAATTACGCGCTATTATATATATACTGAGGCAATCTAATCTAACAAAATAAAATCTCAAAACCAAGCATCAAAATACCTCAGCTACCTAGCTAATCACATAAAATATATATATATATAACAAGCAGGGACGATCACACGATATACACGAATTGGCCGTCATTGGTGTTTTTCTCCCTTACAGCCCTCGACAAGCCAGCTGAACCTGAACCTGAGCCAGAGGCAGAGTTAAAGCCAGAGCCACGTCCCATCAACCCTGCAGCCTCCCCTTCAACCATTTCAATCTCATCAACATGCACATGTGCATCCACCGCGCCTGCACCCGCTCGCGCTCTCTCATTCTCCCTCTGCAACAGCACTCTCAGCACCAGCGCCAACGCCGCCACCAACAGCATGAACAATGCACAGACGGCCATGCCCCGTACATACCACGGCCCGTCTGCGCGCGGATACAGCCTCGTGCCAACAAGCGGCCCGCACTGACCAATGATATTCAGGATTGCCATGCCGGTTCCCTTGGCTTCTTTCGCGGGTTGGTTGTCCATTGTCCACGTGACGATTATGGTGATGGAAGAGAAGAATCCCGCCGTAGCAGGATAAATGGCTATGTATCGAATGAGGATTTGGAGGGTGGAGGAAAGATGGGAGTGGAAATGGCCTGCTAGCGCGATTGTTAGGTAAGCGGTGGCGCTGATGAGAGCGTGTGTTATTAAATAGGGACTGCGGGAACGGTGTCGGTCAGAAAGAGAGCCGGTGAGGAGGACGACTAGAAATGAAAGTATGTATGGCGGGGCGGACAGGGCTTGGGAAGTTAGGGCGGAGTAGCCCATGCTGTTGTTTGATGAGGGTGGTTAGTTGCTGAATGCTCCTGGATACAATTGTTGCAAGTGGGAGAGACGAACTCTTTCATAATTGTGGGGAGGAAGACTGGCATTGAACTGAATGCGACATTGCAGCTGAAGAACATAAACTGGAGGAGCATGGGAATGTGTCAGTGAGTCAGTAGAGCAGAATTGTTAGCAAATGAGGCAACCCAGAACTTACCGCAGTGAGATACGACTTGGGATCGCGCAGTGTCCGGCCGATATCACTCCACTTAAACCGACGTTTACGGATATTTTCTCTATCGCTCATTTTCAAGCGCATCTTTGCAACTTTCCTCTCTCGAGGCGTGAGATACCGAGCTTTACTAGGGCTATCGGGGACATAAATCCACGCAAATACAGCAACAATTACACTTGGAAATCCCTCGAAGAGCAACAATGCGCGCCATGGAGCGACGGGCCCATGTTCGCTTAGCTTCACAATAGCCCATGCTAGGGTGCTGGCGAAGGAAGTTGCAAGCGGCGCTGCGGATATAAACATCCCAGTGCGATAAGCCAGTTCCTCGCGTTTGTAGAAAAATGACAGGAAGAACGGAAGGCCTGGGCCAAAGGCAGCTTCAGCAATACCAAGGAGCGCCCTTAGAAGCACAAGGGCCCAGAATGAGGAGACGAGAGATTGACATGCGGCAATAAGACCCCAGGAGAAGCAGCAAATGGAGATATAGACATGTGCAGGGACGACTGTATACATAAGTGTCATCCATTCAAAACAAATATATGTGATATAAAACGACGTGAGAATCCATTCAAATTGCGGAGACCCCAGTTTCAGAGCTTTTTCCATTCCTGCGATCCTAGCGTTTCCGATATCTAGAAGGCACATTAGACCTTAGAAGATGTGATGCTTAAAAGACCAAGATGAGAACTCACTGGATCGATCAACAAAGGACAGCATATACAATAGTGCCATAAACATGGTCAACCGCAGATCGAACTTCTTGACCACACGCCTTTCTTCTTCAAGAGTATAACTCTTTAAGGTAGGTTCATCTGTATAGCTATATGCTTCCGCTTCTTTCGGTGTGCAGTCTTCGCTATTATCACTCATGTCACTCCCGTAGGCACGATGCTCCAATTTTCGAGACTCTGCGAAGCTTTCATTATGTTGGTCGCTATGGAAATTGGTTTGAAGTCTCCCTAGTTCGGAAAGATGCTGTTCCCGGTGAGAGGACTGCGCATTCCCTTCTCTCGACCCTGAACTTCCATCTTCTGGAGTCAACAGGAAGTTCGAATGACTCGAGGAGTTTGTGGACGAAGTATCCCCAACAATCGAAGAGGAGACTGTATTTATGAAACCGGAAGGAATAGAGGAGCGGTTTTCAATGTTCAGCATGGTAGTGACATTCTATGGAGTTGCAGGGCTCCGTGGGATACCGGGGACATAGGGCGCCGCGAATAGCCAACCGTGCTGAAAGGTTCCTACTTCATGGGATAGATGAGCCCGAAATATTTAGTTTACTCATGAGGCTAAAATCGACAAACTGCCCCAAGGTTTAGGGGAATCCACAAACATTTGTTCTCATGGCAGAGATGCAAAGAGATTGAGATCTCCCTTGTGCTTTGGCATTCGATCCAGATCACGTGAATAAACCAGTCTCTTTTAACTATCCAATCAACTGTGACACCATCTTTTGATGTGAGCTACCTTCTACCATGATGAAGGGCCAAAGCTTCATTTTCGACATTCATCTGCAAAGTTGCTCGACTCGGGATTGAGGGTCGAGACAGGAAATGTGGAAGCGGCCTGCAATTTGTTTACCCAAGCTTGCTGGTGGTTTTCGGGCTTTATTTCCAAACATCAGACGAACCTCTCGTCCAGCATTGCTCCCTCAAGAGCGATCCATAAGCCATTCCAGTTCGTCTTCGCCTTTGCTATCCAGCTCCTTTCGTTGACGAATGCTAATATATGCCATTTTTAACGTAGTTGACCATGACGACCTTTTCAGGTATTCTTCAGGCAGGTGGCTGGTAGATGAGAAACAACAACTAGAGCAACGCTTTGTGAAATTCAATGTTGAACGCCTTTGCCGCGAAGCGGTCTCGTTGTTCAGGGATGCAACAAAATGTGTGCGTGTGGTTAAGGTAGAAGGGAACTTTAACAAAGCGTTCCTCCTCACAATGGACGATGGCAGCGAAGTTATCGCAAAGCTTCCATGTCGAAATGCGGGTACGCGCTCGCTGATAACGGCGTCAGAGGTGGCTACTTTGCAGTTTTGTACGTCTTTTGTGCTCGTTGTTCTATGATTCTTGAAACTGATATTCTCGTCTTCAGTGAAATCTCGTACCTCGATACATGTTCCGGAAGTATTCGCCTGGAGTGCAGACCCGGAAAACCCAATAGGCTCGGAATATATTCTTATGGAGAAGATCCAAGGGGTTGCACTGGCTGAAAAATGGGGGACAATGCATCTGCTGGAACGCTACAAAGTAATTGACCAAATCGTTGAAATGGAAAAGGAACTGGGAAGCCTGGAATTTCCTGGCTTCGGAAGCTTGTATCTACGAAATTCTTTACCTTCTAGATGTCGTCATTACCCGCTCCCCTTGGATTTAGATCCTAACGGATTGTATTGCCTCGGGCCGTCATGTAATCAACAAAGGCGGGATAATGACCGCGCCAAAATGTCTGGTCCATGTGAGTTACGTTCTCTCCTTCATACCTCGATATCTTTTCTGACTTTTTGAAGGGCCATCTTTTTTGGAGTTTGCACTCTCTATTCCACAGCGGGAAATGGACTCCATTGGTGACCCGAAATCTGAATTACATCATGATGATCGATTCGGCGAGAGACCGTCTTTGAATGAGTATAAGCTCCTTTTGCAAAAGGCGATAGATATCCTTCCTATTTTATCACGCGATCCGCGTGTGATAGAGGTGGCAGGACCTACCTTATGGCATACTGATTTGCATTTGGGAAATATTTTCGTTTCACCTGACGACCCTACTACTATTTTAGGAATAATTGATTGGCAATCATCTCAAGTCGGCCCTTTTTTCATCCAAGCTCGATTTCCAGAGTTCCTTAAGCCGCCGAAGCATTACTATCCCGGCACCAAATTACCCACATTACCGGATAATTTTGATGACCTAGATTCGGAGCGAAAGGAACAAGCTACTAAGGAAAATATTTTGGCATCGCAGTCCAAGTACTACGAGATGTCCAGTCTGGCGAACAATAAACGGGTGTACGATGCTTTGAAGCTTGACCGCAGGATATGGGAGCCCTTCACATGTTGCCGGCGGTTCTCCAATGGCAGCATGGTTCCGCTACGTAACTCTATGATACGCATTTCACAGGATTGGACTCTGCTTGGACTTCCGGGTAACTGTCCTTTATCGTTTACTGAAGAGGAGTTAAGAAGGCATAATGAGCAGGCGGTGCAGTACCAAGACATGCTCTACTTGTGGGATATTGTGAAGACCCAACTCTCTACTGATGACTCCGGCTGGGTCCCAGTGGAGCGATGGAAGAAAACAAATGAGGTAAATAGAAGCCTCTTTGACATGTATGTTGAAACTATGAGTGAAGAGCTATCACCAGATGTGGCATTGAAAATATGGCCATTTCCGCCCAAGGATCTTTGAGCAACTTTTGCAGCGTGTTCAAAGGTTATTCTTTGCCTTTTCAATCAGTTCTAACACAACACGCTTTCCTTCCTCTGGTTGCTCTTCTGATATATTCCTTTTGACCTGGGCCGTTGTGAGCTTCCCATGTGGATTCTTCTTCGGCCAATCTTTGCAGGCATGCGATCTCTACCAGGTGTGAAATTTATATGTGACGAAACTGAGCCAACTTGCACTTTCTGTGACAGATAACTCTTGTGGTGTATGCAGGAATAACTGACTGGTGAGTTAATCGCAACTGCGCCTCATGTTTGACGGACAACTAGCTGCGTGTTTTGAGTAATATCAGAACAGCCTAGGATTTATCCAAAGGAGTAAGGGTATTCATGAAGAGAACGATAGCCTGCATCGGACGCTCCTAGACATAAGAGAAGATTTAAAGGTTCACGATACAAGCTTGACCACTTGCACCAGGAAATGCCCAGCAGTGATGTCGAGATATGTTGCACCAGTTCATAGCCCTTGAACAATTGTTCTGGATTTTAGCAATCCCAGGCGAAGGATTTTCAAAGCTTTTTTTGGCAATGCTGAAGAATATGGGGCGGGAAGTCGTCTCTAAGAATCCAAGGTCATTATCCTGGATAAAATCATAAGAACAAAAAAAAGGCCAAAAAATGTAGAAAAATGGATGGCTGATAATCCGATGTTGAGAGCATAGCAAGATTTTGAGCTGTTCGATTTTAGCGGTTATAAAATTTAGTCAGATACCGTTTGAAGAGCTGATTGGTCTCTTTAGAACGGCTATCTCAGATCAGTCGATCCTAGCGCAAAGTTGGAGTTTGTATATTAGCAGTATATTTTAACGTTGACCCAACTGCCCGAACAAAAATGTCATCATCATACAGGAAAATATCGAAAGCTTAATACCAAAAAGGGGGTTTGCACGCGATTCTCATGTTGAAGGGGGTGAAAAAAACCCGGGGAATTAGGTAATCGTGTGCAGTGAATAGATCCTTCCTGCTGTACTACCACCAACAACACATCGCTTCTATGGACTCCATTCTGCTTTTCCTGATTGACATGACAGCCAGACACCATCTATTCTTGAACTGAAATCTCTCTTCTACTTTGCGCTCTTGTTAGCTTTGTCGCCCATCATGGCGACTGTCTCCCTCACCCAACCTCCAACTTTCTCAGAAGTCGCTCGGAAACGTCGTTTGATGAGCCGGTCGGATGAAGAAATCGAGGACAATATAGACATACGAATCCAGTACAGGACAGGGTGGCCAAAGCTCGCCCATCTCCCTTTGAAGACCGTATACGAAGGCAACCCTGATGCATTCTTTCCAGATCGGCAAACCCATATTTCACAGATCATCACTATCCTCAGAGCACAGCAAATCCCTATAAGCTCCATTTCCGTCGTCTACCGCGTGCCGTATGGTGGCGACAACAGCAACAAGTTAGACGAAACTACTGCCACTTTACTTATCACCACGTTCCCCGACAGTGGCTATAATAGTTTTGTCGCAACACGAGAAATTCGGAAATATCTCAATAGTCATGAGATACATGTTTTAATTGAGATCATTGATGAGAGAGCTTTAAAGCCAAGCGTCTTTCCCATTCTTCCTTCTGATAAGGAGCTTATCAGCATTTGGAACGAGAGGTTGAAACAGGCAACAATCGATATTCTGAAAGCCAGTTGCTTGAAGGTAGTCTCAATCAGTGTGTTTCGTTACGGTTTAGATCTCGACCCTGAAAAATGTCCGCCTACTGTTATGATTTCCGCATTGGATGCTGAAGCGGACGCGTGGTGGGCAACTATCTTGCCTCGCATACGCTCTATCTGTCAACCTGCCTTTGATGCCACAGTAATCTACGGGGATCAAATCACCATGGGTTCTAATGAGCTAGATATGAATACCATGGAAAGGCCGTTCGCTACTTTTGATTTTTCTAACTTGACAACCATCAAAATGGGAGCTAGCTGCGGACCTATTGGAGGGACTTGGACTGGGAGTATGGGAGGCCTAGTACGGCTTGAAAAGGACGGTGAGGATATGGGCGTGTTCGGCCTATCTAACCACCATGTGGTAAGGTCTGATAGCTTAGAAGCTGGTAAGTAAATAGCCCTTAGGGTTCTTCTATAAAACTTTCATTTCTATGCTCTATGCCAGATTTAGTTGGCTTTCATAGTTTGCTAATCAGATGCCCGGCAGTGACGGAAAATAACACCCCACTTCGTCCCACACATTCTTCTGTTAAATCGATGTCATTTCTTATCACGTCACCGAGTGACCGCGACACGGATCTGATACTCCAAACTACTGAGGCTGGAGTTGATGAATTGAAGAAAGTATTAAAAGGCAGGCCTGGTACACTGGGTCTTGAAGCAATGGCTGAGATGGGTGATTTCTCCAAAGCTAAATCGCTTGAAGCTGTTCAAGATCGTCTTGCCCGTGCTGAACATCGAGCATTGACAATAAAAGATGCGAACAGAGTACTTGGGAGTGTGTACGCCACCTCTGGTTTTCGTTTTTTATCAACCCAAGAGGGCAACTACGCACTGGATTGGTCATTAACAAAGATATTACCATCTCGAAGTTTTGATGATACCCCGTCAGTTGGGGCTCCTCACCAACTTTTAGAATCAATGTCAAATGCAAAAAGTTTCACAGACAAGATACACGGTGGACTGACGGTGGCGAAATTTGGCAGGTCTACGGGTTGGACAGAAGGGAATGTTAGTGCGATAGAAACGGTGTTTTTGAAAGGTGAATCTAAGTACACACATGATGTCCTCGCGTGGCCTGTGGCGCCTTTACATCGGCACAAATATGACTTTGCTACTCCGGGAGATTCGGGTGCGGTGGTGGTTGTCTCTGACGAGTTTGCTGTGGATTGTGGGTGCTGGGTGGGTTTGCTATTCGCCGCAAATTTGGCAGCAGGAACCGGCTTTTTTGTTCCGATGAGCTTGGTCCTTAAGGACATTTCTGAGATAACTGGCTGCCAGGTTGTTCAGCCCAGTAAATGTGCTTTTGACGATATATGATGGTTGTAGGTGAATACCTAGAGTAAATGATATTAATAAATAATCACAATCACAATCGCAATCATGATCGATGATAGCATCTTACGGGCCATCCATCATCCCTAAGAGCGTACTGCAAAAAGGGGCAAGAGACAGGGCAATAGAATGAAAGACTACGGACGAATATTGCCATTGCGAAAATCGGTTTGCCATTTTAGCCTTTATTCCTAAATAAATCCCAGCCAACCTTTCCCACATTCTTCAAGAAAAGCGCCATATAATCCCGCCAACAAGATATGTGTCCATTGTATTTTTCAAAGCACCACAACACCAAATCCAGGACGTCAAACACATGGAAGGAGTCTTGACAGCGCCTCTTTGTACAAAATGGGCATGGCCAGTAGACCTCATACGAGGGTATTACTACGCAATTTACCGTAAACCTCCTTCAGTATGGACGATAGCAATCACCCCTACGTCGAGATGCACGAGCGCAGCGCGACCGAGTCTGAGAAGAGCGCCTCCCATACCGCGATGACGCCGCTGATGAAGCAGCCGTCTTCCCAACACGACTACAATCCACCTCATGGATCTCAAAGGGCCGTTTCCTCCCCCCGCTAAGCGTGATTGCCTTCTCCTTCGCCATCTGGAACGCCGCCTCCAGCGTCGGGACCATGTCGTGCTCCATGTTGCGGGCATGCAAATAGTTGAGGGCGTTTTCAGCAGTGTCACGGAGAAATTTGGCGGCGCGGGACTTTGCGACGACGTCGCTTTCTGAGATCAATTTGTATTCCCTCTGTGCGTTGGAGAAGGTTGTTAGGATGCGGGAGAGGCTATCTTTGATGGTTTTGAGCTCCGTTGCGTTGCTGAGAGGGCCGTTCTCGTCCTTATCCTCGTGGGTTTGGGCTTGGGCTTTGCCGTTTGGGATAGCTTTCGTTTCGGGAAGGGCTGGGATGCGGGCAATGGCTTGCTCGTTGTTGGTGCGAGTTGCTAAAATAGAGAGAACAATGTTTAGTATATGGGGCTGCATATTTAGTTTTTGATTTTATTCTCCGCTTCTCGTTCTCAATCTACAGCGAAATGATTTGAGTGAAATTTTCTAGGCAAAATGTCTCAAAACATACCATTTACCAACAAGCTCTTAACAGCCACATGTTTGACAACCAGGGCTTCAAGGTCGGCAGTTTCAACACCCTTTATTCCCATAATCTCCTCAAGGAACAACTGGATCGCACCCATATAGCACGTTCCAGCACCCTTCTCAGACAACTTGAGCAGAGCTTTATCATAAATAGTGATCTGGCCATCTTCCAAGGCCTGTGACCGCGTCTTGACCAGGGACACATGGTGTTCGAGCACTTCATAGAGAAGACGGAAGAGATCTGAATTCTTGACAAACTCTGACAGCATCGGTTTCACAGAAGAAGCATCGCCGTACTTCTCAGCAACGGCAAAGGACTCCTGGTCCAGCCTGGCGTTGGCGTTGTGGGTTGAGTGTTGTCCATTGGCGAGCTCAGGGCCATCGTACATCGCGTGACCGGGAGACATGACGAGAACAGAAGGGGGTGATGGGATGATGGGATCTTCTATGCTGATATTTGCGTCTTCGATTCGAGGATGTCTCGTTCTCAAGATAGGGGGTCTCAGTGGCTTTGGACTTGGACTGGGTGTCAAAACAAGTCTCGAAGAATGTTATTGAAGCCGTATGGCGCGAAGAAAAGACGTTGATGTAGGAGAAGATAGACGCGCTGAGATCAAAACAGACCTCTATGGATGGGGGTGTGTGTGTGTTGTGAGTTAATATAACCATTGGTTATGCGGCATTGAGTCTTGAAAGCTTTTAGATGCTAGACTTGTTTGTTGAATAAAGAGGAAACAGAACCAGAATTAACATCGCAGAACTTTTCCTATCTGCTTTGACGCAACAAAGTCCAGAGAGTCTCAATCAAAGGAAGAGCATCTCCATGACAAAAAGGACTTCTAGTAGCAATATTGCTGCCACCAGGTGGTCTAGGATCCGTAGCCATAATTTAGCAGAGTTAGGAAAAGTAGAAACTCTTCAGCCGAGAAACTCATTAAGAGGAGTGTTATGCAATATGCTCAACAGGATTTATTGAATCAATGAAATATCAACAACTCCTCAGTGGATTGCCTCGCAGTTGGATATATAAAGATTCCTATTCAGCAAAGTACAAGAAGAAATAGCCTTGGAGAGATATAGTCAGGTGAAAAAAATCTCCTGTTAGAAAAAAACAAAGAAAGGAAAATATTGTGACAGGGCATTCAACATCATTCATGGATTAATGCACATGGTATAAATATAGAAGATAATAAAAGGAAACACAGTGTACACAACCAATTATAGGATCATATTTTAACACAAAGGGTTTACTGACAGTGCGCATGAGGAATGGTCGAGATGTTCGATTCAAGAACCATATCACAAAGGATATCGAAGGTAGGCGGAGCTACGCTAGCGTAGGATGGTTTTTCTTTTCTTTTCTTTTCTTTTCTTTTTTGTTATTTTAGTTACCCCGACTGTCTTATCAATGTTTCCGAGCCGTTGTTATAAAGACTGTTGATTTCTTCAACAAGCGAGGAGACCTCGCCTCCACGCGATTGGCAATCTTTCCACTGACCACCGTCACGAATACACCACGTTTTCTTATTGACGCGAACGGTACAACTCGTTTGGATCCCCAGCGCAGCATTGCGAATGAAATCGGACCTGAGCAGCGCAAGGCCGCTGGCTTCACCCGAATCGTGGACGCCGATACGTTTGGTGTCCTCTTCATCGGCTTGGCGACTGAGGCAGGCATTGAGAGCGTTGAAGTCAATGCCGAACTCCAGAGCGCAGCTTTCAACCAATGCTCGCTCAGGTATCTTCTGATACGAAGATAACAAGCAGTTGGCAAAACCAAGCGAGCGCACGACCGGCGTTGTATTATTATACGCCTCTGAGCTGGGAGGGAACGGGAGGTGAGCGGCGCAAAGAATAATCATGTCACCAAGACACTCCTCCGGTCCGTGCATGCACATTACATCTGAGGATTCATTCGACGCCCTAGTTGGGTTTAGATTAGCACCGTCGGTAGAATGATAAGAAACAAGGATGTTTGGCAGAGAAGAGAATATGTGTTCTACCTTCCTATAAAGGACAATCGGAAATCAACTTTATGATACACTTGAGCCATAGCTGGGACAATAAGTTTATCAAGACAGTAGCTAGCATCGGGGCATTTGCTCATAATGTGTGCCTCCAGGGGAACCCGACCGCCTACAGTCCCCTGGCCGTGGTTACGATAGCTCCCTCGGAGCGGCCAAACTGATTCCACGGTTCCGCGCCCATTCCTAAACATGTCAATATATCCAGCTGGCAGTGGCAGCCTGCGCATCAAGGCGAATAAAGTCATGGAAATGCATGATAAAATTAATGAGCGGCGGATGAGCTGGTATGCTCTGCGTCGAAATGAGGAGCGCCGTGGCCTGGCTGGATAGTCCATGTGGTTCTCGCGGATCTGCTCGTCTTGTTTTGTTGCGCTCTGTCCTGTATGTTTAGGATTCCGTATATAATCACAGCACCGGACTTCCAAGGCAGCAAAGCAACTGGCGGATAATTCTCGAAAAGGGCCTCACTGCGTAACTACACTGACTGAATGCACTTAGTCTAGATAAAAGCAACCCGTGGACTGGAGATGTTGCCAAGCCACGTGACCGGTCTGGTGATCTAAGCTGCTCTTAGAAGCTTCGCTCTCATTGACAGGTTTCGCCGGGAGAACCCATTGGCATACTAGTACTCGTACTAGTAGGTACGAAGGATAGCAAACGTATGTCCACTTTACAATAGTTAACCCAAGGAATGATATCGGCTGGCTGGAGAAAATCCTTCAAAGATATACTCGCTTTGTATCATGAGGGCCGGTATTACAGAGTTGCCCGGCGGCTTGCATTCCGCCCAGTCCCAGCGAGAGGACACTTAAGTTACAGCATTCCTATCATCGTCATTTTAGAACCGAACCGATACAGAAATAAAAAGCCATCTAGCTATCCTAGCCGGGTGAACAGGATATCGGGTCTATTCGCCTGCATGAAATCTGCTAACTGCTGCCGAGTGATGACAAAAAAGGGGACGGAAAAACTGGAAATCCAGTGGTGGAGTTTCCAGTATTGCTCCCATCTCCCAGGGGTGGGCGATCCAGGGATAGCCCACGAGAACGTTCTAAGCATTCCCGATATTTTTCTTCCTTCTCCTCTACTTCAGCTGAGTGTACTTTCGGTTGAGGTGAAAAAGGTGAAAAGAGGGCTTCCATAGATATATGTAGATAGCTCCAGCAATTGAGAATATAGGACAGCGAACTAACCCGACCGGATCAACCTCGAAATCCAACAGCAATCACCCGCGGCAATCAGTTCAAGTCCTTTCCAGAGAGAATTGGAGAAGCTGCCGAAAACAAAGCCTAATCAGCATGTGGAGTGTTCGCGAACGAGGTGGCTTGGGAAAGGCAGAATATCTCCGCCAAATCACGCAAGACTAAGCGTTTTTATCGTCAATTTAAAAGCGCCCTGTTGATCCAGCCAAAGGTCCATCGCGATGGTTTGAAACGAACCGAGGTGACATCCACGCGGACGGACGATAATCAGAGCAGGCGGCAGGGAATTTGTTCTTGCAGATCAGCGAAGCCGGGGCCCAGGGGTGAATCCGGCAATCACTACCGAACCATATCCCACCGGGGGCCGCTGAAACGGGCAGATCAATGATGACGATAAAACATGGGTATCGCGATCAGGTGCAACGGAGCATCCGTCAATTTCTTGAACCTCATGCTTGGTACTTAATCCTGGCTAGTATTGGAGCCCTTGACGGCGATATCGGGGGCCCCATGTAGTGATCTCTGCACGACTTGCATGCCGCTAAATGATGATTAAACTGCTCTACAGGGCTACATAGCACATGCAAATGTATTCACGGTCCGCAGCTGATATCCGAACATTCAGTTGAACGTGGGTTCAAGGAAGTTGAGCACGATTTCTAAATCTCACTCAGGAACCTTTCCTCATTTTTGTTACACCCGGCTAACCCTAAGCCTACCATGTTTATCTCCCATGCACCATTAGTCCTATCATTCTGTCAATGTTGGTTCACGTCCGCAACCGTTTTACGCTGTAATCCATGTGGGGTTACAGTTGAACATGGTTTGGGATCTCGACCAGAGAACCCGCGTCAGTGGTAGAACCATCAAGACCACACAATCCTTCATTAAAAATGCGCAAAACCGCGCTGACTAGTCACTCTCAACCCATCCTTGACTTGAGGGATGTGTATTTTTATCTGTCAGGGGCACACGGGTGTTAGTAATATAGTGGATACCCATGTCCCGCGCTGGCGTTGTTGAAGTTCGACACAGTAATGCGTATAGCTCATGTATGTTTGTACAGTACAGTGCAACTCTCTGCTCCCAGAAAAACCCTTGGGTGTGATATATATAGGATCAACAGCACTTCATTACCTACTCCAGTTCGTATCTTTCAGGGGCCCCTATTGAAAATAACACCCGCGTTCCATGTAGTTAGGGGCTATATGGGGTGTAGGGTTCGCGATACGGTTGGAGTAGCGGTCTCCATAAAACCACGTTTATCTGTAACCCCTCCCTTCATGTTCCTTTGGTTTTTTGGATTTGCCTGAGACAGAGGTCTGTCGAACAACCATCATGCGATTCTCTCCTGATAGAGACCTTAGGCATCACCGCGCCTCGAAACACTGTCATGTTACTTCTGAATCCTTCTCAAGATCTTTCAGACAAAGCAGCAACACCGTGTGACTTCCATCAGCCTATTCGAGTCCATTTGTCTGTACTGCATGTACAGTACAACGGTAGCGAGCATAGTTTAGCGGACTGTTTTGACTGAACAGAGCCCTCAATTGGCCAAATCCGAACAGCGAAATCGAAGCCGCTAAAAGATTCTCGAGGCCAGACGAAAGAACTCAACACATGTTGCACACGAGGTTAGCCAATCAGTCACTAGCCAAGGCGCAATCGCTTATTTTTCATTGGAGCTTAGGTAGAGTTTCGGAGGGGCCAAACACGCCGTAAGCATGGGCAAGTTTGGTGGTGGAGGTTGGTTGTGGTTGTGCTGCTGCTGGCAAAACAAAACCCGTACGTGCAAGGAGAAATCAGGATGAACAAATAAATAAAATAAACAAATAAACAAATAAACAAATGCAAGATAAAAATAGGAAGCTCTGCTGGCGGGTTGTGTCTATATGTAACATGGCCATCGCGGGGGCAAGCCTGGCTATGTTGCATTTTAGATGCCTGGGGACTGGGGACTGGGGGCACTTGGTATTTTTGCCCGCAGCCCCCGGAGGACTGTGACCGCAGAACAAGATTCCGATGCAAAAACAAAACAAAAGCTAAACAGAAAAAGTCAATCATGCGTGTCGCGATGCTGCCCGGCCGTGTCCATGGACGTTACGTCGGTCGCTCCCTTCGAGCTGTGTGGTCAGTGACCCAGATAAGCATTCTGCTGGTAGCGAACAGGCACCGACGGCAACATCTTCGACTTCTCGGAATCCCTCCTCCTCTCCTCCTCTCCCACCAGCTCCTTTCCGTGCCCTCTTCGCTTCTCCCCAGCTGGCCCTCCGTTTTTGCTGTCGCGCTGTTCTCCCTGCGGGTGCAATTGGCCTGGCTCGTGTCTCGGTCTGGTGTGTGAGTGAGGGCGCCCCATCTGCCTCCATAGGGTCACATCGGTGTAGAAAGTTGCCATTCCCCATCTCTTGCAAGGTCGTATCCGCCGACTGATTCCCTCCGGTCTGCCCTTCCTGCTTCCTAAACGGATTGAAACGATCGTTTCACGTCGATGTTCCATATCCGCATTAAATACTACCTGTCCTCGCTGTTTGATCTCCTTATCAGCCAGAGTTCGACCAAGTCAAAAACGCCCCTCCGTCAGAAGTGTAAACACAGTGCCTCGACAGCCACAATTCTCTCAACCCCACCTGGGCACCATCAATCCTTTTTGCTCATTGTCGGTCTGGAGATTTACATCCGCGTCACTTGCAATTCAAGCCTGTTTCTGCTGTGGAACACTTTATTGCGTTTCCCCCAACTCCCGGACTCGCGCCCGTCAATCCCCTCGTTGCAATAAGTTGCAACAACCCCCGCCTTCTATTTTTCCGGATTCCACCTCTCCTCCTCATTGCTGGACATATATCGCTTGAGAAAAGGCACTACCTACGGCAATATTGTCACCCCTCCATACAATTTTCAACGTTGCGATTGTGAGATGTCGCAACATAGTGCTATGGATGACCTTGATCATGGCCTGGATTCAGAGTCGTACGATGGCAATTACACTGACCAGGGAATGGATAATGGTTATACCGGCGAACTACACCACGACGACACCACCGACAGATTCCTGCGGCCTCTCATGGTATCCGACAGCACTCTCCATGAACTCGCCTGTCGCTTCCGACATATATACCGTCACCTTGCACTGACATCAGACCAGCAATTTCTACCCACCCCAGTAACGAGGTTACCGACTGGTCAGGAAACTGGGAAGTATTTGGCGATCGATGTTGGGGGAACCAATCTTAGAGTGGCATTTATTGAACTACTGGGCGAGTCGAAGGATAGTGATGCCACGAACTCCAATTCTCCGACATCACGCGATACTATGCAGAGAGCGCAGAGGCAGCGGGTGAATCGGACATTAGAAAAGATATGGCCTATAGGGGAACATCTGAAGCAGGACAAAGCCGAAGATTTGTTCTTGTGGATTGGAGATTGCATAGCAGAGGTGGTAGCGGATAGCTTAGCCCCGAATTTGGCCAATGGAACCCCTATCCCCGCAGAACTCGAAATGGGAATCACGTTCAGTTTTCCAATGATGTAAGTGCTGTTTGTATAGATTTCCCATATATTTTCCTTTCGAATGATGGTCTTCTTGTAGAGTTGGATTCGACGCTGCCCCACTCTGGGAACAATGACTTGATTCAATACTAACCACGACTAGGCAAGAGTCACTCTCTGAAGCGCGGCTTATGCCAATGGGAAAAGGTTTTGCTATAACTTCAAATCTTGATTTAGGCGGTATTTTGTTGGCAGGCTATGACAGGCATACGAGACGGCCGCTGGAAGAGGAGGGGCAGTCAGCGAAGCGACGGAAACGTTTTGCATTGCCAAAACTAAAGATCGCGGCAATCACTAACGATACAGTTGCTACACTAGCATCACTGGCTTATCTGGTGAAGTCCCTACCAAACAGCCGTGTTGCGATGGGTATAATTGTCGGAACTGGTTGCAATGCCACGATCCCCATGAGTTTGAAGGACCTGCACGAGTCAAAGGCAAAACACGTTTCATCTCGACATCCGGACGCTATGGAAACTATAATTAACACTGAATGGACCATTAACGGTGCTGCGCCCCCTCTCCGTGAGCTGAACATCACCACGAAATGGGATACCATATTAGACGAGGCCTGCGCTAGACCTGGCTTCCAGCCTTTCGAGTACATGACTGGCGGCCGCTATATTGGCGAACTGGTCCGGATTATATTTTACGATTACCTCACCAACTTTGTTGGGCTCTCAAAGAAGGAACTGCCAGCGAACCTTATCCAGGAATACGCACTCTCCACCACGTACCTATCATCGTCTGTTGCCCAAATACAGTCCGACCTCGAGCTGGTCCGGTATCTGACAGAGACTTTGCCCCCACCCGAATCCAGCGACTGGAGCTGGGATCTCAATTCCGCACGGGCATTTAGGAAGGTCGCCCAGGCTGTCCAGACCCGGTCTGCAGGGTTAATCGCTGCTGCTGTTATTGGCCTGCTCGCATGCAAGGGGGAACTCAAACTCCGCGATTACAACGACCCAACTCCGCGCCAACACTCAAACTTCATGGCTTCATCCGTTAATAATGGAGCCTCCCCTAATGATATTGTACACGCAGTAAACTCTAAACTAGCTGCCCATAGTGCGGCCGCTGCTGCTAAGGCTGGCAGCGACGGCCACATTGTTCCTATCGTCGAGTCCGTGCCGTCTAACTGGCAATCTGGGCCTGAGGAACTAGTCGTCGCATACACCGGCGGCATTATTCAGCGGTACCCGCGTTTCAAGGAGACGTGTCAGCAATTCATTGACAGGTTGGTGATTTGGGATGGACCGCAGGAGAGCGGCAAGTCGGTGTTTCTCCGGGAGGCGTCAGATGGTGGCATTATTGGAGCTGGCGTCTTAGCTGGGATGCTTGCCTCTGGAAACCGATGAGGAGGAAGGTATATAGCATGGGAAAGTTGCCCAAAGAGGGGATGTTCTAGAGCTGTTGATGGTTTTAGCCAGACGCGGAGACGTTTGGAGGCATGGCGGACTGGATGCACATGAACCAGCGAACTTGGTGGCTGGGGTGATCTGATTGAACTCCCTCGTCCCTTTTTTACGCTATACTTTCACGTTTCCCTTCCGTCCCCCTTTCCCCGATTTCCCCCTTGTACCTATGTCCTGCCGCGACCCCTCTTCCCCCCAACAGTTCCGTATTCTTTCTCAAAAGTTGGCAAAATCATGAAAGGGCTAACTAAATTAGTTGTCTTTTTTTAACATCTATTATTTCTTATGTTTGATAACAGCATAAAAGCCCCCAAATCCTATTGAATTTTCTGTTTCCCCTTAGGGCTATTTTCTGCTCTTTCATCTTTTTGCAGCAACAAGGGCGTTGTAATTAATATCCCGCTCCTTGCACCATGTTTACTTTCCATCGTCTCTTTCCTTTTGACCTCTTTCGTCTTTCCATCATATTTTTTTATCCTTTCTTTTATTCCCATTCTGGCGACTTCCGATCTTCATTTTTTTTTCACTTTTGCATTAGCCCCCGTGAAATTACTACCATGATATAGATACGCGTTTTCATCCCTGTTGTTTTTAACCCGCCTGCCATTGCTTTTAATTTTAATTTTATTTTGTTCAAAAAGATCTTTGGCTTGGGCTATTGGAAACGAAAGAGTTGGACGTTTCAATCACGCACGGAATAAAATAAAAAAAAATGACGCAAACCTCGCGAAATATCCTCCTGCAATATATACACACGCCAAAGTTATCCGCAAGGGTGAATAATTGAAAAAAAAAAAAAAAAAAAAATCACCCACTCGAGATAGATAGCGTTACAAATTTGCCAGTTTCCCAAAGGCAGCACCCGGGCCTCCCTCCCGAAAAAACCCCCAGACCATTTTGTTGATCCAATTAGCCTTGGATATCCCGAATGGTGGGCAGGAAGGAATGCGAATGAATGGTATGGTATAACCCATAGATAGGATCCCGGCCCTGTAAATCCAAAGCAAAGAACAGAACCACAAAAAAAAAAAAAAAGGAAGGGTTGTCGAACAGGGCGGTCCGTTAAGCCTTACGTTACGTGGCCCCCATGAGGTTTTCGTTTTCTCATACAGACGATTATTATTATTTTATGGCAAGGGATGGCTTCCTATGCTCTGGGTAGATATGGATCAGCAAGGTCGATTAGGGTGTAACGTATGCTTATGTCAGTTTCATTTTCATTTTTCATTTTGTTTAATTTTTTTTTAAAACATATCTTTACTTTTTGTGCATGAACGATGGAGCGAGCATCCATGGAATGGGAATTATTACCTCACGTTGATGGGTACGTCTGGGTATTATTTGGAACGTGCGGGTTTGTACGTACGGAAAGAGGAAGGAATGGTTTCGTAGAGAAGGAAGTAGAATACGTAGGATTAATTGATGATGTTCGGGGTGGCATGGGGGTAAAAAAAAATAGAAAAAGACAATAAATATATTCATTCAGGAGTCCCCGGGGAGGGGTAGTGGTAAGCAATCTATTTTTGAATATATGTCCCTGTATACCATCACGGCAAGAACAAGGAATGCATGTTACTTTAGCAGCAATGAAGAGCAGTGAACAGCGGCGGGATCGAAATACATGATAAGCCATTTCTACCTAACCCCCATCCTCCCTGCCGCCAAACTCACCATTATTAGATGCCTGCTGCACTCTTTGTCCTTGACATCGCCATTCCTCACCGGCTCAAAAGAGCAGGGTCCAGCGTGCGATGCCTAAGCCCTTATCCTAGGCACATCCGTACCTAATAGATGCTGACCTATGAGCTTTAAAGAGGGCAGATAGGGGGCGTCACGTAAGACGTGGACGTATAGCACCCGGTTCGGCAAGTGGTGGGACATGGCCGGAATCGGGTTATCGTGGGAGTCTCCGAGCATGAGAGGGTTAGACATGGAGTGGTGGAGGTCGTAATGCTGATGCATGGCATGACGATGCATGTCGTCACCGGGCAGGTTGTCTGGTCAAAAGTGGTTGTATGAGTGTAGCAGGGCTTGATGTATCCGGGCGGCGGAGTGATTTGAGCATCTGCGGGAGCGGGGATAGCAGAGCTGTTTAGTGGTTAGTTCCGGAATGGGTTGCGGTCTTTGGAAAATGAGTGATGGAGGTGCCAAGGTGAACAAGTACACATGGAAAAGGAAAGATACGGCAAAAGAAATGCAGTATGTCGAGCATATAAGGAATGTGGTTCAAGGCTTGACCAGGGTCTGTTCAACACACCTGAAAGGTGCCAAAGAGAGAGCGAGCGCGAATAAAACTCCAACGCTTGACTTCATGTTTTCTTTTGAGGAGTAAAGACTTGAAACCTCTGAAATATCCTCCTTTTATGAAGGGGGTTAAGGACTGGAAACCTAAGTTTAATATCGACGATGGTCAAAACATTGAAGATCGAGGGTCAGGGAGCTTTTCTCCTTTTTATCTCTTCGTCTCCGGAAAGGAGTTATTCATTGTCTTTAACAACAGCCCTGGTTAGACCAATGGCTGATCCGGGAATTGGAGGAAATTGTTCACAGAAGATGCTTCGCCCCAGAAGAGGAGAAGGGCATCTTGGATTCAAAACAATCAGCACATTGCAAGGCCGAAACTGCATGGTAGTGGGCATGCAGGGTGGGCATGCAAGATTGGCGAAGTATTTCGTTGTCCATCGCTTGTTCTTAGACACAATCTCCATGAAATGGTTCGTTCGAAACCTCGTGCCAAGAGTGAAATGTCTCAAGAATCCAAATGGCCTCTTGCGAAGAGCTTAGACATTCGGGGTATTTGGTCGATTGACGAAGAAATAAGGATAACCAGACTTTCAAGGCGCCGATCTCTTCGAGGGAATTGGATTCTTCTGCGTAATTGATGTCATTGGAGTATTCACCTCGCTGCCAATAGCAAACCCAACCCAAGTTAGTGGACTGATTTGAAGCAAGATATTCGAAAGAACCGAGCTAATAATGTCTGTTCAGCACTGCCTGGTTTATGGCTCGTATTATTTACTTCACAAGCCAAGCCCTACATATGGCTGATGGAAAAAGCAAGTCTCCGCTCCTCGTGTTTGCTTTTGGGTCTGGTACCTCTGTGGGTGACGCTAAAAATTGTCCAGCAGCATCAGCAAACGGTTGACATTATGTTGGTTCCGAGGACCGACATGCCAGAGAGTAATGAAAATTGAAATGGCTCGCTTTCCCATATTTGACCGTATGACAAAGTCGCTCCATTGCCACAGGGATATAAATTGCTCCAAAAGAGTTTTGGAAATTGAGTGACCAATATATCGTTCCAATGCCAAACTTCATACGCAGTCGCGTCAAAGTTAATCCAAACAAAATGGATTTAGCTGATCGTTTTATGGTCACTGGTTTTCTGTGCAGACAGGCTGCCTTCGCCCATCATCTCCTTCATGTAGTTCTTGCCCACCTAGGGCGACTGTTTTCGCCGTTCTTGTGTGATTGGACTGAATCATAAATCCTGACCTACGTCTCATTTGAATGCCTGTAGCCTCATGGTAAGGTTTCCGCGCAAAGCCATTATTATATCGACGGAGATGCTATTGCTCGATTGAGGGACAGCTGTATCAGTGCCCAACTTCACCGGACAACGGCGTTATCAGAAGGGGAGGGTTCGCGAATTATATAAACCTCGCACTAATAGTTAAATGTATAGTCAAACATTTCTTCTGGCTGCGAGAAATGTTCCTTTTAAATGTGCCTTTTTGCGTTCCGTCTGGAAGCTCTCGAGGTAATGATACTAGACACGTGACATATTCGTAATCACGTGACAAATACATCTGTATGATATATGGCTGTCTCCTCTTGAACCATCCAAAAGCCAGTTCAACCACCTAGCCGAACCGCGACAATGAGTGCTCAGGCATATTACGAGCTTTATCGCGGCAGCAGGTACTGCATGTCACAACTTACTAATTAGTATGAATATCCGCTAACACGCCTCTCTTAGTATTGGCTTGTCTCTCACGGATACTCTTGATGATTTGATCAACGAGGGGCGAATCGAACCTCAGCTTGCGATGAAGATACTGTCAAATTTCGATCGCGTCATTACAGAGGTCCTTGCTGATAAAGTTAAAGCCAGGCTCTCTTTCAAGGTAAGGTTGATACCCATTCCGGTGGCCTGGCTCCTATTTGGTGTTGCAATTTGGCTAATCTCTTTTGGACATTCGTTGAAGGGCCATTTGGATACCTATCGCTTCTGTGACGAGGTCTGGACGTTCCTCATTAAAGATGCCACCTTCAAGCTCGATAATCAGACCACTGTTCACGCGGATAAGGTGAAAATTGTGAGTTGTAATAGCAAGCGCCCGGGTGAGGTATGAACTGGTGCTGGAGCTAGGTTGCCATTTTTGTTTTCAGTCTTCGCAATGTCATACAGGAAAGGCGCATATGGAGTTCGGCATTTTTCTCTACGGAAGTCTTGATGGAAGGCTTGATAGAATGCTTGATGAATGGTAGTAGGCATTTGTCTCCCTTTACTTTTCGAATGTGATTTTACAGGCAAGGGAATTTTTGCGATTTAAACCAGCACAACAGACTAAATAGCTCGTGCCCAATGATACCACCATATTTTCCTTAACCTGACTTAATTCCCTTTTTTTTTTCTTGTGCTTCCTGATACTTTATATGTACAGCGCCACTGGTCCTTTTGTTGCTCTTCTCCTCTCACCCGTTGTTCTCCTCTCACCCGTTGCCTCGCGAAGAGGATAAATGGCTACAGTCTTGTCGTGCTCTTCCACTATGCAAAATACGTAATAATTTAAGCGATCAGATTCGCCAACTGTTAATGAGCAAATAATGAAGCATCAGCAGCAGACGTCCCATTTCGACTCTTGGCATGTCCTGGGATTAAGGTTAGATACGCTAGGCTTCTTAAAGATTAGAGCATAACCACCGTGGACATTCCTCAACCTCCAGTTCCAAGCCTCATCCATTTGTACCCAATCAACCCAGCTACTGAACTCTTCAGAGATTGTTCAGAATAGCTGTAAACGGGATGGATGCGGTTCACACTATACCGTTCCCAAACCCTACTGATGGCGTTACGCCAGCTTTTAATAAACCGGAGCAGCTATCTTTAAAATTGGGTCTCTGCCCTCCACACCATCGCATCGCGCTCTAAAATCGTACGGTTCTTGAATTCAAGCCACTCCGTTACATACTTCCTGAACAGTATGCCTCGGACATTGCCATGGCAGGTCGGCGACAAACAGAGGAAAAGCACGACTCCCTCGACAAGCAGCACCAAATGGCTGTCAAAATCAAGGCATGCAACTGGCACAAGATTGGAAAATACGCCAACCCCTAAGAGCACCCCGCCTCAGATTTGTACGTGATCTCTCTGTTGATTCCTTTAATCCTCATATACTAACGTAATAGTGCGAACTCCTTCTACCTCCCCACCACTTGAACTACCGCCTGTAGAGTTTGTGTTTCCTCATCCCCCTGCAGCATGGCAAGGTAACTAATAAGATATAGATTTATGAAAGAAGGCTTAGATAACGACGATCAGTATATTATGGTCGAAGACGAATTTCTAGCGACCGCACAGACCTTTACTCGTCATCTGCACCATGCCGAATATGTGCGTAAAAAGAACGAGGCAAAAGCCAAGAATGCCAAAGCCATTAATGCTCTAGTTCGACCTACGAGTACGAAAAGTATTTTGAGTGCTGAAGCTAAGAAGAACATGCAGTCTGAAGAAAACTCAATGAAGCATAAGGCTGCTCTGAGTGAACTTAAACGAGTTGCTGGGCGGCCCCCTGTGGACTCCGAGGTCGAAGATGAAGGTCTTGAGAGCGAAGAGGATAAATTTGATGATCCTTGGATGGGGACTTCGTTGCAAAATTTGATGACACATCAAAGGAAGCACCTTCCATTGCTCGGCTTACACGGCATCCGGTCCACGACTCGGGCCGCATTAGGTTTTTCGAAGGCTCCAGTTGACTTACCTGGAAAGGGTGCTAAAAAGAGCCGAAATGAATACCCCACATCGACGATGGGAGCGAATGTCAACCCCGATATGGTCAGTGAATCTACGGGTGACGATGATGATCTTGATGCTCAACCCCAGAGGTCGAAATCTGTTCGGATACCCACAGCGAAACAAAGGCCTGCGTCAATTAGGAGCAATGCCTATACGGCAGATTCATTGTCTGTGAATACGAACGCACAACCGGCGTCACGATGTGATCCACAAGAAAATATAAAAGCATCGTATGAGTCTGGCCACTCAAAAAGCCGCCGACATAGCACCTCTGCTCCTCCAAAACACACAAGTAGAATAATGAGATTACTCGATGATTCAGATGATGAACAATCAACAGAAATAAAGGAATATGAAATCAGCAATAACAAATACCAACATCGCAAACGATCGCCATCAGAAACCTCATCCAATAAACGCCATGGAAAAGATGCAAAATCCAAAAAATCCCGCCTCAATGAAGTCCCAACATTCATATTGTGAGATGCGCACGAAAGCAAGCAAAAAAATTCATTCCTCCTCTCAAAATTCGTTAAGCGTCGTATTCCAAAACCATTCATAACTCTCTCCATTTTCATCTTCAACAAGTCATGATAAATGGAAACATCATGGGTCTTTCCTCCTAAATGCGAACCTAAAATCGTCATGCGTCTTAAAATCTAACATTTTCATAGTCTCTCGTCGATTGGAACACTGTTTATGTGTGCTGCCGCAGGAGTCTTAAACGGACGACGTCCGTATTTTCGGTCAGCTTTTCCTTCAACAGCTTGGCTTCATGGTAAAGCTTTTCTCGCTTCGACACGTGATAAAGCGCGCTGGAGTCACTGGGGGTGTTGTCCGACAATGCATCTCTGCTCAGATGAGTTAGCATTTAGCAATGCTTTTAGCAATTGAGACTAGGGCCTTGTCCCGCAAAGTGCCAACTCAACTGGACGACATACTCCTTATCATACTGAGGCATCGTGAATTCTACGCGTCGGAAATCCGTTGGGTGGCCCTGAGAGGGAAACAATGCGTATGAGTATGACACCAAACCCACTGCTGATTGTTGTGAGTACTCACGATCACCAATCGCTTTGAGTTCTTTCGCCGCCGTCGATGGATGGATTTGATCCATGGTACTAAACCCCCGAAACAGTCCATACTTATGGTTCTAGTCCTCCGCGGCAGTATGGCACGGGAGCTGTGGGATGGGAAACCCAAATCAACAACGGTGTTTCTGGCTGGTTTCGAAGGGAGGAATGCAAAGAGCAATTTGGAAAGGGGTTTTTATAGTGTTGCTTTATCGAGTTACTCAAACTCACCCAGTAGAATCACAGAACTAAGTAACAATCCACAGCCAAGGAAGAAAAGAGCGAGGACAGAAGCAAACTATATGGTTCGGAGTTGCACAGTACAACAGAGATGTCTGATAACACAAAGAATATAAATCAAGTGTCGACAACTTCCAACGTCAAGTTTTTCAAGCAAAACCAAAAGGACGAGAGAGAAACTGACAGGTCAGGGACTCAAATCTCGGTTAAGGCCCTGTAATGTATCATCGAAGAAAGTTAAACAAAAACCCCCGAAGGCGAAGCCTGAACCGCGCGCAAAAACTGAACAGCAAAGATGAAAATTCACAAGAAAGCAACAAAGCCGACGGAGAGAGGGGGATTTGCCGAAAGATAAAAATGGAGGGTGCTGAAACGCACCACAGTCAGCGGCAAGGGCACAAGGCAGGGAACAAGGCGCTACGCAGTCCACAGGAAATCCGCTCAAGGATAAATTGATTACGATGAATTCTTCCTCTCCTGCCCGTGCCGCACCTCCATTCCCCCCTGTACGACCAAGCCCACCCCGTATGCTGAGTGGGAAAAGACCAAATAAATTGTCAACGGACCATTCCCCCCAGAGACAGCACCAAGGCTGTCAGTGCGGAGGTCGAGTTTTTACTTGTCGCGATGCCAGCTAGAGATCGGAGGGCGGCGAGTTAGTTTCGCTCTGGTTGGCTGACGAGTTCGCTGCCCCGACAAGTTCGTTACCACTGGGTGCATTTCGACCAACCACCTGTGTTAACTTTTTTTTAGATCGTTTGGCATCGAACATGGATAGTCAGCAATCAGGAACAGCGCTGATGGGCGTGGCGATGAGATGGCTGACACGAGTTGACGCAATGCGGCAACTGATCTGAGATGCAGGCCCACCACGGGCTGTGGACTCCGTACAGCGCCTGGAATAAGGGGAGACGAGCCTTTGTTTGATGTTCGTGTTCTTGAGACTTTCCGTCCCTTTCAATGCAAGCGAAACTGGCGGATCTAGAATCAAATACATCTCAATCGAGATATGCATTTTTGTAATGTACTCGGCTGCAGGGTGATATATCATAAGAGTGTTCCTGCTTCCAGCACAGTGCAACCCAAGAGAACCGGATCCCGCGTCGCGAGCTGGCCAAAACAGGCATTGTTGACTCCCTCACCTCTAAGACGCGCATAACCAACCTCAACCAAAAGCCAACTGAAGCGGGGCCTCCGGTTCTGAACGGGGTTGGTCTCTCTTAACCGGGCTTACCGGCGTGGAAGTCCCCTCACATTAGACGCATTTTAGTGGGCTGTCAGCAGATAAAGCATGGATTCGGCGGCTGGACTGAGATTGGTGCGCTCTTAATCAGGGGCATGTCAACTACTAGTGCAGGCTTTTCATTTGAGATAAATGAATGAGGATGCCCCGGTAAACAAACCTTCCAGATATACATCTAAGCATCTGCGTCATGGAGATTTATCGCCGCTCCGGGAATACACCGTACTTCAACGTTATTTCCACCAAGCACATCACATCCCCCAACATTACAACCCCCTTGCCTTGCCTCCGCTCTAGTGTTTTATACCCCCGCTTCCCCTCATCTTCCGCCCTCCTAGCCTGCATTATTTTCAGTAGTATCCTCGATTTTACCATCAGCCTCTTAGAGTTCCATGTCTGCTACAGTTATCTATGATTTGAGAAGTTTTCTGTATGAAGCGCTTCAAAGAATTACTTCAAAGCAATCCGTATAGACTGGAAAACAGCCTGAGCCGTGGACATCTGTTGACGCTGGGTGACGCTACAGCATTGCATGGAGTCTCGGGAGCAGCGCATGTGAATCACCCAAAAGCTTCCGCAGTAAGTTATGGTGGTGTCTCCGAGAACGGGCATGTGGAGAGTACGTGAATCTGGACTCCAACGGCAAAAATTAAGCAGCAAAAAAAAAAAAAAGAAAAAAGAAAGAAAATACAAATCCTGAGACTCCTCCATCCACCTGCGCATCATGTGGCTTAGGCCGTGAATACGCTGTTCCCGCCCACGGAATATCAATACCTTCTAGATGGGCAGTTGCTGCGCCCAGAAGGTTAAAATCGAGGCTGCTTGATTTGGCTTGTTGGGTGACTTGGATACGTTGCTGGATTTGAAACATGATGTCCTTGCCCTCCCGGGTTTCCTGAACCAAGATAGGACAATTTTGCGACGATATCAGCGACCTCTACCTTGGGTTGCGGCGCCATCTCTATTGGCCATATTTATACATCACACATTTCAACGGAAGCCACTGATGCTAGCAAGATGATTCCGACTCTTTGGGAATTAACCTCTTAATCCGATTGCTTTATTTAGGAACAAGCGAACAACTTTCAAGTGACCGTTGGGATTTTGAAACCAAATTGGAGAAGTAGGATACCCATTTTACGGATGGACCATGCAAGTCATGGGACGGGTGGGGTCTACCCGCGATATAAATTCCACCTTCTTTCAAATCCTGTCAGCATTTCCTGCGATGCAAACCAAGTTCACACCCCAAGAGCATTTTCGAGTGCAACAAGCGATATTTTGATGACTGCCACTCATTGGAATTCAGCACGCCACAGGCTTAAGATAGAACCTGTTATCAACTGCACGCAGGCTTTATGCAACTCGCAAAAGAGCTATGCATGCACAATGCACAGGTATTGTAGATTGCGAAAGAGGCGATTCTATGGAAAGCTTCTCTTTGCGCTATACACCGTATATGCATGACCAAAAATAGCTTCTATCACGATCATCCCCAGCTCACAGCTTACATTTACCATAGCTGGCAAATTCCAGTAAAATTGTTCCGAGGATAGACGGATATGAGAAACTGAATAAATGGATAAAAATAAATAAATACGCTGCTTCAATTATAAATTAAAATGCTTATTTTGGGTAGTCCTTCAAGTGGAAGCTCTTCAGTTTGACAAACTGATCAAACCCGAACCTGCTCAACGTTACTCCGCGCCCAGAATTTTTCCATCCCGTCCATGCAAGGTCCTATAGTAAACTGACGTTAGAGAATGCTTTTTATTATCGCAACCTATAAAATTAATATGGCTTGGCGGGAATCGTTTTGTGTGTGGGGGGGGGGGGGGAAGGAGAAGGTTATTTTTCTCTTCCAAAATCGTAATCCACTTACAGGACTTGGATAATCTGCTCTGTTCACGAAGACAGTCCCTGCTTCAATTTCCTGGATCAGCTCTTCAGCTCTAGCAACATCTTTCGTCCAAATGCTCGCTGTCAGCCCCAGATCGCTTTGATTCATTAAGTAGATCGCCTCAGCATCGTCCTTGACTTTGGCGACGGGTATGACCGGTCCGAATGTTTCTTCAGCCATCACTTGCATGTTGTGGTTCACACCAGTCAGAAGTGTGGGTTTAACAAAATTGCCAGCTGTGGGGAGGTTTTCGAAAGTCGGGTTCCAAGGCGTTTCATCCACTGCGCCCTTTTTGAGGGCATCCTCAATCTGGGCTAAAATGGTCTCCTTTGCCCGTTTCGAGATTACCGGGCCGATCTGTGTCTTCTCATCGAATGGATCGCCCACACGATATTTGCTTAGGACCTTCTTTACCTCCTGGATAAATGCATCGTGGACGGCTTCGTGGACGTATACTCTCTCGATCGCACAGCAGCTCTGGCCGCTGTTGAAAATAGCCCCATCAACGATCTCTTCTGCTGCCCATGCGACATCGACGTCGCTGCGGACATATGCCGGATCGTTTCCACCAAGTTCCAAACCAACGTTCACAATTCTGTCTGCAGCTGCTTTCTGGACAGCTAGACCGCCTGCGACAGACCCTGTGAAACAGATGTGGTTAATGAGAGGTGATCGAACAATCGACTCAATGTCGATAGGAGAACCACAGTGGAAGTATTGCAGAACATCCTGCGGTAAGCCAGCTTCCTGGAAAATGGAAGCGATTTGTTCCACAATGGTTGGAGTCTGCGGAGAGGGTTTCAAAATCACAGAATTTCCAGCAAGGAGGGCGGGAACTAGGCTATTCACAAGGACTAAGTACGGATACTATATATGATATAGTCAGCAAGAGATATAAACGGTGGGAACTAGAGAATGGATAAGCTCCACGCCAGGTGTAATCTTTAGAGTATAAGAAAATGATAGGAGCCAGAGAAGGCGACCCCAGACATTGAAACTTACGTTCCATGGGAAGATGATTAGCACGACTCCAACCGGTTCTTTCTTAATATATCTTTTAAATCCGGCCTCCTCCTCTGTATCTAACGTCCCCTCATCTCCCAAGACAGTAGAAGAAATGCGATTCAGGTATTCACCTCGTTTTATCGCCGTTGTAATCTCGCCGCCGGTATATGCGATGGGGCGACCCATCTGCTCCGTCACCTCACGAGCTAGGATATCCTTCTTCTTTGCCAGAAGTCCAAGAGCGCGGGCGACAATTTCTTGGCGCTGGCCTAGGGAGGTTGACCGTGAAAAGGAACGGAAAGCATCCTGCCCCCTTTGTGGCAACGAGGCAAGTTCAACCGCGGAGACGCCTGGCCGGGTGATGATAGGATTATTGGTGACCGGGGAAATCGTTGTCAAAGTCTCTGCAGACATTTCTATATCGTGTTTGCTGCTTTTATATAGCTCTGGCAAATGCAACCTGAACTCAATCGATTGCCCACGAAGTTCGGGAATGCGGAATGCTGAACGCGGAGAGAGCTACTTAGTATAGCCGATGAAGACAAGCCCTCGTAGCACTTTGTTCGAAGCAAATTCGAAATGCGCAAATGGACACGGCACCCTTCTGTATTTCTTCGATACTATTCAGATGTGGCCATTGTTACATGCTGTTACATATTAGGACAACTCAAAGTAATCGTGGATGGTTTGCCGAAAATACTCTCATGTGACATCATCAACTCCGTTTTGTCGCAACAATTATAATTCCGTACCATGAAAGGGCATCAAGGAGATATTGAAGGAGAGGTTCTTCTTATATTCGAAACTTGTGGAATCTCAAGTCTATCTGCTTTTGATAGCAACTAGTCATTGTGCAATTTGATGAGTTCCCACCCCGAAAGGAGCCCAGCACGCAAAATAGTCGAGCAGATATCTCAATATGGAACATGTACCACAGAAGCCCAAGCATCTAGCTCCGGCCTCCTGAGTGATCTATTTGACTTCTTGCTCTTCCAGCCTTTCTCCAGTCTTCCAATTAACGAGTTGATCTTTTTGCACCATAGCGTGGTATGCCTTTTGGTTGAAAATCGCCAGCACCTTAGCATCCGTTTAAGCAAAGTTTCTTGAGATTTGCTACCGGCCATTTTTGATGAGGTTGAGACGAAGCAAGAGGAAGAAGATATAGCTGACCCTGATAAAGTCTGGCCTACCTTTGATATCTGCATATTATGAGACTGAGGGACGCCCAAGGTTACCATTGTCCTCTTGGACATACCTCAGCACTCAGTGAGGGGAATATATCATCCTTTCTGCTTTGACTCGCTGTGCAACGTCTCAAACTTGGAATTGAGTCCCTGAGATAGCTTTCGTGAGTACACCCAGAGCTCCTCCAGGGGCACGAGTTGGACAAAGCCTCATCGATCATTGAGCAGCAACATCTATTTCCTTTGGGTGGCTTTGCAAAACTATTGTACTTCCAAAAAAATACGAACTTGCTCATCCTTCACTTCCTCGAATCTTGATCAATCTTCACCTCCATTTTTCTACAGGCAAAATGCTAGCAGCTTCAGTCCTGTCTTTCGAATTATTTTCACCGGAATGTCCCTCCCGAGCCACGCTGGCGTTTTCTGCGGCGAGGATCCCGTTACCCTCTTCTCCTTTCACGATTTTCTTCATCGGCTTGGATTTCCGTATCGGCGCCTTCCAATAATTTATTCCAGGGTTTCGATCTCTTGGACAATGAATGGCCCCCTTCGGAGTTATGATTCCAAATGGTACTGGCAAAGCTATCAACTTGTGGCTAAATGGTACCAAGCTAGAAATGAGTAATATTGGTTCGCCTTACGATCTTTATATTGGATGGCTGTATTCTGGTGATATCCGGACGCCATAGAGGAGGATGAAAATGTTCCGGGCGACTTTGATTCCGATGGACTTCCAGATCATGAAATGTCTCGCGACTCACGAAATTTTGCCGGTTTATGCTTTCTGGCTGTCAATGTATGTGGACATCAATAGGGTATATTAGGCGTATTGGGGCATCAATTATCACCAGCTTATCATCGAAGGCTTGCGATACATTAAAATAGATGAGGGAATGGTTTTTTGAGCGAGGTCTAACGAGACTGACCCTTACAAAACAGAGAAACAGAGACAGATAAACCAAAGAAAAATATAAGACGAACAACAATGACATTTGAATTGTACATTTTCTTTATTCGCGGGTACACCTAGTGCAGTTCCCCATCTACTCCAGATGCTGATTTAGTCCATTGTGTTCTAAAAACGCTCCCAGCAACTCTTGGACCGTTCAATAACTAATTACCTGTTTGCCAAGTACATGTTACGTAGTCCACGCAAGGATGCATGTGCCAACCACCTATGTACTTTGGACAAATTGGCCATAATAGTAAGTCCCTTTGCTAATGGCCATTGAAAACGGAAGAGAGGACAGCCAAATGGAAAGAATGAAAATATAGGCGGCAACGACATAGTGGAGCTCATGTTATCGAAGTCTTGTGAGATCTCTATTAGTGTTTTTGGAAACGAATATTGACCAAGCAGGGAAAGAAGAAGCAATGCAAAAATGGGGGGTCTAACGATTGGATATATTGAGTTTCATATCGTATCGTATCGTGAGGTGAATAGGTTGATTTCAACATTAGGTCCAGATACTGATCGAGGCACATCCATGAATATGTGCTTGCACTTGCCACTAAATCCTCTTGGAGTATAGTCGGTAGAGGCCGTGGCTGTGCAAAAAGTTCAACACGTCTATTTCAGACGCAGTCCTGAGAAATAGAAACCCTGAGTTCTTCATGATATTTAAGGCAAAATGGCAAAGAGAGAACGGAGAGAAATTCAATGAGTTGAATATTATCTGCGTTGGTATATAGATTGACGAGTCAGGAGCATGACTAGCAAAGGTGTATGAGAGCTTTGGCGGCCCCCTCAAAACACCCCCCTTTTTCACCCCAGTGTCGGTCTCCGTGATTCTAGCATCAAGGCTGGGGAGCAAAGACACGTGTATTACAACCAAGCTATCATAGGAAAGAGCTTTTGGCTGACTTATAACTTTTCATGATTATTTTTCATCGCAGGAGCGTCATTAGGGTGTTCTAACATCCAAAACTGCATGTGTTTCTGTTCACGGGATATTCAGTTCCAAAAAGTGAGTACCAGACGCTTGATTTGCCTCCACGACAAGGAGTCATAACCTCTCTGCGTCCACATGGTTCCAAGTGGTTAGGAAAATGCCTGGTGTTCTGACATGTTCAAGAAGCAAACTGAGGAAGCCCTCCCAAATCAGAGAGTTGTCGCGTCCAGCATACCCAGGATGGTCATCTAGGAAAGGCTGTTCATTTCAGAAGACAACATGGCTGGTTGACTGGCAGTATTTGGAAAACTGGCACAGAGTCGGAATCGCAGTTTTCATTCCGAATCATTCCGAAATCCATTTAGTCGTCATGATTGAAATCGAGTCCGAGTCGCGGCTCGCGTCTCCACCTCCAAACCATCCCCTGATGATGCGGATGCAGCGGAACCGCTAAAATAGGAATTCCGGGGCTAGGAGCAAAGGTATGACTCAGGGGGGGTAGTGCACAAACATCCCTTGGAATCCACAGCTCAAACACGAGACAGGATGCTCTGGAGATTTACAGTGTTTGCAGGAATGATGTGTGGTATGGATGCCAAACAACCGATGCAAACAGCACAGGCTAACCAAAACCACCTCAAATGTCAAACAGAGCAAACGGTGCAAACATGGCTCCTCCGCATTAGCCTCAACTTTAAAAGTTCCCCAAACGTCATCCACCTCGCCGGCTTGCCACGATGCTCAATGGGCAGCGCGATACCAACAAGGGGCGGGAAAAGCGGAGAAAATAATGCATTTGGAAGCAGAATGCAGCATCTCACTCGAAGCCGGACGGGGAAGAGAGCGCTCTCTCCCAATTGACTCATTTTTAATTTAACGCTAGGCCCTTGCTAGCTGAGCGATGCCAAAGGTTTCCGAACAATCTACGTCATCGTCAGTGGAGAGAACGGGGACATTTTTGGCGGGCAACTTTGGGCGGTTCGCGAAATCAAAGCATCATTACACTTCTCGCACAACCCTGGTTGGATTCCTGATCCTCACTGAAGGAGTGGCATAAATCTCTGTTTTATGGGTCTCTAACAACCAAGATCTCCTCGGCGCAAACAAGGTTACTTCCGGAGGAATTTTAGTTGTTGCGATTCCTTGTCCGCATACGAGATAACCTGCTTGAACAGTGACCAACACGGACAACGGACGTCTCTAGGGATTAACTCTAGAATCCCATATTGCTTCGACGGCGCGCCACACGGACCAGCGGCACATGTCAGAAGCGGCCCCATGTTGGCAAAAACGTTCAGCCCTGGCACTGGATGTGGATCAGTGTCTTGATCCTGTTTAAATTTCCTAAATATAGATATATAAAATATACGTCTCGCTCCTCTCAATGTCAATTTTCTGCCAACTTCCGTCATTTCGTCATATTTATCTGTCCTTGATCGGGGAATACCTGATACCTGATTGATATTCATTTCTCATCTCCATACCTGACTTGGCAATTCGTTGTTCTATAGCTTAATTCCTCAGTCGTTTTCTGCAAAATGGCGCCTTCCAAATTGAGCAGCGTACCTATTATAGACATACATGTCAATGATTTCAAGGACTCACTGGCCAACGAGATCTATACTGGCCTCAAGCGTCCACACGGAGGAGCAAAGTCCTTACCGACACTCCTTCTCTATAGTACCGAAGGTCTTCGCCGTTTTGAAGATATTACCTACTTAGATGAGTATTATCTAACCAACGCTGAAATCGAGGTCTTGACCACCCACGCAGCCAGGATAGTCAACCAGCTCCCGGAAAATGCGCAACTACTGGAGCTTGGTAGCGGGTGTGTTCCCTCCAACTATCGCCTCCGCGCGAGGATATGAACGAGCCCCAAACTAGCTTCTCCCTGTGACAACTATTTAACTTTACTTCTAGGAATCTCCGCAAGATTAAAATATTGTTGGACGAGTTTGAACGAAAGAAAAAGGCTGTTGAATATTTTGCTCTTGATCTGTCCCTAGAGGAGCTTCACCGTACATTCGCTGAAATTCCTCCGGGAGGTTATAAATACGTCCAATGCCGCGGCCTCCACGGAACATATGATGATGCTCTTGCTTGGTTGGCGAAGCCGGAGAATAGACAAAATCCAACCTGTATTATGTCTATGGGATCATCCATCGGCAATTTTACTCGTCCGGAAGCTGCTCAGTTTTTGAATCGATTTTCGAGGATGCTCGGGCCATCCGATTCCTTCCTTGTTGGAATAGATGCTTGTAAAAATCCTGACAAAGTGTATAGGGCTTACAACGACAATCATGGCGTGACCAAGGACTTTTACATGATGGGACTTTCCCAAGCCAATTCTATCCTCGGATTTCACGCATTCAAAAAAGAAGATTGGGACGTGGCTTGTCGTTTCGATATGGCAACTGGTTCACATAAGGCCTATTATGTTCCAAATATGGACGTCTCCGTAGATGGAGTGGTCATGAAAAAGGGTGAAAAGATATTGTTCGAGCAGGCTTTCAAATACGGACCCAAGGAATGCAAGAACCTGTTTCAACGCGCGGGAGTAATGCCAATAGCGCAGTTCGGAAATTGCACTGGTGAATATTGTAAGTTCTTTTCATCGTGGTGGTTTCCCTCCTTCCAACCCGTTGTATACATATATCGCCTTCCTCAATGCAACCCGAGTGAATTTATAATTGTTGCGCATATCAATATTTTGCCTTTTACAACATCTTTGGCATGCCATTAATTGTTTAATAGATGTTCATCTCCTGTCATCCTGCACCTTGGAATTGCCCACTCAAGTCACGGAGTACGTGGCGGATGTAATTCCCAATGTTGTAGATTTTGAAAATCTTTGGAAGATTTGGGATACCGTGACTCTATCTATGATTCCCCAGGATGAACTGCTGTCAAAACCCATTAAGTTAAGAAATGCATTGATTTTCTACCTCGGGCATTCTCCGACTTTCTTTGGTAGGTTCGTGTATTTGTCAGTCATTCTGAGAGGTGTTGCTGAGATCAAAATAGACATCCACCTAACGAGAGCCACGGACGGCATCCCGACATCACCTAAGCACTATCAATCGATATTTGAGCGGGGTATTGATCCAGATGTTGATAACCCGGAGCTTTGCCACGATCATTCTGACATCCCAAGCGAATGGCCACACCTTGGAGAGATTCTGACGTACAGAGATGCCGTCCGCAGCCGAGCACGCGCCGTATTAGCGCATGGAGTTAAGACCCGCCGTTTGGCTGAGGCATTGTGGATTGGCTTCGAGCACGAAGCAATGCATCTGGAAACATTCCTATACATGCTCTTGCAGAGTGACGAAATTCTCCCACCACCTGGAGTTCCTCAGCCGAACTTTGAATCTCTCGCCCACCAATCTGCGTTAGAATCAAGGGAAAGTTCCTGGTTCGCTATTCCCGAGCAACAGGTATCCATTGGCCTACATGATCCGGATGATCATGTTATCCCAAAGCACTCTTTTGGTTGGGATAATGAAAAACCCAAGAGGATGGTGAATGTTCCTGCATTTGCTGCACAAGCCCGGCCTATTACGAATGGAGAATATGCGAAATACTTAGAACAGCACCATATTTCATTCATACCAGCGTCCTGGATTGACCTTGTCCCGAAGACAGCTGATGTTAGGCGGAATGGTTATGGCAATTGTAACGGCTATTCTACCAACGGGCAAAGGCAACTTGACTCCGGCGCTAGTAACGAGTTTCTGGAGAGATTTGCAATTCGCACTGTCTTTGGACCAGTACCTTTGAAATGGGCACTTGACTGGCCCGTGATGGCTTCGTTCAATGAGCTTCAAGGATATGCAGAATCTATGAGCTGCAGGATTCCTACCTTTGAAGAGGTTCGAAGTATTTATCAGTACTCCATGTTTCTTAAATCATTGGAGGACGATGGAGCGCTTCGTTCAATGAATGGGAATGGGCATGGGTAAGCAGTTAATATGTACCAGCTGAAGTAATACTTTAAATTAGTACTGACTTGGGGTTAAAGCAGCCACCGAAATGCCAGGGTTGTGAAGACCCTAGACAAATCAATTGAACCCCCCGCGGAAGACGCTCACGGCAATCCTCGCACACCGGATCACCAGCCTGTTCAATCCCCTTCAACAAACCCCATGCCAGTGTTTATTGATCTCGACGACAATTGCAACGTCGGGTTCAAACACTGGCACCCTACCCCAGTCACCAAACACGGAAACAGGCCTTCCGGACAGAGTGAACTGGGGGGCGTCTGGGAATGGACAAGCACTCCCCTGCATGCACATGAGGGGTTCAAATCTATGGAGCTTTATCCAGGATATTCAGGTAATTAAGACTATGATCCCTCATTTTTTAATTTTTGTAACTGTTGACAATCTATTAAATAGCCGACTTTTTCGATGGAAAACATAATATTGTTTTGGGGGGCTCTTGGGCAACCCATCCTCGAATCGCTGGCCGAACAACATTGTAAGGCATCTCCATCCTTTCTTATCGCATCATGCAAAAAGGCTTCACGGTTTTGCTGACATGCTGTTTCATATACACAGTGTGAACTGGTTCCAACGCAAATACATCTATGTATGGGCAGGTGCACGTCTGGTTCGGGATATCTGAGAGAATTTCGTTTTTGAGTTGCGCGAGTTCGCCAAGTGCGAAAGCAACGTTCCTGTCCTCATTATTGACATCTCTATTTTGCCTCTAAAGAGGAAATAAGATTCCGCATTGATAAGCAGGATAAGTATACAATAAAAAAGATTTGGGGTGGGTAATATCGATTAATACATCAGTTATTTTCTCTTGCTATTTATTCTGCTGCTTCCTTTTTATTTTTTATTCGTTTTATTTTTATACCTCTGAATCTATGCAAAATGGTGCTCCTGTTTTCGATCGCATGGTATTTAATTATCTAACAGGGGGTGGATAATATAATTGCTAGGCAAGAGCACTGCACAATGTATGAGAGAAATCAAACTGTGAAATGGTTCCACAGAAAAGGACAAAATGGGTATAACTCGAGATTATAAACAGAACTAGGTGAGGCTAAACTAAGGACGGGGACAATGCAGCCCCACGAGAGCAGTTCATTGGATTTAATCGCAGCACGCACAGCATCGTATTCGCATAAAAACGAGTCCAGAGGTCGCTACATGATGTACGATGCAACAACCATGGCGGAAATGCTCATTGTTGCCGCCATCAAAAGGTTGATTTGATTATTGTCAAACAAATCATATCCAGCCTCCATCTTGCGGCTTTCATGCTCCAGATCAGGAGAGCTTCCCAAGCTAGAAGAAGAAGAGCGACGCTTCCTCAGGGATGGCCCAGAAGTCAAGGTATTCGCAATGTCTTCCGCAACACGGATCCTGCTTACATCTCGGTTAGATGGTTCTTCAAGGCCGGTTATTATTGATTCGCCGGGATGCACGAGAACCTAGAGATGAAGTTTAGCTTTATATGAACGACAGGTAGTTTGAAGGGTAGATGCCTAATAAGACCTACTTTCCGCCCTCCAGCTCCTTCTACAATCTTGCCGGTACGTTTATCAACGACGCTCGCCTGGAAGAGACCTCCTAGAATGCTATCCACCACGCTTCCGAGCGTACCACATATCGCGATGGCTACAATCCAGGAAGCTTTCTCCCGCCAACCCCAGGCTGTCCCTCCTTCGAAACCTGACTTTGTGGAAGCATCTCCAGGATCGAGGGGGCAGAATGGAAGTATCAAAGATGTCACTGCAATGAGAAAGGCTCCAAGAGCACCTGCCAGGAGCCCTATCACAGTAACGCCTCCATTGGTGCCCGGAGGCACTTTACGGAAAGTTATTGAAGTGATCAGCCTGGGCTGGCTTTTGGAAAGTATCCCAAGTTCACTCGAAAATGTATCTGCAGCTACGACAGCGTAGTGCCTGTTGTATTTGATAAATCAGTATATGTAAATGACGTAGAACGTGCAAATTTCTTTTGCCATCAGAGAGTTGGGCTTACGCGGTAATCCCCACCATGAAATAATCTCCCCCGTACGGAAAACAGTAAGACTCTGGCCGATTCTCTTGATGTGATCGACCTAGATCCAGGAGAATTAAAATTGACGCGACGACAGAGTTTGCTAGCACCTGGACATGAGTTCTAGCTCCCTCCCCTCCAAGGGATCCAGATGAAGAGACAGTCAGTCTAGACTTGACGTCATGTTTTATCTGGACATACATGACCGTCGTCAGCAAATACCCTCAGCTTCAATGTAATTAAGCAGACCGGTTAGTGGAATAGACCTCACCTTCGTAACGTAGGTCCCGCTCAAAAAGAAGACGACGAGGAAGGCAAACGGCGCAGAGCATGGATGTAATGCATGAACCACAGCCGTGACCGCGGCAGCAACTATGCCAACTGGTGTTAGGGACTTCCGAGACCAGGCTCGATACACTAGAGCTAGAGTCGCAGGCACCGCAATGATCGGCTTCATGATTGGGAATTCTATCTTTTGATCTAATAGGTTACGCAGAAGGAAACCTCATGGTCAAGTTATATATTCGTAATTATAACCGAGTTTTGGCAGATCTATTGGCGTCTCAGCATGGTACGTCTAGCAATACTATTGTCCTGAACAAGCTTGATACGTACCCTGGCGTCCAAGAAATCTTGAAATAGATAAAACATATAGATAATTCTACAACTTTAAAAGTCGACGAGACATTGTCACCAAATGTATTGATTTCATCTGTAGATTGTCAGCTGTTGTCAGGAAGCGGTTGAGGCGGAGAGGCTGAAAATAGACTCTGAGTGGTTGTATTGCGGTACGCTAGTCTGTAATGGGAACATTAGCGCCTTGTGTGATGTATGATGTAATCCTGTGGTTCAACCAGCGACCTTCATCAGGTCCAACGGCGAGAAAAGCAACTTGAAGTTGATAGCAATAGAATACAAAACATATCACACGAGGCATGAAGTTCTTCTAAAATGCCACTGAGGCCTATACCTTTGGCCCTCAAAACTCTAACACGAACCTTCCCTGTTCTCAGCCGTGCTTGCCAAAGCCGCTCAGTGCATCTAGCACCCCCTTATCTCCTTGATGAATATATACCACGGCATCAACTTTTATCATCAGTGGATGCAGCAAAGAAGCGCTCTAAGGCATATGCCCATTTGAGGAACTGCAATTTGTGCCCCCGACTATGCGGAGTAAACCGGTACGAAAAGACAGGTTATTGTCTAATACCTGGAGAGACTGTGAAAGTCAATGTGATTGCGCCGCATTTCGGAGAAGAGCCATGCATTCAGGGGTCAAGAGGGAGCGGCTCAGTGTTCTTCTCGATGTGCAACTTGAGATGCACATTTTGTCAAAACCACGTTCGTTGTATATTCCTTTCTGGAGGCTTGATCCCGCTCGCCGGACACGTTGAACGTTGGCTAACGATACATACCACAGGACATTTCACACCAACGTAATGGATTTAATCTAACACCAGAGGAGTTGGCAGAGTGGATGTTAAAACTACAGAACGTAGGGCAGGTCCACAACATCAACTTTGTCACCCCGGAACATGTAGTTCCACAAGTGGCCCTGGCGATCCTCACCGCTGCGGACATGGGTCTCAAAATACCTATCATATACAATACGTCTGCATTTGACTCCTTAGATTCCATAGCTCTACTAGACGGTCTCATCGATATATACCTTCCAGATTTCAAAGTCTGGAAGACCAGTTCTTCCAAGCGGCTCTTGAAGGCAGATAACTATACTGAAACGGCGATGGAGAGCATTAAAGCGATGCATGCACAAGTCGGGGATTTGAGTTTTACCTCTGACGGTATTGCGAAACGTGGGGTGCTCCTTCGACATCTAGTAATGCCAGGGATGGAAGACGAAGGGCGGGAGATCGTGCGTTGGCTGGCTGAGAATGTATCGAAGGATTTATATATTCATATTATGGAGCAGTATCATCCCGATGCTCACGTTGGCAAGAAGCGACGAGGAAAAACTGGTGGCCAAGAGATTCGGTATGCGGAAATCAATCGTGCGATCAATGATAACGAACTAGACGCTGTCAAGAACGCGGCTAGGGATGCGGGCCTATGGAGACTGTGTGAGCCAGCGGAGCATGCAAGCTTTTACGTATGAAAAGTGCATCCCACTGTAAAAGACATGCTTTTCTTGCACCGAGTGAATAGCCGCTAATGATAACGACTCCTACAATTAAACAATTGCGAACCTTTTGATTAACCGTTAAAACTGCTGGTATTGCCGCCGACAACCCTGCTGCCCCATTTTCCATCATACATCTCGTTGCTCCGAAAACAATCGTCGTTCGAGGCGTCTTCGCATTTAAAGTATATTCACAGTTGCCCGAGAAGGCAGAAGAAGATACTGTAAGAAGTAACAAGTAAAATCTAAGCATATTCAATCAAAATCAAAACGGCTAAAGCAAAAAGAAGGGAGAAGGGCACTATAGCTATAGCCTTTTCGGGTCTTTCGGAGTTCCAACAATAAATCGTTCCTCCCAATAAGGAAATAAATAGTATGCTGGAGGTTGGCTCTTCAAAGTGGATTGAGAGCCTTAGAGGTTGGTGGGAACTCCAGTAAAAGATATTCAAACCCCTAGTTTCCATGTTACGTCGCCTGGTTTTCGCGGCTTAAAGCATGTTTTTTCAACGGTAGCATTTTCATCTGACGAGAGTCCTGCCACACTGCCATACGGGGCCAATGTAGGGATGTTGAAAAATTCTGGCTGGGCGGGTGAAGGTGACCGGTGTGTTTTGGCGCTTGACTCTGGCATGGTCCACGATAGAGAAATGAAAGCTCCCATTAAACCGCCCTGGTTGTTGATATGCCAGGTTAAAAATTAAGTTAACTCTGACTATAACTAGGGGTTATCTGGGGTTGGTTTGGGGATGCGGTGCAAAAAGATTGGCTGCCAAATTATGGGCCAATCCCACATAACGGCGGCCAATGAGGATCTGTTGAAAAACTATCTGAAGTAATTAAATTTTGTAGCAGGAGGAATACCTCAAGGAAGTATAGATACGTGTGACGATGGCTGGAGGAATGTAACGGGGCATTTTCACCGTTTGCAAAATAAACGAAATGTGTTCAACTGCAGATGGATGATTGAATCCGAGGGTGGATTCCGCAAAGCTCTCATTTAGCTCTCTTTGACCAGAACATCGGCTTCTGGGGAGTCTCCACATGCGGTGGGGCCTGGGCTGTTGAATACTGTGCTTACTTACCTGGATGGAGCCTTGTGTGATTTTGTTTCTTCATTTCGGTGAGCAAGCACCAAAAATCCCCGTACGGACCAAACAAGTCCAGAATTCATATTTACCACCACGGCTTCCCCGCCCCCACCATGCTCAAGGAGAAACACACATACACAACATATGACGAGTTCATTAACAATGCTCCCGTTTCAGAGGATGACATCAACTTCTTCTCGGCCATTCCGTGCGCCAAGCCGTTCCTTAACAACCCATCCACGTATCGCGTCATCCCGTTCCTCCCGCGCTTCGATAGAGGGGAGGAGGACACGACGGACAGGTTCTTCAGTAACGTAATCAACACGCCGGAGACCGTCCCGCGATTAGTCGCTGTTGTGCGCAGACCCGAATTGAACCCAATGGCTGCGGCGCTATCAGCTAGGGGTTCGGGGACGGAGGATGAAAAATCGACACGGTCACCGACAACACCGCCCCCACCTCCAGCCGCCGTTGCGCAAAATTCGCCGCTGGCTGAAGATGCAGACTTTCTCCTCCTCCTCCAGCTGGGCCCCTCGCTAAGTGGGTTCCGCGACACGGTTCATGGCGGCGTTCTTGCTACGTTGCTTGACGAAACGCTGAGTAACTGCGTGGAAGCATTTAGGCAGGATATGCCAGTCAATGGTGGAGAGTCCAGGCCGCGTTTATACACTGCAAGATTGCAACTTTCTTTCCGATCGCCTGTGGAGACTCCTGGAGTAATCATCGTGAAGGCGTGGTTGAAAAGGGTGGAGGGGAGGAAGTGGTTTTTGGAGGGTCAGGTTGTTGGCGAGGATGGGACAGTTAGAGCGGAGGCACAGTCGTTGTGGGTGATGGAGAAGGCAGCAAGGGGGAAGCAAGCTGCCCTTCTGTAGGTACAACTGGGCGCGTTGCCGATGTAATGCTTACAGGAAAGAATGCGACTCAACAAAATGGCTTACAAGCATATAGAATATTGGCTGGTTGGTGGATTGGCCAACCACCACGAAAAGCATTGGTGGTTGGTTTTTCGAGAAATATAGGTAGCTTATACAATAAAATAAATATCATACATCAATAGACTTCTTTTTCTAGACGTCTTTCTCAAAGTAGATATCCATACATATATTTTCGGGACGACAGCTGGGATAGCTCGGATAGCGTAAAAGTACATGTCCACGATCGCCCAGAAAACAGCGGACAAAGATACAGATCCTGGTCAACCTGCCAAAGGAAATAAGGAATCCTTTATACATCGAAGAATTGTAAGGGAAATACACGCCCCTTTCACATGTCGAAATTGAAAACGGAGGATGGGAAGGAGGATTGAAATAAGTTACAACAAGAAGAAGAGTATCATAAGAGGAACAAAATGAGAACCTCGCTGGCCGCCATGAACGCCAAACAGAATGCGGGGGTGGTGTACATATATCAAAACCAAAAAAAAAAGATCACTGGTATATATATGCATGTGTCGAAGATGAGATGATCCGTTGCTCTCTATAGTCTGCTTTTTTGTCCATCATATTCCTCAGCGCCTAGAAATGTAGGAGAGAAAAAAGGTATATCGAAAGGAAAATGAATAAGTATGTATAGATTCGAATCGTTTTATGAGAAAAAATACTCGCTGTTTTTCAGTTTCGTGACGTCGAATTGGCCCTGCATATAGTTAGTAAAAAAGAAGTCAAGGAGACTTGTACAAAAAAGCAAATATTGAACATGTGATAAAAAATTTAATGCATACCTTTGTGGGAACAGCGCGGAAGGTCAACGGCAGCCAAACCCAAATAGGGGCAGGTTTAGACTTGGCCTTCGGCTTTGTGCTTGGTGATGCTGCAACATCGAGACCCTGGTCCATTGAGAGCTCGTCCGGCTGGTTGGAAGGATCAACTCTCAGTGCATCACCCACAAGCGATTCTTCAAGCTCATCTAAGGGGTCTTCCGAAGTGACTACTCGGTCCCCCTTGGGCTTTACGGATTCGTCCGGCGGAATTTGTCCGATGCCTGCTACACCGAGAGATTGCATTGAGGCAAGTGAGGACTCAGCATCCTGGAGCTCTGCAACGAATTTTCCAGCTGTGACCATTTCACGGCCCTGGGTCTGCAACTTCGGGTCGTTGGATCGCAGGAGTTTCAGTCGCCTATACTCATTAACAAGTTCATCCAGTTGGGCCTGCTTGCTATTTGCTGATTTGGTAGTCTTGCGCCATTTCGATATCGCTTTTGCCAGTTGCGTATTAGGCTGAACGTGGGCTAGATACATGTGGTTTGCGTATCTAGTTTTGAATTCGGAAGCCAGTCTCTGTATGATATCTTCGGAGTGCATTCGAACAAAGGCATCACGAAGCACACGGTTCATGGTATCGACATCGGCTGCGTGAGTCCAGAAGGAGTCGTGGACAGCAGAGAATGAGAGACCGAGTTCGTCGCATTTGACCGCGGAAAGAAACATGTGAGTAGCGTCAAGGGAATGGACGAAATTGGGAGGGAACGCCTGTAGTTGTTTGCGCTTGTTGACGACATCACTGGCCTGAGGGTTCCGGATGCTAAGCTGCTGCAAATCGCTAAAAACTTTGACGCAGGCAGCGTCTCTATAGGGCTGGGCAACTGGGAGTTTCAAGGGAGTTGTCCAGACAACGGTAGATTTGAAGTGGGATTTGGGATCCTTGATATTTTTTGCCAACTTTTTTGCACCTTGGAATCTCCCCACTACCTTGAGGTTCCGTTCGTCTGAAAGGGCCTCGATTTGCTCAGGGCTCAAGGACTGACTGATACGATTTGCACAATCACCAAGCCAAAATTGGATGTCGTGGGCACCAGTAAACATCGAACCTAATGCAACAAATATCTTTCTTGCGATATATGTGGCGCATTCACCTGCAACCCCAGAATGCAAGAGGTCAGGATAATGATCCACCAGTTGTTTCCGCACCTGCCGGATCGCCCCGAGGAATGTGACACCGTAAACGTTGGTCATAACCGTTTGTTTCACAATTTTCCTGGTGATTTTGTCTTCGAGTAGTTTTGCAGTTTCATTCCCCTTGGCTGCATCCTTTTGAATGGATTGTTTGACGTGTTCTGCAACGCCGGTATAAATATCCGAGGGGCGATCGGAAGGCTCAAGGTTCACCTGTTGGGCGCCGATAACATCACCTCCCAGGGCAGCATAATGCTGAAGACCATTGCAAGAACCATCTTGATGAACAGGCAGGTGGGAGACAAATTTGGTTGGGTCTTCTAGTGCCATCGCATTTGTCAATTCTATACAGGCTGCAAGACACTGAAAGGGGTCTCCAGCATCAAGCCACCATCTTTTGCCCTTTAAGCCATTAATGGCGGAGTCTCTGATATCTTCCAGGTGGTCCATTGCAAACTGCTCCCGTTCCTGGAAACTAGCTTTATCGAAACCAAACACATTCGCAAGATGAATTTTTAGCCACCTCAAGCCGCTTGCGCCTAATTCGCGACCTTTACTGAACAAGAGAAGACCACGGCAATGATCGGCACCCATTTGATTAAAGTATGGTGGCATCGGATATGCGCGGCCACGGAAATCCAAGTTGTGGGGGAGATAAAAGGTTTCGTTCCTGTACGCTCTAGCAATTTCTAATTGGAAATTCTGGAAACATCGCTGTGAATGGTATCCTGTACGAGCGTTAGTGGCATGCATTTTTGCCCGATAATAATCTTTAAGGATATCTCGGTCGTCCGTGTCGGGCTTTTCTGGTTCGATGATATTTGGATTTTCAGGAGCAAGGTTAGCAATTTCTTCGCCACTATTCCAGGCCTCGAGCATCACATTCAAGACCCCTCGGTTGATTTTCCAGCCAGTTTTTCCTAGGACGGTTAATCCAGCAAAGACAGTATCCAGGTCTCCACGGGCTGCTGCGGTTTCCACATAACTCAGCTGAGAGATATCCCCTTGTTTGACTCGCATGACTGTCGACGGATATTCGAGAAAGCCACCTCCTCGAGCACTGGTCCAGGGGCGTGGAGGACAGACCATGGGCAAGTGTTTCGCTAACAATTCACCGAGAGGTTCTCGGCGTAATTTCTCTACGATATAGTCATTGGCATGAACATAGCCAACTCTAAACCCACGTTCCAATTGGTAAACACGTCTGAAAGCGGCTTGGTCAGTCTGCTTTTGGTGGTTTGTTTTCGGATCTTTGGTAGGAACAGGAACAGTTGCTGTCGACAACAGCATTGACGCAAGGCAAGCTCCAATTTTGGCTTGAACAACGGGTGACCAATCAACTGGCCTTTGGCTTTGCTCAAATCTCGCAATTATTCGTCGCCATTGAACTTGGGCCTTTCTTGTGCCCTTGTGGACAAGCTTATCGATGAGGGCCGAGGTTTTCTTTGTAGGTTTAGACTTTTTCTCCAATTCACGCAATTGCATCGCCAAGTACTCGTCGTAGACTGCCTTTCCCACGTACATCACGAGCCCTGTCAACTTTACCCCCTTATCCACGCCACTTTTATTGAGAGCATTAAAAGTGCTAAGAATAGTCAGGGCGGCGAGTTTGTCGGTCTTGATCGCTCTCAGATATGGAGATATTTCTACCCGTTGGCTGTCCGCCGGCGACATGCGCGACTTCTTTTCAGATTCCTCGATACGTTCCAGCTCCTCATTTATCCTTGACATGAGCTGTGTGTGCCAATCGTATAGAAAGGCGCCCATCGGCTTGCTGGGAATAGGATTGACTCCAACTCTGTGCAGCATTTCGCTTTCCTTCTTCCAACGGGCAATAGCTGACTCGACGCAATCTGATTCTAGGCGACGTTGCCTCATCTGCGCATAAGCCAGATCCTGTTCTTCTTGGGAACCAGTCAAATCGGGTGGTCTTGGAACCGCTTGTTCCGAGTCAAAAATAGATAAAGTCTCTCTCAGCGAACTGAGGCCAAGTCCTCGTTGATCGGTAGGGCGAACAATAGCAATATCGTCAGGAGGGTGCAGCTTCGGTTTAACTTTAGAAAAGTCTTCGTCCGGTTCGATGGAGGATTCGTCGGGCATGGTTGAGTCATTATAAGCATTTTCGGAACATATCTAGTTAAAGAATATCATGTAATTAGTCACAAGAAAAAAAAAAATCCGTAACGCGATCAACTAATAGAGCATACCTCTGATAGCAGCCCCAAGTCCGCTTCCGATAATATGGGAAGACCCAACACTTCCTCTTCAATCTCTGCATCCTTTGCAAGATTCCAATACCTCCTCACTGTTCGTTTCTGCTTATTCTCAAATAACATCCGTAGCGCCATCTTAATCATCAAGGCGTAGGTTATGGCATCCGGTTCCGCAAAAGCATACTTCATGTCGACTTCAAACCATTTCTGCGCCCACCACACCATCCCGTAGCGTCGGTGGACAATCATATGCGAGATCATTGAACGTAGATATTTGTTGTGAAGGTCAAGGACTTCCGGCGTACCGTACCCAATGAGTTTGGCGACACGATGAATCAGAATCTCCGAGCGACGAAACATAGCAGCTGAGAGACTGACATCTAAGTTTGCAAGCATCTCACTCAGCTCGCCTCCAATTCCATTAGATCTTCTAACAGAAGGTGGCCGGCTGATTAGGAAATCCTTTCGTATGATGACTGAAGAGGTATCGATGTCGTCGGGCTCCGGATAAGGAAGCCGCTCGTTCCATGGCGAATTCGAAAGAGGGGAGACATTTAGAGGCGAGTGGATCTCTGCATGCCCATATGGTAGGCCCTCGAACGGAATATTGATATCTGATGTCGCTGTCGCTAATGAACGGGTGGATTGTAAGGATAGGGAGTTGGGAGCCTCGAGTGTTGGCAGGATAACCGGTCGACACAAAGTTTGAATTCTGCTCGATTGGCACTTCAATCGCGGGTACACAGAGGAAATCCACGGGGAAGATAGGTGCTCATACGATCTGCCTAATTGGAGTAGCGTTTGTCGCCGTTGAGCGGCCCGACACAACATGCTTGCAGAGAACTAGAATTCTGATTACAATTGATAGAGATGAGCAAAAAAAGGAGGGAATAAATGAAAGGGAAAAGGAAAGTAAGAAGGAAAAGAGAAAGAAATTAAGCAGCTCCCTCCCCTCTGCGTTCCCGACAAGACAGGAGATTGCTTGGGCGTTGAGATCGGAATCTCGAAAGAAAATTATTTCGGGAGCTTTTAGCTGGTTCAGCAGATATGCCGGATAATAATTATCCCGTACTAAAAAGCTGACAGGTCATGTGATTTATTTTCGACTCTTGCACGTTTTGATATCAACAGATGGTGCAGGAGATCAGTGGATTGGACGGGAAGCAATGGTTATTAACTGAAAGGGATTGTTCAATTGTAAATAGTATATATATGTGTATGTTACCAATGGTGTCTTACTCGGTACAAATCGTGATCTGACCATGAACTTCCACTACTCCATCTAGTCGACTGCCTCAACCCTCCCACGGGCATCAGACGGTCTCCGCGCCTTTCTCCGCAGCTTCATCGCCCACCCGGCCATCTCCGGGTTGATAGGGTCTATCCTCGGCGCACTCATTCCATCAATATAGTCTTCGGGAGTAATTGCAGACTGCAACAGCGGAGGCTCATCCAGCGATTGATTGAACATATATTCCTCATACTTATCCCAAGAATCTTGATCCTACATATAGTTAGTAAATTTGAGTTTTCGTTAAAGATAACCTGGAGGAGTATTTCAATTTTCCCATACATTCTCATCGATCCATGTGTATTTCTCCCATTTCTCCTCATGCATGCGCCTCAGAAGCCCGTTATTGCTCGCAATATTACCCGTTTCAGCCTCCGCAGATTTGACCTTCATATCGATCGCGCGGGCCTCAGTTTGCACAGCGCGAGACCCGCCCTCTTCGTCAGCGTCGCGTTTGCCTTTCGCTATGGTTTTGTTCCGTGCGGATACCTCGTCAAATGCGTCCAGATGGTGGAGTTGGGAACGGAGCTGGACGACCGCAGACAAAGGAGCCAAGTGCAGTTCATCTAAAAAAACAGAAAGAAGAGCAAAAGAAAACCCGCCGCTCTGTTAGCATATAGGTAGAATAGCCCAAGTCAGAAAAATGGAACTAAGGGATCGCACATACTCTCCCTAAAGGCCCCCAACATGTAAACCGGGTCCCCATCAACAGGCTCCTTAATCCTCCCCCCGAGCGTCTGCGTCGTCATGATGACCCCGGCCTTCTCATCTTCATAATCCAGCATATCCTCCTCATCCCCCGCAAAAATCTGCTGTCTCCTTCTTCTTCCCGTTGTAATCTCATCCTCCCCATCCTCAACACCCACAATGCCAGCACCAGCACCAGCACCAGCACCAACAGCCAACCCCTTAGCCCTTGCCCCAGGATTAAACCCACCCGCCATCCCCATCGTGCCCCCTTCAGCAATGACCCTACTCTTCCTCAGCGCATTGCCGTATCTACGCCCCTTCTTCTCATCGTAGTTGACATGCGTGTTGATCGGTATATCGACTTCCACGAGGCCCGTACGCGGTTTCAGACGGAGCTCTGTAGGTTTCTGGTGGGTTGCGGCGTTGTAGGGCTGTGTGGCCTGGCGGTCTGGGTATTGGAGGAGGAAGCGCCGTATTTGAGAATCGGTTATGTAGATATCGTAGGAGGCTATTACGGGGTCGTCGGCTGTGGGGGGAGGGGTTGTTGTGTTTGTAGAGGCGGATGTGGGTGCGGGTGCGGGTGCGGGTGCGGGTGCGGGTGTAGAAGCCGTTGCATTTCTTACGGTAGCTACGTGACCTTGTTAGCTTTGGACAGATGTATTCATGCGCGGGTTCATGTTTTGTTTAGTCTTATATGTCTTTATTTCCCTCATTCTTCTGGGATCAATGCACGATGAGGGCTATAGGTATCGACTTACACGTCATGGTGTTGAGGGAGGAGGGGTGCTGACAAGATAGTAAATCACAGCGTGGCTAATTCAACCCATTGAAGATAGCATTTCCTTAAAACTGGCTAGGATTGTTTAACAAATTTTTACGCTTCTCCGAGATGGTCGTTGTCAGTACTAGTACTTTGCTATCTTAAGCTCAATGTGACAGAAAGCTTTTTTTTTTGTTTTTTTTTTTTGGTGCTCTTCTGACACAGCTAAAAACCCTAACCAAAATTTAGTTCCAATTGTGCAGGTTTCCATCCACAATTCGCATCAATCAGGTATAATATTAACGGGCCATTGATCTGTACTTAAAACAATTTTCTATGTGGGAATTACGGAGCTTCCGGTCCATTTTAGTTACATGAAAAGAATGTTATTTAAAAACGACGGCAAGGAATTCAAATTTCTAGGATAGAGTATGAACTTATATACAGGTATCTGCGTATCTATGGAGAGAGTTTCCGCAAATACAAAAGAACATGGACTGATTCCAAAATTGATTGTTGAAACACATAGCACGAAGAGACGTCAAAAAGCATTTCAAGCAAGGTATAGTAGAGGAGCTAGATATCGATGTGGTTTATGTATTACTCCTCATCCTCATCGTCTTCCGCAACCTATACGCTCAGCCATTGGAATTAGTAAAAACGCATGAAAAAGAAAGGAGAAAGGAGAAAAATCACTTACATCTTCATGGAAAGTCTTCCCTTCCGTTGTCTCCTTAATAACGCCAGACCGAATACACCAATCACCAAACCTCTCCGACTCCCCTCCTTCAACGGCTGCCGCTCGCCGCTCCAGCGAATACCGCTTCAGCAATTCCTTCATGATCGTCAGAATCTCATCCTCCATAATCGACGCTCGGTAAAGCTTATTCAGCCGCTGGCCATGATAACCACCGCCCAGATACATGTTATAGGCACCATATGCTTTACCCACAAACGCCACCTCGGCCAACCAGGGTCGCGCACACCCATTTGGACAGCCTGTCATGCGCATGACAATGCTTTCCTTGCTCAGGCCGTTCTCCGCCAGGCAGTCCTCGAGCTTGTCGATCAGGATGGGCAGGTAGCGCTCTGACTCAGCCATCGCAAGCCCGCAGGTGGGGAAAGCGACGCAGGCAGACGATGAGAGTCGCAGACCTGAGAAGGCGGTGTTATCGAGTTTGTATTCAGCCATTAGCGCCTTGACGGCAGGGAGATCAGCGTCTTCGATGTTGGAGAGGATAACGTGCTGATTACCGGTAAGGCGGAACTCGCCCTTTCCCAGCTCGGCGAGCTTGCGGAGACCCGTACGCATCGAGAATTCAGCTGTGTCTTCGACGCGGCCGTTTTCAATGAAGAAAGTGAAATGATTCAGACCCCTTTCATCTTTCTGCCAGCCGAAGGTGTCGATGTTGGAGTCGAATTTGAAGGGGCGCGATGGTGTGAAACGGAGGTTTGAGGGGAGCAGGTCTTCGACTTTGCTCTTGAAAACGTCAGAACCCATGTCGTCGATTGTATACTTTAAACGGGCGTGCTTGCGGTTTTTGCGGTCGCCGTGATCACGCTGGACGAGCATGATCTTTTCGCAGACGATGTGGATGTGGTCTGCTGGGACGAAACCGAACATGCTTCCTGTTCGCGGGTAGGTCTTTTTGTTGTTGTGTGTCATTCCCATGCCGCCTCCGGCAAGAACGTTGAATCCTTCCAGGTGGCCGTTGGCGCCTTTAATGGCAATGAGGCCAATGTCGTGAGCGTAAACGTCGGTGTCATTGTGTGGGGGGATGGCAATGGTAATCTTGAATTTTCGAGGGAGGTAAGTAGGCCCGTAGAGGGGTTCATGGTCAACAACGGCGTTGCCCGCAACCTGGATTTTGGTATCCTTGTCATCTTTCAGCCAGATTTCGTGGTAAGCAGTCGTTGAAGGTATCAAATGATCGCTGATACGCTTTGAAATGGCATGAACCTCTTTATGGTAATACGACAGCTCCGGAAGGCTGCTGCACATTACATTGCGGTTTACATCACCACACGCGGCAATAGTGGTCATCAGGGCCTGGTTGATGGCTTGCATGGCAGGTCTCAACTTCCCCTTGACAACGCCATGGAACTGGAAGGTCTGGCGTGTTGTGAGTTTCATCGTCTCGTTCCCATGCGCGCTGCTAATGGCATCCATTTGCAGCCATTGCTTTGGCGTTGCAACTCCGCCGGGCAATCTGCAACGGATCATGAAGGAGTAGGCAGGTTCCAATCCCTGAGCCTTGCGTTCGTCTCTCACGTCGCGATCGTCTTGCATATAGGTGCCATGGAACTTGGTAAGCTGTTGGTCAGTTGCGGAGATTGCACCAGTCGACTCATCACGCAGGCCCTCTGCGATAGTGCCTCGCAAGTAATTGGATTGTAATTTCATATCCTCGTTGGTCAATGGCGGCGGTTCCTCAGGTAGTCCCTCGACCTTGTCCACACCCAAAGCCCGCCACAATCTCGGCTCCCATTCCTGATACCCCGTCTGGAACGCGTCGGGATCCTGGTCATCTCCCAGGCCGATGTCAGTCAATTTCTTGCCGCCAAGGAATGATACACGAGCGTCAAGATCTTTTCCGGGCTTGTTGTAGTAGATCTTGTCCTCTTTTCGAGGCCAGTAGTGACTGTCTCCCAATGAGAAAACTGAGTAGTGAATGGAAGAGAGATCGAGGTCCCCAGAGTTCTTGATGACCTCCCACAATGCACGACCGTTCTGAGGAAATTCGCCCTGGCCAGCTGTGCTGGTAATGAACGCCACATTTTCCTCAGTAGCCAGGTCTTCGATGGGATAATCATCCATAGCCAAAACCATAGTCTTCAGACCACGGGCCTTTCCGCGATTAGCTAGCCTCTTAGCCAAGTTCTCGGCGTTACCATTATCAGACGCGAACAAAATAGTGAGAGGTGCGCCAAAGAGACCCTCCAGAAGTTTGTCATAGGAGTCCTTAGCAGCTCGCTTTTGCAGAGCCCGGACTTCCGTCCCATAAGATTCTGACAAGCTAGCCGAGAACCGGGGATGTCGCTTCATCAGCTGGGTGAGTTGGTTGTCCCGACGAAGAAATCCCTCTAGCTCTCGCTTGATCCTCTCGGAATCGAGGGCGAAATTGGGTTCTCCTCTCTCCGCATTTTTCGGGTTCCATCTATACAGCGGCCAGTATCCCAGGTCAACTGCTTTTTTCGTTTCCTGCAAGATGGTCAGGGGCGAGTCGCTCTCCTTGTTGTAAGGTAGATAAGCAAGAACGACAGAAGGACCGTCAAATTGATCAGCTTCTGCCATTGCCTGCAAGACCTGGGTATACGACCCATACACCGCAACAGATGCGACATAGGCATTTCCAAAGTTCATGGCATAGAGGCCGATGTCTTTCTTTCTCCGTGTGGCATCTGCAGCAACGCGCTCAGAGTAAGGTTGCGAATCGATAATAAGCATATTAACATCGGCACCCGATGCGAGGACGTGGTGAACACCAGAGTTGCCTAAATCGTAGGCCCACGCATCAGAGCCAATCAACCACTGCGATTCCTTCGAGAAATACTGTTTCGATTGCAGCAATTTCCTGGCTAGAGGGGATCCATCGACACCCAGCTGGGAAATCACATCGGCAGCAAGACTATTTGCTTTGACCGCGTCTGTGGCATTTAATGCCCACCGTGAAAGCCAAGTCTTGGGAGTATCAGTTGTAAACATGGTTGACTTAGCCGCTTCTGCAACCTCACGAATGAAACGTTGTCGACCTTCGATGCGAGCAATGAGCGAACCGAATCCATACTCTGGTGTGGAGGCAATTGTGCTAGAGATCCCTGCATTCTCGGAACCAAGCTGATTGGCAACGTAAAGCCGAGCGCTGAAAAGCTGGTTCAAAATCTTCATATATGCGTTTTCGGCCTCAGGTTGCCCTGGAGCGCTGATGGTTATGGAGATCTCCTCTGGGACTTTTTCCCTGCCAACTTGAAGGTTCTGGATTGGTGAGTCGGCCTCAAGGTTCTGAAATATGTCGCGGAGGGTTTGGGAAGCTGTTGAAGGCTCGATATACCCCAGTCTATAACCGACAAGTTGAGGAGCCCTTCCGCTACTGGTTGGTTGCGACAAGCTTGACAAAAGGTCCAGGAACGCAGGGCCCCATCGAGTAGTCTTACGCACCTGCTCCAGGACTGCAATGCGCTCGATCGACTTCGGGATCGTATGAGATATTTGGCCACCAATCCAGGGACGATAGAGACGAGCAGTGATGACTCCAACGTTTGCGAAATCGGCTTTGCTGCTCGGGTTCCTGAGGACATCGACAAGGACGCCGGTGGAGCCGAAAACGAAGACGGCCGATTGCGCATTATCCGGTCCGACGTATTCGATAGCATGATACTGGCGCCCAGATAACTGCGACAATTCATCCCATATTTTGCTGGTTATTTGGAAGATATCAGAAGCGTCCACGGGCCGTACAGTTAAGGGTTCCACTGTCGTGGCTGATGAACTCGCGGGAACGCCATCCGAGCCGCTGTCGCTCCCGGACGAGGAAGCAGAGAAATGCCCATTGGCAGACGTATTCAGCGGCAATGAAAGCTGGGAAGCGGATAAACCGGTAGCGTGTCCCTCGCTTGCTCCCAGATCTTCCTCCACAATGGTAGCCACACGTCCCGAGTTCGCATACAATGTGTGCGGAGCATTCGACGGCACGTGAGCGTGCTGAACAAGTTCCAAATCCAGGATTTTCTTCACGAGCTCCGGATCCTCCGAAGCAATCGGCTTATCCTGCTGGGAATTGGTTGCGTCGAAGAAATGGATCACTCCTTTCCCCGACTTTGCCGCAAGAGAATGTGCAGTCAAGGCGATATCCTGAGCCTCTTGCAATGTTTCTGAATGCAGAAAGGAAAATCCACATTGGCGGATAGAGCTAACCACGGAGTAATCGGGGAAAGGGGCTGGATCCAGACAAACATGAATGACGAGGGGGTAGTTTGCCAGTTTATATAGGTAGGGTATGGATGGAAGGAGGACAGAAGAAGAGGCAGTGAGGGCAACGCGGTGCCCCGACTGCAACGGCTGGAAGGCCGATAGTAGCGGGTCCTCATTCTGGCGAAGGGAGCGGATCTACCATGGGAAGAAGGAGTGGCATTTATTAGAGCTATGTCTATATAGCAGTAGCAACAAGCGAATTAAAAGAGTCACCATACCTCCGGGAACCCCTGCGACACTACTCCCCGCACATTGTCCGCAGAGAGTTTCCTGAGGTGTTTTGAAAAGAGCGAATCAGCCTGGAGGGATGGCTGCACAGACAAGACAAGGTCGCTCGAGAGATAAGCGATCCTCGCAACTGTGCGGTTGAAACCAGATAAAAATTAGCATGAAAGATCGTCTCCAATTTCAACGAGCAGTATTCACTTCAGCCAGTGCAACACACAAGGGCAACATACCGGCCTCGCCCGCAGTTGACACCGATCCCATCGCAACTGAATTGAAGGCGGGGGTGACGAGCTCGATATCAGAGCGCAGGCGTAACCTCAACCACAGTCAATCCAATCCCAACGCACTCTATAACGATTGAGATACCAACAGCAATGGTAAGGATGAGAAGCAGAGAGAAAAAAGAAAACCGAGTTGCTTATCCACGCCATCATGATTACTATTATTTCCCTGCCCATTCGGCCCGGCGTCGTTCTTGCAGTCTTTCGACGGGGTGTGATTGGTCTGCGATCACGACATCGGTGCAAACATGCCAAACTAGGCAGTGGACACCGCAAAACTTGGCGTCTTCTGCGTGCTTTGGGTGCTTGCGGGTTCTAGTTGAACGTGAGTGGGAAAAAGTTGAAAAAAGTTGAACAGGGTTAGAAACTAGTTTTCCGTGGTTGCTCTCGCTCTCACCATGGATAGGATCGCGGTTCGAAAAGAAAGTTGAGCGTGGTTCGAAAAGGAAAATCAAAGCTTCTCACCACAACATATGATGAATAGTTCTTCGAGACATTATTGCAATCCTATTACATTGTGCTTATATGATATCTTTCTCCTGTAGATGCAAGCATATGCTATTCATTGCCAGCCATTTAGAAGAATACCTAGTTGGTAGGTCCCGTTGATGGTTGACGCTGATAAATATAAATACCAATGTTAGGTGCACATCGGAATCAGCAAGTGCCTGCAGCCACCTAGTTGAGCATGGTTTGAATTAGTAAGGTAACCCTCGATCCGAGTGAGAATTCTCTCACCATGTTCAACTTCGCTAACCAGATTCAACTAGAACAGGCCTACCTGCCTTGGCCCACCATCCTGCTTCAGGTGGAGATCCTGTGGAGTGTGTTCGATCTGACACCATTTCCCACAGCTCTAACGAGATCAATAATGATCGAAAAAAAAAATTTTAAAAAAAAAATTAAAAAAAGGTCTCGTGCCAAAAAGCCAATGCCAAGAGATCTTGATTCGGTCCTCAATTGATCGTCTCCTCGAAAAAAGACGAAGTAACCCGTACAACAAATAAGCCAACATGTCTGTCAGGTAGTGTTTTGCGCATCAGGTAATTCCTCCCTGTTCAATTCAAGAAGATAAGACATGAAAAAATAATGCCAAAGGAGGATGGATAGGGAAAGAAAAGGTAAACGCCGACACAAGCGAAACACGACAGGGTGCAATGCTGCCGTGAATGAATAAATAAATAAGCATATATGTAACCCGAAAACTGTCAAGGTGAATTGGGGAAACAAAAGAGAGAATGAGTATACGCATGTACCCCAGGAGCAGGAAACAGACACCAGGGAAAACAAGAACAAGATGCAGTCCCTTTAAATAGAACACTTCAAAACAAACTAGATCACAGTAGCCCTCCCTGCTCGTGAAAAGCAACGAGGGAAAGATAGGAAGCATAGGGGAGGATAAGGAAATAAAGAGAAAAGAAGAAACACATCCCGCCCCCGACTTTCGTACAATAACAACATGCACGTGTATTGTACACCCAATATTCTCAACAACGCATTCATGGCATGGATAAAAGAGCAGAAAGAACAGAACAATGCGGAGTCAAGAACAGGCCCAGCCGAACAGACCCCTTACCATGAACCAAGTCCAATATGTAGATAAAAGCGCGTGAAAGGGATTGAAGGAGAGAGAGATGGAGGGAAAGGGGCGGGGCAGCGGGGAGGAAGAAAAGCTAAACATCGTAAAAAACGAGGTTGGGCGGGGAGGGAAATTTGAAACAGAGAGGATTGGAGAAAAAGAGAAGGAGAAATACAAAATACCGCCCTCGAATTCTCCGTTCCCTTAACTTATTATCATCCAGGAGGCTGTCGTTGTCCTCGTAGTAATTGTTTATGTATGTATGTGCATAAATATAAATATATGCTCGGGTCGATCGATATGCATGAGGAAAGCAACAGGGAGGGAGGCTATAAAATTGAATTCGCACCTGCGAATCAATTTATCGCAATTCCGCTTGGCGGTTTTCGTTATTCGTCGGGCCTAAATGGGAATATGTTTTTTTTTTCACCTTTTCTGCTGATGGAGGCTGAGCGACGGTTGATTGGTAGGGAATGTAGTTTTGTCAATGGTAAAACTTAAGTAGGTGAAAAAGGAAGTGAAGTCGTGGTCATATATCGATCGAGGGATGCAATCAGTCTGTGTATGATGATTTCCTATCATTCGCATTTTGTTTCCCTTTCTCAATGTATGACGATGGTTTCTTGTGTCGCCTGAGTGACCCCTCTGTATACCAGGAACAGGCGGTTATGTTATACCCTCATTCCCTCGCTCATCTCTACCGAGCTTCCGACAAGTCGTACATTTTGACTGATTGGCCTGCTAGTGACTGATTCCGGCTGTGGTTGTTACTGTGAGCCTGCTGCTGCTGCTGTTGCTGCATCATCGAAGCTTGCACAACAGCGTTGGAAGGTAGCGGAGGTCCAGTCCCAGATCGGCGACGTCTTTCTCGCTCAGAAATTCCACTCCCTGGGTTATTATTGCCCGTACTAAACGGGTCAACGCTCTTGCGGAATTTCCTATTCATACCGTTCATCCAGCTATGATCATCATCTTCAAGCCAGTAGCTGCGGCCCACAGACACCATAATCCGACCGAATTTGCCCTTCCACCCTTGTCCCTCTGGTGATCTAGGGTTGAATGGGTTCGGATCGCTATCGATGTTGCTGAGTATCGAGGGGTTCCGGTTATGCGTGTGGATCGAAGTTCGGCGGCGGGAGTCAACTGATGTCCGGGCGTGGAAAGCGTATTGCAGTATGCATTGACGGGCAAATGCCAGCATGACAAACACAAAGTACACACGGATGGTCCACAATGTGCATATAATAGCAATGCTCTGCAAGCTTTCTGGCTGCAAAACGCCGTTTCCAAGACTGGCGGAGCCAGATGAATCCGCACCGTTAGCTCTGGCCGGCACGGAGGTTGGTTGAGCACTGGATGTAGTGCCTTCCGAAGAACCAATGTCGGAAGAGACGTTGACTGTCGGACTGGTGAAACCGGCTGTGCCCGCCACCATCGAGCTGCCGGGCCTTGCATCACTCTGCTGTTGGGAGATAACAAGAAACCAAGTCACAGCAAAGGCAGCTGTATATGCCGCATTGATGACGCTGTCGATCAGGTAGAACCAAGCCAGCGCAAGACACTGTAGAGGGGACTGTAGTCGGATATGCGGTGCGAGTACAGCGGTCACCGCCAGTCCCAGGATTGAGTATATGTACATCGACAGCTGGAAGGGGGAGAGCTGGTAGCTGGTCAAGAGGGCAAGCAGGCCGTAGACCCCACTAATCTTGTTCAGGAGAAGGGAAAGCGTGATGAGAGCGGCGCCGGTTTGTAGGCTCATCAAATAGAGAAAAGACTGGGGTTGAAACACCCATCCAGGGCGCAAAGTTAGCAAAGCTGTTGCTAGAACAAGACCTAGAAAACCTACCAGAACGGAACAAACGAAGCTCTTGCATATATTCATACGGGCAGGAAAGGAGAGTCAACATACCTGTGGCCGCGGAATGCGGAGGAATCGTAATGAAATGCCCATTTTGCTGGTGAACGCAGCGGGCTACGGGAACCCTTTGGGCGGTCGCAATAGGAGCGAGAAGCTGGCTGGCACCTATATTTGCACGGTGGAGGTTCTCCAGCTTGGAACAAGAGATAGGCAGAGTGCGATCTAATGACGACTGGGGGGATGAAGCTGGAGGGCGGCTGTTGGTTTGAGAGCAGATGTCTTTTCAGGGAGTTGAGTTGTTGGAGCGTTCGATCTTTGGTTCTTGCTCAACTTTCTCCGCCAGGTCCGATTTAGCGCCGCCGCCAGCAAACGGCAACCAGCATCAGGCTACAAAAGAATAAGATCCCTGAATTCTCCGGCTATTAGGCCTTGGTGAAATCAATAGTGGACACGATGGGCAAAATAGCTCCTTGCTAGCAGGTGTATTTTTACATCCGACCTTTAGCGGGCTAATACTTTGCGTTGGAGATAGTAAGTTAATAGTAAGTTAATTACGGAGTAGATATAAAACTCTAATGGAGCTTGAGAGTGATTGATAATTGAGGATTGGTCACACCTCTTACCGGCCCATTTATGGGATCGTGTCGATGAGGAGTTTTCTACAAAATAACGAGTACGCTGAATCAACTAGATTGAAGGAGTAATAAGAAGATCTAGGATCTAACCAAGATCTAAGTTACAAGTATAGAATAGTTAGCAACAAGCATTAAAATTATTCAAATCATCTTCTTCAGGCTGTGTACTTCTCGATATATTCTAAATCTTTAGAATTGTAGAACGGTGTAGCTGGAGTATATCTATGTAGTGCGGTATGAGAGACCTGGCACCCAGTAATCAGCATGACATCGTCCCTCGTTTTTATTAGAAGCTGCTCTCAGTGGGTATATGCTTGGAAATATCTCCCTTGGCTGTCACTTTGATGGAAAGATCCTGGAGTACATACATAGCCACGACTTACATTTTCTTTCTCCCTTCTCTTTATCTGCTTTTCTTTTCTGTTTTTAAAAATTGATAAATCGGGGACCGTAGTGCTTGGGCCCCATTTTATTGTAACGAGTTAAATGTGCTGCTTACAGAGCTTACGGAGCCATTCCAGGCCAATAGTTATTCAATATGAAATGGCGCAGCTGTTACAACCCTTCTGCAACCGGAGCAGGATCTGACACCTGGATGCCATTGGTTGGTCTCGGATTTCATGCTACGTCCAGAAAGGGAGACAGCTCGCGGAGCCCTCAAGTGATTGGGAGACCACCCTTTCCAACAGAATGTGTAATGTATGCATAGGTGCTTAGGATTGCCCACAGATCTTTTAGACTTCAGTACTATCTGGCCTACTGATACATTCCAATGACATATTTTATTTCCTATACTTGCTACAGCATATGCAGTATATCGTGGAGATATCGGAGGTGCACAAATTGATCAGAAGCGAGACCAACGCTCCACTCCCCATCTGGGAGCTCCTAGCCGGGGACGAGTTAAAATATTTCCGATCCACCCTCCAGGGAGCAAAAGCGCCAACCAGGAAAACTAATGCTCCACTTCCAACACGCAAAGGATAACTCTAGATGGCCGAAATTCGCGAGGTCGGACGGAGGGGTTTCACACTCGCAAGGGCGCTTGGTTTTTTGATTTTTGATTTTTTTTTTTTTTTTTTTGCAGAGGAGCCGCGGGATGAAACGACAAGAGAGCGCGGGTCGTTTGGGGGAATATGTGCGTTGCTGTTTGACAATTTTCTGTAGATTATAAAGCCCGTCTTGAGCTCTGTAGGTAACGAACCAAGCGTCGTCATGCTTTTTCCTCGAGACGCCCTCACTCCATGTCCTTAACCCATTCTTCATAGTACCTTCTCCACTCCAATTCCATTGCTATGAGTTTAGCCCTCTCTGACCCAGGTTTTGCTACATATTCGGTTCTCCTCAACTCAGGAGACGGATCATGGGATATCGTGACACTGGCCTCTCTCACTCTCCCTATTTGCCGAATAGCATCCAGGTAAATGGGCAGGGTTTTATACATCTGTTGAGCAGTTTGAAGATATACCCACCAAGTATACCATGATGTAACCCGAATATTGAGCTTGATGATGCTGGAATCACGAAGCTGTGTTGCAACAATCTTAATATTTTCAAGGACTGCTCTGGGGTTTTCACAAACTTCAAATTGAAAGCAAAATTGTTTGAATTTTTGCCAGGAGCCAGGTTGAACTGAAAGACATCGTCTTCCCAAGATGTATACACGCCGTTCGGACAGGGAGATATTGCATACGAGATTTCGGTAGAGGATATCGGTTGCTTCCTCAAAAATCTGACGGCTCAGGCACATCATGTTTATAAAACTGCAATAAGTGTAGTATGGAACATATTGGCTCTGATATTCGTCCAGAATATATAAGAAAATATGTTGACGAAGTTCGGTAGGTAGACGCAGTATGTAGCATGGCAGAACGAAATCCTTGTGTTTGACACAAAGCTGTTTTTCAGACCAAGGGATCTTTTTGAGGCATTTGCGATTGTTCCCAAGCACCGCCTGGCAAGAAGTTACCGTGAGCCTGAGCTTCCTATGAAGCCAGCAGACTGGGAGTCCCCCTAGCGCTCGCGAGATGGCCGCTCGATTTTTGCAGGCATCGTATGAATGTGTCAGTGCCGAGCATTGATGTGAAAACTTCTTTGGCTGTTTAAGGGCAAGCTTGGAGCGTTGTTTGCCTCGAGGCATTCTTGCGATGATATAAGAAAATAGATATGAGTAACTATGATAATTGACGACAAGGGTTTGAATTTAACGTCTTGGTGTCAAACTCAGTGTTGCGCTAAAACAAATAAGGTTTAATCTTGTTCAATCATAGTTACGCGATAGTTAGCAGAGCATTAAAAATGATAACTAGGAGCTCTGATTATCTATCTATCTAGAAGGGAATTCAAACTACAATTTATATCTGATAGATCGATATCTTCGCTCGAAAGGAAATGATAACTTTTGTGTGATAAACTCTCGCTTATCAAATAGGTGCTGATTTTGGTGGTGGATTCGGTGGAGACTCTCCGCAAGATGTACTTGGATCGAACTCAATCGGATCCTTGATTCCAGCCCCACGACATGGAGACAGGAAAGTCTTCAATCCGATGCAGACGATAGCAGAGACCTGAGGAATTGTTAGAAGGGGTCAGAAAAATCTGCATACGGTTCTGGACTTCTTGACCAGCAAGGGTGATATTGTGCAGCATGAGCAAGAAGAGCTATTTAAGGATTGGAAAGTCGATAGCCCAAAACGGGCCCAGGGCAATAGCTCTTCCAGCCTGGAAGAGATGCTACTTACAGGACTTCCTCAACTTTCCTATGCAACACGATTATATTAACTGGGGGCCAAATCATAATTTTCCGTCCACCCTAGGTGATCTTCGCAGGTGTTTATCAAAAATGTCCAGGAAAGTTGGAAGAATTACCAAGTTAAGGCTATAATGCAAAGCACAAGTCTACTCTAAGGCCGCAGTGTCGCAGTGAAAATATCATCTTCAGATAATGGAGAGTGGATTTTCCACGGCTTCCCGCAAAATGACTTGATGCAGTTAGACGGTGACTGGGACTCTTTCAAAAAATAACCTCAAACCGACTCACACCCTCACATTGTGATGCCTCTGTCAATGCTCTGCTACTCAGAAAGCATGGCCTTTCTTTGAAGCTGCCAGCCCAAGTCTGCATGTCTATCAGCAGCAATGCTCAGCCATGTTTGCAGTTGAGCTCCCTCTCTCAGTCAAGGGAGATGTCTATATCATTACTCAGATTGAAGAAGTCTCAGTATGATGTATCATCTCTTCATAATTGAAAAAAAAAGCACGGTGGAGAAGCAAAAAAAACATAAGGAATTCAAGTCTGTATCATTATACATGTATGCTATCTTTATTCTTCTATGTATATCTTCGGTGTATGTTATGGAGGTGCTTATCCAAACTAGACTTTTGTGTGAATACATTCCCACATTCAGGGCAGAAAAACGGTTTTTCACCAGTATGTGTGTGGATGCGTTCACGGTTCTGTGAGGCAATTTTATCCAAACAATTGATGTTTGTATCATTTGAGCTGCCCTTGATACTTTTAAGTTATATTAGCAGGTTGAACAACTCAGTACACAGAGTGATAATGGTACCTTAACGTAGTGGCAAGCAGGGGTGATTCACTCTTGGGAGAGGGGGTACAGGGGATCCCTGATGGATTTTGAGCCTCAGAGGGCCAGGGGCGAGAATCTGGCACCATAAAAGATGGATTCTTGTTGTCATTCAAGATTGAAACACGACTTCTCAGAAAGCCCATGACGAATGTCCTAATAAATATACTCTGAAACTGCGCGCCTGTTGAGCCTATAAGAGCCTGCCCCTGGTCGGGCGCGTAGGACGCGTAATATAACGCTAAGAAGTAACAACACGTGAGCACTCGAAGATAAAATCATGTGGGAAGTCGCTCAGGCTTGCATCTTAGATGTCCCATCGCTTCTCAGTCAAAACTTGCGGGTATTGAGAGTTACCATCACTCAACAGCTGGTCCCTCATTAACCAGACAGTCATATTTGAAAGTCCTAGGAGCCAGAAACACAAATCAATCTCCCTTTTCTCCAAAAGAAGAGTATGATAACACCATCATCATGCCCCTGCAATTTATCGACCAGAGTCCCAGTGGGATAACCAGCTCTGACAGGCGTCTTATCCGCTCCCATGTTATGCGAGGCAAGAATACAGGCAAGCAGCGCCAATCCTCCAAGAAACATGGGAATGTTGCAGAACTCAGGCGGATGATAAATGCCTCAAAACCTGCATACACGATTCAGCGACCAATATATTGGGGCGATTTGTGCATCACGTCGTTCCCCAAAGAGCTCGACTCCGAGTCCACAGCACTCATGCATCGATGTATTTTCACCTCTCCTGTTTTTATAGCTCTATCAAGATCTGATGCTAGAGTCATAGGGTTTTTTGACATCAGTGACGCGCTCTTTCCGCCCCAGTTCTGTACCAAGTTCGACATAATAAGATCGATTTGGGTCAACCACATTCTAGCAGACGAAGCTTGTAAGTGGTAATTTGCTGACCCACCCATCAACAACTGCTCACTGACGACAAGAAATTCAGATTTTCATAGCACTCTAGCCATATCTGCGTCATACGTTGATTTTTTCCAGCGGAAGCCAACTGTGTCGTCCAAAACTCTTCATCACATCTCCGAGGCATATGCTCTGGTCAACATCAAACTGTCAGGCCCCGACTCTGTTTCTGATGACGCCATAGCTGCTGTGGTTAGTCTCGCCATCTACCAGCAAATACACCACGAGCCTGCAACGGGACTGGTACATTTTCACGGACTTTATCGCATGATTCAACTCCGGGGTGGGATATCCAGGTTTCTGGAAGAAAATCGTGCGCTAGCACTGAAACCGTTGAGGTATGTAAAGGTCCTTCTTTCCTGGTTTAACCAATTATAGCATCCGCGTGGCAATTCCCAATTTCATCTAATGATTTGCAGACTTGATGTGGAATTAGCAATGCAAAATGGCACCGGCACTCTATTCCACAGGAGTGAGGTGCCTGTTCACCCAATCTTATGCGACCCAGACGCGGGAAGCAGGCGGTATCCCGTCGGTGTCCTCTGGGTACCACTGATGCTGGATATGTTCACGTTCTCAACATTACTCAATGAAGTTGAAACAAAGCAAAGGTTGAGGCTTGACCCGCTAGATTATACAGAGACAATTCTGTCGCTTTTGTACCGACTCGTAGAGGTCTCACCTCTACGGCATGTTCCCACCAAGCCTGCGAGATTGTATGGAGACGTGACATACCTTGCCATGCTAGGATTCATGACAACGTTGCTACCTGAGTACGCTCGCGATGGGCCTAGCTGCCCCCTCATCTCTGATCGCCTCGGAAGCGCCATGAAAGACCTGTCCATCAGACCTGTGGAACCTTCAGACACTGACCCCCCGTTCCTGTTATGGATTCTTTTTATTAGTGGGATCTCAGTGTTGGATCTTAAAGACTGCCACTGGCTATTGTCATTGATCCGTGACACTTGTGAGAGCCTGGAGCTGGATGACTGGGGTTCAATTCAACGGCAGTTAAGCAATTTCCCTTGGATATTTGCATTGCATGAAGTGCCTGCCTATCGACTATGGAAGATGGTACAACTGGGGAGCAGGGACATTTCTTTGGAGATTTCTTCACTGGGATCGTCATGACGCTGGACACAAAAACTAGTGTAACATACATTTGAACTGCCTCAAAATGTCGCTTTGGTTCATTTGACTATCCATTCACTTTCAGACCAGTCCTTTTAGGTGCGCTTCGTACCCGGCCTTGCAGTATAGCTCAGGAGAGATGTAAGACTTGATGTCAGGCTCTCCCTTCTGCGAGCACTGATAACTGATGTATCCGTGCATTCCCTTCCCGTTCTCCAGGCCCCTGTTCGGCAAGCCTTTTTAGCATACCGATGTACGCATCACAGTACGTGCCTCGACCCTGCTCATCCATCCAGGCCATCAAATTGCGAGCAATGGTCAGGTCGTCCGCCCCATACTTGGGAGTAGTCAAGAAAAATTTGACCTGGGGCCTGCCGCTAGTGGGGGCAATATCAAAGAAATAAATAAATCCCTCGCAGAGGGCTTCAAAATCCTTCCACGTTTGTCCGGCTGTAGTGGACTCAACGGAAATCTCTTTCTCCTCGGGAAAATCGGCTGGCAGACCCAACACAGCAAGGATCATGGAGCGCAAATTCTGCAAACTCTCCTCCGAGATGTCGCTGATGCCGCCCATTGTCATAATTTCGCGGACTGACTTGAAGCTGGTGTTCGCTGAAGTGAAATATATCTTAAGTCGCGATTTGGAAGGCTCCACATTGTCCATGCCCATCACGTTGGGTTTCATCAGTTTGCCCTCAGGGCTGTTGCCCAGAAAATGCATCAAAGCATCCCTGCCTGGGTGGGCTTTACCGCAATTCAGTTTCATAATCGCATCGTCCTATTCATGCGTTGTGGCTGGATCACCTCCGATAAACAGTTTTCTCGCTAGGAAGTACGATTTGAGGCCGAAACTGGCCTCTTTGTTGTACTCGACGGCGTGCATGAGAGTTGTGGCTAGTGGCTCTCTAGCTTCGAGCTCCTTGGCATAAAACTCTTTATCAGGGCGGTAAATTTCCGTTAAGAACTGACGATACCATGAATAGTCGACTGCTGGAAGCACCCGAGTCACCTTGTCCATGTAATCTATTGTTGGATCATGGTTTAGTGGATCAGATGCCGTACCCGAGTCCTTGCCGATCGCCTCCCGCGAGTAGCGATTGTCAGGCTCGCTGGTTCTTGTGTTCCACTTCCAGGAGTACTCGAGAGGCGAGCCGTCATAAGCGATGAGTGATTTGAAAACTGGCGTTCCATTAGCCTTCGGCACCGGCCCCAGTCGAGGCACCTGCTAGCCCTGACATCCCAGACGAATGGAGGGTAATGACCTGATGATCCTGTTCAGACACAAAATGAGTGTTTTGTGCAGCTCTTGTCGATTGGCGTCCACCTGCGGCATCCGTTCCCTGCAAAAGCGTTCCCCATTCATCCGCGGGCCGAATGATTATAGCACCATCTCCGTTTAGCTGACAAGTGCTATTTCCCTCTAGAGTCGATGCAGCATCCAAGGCAACAGTGTGAAGCCGGGGAGAGACTATGGCAAGCTTCACACCCGTTTCTCGAAAAAGATGACGCACAGCAAAGGAACTCAGTCGTGCTGATAAAAGGAGTACCAGCACGCCCATGCCCATGCACGCAAGGACATAAATTGCCAATCCGACATGACTTTCCATCATTATGGCAAGTGGGGCGCATTTCGTTACAACTCCGTCTGCGTCAACCGTGGGTGGATGAAGACTAGAGTTCTCCGCTCTAAGTTTGGCCTGGCAGCCTGCAGTGGCACTTTGTTGTTTTGCATCACTCACTGGAACGAGATTTCGGTGCCTTGTCGTTTGGGTGCAGAATATATGGTGCGGATTATGTTTGCCATGAAAATCAACTAGGAGGACATCTGGCATCCGAAACCCGACGTCGCCATGGGTAAGAAATAAACACCCATGGGACAATCGGTGCTGACAACTTTGGAGAAAAGCCACCCTCGCTGCCCCCGGATAAGAATACGGAGGATGGAGTTTGGAGTTTGATCTCGTCATCCCGCGCGGCCCAGGAACCTGTATGCTGGAGAAACCAGGGAGTTAATTACATACATATGTAGTTAACTAGTTTAGCCCATTCCAGCTTCCCCCGCACGCCAATCATGTAGGATATAACTTAGCACACAGTAGTTCTACTGCGTGGTCCGAGAATCATGTAGTTCCATTATCCACAGGAAATGCTAGAGACAAGAGGAGAACGGGGTAGTTTTCATTAGCGATGAGGATTTAACACTCTCGATTCCACAACGACATCAATAATGCCTGCAAACAGCCGCAACGGCTGAAGACTTGGTCCGGTTAACCAGCCTATCAGGTGGAAGAAGACCGGGTTCATCGGTCTAAAGCACAATTTGATGGCAAAAACATGCCACTTTGCCTATCAAATTCTCTCAAAATTTAGAACCCCAGTGTTATCCCAACTTTTGCATTTTAAGATACTGGGAGCACACTTCGACAAGGACATCTTAACAAAATCTTCCATGATAATTTTTACCTGTCTATTGAATTAAAATCCGAGAGAGAAGAATCTACAGCCTGTTATTAACAGGGTAATTAGTAAAAACGGACTAACTAATTTGCTTTCAGTATCGTAGGTATAGATGGGAAATGAAAGAGCTGAGAGAATCGATGAATTGTCGCAAAAAAAAAAAAGTTGACATGGAAATAGTTGTTCTACTTTAGCATGGCGATGCACCCAGGCTGGACAGATTCCAATTTCAAAACAAGCTCGTCCCAAATACCTTTCTGCAGCATTTGGCCCTCCGGATCAGTGAGCCACGTTGGAACCCAGAATTCTTTGATCTTGCACCCGGAAAGAAGCTTGCCATGACCATCCTCTCCCACCAGCAGCCCGTGGAGGATGGTGCGGCTGCCCACCTCTGCTGTACGTGCCATCATGGCTCGGACTGCTTCGTGCATGATTTTAGTGAAAGTGCGGGCATCGCGTCCTAGGCCGGTGCTGCAAAGACCGGGTGCGACCATGGTGATGACAACGCCTGTACGCTCGACTGGGCAGAGTGCTGCAAACTGACGTACAGCGCACTCCCCCACAAGCTTGGTGAGCGCATACCTTGCACTATTTGTCAGTGGCAATATTGCAAAAAGGAATGAAAGCTTGAATCTCACCTCGAGTCCATGTTGGCGCGCTTCTGATCGTTGAGCCCTTCGAATATAACACCATTGCGGCTCTTGTCCATCTCACCTTTGGCAGTATATCCAAGAACACTGACGATGAAAACGAGAGTGGGCTTAATGCTGAACTTGATGGCAGAGTCTTTGAGTTTCGGCATCATCAGGGCGCCGAGGAACACCGTGTTGACAACATTGACAAACATGCTTGTTTCCATGCCCTCAGACTGCGACCACGCGTCGATCATGAGCCCTGCGTTGCATACAAATCCGTCAATTCTGTCCAGTTCTTCCGTTATCTTCTTGACGAAGCTCTGGACAGACGCGTATGTTGACATGTCTATGTGTCGTACCTAGATGTATTGGGGTTAGTACCAGTGATATCGCTGGTTGTGTTGAGAGATGCGTACTTGGACAACTCCCTTGCGCCCGGTCGTCTTCTCAATGTCATTTTTCGCGGCTTCTCCAGCCTTGAGATTTCTCACTGCTAGCACGACACGTTCGGCTGATGCTGAGACGAGATGTCGCGCGGTCTCAAGTCCCAGTCCAGAGTTGCCGCCAGTGATTATATAGGTCTTGCCGATGCATGTCTTTTCGTCGACAAGAATTGGCAATTTTCGGTATTGCTCAGCGGTCAATCGAAGCATCACCATCTTAGCTATGGTGTTGGAGTGGGTTCACGTCGAATACTAACAGTATAATGAAGAATAGTTTTTTAATGGCGACAGTGCGAGGCAGAGTGTTTTCTCACACCTTTCAAAGGAAGCGGATTATTATAATCGTCCAGCTCGGAGGTCCGAATCACACGATGAAATGAGCAGGGGAACAAAAAAAAACATAGTATCTACAATAACTTACTCTGTTGTTGGCCTCTGATTTCTTTTTATACACTCCATAGCGTTTGCTGGGATCTGTCTCAGCCATATCGGGTTCGGGGCCGTGCCAAACAGAGATGGCAACCCTTGCAGGGGGGATTATGAGCTGGTTAACATGTTGGCTGGAAGCAGCCACGACTGTTCTCCGCATGAGTATGTATCCAGCAGCTGGAGCCATGGGGGGAGCAGAGAGAGAGCATGATGGTGTTCTTCGCCGGTGGCCCAGGAGGTGGGAATAAGCCTTGCAGGGATCCCATGTCCCTGTCGCATCTGGCCAATCAGTGATTGGTTCCCCTTTTTGGAAATCAATCATCTTCTTGGATCTCTGCGAGATTTCTGCGTCAACCACCATTATTGCATGGCTTCTCGGCTCCCACGCTGGTCACGAAATAGCTCTGAATGAGGGCCATCTGACCCCTGGCAATTGGACTTGCTGGTTGCATTCTAGCCAGACAGCAACATCCACCAGTTAATCATCCGCATACAGCTCCAGAGAACCGAGTATCATCATATCATTAAATCACCCATCAGAACATAACTAGCAAGTGCTCCGTGTGAGTAATAATTTATTTCCAACTGGACCGCCGGAGCAAAGCTTTCTTTGAGGGTTGTTAGTTTACTAACTGGCTAAGTTAGTCAATAGCTACTTCTTGGCACACGGCCTCTTCTTTTGCCAGCAACCAGTCATTATCAGAGATGACATCGTGTACACCCTTCTCACGCTTGATATGTCTGCCAGCGAAGCTCTCTTGTCGTCTACTTGTCAGATGGGCGAGGGCATCACTGGTAAGTTCTGGTTGGTCAACAGATCAAGGGAGGAGCTCTGTTAGCCTTCATTCTCATCATCGTCGTCTTGGAGTTTTGCATTGCTGCACTTACTCGGATTTATTGATTCTCCCGTATTTCCCACTCCATACTGACTCGGAAGTAGTGTATACGCCAACAATCCTTCGTTCCCGCGATCTGCCATGGGTCCCTCAGACAGGCGCATCATTGCCTATCCAGACAAATCTTGTGCATGAGGTGTGGATTTGAGTGACGAGGAGCTAGTTGAGCCGATGTTGACTATTTTCTTCTCACCCCCTTTCAATAGGAGCGGCAGCAATGCATGAGCAACTACAAATGCATCTTTGACATTGACCTCCCATGACTTCCACTAGTTGTCAATATCGCTCGCGCCCAAAGGTTGTCGCTGCCGGTCAAGCGAGGAAGCCCGGCACGGCGTATTGATGAGAATATCCGCATGTACCCATCTCGAATGAATCGCAGTAACTCCAGCATCGACGCTTGCAGTATTTCAAACTTCAAACTGCACGGATAGTATTTCCACTCCTAGCCTTCCAGCCTCTCTGGCAACTTGTGAGGCCCTTGCATGAGTATCCGAAATACTGGAACTGTCCACTATGGCAATGCGCTCGGCGCCCGCGGCAACAAAAGCAACGACGACCTCCTGTCCCAGACCTTCAGCGGCGCCAGTGAGAACTACTACCTTGCCAATAAGTGGTGATGAGATGGTAGGGTCGAATCCAAGCTGCCCCTGGTTCATCAGAAGGAACCCAAGGACAACAGAGACAAACTGGAGGTCTTTTTTTGTTGATATCAAAGCTCTCTGATGCTATCCCTCCAAGGCGGTCAAACACCCACAGCCGCAGGGACGGCCCACAGAGAGTGAATCCAAGAATAAAACGTCATGAATCCTGGGCAGCTAGAACCTCCCTAGCATACCTTCCTAGATCAAGCCACACGCTTGATGGACTGTCATATTTCTTATCATTCTTCAGCTCCCCTGGCACCAGAATCTGAGACCAATGACATCTGGAGGATTCAGTGGCATTTATATCATCAACAAAACCGATATCAAGCTTTCGCTTTGTGATAGATCCCTCCAACGGCTGAAAAGGTCGCGCTAGAGGCCTCCGATTGATTCTTTGAGTTGCATCATATGCCTCTGCAAACTGCACAAGACTTTTGATGACCTGTGACAGCCATTTCAGCACTTCCTTTTCCACTGCTGTCGCTGGCCAGTCCTGCCAACCCCTCTCCTCATTATACAGTGGATTATCTCACTCCTTGCATTTATCCAAGACAGCCTGTGCTGTCGAATCGAGTCCTGTGATATTCCCAAAATAGGTTTCAAAAATTTTGGTGGCGTCCGCGTGTGGTTCCCCACTATGCTGCGGCTGGCGGTTGCAGTGTATAGGTGGGTTGGGTGGCAACGCCCGCTGTGGGCCGGGGCACACCACCACACCCACAGGTATATATATTACTATGAGCGCAACCATTTAACAAATGGTTACGTTGGCTTTTTGCTATGGATAACCTAGTGGTCATAGTGTTATATTATCACACGCGTGGAAATTGCTGAGCTCTTCTTTGAGTACAGTATCCACATACTTTCGGTATTCCGTCGAGTTCGCGAAACTGCTAGTGTTGCGCACAGAGAGTGTTTGTTGAAGGATCACGACAGGGCGCGGTGGAGGGGTAGTCCTTGAATTAGTCCCGATGAGATCGAGAACGGCGCTCCAGATGTCGTAGTCGGATGCATTTGGATTCCTTTGAATGATAAGCTTCACAAGCGGGCGATAGTCGTTGTAGCAGAAGCTGCCTTTTCGGACACGCAGGGAGAGAGAGAAAAGTTCAGAAGCTATATCGCGACTGCTGAACCTTGACTGAAGTAATAGAGATGCTTCTGTGTTTATCAAAGCAGAAAGGAGAAGCGATACTGCTTCCTGGCAATCTTGTTCAGGCCTGTCGTCGGCGACGCCAAGAGAATTGACCAGGGAATATGAACGCTCTACATCCTGAAGTGGCTCTAGTAAATGATTGAGAGATTCACCCAATGCATGGCTCTCAACCACATTGCGCTCATGTTCCGATAGAGATGTCATCTCTTGAGCGGAGGAAAAAAGGATCACTCTGTGAAGTTCGCGTGGTGCGTGAGAAAGCAACACAATGGGGGGATTCTTACATAAGCTGTAAAAGCTCTGCAGAGGAACTCGTAGTTATCAACTAACGTGCTTATTGTATTGCTTCTTGTTTCTAGGATTCCTAAGATAACAAGGATTAAAATGAACCGATTGTTTTATAATGCTACTATCTTATTCCTTAGTTACAAAGCTAGAAGAAAGGAGGGAAAAAGGAAGAAAAGAAAAACTCATTGAAAAAGAAAATAAACAAATAAACAATGCCGCGGTAAGCAAAAAGGAAGGGAGGAACGCTCCTAAATGGACTGATAGCTAGGCGGTGACTATTGAGGATGCCGCACGGCTTACTCGTGCCTTGCATTGCCTATACGCAGTATACACCGGCCTGTGTTCTCTTCCTGAGAGGTATATTTAGCCGGCCTCTCAATTTGGCAGCGTTGTAATTAGCTGGGTAAGGAGTATAATTCTCAATCCCTAGTTAGAGTTATCCATCCATATTCATCGTATTATCGACATTCTTATTACACCTATGCCTCTCTACTGGTTTCTTCTGATCCTTAGCTTCAGCACACCGAGCCGATCGTGGAGTGTACATGAAGACCCGTAGCATATTTGCACATACGTACTTCGGTATGCGAAAGTTGATATAAAAATTGGCCATGACCGTCTAGGTTTGAGAATACGGGTCTATAACTTCCTCAGGGCCCGCCCAGCCCTTGTTCGAATACGGACGGTATATATAAGAGCTATACACAAAAGATAAGCGCACTTTTTGCTTGAGTAGTAGAGGTTACAGAAAAAAATAGGAATAGGAATGAGAAGAAAAGCCAAACAACTTAGAAAAAGGCGCACAAAAAATAACTATGAAAGCAATTCAGGATGAGTGACGAAACAACTCCGGGGAGCAATGCATAACGAAACGTCGGTACTAAAGGTAATCTGAAAATAAAAGCAGAAAACAGAATCCCAAGAAATAGGAGAATCAGACCCCAGATCCATACGTAGTCAGTAATAATGCTAGCCGGTGCCAGTGGAGAGTTTAACTCGACTCAACATTGGAACTGCATAATATAACAATGGGACAAAAAAATTCCTATCTACGATCGAGAGGAAGGAAAAATTTGAGCGCCGCAGCTTGAAAAGCTGAGAAAGAAGGGAAAGAGAAAGAAAAATATATATAGAAATGAGAGCATAAGAGAGAGAAGACATTACAACAATGATACGCAGAGCAAGTAAATGTCATAGAATTGAAAAGACGCAGATCCTTAACATTGAGTCGACCAGGAATTTCCTCCTAGCATGCGCATCCATCGTTGCTCACAGGCTGTGTAGGGTTGATATTAACATCAATCACTTCAGAGAAGAATGAGTTAGTAGATTGTTCCCCATTAAACGGTTTCACCAAAAGGGTAACGAATGAGCAACAAAACCAAAACCAAAACCAAAACCAAAAAACACTTACTTTGGTTAGCACCTCTCCCCGCCTCATCGTCCATGCCCGGCAGAGCCTGAGCTATCCTCCGAAATAGCTGCTTGACATTGTGCCCAACCTTCGCGCTTGTCTCGATGAACATGAGTCCATGCTTCTTAGCCTCCTCCTCCCCCTGGGCTGTCGTTACTTCTCGCTTATCGTTCAGATCGGTCTTGTTCCCCACAAGCACGATGATCACGTCATTACCCCGTTCGCCGCGCACATCGTCGACCCATTTGCGTGTGTTTTGGAATGATTTTGCGTTCGAGATATCGTAGACGACGACTGCTACGCTCGAGTCGCGGATGTAGGAGGGGATTAAGGAGCGGAATCGCTCTTGGCCGGCAGTATCCCATAGCTGGAGACGGACCGTCCGGTCTTCAAGGTACATTGTCTACAGTCCACAGGAGAGTCAGTCGCGGCTCGCTCCCATAATAAACGGTAACCGTGGCGGTCTATTGGAGGAAGGCTGTGATCCTACTTTTGACAGGAAGTCGATGCCAATTGTAGCCTGATACATATTGTCGAATGAATCGTACATGAATCTGGTGATCAGGGAGGTCTTTCCAACTGCGTCCGTTATACCGAGAATTTAAACCAGGTGTCAGTAAATAGAAACCTGTCGCGGATTGACAACGGTTTTACCCACCACTTTGTTCTCCAAGGAAAACCAATCTAAAAGGGCCCAATCAGTATGGCGTTTCTTGAATCAACAAGGGATGTAGGTTTTAGATTGCGCGTGGTGAACACAAGGGACGTACTTGAACTTCTTAAGAGGGTTTGAGTACGATTCTGTGGCTGATTGTGAAGCCATGGCGGAGATTGCTTATTATTCTGTTATTGTCGGGGGTGTTAGGACAACTCGTGGTTAGATCTCTCAAGCGTTAGAAGGAGTTTGCAGAGTTGATCCCAAGGCAGATATATTTCGAGGTCGCAGGAACCAGGAGATCGTCAACAGCTGGGTATGTATGCTGCGCCTGCGTGCCTGAGAATATGCACTAAAAGTCGTAGCAGCCGTTGCAAATCAATCGGAAGAATTCAAAGACAAGGACAAGAACAGGTGTCTTCGCCTTCCAGAGCGCCGGGATATATCCTCTTGTTGGTTATCTGGCTGGTTCAGTTGGGGCAAGCTTGCGAAAATGGCTGGTTCCGCGCGGTTAAATATCTTAGTAAGGGAAAGCTTCCTTTAGCCGCAGACATTAAGCCCCAAAGCTCACAGCCTGAGGTGCGTATACACTTCCTGTAGCATTGTCCTGCACCACCTCCTCTCCTCATAGTCGTATTACTTTTCGCCTTTGCTGCTGCGGGTTCCAGCAAGCATACTTGGCCGCTGCCCCCGCATTTCGATCCCCTCCAACCTGCCACCTTACGCTGTGTTGGAATTAATTCGACACAGGTACAAGAGAAGACCATGGGTCTCCTGTACCCGGCTGGCGGTGTTCTCGTCTTCCTGGTCATTGTTGGGCTTTGTGAGTGCAAATACACTGCTGCGAGGGTGTTGGTTTTGTTTTCACACATCGGAGCTGACTTCTGAAAAACGTTGAAAACGTGTACAGACATGCTCTTCAATGGCGAGGGTGAAGCCTTCAACGTAAGATTTCGATCCGCCGCAAACCTCTATGCTTTCTGCTCCTCATGCGCGACATGAACACAGTCCCCGCTGATAAAGCAATGTGAAATAAAACAGATCGGCTTGTTTCTCGAGACAGTGTCTCCATATACTTTTGCAACCACTGGCATAGGTCTATGTATCGGTTTATCAGTCGTCGGAGCAGCGTGGTAAGTTTTCCTTCTCAAACCGCTATACATACATAAATATATATACAAACACATTAAGTTTTATCGGACATACTCCTCTAACTTACCATTTCTTATTCGTCTTCGTCCACAGGGGAATATTCATCACGGGCTCCTCGATCCTAGGCGGTGCGGTCAAGGCCCCAAGAATACGGACGAAAAACCTGATTTCTATCATCTTCTGCGAAGTCGTGGCCATTTACGGCGTTATAATGTCCATTGTCTTTTCTTCCAAGATTTCCTACGTCCCCACCGACGACCTGTCCTCCGGAAGCAACTTGTACACTGGTTATGCACTATTCTGGGGCGGCTTGACAGTCGGGGTATGCAACCTCGTCTGCGGTATTGCTGTGGGCGTGAACGGAAGCAGTGCGGCGTTGGCTGATGCGGCGGATCCTTCCTTGTTAGTAGCCGCCCCCTCTTTTTTTTAGGTCTTTGATCTAAACCCCTCCCCCTGTTTCTTATCATATATACACTCGTACAGCTTTTTCTGATGAGTTTAACAACAATGCCAGATTCGTCAAAGTCCTTGTGATTGAGATCTTTAGCTCCGTCCTTGGCCTCTTCGGTCTGATTGTCGGCCTACTGATATCCGGAAAGGCAAACGACTTTGCTTGAAGGTCGTGAAACAGTCGAGAAAATTATTGTGAAATTCATCTGGATACATTGTAGACATAGGAATATTCCCTGTCACAAAATGAGGCATGAGGTTGGAGAGTCCCGTTGTGCCAGGAATCTCTTATGCAATACAAGATAGCTGGCGCATTTTTTTTGCAACTTTTACAACTTTTACAACTTTTTACATATTTATTGTTTTCCCTCCTTCATTTACCATCAACCCACGATAAAATTAATCCGGGGCGATTTGGACTAAAATTTCCCATGTGATATATTACGAATGGACTAGACATGGAGTCATAGCTTTTTTAATGTGCCCAGCATGGAGGGACAGATGTGTGTGGAAATGCATCTAGGAAGGAAGGGAATGGAATCACTGCCCGTTCAGTCAGGTGTTTTGATATATTCTGTATAGTATTTTTGTTTGCATGGGAGTATTATTTTATCTCCTGTCTTCGTCCGGTCATATCTCAATTTATCCACAGTGTGGACGGTTTCGACTCACCTTGGCAATGATATATCGCACTCACTACATACATACTCCGTACACAGAACCACTAAAAATATGGTGGCAAATCATGAAAACAACGGCTGTTGTAGCTAGGATTTATGGGTGATGCCAACATCATCCACCAACCTCAAAGGACCGTTTGAGCAATCTTATCTTCTACGTAGATCAGGAGGACGAAGGAGGGTAATCTCCCAGCTGCCCGGAGATATTTCCAACTCATCTCACACATGATAGATAGATAGCCATTGTTCTGTGGCCTGAAATATAATCCCCCCTGTCTTTGCAGACTCACACGACGGCCAAATATGGGAGAAAAAGCTCCATTACGGCCAACGGATTCTCTGAGGACCTGAGCTAGTCCAAGAGAGCCTTACCCATCCATGCTTGTTGTATTCCATATGGTGTACATTCTGTACAAAGTTGTCCTGGACTAGAAGAGCTGACACGTTGAAGTAGCATGATGTCGCCAAGTTGCTCGGCCTTATCTTATCGCACTATCGCCAAGAGCCAACTTCATACATTCCTCTGCCCAGATTCTACAACAACTAGTATGGATACCATCTCCAACCATCATACTGCGCACGCGAAGCTCCTATTTGAAAATCCTCGAATTTCTCTCTATGGCTGCCTCTAAATTAAAGGCTGCTATCCTGATAATTTCCGACACCGCCTATCGGGATCCTTCAACTGATAAGGCGGGCAGCGCTCTAACCCAGACATTCGCCGTGGAAGGAGGGGACAAGTGGGATGATCCCGCAATTGTAATTGTCCCGGATAATGTCGTGGAAATCCAACGCCAGATCCTTTCCTGGACAGATGTGGAGAATTACTTCAATCTCATAATTACAACAGGGGGGACGGGGTTTGCGGTGAAGGATAATACTCCCGAGGTAGGTATCCGGCGAGAGTCTACGCAAGCGCCGCTGCGGCTTAAATTCAAGTTACGGATATCAATTGAAGCCTATCTCTTTATCAGCCGTTCAAATACTTGCATTTACGAATTGCTAACGAACCGCCATAGGCCGTATCGCCACTCATACATCGGCATGCACCTGGGCTTGTGTAAGTCATTGCACCTGTTTTCAGCTTGGGTTTCTGGCATTTAGGTCTGACTTCTCTAGGCACGGCATGCTTGCTGCTTCTCTTGCTATAACACCTTGTATGGCACCTCTAGTCGGAGCAGTTTCGATAAATTACTTGAAATCCGTTCTAATTTGGGTTCCACAGTTGCATTGATGTCTAGGCCTGTCGCAGGTTTGCGGGGTAAATCATTAATTATAACCCTACCAGGCTCGCCAAAGGGGGCGGCAGAGAATCTCCAAGCCGTCCTCAAACTTCTTCCACACGCCTGTATCCAGGCTGCCGGAGCTAATTCGAGAGCATTACATGCTTGTGGGGTACAGAACCTGGAGAAAGAAGCTGGCATCAGCGCTGCATCAGCTCGCTCCACTGAGGAAGGATCTCATCACCGTCATCACTGTCATCCGCAGCGTCACCAATGCCAGGGATATGGGCATACACATGGTCACGTTGTGCCGAAGGCTCATACATTGCCTGCTGACCGGCCACAATCAAATGACCCTACTGCTGGTCCCACCAGACGTTACCGTGAATCTCCTTATCCGATGCTTTCTGTGGAAGAAGCTCTCAAGATCATTGTTGAACAGACTCCGGACCCAACCATCATTGAAGCCCATGTAAATTCATCTCTTGTAGGATCTGTAATTGCAGAGGATGTCTATGCGTGCGAAGCGGTCCCGGCATATAGAGCGAGCATTGTGGATGGCTACGCAGTTATCACCTCTCCTCCTCAAGCAGATACCCAGGGAAACATAAAAGGGAAATTTCCTGTGGCATCAGTGTCACATGCACAAGCCGCGTCTATGCCTCCACCACTGAAGCCAGGGGAAATTGCGCGCATAACGACTGGCGCTCCACTTCCTGAGAACGCCAATGCGGTTGTAATGGTTGAAGATACGACCCTTATATCTACAACCCCTGATGGAAAGGAAGAAGCTGTCGTGGAAATCCTAACGGGGGAAATCAAACCAGGAGAAAACGTTCGCGAGCCTGGCAGTGATGTTGCACTGGGATCTAAAATACTTCACAAGGGTGACCTGATTACCGCAGTAGGGGGGGAAATTGGCCTTCTCGCGTCAACTGGAACCCGAACAATCAAAGTATACAAAAAGCCCTGCGTCGGGGTCCTTAGCACAGGTGATGAACTGGTTGACCACGATGGCCCTGTTTCCCTCCGTGGCGGCCAGATTCGTGACTCAAACCGCCCGTCATTAATATCATGCCTCACAGCCTGGGGTTTCCCAACCGTCGACCTTGGAATTGCGAAGGATACCCCTGGAAATCTCGAACAATGTCTGCGCGATGCCCTCCGCGGTACTCCCAACTCACCAGGTGTTGACATAGTAATAACAACTGGGGGAGTTTCAATGGGCGAATTGGATTTGCTAAAACCCACCGTCGAACGCCAACTTGGCGGTACAATCCACTTCGGGCGGGTATCCATGAAGCCTGGAAAACCCACTACCTTCGCAACGGTCCCATTCAAACCTGCCATATCATCCACAGACTCCACGGCACAGCAGGAGCGGGAGACGAAACTCATCTTCTCCCTACCAGGAAACCCAGCTTCCGCACTGGTGACACTGAACCTGTTCGTTCTGCCCTCCCTGCACAAAGCGACTGGCTTGGGCATCAGCAGCCAGCAGCGGGCCTTCCAGCCCCGTCTCGGCCTCCCGCTCGTCACAGTGACGCTAAAACAGAACATTCCTCGCGATCCGAAACGTACGGAGTACCACCGCGCGATCGTAACATCATCTAACGCAGACGGTCACCTGTTTGCGGCCAGTACCGGACTTGGTGGGCCTGGTGTTGGGGCGGGACAACGGAGTTCACGCGTAGGGAGCCTAGCTGGTGCTAATGCTCTGTTGGTTCTTGAACCGGGGAAGGATGTTGCCGAGATGGGGAAGAAGGTGCAGGCATTGTTGATGGGAATGGTGGTTCCTGAGTGAAAGAATAAAACGAGAAACGAAAAGTGGACAAAGAATAAAAGAAAAGGTGTTTGAAAGAACGTGAAATATTATGATTTGATTTAGTTTCTTTGACCTAAATGTCTATTATTGTGAAATAAATAATATCGGCTTGTATTTCAAAACTTGATATTAAGTCTAAATTGAACGTATTGGATATTCTTAACCAATATGTCGTTTTCCATCCATCTAGATTGCATGCGCGTTTATGGTGTTGAATTTCTAAAACAGATACCGTCCGGGGGGAGTCATCCGGGTATATAGGCGGAAACAAACAACTTAGAGGACATATAAGCCTCATGAACCATGCCTAAAAGAAGCCATAATCTTCCCAAGATGACCAAACCTAAACTCCGAACATAACTTCTAAAAAGGTGACAGAAAACGTCAAAATATATGCCGCGAAAATTTCACCTGAAAATGCAAGAATGCAGCAATCACCTCAACGACCAATATAGCCATTCGTGATCTCTCACTTAGTATGCCCTTGCCCTTTTCCACCCTTTCTTTTTCTCCGCCCTCAAAGCCAATAACGTCCCGTCCCTCCCACGCTTTCTACCAATTTCCACCACCAAAAACCTCACAAAATCCTGCAAAACCCAATAACTGCTATGCGCACTTAGCATGTTCAGATACTGGATGCTCAACGGGCCACCGCCACCGCTAATGTAAAAATCAATCTGCCCGTTATCATTCAGGAGCGCCATACGCTTCTCCGCGAGTTCCTCGCGCGAGAAGTCGTGCGTTTCCATCTCAACGCTGGAAGGTAATTTCGCGATACCGGCGGGGCGTTTGTTTTGTTGCGAAACAGAAGGAGCGGATAGGTCTGTGGAGCTCTGATCCTGGCTTTTCAAGGAACCCCAGCGGAAAACGCTGGTGACGGTTTGAAAGAGTGAGGTGGACGAGCTTGGGACTGAGGCTGGTTTGAGAGAGTTGGCTAGATCGCTGTCCACAGCTGCGTTGAGGCGGTAGGTGATTGCTAAAAAAAAAAATAGAGATGTTGATGAGCATTGATGATAAAAATAGATCTGGGTTATGAACGGTGATTGAACTTACGGTCGGTATCGTGCATGACGTTATAAAGATTGTCGACTGCTAGACAGCCATATATGCCCGCCTCCCCGGCAACTCCTCGTTCAAGGTCTTCGCCGTTTGTTCCTGGCTTTCCTCGATTCTGTCGTGGGAGAAGTGTTGCTGTGAGGGGGTTAGCTTTCTGTTCGATCTCCTGAATGAGAAGAGAGATGATACAAACATTTGTTCAGTAACAAAAAGAAGCCTGCCGGGCTTCCGCAGAAAAAAACGTTGCTGGCATCAAATTCAAATATTGTCTGGCTGATTTCCGTATGCGCAAAATCAATATGGCCTACATGGGTTGGCTGTTGACTCAGAATATCCATTGCCATGATACTGCCCAGCGAGTGAGCAATTAAGTGCACTTTACCAGTTTTTCGAAATCCCGGATTATTTTGACACCAGAGACGATATATTCGATTTGCCTCTTTGACCACTGCTTGAACCATTTTCTGTTTATGGTGAGATAGATAATAGGGGACATCAAGCAAAACATCGCTGATCAAACTTCTTATTGCCGGCATAGTTTCAGGCGTGATGTCTTTGAGGCTGAATTTGTTCGTAGCTAGGTCCTCGGAGGTCGAAGCTTCAATGTCAGCGTCTTCTAGGGACAGCGTTGACCGCCAGTTGACAGGTAAAACCATAATGCTTTCCAGTTCTGGGCGCATATGAGGCCAAACAGCGTCACTATTGAGCTCGATATTGACTTGTCTCCGGAAAGCATTAATAGCATGCGTAAAATGGTAACTTTCAACCCGCTCCGATAATTTTTGACCGATACCATGTATGACCAATACCAGATCAGAAGCAACTGGTCTCCTATCCTCAATTTGGCAGGCGTAGCATATAGGGCGCCGGTCAAACATATCTCTTTCAGCAGTTTGATGCATTTTCACAATTCTTCTGCCGCTGGACGCAGGAATTTTAACAGGGTGGAGTTTATCCCAGGTCTGTGCATTGAATCCTCGAACAACGGGAATTCCTATTTGCCTTCCTTTGCGAATTGCGCTAAGCGGTCGTCGTCCCCTTGCAGCAGAAGGTAAAAGGTTAGGCCTCAGAATTTGCGCCTCTTTGGAATCGACATATATCACACTTGAATTCTTGAATGGTCTAGGAGCATCAGGTAATGTCATAGATCCTGCAGCTTGATTCTCATAAACAATCGACCCCGCCTCGGCCTCAGTCGGCTTCGAGAGCGACAATCGTTTGGATGGCTTCGACTCATGCCCGGACTCCATGGCACTTTGCTCTTTTACCTCTTCTTCTGGAGGCCAGATTGGATGCACAATTTTGATCTCTGCCTCCGCTCCGTTTTCTATACAACTGTTAAGTTCATCCTGCCAGGTTTCGGTCCAAGGCTGCATATACATATAGCCGGCTTCGAGTTGGTTAGCAAGCTCCGGTTCAACGGGTAACATGGTGTTCTTATAAAACCAAGTGGCTCGAATAACGGAAGATATATCATGAATAGGGCTCCAATATATGGGTTTCATCTGCAAATCTTGTTAGAAATCTCCAATCGAGGAAAGAAATGAGAAAGGAAATCCCTTACCTCCAAGTTGGGAAGTTCCACTGAATGTAACCTGGATATTCCAACCGGTATAACAGCATCTGGTTCCTTTTTTCTTTGTACTGGGGTCACTTCTAGTTCCGATGGAGAGAGGCGCTGTACTGTAAACTTTGAGGGGCTGCCAGCTGAATGGACCCTGGACTTGGCCGAACGGACATCGCTTCCTTGGTCAACCGTCACCATCCCACCAAGTGGATGCGACGCTCTACTCGGGGTAGCGGGCGACCTTGGTGAAGGAACTGATCGCGGGCTCCGCGCTGGAGCTCTGATGAATGGGGATCCGGTGATATTTGTATCGCCTCCATGAACCCCAGCTGAAGGGATCGGCCTGCCTGTCTGTGAGGAATAAGACCCAAAAACGTCATCACCACAAGGGGATGATATGCTTATCCGTTTCGAAGTCTTCGATTTACGGTCTGCCGGAGGGCTATGCCGTTTCAAAGATTTTGGACTATTGTAAGGATCAAGGATCTGTCCCATCGAATTACTAGATGCTTCTACATCGCCAGCTGATTCCGCAGGCATCCGAATTGGGATTGGCACTCCAGCAGGTTCTTCTTGTTCACAGACTTGTCGAGAAAATTTATCAGCAACCTTTGTAGAAGTGTCCTTCTCTTGATTCGGGATTTCGTTAGCTGCAGCGCAGAATAGCGCAACAATTATAGGCCGTAGATCATGTCGCCAGGCACTTTCCTTTTGCCGGCTAATTTGCTCAATTACATTTCTTAGTGTTGAAACCACAAACCTCCTCTTTTCCGTTTCACCACCCTCAGAACTTCCATATATCGCCGCATGTTTTTCAACAAGAGCAAATATCGAAGAAGTGTCATGTCGTTCGTTAATCGGGGTCACATTTAGATCTGGAGAAGCATCCCTATATTCGCGAACAGCTGTTAAAGCCTCAAGGATGAGTCTGTCAACTTTCTGCCTCCAGGCTCTGTTAGCTCTGTCCTCTTCAGAACCACTTTTACGAGTGTCATCGGCGTCTTGATCCTCCACTGCATTTCTAAGTCCGTGCCATGCTTCCTCCAGAGCAATATTATCCAATACCGAAAAGGGACGGGGAGGGAAGCTAGATTGAGAGCTGCTGGAGCTTGCGGAAGCGGCAGGTAATGGAGTTAAAGGATCATCTATTGGGAACGACGAGAGGTAGAAAAATTGTGCACGGACTTTTGGAGGAGCTGTAGATGTGCTGAAGTCTGATTTCGTTGTTGGATTGTCCTCGGGATCATATAGGAGGCATGTTGGCCCGTAGGTGTGAAGCAGACTCGACATTCTTCGAAAGCTCAATGGAGCTTCAGGTATCTGTAGGAGACTGCTTGAGATATTAATGAAGATAGGGATTTATATAGACAAGCCGGGTCATATCATGATTGGGACTTTCAAGCTATTGGCTTGGGTTCGTAAAAGATGCTGGCTGGCGATTGAATAGTATCGTGTTGCCTTGAGCGCCTTCAAGAGCCGCGTGGAAAATAGTATGAAGGTGCAGGATAGGCACTCCCCCTCCTAACTGCACGAAGAGCGTTGAGATAGCTGTATAGGAGCGGGAATAACCGTTAATACACTCTCTTTGCAAAATTGAGCAACTCATACCTGTCATGGGAGTTATATACTGTTGTAAGCTAGATCAATCCATCGGCCATAAAAACGTCATCTGTCCAGGATTACATAATCGAGCATGTTCATCACGTGGATCAGGCGAACCTCAACTAACTATGTGTTTGTAACCTTATTAATTGCGGATCCGTAACTACTACTATTAACTACAGTGTTCTACTTTGTCACAAATGCTTTCGGAGAATGGAGCGAAAATTAGACACATTTCCTGGTTCCAAAGGCATGAAAATCGCCAGAAACAACAGGGAAACTCACTCCAAACACGCCACCGCTAAAGTTAACCGTCGCGAAAAGAAGAACGAATTGTACAGAACTTTAGGATGAAACAATGCTGGTTGATCAATGCATTAGATGACCTCACTCGCGGTTACCTCCATAGGATCTTCCTTTATCTTCGTTGTCACGCTGGGATAGGGAAGGTGGATGATACTCTCTCGTCACACCATGCCTCCCCATTGCTTGCATCTTCTTCTCCTGCTCCTGTTTCATGAGCGAAAGTGTGTTGACCTGAAGCTCCTGAAACGCGAGGAAGGTGACAATCGGCGCGCCGAGCATCTCCAGGATCTTGTGCGTATCATGCATATGCTTTCTAATGACGCTATCTGGAGTGCAAAAGGTACGAACACTCATCTCCTTGGCGATCGCCTTCCAATTACGCAAGGTGGCATTGAGAGCTACCACATTCTGTGCACATTCGCCATGAAATTTGAACGTACGTAGGTTATAGATGACGAGGTCACGCTGGGTGAGCTGGTCGAATTGAAACTGCACGACCTGCGGACGATTCTTTGACGCCCAGAAATTGGTGACTTTGGTAACCGATTCCACCGATATGCGGCCCTCCTTGTGTTGGTCGAGAAGGAACTTGTTGGCCGTCACACATATCATAAGCTCTACCTCGGAGTACAATTTTGCCTGGGTTGGAGGGTCCAAGGAAATGGGGAAGGTTGATTGAAACCGTTCTTTGGATTTCTTCACGTCTCCTGTCTGTAAACCGAATAGTTAGATTGAAAAACGGTCTCTCGCAGTGGTTTAGGAAATCTCCATGGATCGAAAATGTTTATGGACTTACGATATCCTCAACGCGCTGTTTGATCTTCTCACCCAGCGCCTTGAAACCAGGCCTTTTGTTCTTCTCAGAGGGACTTTCCTTCAAGGAAGGACTGCGACCTAGCCAACCATTTTCGCCGAACAGCTTTTTATGCGGTGATCGAGGCCTTTTCATTGGGCTTGGTAGAAATTCGAGTATTGAATTCTCGTCAAGATCCTCAAGGATCTTGACAGGAGACAAAGATCTCCCTCTGCCGCGTCCTCGATCTGGGGATCGAGATCGCTGTTTCTGGCGCCCGGGGGACACATTTGCTGAAGGTTTCCAGTCCTGGTAATAGCGATCTTCACCATATGACGCGTCGTCATAGTTCGTATTACCATCGAGAGACTTGACATTGTTTCCCTCAGACTTGGAAATAGGGAGGCGTCTGTTGTAGTGATTTGCATCAACTGGATATGAAAACGCCTTTGGTGGAATTGCTGGCGCGGTTTCAGATGTCTCTGGGCCAAATGGCCACATTATTTCACATCCTTCCGCAGACCGGCTGGAATTACCCGCGCTATTATAGGAAGAATGACTAATGACATGTTAGCATTGCTTCCACAAGATATAATGACGCCAACTTACTTATCGTATACGATCGGCACCTCCACCGAGTGCATCGGATTGAACTTCTCCGGATCGAGCATCAAAACAGGCTTTCCTGTATTTTTGACCGATTTTAACAGCGGATTGTTTAGGATTTCACGCGTCAGCAAGCGAAAGGTGTCTTTGGTTGGAGAGCCAGACGAAGATTGGGAGTAGACAGATACACTGGAAGCTCCAGACTGGGGATAGGGGTTTTGAGCTGTATACTGTTGTGGTTGAAGCGTATTTGCTCCACCGTGCAGATGTTGGGCTCTGCTGTGGTCGATCGCAAGGCCACGAATACACTCAATAGAGGCGTCTTCGTGTTCAGAATAAGCGCTTCCACTGAATCGATTCTCCATTCTGAATGAAGTGGTATACTGGAGCTTTCGAGTGTTCGGAACCGTGGAAGAGACGTCAACAACCACGACGGGCACCTGGTTGCCCCGGCGGATATCAACAAGCTACAACTGGAGCTTCGAACCAACAATAGAACTCCTCAAAAAATTAACGCAACTGAATGTCGAATGTTATCAGATTCTGCTGGCAACAAAGGACATGCCACAAGAAGAGGAAAACAACAGATATCCACTTGTCTTTATAAAGCAGGTCTTTATAGTTTAGATTTTATCAAGCTGCTGGAACCAAAATGGACAGTTAAAACAAAATTTCCTAAATAAATCAACAACATACCAAAAACCAAGAGTCCTTTCACCGAACACTTGATGCCACTTTTGTAATATCTCACATTCAGGGCCTTGCTCATTGGAGGCACGGGAGGTACCCATCATTAACCATATTGAATTCAAGAATGGGGTTCAATAAGGTCCGTAGAGTATTGGTGAATAGTAAGGTATTGAAATCCTTCAACACAATTCAATTTGCGAGAATGCTTGCTTTGTCCCCCATAGTTATCTCATTGTGTGAATATCCAAAACCCCAGGCCAGATCAGCAAAATTTATAACCCAGCTATTCAGCCGAGAATACACTTATTATCAAATAATTCCAAAGCCCCTTGGAAATTAGGGGGCTTTTTCCAAATATCTGCCTATCACCAGGATCGGTATAATAGTGATAGCGCCCAAAATTTCCACACGGTATATTATACCGTTGCCGAGCCAAAGGGTTCATCGGCTTGGGAAAGGCCAAAACTGAGATAGGGAATTTTAATGTGCGCCACCCTCATATCAGTGAGCTCCTAGGATAGTCGAAATAGTTCCAAATCATCTGAAGATAATAACGCAATTTGCATCTCACTTCAACTCGAATTGACCAGCAGACATTGCCAGTCAAGATCCGCTCCCTAAACACGGTGGAAGCGCGATTATTGCTATAGCAAGATTAGAGCTCACACCCCCCACGGGTGTATAGTCCAGACTTGAGTCCTGGGTCCTCACCTGCGGAGCGAATCCCTACGCTTGTATAGAGAAAATCACGAACACCAATCTTTGGAAAGCTGGAGGCACCTATCAATCTCACTACCACGTGATCTATACGCTACACTGCCAGCTCCGACTCTGTAGCACAAGTTCAACCGAGTGGAATTGCGCCCAACCCAACCATTTCCTTGCGGGTGCAAGGCCGGCAGTCGTCGCAGCTATTCCACCGCATCGCAGAAACCGTCGTAATGAAGGTTTCCCCTCATCAAAGATGTCTCCATGTCAAAGCCAAAATGCAGCTTTTCGCAGCTACATAATGAACTGATACCCACGTTTTACGTACATATATATAACAGCAACCCGTGTTTCTACATCGGTGTGGTTGAATATTACTCTTGGTATTTTCTTGGTGATTCCTAGTATCTCTTGGAGAGTGGAAATATATCTCTCTACCCAAACCTCCTATTATTCCTATTATAACTGTTGATCCTTCGAGTGCCCCAAAATTCCCAGGAGGTCAGGATGTCTCATTCAGCAGACAAGTATGATGTTGTCACCATTGGCGCTGGGCTTGTCGGACTTCTCGCCTCCTTACGCTTCTCCAAATGGGGGTATAAAATCAAACATATTGACAAACGCCCATTACCCACCAAGACCCGCCGTGCTGGCGGCATTCAGCTTCATTCATTAGAACTACTACGAAATCCGGGCTTAAAACGCAAGATCATGGCGCGCGAGCCCGCTAGGGCTTATGATGTTGCGTTCTGGAACCCCTTACCGGATGGTACAGGAATACAAAGGACGGGGAATTGGCCTAGCTGTCCCTCATTCATCGACACCAGATACCCATTCGCCCACATTGTTACACCAAGGACATATTGAAAAGGGTTTCATAAAGGAACTGACCAAGCACGGAACCACTGTCGACCGGCCGTGGACCGTTTTGGGGTTTAAGCACGATGGGAAGAATAATTCGTCCCCTGTGGAAGTCACTCTCAGGGACCTCGATACAAATATCGTACAAGTTTAAGAGCAAAATATTTGTTTGGTGGAGAAGGAGCCAAGAGTTTCATTAAAAGACAATTCAATTGGCAATAAAATTTATTCACAAGGACCCGATTTCTCATGTTTGGGGTGTGATTGATGGAGTAGTACAAATAGACTTCCCTGGTATCATGGTATGAGCATTCTAATCCCATACGAAGCGGACGAGGGGACGTTAACAAAAATTCTCTAGACAAAATATACCATTCAGCCGGGTAGCGGTGCTGTGATGATTATACCACGAGAAAGTAATATGGTTCCGTTATGCGTCCAAATTTCGTCCTCAACTGATTCAGACTGGGATCCACGGAAAACAGCAACAGTTTCAGAGATCCAGCAGGCGGCCAAAATGATTTTGCAACCTTACCATTTAGAATGGGACATGGTCGAGTGATACTCTGTAACCTGTCGGACAGGGAATTGCTGACAAGTTTTCATTGGACCATCGGGTATTCATAGGCGGCGATGCTTGTCATACACATAGTGTGGGCGACTTTTTCTCGCTGTTATGAAGTGTGTATATATATATATCCGTGCGTCGTAACCAAGCCTTCTTCAGCCAAAAGCAGGTCAGGGTATGAATACCGCATTTCACGACACACTCAACTTCGCTTGGAAAGTGCACATTGTTGAAGGAGGCTTCGCAAAATCTACAACATTGGCCACATATGAATCAGAGCGCAAACTAATTTCTTAAAGTCTCCTTAACTTTGACGCTCAGTATGCTGCCCTGTTCTCCTTACGACACCCATCCGCCCCCGAACTGGGAGCAGCCAGCAACAACCACGACGGCGCGGCAAGCAGCAATGACAAATTCGTAGAAATTCTTAAGTCCGTTTGTGAATTTACCGGTGGATATGGCATTGCTTATCAACCCAACATCTCAACTGGAACCCCGACCATCCAGCCAAGTCCTCTTTATTCAACCCCGCGGGGGTAAAATTGCTTCCCGGACGAGCCTTCCTCTCATGCATCGTTACACGACTCAGCGACTCCAACAAAGTTGCACTGGAACATGTAATACCCACCAACGGATCGTTCCGCATCCACCTTTTCGCTGGAAACCCAGACAAGACAAAAAAAGCAGTGAGCGATTTCGCCATAAACCTGGAGACAAAGCGCTCCTTTTACTCCAGCTACCAGCGGAGAGATATCAGCGCCGTCTCTCCTTTCGAACGACATAACCCGCACTCCCCCTTCTTCACGCTCTTCGTGTCATAGACCATCTGCCCAGGGTGCTGAAGCCATATCGCCATCATATCTATATTGATGACATCCCCGACATCAAGGCGCCGGATGTGAAAGCTGCGACCCACACGAAACTCGGGTTCGATGCGGAGAACGGCGGCGTGGTTGTTCTCAGGCCAGTTGGGCATATTGTGTGCGCCACGCGGTTTGTCGAGGGGAGCGGCACGGTGGATGCGCTGAATGGGTATTTCGGGCCTTTTGCAACTAAACCTCTGGGTGATGATGGAGATTCTCGTACAAGATTGCGATGTTATATATCATCATATTGGCAGCGTTTGGTAGTTGCTTGCTGTTTTCTTTAATGTATGAATTTATTTATTTATTTATTTCCGTTTGTGTAGCCGTGGCCATTATGTTTATTTTTACTTTGTTGTGACTTATACTAGGATATGCATATTTCTATTCCAAGCAAACTATATTTTTTCAAATCCTCTAGTCTATCTATCTCCATTTCTTTTCTTTTCTGGTTTTTTCTTCTTATTTTTTTGGTGCTGTTTCTTCCAAACATTACTTGCCAATCGAGCTTACAAAGTAAATAATTCCGTTGGCCCCCTGAAAATGGAAAACGTTTGGCGTTTTGGAAAATTTCAGATTCATCCTCCTGGAAGAAAAATAGACAGAAAATATGATTTACCAGGTTCTCTCTGTCCACTAGACATGGATATACATTGCAACCTTTACTCTATGCAATGTTGGCGGTGAAAAAAAAAAAAAAAGAGTTTACAGGGTTAAAACGAGACGGAAGACGCTCCGCCATGCCGCACACGGGTTTGAAGGTCGCAAACCACGTGCAGAGAGTGCCCTAGGGAAAAATACGAGGAAAGACGTTGAACTTTCTTTCCCTTCCTTTTCTTTTCTTTTTTTAAAAGGGCACAAACCACTTCAGTGGATAGTTGATATTTGCCAAATGGATACGCCTATATATATCTAGTGAAGAACAAACAAATATCCGCTCCTTAATTAAAACAATGGTACGTTATAAAAAGATAAATGAATAAAAAAGCAAAGATGGCCTTCCTTCCACCCATTCACCCAAAAGAGGAGAAAAGAGAGATAAAAAGGCAAAAAGTAAAGAAAAGAAAAGAAATAGAGAGGATGAGAAGAAAAAAGGTCTCACGCTCACCTACACCAACATCAGTTCCGAACCATTGGGCTCGAACGTGGGAGGGAGTTTTACGGGAAGCAATGAGCGGGACGATAATACCAACATTAAAAGGACTAGGGTAAAAAGATAAAACGTCCCATATATATAGGAAGGTGTAGTTGGGGGATGGGGGATGGGGGGGTGGGGGAGGATTCAAATCGCCGTCCTCCCGCGCGAGGCGACCGCGATTCGAAGTGAAAGAAAAACCCCCTTTTTGTGCTATAACTTGGACAGGGAAAACGGAGCGGTATATATGTTTGCAGTTAAACATCTTAAGTTAGGGTATATGGCGTAATAAAACGGGAGCGAAAATATGTCGGAACAAGAAGGGAAATATCATGAGCCGTTTCAAGGGGGGTTCGTTAGGGCAGATCAAGCAGTCGTGAACTCATGTTGTCGCTCCACGCTTTGAGAAGGTAAAGAGGAACAAAATCAATGTGGAGATGGGAGAAGTCAAACCCTTATCGGCGGAAGGGCCAGTAAGGGGAGGGGTATTACAATAGATAGCCAAATATATGATAAAAACACCCGCATGGAGTGGGCATATGCGTGAACTCCAGGTCCAACTAACGCCGGCGCCCAGCGGTTGCATAAAAAGGGGAAAGAGAGAACACAGGTGTCAGGTTGTGCTAAGAGAGAAAAAAGGAAAAAAGGATCGATAAAGCGAACACGCTCCACCGGAGAAGAAAAAACCCACCTGCTGTGCCACCCCACATTAAATCGCATAAATAGAAGCAAAAGCACCATCCATTATTCAAACTTCAATGAACAGACAAATCTGACCCCGGATCCAAGAGAGCATTTCTTCAAGGCAATGGCTGGAATATAAAAAGCAGCCATAGTTGGGTAATGTCACTTCGTCGAGAGAAGACTTATTCTCCGCTTCTCTCGCTCCAAAAACCCAAAGCACAAACGGTGGCATCTTTTCGTTTTCGTTTTTTATATATTTTTCTTTTGTATTTTGGGGCGCATGCAGGTTAAAAGAGACTTCATTCCCACTACCGACTAGGAAACGCAATTTTTCTAAAAGCTAACTTTGTCTGCGATGCGAAATTCGTACGTGAACCCGAGGACGAGGACGAGGAAGACAAAGACAATGAGGACGACACAGAAGATGAGGAAGTGGTAGAGCGTGATCGGTTCATCATTGCCCGTCGTGAGGTACTGGCGGCTTGAGAAGGAGGAGGAATGCTAGTGAGTGATCTGCCGACCATTGCCCGTCGCGGGGTAGAGGCGGCTCGCGCAGCCTCCACAGCCAGGATGTCTTCCAGTCGTACGTCTGCATCGGAGAAGGTATGCTGTTGGAGCTTTTCTGTGTCGAGAAGCTCCGTGAATTTCGAGGGCTGGAATGGCATGTTTCCTTCGGGTTAGGAACCTGATTTGATATTTGTAAACTGGCGCAATGATTGTTATAAATATATAACGGTCGATAGGGACGTATGCCGGCAAAACTTTTAGGCGTAGGAAAACGAATAAAGGATATAGCGCTCCTTATTCTGCTGCTTAATATGCTGTTGGGCTTTTCGAGGCGTGCGCCGCTGGCTCTGGCCACTGCGATTTTATTTGCGATGGCAACGGGGTAGAAGAACGGTTGCAAATGAGTGCGATGACGCAATCTCTTTCTTTCGGCTTTATGCCTAAAAATATTGCAGACTTTGTGCCCGAGAGAGTTGATAATATGTGATCAACGATAGTTATGATGATGGTATGATATGCTGCGATATGGGAAACTCCACCGTCGGCGTGCCCCTCGTCTAAATAAAGACGGAAGGGGGAAAACAACCTGGCAGTCTCTCCCCTTTCTTTCTGTCTTCGTAATCTCCAGGAATTTTCAAGGATAGAGTTAATAAACGGCGCAGTGATTTACGTGAGCGAGAGCAGTAGATTCCAGAGTGGAGCGGGAATCAGGATAAACACATGTAGATAAAACCAATAAACCCTCCCTGCAAAGGGGGCAAGCAGCGGGATGATGATTAAAACGAGTGTTGGGAGCTGATCGATAAGGTGAAGAAGGAAAACAGAGAGATGATAATTTGGGGAACAAGGTTACAAAATAAACAACGTTCCCACGGGTGCTTGCAGAGGAAGCGAAACAACCTAGCCAATACGGGATCTCAGGTATTTCCGGCTCGGGTCCGTATGTTTTAATGGCTGTCCTGCACTTTTTTTCCCTTTTTTCCCCTTCACGTTGTTACTTCGAAATTCGAAGGCCTTGAAGGCCGATTTTTAAAATCGCTGGAGTGGCAGACCGAGCTCGCCCCGCCGTACTCCCGCCGCACACGCGAGCTGCATCACGGACCACCCCCAGATCCAAAAAGAAACGGAAAAGAAAAGAAAATTATTAGCCCAGCCAAGAAAGACGGCCTCCTCTAAACTATTCCGGAACGATAAATGTTTCGGCCTTGGGGAGGGGGAATGGATGTTGATTCGCTGCCAAACAGACCTGTCCCGGTTGGGAGTTTCCGTTTAGTTTCATGAGTGGCCAAAGTGTTTTATTTCGTAGCGCAGGCCGCCGGAAAGAGGAAATTCAACTGCGTCTCGTGCTTTAGACACGGGACATAGAGGGGGTTTTGAGGAACCCACTTTCGTTTCAATGAATCATCATCCCATGCACGTTGCGGTGCATGCGATACAGGGGAAGTATCAACATGCCCATAGGCGGAGTTCTTCTTGTGTCAGATCGCGCTCGCCGCTCTGGTAACGGTAAATTGCAGAACTATATTGGCCATCGAACTTGGACCATGGACGCAAAGCTACCAAACCTGCTCGGCGGAATGGGTTCAGATTCCCTGGCTCAGCCGCTCTCAGTTGCCTGATGGCGTTAAATTAGTTTCAAGTTCCCAACGAACCCCTCGCTTCAACTTACCCCGGCGAAAACCCAAAGGAAAAAATGATCTACGCCAGACCGATCCTATTCCACCTGTGTGGTTGGTGGCGGTCCAGGATAGTTGAACTAGTCGTCCACTCCGTTAGTCAACCTCTTAGGCTCTTAACTAGTCAACGAACTAACTCATTTGTCCCCTCGGCTGACCTGATCATGCGGCTTGCCGGTCAAGAAACAGGTTATTCTCCAGATCTCGCCCCGAGACGAAGAAAGGGGGGCGTTCATCCACAAAGACATTTTGTCCAATTCCCTTTGTTTATCCCGCTTTGTTGTATTGAGAATGGGTTCTGGTCCGTGGATGGCACGTTGTGGTTGCTGTGGTTGTGTTGTTGTTTGATTAACGGAGCGGGAGGGAACCCCCGCCAACGGCCAAAACCTAACCTACATACAGCCCAACCGGGATATATTGACTTTGACGAAGCCAGCCAACAACAAAGTAAACCACGGATGTGAGTGAGTTCGGTGTATGAGGTTCACAAGGCCTACAATACACGGAAGATGGAGTGACTGTCCGTGAAGAAATGCTGGTCTCCACATTCTTCCCTTCCTCCAGGAATGCAGAAGGAAGCCTACGGGTATCTTGCGATCAAGCCTCACACATCATCGTACTGAAGAATGTGCATGGACCATTTCTCTGTGAGTGGTGCTGCGCCATGCAGCCTGCAGTAAAATGTTATCCTCTGGCTCCCTCTGAGCCCCGCGTCGATTGTTGCTGCAGCAGACTAAAACAGGCCCAAACAGCTTTTCTCTGTGGGCTCGTCTGCTCTTCCCTGGATGCTTGTTAAATGAATGTAGAGAATGGATGTACTGTACAAGCATTCGGTCTAGACGCCACCTTGAATTCCTTATGGCGGTCCAACCTTGAACCGCACTTCATATTCCGTCAGCCCTGTCATTAAAAGAGAGAATACGGGGTTGGATTTTCCCCGGGCCAATTCTGAATATCTACTCCGAACTTAAGATATACGCAGCATGCACACCCTTCGAAGGAGGTGTGGAACAAACAAGAGTCCTTGCGCACGCTGCAAAGGCTGGAGTTTGTAATGGAAATCTCCTACCAGAACTCCCACCAACTCTGGATAATCCCAACCCTCGCTAAAAAGGATTTCGAGGTGGGAAGTGATTATTGGCTTTTCTTTAGCCATGCAGAAATTGGAGCCGAGTGTCAGCAGGCTCCGTGACAACCCTCTCGCACAGCTATCAGTCAGATTCTCTGTTCCTCACAAAATAATTCAATAAACTAATTGAAGACATAGAGTGATTATTGTCGAAAAAAAAAATTTTTGAATCAAAGAGAGTTTATTTCAAGATTTAGTTAAATATTATTTATCTCTGAATAATATTGACGGAGTGTGACAGTCCTAGCATATCACTACACCAACATGGAAGAGTCAAAGTAAGGTAACTTATTTATATACTTGACTCATGCAATGTCACTCACCCCTACACATCAGCGCAGAAGCAAGATCATCCTTCAACTCCCCTTTGAGTCCCATCCTCGTCACCATCTTCACAATCGGCAACACCAGCCTCCCCAATCCCACACCAAGCAAGGAGCCTCCTACCCTCATCGTCCCATAACTCGCTCACCTTGCCAATCAACCCCCATCTTCGTCCTCCCATCCAACCTCCCCTTGCGGCAAACCCAACTCACAGGCTGCCCCCGTGGTGTTGACACCCGTGACTGGTCTTCCGGTCCTCCAACGCAATCCCCCTGTCAGAACATAGACATACTGCCCCAGTCTCCTTTCGTGTGCCTCAGGATCTTGATCAGCATGTAATACGCGCGAATCTGCTGTTTTGTAGTTTGTACGTCCGGAAACGGAAGAGACGGTAGCCTCATCGGTCTTTAATGTCGATGATGCGATGGTGTGGAAGAGATGGGGTGGGATGTTAGAAAAGAGGTCGGTGAGCGAGGAGAGGGAGGAGATGTGTGTGTTTAATCAGTGCATGCACTTAGGCAAAAGGGGTTATTGGATCCTTGCTACATCTGTGATCTCCGGGCAACCGCTTGCTTGAACTGCTGAGCTTAGCATCGCGAGTTTCAACTTTCAAAATAAATATGGCGTATTATTGCAGGTATCCCAACGATGTTTCGTGGTGATGTTTAGAGCAAAAGCGGAGAAGATGTTCTTGGGTTGTTTGAACAACCTTGGTTGACTTAGGAAGAGGTGTCAATGTTCATCTGGTTCAAGACAGGAAAGAAGATAGAACAACGATCACACTATGCTGTTGGATACAATATCTTGGTGTAGAATAAATGAACAGTCTCTCCTTTCTTCAGGGCCTTCTACCCTCTCCCCATCCGCTGCAACCAAAACTTAAGATCAAACTCGCCCTCATTAAACTCTCTCATCTCCAGCAAACATGAACACATTTCCATATGCAGTTCTGGGTTCCTTTCCATCGGTAAATTTGATAAAGCAAGGCTTCACACCATAAACTCGTATCTCATATTCCGCTAATCCCGTGCTCTACTCAATAGCCTGGACATCAAAGACCATACCTTCAATAATGTTTCCAGGTGGACCATCCTCCAACGCATGCTGGGCCCCAGAGTTTGGTAGAATAACCAGTTATATATCCCGATCCGAGATTCGGTTTGGCATCCAGATCAAGAATCTCAGCGAGCATGTGGGGATCTTGAAGCATTCCGTAAAAGAAATACACTCCTGTGAGCGCGGCATGGTGATAAATAAGGGAAGGTGAGTTGGGAGCCTGGTAGAACCAGTCTGGCGGAGCACTTCTCACTTTCAGAATGAAGCCAGAATCCTTGGATATATCATTCTGAGAACGCGCGGGAAGTGGTGGTGCGGACGGAGGAGATGAACATCCCGATGCTAAAGCGTCGGACATGGTATGAGTTGGGTATTAGGTAGATAGAAGTTGTGCCACAAGCTGTTGGGGAAACAAATGTACCCGAAATGTAGTTGAAAAGCCCTTGACGTTGTCGACAGCGCGTTTGATGGCGGCGCAGCCACATAATATTGCCTACTATTAGTGTTGGCTCGTCACTTACTTTATTTCGTTGACAGCCCTGAGAAACCTCTCCGAAACCCTCGATGCACGGAGTGACTCCATTATTAGGCCACTTTCTCTGGCTGTCCGGAAACCCACTATCTTCTCATAAATAACCTGAGTGCTGATGTCGGGCGCTTATGTGGACAGTTGCGGCGAACATGTGCATCTCTCGCTGGCTTGGGGGCATTCTCTAGAGAGGCCTCAAGAAGGTTTGCCAAAGCGTTATTGATTTTGAGCCTGCCTTTGAAGCCCTTCTCCCTCAAGACCGTCGTCGAACGATCATGCTTGGAGCAGCTCGTTGGACAATGCGAATTTCCCTCACCGAAAATTGTCCCGGCGCCAGAGAATTGCGCTCGTCGAACAAGCCTCCAACATGCGGGATTTGGCCCTGCTTATGAACTCGAATTACGATAAAATGATCGGCTGGAACATCTTATACCTGCTCAACACATCTCATGGAACAATCGAGTTCAGGCGCGGTACGGCAAGTACCTCTGTGGGTGATATCTCCATGTGGATCGAAATTGCCATGTTTTTCGTCTGCGCCGCATTGAAGTTGAGAGATCTGAGCACTCTTGAGAAAATACAACCAACGGCCCTGAGTAGGTACTTGTGGTAGATAAAGCAAGCAGCTAAGTATCCAGTGATGAAGGCAAGCTCTTAAGTACTGTTACCCACGACCAGCAGTAGTGGGGTGTTAGAGTTACAGAAGTAAGTCAGGGGAGGGTGTAAGATATTCGAAGTCATTCAATTGCATACAGCATTAATAGCGTGCACAAAAGAGTAGTCCAGGAACCTGACAGTAGTAAGCTAGCGGTTTGGTATCATCTCTGGCAGCTTGATCCATACGATCTTTGACAAAGGATGACCATCCTTTGGTGAGGCCTTCAAGAAGTTTATCAAAATAATTGAAGTTGGGCATAATAGAATAACCTAGGCGGATATGCTCAACGTGGATAGAAAAGAGGCGTACCATAGAGCAGAAGCATCTAGGGAATTTTGGAGTATAGTGAAAAAAGATTTGGCTTCAGTAGCAACTGGAGACCATACAGAATCATATAGTCATGAGTTGTGTTTTTTCCAGAATTGTTTTCATATCGTTGCTGGCAGTTTCCAGGGGTTTAACTGGATTTGTCCATAAGTTTCATAAGTCTAAATCGACAAATATGGAATAGTGCTGAGCGCAGACCCCTCTACTATGTACACCACCATGGCGCTGGTGGTGATTGAGCTCTTTTGCCCCAGTGGCCTAATAATAAGAGGTTGACCTTGTCGGTTGTTGTCTATCTAGCGGCAGCTAATATTTCCAGGTGTGGGGTCACGTGGTCTAGGGCTTGTGCAGAACCAACCAAATATCCTGTTCTCCTCCATAACTATCCAAGCAAATCGACCATAGTCGATAGCAACTTGGGCACCTGCTTTGCCTTTCTCTAAGCTACCTACCAGTCGGCTCAGACTCGATGACCTTTGATCAATTATGATAGCGTCTATGGGTCCCTATTTGGTGCTTTCACTTTTATTGGCAGGGAACAAAGCATTTACGCGGGTTTGAAAGGGGTATAAGACTTGTCGGTTTCATCCAAGCCCTTGTTTTTGAGCCGAGAGTAGAGCGGCATAACCAGCAGCTGATATAACAAAGAGGAGCCCGTGAGATTCCGGGAACCAGAATGAAGTTCCCGGAAACAATTCATGCTTTCCTGAGAATCTTCGGCGTGATGTTGCCTGTAAACTCTCAATGGATCCAAGGCATCTATTTTTGATAACCTATGTTTTGAAGGCCCCGTTTAGGATCTTTGTGGGGCCATTTATCTGCTCCAATGGGAAGACAATCCCAGTACACACACTGAGGCATTGAGCCTACAAGCTTCATCAATTATCCGTGCAATTTCCGGGGGTATTCCAGGTTCGCTGGTTGCTGGAAAAACAGTCTGTCCATGTCCTCCGATATCTCGCTCATGTGCGCCGCCTTATCATTGGCCATCTACTTATGCTGGTCTCTGTGGCAGCTAGCGGGAGGGAGCGCGACACGCGAGCTGCTGCTACACACATGGAAGCGCAGTCTAGCTAGCGTTAAGGGTATCGTCCGAGTCACCACCCGCTGTACCACGGAACCCTCGACACCCCAGTCCATCAGTGCGGGCATATTAAGAATGACAGCCTCGTTGAGCCGGATGCCTGACAGAGAGTACTACATCAGCCGTGCAGCATTAAAGTTGATATTTGGCAGCCTTGCTCCACACACACCACTCATGGAGTCATCCATCTACGTCCATCTAGTTCCCAGAGTTGATATATTTTAATCCTAATTGGGTTCTCTACGTGAACGCTGGTTCCGCGGCACCGCCCCGAATCCCAGCACCAATGCGGGATGATAGAACAGGTGTTTTGATTAGTTGTCTGGCCGAACGCGACTACAACCTCTTCTTGTTTGTCAATAGACAGTCGCATGAAGGTGGCCACGTCTTTTTAGCGCCTCCCAGGGTTCAACCGATGCGCCGAAGGAGTTCCGTACATGTTCACTACCAATCCTAGCAATTTCAAGATTTGGTTCTGGACTTTATGCGGCTCCTTCCTCCGCCTATTGAAATAATGCAATAGGGTGTTGAACTGCAGAGCCACAGCAGTGAAGCCAGCAATTTTACTCCTACCAGGGACACTCAAGCATGGCCCCAAACAACTGTTCCCTAGGCCCGATCAATCCTTGACGACAGCATCGTGTATGTATGGCGACATGTATGCGCTGCGCTTGACCAGTCGCATGGTTCCTTTGTTTTGTAGACGATGGGACTGCGCATGTGACAGCTTACTACGTGCTCTGGGAACTACAGCACTTGGCTCGAAGACACAAACCACAGCTTAACCCCTGTTTTTTGACCTGACTTACGCCGGCTATGCTCTGTGAAGCTGAGAATGCCATAAGATGTGTCCCAAAGTACAAGTATAATGAAGCTCCCCGCCTCTACAACAGACATTTCTTACTCTGAGCCCCTCACAGAAAAAGATTCAGTGCCTTTTCATAGCTCTAGCCACCAAAATTTCTTTGTCATTCATTGCAACACAATTCGACTTAAGCCCCTCCCTAAAAGAGTACCCAGTGACTATGTGTCAGAAGGAGGAACCGAACACATATACTTGGAAATGTGGCCATACCACGGCCGAGTTCACCGGTGTTCGTATCCATTTTTGCGGTTCAGCACGCACAAGAGGTTCACGATGCGCGAATCCTACGCCAACGTCCAAGGGTTCAAGCCGTGGTTACAGCACTAGGGCTGTTTGCCCTGATTGTCGCAAAAAGAAACCGGACCCAAAGCCGGGGAATGACGACAGCACTGGAGCTGGTGGTTCAACATCGACCTCTACTCTCTCGGCTCAACCTAGCGGTGTCACTGTCGGTGCATAATGAGTAAGTAAGCATCATAGTTATGAAGAAGCAAGACAGCTAACCTCTGAAGGCACAGCCATGAACGATTCGCTTTCTGGAACTCTAGCGGGGATCTCAACTTTGCCTCTGAAACTGTTTTTTTAATGCTTGGTGGTTACCTGAAACTAGTGTGAACACTACCGAGTCGAGGAGCTCAACCTCCAAGTGGATAATTCTGTACAGGAGAACGACCTCAACGTAGTTGCTGTTTCCGGCGATGATTTCATTCGATCGGGGGTATGTTTTGGTCAAGAAAAAATTCGGAGGAGCTGCTTTTGTAATAAAGTTCATGAACGAATATATTGCTAATCTAACGGATAATTGTCGCGTCGAATAGTAAAATAACCGTAGGCTCTATGAAAAAGGACTTCGAAATGAGTACGGAGGTTCATCTCAAAAGTTCTTTCTCATACTAAAAACACCACAAAGTCTAACCTGAATATAGCAAGTGTTGTCTATCATACAGTGTACAATCTATATACAATTATCTGCAGACTTCTTATATTCATTTCCATCTTCTAGCTCTATAATCTTTTGAATATGAGTAGAAATCCACTCTATTCTGTGAAAGATTTTTTCAATACTGCTTTCACATCTTAATTTCTTCTGTCTGACTCTTTGATGCTGTGATAATTTATAAGCAAACACCATGATCATCAGATTATTCATAAGTTCATAACAAAATATTAACATAATCATTTCTTAAATGATTGCACTTATAGTGATAACTATATCTATGAGTGCAGTGATGCAACTCAACCCACAGCAGGTGTGGTCATCCATCCCATCATCTATATGTAGTACACTCCAACTGCCAACTGCAATATAGTGCTACCGAGTCTCTAACCTAGCAAGCTTCTCACTGGGTATAAGGTAAGGTCGGGGCTTATACAGTGCTTCTGAGCTTGTTCACTAAGTCAGGAGGTAGTGCCACTATCATAGATTAAGATATATCGTGAAGAGATATCTAGGATGACTAGCAATAGCTACGGCGGTGGCCTATGGTAAAAAATAAGAGTACTTTGTAGGGCTTACAGGATAAGGGGCGAGGGCTCAAGGTATGTGTCGTCAAGAAGTATACTTGAGGTGAACTTATAGTCGTACTATGTAACTGAGTATAAGTAGAAGTAAATGGGAGTAGTAAAAGAGAATAGAGGAAGATTGATTGTGATCAAGAAGATAAGCTTCCTGATCCTAAGGGTAATGAGTGTGTTTAAATACATTTGAGTCCCCATACAAATTATCTTGCTCACGCTGCTCACTGGCTGATCAGGGTGAGCAGTCACGTGACTTCATACTCCGCTTCGGTCAAGGGTTGTTCCGTTCCTACACTTCTTCGGTTCTTATCCAATAAGCCCCGGGCCGTGCCGCAGGTTTAACATAGTGTGGGAACCACAATACACTCTTTTGTATGATTTTGTGCTTCATTCAGAGTCAGCAAGATTCTATAGAATTAAGATCTCAGAGCATATATATCAGTATTAGAAGTCATCTTGACTAGTAATTTAATGAGAAATGAAAATATCATCTCTACTACTTTGTATGAAGCAGATTTGGGGGAAATTCAAGTTGGTGGCATTATATAGTGCCTTGGCGGGTAAGAACTTTTGAGATGAACTTCCGTATCTTCCAGTTCGGAATAACGGTAACTTGCGGGCTGGAAATATCTTTATCCGACACTAGTCCAAACATTTGTTGTGTAAATAAGATCATCCTCCGATTTTTTTCATCAAGCTAACACCCGGTATCACGCATAATCCTAAAGATGGCGTCCGCAGATGTTGTCTATATCATGCAGCGCCCACACTGTATAGCAATAGGCCAGTCCGGAGAGATATGCAAGATTAACGACTCCATGGTTGTGAAATACCCCAAATCTTTTCCAGGAGAAACCACCTACAATGAACTCCGTCAGCAGTTCTTGGATGTCGAGAGACAAATCTACGAGCGTCTCGGGCACCACGATGGAATTCTGCAATTCTTCGGAGTGTGGAATGAGACTGGAGCGATACGGCTAGCATATGCCAATCAAGGTGACTTGAGAGCGTACATTCGATCGCACGATGCGCCACCTCAAGCATTTCGTAAGATGTGGATTCGACTACTGGTAGAGACATTCTATCACATATACTCTCGCAAAGTACTTCATCAAGATGTCAAGCTCAACAACATTCTCATATCGAACGACACCCCAAAAGTCGCCGATTTTGCGAACGGCGCCATCTTCCCAATAGATGCGGACATGGAACTGATTTGCGCCCAAGACCCGCTGTCTCGAATTGACCTGCTTGGAATCGGTTGTATAATGTATTCGATCGGAATGTGGCAAGATTTTGAGTATGATTACTTCGAAAACGATCGCTGGCCGACACCGGAAGAGCTGCCATCGACACATGGGGTTTTGTATGGGGAGGTCATTGCTAGGTGTTGGAACAACGAGTACAGCACTGTGAAATCGCTATATGAGGATTTCAGGGGCTGCAGCCGAGAATCAGGGGTTTAATGTCGGATCAAGTTTGGGTATTTGCTTATTGTTTTTTGGGAGATATGCTAGTGGACGATTTCATTTGCAAGGATAACATCAACCTGTTCAAGGAATTTCCAAAGAGAGGAGCAGCAACGGGCTTTACCATAGTATAGTATGGGGCTCCATGGCCTTGAGTTTTCCTGTTGGACGTGTGGAGGGTGCGAACGGTTCTACATAGCTCCCTGGGAACTCAAAGTTAAATCCTGTAACATTCTATGGACTCCCTTCGCGCTCGTCTGAGGACCGCCCTGTGATAGTCTCAAATGAGCTATCTCTCTTGACTAGCTCCACTGACGGTGAAATAGGTAATCACACTACGCACCCGAAATCTCCTCCGTCAGGCAACCAGCAAAAGTGACAGGATAAGGACGGATCAGCAGGACTAGGCCCACGATATGAAGCTAGGAGGACCCTGAAAACACAGTGCTGGAGATGGCAAGACATTACCCGATCTTTCGGAAGAGCAGGCATATAGAAGGATAGGCCCATTAAGACGATTCACTTTTAGTTCCTCAGATCCTATTTAGGCTCCCCTGATCAGCTTTTACAAAGTTGCCCTTGTTAGCTTCGAACAGTTGTAAAGGGGGCTTGATCTGGTCCCCAGAATGCTGCTGCTTGGCGGAGATCATGGATAGAGAGCTCCCATTTTCCAGAGTCCATCAGCTGCGCATCCCGGCAGCTGCATCGATTCATGGCTAATACTGTAAAGTCTAAGCAGGCAACATCGATTTTCTGAGATCCCAATTCTTGCTTGCTTTTGCGGCTAGGCAAGTGTGCCAAAAGGCGAAAATAAGAGGCGACTTCTGCCTATTCTGTATGCTGTATGCAAACTGGCTTGCCTCATTTTCCCTGATGACTGCTTGCTCCTGCAAGAGTAAGCTGCACTGATTCTTGGTTGCATACATTGTGAGGTCCTAGCAGGCAGCAGTCTGGATTTCCTGGGAGCTTGCTGTCCCAAAAGCAAAAACGAGGCACAGCACCTATCTACCCATACTAAATCCAGAATGACTCATTTCGCCTACGTCTGCAAGAATGAAAGAGATTTGAGACTCGCTGCTTGGTGTCTACTTGAAGACAGAAATGTGGTTACCCAGAGAGGTGAGGAACGATTTTACACCCCTGACAGCCGAGGGTGGCATTACCCAGCTTTCATTCGAGGGATCATTGGCCGTTCGTTGCTTTACGCGAGCCTAAATCCAGGCTACACGGCAGGCAGATTCTCTCCCTTGCTGGTAGGTGCGCCTGACTAAGGGCACGAGTTGTGAGTCGGGACTGCGTATCTCGAAGAATCCTGCGTGGACTTTTGGCATAACGCTCATCCCGGTAAATGCAAGCAGTCCAAGTTGATCCGTAGGCAACTTCGACTAAAAGATGTGCCCATCCTCCTGCAATCCTTTGTCTTCTAACCGCGGTTTTTTAAACTAACAGTCGGACATACCTGCTTATTGTAAAATATATTACACGTCGCCGTCGGAAACTATTCAGAAACCGCCTCGGACGCTTGGATTAGATATAAATCAGAAACAATTTCATCTGCCGACTTGTACTGCTGCCTCCAGCATTTCTCCGTAATATGACAGCAAAGATGGTTGTCAGTTGGGAATACCCCATTTTCGAAGCGAGACGATATTTCTTCATCCTGCGTAAGGCTGTCAAGCTCTGGGAAAACCTCGTGTCCAGTCATGATGAAGTAGATAGCAGAACCAAGAGCAAAGAGATCAGTCCGCACACATGCATAGTCACCATGGGAACGAGGCATGTATGACTTCGAACACTCTCGAGACAGGCCATCCAGTAATATTTCCCCATCAGCTGATTTCAGCATCCCTTGGAAGTCTGCCAGCAGGAGATCAAAATTCTTGTCAAGCAGAAAATTTCGAAGGTTTATGTCACAGTGAATGACATGTTTCGTATGTATGTAACTGGCTGCTTCAGCGGCTTGTTTGCACCAGAGCAATTTCTGGCTAAGAGGTATAAATGATTGAGATGCAATGTAGTCGCTCAGCGAACCGTTCGAGGCACGTTGCAGAAGAAGGCCATGTTCCGTCAGGCCCTTCGACGCGATGATTCGGGGATGAGTCCCAAGGATCCTAAGAAGATGGGCCTCTGTATGAATGCTTTCAAAGTTTCCGGGGATACACGGGTATTTCATAACAGTCAAATCATCGATGGCACCGATGAAGCACTCGCCGCCGCGACCGATGATCTCTGAAACCCCTGGAGGGTAATACCGCCGCACTTCGACAATCTCTATATGGGAGGTAGCATTTAGATCGCATCCATTTACAATCGAGCCGTTCTGTATTCATCAGCAATCATTTATGACTAGCAACATACATTGTAAACTGACAGCTTTTGAATGAGGTATTGAACATATGTTCAGCGCTTCCGTATCGCTCGTTCCGGATGTCGAATCATACAAGGCCTTGAATACTGAACCAAATACAGTCTTGAAAGGATACCATATTGCTTGAAAGGAGGATATTATGAAGGAAAAGACTTGTCGAAGTAATGGATTCATCATGGTAAAATGAAAAACATGAGTGCTTGCTCTTTTATGTTTTTTATTTGGAATGAAAAAGAGGGATCAGAATGCTAACCAGCCCCCTGGCTTACCTAATACTAGGCTAAGCCTAGGTCGGACTTATAAGAAGACTAGCAACAAATGAACTGTTGTTAACTGTCTTTTGAGCAGAACTTTTCTCTTTCTTACCCACTATATTCATGCTCTTGCAGAAGAAACGGATGAAGACTGAGTGTTGTGATGATAGTACTTTTAGCATGCATGATATTTCGTGTCCTGGCTCTATTTAAGAGTTGAGCTGACTTTCCACGATGTGCGCGTTTCTTTTGCTACCTGCCTGCTCAAGATCCCTAAACCACAACATGGATGCACCTTTCGTGCTGCCGAGCTGACCACCAATCAATCACCACATCGAATTGAGATGTCTCGCTCTTCCAAAATAGCCGCCTCTGTCATCCCTGCTTTCTTATTGTCAAAACCCCTTCCTCTCTCAACTCCAGTGTCTCGCTCACTCTCCATTTGCAGCTTCCATAGGGTTGGGTTGAGCTTCTCGTCTTGTAGTGCCTCAACCACAATGCCGCGCGATGAAGGAGATGTCCAGTACAACTGGATTGATGGTGCAGAGTCGCTTGAAAAGTACAACCCGGGGGGATATCATCCTATCATGATTGGGGATATGCTACATGAGCGATACCGCATTGTGGGCAAACTTGGTTTTGGAGGCTATTCAACTGTTTGGCTTGCGCAAGACACTCATCTGAAGAGCTACGTTGCTGTCAAAGTTGGTATAGCAAACTGGCATCCACATGAGACGAAGGTTCTCCAAGCTCTCTCTGCGCCACGGCCATTGTCCTTGTCCGCCCATCCGGGGCGCCATTCAATACCATTACCCCTAGATGAATTCGAGTTACATGGCCCCAATGGGACCCATCCATGCTATACAATGACTCCAGCAAGATGCAATCTTAGAGAAGTCTCTTTCAGCCGCCTATTTCCTCTCGAAGTTACGCGGGCCCTGTCGGCCGGCCTCGCACTGGCTTTATCCGAATTATAGCAGACTATCCAGCTGGTTGAAGATGAGGGATGGCCCTCTTTCTGGTGAATGCGTGGTTGTTTCCACCCAATATAGACTGAGAAACAACGCTTGCCCTTTAACTTCCGAGCAATCTCTATTCCCACCTCAATTCAATACCCGATCAATAACATTCCGCTCACTAATTCTGTGCGGGAATTGCTGCCTGTCTCCTCACGCCATTGGTTAGCTCTCTACAACAAGGCAATCGAAATGGCTTTATATTAGGTGTTAAGATGGTGTATTCTAGATTCCATTCAGTTTGGGCATCTAGGGGGATTATTGCTGACTGAATCACTAGAAATGATGGAACCAATCCTCAGCTTTTTCAGATTTGAAACTCTTCATCCCTACTTTCAAGAGATGAAGTAATTTTGAAAAATAAACTGTATTATATTTCAAAGAATAGTGAAAAAGCTAGAACTGTGAAAAGGATTGATCCATTCTACATAGCTAGGTAGCCACTCCTTCATTATAAAATGCAGTGATTCGTTTTTCTATCAAGCTCTTGAAGTCCTCCTGGAATATCTTGTCCTATATCATGAGAAACTCTTATAATCTCTTGCATTGAGATTTTGCTCATTGGTCAATCGGATAGTTAAGCCCTACCCTATGGCTCCTCATCCTGTAGCCCTGACTGACTGACACCTTTGAGAACCCTCTCGGAACTGCCGCGTTACACATGCCACCATCCCTCGCATGGTTGTACTTTATGCATAGAATATCGGGGCCCAGTCACCAGTGTACCCACCCATCTTTGAGATACGGATAGAGCCCACGGAATGAATGCCCCTAAAGAACATTCCGTTAACCATCCCCGTAGATAGCCAACTCCCTTTTATTTAGTTTCCTTCCCTCTCTACTTCTCTTCTCGTGACACAGACCTAATTGCAACATAAAGCCATCCTGCGGGAGTAAAAGGAATAAAGGAACCAATATTCGAACCGTTTGAGACCCAAGCCAACACCGGGTACCTAGGTAAGTCTAGCCCCGGCCCGCACAATCCTTCAAACAAGTGTATACACGAGTCGTGAAGTCGAGGAACGGTTTCCTGGGTTCAACGTTGGTGGTGCTCGTAAATTTCTTCATTTTCTCACTCTGCCCCTTTCAAAAGTTAAGGCTATGCAAAAAGGCATGGGAAGCTTCCAAGGAGTTTATCTGAATATGTATACTCCTCATGAGCGTAACGCAATAACTAACAGTGAATTTAACAATAAAATAAAAATTTAAAAAAATAGAAAATAACAAAACAATAAGAAAAAAAAAAAAAAACGCCCCAATCGCCAGATATTTGAAGACTTGGTTGTCCCATTTTCGTAATCCTTTCTTTTCTCTTTTTTATTTTCCTTCTGAGTTTTTCTTGATATGTTTTCTCTATTGTCCTTGTACAGGCTTTTATCCCTCAGCCATCTGTACGTCGTTCATCTCCACGCCTTTCGCTGCTGATATCCAAAGGACGTTATTACACCTAGACAAATGGTGAGGCAGGTCGCGAGTTAGCGCGCATGGCACAATTTCGTATCCACATATAGATAAACACTAGAACAGAAAAGAACACAGCCATTCCTCCACCGACTTGGGGGGTGTGGGTCCGGGGAGCCACAGCCTTAAGTACCACGGCAATGGCTCCAATTTGCAAAAAGACCTCGAGAGAACGAAGAGCGAGGAAGAGAAAGATCCCCATGGGAAGTGGGGGGTGGAGCAAAGAAAAAAAAAAAAAGAAAAAGAAAGAAAGCTAACCTTATCAAAACCTGTCCCAAACTACCCGTGCTCTTGCCCTCGATAAATTCCTCCGTATTCGACAATTGGATATTCATATAGGAATCAACGCTGACGAGCTGGCCCTTGTATTCTGTATGTCCCCATTTCAGGCGCACGAGGACATCTTCGTTGACGCTGTACCAGAACGAAAAAAATTAAGAACAGGAACACAGCGTTAGCTGAAGTAGAGAAGGAAAAAACAGAAAAAGCAAAAGAAACCTCTTTCGGGAACATTGGGATAGAAGCAAGTAGTGACGGGGAAAGGGGCCGAGTGGTTCTGGTTGGGAAGGGAGGTCGTGGGAAGGCATGTCATTGGTAAGAGACGTACAGAGATTGCAGCATAGGCCGCGGGTTTAAAGGTATGAACTATTGATATGAAAATATGTTAGACTTTAACATCCATCGCATAGCGGGGTTATCAAAAATGGGAGGAAGGCGTTGATAAGAAAGTAATGCGGCCTGGCTTTGATTTGGTACGTTGGCACCTACTGTCATTGTAAATTAGGATGTATTATGTCTAGAAGTCAGATATGAGGTAGGGCCCTGTGGAAGAGGACAACGACCCTAAAGAGATATAAAAGGGAGTAAGTGGTGGGGTTTGTATGGTTCGTGAGCGCGAGGATGTAAGTTGATGAGCTCTCTGGAGTCTGAAGGATTTCACTGAGTTGCGAGTAATCTGCCGAATTAGGCGGTGAGAAGGTCACCCAATCAGGGTCGAGTCGCGATTTTCAACCGCAAAAACAGCACTTTTGATTGTGAAACATAGTATTCTTTCAACTCAACCAATAAAAATGTCAACATTCAAAGACAGCAAAGCTTCTTATATGGAAGAAAGAGTTCTTTTAATTTATTAAGGATCTTGACTTATATCAAATTTCAACAAACACAACGCCCCGAACGAGCCGAATCCTTCAAATTAGAAAATACAAATACTCATGATCAATTTGTCACGCGATGGCTCCAAGAGGGGCCTCAAAATCGTCATGTAGGGGTAACCCATGTGGGAAGCTGTAAGGTAGGGCTTGACTATCTTGATACTTCAGTAAAAATGGGCAATTGAGGATGTCACGGCACTTCCCCGCGTTTGCGCAAATAAATAGTTAGCACGCATCCTAGTTGTTGTGCGCGCTTGGCTACTGTGTGCTATCAAGTTCTTTTGCCCCAGTGGCCCAGCGACACCACTTTCTCGGCCACTTTGCACCACCATGCTAATTTAGTATGAGAAACGATCTTATTTGTCTTGGAGGCACTCCATCATGGTCCAATCGGCTGATTGCAAATTTGCAGCAAACTCCGGGATGCTAATGATTGAATTTAAAACTCGGGAGTATTCCTGTTCGATGCCATTATTGAGTTTGTTATAAGATACATAGTTCAACACCATCTTATCCAATCTACTACTTTCTCCTCCCCCTTCCCTAGCGGTGTCAGTGACGCCTCAGACGGCGCGGAAACATGCACTCTACATGCAGGTTACACGTCGGCTGACCCCTCGGGTGACTCACCTGAACTACGCTAGTGTAGGTCACCTGACCCAAAACAATTCTTGGCACAAAAAGGGTCAGCTGAGAATAAAACAAAAATGAACTTTTACCTTCTGATACATCTGTTAATACACACAGCAAAAATGAATATTGATTCTTTCTCAGATGATAGTAATCTATTAGATCATGATTTGAATCAAGAGCATTGACTTGAGAAACACACAGAAGTTTTGGATGAAAGCACAGTATATGAAACTAGTCTTTTACTACTATTTGATTGCTTACTGACTAGTAAGCCAACTTATGAATCCATTATTTTGATAGATTGCTGGAGTACAAGCACACTTTCTACACAGAAAATAGAGCATATTAGTTTTATTTCTGAATATCCAGCAATCTCAGAAGATGGATATACATATATCATTGATACACAGTTGCTTGATGATGAGAATGCTAAAAAACCATGATCACTGATATAAATCACTAGTGAATAATCAGTATATTGCTAGTGAGATACTAATACATTCATGTCAACATAGATTCAATATAGAAAGTCATGAACTGTCTTTTCAAAAAAGATCTATTCATTATATCTACAAACATCTGTTATACAACATCAATATAAATATTCTGATATTCAACACTGTGAATATATACAATCAGATTTGATGAATTTTCAATATATTCAAGTTGATGAGACTTTATAGCAGAGACTATCTGCTTGTTAAATCACTTTAACTTCAGAGACAGACAGATCATCAATTCAGACAGCAATTGGGTTTATTATAACTGATTTATCACTAGTATTCTTTCAGTACAACACTAATATTATACTAGTATATACTATAGTATAAAACAACAATTTGATTCATACTGTGCATGCAGTGAAAATTCTCTGTCAATATGCAAATCTGAATGATGAATCTTTACACAATCAGTAAGTATTTCAGAAGTAGATCTCTAACTAGTCATTGCTCAGAGAAACACTAGTTGATAACTGATAATGATAATAGAATATTGCTGGTGTTTTCCAACCATATATTGTCTGTGTGAACTATACACCTCACAACTCAACTCATCTTTTTCTTGCAATATCAACAAGTTCTAGAATTAATATCTTCTATTTAAATCAGTTTTTTGAGAGAGAATTACAAATTGAAGCTGAGTTATGCAGTGGTATATTTCCAACAAACACTCAATGAACTCATTACAGTAAGTTGCTCACTAATCAATAAGTAGTAGTTCATCAGTTATTAATTAATATACTCTAGATATTGATCATACTCAGAGGTGAGGAATATTAATACATCAATCATACAATGTTATATTTGATATTCTTATTTCAATTGATTAGCAAAATAAACTCTATATTGCATTAAAATCTCATGGAATACATTCTCATTCACCATCTTTTTCATCATGAATATCAAACAATATTATATGTGATGTTGCTCATCTGATTCATCAAATGAATGATTCAGATCTCACTCTCAGTATGTTACTTATTATTCACTAATTATATACTAGTATTCAACTAATATCATTTACTTGTAGCTCTCTTTCTCAAGTTCTCACAGATCAAAGAACTCTGTCAAAGATATTATACAAATATCTTTGTTCAGATTCATATAAGTTTAGTGAATATGAATCAAATTGCAGCTCTTATTTATAAAGAGTGTTTATTTCACTGTTCAGAAGAGAGAGATTTTGCAGATATTGTCTATTAATATAAGCAAGATCAATAAGACAACAATATAAGTATCAGTTATTCATCAGTTGTTCATCAATTATCCACTAGTGACTGATCAGTCTTGATAATGTGAATAGTCTTATATTCAGTGCATTTATGAGTCAAACAGTGAATTTATAATTTTCTGTGCATTCAAAGAACAAATCAAGGTTCTTGTCACACTAAAATCATTTGAAATTGATATATCATTCAAACAGATTCAGAATCAATATATAAATGAAATTATTCTTACTACAATGTTATCAGAGTAAAACAAAAGTAAGTCATATCTCTGACTAGTATATTACTAATATCTAACAAGTGAACTATTAGTCTTTACTCTTCTGCATATCATTATCAATACTGAAACAATTACAATGTACAAAGATCTATTTCTTAGATTTTTTACACTTGTTAAAGATGTAACAGAGCAGAATATGATCTTTCATCATTTGTATAATGATGAACTTTATACTGTTGTGATGAATATGAATACAAAGCAGATGACTGATAAATTAATTACTGATAAATAAGTAATACTTGATCAGTAACTGACTAGTTAGATCTGAGACTTGCTGTAAATGAAATCAACCCACAGCAGTGAGAATGAAAATGACAGTTGAGAAATCTTATTATCTTCTGTTATATTCACTTTTTTCAAGAAATTGATTATATAATTGAAACTAGTTCAACTAGTTCTGATCTTCATCATCATATGCAAAGTCTTTTAACTTGCATCAGTTATAGTGACTATATAAAACTATGCAGATTAATAATTGATGAGTAGATATTATAACTGATTATTCACTGATTGATTATCAGTCATTTACTAATAATATTATTCAGACAATGAGTCAATCAATGTTGTCAACTGAGCATGCCACAAAATGCAGTCTGTTATTACAGCTGAATTTAATAAACATTGCTCTTTTATAGCAACTGAAATTTATCAAAAAATTCAAAAGCATACAAATGCTGTTGAACAGACTCATAACAAATTTTTGATATGAGGGCAATATGCATTCTTACTTGAAACTGTACTTCAGTAAGTTATATCACTAATCATTCAGCAGTAATATACTAATCAGAAACTAGTGACTGAACATTGAATGTCAGAAATGTTAATCAGCTCAAGATATACAACAAATTTGATCTTTCATATAACAATTGATTAAATGCACTAAGTCAAAGATATTTCAACAGCATTGTCAGAGATGAGATAACTTTGATATATTAGTTCTCTATTAGTGATTGACTAGTAATAGAACAATGCAAATGAGCTTGAGATGAGAAAGTGTTGAAGGAGAATTCTCTGCTAGATCAAGTCTCATCTTCTGATAATATTTGAAATTGATCTCAATCACAGTGTAGAAGTACCTCAGCAAGATGTGTAATAACTAATTAAGGATTAGTATTTCACTAGTGCTAATATATTATTTTCTAAAAGAGGAACAAGAAATTGACAGTGTTCATGCACATCATCTGTAATATCATTACAAAGCAGTGAGCCACAGTCAAATCATTCACAAGCTCTCAAGTATGTTTAATATCAGTAGTGTCTTACTTGTATGATATCAGTAACTGACTAGTGTAGTTTCAGTCAAGAACTATCTGTACCACCCCTCAGACAAGCTGCTTCAATGAATCTCCAGAAATTACAGATTCATGAAAAGGAATTGATTTTTAAAAATCAAGAAATGAATCTTTGACATCAAGCAGCTGAGATTGAGCAGTTGAAACTAAATAATCAATATGCTCAGTTGAAATTGCAAAAAATGAAACAAGATTTTTTATCTCACTAATCAAATATTAGTTTTCAACTAGTCATTTACTCAAAACAATAAAGATATATTGCATGGATTAGTAAAACAAAAAGAGTCATTTGAAAAACTATATAATGGATATATATGTATGTAAAAAAATACATTGTAAAAATTGTAGATAAATTTCAATAAATGAAAATGCTGAGCAACAGATAAATATATATTAGATCTGAAATTCAATATCAAATATAACTGATCATTGACTGATAAAATAGTACAAATTGTATAAATATTACTATCTTCTCACTAGTAACTAGTAGTAAAGAACTAGTAGTTGCAAACTTTAAATAAAAAAGAAATTATATATCAACTAGTGTAATATCAATCATGACTAGTACTACACTGATATTCATAATTGAAAAAACACAACAGATCTTGAAAATTTTAGATGACTATCAGACAATGACTGATAGTGATTTAATGAAGAGAATTTAAGAAAAGTAAAAATCATCAGTGCTATGACTGATGGGGTATTAGTTAGTGACTAGTAGTCACTTTAATAAAAGAACTGTGAAAATGACTAGTGCTAAGCACTAGTCAATAATGCAAAAAACATAATATGAAAAAAACTAGTCATAAACTAGTTATAAGTAGTTATCCACTGATTCTTAACTGATCATTTCATCCTCCTCATTCTCTGATGCTTTCTCATACTCCTCTCTCTTCTCAGATTCCTCATCATTCTTCTTCACTTTCTTCTCAGAGGATTTCAACAGTTCCCTCTCTATCTCTGAGAACTCAACAACAACTGATACATCACTAGTTACTTTCAAAGACAAAAAAAACAGCATCTTGTAACAACACTTCTCAAAATCTTTACAACAGACTGTTAATACTAGTCAGCCACTGGTGTCTATCATTAATTAACTATATAACTACTGATTGTATTACTTATCATTCCCAGTTTTCTTACATGCCTTGCATGGAATTGAAAGTTCTTGATCTTTCACAATTTTTTTAATCAAGGTGATATTGTGCTGAATATGAGTAGTTAGTAATCAGTTGTCTATCAATTCAGCACTGATATTGAACTACTTACAAACTTGTCATTCTTTCTTATAAGTAAAGATACCTTCTCCACAGCTGACTCTGTCTCTGTTTCAGCAATTGACTCATCACTCAGTTCTTTCAATTGTATAACTGATACAGAACTAGTCATTCCCACTGCATTATTCTCATAATTTGCAATAATCATTTTGTAAAATGCTATTTACTAGTTAGCAACTAATCAACCACTAGTGCTGCATTTCATAAATACTAGTGAAATCAACTCATATCAAGAGCTCTATCAATATCATTATATGCTATGCCATCTTCTCAGCCTCCATCTGCAACATTTGCCCCAGCATGTTTTTTCACATACTTTCTGAGATTGTTTGTAGTCATTTTGATCTGACTAGTCAGAGACTGATTGAATATCAGTTCCCATCATTTCTCAATCAGTCAAACAAAACTTACTAAATTGACACAACTCAGAAAACAACAGAAGACTTCTTCAACAAACAACTTGATTTACTTCTAATCAAATATCAGTCAGTTACTAGTAACTGCAAATCAAGCTGCTAGAGAAACTCACTGTTACATTGAAATCTGGAAGCACAAGCTCTCTCTTTTCAATCTTCAAGTATTGTTGATACTGACACTGTATATTATTTAGTATACCAGTGAAGAACCAGTTAGTGACTAGTCAAATACTTACATGCTTTTCTAATGTACTGATCATTGTGGCAATTCTTATTATTTTGTGTAGTTGGATTATTGATATTCTACTAGTCACTGATTGTTGGGGAAAGGGTGGTGGGAATGGTGAGTGTGGGGGGGGGCGGGCGGTTGTTTTGTAAGATGTTGTAAGAGGTTAAGTTTCTACGGAGCTCAACTGACCCTTTGACTAGTCAGCTTTTCTATAGGGTCAGGTGACCTACACTAGCGTAGTTCAGGTGAGTCACCCGAGGGGTCAGCCGACGTGTAGTCTCCTCTACATGTGTTTGCTATTTCTCAAGCCGTGCACTGCCCAAACATACTCCAGGCATAACCATAACCAACACCCGAACCGTGATGGACGGCCCAGCTGCAGGACATCAAATTATGCCTGTTCCGGTCCATGTAAACAATATATGTCCAGCCTATCAAGCTGCACCCTATGTCTTGGCACGTTGCAAGAGCTGCACATCGAAAAAGCTATGGCGTACATCTAGGCAACAATTCTCTCTTTGGCAGCGGACCAAAGCAATATGCAAACACTCAAAGCCTGGTTTCATGCCCTTTGCCTTACACTATTCAATTCTTGTTCGACGGAAATTGGGCTATACAAGGTTAGTCACCTGGAGGTTGGCTAGTTAACCAACTAATTTAAGCTATTTTAAAGTTTAGTGCAGGTTACTAGTCAAAGATCGTTCATAAGATGTCTAGCAATAAATTCTACTACAAAGTAGAGCCCTGATTCTTTCTAACAGTGAATTCTATCATCTATATATATCTATTGATAAGCATCTAGCTTTTTACTTACAAATATAAAATAATAGCTTTTGTGTGATAAAATCTTATTTATTGAAAAAGCACCATTCTGTTGGTGCTGTGATCGGGAAGGGCGAGGAAACTTTAAAATGCGCAAAGCAAACAGGCAGTTTTCAGGTATAATGAATCCATCCCGGAAGGGTGCTTGCTTCGAAATTCAGCCTCATTGCTAAAGCAGAACGGTACATGAAGGTATTGGAGCTTATAACTTACTGAATTGATGGGCTTGGTGTTGCATCCAAAGAATGGACGTTGGTTATCCAAACGGATCAACCCATGGCTTTTTCATCTTGCCCATGTTAGCTGTGTAAAATGGCAAATTCAAAATTCCTGCAAACAGCTTTGTCTACTGTGTAGGCATATTGTCAAGCCACCAACCCACCAGGCGCGAATAAGATGGTTAACGCCCATACAGGAAACCCAATTACTTGTTCAACCTTTTCAACTGACAAGGGTGGGCAAACTGCCGTCCCAGCAACACAAGAGGATCACTTTTCACGCATAAATACTGCCTTTTGTACCCATCCAATAAGTGTTGTGATGGCAAGAAAAACACCATAATCGGCGGCAGAAATCTTTCAAACGACGCCGTTTTTTACCAAGACTCTCATCTGGCACCCTTCTCCTTCAAGCCTCAACAATGGCGACAGCGGCTACATTGTATAACACGCTCCCGACTCTTGAGGACGCGGAAAAGCGCTTCGTCGAACGTGAGAAACTGTTTGCAGCCGTGGGGCAACTCCTTGCTGAATATGGAAATGTCTTTGGCCTCTGCCTTGTCCACGCACACTGCATTCTGACCGACGATGAGATAATGCTTGCTAGGGGAAATGTGTCACAGCCGGAAAAGGCAACGTCACTGGTGGAATACTACCCTGAGCGCTGGCTTTGTTCTGGGGAAGCGTACGAGTTCACCACCCGACCCACCACCCCGCCGCCGGCTGCTCTTCTTGCCGCATTCAACCAGCTTACGTCTCATATTGGGGTTCTGGGCCTATACCACATTGATAACGAAGACAAAGGCAGGATGGTCGAGCACACAGATGGGCGCAAGAACATTCTGACGCCGCTTTCAGAGGCCTCAGCGCAACTAGCCAACCACACCGAGACGGCCTGGAATCTGGGCAAAGGCGATCCTGTCACCATGTCATGCATGATCGTGTGTGATTCACGAATCACTCGAGGAAGTGCAGCACACAAAGGTATGGATGAACACTCGCTATGGAGCTTCGCAAGCTTACTGAGTCAATGCAGGGACAAGATCCCATTATCCCATTTAAAGTAGTGATGGTTGAATGCTGGGAGTTTTACTGTCTGGCAGGAAACACTGAACCAGGACAATGAATAGCGATTGGTTTTCTTTCGTTTTTGTCTCTAAACTAGGACCTTCCTAACTAATGTCATACATGAATTCTTGGCTCCCTGCTAATAGCCCTGCTTATTTTCATTAATCCTCTTCAAAACAACCGAGCTACACGTGTGTCTTCATGTTTAAGTCGATTTCATTAACCATGTCGTACAAATCATCGAGACTTGGACGTTCCTCTGGCACGTCGTGAGTACAAGCATCCACAATGGCATCCAGAGGTTCGGGAACATGCCATTCCACCTGATGTGTAATCGGGACGTTTCCGTATATCATGCCCTTTATAACATAACCTAGATCGTAGATGTCCGACTTTTCAGTCCAGCCAGCTTCTAACACCGGCTCGTGGGAGATCTCGGGCGCCAGATGATTCCCCCAACGAGACTCGAGGTCACAGATAAGTAGGCGAGAACCATCGGAAGAGAACACCAGATTGTCGATGCGGAGATCGCGATGAACTATCCCAAGGGAATGGAGGCACTTCAGCCCAGAGATTAGCTGTAGAATCCAGCTTTTGTACACAGCAAGGGTATACACTAATGCTAAGGTGTAGCGCGCCCTGAATTTCTCGAATACCAGCTCATCCTCAGATGATTTTCCGAGTAGCTGAATGATGTGGTTGGATTTTGGCGCTCCCGGACAGGATCCGCCTTGGCATTTGAGCAGGTTTTGAATCTCACTCTTGTATTTGCCCTTCTTGGTGAAATGTTTATTGGTGTCGACTTTCACCACAGGCAGCAATGCGAGAAGAGCACTGAGATCCTCAGAGTCATCGTCTAGCTCAGGAGGCAGTGGAGCATGTTCGAGAGGGCGTAATTGGTCACCAACAACTTCGTAGTCGCCTTCCAGCAGAGGCAGGTTCTGCTCTAGACGGAGTATGTCACCAGAAAGGGTGCCAGGTATGGCAGCCAACCGGATGCACTGGCCTTGACGAGCCTCGCCTTCGTACCAATACGTGTAGTAGAGAACGCCGTCAACCATGTCCACTTTTAGGTCTATCACTGGTCGACCAGCTGGAGGAACAAGGTTACTCCTGTCCCTCTTTCTCTGGTAATCGGCTCGCAGAAGGCGCACTTTTTGGGTAAACGTGTCTTCGGGTGTTATTTGGCTCATTGTTATTCCAGAAGAAAAATGTCTGGTGTGGTGTGACTTCTGATGTTAAATGGGTCTGGGGTTGTCTTATTACCTAGTCACGCGGAGAGCGAACACGTTTTTGTGGAGATGATAAATTGTTGGACGTCGAAGTGGTTGTATTAGCAAGGCTGTATGAGTATGGTTGTATAAGCATGATTGTATGAGCATGCAGGCAGTTTTGAGGTATATATGTATGTGCGGAGCGCTAGTCCGTAATAGGTAGGGTCAGATAAAGCACAGATTAGAACGTTCCGAAAATTTATCAACGTAGTTCACCACTTTCTCATTCACACCACATCTGCGGGACGTCTAAGTGGTTGTATGAGCATGTAGGCAGCTGAGGCATATATGCGGTGCGCTAGTCCGTAATGGGTAGCCTAGGGCCAACAACATCCTGGTTAGCCTGACTACGTGATATGGTCCACTTTCAACGCTAGTTAGTTACCAATTAAATTACTCAGACATCAACCTCATATATTCATGATCAAGGAAGAAAGAATAGTGAAAATAGACTTATTTTAACTGCTTTGGCAGTCAAGAGTCAAGAATTAACTTAAAAAGCTACTTTCTATATATCTAGACAATATTTGCATTTCTATATTGATATTTAGAACTAGTAGTCTGTATGATTAATTAGTATTGATTCATTGTCTCTACTATCAGTGAATGCCACTGATAATGATTGATGATCAACCTTCTTTGTCTCAGTGGCCTATCAATTACAAATAGAGTTCAACATGACATGGTCAGGCTAACGAGGATTGTGAACGAGAAAGTGGTAAAGGACGTTAGAGCATTATTTTTCGGGAATGAGCTAATTACGCACCAGGCACGCTCATCTAGTTATGGGAGCGCTTGAAGTATAGCAGATTACAGTTTATATACCAGCCTGTAATACATTCCATTTAGTTGCTAATTGTTAAAACTACCTAGGCCTACGAGATAGACATTGCGGAACTCGTGGAGCATGGTTGCAGAGAAATAACCACAATATCGACCTTGCTGGCGGGAGTTGACACTGCCAGACAATCAAGCATGAAGATAACAAAGCATACAAGGTGAGGAAGAATCTAGAGAAAAGCAATATCCCAATTTCAATGCAGAAGAGTAGTTCCTATAGGATCATGTGTGAGTATCTGGCGTCTGTTTTACCGGGAGAACATACAAGCTAGGCTTGAGAACATCAGGAAGTCCAACAATGGAATAATTTTAAATTTATGAATAGACTTGCTCTGCTGCAAGATTGGTAAGTATGACATATTTCATAAGACTTTACAGCACAACTTATATGAACTAGTTGCATACAGATTCGGCCTTACTTCTGACGTGTGCCGACGTTGATCCTATTTTCACCGTTCCCCCAGAAAGCCCATGGACCTTCTTCCATGGCCAAATAACTCCTTTCATCCTTGAGTCACTCATGCTCTGCGAATTTCCCAACTGACATCTTTGATACTAACCTCTTCACCCGCCTTCTCATCGTAATCATACCACTCGCCATCGCTAATATCGATACCTGAAAACACCGTCGACGATTCTGCTCCCTTTGCTTCCCACTCTCCCTACCACATAATAGCCAACAGTTAACGAAGACACCAAACGAGAAAAAGTAGCCCGTAGATATCGCTGAAATATTTTTCTTCATCCAACAAGCTATATTAAACTCACATCAGCCTTAAACTCCGTGAACTCGAGCCCTCGACAATCGAACTCAATGACCTTTTGGCCCTTGCTATTCGATTCTTCATATGCGGTGGGTGGGTTTGTGATTGAGGCGGAATGCGTCCTCTTTTTTTTTTTTCGATCCATTCATAGTATGGATATCGATCAGTATTTGAATATTCTTGGAACAGTGGACTTAGGATCTATCCAGACTTGGGAAACAGAACGCGTCTCTCTCCTCAAGAGATATCAAAGAACGGGGGAATTGCTTTCTCATCTGTGTGCAAGGCAGAATAGTGCCCACAATGCAATAACGCAGCGCCATCGGGACAAAATATGTTCAAGCAGCTGTTGCAACTCACCGTGCAGAGTCTACATTTCCATACGAAATTTGCCTCACCCCGACTGCCAGGGACCTCAAGTTTCTCCTATCGTGAATAAAACCTACGTCAGTTTTTTTCTTTCTTTTCTTTTCTTTTTTTCCCTGGGAACATATGGCGTGGTCACTCATATATTTTCTCTAATACCCCCCCAACCCCACACCGCAGGAATCCAAATGAGTAGTAGGTAATATATATGTATATATAGGACTCAAATTCACTTACAAATCTATTGAAACTGATCCAGTTAGGGTGAACCTCTCGACATGACGTGCATTGCACCTTAAACGTGTAGAAGTAAGGGTTCTCTTCGGTGTCCTTCGGGCGGAGATTGGTGACCCTATATTTATTGTTTAAAAGAAAAAAGAAAGAAAGAAATTAATATCCAGAATCAGCTGTCCCTACAAGTACCACTGCTGGATTTTATCAAATGTTCGGAGTTTGCTTGTATTTGTGAACCAAATTGTCACATATAAATCAAAATCACGAAAATATATCAGATACAATATCGGTACAGATTGTGGTAACAGCTGGGATAACGGCGGCGGGGTAAGTTATGTTGGCGGGGAGAGCAAGCTGGAAATCCCAAATGTGGATGATAAAAACAAAGGAACGAGGAATACTTGCCCTGATAACTCTGCAGAGAGAACAAGAGAGTACATTTTTGAACCAGCTTTAGCTGAGTCTCTAGAAGAGTTTTGCGTTCTTTGAGCTGCTTGGTTGGTTACGATGGTAGAGTGGTTGGTTTGATTGTGTGGAAGCTTACAAAGTTGGGTGGAACGACTAGTTGCCGAAGTCAAATTTCCCTTTCTTGTCGCCGAATATTTATTTATATCGACGGCCTTTTTTCCTTACTAGCATTATTTTTCCTACTAGCTTCCTGAGAGAATAACTGATATCAGGTTCAAAATTCTAGTTATCCATATCTGCCATTAACTTCTGGCTGGCTGTTGTCATTAGAAACCCGGTGCCGTTCTTGCTTATTGCCGCGTGACAACATGTGTTTAGTAACTAATCAGTTAGATCTATCTCGGATCGAGAATTGAATCGACATAGATATTAACATGACGAACAGTTGAACGGCGGAGGCAAGCAGAAGGCTGGATTTAGTTTGGAAGACCCTTAGTAAATTGCGATAAGGGGTTTGGAGCGATGGCGGAATATTGGGAATGAGACTGGCTGGGGGGGCGAATGGTGTATATGGTTTGAAAACAATTCTATAATAGCTATTATTTGCGTGTCTATTTTCTCTTTCTCAGCCTAGCATATTTGGAGAAATGGGACACTCCGAATCGTGCATGGTCACACAGTATCTCGTTATTCAGAATTTCTCGTGCTAGAGAAATGCGGATAATCTGATGGAAAGCATGATTATATGCAACAGAATTCTGTTATTTTATATGAGGATTGGTCAAAGAACAGCCAAGATCTCGTCGACCCTCTTCCGAACCCTCTTCCGAACCCGCTTCAGCTCACCACTATGCTGGTTAAACACGTGCATGGCCTTCTCAAACTCCTCATTTGACACCCACCCATCCTTCCCTCCTCCAACCTGTGCCAGAAGGCTGGTAAACTTGCCATGAGCCACTGCATATTCCTCAACTAACGCTCGGAATCTTGAAATCTCTCCCGACGAATAGTTAATCGGGCACGGAATCATGCATCCACCCCCCCGCCTCTCACAAATCTCATCCCACCTCTCAAAGGTCTGAATAAGTAGTTCCTGCAGTGGTATCGGGCCATCAACCGCTGTCTGATCAAGAAGAGGGAAAATGAAGGAGACTGGATCATCATTTTCATTGAGGAATGCGTCCATAGCGCGAGGAATTGCCGGGTTGAACTTGCGTGACGCCATCTCGTAGAATTTTTTGAGGCGGACTCTGTTGAGCTGCTCCTGTGCTTCTACTTTTGCATCCTCAGACATGTCGGCGAAATGGTCTGGTAGTTCAGGATAGACCGCGCCCCAAGGGTAGGGGTCGTCAGTCGAAAACTGAGGGGAATCTCGCTTGCATGAAGAGCGGAGCAGAATAGGTTGACTGCCAGTCGATTATGCCTGATATCTTGGTTGGGTCGGCGCTGTCAACGAAGATGTTCTCTAGATGAAGATCTTGATGCAGCAAAGTTGGGCTGCAAAAGTATTGGGAAGGAAGAATGTACGGTAAAATGGCGAGGAACTGGTTGAGAAGATTGATATGGATTTCGCGCGCTGTATCCTTTCCTCCAAAATCCATGAGGCTGGGTTCATTTTGCGCAGCGGTGCGAATGCATTCCATCTCACGCTTTGCGATTGCAGAAAAGTACTCTGATGCAGATGCCCCTACATCCAAGTTAGCTATTTCATTGATCACGGAGGTGAGAGACGTACATGGACCGCGATCCAAATCTAATGCCCCTCGCCCATCAACCCAAAACGGTCTGTCAGTTGAAGGGCCTAGAACGAAGCGATTTGCCGTAGACCCTGCAGGGGACAGTACGTCATCCATACTCATGCCATCAGGGTAGTCATCTCTATAATAGAGGCTTCCGTAGCCTGGCATCTCTGTTTTAACTAATTTGGCTTCAATGGCAACCAGGCTCCTCACCAACCCAAAGCGCTGGGCCTGGGACATGTCATTCCAAACATCACTGAGCTGATGACCGATTATCCTCTTCATGAGAATGTATCCAGTGCCCACAAGGTTAGGAACCGATGGCGAGCTCCACGCAACTACCTCAGGGACGGGAATACCAAGGACATTGCGAAGCTAGAATGTCAGCAGAACAGAATATTGGGACGTAGAAGGTAAAAACACAACGTACAAAATCAAGGGTGGCAACTTCACTGGCAATCACCTCTCGCGCGGATCCAGCATTCGGGTTCGGAATCCTAGCAAGCAGTTCCTCACCCGTGTCCGTCTTTAGGGAGAAGACTTTGTTGTAGAGCCCCTCGGGCAGCTTCGTCACCTGAGTGCACGGGGCGCCAACAATATCACTCGCGGTCCTGCAAAGGCCTTCGACATTAAACTTGACATAGCGCCTGCTGAGCTGGCGCCGTTCATCATACAACCAGCGGCCCGACGTGTAGCAAAATAAGGTCTTCTGGGACGCCTTGATCAGACCAGACATACTTCGAGAGCCAGTTGCTGCGGAAGTAATTCTGTTCTTCATGTGCAAAAGTAAAGTGTTGAAACACTCCACCAATCCATCGAACAGCCTCATGGTCGCGACAGGCTGTTGGTGCCAACTTTTGTTGCAGAGGGAATGAAAGCGGCAATCTGTTGACCTGGAACATTGTTATTCTGTTAGTCCCACTCTGCTTTAGGTTTAGAGCCCCAGTTGATATCACATTACACTTACATATGTGAAGTTGAACACATAAATTAACACATCTGCCTGATCCTAAATTCTCCAGTGCTATTGAGAAGGTAGTGGAAAACTCCAGGACATTGTCAACGCTGGCACGTGCAGTAAACGCGGCTGATACTGTTGGCAACTTTCTCACCCATTTATTACATTTCGGAGAGCACCGAGTCCTCCCTGGGAACCTATGAATGGGCTTTATCATTTTGAAACAGCACTCCAATCAACATGGGTCCTGTTCTTGATCTGTTAGCCAACCTTCGGCAGCTTGCCGGGAAAACAAGTTCTACAAGAAAGAACTTCCTTCGGCCTGCCTTGTGAAACAACTCAGCTGCAGGCCGTCGAATTATGCCTGCTGCAGTCCACGACGTCAGTGTTGGAGGTCGTGTGGACCGGAGTGTCCAAGTCGGCGGTCGCATCAAAATATACGTCTAGCCGAACAAGAACGCAGATAATATTACGCTTCGCAAGCTTGCCAACGAAGATAGTCACCAGAACCTTGCTAAGGCTTGGGTTGATACCAAAGATCCCTTGGACAACTCCACGGTCGATAGGGTCTTCGACATACTGGTGGAAGACGCCAAGGAGAAGGGCCATTCTTAGGAGTTTCGTGGCCAATGTAAGAGGCACTGACGATGAGTTCCTGGTCCGCCTTTGAGGCTCGACAAATAGATTCTTCCGGTTAGTGTTAGTCTTTTTGCTTTGCTGTTTGAGCCAAGATTGGGTACTGGGGAGGGATGAGTTGAAGGATGTGGATCATAACAGAACGGCCTGGAGTCCAATTGCAATGGCGGATGTTCCTACATCATGTTCATGAAGAAACACTGTGTAGTCATAGGGTATTAATTATATCATCGATCTGGCCCAAACATAGCATATCTTTACAGATGGCGCTGTAGAAAACTTTGACTCACACTATGCATTTAAACTGAAATATTTATACCAGCATCAATTACCCTATATTGCCGATCCATCTCTTGATTAAGAAGGCTGGCTTTAGGGTGATCGATGTCTGTGGCTTGCTCACTAGCTCTCTAAACATTGCCCAATGCCACAAGCAAAAGTTCCTTTCCATTAATAATGAGATGTCTGTGGGTCAAACCTTTTTATAGGAGCTTCCGTACAGAGGAATGACATCAATTGTAGCCCCAAATATTTGATTTGAGGCTGGAAAGGTGCACAGTGAAGAATGAAGAGCGGGGAGTGGCAGGAGAAAATCAATTCAGTTACAAAATTTGTGTTTTGGTGGTTCATCAACAGCTCAGCAAGAAAGCAATGTATACTTCAATCTGTCGCAAGCACTGACTCCAAACATTTCCATAAATCAGCGGTCTCTTAGCTCCAAGGATTGAATGAGTAGAAAGTTGTTGCAAATATTAAAGCAAATCAAACAAGATCATCTTCTGCTTTAGGTGGTCAAGGGCCTGCCCGTGCCCAGAAGCCATTTGTCGGAACTAGATAATGTCCGAATATTGACCCAAATACTGAAATCGATAGGTGATTGATTTGACTATGATCACTCTGATAATTACATGATAACTAGGCAGTATTTATAAGGAAGAGAATGCTTGATCATATGAGAAGGGCAGTGTTGAGATTCAGCGGGGCAGTGCTCAGGTTTCAAATAGTGAGACGTTACAAGCTCATTGATATTTGAGATATCATCCCCAACACCATTACACTCACTATGAAATCTGTTACTCTGATTCTGGTATTAAATGAGATCATAATTTGGACCCGAGGTATTGCCAATCTCAAACTCTATTATTGAGTCCGATCTGCATGTAGACAGACAGTACAGAGTGCTTGCAGTGGAATTGGGTTTCCGCATTCCAAGGTCCGATGTTCTTACGCATCCTTGATCGCAGGGTTCGGCTCTGTCTCGCAGGCACACTTCTCTTCGTCCTCTCTGTTTTCTATTTCCTCCACAATAATATCAATAAGAATAATAGCGGGAGCGCAAATGGACAAGCTAGACCAAAGTCATTACCAAAAAATGGCCATGGACATGATCAGCAAGTCGCCGTTGTGGTTGCTGGTCTGCGTTCCTCCAACACCAAATGGCTTTCCGACGCGTTCCCGCACTGGGATAAGCATATCTACATCGCAGACGATGAGCTGTCTCGGTTGCGCATCCCCAAGAATAAGGGGAGAGAAGCTATGGTCTATTTGACGTCAGTGGGGAAAAACCGTACACGAAAGTCCTTTGCCTTGGTTTATTTGATTAATTTTATGTGTCTTCATCAGATACATGGTCGACCACTACGACGATTACAGCAATGATACCGCCATTCTCTTCCTCCACGCGGACCGAAACCAATGGCACAATGACGATGAGAAATATGGTATGTCGAGGATTTCCCAAGCTTTATACAAAGAAAACCCCTCGTCTAATCAGGACCAACCACAACCACATCTAGATGGTAGACGGATGCTCCAGCGCTTCAACTTCCAGCATCTCATGCGCGAGGGCTACGTCAATATGCGCTGCCACCCGTACCCGGGCTGCACAGGGGGTCTGGATCTAACCACGGTTCCGTCCGTAATCAACACCAGCGAATCTGCAACTATATTCGGCATCTTGCAAAACCTTGCAATTCTATTTCCCGGCTCGACGCGACCGCCAGACCACGTTGCGGTGGGCTGTTGCGCCCAGTTCGGCGTCACGGTTGGCACCATTCGGCAAACACCACGGAAGCGATATGAAGAGTTGCGGCAGTGGCTGCTTGATACGTCCATCCCGGATCAGACGAGTGGGCGGGTCATGGAGTATATGTGGCATAGTAAGCACCAGTGATATTACCTTCCCCCCCCCCCCCCCCCCCCCCGCGCCTCTTCTTGCTCTTCCTTCTCTTGCTTGATATGTTATTCTCTTATTATTCTCTTACTAATACGAACTCAGCTTTGTTTGGGAAGCCGGCAATACACTGTCCCGATCCAAGGCAATGCTATTGCCAGGTCTACGGGCGGTGTGATCTCAATTGCGTTGATGGGGATTGCGGAGTGTATGTATACCCGTTTGGCGCGGGTCGTTCATGGTTTAACAGGATAAAGGATTACCTTGGCATATAATCAGTTTCATAGAAGAATATTTGTTGTTATTATTTAGTTGTCCTACTTCGGTTGGCCTCTGTTTTGATGGATTTGGTTGTATAGAGGGTTTGTTAGAAGCTGGCCAGTTATATTATAGATATATATTAGGGTGCTTTACCTTTTGTTCCTGAATTGATGATGATGATGATGATGATGCCGTATATATAATCAGTTGCAAATCGAATATTTTTATTCACAACACATCGAAAATATAATACCCATGGGGAATATCTATACCTTATATATATCATTCCCAGGGTTTTGGTTCTCTGACTTCGGTGGTAGCGTGGATGGTTGAGCAATGTTAGCAAACAACAAAATTTATGGCACTCCAAAAGTTTCCATCCACAGAACGCATTTAAAATCATACACAATACTACAACCACAAACACAACCAAATCTACACGCGCCCCAATTCTCAAGAAAGGAAAAGAAATAAATTGAAAATACATTTACCCATCTCTAGTTCAAATGACGAGCGACTAATACTCGACTATTCCCACACGCTGAGGAGCGCCTATCATCGACCAACGGAACGATGACATCGTCAGGCATGAGCCAACCGCCGCGACCACAGTCGGCTGCGAACGTGTCTACGCACTTCGAGCAGCAGCGGGAGGGGCTGGTAAGGGAGATTGCGCTGGTGAGGATTACCATTTTCTTTCTTTCTTTCTTTCTTTCTTTCTTTCTTTTTTTTTTGGGCTACCTTTTAAACCAACTTCCAAACTCCAAGCCTTTCGGTTTGCATTTGCTCTAAACCCCTCCAAGTTCAATGCCACCATCGCATTGATATGATAATGTAGAATGCATTTATTTTATCTTCCATCGAGAGTAGAGCGTCAGTTTGTTTGCTCGAAATCCACTTCCTTCGTCTCCATCACCCATCGTCCCATATTGAAGAAATAGGGGATAGAGGAGGGAGTAGCCGCGATCATACCGGTTTGGAAGCGGGAGAACCAAGCTAACAACACATATATATGTACATACATTTATAACAACCAGAGCCTCGAACAAGTCCTCCAAAACATCAACCGGCTAAACCGGAATCTGGAAAGTGTTATCACCGTAAGTTGACAATTCCCTCTTTCAACTCTAAACCCAAAATTCCATAATTCCATAATTCCAAAATTCCAAAAAAAATCAGTGAGAACGAACTCGCTCAAAATTCAAATATCTAAGATACACGGGAAAAAGAAAATAAATGGGGGGAAAATGGGTTCAAAATAAATAACACACGGATAAAACCATAACAGGTTGGCAACGAATTCTCCTCTGTAGAAGCGTTGTGGTCTCAATTCGAGACTGTGATGGGCGCCGGCAATGATGGGAATGGGAATGAACAGGAGCACGAGCACGAACATGAGCCGGAACGCGAGCAGGAGGGCGCGGATGTGGAAGCATGAAGGTGGACAAGGGCATTATGACAGAGGGCATGGGCATGAGCATGTAGAATGATGAGGATTAGGGTGAGGGTGAGGGTGTCTGTGTCGGGAGCGAGGTGATGATGATGAGGAGGAGGGGGAGGAGGGGGAGGAGGGGGAGGAGGGGGAGGAGGAGGTTGATTAATAAATAAATGAATGATGGATGATAACCATAGCTACGCATGTGTGTGTGGAATGAATGCTGGAGGGATGATGGTATGACATGTATGATGTACATGACATGATATGTGAGGAATTTTCTTTCCATATCTTGGATAACAAACGTTTATTCCATTTCTCTCAGCCGACTTCCAACTTCTACTCCTCCCTCCCTTATCTCCATATTCATCCATAATCGAACAGATCTCTTGAAAGTTTGCACCTAACATACACCAAACACATTCCACACACCACGGGGATGTTGTACATGTCCAACGCAATTACGGGGCCAGAATAACCGGAAAAGGGTAAGTAGACAAATTATTGATCAAGCCATAAGGAAATATGTGGGAAAAGCAGAAGAAGAAGAAGAAGAAGAAGAAGAAGAATAAACACAACATCATTTCCTATATGCGTTTTTTGTTGTGTCTTGGTTGAGTCCTTTTTTCCTTCAATTATTTCTTCACATTCAAATATCTCTCCCCCCTTCCCATTCTTTCATTCCCCATCAAATGCCCGTAACAGAAAGATCATATACTGAGCACCCTAGTAAAACAGAACAAAGGAGAGGGTACTCAACATATACTTTAAAAAAGTAAAACAAAAAAAATATCAGAGTTAAAAACATACTATGGTAATAAAGGCTAAAAGGCGAGAGAAACGTAATAAACAAAATAAACCAGAAAAAAAAGACTTTGCAAAACTGGCCTACAGAAAACAACAACAAAAAGGGAGGAAAAAGACATATGAGCGCCGTATCATAAAAGAAATGGAATAGAAACTAAAAGAGGATAAAAAAACAAACCCATGAAAATGGAGGTCAGGTCTGTTGTATCAACGAGGTCATGGTGTATGGCTATTCGCATTCAAATCCAGCTCCCCCGGATCGGGTAGGCCCTAGAGCAGGAAACAACACAATTCATCAACGGCCGGAATCAAAGCTCAGAGCCAGAGTCAAGAAAATGAGATAAAAGGGAAACAAAATTTATACCGAGACGTTAAAACATCAGCGTAGTGCCATTTCATAAATATGCAAGAGGGCGTTCGTCAACGAAGAACCGGAAAGTCGTGTTCATATTTTCGTTGTCCTCGTGAGGGGTTCTCATGTTTCCGTTAGTAAAATACAATCGGAGTGGCAGTTCAGAAGGGTCGTCCCAACATGTGCCGTGAGTATATTTCGTCTGTAAAGGGAGGGAAAACGCATATTGGTCTTCCCATAGATAAAGTAGAAGTTGGTGTTGTTGGGGAGGGCGGGTAAATTGAATCATGAGGCTAGAAAGAAGAGCTCATTCATCCCTCCTATGAGGGGTACAAAACGCGTGGGAAGATGCTACTGTCTACAGTAGCTTGCACGTCCGTTTTTTAGCTCTCTTGCGACCTCCGATCCCATTCTCTGAGTCGCGGCCACCCCAGCCCTGTTCTTCAATCCCAACAGCGGTGTTCACTGCAAGTTCGAAGACCTCGTCAACTCCGCGCATCTCTTTGCTGCTGCACTCGACATATGTGGCACCCATTCGTTGAGCCACTGCCTGGCCTTGTTCGGGAGTAACAGGGGTTAACCCCTGGGTTTTAAGAAGGTCGATACATGTGCGTTTGTTGCGCAGGTCAGATTTGAGGCCGACAAGGATTAGAGGCGTTGTGGGACAGAAATGGAGGACTTCGGGATACCACTATATATGGATGGCAAGGGATGGTTAGGTTTTACAATGATACTCTCCTCGAAAATTTCCAAATAGATGCAAGGTTCCTTACCTTATCCATCACGTTCTCAAGTGATACAGGGCAATCAATTGCAAAGCATACGAAGAGAAGATCGGTCTCTGGATACGAGAGCGGACGAAGTCTGTCGTATTCCTCTTGACCAGCTGTATCCCAAAGAGCAAGCTCAACTGTCCTTCCAGTTGGTACGTGCATCGTCTGAGTGATATAATTTTCGAAAACAGTAGGCACATATTTCTACGAGTACAATGTTAGTAAAAAAAGAAAAAGATGTAAGTATTTCGTTAACAAACACAACATACCTCCGGGAAATAACCCTGAGAATAACTGATCAACAAACAAGTCTTCCCGCACCCACCATCCCCAACAACAACAAACTTTTTCGAGTATGAAGGGGGTTGGGTGATGTTGGTTGCCTGGGACATTCGACTCGAGGCCATGCTCATATTTGTGCTGACGGTGCCGTTGCTTACCCGAGTGCTCTGGCTTCTGGCGTGTCTTCGACGGGGAGTGAGCGGTGCAGGAAGGGCCTTTTCATCGAGGACAGAAGAATGACGGCGCACACGACCCCCGCCGTACTGCGGTTGTTCTTCATAACCACGGGTTGCCATGGTTTGGTTCAAATCCTTCGGAAGACAGCAAGGGCAGCAACTTTTCTCAATCAAATGACTGATAAGAGGTGAGGTTTCTCTGTTATCTATAGCCTTATCTATGGGAATAGATGGTAGCAGGTTAGAGAGAAAGGGTGACGAAAGGGTTTGGATAAAGGTTTATAGTGGAAGCGAATAGCAGGGAAGAAACGAGATACCTCGATACAAAATAAGTATGTTGGTTGTAATGGAAAAGGGATTGAGAAGATGAGGGGAGTCAAGAAGGGACGAGAAGCGAGGAGAAGAAGAGGGGAAGACAGGGACAGGCAAGCAGGAGAGTGCAAGGGGAAGAGCAGGGCAAAAACAAGAAAGAAATCGCTGACGGTGAGATTGCTAAGTCTCGTTCTCTACTTTTCTCCTATTCTTATTTTACTTGGAGGTGGAGATGGGCGAGCTGCGGCCAATGTTTACACCCACTGGCTGCCATGGCAACCAACTCCCTGCCCCCCGGCCCAACAAAATCCTTGAAATCCCTAGAAGATGTCCACTTGGAGCACTGTGTCGGATCCTGCCCCGGCTATCCACTGTGCCCAGTGCCTCTGTAATCCCTGTTCGCCCTGGATTTCTTGCGCTGAGGGTTGTGAGGCCGCCCACATGAGCGGATCTGAAACGGCTAGATAGCAATAATTCCTTGCGTCATCCTGGCGCTGGATCGTTGACAAGTTGGAGGCGGGCTGAAAAACCCAAGCCTTCCCTCATTGCGGGATAGCTATCGTCAAGAATAACCAGGGTGTCCTGGCTTGAGATGTTCCCGCCTCAGAGCACAAAGTTCTCGTGTCGTGAATCCTTTTGAAACCACCCCGTATTTGTGGCGGTTACTTCACGGCTTGTAAAGGGAGCGTACCCGGGGTTGTTTCCATCCTATTCCTCGCCATCAATTGGAGCATCCGAAGCACCGAAATGGTCCACGTATCACGGGAAACCAATAGAAACGCACCGCATGCCCGCACTGCCGATGTCTGCGCATCGTATGCAAAGACTTTGATAAGAATAGCCAATGCACACCAGCCCCTGACTAAGCGCCCAACAGCCGAAGCAGGTCTTGGCATCCGCATATCCAACTTCTCCTTTCCCGTCATCGACTACGGCAGCAGTGGGAACAGCTTCAACTGCTTCCAAACTCTCGAGACTCCAGCGCGGGAGCTTCTGGGTTGACCGCGGAGGCGACAACTGGCAACTCCTCTCACCAAGCCGGCATTGCCTCAGATCCCACAGTCTACCGCTGAATTCCATTCCATTATTCCAATGCAATAACACCCCCTTGTGCGACTTGCCCGGAGCACCCAGTATCCGCTTCGTTGTCTTTTTTCTTTTTCTTCTTCCTTTTTGGATGTGCTAAAAATTTTATCTCTATATGGCTCTCTTGTCTAGCCTCTCCCGTCCCAATCGCTCTCTCTGTCTCTCGCCCATATTAGTCCATGGCTAGAGGAAAGGCCCTGGACCAGCCCGACGCGGGCTTAAAAGGCCTGGACCATTGTATGTTCACTCCATATCGCTAAGTTACAACTGTTAATGCACCCGCCAATTTATGTGAATGTAGCGTATATGGAAACAAAATACCCGGAGCTAACAGATGGTTGAACTGGCGCAGATCAACAGAAACTCCCTAGATGGCGGTACAAGCTACGGACTGCCCTGTTGCCCTTGGTGCGGTGGGAAACGCCTTATCTTGCTTGGTTCCAGGAGCAAATGCGCAATCCATCTCTTGATTCTTGGTTTGCGATCACCGCCAACCTAGGGACCCATACCTTCTATATGATAATGCTACCTGTTCTTTTTTGGTGTGGCTATACAGAGGTCGGTCGAGGGTGAGTCGCGGAACGAATCGATCCCTTTCACCCTCCTCCCTTCTCCGGGTGTTTGATAAGTGGAGGCTATGAGGATGGAGCTGATATACGCATGTAGAATCGTCCATCTCTTAGCATCAGGCGTCTTCATCAGCGGCTGGTTTAAGGATATGTTATGTCTTCCTCGACCTTTGTCTCCACCTCTCCATCGAATTACCATGTCTGGCTCCGCGGCGTTAGAATACGGGTTTCCCTCTACTCACTCGACCAATGCCATCTCAGTCGTCGTTTACGGACTTTACCTTTTAAACTCGCCTGACTCGACTGTCGATCCGGTTGCGAGAATTATCTTCCACGTTATCCTGTATATATTCGGGACATCCATTGTTATTGGGAGGCTGTACTGCGGGATGCATGGGTTTTTCGACGTTATCACTGGCAGTTTCCTGGGCGCTTTGTTGGGCTATGTACGATGTTCATACGGGGAGAGCTATGACGAACTTATCTATTCGGGCTCGATAAATGTGATATTTGCAGTAGTTGCGGTTGTTCTTGCATTGGTTCGAATGCACCCTGAGCCCGCAGATTCGTGCCCTTGCTTCGACGATAGTCTTGCATTCGCAGGGGTGTTGATGGGCGCGGAGTTCGGGAACTGGCACTTCGCTCAAACCACTTTTGCAAGCAATGACCCTTATCCAGGGACGGTTCCATATGATTTGGCAAAACTCGGTTGGGCCAAAACTATTTTGCGGATTATCCTTGGAGTCGTGATTGTCTTCTTGTGGAGGGAAATAATGAAACCATCCCTTCATAAGTTGCTGCCGCCTGTATTTCGAGTAATCGAACGGCTGGGCCTCAATCTTCCCAGAAGATTCTTCATTCTCGCATCGTATGTCATACAGGTCCCTACGCATTGCTCCCTCTCACACATGTAGACATGAACTTCAGCTAAAAACTTGAAACTTACAGCGAATATGAAAAAGTCCCCGGCCATCTCAAAGATGACGACGTAATCCCCAATGTCTCCGAAATCCCTTCCATCCTCACCTCAATCCGCCACCCGCGCAGAAGAGCAGTTTCCGTAGGCCCTCAATCAGAAGCAGACGCCTACGAGACACTTGCTTATCGGGAGAAACGACGACGGGAAAGCATCTCGTCTAACCAATCGCGCAGCGTCAGTGCTGGGCGCAGACTTCCTCCGACGATCGAGGATAAGCGAAACAAGCATAACACGTCGCCCGCCGCCGCCACCGCCGCCACCCCTGGGCGACCCGGAAGCAGGAAAACCAATACGGCAGCGACGGACGGCAACTCGTTTTCGCCACCGGTCATCAGGACCCCACGCAAACTTGATGAGTATGAACATATGATGGGGACGGGGACGCCTGTCTTCAACACGGAAGCCACACTGAACATGCATGATACTGGCGCTGGCGCGGACGTGAATGTGAATGTAGCCACGGGTGCAGCAGACACTCTTGAATATCAGCTCGAGGCGGAAGAGGAGAAGGAGATGTTTCGAAAGATCACACCCGCCGCGAGTACGGTATGATGTGGAGGTTGTGACGAAGTTGGTTGTGTATTTTGGTATGTTCTGATTCCTGACTTCCCAGTGGACCCGTTCTCTTTTCGACTTTATTGCTCTTTGCTCAGGCACGGCTCTTTCTTTCTTTGTGTGTTTGTTTGTTTGACTAACAACAATATTGCATTGTTATGTTAGGAATTGGATGGCTGGCCGTGGAGTTTATACCCATTATGTTTCAGCTGCTTGGATTGGCTCTCTAGAAGTTTGTTCAGACTATTTGGCACATACACGACACGCACATCACTAAAATTTCGCTTTCTCATATGCATGCGCATATATATCAGCAGGGCTGATGTGACTACTAGAACTGGGGATGTGAGGTACATACATATATCTGTATTTCGTGCGGTACATTGACGTTGATGAGTATGTTTGTTTACGGGTAGCTTTTCTTTCATTGTTCCATTTTTTCCATCTTTTCTCTTGTGAAGCTGGCTATTTTTTTTTTTTTTTTTTAATTTTTTGATGCCAATATTCTATTTATATATATATATAATTTTTCCTTTGGTCAAACACTAGATAGGTCTCAAATCAAAAAATAGATGCGTTGAAGAGATATTGTACAGTACAAGTAACAACACGCTTGCTTTTATCTAACCACACCATATGCCAACTAAACTCAAAAAGGGAAAAGAATAAATCACATGATACCACCCCAGCCACACTTTGCCGCAGTGGATAAATATAAACGCGAGCAACCGGCAACAAAAAAGTTATTCCACTCCCGCCGGGAACTGGCCCAATGCCGCATATGGGAATAGCAACTACCATCATCCATCAATGGCGAGCAGACGGTAGGAAGACGGTAGGCAGACGGTAGGCAGGATTAACACGCGCGACGGGGGAGGGCGTTTGGGTTTTTCTAATTGTTGGTTTTATTCTCTTTTTATCCGTCCTGCCATGCCTGCACCCGTCAGTGGTTGCTTGTCAGTAGTAGCTTCAAGTTGTCTCCCTCATCCTTCTTCCGATCTATCACTTTTCGTCGCCTGTGTTCGTCCCCTGGCTATATACACTTACGCTCCGAGATTGGTGGATTGATAAATTGATCGATTGAAGCGCAGAGCTATATCATTATCAATCATCATCATCAATCATCAATCATCCTTGTATGGTGTAGCTCCGGGTTTCCCTCCATCACCATCATCCCCTTTGTTCCCAATCGATTACAATTCAAAGCAAAGCACGCGCAAAGCTTCTCACCCCGAAAGAAAAAAAAAAGAAAAGAGAAAAAGAAAGAGAAAAACAGACCCTCCTTTCTGGAACAAAGCAAAATCTCCATTCAATCCATGGATGGGTGCGGGCTGTATGGTTGAAAGGGCCCGATTTTGTTCCTATATACATGTGCAGCACATGTATGTACAGTACAAGTACAGTACAACACACACCCCCTTTGAAGGAGCCTCCACGCGCCAGTTTTCTTCATCTCCGCAACCGCAACCCTTCTAAAGAGAGTCAAAAAACTGCAGCAAGGACTCAGGGGGACCACCAGCATTGCACCAGCATCCGCTCTCCGCTCCCATGTCCATCCCGCCACTTACATCTATTCTCTGATTGTTCTTTGCCCTGCCATCCCTTCCTGTTACTGTACTTCCTCAAACTCCGCCCCCTGATATCCAATCCGTTTTTCGGGGCTGAGCTTTTATTTTCCTCCCTGGTTCTGTCCGCCGGGGTAGTTGTGGTGTGGCAGACAGTTGGTTGTTGTTGAGTTGAGCTGTGGAGGATAGCCGTATCCATCCACCACTATTGTACTTTGCCGCTTCACCCATCCCTCTCCGCCATCTCGGAATCCGCACAAATACGCCCCAGCAACCTTGCCTCCGGTGAATTGACTGGGCTGCTACTGTCTGTTGCCGCTGCCTGGCAACCTCAACCCATTCACCATCACAACGAGTCCCAATTTGGACAGCGCAGGGCAGGTTGTTGTTTATCGTCTGCATCACAACACAACACAACACAACACAACACTGCCCTCCCTTCCTCATCCCCATGCCCGTCGTCTTTGCTACTCTCTCAACTACTCTACTCACAGTCGAGCTTCTCTTGTACCTCTACAACTTCTGCTGCGAGATCTGTCAAACGGCCTCCTTATCACTGCAAATCCCCTGGGCAGGTAATCAATCGCTGATTCCATCAACCCTACTGTGGAAGTTGAAGAATATCCCACCCATTCAAAGGGCCAGTGCGTCTCGCGTACCTACAGACTCGTGCTGCCATCTCGAATATCTCTTCTATTGCTGTTGCTTCTGAAGTCTACTTTTATCCCGCTCATATCAGACCGCAACGTACCCAGCTTGGATATCGTCGGCGTTTCTTACTCCATTTCCATCGTCGTCTCTAATCCATCTGTTTTTGGCGGCACAGGACTTCCTTGACTTTTATTTCCTTCCAAGTTGCCTTGATCTTGATTGAGCTTCTTGGGTTGGTACTCAGCGCGCTCTTTCATTTCCTTGAACCATACCTCTCCTCATTGTCTACATCCTGCTCTTTAAGCCGCCGTTGAACAAACTACCCATGTCCCGGATCCTTCGACGCGTTTTAATACGGAACCTCTACTTAAGACACGCTCCCCCCGAGGAGCCCGTCGATAGGATGGACTGGGAGGAAACACCCCCAGAAGATCCCCCTCAAGATCCCCCTCAAGATCCCACGCCGTCTCAGCAACACGCATCTGAAGCTAGCCACCAGCAACCGCAACCTGGGTTAGGTGAAGCCGAAGCGTCAATCTACAATATGGTGCAAGAAACCAACACGCAAGTCTCCCCTATTTCGCATCCGAATCCCGGATTAGAACCTCCTCAAATAAACCCTCAACCAAGAGCTACTGAGGCTCCAATGCCTGCTCCTCAACCCCTTCCCAGCGGGTCTCGATTCTATGATCAAAATTACCATCTAGCCATTCTTCGTGCTCAAGCTGCTACACGGATGAATTTTACTCAAGAGCTAGCGTCTAGACGTCCTTCTGGCAGGTTAGGACCACTAGCGCCAATTTCGAATCGCCAAGCTTATATGCGTGACGCTGTGCAACCATCAGAATTATGGTACCGTCTGAGGCATGATGAAAATCTTGCAATGCAACGACAATTGGATGAACTTAGAAATCAATCCACTGTGCGAAGAGGACGTGCTCCATATCCGTATACCCCGCGATCATTTGATTTTCAGTCGACTAGCCCGAATTCACGCAAGCGGCGCATTGAGGCTGTTGATGGCTACTCGCAAAATGAGAATAGGACTGCACGTGATGTTGACGTCCACAGCCCACATAATGTAGTCATACCCTCCTTTATTCCTGCATCTTGGTTTCTTACTAACCACATTTCTGCCTTTCTCCAGGCCATGCCCGAGTCACCCATTGACACATCGATGGTGGATGCCCCTCCATATGAGAGCTCCCCACTTCAAGCGTCTCCAAGTAATGTAAGCAGAAAATCTCAGGACTATCGTTCATGTTTCAACGATTTGTTCTAACCTGGTGGTTGTTATATTTTGTTAGGGTCGTCCCGAAAATGGCGTCTCACAAATTCTACCTACTGATCAACACATGCCTGGTACTTGGCCAACTGATATATTTAACCTGAGTGAAGCGGATGTTGGCATTATTCGAGACCACGTTGCTCGTATGTCGGGTGCATTGGCTGAATATCCACGAATATCGAGTCAAGGGACGGCTCTTCCGCTGTCCAACAGCAACGACATACGCCCTAATTCTCCGGAACATGCCCACCAACTCCAACGAGAGGTAAGTGGCAAGTGATCAAACTATGTACTGCTGCATACTAATTAATTTCTCCAGCTTTCATACCTACAAAAAGTAGAGCAAATAATTTCTAATGCCTACTTCCCGGTCTTAAAAGCAATGCGGTTCGCTATACAAAAAGTGGGCAACAAAGCCGTACGGACATATCGAGAATTCGTTCAAGCGGCAGTTGAGGTCACGGGAAGTGCAAAAAGACGGGCGGTGGCTATTCGTGACAAGCTGACCCCTGAATTCATTCGACGCAAAATGAATCACCAACACCAGGCGGTGAAAACCCTTCGCCGCCTAAACCCTAGTGAGCGCCATATCCTGAAAGCTCGGAGGCTGGGTATGGGCAAGAAAAAACAAGACTCTTCATCTCTACAAGTTACACTCGATGAATATGAAGATATCACACCCCCTCGCCCACCTCGTGATATGCCACCCTCGGTGATGATTAATTCCTATAGACTTCCTAAAGAAAAAGTTCCTACCAAAACATTATGCACTGCCCAAAAAGATCGTGTTGTGAAAGGTGCAAGGGTACAGAAGGGAAAGCTTCATGACAAAGCCAAATTGAAAGCCAAGACACCCTCTCAGAAGCTCACTCAACTTACTCAAAAGGGTGTTAACAAAGTTGCCATGCCACGCGCTCCAAGGCGTGGAGAATTAATTAAGGGAGCTTGGCCAAATGCCATACCACCAAATGAAGCTGTTCTACGGGCGTATCATGAATCTTTTCGGGAATTGAGGAATAAACCTATGGAAGCAGTATCAGAGACAGCAAAACCTTCAGGACCCCCAAAAGGATATCACGGAGTATATTTTCCAGGGGAAGAAAATCAGCCCCCTCTTCCTCCACTTCCTTCGACTTCTGTTCCTCCATCCAGCCCACCCTCTCCCCCTTCGCAGAATCTAGCTGGAGAACCCACTTCTCAACCCGAAGCATCTGTTGAGACTGAAGAGCCTGGGCCACCTAAAGAAGCACTCCGTCCTTCCTCTCCTGAATATGAAGGGTTTCTGACCAGGCCGCCACGACCGCGACGCGAAGCCAAAGAAGTCCACTGGCTCCAGTCTGAATCCCCAATGGGACGGCCAATTTCTTCAATGCGGGCCTACGATCCTCTATCTCGTGTCACCTCATTTCAACCACACGAACCTGCCAAAGCAGAAGCATCAGGTCGCCAAGCTACGAAGTCAATCAACGAGGAAACATCGACAGATATGTCGGTCCAGCGCAGCCAAGCCCTTCTACGATCTCCAGAAACCCCTTCCATCAAGCATCTGACAGCCTCCTGGGAAGCTAAAGTCGACCGCGCGATGGCACTTTCCGACAAGAGTGAGGTTGGTATCACACCTCGTGGCCAGCCCCTCCTTCGGAGGTCCCTGAACAAATGTTACACGAATCTCGAGTGGCTCAATGACGAGGTAATCAACGCATACCTGGAGCTGATCGTCGACTATGCACGTCAGGAAGCAGGGAATTCTGGGCGACACGACAAGCCCAAATATCACGCCTTCCCATCATTCTTCTTCTCAAACCTTCGGGACAAAGGTTACGAGAGCGTAAGGCGTTGGGCGACTCGTGCCAAGATCGGGGGCGAGGCGTTGTTGCAGGTGGAAACAGTTTTAATTCCCGTCCACGACCACCTGCACTGGACCCTCATTGTAGTCCGGCCGACTGCTCGCACGATCGAGCACTTCGATTCCATGGGGTCACCCTCCTTGGCCCACATTTCCAGGGCCAAGGAGTGGTTAAGGGGGGAGTTGGGCGACCTCTTCGTGGAAGAGGAGTGGCGGGTGCTCCCGTCGACCTCCCCACAGCAAACTAACGGCAGCGACTGCGGGGTATTCCTCCTGACGAACGCCAAACTGGTGTCGTTGGGCAAGCCTCTGAGATATGGGGCGAGGGATATTCCCGAGATCCGTAAAAGGATCGTTGCCGAGCTGATGAATGGGGGGTTCTTCGGGGATTTCGACCCGAAGAAGGATGAGACGGGTCCCGTTAGGTCGATGCTGTGATTGCAGCATCGGTTCTTTCTGGGTGTTCGTCTTCGTTCTTCTTGTGGGGAGATTACACCTTGCTAGGGGGGAGTTTTTTCTTTTTCCAGGACGAGGGATCGCGTTTTATTTTGTTTTATTTTGTTTTGCTTTTTTGTTGTTTAATTTTTGGTATAAGCCCGACCCGCAGGATTGCGGGGGTTATTTCTCCATCCTCCTGCATGCTTCTGGGTTTGTATCTTTTTTTTTTTTTTGTTTATCCGATACTTGCGCCCGGCTATAAGCACTTTGGTGCCTTATATGCCTTGGGTTTGTGTACTCGGTTTTCTTTTTTCTTGTCTTTTTTTCGTCTATTTGTCGGTCTAATTTTTGTTCGTTTGGTATATTTGTGGTTTTATTTATTGTTTGTTTGGTTGCATGTTAGCGGAGCATGGTGTTACTGTTTATTTCATCCCTCGTCCTAATGGCGTTGTTTTTTTCCATACATGTACTTTTGGAAGGGTATGTATCTAGAGCTGCATGTAGTTGATGAGCTTTTCTTTTCTTTCGTTTTTTGTTTTTGTGATGTGTAGATACCCAATGTACTTTCAAAGAGGCGTTTATTTTGTTTAATTTTATTCAATTTTGTTCATTTTACATATCAGATCGAATTGGCCTCTGGCCGCAATATTTTATTTCTTGATCTCTATTCGAAATGTTGTGTTTCACTCCTGATTGTGCGTTGTGCGAGGACTGAATACTAAATCTCGAGCGTCCTGCTGCGCACTGTATACGGGTCATTCACGAAGGTTGGATAATCCAAACAATCACAAGTATGATAAACGATATCTGAAAAGAAGAAATACATCGAATGACCTATCCATTCATTGGTGGGAGTCAGAGAGATAAATATATATATATAATAACTGAATTAAATGGTAGCTAGCAACTGATGTAAAGGAACTAACTGCCTCAAAAGGGTCATCGGAACGTTAATTAAATCCAATCAATTAATTAGCCATGCTGTGTGTTTATAGCCATAGCTATATCATACATAGAGCGCTCCGCTTGCTGAAGTTCACGAAGGAAAAAAAAAAAAAAGATTAAAAAAATAAAAATAAAGGTAAAACCTAGAAAAGCAAAAGGGAGAAGGGGAATTTTTTTATTTTTATTTTTATTTTTTTAGAAAAGGAAGAATTGCAAAAGGCATACAAGGAAACTCAAATTGGTCAATTACTGGAAGCAGGAGTGGGACGACCTTGGTTTTTTCCCCCCTTTTTTCCCCTTTTGCGCTGGCTCTCGCCTTGTTCTTCGAAAGTAGCTCTCTTCCATTCCATCATCTGTCACCTCCTCCTCCCCCAAAGACTCAAGCTCAAACTAACCAACACAACCGGTAACAGACTCACAATCTCCCCCGCCCCAGCATAACTCGGCTCGATGCGGAAGCCAGCCGCCTCAAACGCTCCAGCGGCAAAAAGCACCGCAAACACGTTATAGAGCACCGCCCACGCGATGTTGAGCTGGATCCGCCGCGTCGCCTGCTGAGATAGGTCGAGGAACGCGAGCAGGCCGTCCAGCGAACCAGAGAGGATACCAACGTCGGCGGCGTCGGCGGCGATGTCGGTTGCGTTTGTCATGCAAATGCCTAGGTCTGCTTGGGTAAGGGCGGGGGCGTCGTTGGTGCCGTCGCCGATGAAGAGGACTTTTCGTTGGGAGGAGGGAGGAGGGCGGAGGCGAGGTAGCCGGAAGAAAGAGAAGAGGGAGCGGGGTCCAAGAGGAGGTGGAGGTGGAGGGGTTACCATCGAGGTCGTCTGCAAGTCGCGAATATATGCTGCTTTGCTATCGGGTTGGCAGAGGCTGTGGACGTTGGCTGTGTTGAAGTTGAGGAACGCAGCGACGGCGCGGACGGCAAGGGGGTTGTCTCCTGAGAGCAGGTGGGTGGTTATTCTCTTGCTGTGTAGCTTTTGGAGGACGGCGGCGGCTTCGGGGCGGATGGTGCTGGTGAGTCCGTAGACAGCGAGGAGGGTATCGTTTCGTGCCACACAGAATGTGGTCAGGGATGCATCGAGCAGTTCTTTGACTTTGGGATGGGTTTCGACGCCAAGCCAGGATGGGCTGCCACCTTTCAGTGTTGTGCCTTTCTCAGTAGTTATTTCGACACCCTTGCCGATGATTATCTTGGAGTCTACTTCAGGGGACGGTGTGTTGTTTGTTTGGCCGTAGTTGCTCGCGACGTATTGTGTGATTGCCAGAGACACAGGATGGCGATTCCCTCTTGTGACCGTCGCTGCCATCCTGCTTATTTCCTGGCAAGTTTGACCGGACTCCTCACAGAAAAGTGTTTCACAAAGGACAGCTAGCTCGCCTGATGTTAAGGTCCCTGTTTTATCAAAAACAACATCGGTAATTTTGCATCCAGTTTCGAGAGCAGCTCCCGCTTTGAATAGGACCCCCTTCTTAGTTCCCACAGTACTGGCAACTGTTAGAACCATTGGGACTGCCAGAGCTAATGCACAAGGGCAGCTGATAGCGAGGATTGCAATCGCATGCGTAAGGGCGTTGACTGCTGATTCTGTGCTGGACCAATTCCTGACGAAGCGGTTGACAAAAGCCCAGATGAGAAATGCAATACACGCAACAGCAAGGATTATAGGGGTGAGATATGAGGCAGTTAAATCGGCTCTTTCCAATGTTCTTGTTCGCGATGATGCCGCTGTAGAAACGAACCGCTTGACAATGCTGAGCGTATTTTCTGATACTAGTCTCGTTACTCGGTAATTGATCTGGCCGTTGATAATAGTTGATCCAGCGTAGACATATGCCTTCCTAGAACGAATCACTGGTTCGTGTTCTCCAGTGATGTGCGCCTCGTCTATTTCTGCGCTGCCGCTAACAACGATACCATCAGTGACAATGTTTTCAGAGGCTTTCCCTTGAATAATATCCCCGTAGTGAAGGAGGGAACTATCGATTAATTCGGGTTGGTTGTCACCCAAGCCCAAAAAGGCACCGGCATCGGGATTACTCTTGGGGGAGGCCTTTCTAACAACAAGGGCAGATTTCTGTTGTGATGTGCCCAGTTTGATAGCATTCTGGGCTTTTCTCCTAACCCACGCAGCCATCAGTCTTCCCAATAATATCAAAGTGATTAGCAACGAGCTAGTCTCAAAAATAGGATGGCCCAGGACTGTCTGGGCGGTCGAAAGCCGTATCTCCAAAGCAAATGACACCACGGAGTAAATATAGGCGCTCGTAATGGACAGCACCACCAGAACATCCATATCTATTTCCTTCTGGTATATCAACGACCGAAATGCATGTTTATATATCGGGATCGCAAGAAGTTGTACGACAGTTGCAAGCACAAGGGACGAGCAGACGAAGGAGGTCTGTTTCGGGAAAGGGGCGTATCTGGCTACAGGCGCCCATGCAAACACAAGAACTGGGATTGTGAAAATTGCAGCCACTATAGTCCGCCCAGCCAGCCAAAGCCAATGAGACTTTGCAGTAGCTTGTGCAATTTCTTCGGAAGAGCTGTCGGGCGCCAGTTCCGCATGGCCTCGTCTGTATGTGTCGGTGGGGGCATTTATCATATCAAGCATATCCCTGACCCCAATAGTCTGGGGATTATAGAAAGTCTCATACGTCCCGTCGCGAAGAGGTACGACGTGACTTACCCCATCTATCCGTTGGAGGATGTCTAGTCCCTTTAAATCGAGATTTCTGATGCGTATCCGCTCACCAGCAACATCCGTGGCTGCAAGCCCTGTTCTAAGGATTGTGCATGTGAAGCCGGTCACCTTCTTAATTCTGGATGTGATCTCTGTTGGATCGCTAACAATGCAGGAGTCATAGACCAAGTCTGCCCGGTTTAACATAAAACTGGTACGCACTAGACTAACACCGACGTAAGAATTCAAAAGATTTCGCAACTTAGTCTCACATCCTGTACAAGTCATCCCAACCACACCGAGTGAAAGAACATATAGCTTGTCGACATTGCCCTTCTCAATATCGATTTCGGGAGCCGGCTCACAAGCAGTCGCGGTGACATATATTTTGTTGTCCGTTGAAGGCTTTGAGGAAGTCGACATGGATTTGTAGACATCTTCGAGACCTTTCTTACGTTCGCGGCTCTGCGTGCAGCAAGATTTCCCATCCAAGAACACAAGACGACGAGGTCCTCTGCAGAAGCATCTGCGGACTATATTGCTGATTTTGGAGCTTACCTCCACAGCTTTGGCGGATCCAGAGAAGGTTGAGAAAGGTCTGTCCTCTCCCTTGGGCTCCGTATCTGAAGCATGTTCAGAAGCCATTCTCAAGTGCCTCATACAAGGTGTCTCCGTAGGTTTGCGATTATGTCGAGATGGGAGTTCCGAGTTTTCGGGAAGGGACGACCTGGTTATCACGAAGTCCCCCTTGCACTGTCTTGGAAGAGTAAGACTGTTGTCTCGATATTCTTCACGAGTACAACAATCCTCTGCTTGTGGTGAACCTGCCAGGTCCTCGCTATGTCGGTCGTCCATGGCGCATAATTGCGCGGCATACTCCACAAGGCATTTGTCTGCATGTTCAAGTTAGCATGGATCTATTGATATTTTAACCACCTGTGTATAATAGAGATAACATATTTAGTAGCAAATTTTTTATATACCTGAACACTGACACTCGCCATCTGCTTTGCAGCACGCATTCTCGTCACTGATGGACGGACAAGGTTGCCCAATTGAATAAGTGGGCCAGACCGTAGCCTTCCCAGAGCAGCACGAGTCCAACCCATTATCATCTTCGGTTATCTGCGAGGATAGACTAGGAGGGCGGATTTTGGATTTGCTACATGTTCCATCCGCGCTGCAGCAAGATGGTTCTTTTTCCTTTCCCTTTGCACTGTGGTCGTTTGCCTTTTCCTTTTCACAGTCGCCAATCACCTCTTGATTTCCGTTGGACACCTCGCAACATAAACATCCAGAGATGGGCGGGGAAAGCTCGTCTGCTCCTCCGCCGTTGCCACGCGATTCCGGATCATCGGGTTTCTCGATGGAGGGAGTCCGTGAGTAGACAGAGGAACCGTCGTCTTGAACTGATTTTCCTTCCACAGCAGACATAGCTATAGTTGAGCAACGGGTACTCAGGATAAACAGTGGTGGGAGCTTTGACAGTAAGACTCAACAGTTATAGGCTTTTGTTGGGCACGTCTTCATTTATATTTTCTTCTTGGATAGCTTTGACGCGTCGCAGGAGCCGTCCCACAACAACTCCAGAATGCACATGAACGAAGTTTCGAAGCGAACAAATAGCTCAACTCTAGAGCTCATAGATCTGCTGCCTTTATATGAAAACAAACCTGCAAATGCACCTCCAAACTAGTCAGGTTTTTGGTGCAGCAAGCCATGCACGCTTAATCCGGCTGGCCGAAAACGTCCTGGGAAATAAGGGATCTTCGCCGCTCGATGGAGGAAGTCATGGAAAGCGCCAGGAGCCATGGGCTTCATATCCCTTCCCCGCGCTTTGGGGGAACGTTGGTTAATAGACCCTACGAGGGGTGGGGCAGAATCTCAGCCACATTGGGTTCGCCATTTGTGAATTATATTGCGGAACATTCTTGCCGCTCGGTGCCACAAAATGACAGAGAAAGAGACGTTGGTTCAACAATCTCGGCCCAGACAGCAGTCACAGGTCGCCGTGTCCAAGGCGGTTGACTGATGTGTAGTGCATCCTTGTACGAGGGTGAGAGCTTCCTGGGAGTCACAGGTTAACTTCGGGAAGCTGACTAAGCCCATAGTTGACTGCTAGCTTGCTAATTGTCCGAAAAAGCAGAAAGGCATCGTCATTGACCCCAGGATTGGCGTGTGTGCAAAGATATCTATGACATAACCATCTTTCAAATCTAGAAAAGCTTCGCAATCACAATATATCTAGTTTGTATTTCCAGCTGCCGAGTGCGGTGGCTCGCAAATAACAAACACATCTGTTATCAAATAATGGCCGCGTTCCAGCTGCCGAGAATCAAGCCGCTCCCTCCAACAGAAGAATTGAATGATGAGGGATGGAAGAGGTGAAAACGAAAACGAAAATGAAATGGAAACGGCTCCCGCGCGTGAGATCAATTCGTAAATTGTCCCAAGACCAGCAACTGACGCGCCGAAAAATAATAATTCTACGCGCCAAAAATCCCCCGAACCCACGGGTTTGCGTCTCGCGGTTGCATCCCCCCTCCCAAATATATATATATATATATATACAGCGAACTGGGATTGTATCCCAATTCGCCAATTCCTACCGGGAAATGTTGCCGCCATCCGTTCTCCCACTGCGTATTTCCGTTCTACAGCAGCTCACGGTCCATCGTAACGTTCGCGGCAGCTTCTGCGTGTAACAATCATTTTAAGGTGCAGCCCACCCACCCATTGGAACATTAAAAGGAGCATGGGGATTTTTTGGTTTGTTTGCGTTGTATATGGGCCTTCTCGCCGTCTCGCCCGTTTTTATGACGTGGGTGCGCGGGGAACCTGGTCTTACGAATGCAAAAAGACACAGAGTTATTATGTACGCAGATTAAACAGATGCATATGATTATATTGTGTTCCATCCGACAGCATGGAAGGAAGGTGCTGTTCTGCTCCCGGCGAAGGATGTGTGCGATATGCATGCGCTGTCCTATTTGTGAAAGGAAGGGAATTGGCATTTCAAGATGGTATATTTCGATTTGTTTTTGTCTTGCCGTGCAGATGGGCAGCTGGTGGAAGGTCGTGTTAATTTAGTCGCGTGCACCACCTTTATATATATTCGTTTGCGTCTAGTAACCGCCTCAGCCAGCTACAACCGAAGGAGGAATGTCTAAAGAATTAAAGCAGAAGAAGTAAATAGTATTTATCATTCATTCCCTTTACAACAGTAACTATTGAAATACGACTCTCCCGCTTTTGGTCTTCAATTACCTGAATGGCGCTAACAGGGGAACAAAAGTAGCCTGAACATCCAAACCAGAAAAATAAGCACTGTTATGTGTAGGCCATGGCTTTCCAACAGTAGCTATTCCTGGTCTGTGGAAGGGATTGTAAAGTGCTGTTCAAGTGCGCACCCGAAAATAGTCAATAAAAATCCCACAAGATTTCCGGCACTCCGACGGTTTCCACATCGTCAATCCGACACCCGACCCGGCATTGAGGTTGTTCCTTGACCATGTCGTCGTTGCCATTGTCGTCATATTCAAGCTTTTTTCTGGGGAACTTTAACCTGTCTCCGATCTCGTCTTCCGGGATTCGTTTTGGATGGCTATTCCCAGAAGTTCCAGAGTGTCCAGCATGACGAGACCGGTTAAACGCATCATATAATTCATCGTCAATGTCCGAGATGTTATAAGCAACTTCGATCCATTCGACGCCCATGAGCACACTTGAACCTATTGTCATATTCCCAGACCATTCGCCGCCATCACTCCACAGATTCAGAGCAAGCATACTCGGCTTATCGGGAACACGATAATCATTCTCAGCTTGGAGATCGTTATTGAGATACCAACGCGTCATGTTCGGAAACCAGTCAAGACGGTGGGTTGCCCAGCTTGTCCAAGGAACAGGCAACTGAACGATTGTGGCAGCCCCTGGTATTTCCAGGTCAGTTAAGGGATCCCAATCTGGCTGGTTGGCATAGTGGATATGCGTGTGAGGATCGGCTGTTAATATTTCGATGTCGGATTCAATGTTGATTGAGTGATACGTGAAAATCCCAGCTACAGCTCCGGAGGGGGGCGGGCGCAAGCGGAAATTACTAGGATTCAGTTTTGAACGATTACGACCCGCAGACCACTCATAATATTCGCCCAAATCCTGGTTATAGCCCCCGCCTCGGCCGTCGTTTTCAGCTCCATCCTCATCAACAGCACGTCCAGCATGAAGACGCAGCCGAACGCGAAAAGAACAGTGAAAGTAATCATGAGAGTACGTTTCGATCTCCGCAGTGGAAGTATGGTTATGTAATCTCTGGGTACGAAGAGCCAGGTAGGTCGTGTCAGTAGCGTTGTTGGTTGTATCTTTGAGGACGAAAACGTTTTCATAATAGTTGCGTATAGGGATTGGGAAAAGCTGCGATCCTTCTCTGCTCCAGTCTTGGATCGCCCAATCGTCTAAGAAGCCCGTTTCTTCAAGGTTCATGAGAGATTTCTCCATCGAATTGGTAGTTCCATTGCGAGCTGGTCTAGCTATCGTGGAGTTCAGCTTCCAAGTTTTCTCCGGAGCAACAGACCGGAAATCATAGAACTTGTAGTTCTGAAAATAGCCTGGCTCCTTGCCTGAAACCACATAGCATTCACACCTTTCTGGCGCACTGTCCAGGTAACCACTTCCATCGTTGGTTGACTCGTCTGGGGTCGCTTGTTTCGCCTTGGTTTTAAACCACAGAAACGTAAAACTTGCCAAACACAGGAAATATTTCATAATGGCGTAAAAGAAAAGCTATGAATATCATGATAGGACAAAAAAGGACAAAACAGAAGGGACCCGCTGAGTTGCCTGTGGTAACACGACGTAACTCGCATCAACTCTCGATACAAGTGCATCGTCGCCTTGGGCTTCTCTTGGTAAATATCAGGCTGCTTGAGGGTGCTTCTGAGGCAGGTGCGATGCAGGCAAGAGCGAAATCAAATTAGGAAGCCACTAGATATGAGACGACTATACCAGCGACATCACCACAAGAAGTCACTCTTCTCTTACACATCACTCCAGAAGACCTCGCGTGGGATAGAGATTATGTAAATTGGCATCACCAGTCATCCCGCCTCTCGTATGATATGTAGAGCTTCAGTCGGAGCCAGAAGACCTCCAAACCCCCAAACCCTTGGCTTCAGAGAGAAAGAAGACAATGAAAATATAGAAAAAAGGCAGTGATTCAGCTTGTTGGTATCCACCAAGGAAGGAGACAAGTCTGCTCTTCTTCGCCCGACATAGCCAACTCAGAGAGGTACCTTGATATGCCGGAAACTATCACAGGGTGTCACCACCTTCATTCACCAAAAAGATAAGTTAAAGGCCTTCATTCCGCTAGGCACATGGAGGCCTCAGTAGAAATGAGCTGTTGAATGTGCGGTTCGGCATTCCCACATCCACAATGCAAATGCACATCCTGGGCCAACATGTACGGGCTTCTAATCAGAATAAGTGAAACATTGGAGTTAGCAGGTTTGATCACCTCCAAGCCCAAGCCACAAACCCACCGTGAGGTCTGACAAGACCAAGAAGGCTGGAAAATGCTGCCATCCAGGCATCTCGGATGGATATCACGTCCAGGGCCCAAGTCGTTACGATGTGCTGGATGGAAAGCTGCCAAGATATCACGGGGCTGTAACGGAACATCAATTTCCCGAGTGCTGCCTGGCCATCGGGCAATCCGCTTTCGGACAAGCCCTTCGCTCCTCCACCGTCGCCGACTTCCTTTGCATCCCAGTCCAAGCAATGGGGAGGACAGCATCGATTCTTATAACCAGCTTGGAGTGCACCTTCAGCAAAGATCATCAGAGAATCAGAAAGAACCGTTGTGTCATCCATAGGGCGTGGCTGGCCGTGACTTTACGGCGGAGTCGACTCCGCCTCTTGTGCCTCTTATATATACTACCCCTTTCATTCATAATCTAGCATTGCCAGACCAGTTGCATAAACTCTGATATCTTTCCCTTGTACTATAGCGGTTGCTGAGCTGTACCTCGCGAGAGTTGCCCGACCTTGTACGGAAACCATCACCCTCTCTACCCGATTGTCTTGCACGCCATCATATGATATGATTATTGAAAAATCATATCTAGCTATTTACGCAAAAGAGTGTTCTTTTTTCGTTTAGCTTTTCTCTTCTATTTTTTATTTGGGAAATCATCAGGCGCTTGCGATATTTGAGCGTACATTCTGTTTGCATGATCCGCGCCGTCACCTTTGACGGGATGGCGGTTTTTAACTCCATGTTATACTGCGAAGAGCTCACGTCGAGGTCTTTTACAGAGCATATACCAGTTGAGGTTGCTCCTTTATATCTCCGGCCATCGTACCGGCCGTCTTTGCTGATATATCCGCAGTGATAAGGCTGTCATATACGCGCAAGTCCAAACCACCAAAGTGCAGTCCTTTTTCAAAACGGTCCTAGGTGGTTGCTCAAGCTGAGAAGCTTGAAGCCAACCACTGCAAAAGCCCCAAAGCATAAAGCTGCTCCGATTGGAGGTGTCAAGCAAGTTGTGGAGCGTAACCGAGCCAAGAAGCCCAATGTTCTGGTCTTTCCGGTCACTTTGAGCCAGAGAGCAGATGGGCCCATTCGAGCGCCGGAATGCAATGCACCGGTCACGAATGAACGATTTCCTCGCAATCTGCGGTTGTGGCCAAAGGGGTACCCTTTGCCACAGAGCCTGACGTGGCATGGCAATGACAAGGCTGTATGCCGGCTCGTGACCCTTCACGATTTGCACTTTCTCCATGAGCAAATTTGGTGGCAATAATCATATTGAACTCCAAGCTGTCATTCTCTGTGACTCCCATATATGTTCATGATGACTGGAGCGGTTTTTGACACACGATCTTGCGAGGTTCCCATAATATTTTGTTAGAACCCACTTGACACGACGGTTGTCCTTCAGACTGGCAGTGGACATTCCATCGGTTGATTCGTCCAGCTTCCCACCTCGCTCGATGTGGTGGGAGCAATGCCCTTGTCATGACGGGTCATCAGCCATGTCACCTTGCTCTCTGCTCCCGACCAACCAACAACCGCTCGGCATGACATCCCCTGCAATGATTGACAAATGTTGTCGAGTTGAACAAACGGTGAGTCATGTGATATAGTCATTCCCGCTGGACAGTTGCTTTCAAGTTTACTTGCAATTATGCCGGGATCGGATGTAGCGCGATACAGTGGTGGTACACTCACTATTTGTATTGAACTAATGCACACTATTTTCCCGAGGCAAGGCGCTAATACACAAGTGCTCTTTCGTGTTGTGTTAAATTTGTGACATCACACTGTCCAATGAAGTCAAAACACCAGGCTGCAAAAGTGCTTCGATTCCAGACGTGGCTAGCTCTATCAAACATTTCATTGGCGCTCACCGCCTGCTGATGCAAGCCAACTTTCCAACACACCCGATATGCCTTCTTCCACTTCAGCCTGGCCAAGTCGCCGTCGTATCCAGGCCGCCCCTCCTTCATGTTCTTTCTCCCTGTCCGTCAAGAAAAATTCTTTCCACCTTCTCCCGAAATATCCCTTTCTTCCGAGATATTTTTGGCTCTCCTTTGTCCACTAATTATCTTCTAAAATAATTACTTCTGTTCCAAAAAAAAAAAAAAATTTTTTTTCTTCTATTTTTTCCTCACTTCCAATGCGTGAAATTCGCTGACTTGTCCTCTTCTGCCCTCTTTCTGCTGAGCCTAAATAATACCGCTAGTGGTACGAAATTTATCTTGGGCGACACCACAACTTCACCAAAAGTCTTGGTATCAGGATATATTACTTGTTTTAGCTCTAGCGTTTGCATGGGTATGGCCGATTGCATAATTTCTTTCTGCGGCTGGGTTAGTGTGAAACCGGTCGTCAACACCATGAGACCAGGAATTCCGGCTGCTCCCTCCCCTTTGTCTCCTTCTGCCCTCTTTGTTTGTTCTTCGTCCACTTCGCTGCCTCTCTTCACAATCATTACCATCATACACAGAGTCTCCAACGGAACTTCATGCTCATATAAACGAAAATAGATGTGGAAAACACCGACAGTCAAAATGGATATACTCATATGAATGTTTAGCACCGCTTTATACCCCTTACACTCCTTTAATATTCATGATGAGTACTGTTGAAAGGAGCCTTATGAGGGCTTCCAGTATGACCACCAGTCCAAGATTATCAACCAAACGAGAATCAACACCACCATCCGTCTCCGATCCAGCCCTGCTTCATATCCACGATCGTTTGCATCAAATAGATGCCAAAGTAGTCGATCTCCGTTCCTCCATCTTGACCCCTGATGAATATGTCGACCGACGAAACCGCCAGGATGAGTTCATCCGGCGAGAGTTTGACGGGCAACGCCAGGTTTGCAGCCGTATCGAGCTGAACGTGGGAAGGACAAAGAATGACGTTACCCAACTAAAGGACGGGTTAACCCAGTTGAAGTCGGAAATGCTACAGCTCAGGACTCATGTCTCCCAACTTGGTTCAAAAGAAGCATATCTCCAGAGCGATATCACCCAACTCCAAAGCGACGTCAACCAACTCCAGCTCGACGTCCAAAAACTTCACACCGATGTTTGTGCTACCCGTACCGACCTCAGCCAAATCCAGACTATTGTGAGCCAGCTTCGCATCGATTTAATGACTCTGCAAAGGGAAACCTCCCAGAACTTCGGACTCGTTTTCTCTCGATTCTCTGCCATGGAATCGAGGATGAAGCACATGGAACGCACACGATTCAACTCTCTCGCCCAGACGATACATGCTCCCATTACTCCAGTCCCACTTGTCGAAGATGACGGCTCTGTTCGTTGGCCCGAATATTTCCCTCGAACAGTTTGGAAGTTTTGGTGCTTGAAGAAAAGAAATAGAAGTAAGTACATAAAAGAGAATGGAATTGAAAGGGGTGCTGTGGTGTGGCTTGCAGCCATACTAATTTAAATATCCTAGTTCATCGACTGGTCGAGCTTGCAGATTTTTACGAGCTGGAAGGGTATCAATATTGGGGCAGAATGCCTCATGCTCACGATTCTACTTTTGCCACCGATGGAAATATGAGCGATTCAAGCGACTCGAGTGACCTTCCATCAGACCTCACACGCGCAGAGGCGGCCCGACAATACCCAGAGGCTTGCCATCAAGCATTAGCTGCTACTCTCGGTCTCGTCTACTACAAAATTCGGAATGAAGTTGGCGAGGGTCCTCTTGGGCATCACGTTTCAGCTGCACACAAACGCATGCAGGATGAGGTCACATCAATTAATTCCTCGTCAAAGCAAAAGCCAGCCAAACTCTCCCGCCGCTCCAACGAGAGCTCACCAACCAACTTACACCGGATCCACATCGGCCCTGCCCTCGATGCAAAGTCCATCGATTCTGAAGGTCTAGATAGGCTGGGTTGGAATGTTCACGGGTCGCAGATGTCCGATGACACGATGAGTAAACTAAAAGGGATTGTATCCGACGAAGTCAACTCTATCCTGCTCCACGCATTGGAACGGGGTCGGATTCGGCTGCAGCCCGGTGCCCTCGAACCTCCCCAGCAATCGCCCACTAACTTTTCCAGGCTCAACATTCGTTCCAGGCCAAACTTCTATGAATCCTCAGGCACACACGATGACGAAATGGTTACCGTTTCCAACACTGTTCCAACCGAAATCATCTCACCACGTTCTCCCGACGAAGGTCGGCAGTGGATTCCAGGACGCATGTCGGAAACTCCTAGCCCGTAGCTAACTGTCATCCCGTGGCTTTCAACTTCCATATCCTCTTAGTGCCTGGAGTCTAGTCATTTTCTCATCTCAATTTTGCCTCCTCGCTTTCATATAGGAACCCTTACCTTCCTATTTATAAGCTACGGAGAGTTGACTTGGGTTTTTGGCTAATGAATTTGATTGGGGTAGAAGTGTCCGCGAGATCCGTGTACTCTTTTACGTCCGCTACCGATCAAAGTCTCCTTTCTACGGTGATCGAAGTAATGGTACCTTTCGCTCCCACGACTTCGCTCGTTGGTTCACTATCGATTCGACGAATGTTTTGGGTGACGAGGGTAAAAAAAAAACAATAGGTCAAATATGGCTTTTTGGAAAACCAAACATGGATATGCCATCTAACATCACCCGTATTTTTGAGAAACTGCATTACACGGCGCTCTGGGACCCCCTTTGCAAGCATTTCCCGGCGTCCTTGTTATTTGGTTTTCTTTTTCTCTCTTTCGGACAGCGAATTATGACTCTCGGTTTCTTTTTTTTGACACTTGATTTATATCCTATGTATATACCCATACTTATCCCCCCCCCTTCCCAATCCTAAGTTCAAGTTGTTTTCGGCGTTTTGGTCTTGGTTTTTTTTTTTTTTTTTTTGCTTCGTTTTAATACAATCGTAGCCGATAAATCCTCCCCTTGCCAACTTCAAATACAAATTTCAATCAAAGCAGATGTCTCTTTTATCCTCCACGCAGCCCGTAATGCCAGGTTGTAGAGTTACGTCGTGAACGAATCTTTGTTCGTCCCCTGACCAATGCACACGTGAATTTTAAAGCCCACTTTTGCTTCAGGTACGAACATTGGCCACTTTGTACCACCACGCCAATTTAGTATGAGAGAGTACCTCTAAGACAAACAAGACGAACAGCAGCAGGTCATGTGTCATGCTAAACGTAGTGTTGTGGCACTGTATGTACTGTACAAAAGTGGTCGAGAAAGTGGTGTAAGTACGTTATATGTATAGTCCTAAAACCAAACATAACATACATAATTGACAATGATTTCTCGTCTTGGTGCCGCGGCAACCCTGTATTTTAGTATGTCTTCTAATGCGGGAGGCAAGTGTTTCCTTTTTTTATTGTATAGAAATAAATGTTTCAGGCTAGGAATAGGGCATTGGGAACACTGTAGAAAGAGAAAAGGGAAGAGAAGAAAAGAAGTCCCCATGCACACATTTACTCATGCCAGATGTGAAGGGGATGCTTTCTCACGGGGTGTTCATCTTGGCTAAGAGATAGTAGATTGACTACATCCTACTACAGTACACAGCATCTTACATAGCTGGATGTAGATACCCCTAACCAGCTACCAAAAACCAACGCTCTGCAAGCCCTTTACCTTTCGGATGGTTTACTGCATCGCTAACAGAGTAGGCGTACTGAGGCCAAGGGGTTTTGTTTACGTTTACGTTTATTCTTATTCACTGGCTGTTTTCGCGTTCGTGTGATGAAGGACTGGTTCCCTGCTCCAAACGTTGTCGTAATGTGTTTGCATGTAGGATTGGAAGAACATAGAAGTAATTTTTATTTGACTGTATAACTAACTTCCAATAAGGGTTTTGGAAGAATTAAATGGGAGGGGAACAATGATAGGGTAATTAAATCGGCTAGGGATAAGAAGCAGCCTCTACATGTTTCCGTCCAATTTTGGGTTGGGGGGGGGAGGGGGGGGTGAGCCCAAATGATAAACTGGCGGGCGCACATTCCTGCATCTTTTGTTGAGGATGTCTGAGCACTGCTACGTGAGTTATTATGCGCGGATAGCGTGCTTGTATAGACGTATATGGGGAAGTAAAATATAGAATAAAAAGCAATACTGCATTTAGAGGAGAATGAGAGATGAGTTCGGCAACTATCAGCAACGATAGCAAAATAAAATGAAACAAATAGCATTAAATATAAAACTTCAACAAGCAAAACAAGAGATTCGCACATAGCAAAGGAGAATAGAAAGACTAAGAGAGAGGAAAAAATGATGGGAAACGGAGGAAGGACTTCTTAAGGGAGGTGAAAGGAGGGAAAAAAGAATGGAGATGGAGAGAAGCCAAAGATAAAATATATAAAATAAAATAATACTACTAGTTAACTAAAGGAGGGTGTAATCCTGTGCCACAAAGGGAACGCTGGGGAAGAAAAAAAGGGGGGCCGGGAGGCAAAAATAAGAATACATATACATATACACATATAACAGTCGCGAGATAAGACAAAGATTGCGAAATAAACGAAGAGAAAGAAAAAATAAATCCAAAACATGGAAAAAGAGCGTTTCATATGCAAAAAGTTACGGAAGGCTTGGTGTGGTATAAAAGGCAGGCATATTGTTGGAAAAAATTTCCTTCCACGCAAATCCATCCGCTGCTAATGCTTTGGGAGTTGTAAAGCCGCATGACGCATGTAGATAGAGCCTAGCATTTTCCTTTCCTGCCCTTTCACTTTGTGTTGGCAAGATATGATGGTCGAAATGATAAAAAGAAACGCGGATATGTTGAGAGGATAATAGTTTGGGTTAAATCTGACTGGAGTTTGGGAAGAACGGAGTTGGGGATTGGAAATATCAAGCAAAAATAAGCTGTACACATGGTATCACATCATATATATACCAAACATATTTGATCTGATGGACAGATTGAAAAAAAGAGTTAGTGAATAGCTAGTCCTGGGTGGCCTCGGTGGATGGACGGATGGGCAGAAAAACGTGAGATTATCCTACCCCCAACTTTAGAGTGACAGAAGGGTAATACAACCGGGGCCGAAAGGGGGAAATATGTTGGTTGTTAGAAAGATCTAGATTCGAAAAAATGAAAAGGATGACAGAAATTTGAGAAACTGAGATAAAGAAACAAATCATCGTCCCCCTAGCGATAATACAGTGGGCAGCAAGAAAGCTTGGAAGAAGTCAAAATCATGGATGCACTCCCAAATCGCGCCTCTACTTGACCATACTGCCTCCATTGGGCATGGAATGAGTACTCGTGTATCGAGATTCCCTTCAGCTTGAATTGAATTGAAATGCATGTGTGGCTTCGTGAATGGTGAAGGGAGTCTCTATGGAATAGGCTTGTTCTCCAGAACCTTTGCACTCTCATGCAACCATACGTCCAGTATCTGGCCTCATGATGTGTTGGCTGGGTTGTTTCGACACGGTGCCGTTGTCGATCTGTCCATCCGCACCCTCCATTTGGTAAGCGTGTTCATCCTCATCTTCGACAATTTTAGTAGGAAGATCACCCGGGCCGTATTGCTGGCTTGACCGTTCGGGGATCGTGCTGCTGCTCATCATGGACATCGATGTGCTCGAGCGATTATGGATAAGATCTGGAGTTGGTGGGATGCTAGAGGCGCGTCCATCTGGGCTCAAGTAACTACTGTCATTGTCACCTGCTTCACTCCCATCGGTACGTACGGAATGGTCGTTGCCGTCATCAGTGGGAGCGAGGCTGCTGCTACCTTCCCGACCCTCCTTGCTGGTCTGGAGCGATTCTTCGAATTCCGCATCTTGGGCGAGATGGAGGCCTTCGACAGCAGCGGCACACTGATCGCTGATGTTGCGGATTATGTGGGCGATCGCATCAGTTTTATCCCGTAGGTGACGGTCGGCGACATCAGACATGCTCAGTGCAGAGTAACGTTTGGATCGTTTACTAGGGTTTAGCAAATTCTGCTCCATTTCAGGGGTAACATCTTCACCGTCACCTGCACCTAGGCGGTTCGCGAATCTCGAGCTAGATTTCGTTTGATGAGAACCCTTCACTGGACCTGTTTCGGTATTATCGTGACCATTGATAGATTCTGTCTCAGTATCATCCTCTGGGATATCGCTATAGCCCTCCTGAATGAATCCGGAGAGTTCTGGAGCGCTTCCTAGCGAACGAACAATGTGTTCCATGTGATGGGCCTGGCCATTGATGAGGCTTCTAAGGTGGAGTACTACACGTTGAGCTTCATCGCGTTGACGCAACAATGTATCGCTAGTATGTTGCAAGGCACTAATCTCCTTGGTGTTTCGTTTCCTCTCACGCTCAAGTTCCTCAGCAATCTCTTGCTGGAGGACCAAGGCTTCGAGAGCATCGTCACGCTGTTTCTCAGTTCCGGAAAGGCGGAGAGTGAGACGGGCAGCGTCGTCTTTTTGTTGATCAATGAGGCCAGTAAGACGACGATTCTCGCGTTTGTGAGATTCGATTTTAACCTTAAGCTCAGAAGTCTCCTTCGTAAGCTGTTCAGCAAAGGCTTGGAATTTGAGGAACTGTAATGATAGATCAGTATGTTGCCTTCAATGCTCAACGGGATAAGCCGTATGGCATACCTGCTGTTTCCATGTCTCCAGCTCTTCGACCAAAAAGTTGTTCCGCTTTGTGACTTTGGAAAGCTCCGTGTCCATTCTGCCTTTGAGGTTGATGAAGTCTTGCCACGCTTCCATTGCATCTCTGGAGTACTGGTTGCGCTCACGAACGATTTCGTTCAAGTGTCTCATCGACACTTTCGTCATCAATGGCTTTTTTACAGATCCTCCAAAGAGTGCTTTGACTCCGGTGTTCCGGCCCTATAATGTAGTTAGTATTGCGGCTGGTAAATAAAAGCTTTCCGCAAAATCAAAGACAAAACCTACCAATTTTTCGCAGACGTGGTCCATTACTGCCATGACACCATCCTGGTTCCACCAATCTGGATCCTGAACGCTCTCAACCTCACCTCGCATAACAATGATCTGACCAGCTGGAATCAATTTACCCCCGCCGTAGGCTGATCTGAGGTGCTGAGGAACACCGGATTGGGTGACGTCCCCATTGAGGGACTGAGTCAATCGGTTGATCATTTTGGTTCTCTGCCCTGCGGTCAAAATGCTTGGAGGGCTAGAAGTCAATACAAAGTTGCGATCCAAGTCGACCACGAGTGCATCAGATGGAGCTGTAAACAGGGTTTTGCATTCCGCAGTAACACCAAGTATGTATGGACCCGGCTCTTGGACGAGCTCCTTTGCGTGGCGGGCATGGACAACTGGGCAGTAGAGGCCACTCCATTCGTAGACGCGGACGCAGAATCGAATTGTTTCGGCGGCTACTGTGAGCATGGCTGGGTAATGACTGACGAAGATTATACGCCGAGTGGGCGAGACAGCGGCTTCGATAACACCAACGATGTTTGGAATAGACAAACAATTGAATAAAGGCCACATAGAAAAATTTTGGTACCCAGTTTGCGAGGAAGGAAATTGGTAGCACAATGCATAATCCTTCATGTCAATCCGAACCAAGTCATTGAGTCGTGGTGCTGGGAAGCTGAGAATGCGGGATACTTCTTCTGCGTGGAAGAGATTGGTAGCCTTGTTCCAGTGGATCCACATGCCACGGAGGTAATCGCCCAGTAAGTCGTAGAGAGGATATCTAGATAAGAAACTGAGGCAGTATGGAATCCAGTATGTTTCATCTGGGGTGTCATAGAAATCCGGCTCCGTTTTCTTACGTAGCTCGCGAATGGTCTCCGCACGTTTTTCATCTGCTCGAGACCATACACGCAGCGCAATACCGTAAAGAGTGTGAGAAGAATCTTGCTGGAGAACGAAAGAATGATGTACACAATGAGGTTGGCTTTTGCCAGTGCAGATCTCAACGTCGTGAGGGAAACAAGCCTATAGAAATATAGAGATCAGTCCAAGTTCCAGTTCCAATCTAGATGGATGAATGGGATTGGTCCTGTCCATGACGTCTCAAGGACTATATTAGAAAGTTCCCAACGGTACTTACCCTCATAGCCGAATGCAACGCTCTTGCAATCTCGTTATCCTGCTCTAGTCTGGGACTGCTGCCCAAAATCTCAGGTAGCCAGAACTGACCAACTGCGCCTTTCATATGTCCAATCTTTCCCTGAGCGGGAGGGGGAGCCTTCACCCATTGTGAAGGCTCGCGGCCAACGCCACAGACCATGTAGGCATGGGTGAGAGTTTTAGGAGTTTGTTGAGCTGGTTTCATATTCAACGTCGAAGGAATGGGCTGAGTGATTCGAGAATGAAGCGAGGAAGTTCGGCTGGGGATGACAAGGGAGTTGTCTCCCTGGTCCCGCGTCATGGGACGGTCCCTGGTGGCAGGGCGAACGAACGACGCATGGTCTCTCAACGAGGGAGCCATGATGAAAGAATGTTATCTTATTATATGTCCTTCTGGATGATCGATCGATCGATCGATATCGATGGAATTGATATTGTTCGTATTCTGTTTTTGTTGAAGCGGGCGGATGGGGAGGTTTTGGATTGCCCTCAGCTACAGCGAGCAGCAGCGGTGCCAGCAGTTGTGAAAGGGAAAAAAGCAAGAAAATCCACTTGCTGTAAACATAAAACGGATATGGCTAGACGGAATTCAAAACCAACCTCTTCTATCGTTCTACGAGAAGAGAGAAAAAAATCAGTCCGTCACACAAAACAGATCAATAAGACCCAATTGAAATATGATCGCAGTTGCCAGAGGGACCATCAGACGGAATTCAGTAGATGAAAAGGTATTGTACTCGTGATCTGAAGAACCACAGGAGAGGTCGATCAATCAATTGATCAATTAGCGAAAACAGAAGGGTTTCACGCGGATAGACTTAGTGACAAGAGAAAATGGCCAATGTGTAGACAACAAAGGGTGAGCAGTCAGGTCTGGATGGCGAAGGTGAGCTCCAGGCTGCAACACGACACACGAAGACGGTGCATCCGAAGCAGAGAGGTGTGATAGAATGGAGAAGAAAGAATGGCGTTGGTGAAAAGAAAGTCAATTGAGAGAGACAAAGAGAACGAGAGAGGGTCAGGGGAGGAGCGAGAAAACGAGGTGAGGAGGGAGGAAGAGAGCAGAGTCTTGGAGTCAGGTAAGGGGCGAGCGCAGGAACTAGTGGGCCAGCTTGGGCTGGATTTAGGGCCGTCCACGGGTGACGAAGGCCAGGCGGGAGGTGGGGAGAGGCTTCCAGGGCTTCCAGTGCTTCAGGCTCCGTGGGCTCTAGGGGGGGCTGATGGGGTACCAGGTGGGGGTGTCCGGGGGTTTGTTGGCCCGTGGTAGTTAGTGGGAGAAAGGCTTACCCGAACACTCCCTAGCCTCGACGACTAGGCCTGAGCTGGCTTGGCTGTCACTTCACCAACTCTGAAACCCCTATTCACATTCACCCGTTGTTCACTCACAATTCTCCCAGGCCACACTGAGCTTCTAATTTTCACAATCTCGTAAAATGGGCTCCTCGCACGGGAGACAATGATAGCAACTCAACAATACATACAATACATTCAATAGGAAAATGAATGGAAGATGGACGAGGCACCCCATAGCACAGAAAATATACGCAGCCCACAAGATAAGCAAGTCGGACGCAAAGCACCTGGCCAAGCAGGCTAACTACCAACCTTTTGTGTCTAATCCGGCTAAGTCAGGTACGCCTCCAAACCTCTCAAGGTCTGGTCAGCCTATCACAACGATCAAACGGGCTCTCGCAGACCATACTGTCCGCATCATCAAGCCTTACTGGTGGGATTGCTAGCTCGACAGCTCAAGCACCTTCCAAAGGATCTCCACTATTCGTCCGATAGCTGCATTGGGCCACTGGTTCACCGCACTAGGAACGCCATGGTTACCATTCGAATCTTCGCTCGGTAACTTACAGCGGCTTCAGACACGGCCATCATGCCATCATGCTGTTCCGTTCCAGATAAACGTCTACTGGCTGAACTTGAGAGCCTCAATGCTCAGGCCGTCAGGATGGACAGGACCTCGATGTGTGTTTGAGACAGGCTGTCGGATGGTTTTCCGGCGGGTGCGCATGGTCCCCTCTGCGCTTCGTCTTTTCAATAGTTGATGCTGTCAATGGGAGAACAGATACTCATGGTGTTGACTTCTTCTTTTTCCTTTGCTTCTGAAGTCATTAACTATTGATCGTCAGCGGGCTGACAAATATGTATCAAAAGTTGCTGGAAAACGAAAAAAAGGAATGAAAAAGGAATGAAAAACGAAAAAAAAAAAAAGCAAATGCACTGATTGAAACACAAGAGCCCTTTTTTTAATCACTTGGCATCTCGGACGGACTGTCTATGGACTGGAGGTCAGAATACACTCCCGAGACGATGATCTTACTAGTGACATGACTTGAGGTATCACAAAATGGATTTCCGCCATCCATCTGGCCGAAGTTGGAATTGATATTGGTGACACAAGGAAATCACTTCCCCCAAACTTGTAGGAATATGATATTTCTACTTAGTACCAGTTTCAGAACAAATTCTTGAACAAATAGTTTCTTCCATTCTCATTACGCAAAAAGGAAAAGGAAAATTAACGGAAAAAACCGTAGCACCAGGAAGACGTTGCCAAAAACTTCACTCCGTACGTCAAAAAATCGCTTCAACCAACCAAGATGAACAGATGCAACATAAAAAAGAAAATATCCCAGGCGTCGAGCGATTTACTGGTACGCTTGCGCGGGGACACCGAACCGAACCTTCTTTCCTTTGCTTCCTTTCTGTCTGGTTTTCCCGCGAGTCACGGACCGTCACCTCGCATTCTGATCTCCATGATTCCTTCCAACCTGCCAACCATGCATGATAACATGAACAATCAACAAAAGGCTGACACCGCTCAAAATATAGTTCGCCGCCACGGCCGGCCTTATTTGTTATTGATGCCTTGGCCTTTGGGGCCCCAGCTCCATGCCGCATACTGAGTATTATTAACTATATCTCTCGCACTTGCACTATTTCTAAAGAATGAAAACAGATTGAATCATCATCTCAAGTGCAATATTTCGCCGCCGAGAGGGGAAGGGAAACGCAAAGCACCCAGCTACCCTGATATTGTATAGGAGTAGACATGCAAAATAACCATTTGCTTATCCTTCTTCTGTCTTCAATAGATGGAGGAAGGTGGAGATTTCAACCAGTCTATTTTGAGGAGCTGACTGAATGAGTGGTTTAAAAGCTCACTTGCATCGGAGATGCCAGGGTTTGAAGGCATATGGTGACACTCATAAACTCTGCAATGTGAGATCACAGCGATCTTCCTTAATCAAGTGATGAAGCATCTATATACCTATGTAAAATACTCTTACTCGAGATAGAGAGGATGGGATTTCAATGCAGTGTATTGTCGACTCTGTACATTGAAACACATCACCTATGTATTTTACCTCCCGCCCTTCTTGTCTCCCCACTTATCTATCAAACTCGATGTTCTGTCGTGTTGTCGAAACGGCCCAAGCCGCAAAAGCGTAAACTCAAACCACCAAGGAAAAAAGCAAAAAGGAAAGAGAAAAAGCAACAGTTATCATGGCCCAATAAATTCTCCGAAATCCCATATCAAGAAACACGCTGCTGCAATAATCTGCTCTCCCCTGCGCAAGCCTCCTAAGTGCCAATTGCCAATTGGCTGTTCAAGTTGGTAGATCTGATCCTCTTTATTTTATTCCTTTTATGACTTCCATACTTATCTTTTCTCCTTACAAACTGCCTGCCCAAGGCGGATAGGGGCGACTTGTACGGAGTATACATGCTGACTATCCAGGGTTGCTGCTGCTGCTGGTTCACAGCCAGATGTATGATGGGTTAGCGAGGTGGGAACATTGTTAGATAAAGAATTGGGATGAGGTTTCTCATCCATAGTTGTATATATTTGTTGTATGTCATGAGAATAAAACTGATCAAATAGGGACGGGGGATTTGATGGATGCATGCATGATGTAAAACTTTTGGAGTGCATGAGATATATGCATATAATAATCTGCAATGCGTAACTATGTGTGGCTATAGGAGAAGATTGCAACATCCAGCTCACGCTTATTTTCGCGGTTGGAAATCGTATCTGCGGACAAGGGTCTCTATGCAGCGTATCTAAATATAACAACAAACGTCAAGCTCCAAAAATGTGGAGTTGGCTCCTTACATCATTGCATGGTATGATGGTGCTATGCCTTAGCCAGATGAGATAGGTAGTTCATGATTTCGAATCGTGATATATCCCCCCCTTTTTTATTATTGGCGAGGATAGCACGGATAAATGTGCACTCAAGGGTGGATGGTAACCTTGGGACCTGCAAGGTACGTATCAAGATCGCGAGATCGCGCCTTTTAGCTCCTCCATGTTTGCTCACGGCGGGGGTTCCTCGGGCTATCCTGGACGAAGCTGGCTCTGAGGAGAGATGATCACCGTGAGGGGAAACTGTAACATTCCTTGTAGCTTTTTCTCCCGGTATTTTCCCTCTAGGTAGGGATGATCTGTTGTTGTCAGTGGAGCATGTATCTGCTGCGAGGGTGGTTGCAAACGGGAGACACATGCAGTACAAGCATGCATGGGCAGAACATTCATAGTCGTTTCCGTGCACCGTTCCTGTCTGTGAAATCCCTATCTAGCTAATTGCACACTTTCGAAAATCTCAAAGTCAACCTTTCTCAAATGTGATGGACTCAAGAAAACTCAAAATACAAATGGGTGTCTGTCCTACTAGTCGATAGGACATCCAATGCCAAGGTCAAACTCCGCTTGCGCATGCGTGTTTTTGCATCAAAGAATTGCAGTGCTCGCCCGGCTCCCGCGATGGAAATTGTCATCGGCGTTTGCATGTAACGCTGGCCAAGCTTGTTGGAGTCAGCTTGGGACATCCTTGGAAGGATTAGCTCTTGATCACGCTAGTCTTGATGTAGAACGAGCCTCGAGCTTCCTTATCGATAAGGCGGGAAAATACTTATTCCGACCAAAAAAGTTGACCGAAGGACGTCCAGAGATAGGTTACCAACCTACCATCTCTTGACTGCTATAGGAAACATATCGTAATAAAATATGTCTGAGTCTAGAGAGCTATCACTCAGCGATTTGTGCACCATCTGGTAAGCCTGAATACAAACCCCGAAAACAATGGAATACGTCCTTTGCTGATACCAAGATCGTGCTCATGTAGCCGAATCAATGAGCCCAAATACAAATGTCCCCGCTGCGCAACCCCAACCTGCTCCCTCCCTTGCAGCAAGCGCCATAAACTCTGGTCGCAGTGCTCTGGCGTGCGCGACCCGGCCGCCTATCTGAAACGCAAGGAGCTCGCGACGCCCGTCGCTTTTGACAAGGATTTTAACTTCCTAAGTGGGATTGAGAGATATGTTGAGCGAGCGGAGAGGAGTGTGGAGAATAGAGGGATTGAGCTGTGTAGGGCAGCTGATAATGGCGACGGCGACGGCGACGCTGAAAATGGGAGGAGGCAGCGATGGAAGAAGCAGACGGAGGGTGTGAAGAAAGGGGAGGTAGGCTTCTTGAGGGGGATTGAGAGTGCTGGAGTAAAGGTGGTTAGAGCGCCGAAGGGAATGTCGAGGGGAAAACAGAATATGTCGCATTGGCATAAAAAGTATGTTCCTATTCCTTGATTTTTGTGTGTCGATCTGCTCGTGGAGTAATTTTCACTGCAGCATGTGGGTCAATTATGGGCCATTGCTGACTATATAACTAGACATAAGAGTCTAAACTGGACGGTTGAATGGATACTATGTGACGATGCCAAAAGTCAAAAGGCAATTAGCAAGTCCCTCGAGTCAACATCCGTCGCTACAGCGTTCTCTAGGACCTCTCTCTCGAAGCAGATTGCTGCAGAGATAAGCACACCTTCACCACCAACAAAGAAACGGAAACTGGACCCGAAGATTATTCCAACCTCTATTCCGTCTACGACCCAAACTGCAAACGCAGAAACACGAGGCGCCATGCTACGTGGCGAAACGCCTGTGTCACGCACACTAAGTCCGGAGCCAGAATCGACAGCCAACCTGACCCAGAATCCCGATGGCAATGGAGAGAAATACGAGAAACTTGGCAACGGAACAAACACTACCGCTGTATCCATAGCGAACGGGGATGGCATCTTAGATCCGCCGCGTGGCAAGGTACCATCCCTCCACAAAAAGCATCACTTCTATCTCCATCGTCCTCTATCCCGATCTCGGGTGCCTGTCCTCATTCCACTCACAGAATCACTCACAATCACGGATGCTCTACGGAATCGTACAGTGCTGGAGTTCCCTACTTTTTATGTCCTCCCGTGGGCAGCCGGTGAGTTGCCTGCAGATAGGTTTGTGACGGAGGAAGTGTATCTGAGAGAGAATGGAGATGGCGGGAATGGAGATGTATTGGATGGAGCGGAGGAAGACGAAGAAGAGGGGGTGGAAGGAGCAGAAGAAAAGGAGGGGAATGATGTTCTTCAGAGTGTTGATGAGAAGAAGGTGTTGGAGGTTTTGTGTAAGGATTTGGAGGTAGGAGGGTAGGAGAGGTGTTGAGGGGTTGGATGCCTTCAGTTCGCACGCGCTTGAAATTATATCACTACTAGCTATTAGTGGATTTGTTGGACGCTCCAGGTTGGTACGTTAGTCCAAGATCTGGAGGGAGCTAGGTCATTCATTCAGGGATACAGGTGTCCCAGTTTTACAAAAACTAATACACTGCGTAAAATAAAAATCCATCCATCATCAACAATGATCATGTAGGGCCACCCAGCCCCTCTCAAAAAATCAAAACACCTCGGAATCCTCCTCACTACCTCCTTCAGCTCAGCCTGTTCGGCAAATTCGGATGGCCAGCACTCAACCCCCCACAAACAGCCCATGCCTGTCCGTTAACATAACTACTCTCATCGCTCCCCAAAAATAACGCAACCCGCGCCACCTCATCCGGCACCGCGCCCCTCTTCATCGGATTCAACTGGCCAATCTTATGCTGCGTGCCGCGCTCCTCCGCCATGTCATATATGGGTTTCGTCATTCCCGTGGCAATCAGTCCGGGACAGATGGCGTTGATGCGCACTCCTGTGCCTGTTAGTTGGTAGGCGCACGTCTGTGCGAGGGAGACCACGGCGGCTTTGCTAGCGGAGTAAACGGTTGAGCCGGCATTGGAACGTAGGCCGGCGATGGAGGCGGTCATGATTATGCTTCCGGATGGGTAGGGTTTGGAAGGGGAGGTTTTTTGCATGGCTGGCGCAGCGTATTTGGCGGCGAGAAAGGGGCTGTGGACGTGTATTTCGTGTCAGTCTACATAGATTGAGTCTTTTTTTGTGGTCCGTCTATTATTTTTATATTTACCCTTTGGCGTTCGTGTCCATGACCTGCATGAATTCGTCTCCCGTAATTTCCGTGAATAGATTGTGTGGTCCAGATATTCCTGCATTCGCGAACATAATGTCCAAACGGCCGTATTTCTCGATGGCTTCGTCGACCACGGCTTTCACTTTCTCCTCGTCTCCGGCATCAAATTGCCGTGTATGGATGTCCACGAACGGGTAGAGCGATTCGAGTTCCCGTTTGTGGACGGCAAGGTATGAATCAGAGAAGTCGCAGAGGAAGACTGCCTTTGCGCCATTGCGGGCGAATTGATGGGCGCTGGCTCGACCGATGCCGAGGGGGGAATTTGCTCCTGCGGATGAGGAAACAAGATGTTAATCTTTCGCTATGGGTTTTCCGTCACTTTGGTATACCTGGGTAAGAAAGAGTTGCGGCCACCTACCAGTGACAATTACAACCTTCCCCCGGACCCTCCTAAAATCCAATATATATGAATGAGCGTGGGCTTCCGGCAGGTTGAGGGGCCGTGCTGGAAACACCGCAGCAGAATGCAAGCTCTAATGAATATTGACCTGCACGGGAAAACTTACGGGCCCACGGAGTCTGGAGCAATTTCACGGATTCGAGGGATGTTCTCAAAGGTGCCGGGGTCCGGGATACCCTCGGCCAGTTGCTGGCTTACAGCTTGAAGGCGCCGATTCGCAGTAGAAGACATAGTCGGTGACGAGGGACGAGGCCGATGAAAATTGCCTGGCAATGTAGGAGAAGTTTCTCAGGAAGGCCAGAAAATTATTATGAGGGCTCAGTATGCCAGCTCCAGTCCATTATCCCTCCGCCGACCGACGAGTTTTTGAAGCCTTTCCAAGCGATTCGCTGCTTCTCCACCTTTCGCGGCTTGTAGGAGTTGCCAGCTCCCAAAAGTCCCGAGGTCTAAAGTTAAAAGCCGCTATTCCCGTTTAGGTGGGCATCCCTCGCCGCTTTTATCGCTTTTCGTCGTGGATGATCGGGGGCAATTGGGATGTGGATGCTCATTGCGCTGACAAGAATTGGATATTTTGGGGATGCGTGACTCACTCAATTGATTCCCTTTTTGATTTGCGAGACGCTGGCGGTCTGCCAACAATTAATCGGGCTTGTCTCATCCAATGACCATATCCCATCCGATGACACCTTCGATTGAACAGATTTGATGTCGGACGAAGTTGTTCTTCTCATCCATACTAATTTTTACCAGCAGGACGACTTGGCTGGCCTGGGACAGGCTGGCTACGTAATTTCCGAGACAGATTCGGGAAGAATGGGATCGCCCGGTCTGGCCATGACCCCTGCTGTTACCGCTCTCTCATTATTGCATTCAGCTGCTGGGATTGTGACCCAAACCCCCCTGTGAGTTTCCGATGCTTTCCCCGCAATGTTGGGAGAGATATGGTCTACACTGTGTACTGCGTAAATGAAAAAGTGTTAAAAGGGCAAAGCGAACCAGTTCATGGAATCCGGTTAACAATTATGACATGGACTGCTAGGGTTAGCCAACTTTCGTGCGGGCAGTTGAACAACTCCTGAAAAAGACTCAGTCCTCGTGGAGGAGCAAGTTGGAAAATTGAGCCCGATAATTTCATGAGGGGGGAGCTGTTTCACGCCAGAAACCGCTTTGCCTATCATGGTCCTTCGGGCACCTTCAGGTTGGGCTGGAGCCTGCAGCCTGGGCTTTTGGAGCCACTAGGGTTTCGCAGCTGGGTGGGCGGATGATCCGTGGGACCGTCCTGTGTCAACGAAGGTCCTGGATGTCAAGTAGATACGCACGGAGAGCGTATGCGATGGCGATCCGATGCGTCTTGGGCAACAGACTCGACAAATTCTCATTCTCAGCCACCGTGACAGTGCCAAATACGCGTAGTCACATGACCTGCAGCGCATTCGGGATGCGGATGTCAGGACAAACAGTGCAAAGATGCCTGATTTGGACACGGATAGCAGATAATCCGGGATCGCAAGCGCAAGCTGGCAGCAGGATCACCTGATCTGCATCATCACGGCCTGTTTGTTGTCCATGATTCACATTGTTGGACTTCAATCCCAGTTTTGCTGCACTCCATAAGAAGCCATCCATCTCTCCCCCTTCTCTTTTGCCTTTCTTCCTTCCCCTTCTTGTTCCATTTTACTTCTATTTTTCGTCTCGGCCTCCCACTGTTCGGTAAATCACATCGATCACTAGTTGCTGGCCGCCCTTGTTTCTCCTTCGTTTGCGCGGAAACGACGAGCCGGTTTCTGTATTGAATCGAGGATGCGGGATGAGAAATGGTCAATGTAGCTCGAAGATATAATTGGAGACTCCAGACCATCAGTCGCACTTGTCTACCTCGAGTCGGACCGTAACCATACTTTCCTACAGCCCCTCTTAAGACGACGGAGCATATGTTGATGAAGGCGGACACCTGACCTCAGCTGCGAGTTGCCTTGACAGCAGTTTAGTCATGGCTGAGGCTCTTGATCCCCCTTCTGATGCTCAGCATGTTCAACGGCGCTCCTCTTCACAGACATCTTCGTCTTCCAGAAAAAGTCACAGAAACAAGCCGGCGCGAGCAAAGCCCCTCAAGCGCCTTTCTACCTCCTCCACCAATACGCCAACGGACCTGACGTCATTTCCTTCTCTTTCTCCTGATGCCTCCCCAGAAGGCTTCCGGGGCGAGCCTGCTCTGAATCATGCGTTGAGTCAAGCGTTATTGGCAGAAGATCATTCTCGTCCAAACGGCGATCGAGGTCGTAAAGCAACACTTGAGGGCTTAACGACGTCATTACCACAGATATCTGGCCGTAATGCTCTGTTTAGTGACTCGGTTACAACTCGGGATGTTCCGGGTTCACTCCATCTTGCTAATGACGACCATATTGAGCGCATCATTGCAAGGACTGGAGCTGTGAAATTGGTCCGGCAGTTTGCCAGGGATCTTGCGCTTCGTGATGCTGAAATCTCATCAATCCGTCTGCGCGCAGACGAGCGAGAGAAGGAACTAAAGAAAATGCTCCGTGAAGCGCAAATATCCAACCAGACAATAGAACACAGGCTCTACGTTCTCGAGAATCCCATTGCTAAGGCGATTGTTGATAATACAGAAGGCCTCAGCCCATTAAGTGGGGTGAGAAGGGTATCTCCCACAATTGACGATATGATGAGCCAAGCTATGAGTGATGATGTAGGAGCTCAGGTGCTGGACTCACCGCCCGAAGATGACACCAAGGGGTATGGCAATTTCTGCGACACAATCCGCCCCAACCGAAAAGATAGCGGTCCTCAACCTAGAAGCTCTAGTGCAGGGTCCATATCTCAGAAAAGGTCGTCTACTGCTTTACTTCGTGCCTGGCAGGGGTATGTCTGGGGAGGTGCTACTGTTAGTCGGAAGACCAGTAAAACGAGTAGCATGATGAGTGACTTGGACGAGCAGGATGGTTTGGACGATTTCACGCATATGCAGATCCAACCTGGGAATCGTCGGAAACGTTTAGATGAGCAACTTTTTCAATCCCTGGAGGAAATTTCACCCGCATTCGGCCCTAATGGCACAGGCTCGACAAACCCAAATAATGGAGATACCGCGAGTGTTAATTCTCGTCGTTCTTCAAAATCGTTCGCGTCATGGACCGTCAAATTGTTTGCTGGAAATCCTCACCCTGGAAAAGAAGGTGCTGAATCTGCAAGTGTCAGAAGTCACCCCTCTTCAACTGCTCCAAGTTCCAAGGCTAGGCAGTCCTCAGCCTCCGAGTCATCAAAACCTAGCGGCTCTGCAGTTGCAGCCCTAAAGCGCTTAAATAGCTCGGCCGCTGGACAAACGGGGTCCACAAAGGCATCTAGTGTTCGAGGTTCTAGAACCAACCTATCCGGTGTACGCCGGGATGGCCTTTCCGGTCCTAGAGAAATTGCTACACCTGAGTCCAAAACGTCGGATGGGAATCCGACTGCACTGGGCCCCGTGGAGATGGATCCTATATAATGTGGTGGAATTCCCCACCAACACTCACGCACATATATAAAAATTACCAGCCAGGGGAGTTTCTCACTGACCGGTTTGGTTTCATTTATGACCAAAGGAGGAAGAAGCGGCAGAAGGGATCAGATTCTCCCAACAATGATTCGTCGAGGATCAGCACCACGGAAATAATTAGTAGCTCACGGAGCGATCTGGATCTGAACATTGGTCTTCGCGCCGGCGGCACAGAGTCCTCCTTAGATTCAACGACAGTTGAGGATGCTGAAAATCCAAACATTCCTACCCGACGATGGCAAGATTATTTAAAAATTGCTACAAAGCCAACTGAACTTCTCTCACACACTCCGGAAGCAGGTACTATTGTTTCTGTGTCCAATGCTGCTGAACAGAAACCACGCTCGTCTTCTGTTGCTGTCCAAAAAGGAGGATCAATATCTGTAGTCAATGCCACTCCGCACGCCGCCGCACTTATGTCGCAGGTCGTGTCCAGCAATGCAGAGTTTGCGGGGGCAGGGAATGAAACGTCCGCTACGCTAGTACCAGTCTCGGAACAGGAGCCCGTTAAGCTACTATTGGAACGCCTCACCGAGCTCCACGATTCCCTGCAACGGGACCGTACAGTAAAGTGGAATGAATTTTTGAGGAAAGTTCGTGCGGAACGCCGAAAGGAAGGCGAATCCTCCGATCGACCTAGCGTATCCCTTGCCATGCCTGAAGTGTCACTTGCAGACGGAGAGATCGTAGGTATTACAGGTCTTGGTACTAAGGGTAAAGTCGGACGTGCCAAATGGCGCGAGTTTAGAAACCTCGTCATTGGAGGCATTCCTGTCGCGTACCGAGCGAAAATCTGGTCTGAATGCAGTGGTGCCTCCGCAATGCGGGTTCCCGGGTATTATGATGACCTTGTGAAGGGCAACACCAATCTAGATACTGATCCATCTGTCGTTTCCCAGATAGAAATGGATATTCACCGAACCCTGACTGATAACGTTTTCTTCCGCAAGGGTCCTGGAGTCGAAAAGCTTTACGAAGTCCTCTTGGCTTATTCTCGCCGCAACCCCGATGTCGGGTATTGTCAGGGTATGAATCTTATCGCCGGATCTCTACTTTTGATCATGCCTACTGCCGAGGATGCTTTTTGGATCCTTGCATCGCTCATTGAAAATATCCTTCCCGCCCACTACTACGACCATGGCCTACTAGCGTCGCGTGCTGATCAGCAAATTCTCCGACAATATGTAACGGAGATCCTACCTAAATTATCTGCACATCTTGACGAACTAGGCATTGAACTTGAAGCTTTGACCTTCCAATGGTTTTTGTCTGCATTCACCGACTGTCTGTCGGCAGAAGCATTGTACCGGGTTTGGGATGTCGTCTTCTGTCTCAATAACCCCGCCGCATCCGCTACAACGGCAGCATTGACCTTCCAGACCCAGTCCCACGTTCAAGCTCGCACAGACAGCGCTCAGGGAGGCACCGTTTCGACGACCAACTTGATTTCTAATCCTACCAATTCTCTGGTCGGATCTGCTGCAAATTCGGATGGTGACCGATTAGCCAACTACAGCGGTGGTGGCGGCACTTTCTTTTTCCAGGTTGCTATGGCGCTCCTCAAACTCAATGAACCGCAGCTTCTCACAACATGCTCGACGCCGGCGGAGGTGTATACTTACATCAATCATCAGATGACTAACCACGCAATCAGCATCGATGGACTCATACAGGCCAGTGAGGCTCTGAGGAACGTGATTAAGCGTGAAGATGTGTGTGCGAGGCGCTTTGCTGCATTGAGAGACATGAGGGCGGATATAATGGGTGGTCGGTATGCGGGGAGCATGAAAACAGAGGGCGACTCGATTGGAGGCACTGATGCACAGCAGCTCAAACAGCAACAAATTCCTGCATAACAGATTCTGCATAGACGTTCATTGTGATTGCATTTCCTTACTCGCATTCTATATTTGTATTCTCTCTCACTTTTTCCTTTTCATTTGCTGAATTTTTTATGACAAATATTTCATTTTAGGGATGTGAGATCACCGGCTTGAGGAAGGTAGAAGTTACAAAGACAATAGCGCGTTACTTCATCCCAGATAAATGGGAAGGCGGGCCATGGCATAACATATGACAAGAGACAGCTTGCACAACACTTCTTAAGATTTTCCTTTCTATCACTTCTCATACGACTACACAGGGATACTATTCCTTTTTCCTTTTTCTCCCTACCTAACTTGTCTTTCACTCTACCTGTTTTACTTATTCTTCTATCATAGCGCTGAGATACCCACTCCTTTATCGTTACATTCCTCCTGGTTTCCTAATTTTGGAGTTTCAGGCCTGGATCTCGTCCTTGTTTTGTTGTTATTCCATCATTTTATTATTCCAAACTTTTTTATTCTACTTCTCATATCGCCATATTCCCCGCTTCGCCCGCCACTTTCTGCCATGAAGGCTACTTTGGCATGAACGCCTCGGAGGAAGAAATTGCATGCCAGGAGTAGTTAGATACACAGAGCAATTGAATACGGTGGGACTTCTTTTCTGTATTCTTTTTGGAACACATCTAGAAAGGAAAACACAGCAACAGAATTAAGGGTAATGTTGCTTGTGAATGATGTCCGCTTATTTTTATTTCACAGTTGGTTATTGGTACAAGACAATGGAGGTGATGTTATGATATCTTTACATCCGAGGTGAATTACTTACAATCAACCATTGAGTCACTCCGTCATGCCACTCACTACTCTCACTTGTCCTCCACCGCCCCGTTGAATTCATCTCATCTCTTGCAACTTTTATCATAAAAGGGTTCTCCTATCCTTTTATCTTAAACCTACAGTTTCGTCCAAGTATCCGGTTAACTTACACCTCCAATCTTCCTACCTCAGATACCACACACCGACTGTCTTTTGTCGAGCTTACACTCGAGAAATATAAACTCCATATCCGCGCGATCACATTACCATGGCCTTCCTCAATCTCCCGTCAGAGTTAATCCTAAACATCGCAGACGAAATCCTAAATAACCAAGACCTCAGCAGCCTCTCTCAAACCTGTCGAGACCTCCACTCCCTTCTCACCAATTACCTCTACCGTCGCGACGCACAATCAGGCAATCCACAAGCTCTCTTCTGGGCAGCCTACAAGGGCCACGTCTCTACCGCCCGCAAAGCGCTTCCGCACGGCGCGAACATACATGCAAGGGACACCTCCACCACCTCATTCCCAAACCACTTCCCAGGCCAATCGCTCTCCCGACGATGGGACTCGTGCCCAACAACCCTCCACTTCACTCCTCTTCAAATCGCAACATGTTACCTGCGGGAGAGCATGGTTCGCTTTCTCATTCAACACGGCGCAGACGCCCATGGACCCTTCCCCGCCCACCACGATGGCTACCCGTTACATGTTGTGAGCAGCAACGGGCCCACCAGGCTCGTAAAATTGCTCTTAGAGAAAGGTGCCGAAGTTGACGTGCGCAATTCGAAAGGGTGGACGCCGTTGTATTGCGCCGTGAGGCGGCTTCTTTCTACCCTCACACCGGACAAGGAGATTGCAGCGCGCATACGGCTGTTGTTGGATTACGGTGCTGATCCGGACGCTGCAAGCAAGGCTGGGAAGTCGTCTAGGTTGTTGGCGAAGAAGTGTCGGGATCCGTATGTTCGGATGATGCTGTTGGGGGGGAAAGCGGCGAGGGTTAGCTTGTATGAAGCGAATTTGGAGGGAGCAATTAAAGAAAAGGGCAAATTGAATTGCGAGGTGATCAGTAAATTGGATAATGATAATGATATGGCTATGTCCGTGGCGCCATCGTCCGTGACGGAGCCGAAATGGAAAAGGACTCGAAAAAGGTCGCAGAAACAGAAGCAGAAGAGGAAACCAAAGACGCAGCTGGGAGGGGGGCATGGGGATATTGAAGGTAAAGATGCAGCTAAAGGAGTAAATATTGGGAGCCAGGTTTCGATGGCACCGGTACAAGTGGTCAAACTTGATGGCATTACCGCAGATGCTACCGCTCAAAGGCAACAGGCTTGGATCAAAATGCGTGCCGAAAGTCCTCGACGTGAATTGGGGCCAACAATGCACAATGAATTATTTCAACCTTTTAGCTGCTTGCATTCACATATTAGATTATTTAGGATAAAGAGAAAGATTGAATGTGGATTGTGCGGAAACACAAGCAAGCAATCCTTTCAATGCCCTGATTGTGAGGTTGTGTTGTGCTCCAACTGTGTTGAATGAAAAAAGTCTACGGGGTTTTTGAAAAACTTATATGGTTTTTTTTAAAATTCCTTTCTTTCGTCTTGCTTTTAGTTATTTTTGAAAAAAATCAAAAGTTTCCATCATTATTGGGTTTTAATCGCTGGGTTCACTTGCCTCAACATTTCCGACGATGGTGCCTTTTGATAAATATCCCAGGCGGACCTAGGACCTGTATCCGGATTTCAGATATTTTTTACCATAGAATTTGAGGGTACGCGGGTTGCTATAAAAAACAATGTATTTTTTCTATTTCGTCCATCTATCCTAGTGAACTCTTATATATATCTCTGGAGGAATTCTAGGAGAATTTGTTTCTGATCTGATCTGGCGTGATCCAAAGGGAGAGCGTGGATAGACGGCAAAATAAGAAGAAATAGTGTGGAATAGGGCAAACATGAACGTGGTGATTGATCCTAGTATCGTCAACAACTAGTAGTATATATCACCATCCCGGTAACATGCCCGCATTTGAAGTGCGTTGCAAATTCTTCAATCTCAATTCTAGGCTCACATTCTCATCCTCCATTCTATGCAGCTCCCGATGCAGTGCCTCATTCTCTGACCGAAGCTGCTGCAATCTCTGCGCCGTTTTTTCACGGAACATTCCATGCTCATCAAGGAGTGCCTCCATCTTATTCCAACCCATACCGGTAGACGCCACAGACGAGCGCCGCACTTCAGCCAGTTCTTCCTCCTTTTGCCGTAGTTTGCTTTCCAGCTCATCAACTGCAGTACGCCATGCTTTGTCCGTCGTGGCGCGGAATGCGGTATTCTGAGTTGCAGCGACGAGTTGGCCCATGAGATCTTCATTTGCTTTTTCAAGCTCGAGCGCCCGCTGCTCCAGGGCTGCGTTCTTCGCAGCTTGGAATAGGTCTGATGTATCTCGTCGCTCAATCGAGATGCTGCTCTTGGGTCGTCGGGGGGGTGTCAGTTGTCCTTGTCCACCGGCTCTTTCTAATCTCTCTATCTTACGTATTGCCTCACAGAGTTTACCACGCAGCACAATGACGTTATGTAAATCGTCGTCGCGCAGCTTTCGGAATGCAGCATGCTCGCGGCGTTCTTCTGCTAGTAAGACACGGACTTTCCTGAGGTTCGCGACATCTTCGTCTCGAATTGCGAAAATAGCTTCATGTCGTTTAGCTGTTGCGGCTTTCTCTGCCTCCAGGATTTTGACCCTTTCCCCCAAGGCTTCATATTCTTCCTGTGAAACGGATATGGTTGGGTTTCCTTGCTCAATAAAGATAATTTTGGACATTAGGGATGAAAGTTGTTTTTCTAGGGGCCCAGGAATTCGAGGAGGCAGCTCTTCATCCTCAGGAGCGGTGGAATCACTGTCCCCTTCTGATCTATGATCTCGTGGAGTGGGTGTTTTCTGGGGAAATTCAACCTCATCCGGCTCGCCTGCTGATTGCTTCGGATCTTCAGAGAGAGTCTGTTTGAGGGGCTTTGGGTGATATTGCGTGCTTTGCGCAATTAGATTCCGCGGTTCCTGCAATTCCGCTGCTTGTATGCCCGCACTTTCGAGCTTCAGTGACAAACGGTCCTGCCGTTGCCATAGCCCAACCTGTGTTTCTTCATTTCCAATCGTCTCACTACTACGATCAGAATCATAGCCTCCCGAACCACGAGAGTCTACCGACATCGACCGAGCGGATAGCGACCGCACAGAGGGTGTTCTGGCAATGTTCGTATTCCACATCGATTGTTATGGGCGGTATAAGCAGGATTGAATAAAGAGCGCAAGAAGAAGTGAAAAGAAGTCTAGTAGTAGAAGTCTCTAGAACTCAAAATACTATCCACAATCAGTAAAAAGTTGGGGAGACCCGTGTAGAAGTAGCTGTTGGCTGTGTGTCCCCTGAGCTCTCCGACAAATTGCCGAAACAAGTTGATACGAAGAGAAAGAACTGTAACATTATTTTGGAGTCCATGATACAGTTGTCGTCCAACTAGGGTAAAGAGCATGGGCGGCAATCCCTTATCAATTTCCTCGCTTCGTCTCAGGCTGACGGGAGGGAAAGTGGGGTGTCGAGTTTCCAGGAGGTTGAGACATTGGCGGTGTCATCTCATCTGGTTTGTATGAAGCGAACGCTCGAGCAACGACCGAGCATATTTTTGATACCTGAAAGCTGCAGGTGGTTTGCTATGTTGTAAGAGCATACGGTTTAATCCAAAGTAAATGAAACCTAGTTGTGCGTAGATGCATATATTGAATGAGGTTCATTGCATCTACCAGGCCCCCCCACCCACGCTCATGGATTCAAGTTATCATGGATGTCTCAACCTAGTTTAGAATTAGTCCTATGGGCTTCATGTTGCGTTGCCCTACGAGGGTCAAAAAACAACTTTCGATCTCCCGATATATTACCACTATTTTCGAACTAAAGAGTCAAAAGCCTCGGGTTTTATAGAACGACTTCTAGGTTGCTGTGCATGATGTCATTGTTAAAAGTCACAACCAGTGTCACAGCTGATTGTTCTTCGGCATATTTCGGCAGAGTGTTATATTTTAAATTGACATGTTATGAAAGTGATATCTATGAGTCGAGATGCACGAAAAAGAAATAGTAAAATATACAAATTCTATCCAGATATCAAGTGAGTACAGACAGATAAGGAATGAAAAATACTAGTAGGAAGAGGCTGCAAGAATGCACAGTTCTCAAAAGGGTGAAGCCTAGGAGCGATGGGTATATATAAACGAACTCCATATACAGAAACATAATGATACAAATAGAAGATGGGCCAACCAGCGCATATTAGGGTACATTTAGGATCCAATGTATGTTACACACTCACTATTTATTCACTTTGAATTTCTTCTTAATATCCTCTTCAGTAAATCGACGTGTTTTGGTCCTAAGCATTGTAGCGATCTCGTCCATGGTCATATGGACTTGATCACCAATGGGAACGAGACATTTTGCCAAGTGCACATAGTCCTTCTGCATCAGCTTGACTGTTAACATGATATAATCAATGTTATGGAATACCAGCGCAAACTCTTCAGAGTAACGCTTTTTCTGCTTGAGGAATGCAACTGGGTGTTCCCGCCAGTGCCTCAGAGGGTTGAGGTGGTGAGAGGTGTGATAGCCGTCATTGAAACAGAAACGGTTGCTCTATGTGTATAGACTTTAGCATAAACTTGGGTGAAAACAGAATGGAAAGTACTTACGGCAACATCTATTAGAGTGATACTTGAGCGAAAGTCGGAATCTGGATCCATTTCATCCACAAAGGCATGTTGGCCCCAGTTGCCGACCATCAATCCCACTCGTAATTGCAAGAGTGGGAGCGCAAATACGAACAGTGTAGCTTTCCAATTAACTTTGAAAAGGAGGAAAATAGCAAGGTAATTTGAAATTTCCCAAAATGCAGCTTTTATAGCTAATCTCGTCTTTGACGTGCGGAGAAAGTACAATGGTAGCTCCAGCCAGATAAAGAACATGAATCTACCAACGTAGCATAGGAAATCACCGAGGTCGTCCCGCTGATAGCGAATGGTGGAAGAGAGGTCGCTAGGACCGTTGCCTTCGACATGGTGATGTTTGACGTGATGATAATAGTACGAGTTCCAAGTGTGGCCCATCAGCGGATTTGTGATGTAGGGAAACAACGTATCAAGCCATGAGTACTTCCGAGCAAGAATTCCTCCCATGTGAATGTGTTGGTGCATCATGAGAGTATATGTTCCCACGTAATAGGATTGCATGATCCAGTGAAAGACTCCATGGACCCAATTGAAGTGGTAAAACAGAAAAATGGCGCTTGGAACGGATGTAGCAAAGTATAGGAGGAGATGCGTTAGCATTACCACATCTGTTTCGACACGGACAATCCTCCGGCCAACGTTGACATACGGCCGCAATATATATTCATCAATAAGGTGGGGGAGCTTGATATCTTTGAAATCCCACCCAACAAAGATAGTTGGTTCGAAATCTTTGTGCTGAGGATTGTTGAATGCAGACAACGTTTCAACTGTGGCATTGCTGGCTTCGAGACAGCTGGATTCAGCGGGTCCATTTTCTTTAAAATCCTATTAGAACAGTATGAGATGCAATCCAGCTAAAGATTCTTACTGTTGGACCTCTGTCTCGTTTCACATTCATCGATACCGAGCGTATCCGTTCCGCTTGGTCCACTTCCCAGAGATGCCACAGCTTGGCTCCTTAGCATGGAAGCATCGCCAAACAATTCCTGGAGGACTATTAGATCTGACCGTGTTAAGTTAGGATCTATAGTATCCATGATTGAAAGAGAGGGATAGTAACTGGAAAAATCGACTCGCAAAAACAAACAAAAAAAAATGAAGAGCAAATCGAAAAAAAAGGGATATACACGCAGAGGAGCTCATCCAAGCGGGAAAAAAAAAGACAACGGGCCGGATAAGGCTATTTTTGCACGCCGGCAGACTTAGTCCTGGCCATAAATTGTTGGGCGATTGGATTGGTTCGTGCCCTCTACCCTCGGCATTCAAGTGATTTGCTTCGTAAGAAAATAGAGGGCTTGATCAAGCATTTTTCCTTCCCTTTTCCCCTTTCGGCGCAGCATTTCAATAGCCCCCGGCTGCCGGGAAGGCTAGTGGCAGGCCCTTGAGCACAATGGTTGAATATTAGGCGGCAAAACAAGTTCGTGCTGCATGCTTCTGCCCAGGCCGTTTGGCACTTTGACAGGACGTCAGTGGCCCCAGGATGACATTGTCTTGCTTGGTTGTTATTTGTTTGTGCACTGCTGGGCTGGCTGTCAAAGTTTGTATTGGAGGATGGAAAATTAAGTCTTGCACAGGCTAGAAACTTATGTGGTAAGCGTGTCATAAGGTGGCAAGCCCCCATTTTTTGGCTGTCAAATTAGGCACCAAGGCCTCATAACTTCTGCGATGAGCACTGGATATATTTTTGAGCTCTGTATTGAGATTTCCATTTATATTTCTAGTGCGTGCAAGGACTTGTTCCCGCGACCTCCGTACAGATCTCTATCCAGGCTCACTCTTCTCTCATCAATTCGATTTGGAGAGACTCCTGGTCTTTTTCAAGAAAGGATGCAAAAAGGCACTTTGGTCATCCTGAAGGCAGCGAAAATTAAAATTGAGCACTCCGTAGCTTCGAAATCTTCGTGCCAGAACACAAAACATGGGGTCTACATTACCGTGGGCGTTCAGATTATATCCTAAGAACTGGGACTTGTTTTGTTGTGCCTATGGATGGAAAATTTGAAAATTGTTGCTAAAGATTTGATAGTGGAGTACACTAGCAGAGTCCGTGTATAGATTCACGGCTGGAATTGACATAGCGATGTAATAGGTTTGATTTTGACAATAGATCTTACAAAATGTACTGGGTTTCCTGAGGCGAATATTCATCGTGGGTATAAGAACGCTTGCTTTCGAATAAAAAACATCCAAAACATATATTAGGAATCCCCGAAAATCTACTGAAATACGTATACCATTCCCCCACGATCGACGCTGATAGCCATCCCATACGGAACTTCCAAGAGGGCAACATCAAGAATGGAGTCAAGATGACTTTTCAAAAGTTGTTGCTGTTGTAGGCTGATTACCGTACTTCGGGGAGGACGGCTGGAAGCAGTGGGTCCAGCACTCGAAGCCTTGTCCCCACGCTTTTTTGTAGAGCCCTGCCCTTTGCCACCGCCATTAGGAGAAGTTGCAGTCATCGGCACCCACTCAGTGGTGATGGATAATGAAGGAGTAGGGTGTGTTGTGTCGTATCGTGGTTTCTGGGCGATCCCGTCAGGCACTACTCCCAATCCACTAATTATCATTGAAGCATCCGGATGTGTGGTATCCCAGAAGCGAACTTTCCTATCCGATCCACCAGATATTAAGAATCCGCATTTAGATCCTTCCAGGCTATTCTCAGGTACGTCAAGACCGACTGCAATGGCCCGGATGCCACCGTAGTCGCTGCTGCTAGATGAAGGGAAGATGGCCCCATTTCCAGCACTTGGCTCAACGCCAGCAGGCGACGTAGGATTGCCAGCAAATCGCCCGAGCATACCTTCGGGGCGATCTTCATCAACACGCCAAGGTTCATAGTTCTTCCAGCTAGTATCTGCTGCCAGGTGGATATTTTTCCGTATGCTGGGGTTGGGAACGTCGTCAGCTGCATTAGCCTTATTGGCGGGTGCCGACGATGTCCGGTAAACCTCTCTGCATTGAACCTTATCAATATCCCATACCATAATTTCAGCGTCGCTGCTGCCTCCTACTACGCATACCCACCTCCCTCGTCCTTTAAGCGGGTGTATAAGCAACCTATGAATAGGGGTTCCAGCGGGAAGGCCCCATGATTTCACTCGTAAGCGAAACCGAAGATCCCAGAGGTCAAGGATACCATGCGATGTACCGAGAAGGAGCCAGTTATGCTTCCTGTCCAAACAGAATGTCGTGGGAGTTCCATGATGGATTGCATTTTCCAGGGTGTACAACAAGGTCATCGTTTTTAGATCTAGTGCGTAAATTCGACACTTGTTTGTGGCAATAAGAAGGATTGAATGGGCCTCAGATCGATAATGTTCCATCCAAACGGCGTATTCGCCAACAATATTTGAAAGGTAAGACAGGTTATATTCGCGGACGACTTGCGGTTTGCCGTAGCGAACAGCATCATTGATATTACGATAATCGATCCTAACGGCATGAATACTCCCGTCCGTAGCTGCGGAGACAAAGGTATGAGTGTTTTCAATGAAGGTAACACATTTTACTTTCGCACCACTGTTGTGACGGTGAGTTTGTCGGGAACGTGGAGTTACGTTTTTTTCCAGTCTTGTGGTATCCCATATTTTCAGCGTCCCATCGTCTGACGCTGTGACGAAAAATGCGTGATCTGGAGCAACGACAACGCGGTTGATGGATCCGCTATGCTCACCGAACATTGCAACCAGATTTCCTTGGGGCCTCCAAGGCTTATCTGGCGACTGGAAACTGGCTTTCTTGATAGGATGATGAGCGCTGACCGGAGAAACTGTAGGTCCGAAATCATATAAGTCTATAGGGTAATTCTCAGCAAATACTGCATCTAGAAGTTTTAGTATTGTCGGGTCGTTGCCGCGATATGTGTGGTTTGTGCGATTTTGTTGTGGTACTTTTGCTGGAAGGTTCGAGTGATACGCCATCGAAAGCGGTGACGGCAAGTGCTGTTCTCTTTGGAAGGGAGCGTCTACTTTTCCGAAGGCGTTTGTTGACGTGGTGGAAGTTTCGGCATACGCTTTTGCGGTTTCATTACGGTTGAGAAGGCTTATAGCCGAAGGCCGGCGATAGACCTCACCGCCTGGGAGGGCTACCGAAAGGTTGTCAGGATCGATGCGCTTCAATGAACGATCGCGTGCCGATGGAGGTTGTGGTCGGTGTCGATGAGTGACATCCCTGTGCTCCACATCTGATTGGGATCTTGAAGAATCCTGTGATCCAACTGGAGGGGTCGGTGACAACGATTCAGGCGAAGCTGGGTCTCGGATATTTAGTTGCACTCTAAGAGAACTTCCACTTTCCATCCGCCCACTGCCCCTTGGTATGAGATTTTTACGGCGCGATCCAGGAACGGAATCAATTGTTGTTGAAGCGTCAAGAAGTGCATCAGCAATTGTATGAACTTTTCTTTCGCCAGCTGGTGCTTTCGATTTGTCAGGCGACGACCGTCGTTGTGGCAAGTCTTGATGTTTTTCAAAAAAGACCGTTTGCAGAGTAACACCGTGCTGACTTAAGGATATAATGTGGGACAAGCCGGGATTTGAGCTGGTATCTCCTTCCTTTGCTCGTCTTGTGGCAACTCGCCATATGTATTCCTTGAGAGCTAATAATTTGAATTCGTCCTCCTGGGTCATACCAATATTCCTTAAGCGAGAAAGCCATTGTTCATCTTCGTCATTTTTTGTGATCGCGCTCGATGAGCCACTGCTGCCACGCTGCCTTATCTTTCCAGCACTTGACGTACGTGGGCTGCCTAGATCAAACGTCCCGTCTCGAGTAGCGGCCTTCCAAAAGATACCTTTCTCTGATTTAGTTACCCATATCAATAACATATCGTATACGCTCTTGGAGAGTGGCTTTTTCAGTGCGTCCAACAGCTGAACTTCAGAGATGTTTGTTGTGTTAGTTTTGAGAAAGGGACGAACAAGAGGTGTTATAATGGAGTACGTATCGGCCGGAGAAAGGAATGTTGTTGAAGTGACAACAAAATGGACAGCCGCTTCGCGTATCCATATGCTAGGGTGGATAAAAAATCGTACTGCAATATGGAGGAGGTCCCACGTCGTTGATCGCTGAAATAGTCCCAGTTTGGCCATACGAGCAAGAGAGCGAAGAACTCTCTCCACAACGAACTCTTCTGGATCAGTCATAGATTGGACCATGAGAGGTAAAATAAACTCTTCCAAACTTGTGCTTCCTACATATGTTGCGACTCCAACCACTGCCTCAAAAAAAGCACATTTGAGTATCCAATCTTTATCATTCAAATACGTATTCAGGTGACTGAGAATCACCTCATTTGCCTTCGGATTGCCGAAGAAGACACAAAGACTGGAGACTGATCCAAGGAAGGCACGACGAACAGAAACATCATTGTCTGTAAGTAGAGCTTTCGTATGAGTTTCGAAGAATTCTAGGAGATCAATTCGAGCAACATCATAGAGATTATGATAAGATACATCTTCGGTCCAACCTTTTTCTGTGCTTTCAGGAACAAGCGACCCAAGGCGTATATCTGAGCGCAAAGCCTGAATCATATCTAGCACCCGAAGGGAAGTTTGTGCAAGTGAAGCGATGCAGGATGCATATGCCGCCCTAACAATAGGGCTAGGATTTGAATTGGGACCAGGTACAAAGGGCTGTAAGCGGGGAAAGATATACTCCGGGAAGATGTAAGCATTAACTGGAGAAACTACCCGGACCATCGCTAGAAGTTGGGTCAGCGTCCGAATAGCAGCCACTTTGACCAAATCTGAGCGATCCGTAAGTAAAAACATCACAAAAGGCAAAATCCTGTCGAGCTTCGCTTCGTCAGGAACCCTTTCAGCGAAAGCTAACAGGATATCACAGGCTTTCACTCTAGCGGAGGCCTTGGCGGTATTTCGGAGACTTGAAACAACAAGTGTGAGAAATATCAGTGTTCCATCATTCGAATCTGACTGAGAAGTTAGAGGTTGATTGCCATGGTTCGGCAAATCGAGTTGAAGGGGGAAAATAGGATAGTTAAGTGTTGGAAGAGTAAGATTTGATCCATCAATAGCAGGTTTGACATCAACGCCAAGAAAATAAGATATCTTGTCAAAATCCAAAAAGGTTTTGTTAATTCGTTCATCAGCTTCTCGCAGATCACCGGGACTAAGCTCAAGCCGGGCACGACCAGACGAAGGGTCAGTAATGAGTCCCATGTATTGGTGAAGAAAACTGTAAAAATATTCAGGAAATGCCTTGTGGCGCCAGAAATTGAGGCATTCCTCCGCTGAGTACCTGGATTCGGGGTCGACGCGGATCATATGAACAATCAGATCCCTTATATCTGGATCTTCAATCTTTGACAGGTGGCTATGTTCCGGATCGTATTCCCCCTTTCGGTATTTATAAAGTTGACTGAGCGTAAAGATTGGCGACTCAAGAAATAACTCAGCAATCACGCAACCAGCGCTAAATATGTCCATTGCCCAGTTTACTCCTCTACTCTCTGGCTCTTCACCGGCTATGAGGAATCTTTCGGGGGCCAAGTAACATGTCCGCCGGCCAGAGGTATCAAAATAGAATGAAAAATCGGCCGGATTATCTTCTGGAAGGAATGTCGGCTTAAATGACGACGAAAAATCCGACAAGTATAGCCAGTTCCAGGATGTCACAAGCAAATTTTCCGTTTTTATATCTCCGTGGTAAACGTCATGGGAATGGCAATCGCGGAGGGCGGAAAGCAGTTGGTAAGCTAACCATTTCTTCTCGATATCCTCAAGGAATGGGCGTGTGCTTCATAGGGTTAAACAGGGGCTGTCTACATCAGGAGAATCGGAGATCAAACATACCTCATACGATCGTATAGTGAACTGTGGATATATTGACGAACTAGATAACCACCAGTCCCGGTCTCAAGTATCCGCTGATACCCTAGGGCATTAGGAACATCTTCCAGTATATCTCGTTCATCTATTGGAATATGGTTAGATTGCGCTAATAGTTGTATCATAGAAATTTAAACATACGTAGAAGGGCCTTGACATATGGGTCCAATTTCATGCTCGGATACGGTTTCATTATCACTTTAACGAAAACGAGACCATTTCTGTGCCTAGCACGAATGCTCTTCATGAACCTGGCGGTTCCCAAGGACTTTTCGTATACGAGGTCCGCGAGCTCTGGGACGTCGATGCCCGCAGAGCCAGCGGAAAGCGTGGTAAGGGAATAGCCCTGGCCCATAATGTCTTTCGGAGATCAAACTCTATCATGACAGTAAATCGCAAACTGATGGCATGACAACTATCCTCTACTTGGCATATCTTGGGTAAAAGAGTTTCCTTATATGTGGGAATGATCCTGAAATAGAAGGCCTGAACTCCAAACCGCGGCAGAGACCTGTCACGATGAACCGATGTCGTCGTCGGCGTGAGCAGACGACGTTGAGCGAGAGATGAAAGAGAGCTTGCCCTATGACGTTCTGGAAGGTCTCGTTGGATGATTAGATAAGCAGAGAATCACGTGGTGTTTAGGTGTTGTCTTGTGTTGGGGGTTTTGGATTGGTTCGTCCCCTCTACTACGAGCGTGGTGTGAGAGAGCTCTTTTGCCCCAGTGGCCTAACAGTCCAGATTGCCTGTAACGGAATGCAACAAGTTGTTTCGACGCAGTATACTATCCATGAATAAGATTACATAGCATAGCCTATCTTGAGTTTGAGGTGAAAAGCGAATTGCAGTATGCCCAGCTTGATAAATGTCTATAAGATTTATTTTTGAACTTGCACTGGCTTGAATCTTCTTGGAATCGGCTAAGATTGGAACAAATCGCGCTAACCTTATTTTAGAATGCTTCAACGACGCGTTCTCCTGTCAACTGGCCTAAATACTATCTTGCAAAAGCATCACTGAGTGAACATTTGTATAGATCATAATATGTTCGTTAGGTGTTTCTGCCTCTATTGGTTTTCTCTTTATAAGTGTGGATAATAAATCCGAAGGAATGCGTATATTGGTGATATTGGACAAGCTGTAATGACACGTTGCCAATGCATTTTTGAAAGAGGCAAAATGAGCTAACACGTAAACGTACCAGTTAACAAGAGTAAGTATTAGAGACAGAATGAGTAAAGTTTTGGGATATATTATATTGCCTTTCGGAGTGTTGAAAACCTTCCGTGTTTGAGTTAAGATTGACCAACCTTGAGACATCGAAACAATCATGTGCCCTCAAGTTTTGTCGATTACACAACCAGGCAATGATGGATTTGAGATCCCCAAGATTTCTGCTGATGAGCCCATTGGGTCAATGATCCGGAAGCTTTCGAAGTGAGTGACAATTGCCAAAATTTTGAACCGTAAGATGTAGACTGACATGATTCCAGGTACATCATTCAAGCGATTCCAGATACACCGTATAGTTTTGACCAGATGCGGGGAACAGCAGCAGGGTCCCCTTTAAAGAAACTAGCAATATCTCTGGCTGACGAAGTACATAACCCTGCTCTTATCAAAGCTCTAATGTACGAACACATTCATAATGCAGCTATTTGAGAAGAATTGACCTAACGAACTGCAGGATTTTAAAATGGCATTTTTGTAGCCAGGAAGATGGTTATTGGGGTCTTAACGAGAGTCGAGGATTTGCGTGTGAATTTGTTGCCTGGCAGTTTTTAACATACCTAACCCCTAGGGATATCATTGAATATCTGCTCGATGAACTTCCGGACACATGGACCCTGCCAACATCTGAAGTTGGTATCCAAAGCTATGTTGAAGAACCATTCAGCACGCGCAAAGCAGACTCAAGTCAAGATGACTATGAATGCAGACCACTATTATATCACGCTAGACCTTTTTCGCGTCTTTTTGGTTATGGAACAAGAACCGTTAAGAATTCGCAGCGAAGCAGCTATAACACCGGTGCAAACCCTTCGGGATCTGAATTCGAATCTGACGAATATGGCATATTTGCCGGTTTTAATGCTCTGGAAATCGCGATAATTGCAAACGCAAAGAAGTTCGTATCGCAGACAGTGGTCCAGGAAGTGGTCAATGGGATGTGGACGGGAGAAATAATATTGTGGGATACTTTGAGCGTTCATTCAAAGAAAAAACCACAGCTGTTCCACAAAAGGTATGGAGATAACCGTTTCGAACACAACGCCGTTCAAGCTAAACGCCCAGCGTTTCTGACAACTTGGACCTGAAAGAATGACCGATCCATATTGCCGATTGCGGGTCCCCGTCTATCGCAAAACCTTCGAGGCTGTGTTTTTCTTGTCATTTATCGCTTTGTACTACTATGTTCTGATGGCTAGGGACCCTCTGCGAATCAGCCCCGTCGAAATATTGCTGTATATTTGGATTTCCGCATTTGCATACGACCAAATTGGCGGATTATCGGATACTGGGATCATGTTCTATCAAAAAAATTTCTGGAGTCTATGGAACCTAGGAATAATTGGAACAGGGTTTACATTTCTTATTGCTCGTAAGTTTACCAGGCACAATCCTGACTTGCCCGGTGGATTGCATCTTCTGGGATGCCTTGGGTACTCTTGCCCTCTGAAACCCCGTTGTGGCGTAGTAGTATTCATAGTGATGCCAAAATCAGTAGCCCTGCTTGACATGAATCCAATTGATCAGAAACAGCCAGGGCCTCTCTGCTAACGGGGTTTTCCGAAGGTATCATCGGATTGAGTCAAGGAAATGCATATATCACGGACACTTCTTTCGATATCCTGTCGCTAGAAGCATTATTTTTGGTTCCGAGGCAAGCTCAATGTTTCATCTAAGTGCACCGCCACTATTGCTTGCATCTAATAGGAATAACAGGGTCTGCTCCTTGATGAGCCTGAATTCTTACTTTGGTAGCTTGGTTAGTAACTCCTCAGCCACACAATTTTACGCACCGGATGCATGTGTACTGTTACTGATTATGCATAGATACCCGTACTCAAGGAAATGGTACATGATTTTCCACACGCCTCAACTAGGTCATCTCTGGTGCTAACGCCATGAGCGGGCTTAGACGAAGGCCCTCCTAAAGTTTCTCCCTGTGGTCGCGATCCTGTATATTGGTATGGGTGTTCGTTCCTGGTCCGCTATTCCGTCATGGACTGAGTGGAAATCCCAGTCAAGGCGGTCACTAACTACTCCACCAACATGCACTCAGGCTTTCTCACCACTTTCACGATGTTAGCAAGGGATCGATTGACACCGCTGGAGATGTCATGGATTTTAGTCAAAGCCTTCTTTGGGTAAGGCTGCTAAAAGTTTCCCTAAAATTGGTGAGGCTTGCAACGGCAATGCTAACGGAATCGTATCAAATGTGATATTGAATAGGTTGGATGCACGTGGATTTGTAAGTTGTTCTTGCACCAGTGTCCTCGCCAAGCATCGACTACTCCATGCAAAACAGCAAGTGGCTGAAATCATTGGATATTAGGACATCGCCCACGATGTAAGCCCCTTGCACTCCCGCGGTTGTTGCTGCAGCCCAATTTGAAATCGCAGGGATTTCCAAAATATCGATTGGCTATCGCGTTTAGATGTTTTTGACGCTAATTTCTTTAGATTTCGCCTCTTTTCGGCTATCCCCTTATGTAAGCCTGCCGTTCCCATCCTGCACATCTGCGCATCTGCACCGGATCACGTTCAAGACAATCGCATTCCCTCCCCCCCCGGCAGCACCAACATTGGCCCTGGCGGGCCGCTTTTGCTCCGTGGTGCTACGTTGGCCTATCGATTTCTTTGTTCTTTCAATTCATATTCGTTATTTTACCTTCACTCACACCTGCAGCTTTCTTCGGCCAACTTGTACCGGATAGTGACTGGCCGGGGTGTCCGTTTGTGCACGATTTTCTAACTCAATATGTGCATCTAGGTTGGTATTCGTCTGCATGACGAACATTCTCTTGATATCTTCGGTTACGAGTTTAATGAGCTTGAGCCTAACAGAGGTATGTCAGTCCTTCCGTGGCCAGACACATGCGGATTGAAGCCGCTAACTAACCTGTGTAGATTATGGCCCATGCTCGAGAGGAATATTTCTTCCAGTAAGTTGCCCTACATGATTTAACTTTTGCCTCATTAATTGCGCACCGCCCCCTCCACCCCACGCAACTCTGCTGCTAACTTGCGTTTAAACTCTGCGTAGACTGTCCGTTTATGTACTAGATAGTGGTAACTCCCGGCGCCTAACTTGCTTTCTGCCCCCACTTGTCAGTAATAAATTGACAATACCCTTGTATTAGCTGCCGATATGTGTGACAGTAAGACTGACATCGTTTGCTGCAAGAACCTGATACCGCTTTTCTGCATTCGCCCTCTCCGGCTATTCTTATCAAATGAATCGATCCGCCGAGTCCGTATAGTCCTGTTGAAGGTAACTCACTCGCCATTTGTGGGCATCATTCTTGCATATGAAAGTAGTAGACGCTATGTCACTCGGAAGAACCGCCCTTCAGTGGCAACTTCGTCATCTCTTTCCCCTGCGGTAAGTCAAAAAAGAATTACGGCGCACAAAGTGTCACTGTGTCGTCCTCAAGGCTTTTCTCGCCCTGCGCCTTTGCCGGTGAGAGAAAGAGTGCCTACGACTCCCAGCCATGTCCTAAGTGGAGGAGATCCGGGACCGACCGCGGGCCCAGTTCGTCTGGCGGATGTGGTCCAAACTATGGATGGCCTACGCAGCTAAATCGAACAGTTAGCTGCAGCTGTTTCTTCCAACAAGGGCCATTGAAAGTGCAGCATTTCCACAATGCAGCTCTGGTTAAAAGACCCTATGTCAGAAACGAGGGCAGGTATTTAATGTATTTTCAATGTTCTTTGTAGGTTGGGAAAATAGGTTCCTGGGTTGTTAACCTGGATGAGGCTGCGTTGTGGCTGTTGGTTCCGGAATTTTCCACGCACATCCCATCCACTTGTTTTAATAGCCACATTTGCGAATTGATCCGCTTGTACACGCCTCGCGCCTCATTCCTCCCCCAGTAGATCTCCCGCATATACCTCGCCTACTTACACCCTCGCCGTCAGGCCAAAAGGGGCTCAAGCAGAAGGGCATCGTGCTTGATCTAGGCAAGGCTTATAGGGACTCATTGACGCCCGAACCGATACAACCAAGAACCGACTGTGCCTGTTGCGTTCGTTTAAACCTCCCTTATTTGTTCAAATCACTTAGTGCTGCCCAGGATTGCGTCCAACTAAACCGTTACAAGTGCTCAGACTTGTAAGACTGGATGCATGCGCAACCACTCTGTCGGGTTCGCCTATTCCAATTTGGGATCCATCATTGCCGTTCGAATTCTCTGGCTGATGCACATTCCTGGAGCTGTGGCAGGGCTTTTTTTTTTTCCTTTTTGTTTTCGTTTTCCGTTTCCTTTTTTTTTTTTTTTTTAATTTTATTTCGTTCTATGCAAGATTTTCGTCACGCCATCCCCCGACCTCGATCGTGCGTCCCTCCCTCACTCCACATGCCTTGGTACCTAATCATGACCCTGATGCACGGCCGCGGTTATCTGGCCGTTGGGTTCGCTGCCCTCACATAGGTTTTCTTTTTTCTAATTCCTTTCCCAAATTCTGCCTTGCTGGCATTTTGTGGTTGGTATTTTTTACTTTTCTGGTTACGCTCCGTATGGAACACCCGTTCTTCAAGCCAACTTTCGACAGTCTTGAACCCTGCAATACATCATGACCTTTCATTCATTAATGGAATGTAGAAGAACGGTTTTCGGGTCAACCAACAAAAGGTGCATTGTTTTATATGAGGCTTGTTGATCTCCAACTTTTTCTGAAATATATATCCCAGCGCCCCTCTTCAATTCTTACTTAGTTATTCACGCTTGATGTTTAATACATTCTTTCCTTATTTTGCGATACTCGTTTAATTGACATCATATACATTGTACTCAAGGAAGGCCATCTGTGGTGATTGAGTTTGTTGATCTCAGTTATGGACCTTGTCCCTAGGTCTCATGCCACGCTCTCCCCGCATTTTTGTTCTACTCCTGGGCAATCCATGGTTGCGAATATCTCCCCATATCCTACTCTTCCACAAAGCTGCGAACAAACCGAAATCGTCCCAGAACACTCACCGATAGCTATTGGGCTTGGCATATTCGGTAGCCCACAAATGTCGATGTGCTCGTCTCGGCAATCGATACTCCAACATTCTGAAGGATGGCAACGTGGATGCCAACCAAACAGTGCTTTCTCCCCCATAGGGGTGATGTCGGGACTACCTTCGTTTGAGGAGGGTCACTTAATGCTACAAGACACCGCGCAACACCATTCGGATGCTTCAATGGTTTACTCTAACCCTACACACTGCGGTATGGCTAGTAATGCTATGTTCCAGCGATATGTACCTCAATACAACGGCGGCTTTCACTACCCAGCGGTTCCCACTATGAGGCAAGAACATCACTCAATTATAATGCAACAGCGGCAGAGGCAGGTTAACTGCTCGGGTCCTCAGGACTTGGAACAAAATACCGGCGCTCACCCTTTTGAGTTGGACAATAACGCGGAGAATCAAAGCGTAGAGAATAATAACATGCAAAGACCCGCAACAAATAACAAGACTCCTCGGGCCCCTTTACGGTCGTCACGCTCACATGCGACAGTGTCTCAAGTAGACCAAGCAAGGAGTCAACCATTCGGTGTTAGGAAACAGTCAAAGAGAAGAGCCAGTGGAACCGACACGAAGTTTGAGTGTGAGAAATGCGGGATGCGTTTTACCAGGAATTCTAATTGCAAATCGCATATGAAAATCCATGATCCGAATCGAAAATTGCCTTTTAAATGCACTTCACCCGGGTGCACCAAAAAGTTCGGCCGAAAAACTGACCTTACTAGACACGAAGATAGTGTATGTGTTTTTTAATTGAATCCGGCTTTTGTCTCATTGACGGAATTGACATCTGTTTCCAGGTTCATAAGAAACTACGGCAATTTGGTTGTGATCAGTGTGGCCATCGGTTTGCGCGACAGGACACTCTGCGAAGGTGTGTTAGCTCCTAATAAAGGTCCATTTTAATTCCTTTCACTATACTAACGTCAACTATATAGGCATTGCGAAGATGGATGCAGAAGACGGAATCGTCAAGCTCAACGTACGGCCAAAAGCGTGCCAACAATGCCCCAGCAAGCCCCGGCATTTCAATCTCCATCCATCCTATATCCCGACCAAACGAGTACATACCCTGAGGCTGAGGACCAGCAAAAACTAAATGCGTCCTTTCTTTCTCCATACCTCGATGATACCACTAATGCATTTCACCAATACCTATGAAAATACACGCTACTGATCCGGCTCTTCTCTCTCTCTCTTTTTTTTGTCCTCTTCTGTGAACGAGGGCATCTAGTTCACTAATTTTCTCCTGAAAACCTTTATCTTGACAGATATCCAACCAAGAACGCATTTGCTAATGTGATTTTCGCACTGCTCAACGAGTACCGTGGACAGCCACTATTGTTGCCAATGCTTGTTTTTTTTTTTTTTTTTTTTTTTTTTTTTTTTTTTTTCTCGATACATTTTACAGTGCTCATGGCTTCACGGTACATGGCACTTACTAAACATATCTCTACGCGCATACTTCGACAATGATTCTTTGACATTGCTCTTCGGAACATTCCTCAGCGACTACTGCAGGAACATATATATATCGCGGCATCCAAATCTCTTTGATAAAAATAATTTGGGCTTTTCTTTGTTTGACATACCTTCTCCTTATTCCCACATGACTTTATGCTTCATGTACCATTTCTTCCACCAATTTTTTGCCCTATTTTCCGCGCGTTACATATTGTTTATCAGGGGAACTTGACAAAAAATCTGTCGTTCTACGGACAACCCTTCTCGAGTGACATTTTGATAGACAGACTACGTTTGGGTGGCATTTTGTTTCTTTATTGATTTTTATTTTGGTATTTTCGCTGCTTCTTTCCCATTTGAATCGTTTTTTTTTTTCGAATAAATTTAGATGTCGCACAAGCACTGGAAGGCATTTACGCTGATAGTTCATCCATTTCGTATCCTTCATTTTTGTCCCCCCGTCACTTTTTGTTTGCTCTGGGTACTTTCTCTTTTCCTTTGTTCACGCTTATAGTTTTGTCTAACTGCTCCATTGCCTTTTGAAATATGCTTTGGTCTCTACGCGAATGATTTTTTTTTTTTTTAGATCCATGCTGGGCATGGGAAATCAGTATCCCTCTACATGTAGTTAGTTTTCCCTAAAATTGGACCATTTCATACAGATCACATTCTTCTCTCTAATTCACAATGCTTAAATTTCAACCACAGCTGCCTTTACATAGTAAAATAGGCTCTCAATCCGCATCAGTGTTATATCAGAGGGCCAACCACAATGGGCGCCGCAAGATAGAGGTGTTTGTACGGCACACACCTTGTTCGGCATGAACAAGTGAAAACAAGCAACTTCCAACAGAATATTGTAAACATTGGTGTGCGTGCATAAAAAGTCGATCATTTTGGGGTCCAAATGCCAGTCAGTCAGTGCTTTTTATTTTTCATTTTTATTTTTATTTTGGAGTTAAGAAAACAAATTCGAAGTAAACTAACTCAGGCGGCCCGGCCTGGTTGATATGGATGGATATGCACAATTTCTAACTAACTATAACTATTTCATGCGTTGGTCTAAACATCCTTTCGATAAAAACTTGCATTCCAAGCCAATCGTTTCTCGGCTGGGAGATCGATGTCCCTCTTTGCTCCCCGAACCTGATCCATCATGTTTGCTCGGTGATCATGTCAGATGCCGACTCCAGAATGAAAAGCATGATGGCCACTTTGCGGCCGGGCATAACCGACAATTGGCCCCCAACCAACTTCAGAAACTCAGAAAGTGCTATGAGCGTTGGGGGCCGGAAGAGTATTTGATAGTGACAATGAGGATTGTTGTAGTAGTTGTTGCATATTGCATACTTGGGGGCCAAAAAAGCTGAGAATGAAGAAAATCAAGAGGGAAAAAAAGCAAGTCTCAATACCATTGGCCGATATTCTTCGTGTCAACGACCAATTAATCATTGAGGATTTGTGCCGTTTTTGTGATATTTGCTTTTTCAAGAATGATGTTGGAGTTTGTAATTTTGAACAAAGGGATGGAGGATGCAGTAAAGAGACCACATCTGCGGCCACCAGCCAATATCTCCAAAGGACGTCCAAAAAGGTATGCTTATGTTTACCTACATTGTGTAACCAACGGCCAATTTGAGGAATCTAATGGAGACATTGCTATTTTCGTTGGATGAGGGCTTTTCAACGGAAGATAATTTCGCATGGATTCAGCCACAAGGTGGATAAGATGTATAAGCATTTCATGCTCCTACCTTCTGCTCCTTGCACTCCGCAGGCGTATTGACTACCAGAATCTATTAGATACTTGACCTATTTCGAGAATGCCAACAAAACAAGACAGGATCTGCATATATGGTCATATGATCGATGCAGGTCTATAAAATACATACGGACCTGGTCATGCTTAGGGCCCCTGAGAAGGATATCAGGAATTGAGTTAGACGCGGGGAGGAGATAATATATGTAATGTATGAAGGGAAATGAAGTTGTGTGTGACCACGTTGGGGGAACACCAAAAGAACAATATTATGCATATTGGGGTCTTCGAAAATGCTTGATTCTGGATTCCATGCATGAGGAGCATAAGATTCCCATCTAACGATGCCTCCTTTATATGAATTGGCGGGTAAGGATTTGTTGCAGAGAGAGGAACCTGACATGACCATCATGCACATTGAAGATCTCACTATTAGGGGAGTAAACATCCCAAGTTGCATGAGAATGCTGGCATATTGACCCGGGATTTTGCATATTCTGGGGAACTCTCAGCTTTCGGATTTCCCTCGATGGTTCATCTCTGAATATCGCACAATTGTATGTGCATTACATTGTGCACTACAATGACATGCCTGGGCCATTATCGAGGTATGAAAGGTGAATGAGAGAGCTTAACCAGCTGGTAAATGTCAAACTTGATAACAATAAACATTGGAAACCTCATGAGGAACAGGTTTCCATTTTTCCAAAATGCATAAAGAAATGTAATGTTGACTATGTCTGGCTTGAAAAGCTCGGCTTCCTCATACCCCGTCGCATTTTGTCGCAAGCATTGGGTCGGCCCGAAACAAGTTCTTAAGGTTCATTGTTCGAAGATTCTTCGATTGTTCTATGCATGCTGTAAATGTTTATGCGGATATAGAGGAAAGCTCGTCTAATTGCCGGATTGGGATATGGAAGCAGGGGTTCTATACCCATAAATATCTCAACCTGCAGGAGCGAGCTTCTGTTGCATTTTCTAGAATTGGTAGAAATATGCAGCGCGCTTCTGTTTTTAACCATTATTTTATTGTCCAAAGCGAGATGGAGGACCATTTCGACAAAAAGCGACTATACGTACCGGGCCAACAAATCTCGATCACCCCTATCCATCAGGGTTGCTCACTGCTATAGAGCGCTGAGATACCCCTTTCCATTACCCTGTGATTAAGTTTGAATGTCGATCATGAATCACAAACAAGTTTCCCGATTGGGTTATTAGGGTAGAGTCCTTTGTCCAAGGGTACCAAGGTTCAAAGCATTAGCTTCTAGAAATATGATTTCTATGAGCTATATCGACTCCTTATCCCTAATAGGACTGATGGATTTCAAGCACCAGAGAAGGCCTGAGACACCTTGTGTATCGTTAGTCGCTCTTTGTTCTGGTAGACTCCAAGGACCTCCCTTCCAGGGAAGTACGGAAAGAAAAATAGATGAGACTTAATAGCAAGGCCCTCATGACAAACCAATAAATAGTATACTGTACTACCAGCCGATAGCCATTCTTGCCGTTGATGAGTCACAGAAATGGCCTGTTTGAAGCATAACAGCACGCGAGACATGACCCGCGATCCAGGTTGCCATGATCCCCATCAGTATTCGTAGCGCCAGTAATTAATAGCTTTAACTTTTGGGAACATTCCGTCCATCCAAAAGGGGCTAGTAAGTTGTAGCTTGAGGATCAGGAGCGCAAAAGATGAAACCAATTGATGAGAGGGTGCTGCGAAGGCTGATCTTGAAGTTGTCAATCCATCGTTACTCGAAGAGATGTCTCTGATGGACAGAATTGGTGCTAGTTATCGTTCGTGCTGTGATTGGGCTTGGAGTTGGCTTAAGCGGCAAATCCAAGATTGCTCAACTTTTACCCCAAAGCTTGCCCTGGTTTCAGTCCTTGTGTAATCGACCTCTACGCTCCTGTATATAAGCTTCTCCAAAACCCTTCAGAGGCAATTCCCAATATATCCTTCAGTTAACGATCCAATTCGTCGATTCACTTCGGACAAAAACCGCCTAGCAAGCCCCAATTTTTCCAGAAGCTTGAATTTTTTACCCCGCTCCGCATACGGTCATGTCAAGCACGACAACGACGACGGCCACTCAGGCCATAACTGCAGAAAATGTTACTACTATCTTCCCGGATGTCGACCCCGGCCTTGCGCAGGCTTTTTCCCGAAGACAGAATGGCCCCTCTGCGCGTGAGGGTGGCGAACTGGAGGGGTACGATGAGGAGCAGATCCGTCTCATGGATGAAGTGTGCATTGTGCTAGATGAGAATGACCAGCCCATCGGGAGTGCCAGCAAGAAGACATGTTTGTATTTCCCAATGAGATTCTTTTCGTGTGAAACCCTTTATCCGGCCGTTCCGCTGGATGGCTGCTGTCCGCTCTTTTCTCGCATTTGTTTCGTACATGTACTACCGCAAAAGCGATGTGAACTGACTCTTTTGAAACCTTTTTTTTTTTTGGCATGCTTAGGCCATCTAATGACCAATATTGAGCGCGGACTTCTTCACCGCGCGTTCTCCGTCTTCCTCTTTGATTCCCAGAAGCGATTGTTACTCCAACAGCGCGCATCCGAGAAAATCACTTTCCCAGACATGTGGACAAATACCTGCTGCTCACACCCACTTGGCATTCCCGGTGAAACTGGCGTAGAGTTCGAAGCTGCCGTGCAAGGTGTCAGGAGAGCTGCGCAGAGAAAACTGGATCACGAGTTGGGAATCAAAGCGGAGCAAGTCCCACTTGAGAAGTTCGATTTTCTGACCAGGATACACTACAAGGCTCCCAGCGACGGCAAGTGGGCAGAGCATGAGAGTAAGCAAACAAATGTCTTTGTTTAACTTAATTACTTATTCTGGCACGAATGCAAAGCTAAAGATTTGCAATTTCAACGACAGTCGATTACATCCTTTTCATCCAGGCCGATGTTGACCTGAACGTGAGCCCTAACGAAGTCCGCGATACCAAGTACGTTACGGCAGAAGAACTTAAGCAGATGTTCAAGGATCCGGCGTTGAAATTCACACCCTGGTTCAAGCTTATCTGCGAATCTATGCTCTTCAATTGGTGGGAAAAGTTCGGCACTGAAGAGTTCGAGAAGTTCAAGGGAGACAGAACACTTCACCGCATGCTTTAAAATTCCTGTGCCAGCAGTAGAACTATTTTTTAAAGAACTTGACACTCCCTCTATTTGCCAATACCTCTTTCGTGGTTATATATTTGCAATTTTATGCGAAGCGTGCTCTCGCACAGGGATTCATCTGATACTAATACTGCAGATTTCTGACGATGTGGCCTCAAACCATTCCAGACTGCATAGTTAAAAGGCGTCGTTTCAGTTTTCATTTCGGGGTAAATAGTGGCTATAATTGACTACTTGTTTTTACTTTCCTGTCGTTGGGCATCCTACCAATTTCTTGCGTTTTTCGGAGAGAATGTGCGCACAGAATGTAGAGCGTATATCCGCCACCCCCCTAAATCGATTAGTTCGCGGGGATGTTCTTCATAAGTTTGCAACCATTGGTTGTGTTACCTCTGAAACGAGTTTAAAGCTTCAAATTTATGGGAGAGCGCTTTCGTTGCCAATAAAGGCAGATAAGGGCATATCGATTCCTCTAGTTCCTATTCTGAGACATCCGAAGAGCAAATGCGTAGCGGATGCGTGGTTATCGAAGTGGGTGTTCAACAACGCTGCGTATGGAAAATTATAACATCGCAATAGCAGTGCTGGCGCTCCTACATTCATTAGATATATGGCCAGTAAAAAATAGCAAATTGACAACTCCGGAATAAAATGCAGCAAGATCGGAATCCTAAACACCCAGATTCCCAGTCCCAGAGATATTAACAAAGAAATACAACACAGTGGTCTCCGAGATATAGCAAACCACCTCCGGTTCCGCAAAAGTCGAACCACAAACCGGTATCCATGTGCAAAAAGCCCATTACGGCTTTGCTGGAGGATCCGTGCTTAAGAGTATGATACACGTCCCAATGATCGATATAGCAACAACGGTGAAAACCACCTGCGTCTTCCAACCACTCTGCACCAGCGCAGCATTTCGACTATATTTGGTCATTGTCCGTATGTAAGTCGCGAACCCGCTACACAGGCAGATGAATGACAAAACCCAAAAGATGATGCCGAGCGGGAGCGCCATGCGCAACTCCAACTGCGACGGCTTGTACCGGAGGTGGAAGGACATTATGATTGCGCAGGCAACGATGGAGAGGTACATGGATAGCCGCAGCCACGAGAGGAATGTTCGCTCGTTGGCGCAGTGATCGCGGGCGTCGGATGCATTGTTATCGAACAGGAGAGGGCCGAAGAAGGGTCTGGAGAGGAACACTGGGCCTTGCGAGGCAAGATCGCTGTATGCTAGGGTTAGAGTGTTTGACATGGTAATACCTTTTGCGAAGTGCCGGATCGAGAATAAGCACATACGCTGTGACGTGCACTGGATTTCTCCTCAGTGCACTGGTTAAGACATTGTTGGTTGGAGCAGCATCTTCGAGCTCTGGGGTATCATCGCGGGGCATTGTGCAGCGCGCAACAATACCGGGCTTTGATTTTTCGATTCTAATAACGGGGTGTGGCAACGAAGCCTACCATTTCGTAGCGGAATTGCTGCTGATATTTAATGTTTGCCGTCAATTTTCTAGACGTCGCAGAATTAATTGCCATTTTTGGCACGAGGCGAGATGTTCCAAGAACCAACCAATCCGAAGGCATTATCCCACATTAAAGGCGATAAAACGCTGCCTAGGTAATATCTTAACAGCCACGATGCCAAATTATTATTTAGTTAGTACTTTTACGTGCCGGAGAATTCTATACAACAAAAGCCTCTAACATCATGTTACATGGTATAACTATCGCTCGTTGATGAGGCTGTTTCTTCTCATTGAAGCATCATAAAATAAGGTTGTTAAGCTCGAGTCATGGGTTCGCTTATGTCATGGGGCCATATCGGCTTCTGATTGGCCAAAGATATGACGCGGAGCCCTCGGCATTGTGCGGCTCTTATCGTGAGTAAGCGGGCATATTTGGACATTGCAAACGATGGTGGATATTTTTATTCCATGCTGCTTCCATCCCATTGTTGTGGAAGGGAACGAACGGGACGTTCAAGTCAAGCCTCGGTTCCTGGAATCTTATTGGCGCACCTAAATATTTGTAACATCGGTTTAGGGTTCGTAAGGAACCTGGTTTCTGTAAGGCTGAACATTTATTTCTCCACTGATTATTCGTCCATACGAGCACCGCGCAAACCAAAGTACTAATGTTTTTAATTGCTATGATAAATTATATTCACAAACGAAGAAACCCCCTGCCCTTAGTGCCCATCATTTCAAATGGATACACCGCCAAATTCATCCGATGCGAACCCCTCTCGCATTGATGGAGACGACGACCGAGTAGACGGGGATTTATCTGCGACCAGCCTTGGGAATTCCCATTCATTGGCCGAATCTTACAGGAGACCTAGCTTCTTCACAACAGGTGCGCGAGGAACAGTCGTTCCATACCCTCAAGCCCAGGAGCATGCGGTCCTGGCGGATTGGGAACGGGAGCAGGTCTTAGAAGAAGAGCGGGATTTATTAGCGGACAGTCGTGTTATTCACCCGGAACACCGACATGCGAAACCGGCCAAGGGACAGAATCAGATTACTGGTCTACTCTCGAAAAGACTGAAAGAATCTGAGACATTTACCCGGGAGGAAGATGAAGAATCTGCACAGCTTCCTGGATCCTCATTTGGGCCTGACTCTTCTGCCACCGAGACTACTGCTCTTTTGGCGTCATCTACGGCGCTTGGCAACCATGTTGGTGATAATGTTAGTGACGATGAGGTCGGGAGCAAATGGGAGGAAGCAGTCGAGGCTGGGCTGATCCATACAACATGGCGCCGGGAAGCCAAAGTGTTATCGAAATACACAGTCCCGTTGATGATTACATTCATTCTTCAATACTCTTTGACGGTAGCTAGTATCTTTACAGTCGGGCATCTTGGAAAAGTGGAGTTAGGAGCTGTGTCCCTCGCCAGTATGACGGCTAACATTACCGGATATTCGATATATCAAGGCCTCTCTACAAGCTTGGATACTCTTTGCGCTCAAGCCTATGGTTCCGGGAAAAAATCCCTTGTTGGATTGCACATGCAGAGGATGGTTTACTTTCTCTGGCTAATGACCATCCCCATTGGTTTAGTATGGTTTTTCGCCGAAAGGATTTTGATGGTCATCGTTCCAGAGAAGGACGTTGCAGTTCTTGCAGGATTATACCTGAAGATTGTCTTGTTGGGGGCCCCAGGGTATGCATGCTTCGAAAGCGGGAAACGTTTTGTTCAAGCGCAAGGCCTTTTTTCTGCGGGGCTCGCTGTCCTGGTAATATGCGCCCCTCTCAACGCCTTTTTGAATTGGCTTTTCGTCTGGGTATGTTCCTCTTCCCCACAGTCCATAGTTCCACGTTATGGTATCACAAAGCCGTTCTATTCCTCCTAACATGATGTAATAGAAACTGGGTTTTGGTTTCGTTGGTGCACCTATGGCTGTTGCCATAAGTGATAACCTACTCCCTATCCTTCTCTTCCTGTATGTTCGTTTCATCGCAGGGAAGGAGTGTTGGAATGGCTTTACGAAAAGGGGATTAGAGAATTGGGGCCCTATGATTCGCCTCGCACTTCCGGGATTTTTAATGGTCGAAGCCGAAGTACTCGCTTTTGAGATATTAACACTCGCCGCAAGCTACTTCGGTACCACGGCACTGGCAGCTCAATCCGTGCTCTCCACAATATCTGGTATCTCCTTCCAGATTCCTTTCCCTCTTTCCATCGCAATCAGCACTCGAATTGCCAACCTTATCGGAGCGAGTTTAAGTGATTCCGCTCGTACATCCGCCAAGGTTGGCATGGTCGGCGCCGTTATCATCGGACTCCTAAACGTCACCTTCCTTTCTTCTCTCCGAAATTATATCCCTAACCTCTTTACCTCTGACGAGGAAGTTGCGAGATTGGTCGCCCAGATCCTCCCAGTCTGTGCCTCATTCCAGCTCGTCGACGCGCTGGCAGCCAACTGCAACGGCATCCTCCGTGGTCTTGGACTCCAGTCTTTTGGTGGTTATGTTCAGCTATTCTGCTACTACGTTGTGGCCATGCCCATTAGTATGGGCACATCCTTTGGGTTAGGTTGGAGCCTCTGGGGCCTCTGGACTGGTGTTGCTGTCGCACTGTGCCTGGTGTCAATTATTGAAGGCGTGTTCTTGACCCGCACTGATTGGGAGATGTCTGTGTCCGATGCCAGGAGGAGGAATGCTATGGGATGATTGATGCGATCTGGTGCGCGTATTCGTCCTGGATTTTGGGCCATGCACTCCACCTACCAACTTACAGGTTTATTCGACATCCTATTTGATGTGTTCTACGCATGTTTCCTCCTTGTAACGCATTTGCCATTGTGTTTTCAAGATTATGTTTCACGATTACGAACCCTATAAAGTCTACGCAAGGAATTTTATGTTTGGTTTCTGGGTAGGAGGTGGCGGGATCTCTGCTCAGTTGTGCAATGATGTGATTGGTATATATATATATATTTGGTTTTTTTGTGGCGTTGAGTTATTCTAGAAGCCGTGTTATTTTATGGTGGTGATCCGCTAGTTCAGACTTACTATTCATGGCATGTATAGACAAGACAAGACAATATTATATTGTATATGTAATCTTTTTGGATCTACATCTTCCACAACATTAACTAAAATTTATGAGCGAAATCGCATATTCTTGCTATCCTGGTTGCCTTATCGCAGTTTCCCTTGAATATCAAGCAAGAATGGTATAAAATATTCTTATTTGTATGAATCATTCACATGCGTATTAGTTAGAATATATATAAAAAAAAAATACCTGACGAACTCCTAACACTAGAGAAAAAAAACGCCCTTTGAACCCGCTCATGAAAGTTGCACGAAGCAAAAATCCCTCCCACATGTGTAAAACCACTATCAATTCGTCCATCAGACATACGAGTCGTCAAATTCATCCTAACACCTTTATCTTTTTCTTCTTCTTCCCTTCCCCTTTCTGCGATTTGCCCTTTTGCCAATTCCTCCAGCTCCCAATCCGCTCATCGCGCGATTCCTCCCAAGCCTTTTCATCTTCTCTTTTCCGTTTCCGCGCCTCGATCTCCTCCTCTTCCTTCTTCTTTTCTCTGCCTTCCTCCTGCAACTGCGCCTTCAACCGTCGCCTCCGCCTGGCCTCTTCCTCAACGAGAACCTCTACAGTCTTCTGTCGCCATTCCTTCTTGAATTCCTCCGTCTTCAGTTCGGGGGAGTCGAGGGTATACTTGTGTTCTCTGATCAATATTCGTCGCGCATCGGCTATACACTCGTCAAGGTGAGCTCGTGCTTTTTCATCCAGCAGCGTCGTTTGCGCCTTTTTAAGGCGATCAAAGGCGTCTGGCGCCGCAGGGTTTGAGGATTTATCCGGGTGTATGAGGAGGGATTTCTTGCGGTATTGTACTTTTATGTCGGAATCAGGGACGCCAGGTTGGAGGTCCAGAACCGCATACCTGTTTCACGAGTCAGACAGGTGTTAAAATTGAAAGTTGAATGACATTTCTGTGTGTGTGTGTGGATTATGTAGGGTGGTAAAACCTACGCATCGAGTTGGAAGGCCTTCCTGATGCGATCAATTTCCGCATCCTAGAGGCATTTCGTTAATTGAATGGGGACGCTAATTGATTAGGAGAGGGTGCATGTTTCTCATACTTTTGTAAATTCAGATGCCTCTCTCTCGAGGGCATCGAGTGCTTCCAATTCATCTTCAGCCATCTCAAAAGCTCTCCGCAGTTCAGCTATCCAGAGCATTCAAGGGGCTGCGCCGTCCAAGATCAACTCCACTATTCGTGAAGGGAATACGATGACTAAGCAGTGACGCCAAGAACAACGTTCCGCCAGAAAAAAAGAAAGTTTGGCGACGGCGGTAAATTTCTCTAAGATGTTATGAGAATGCAACGCAAAAGCTCGACATTTGCAGCAAGACATGGCATCGGCACACCATGGGCGGAATAGCAAACATCCCAAACCCTCCCGCAGCAATGCTAGAAGTCTAAAACGAAAGCGGGATGAGGTGGACCTTTCAACGCTCGCACAACGGATTGACGAGCTTGATGTCAAAGCTTCATTCGAAGCATTTTCCGACCTCCCTCTCTCAGAACCCACCGCGGACGGCCTCTCCGCGTGCCATTTTAAATCGCTGACCGATATTCAAGCCCGGGCGATACCACATGCTCTCAAGGGACGAGATATCCTGGGCGCCGCAAAGACTGGGAGCGGGAAAACACTTGCGTTTCTCGTTCCTCTCCTGGAATTGCTATATCGAAAGCAATGGACGGAATATGATGGGCTGGGAGCGTTGGTGCTGTCGCCTACTCGCGAGCTGGCGATCCAGATATTCGAAGTGTTAAGGAAGATCGGTCGCCATCATACCTTCTCGGCTGGGTTGGTAATTGGCGGGAAGGGCCTGCAGGAGGAACAAGAACGGCTGGGGAAGATGAATATATTGGTGTGCACTCCCGGACGGATGCTGCAACATATGGACCAGACGGCAGCTTTTGATACCAATCACATTCAATTACTTGTGCTGGATGAGGCGGATCGAATTATGGATATGGGATTCCAAAGTACTGTCGACGCCATTATCGACCACCTGCCAAAGGAGCGGCAAACGATGCTATTCAGCGCAACGCAGACGAAAAAAGTTTCGGATCTTGCGCGCTTGAGTCTACGGGATCCCGAATACGTATCTGTTCATGAAACAGCGGCCAGCGCAACTCCGGCGAAGTTACAACAAAATTACATCATCACGCCGCTGCCAGAAAAGTTAGATACCCTATGGAGTTTTATACGAAGCAGTTTGAAGTCTAAAATCATAGTGTTCTTCTCGTCGGGGAAACAAGTTCGGTTTGTGTACGAGTCTTTTAGGCATATGCGACCTGGGATTCCCCTTCTTCATTTACATGGGCGCCAGAAACAAGGCGCCAGGGTAGATATTACAAAGAAATTTTCTGCGGCTAAGTATTCGTGCTTGTTTGCTACGGATATTGCGGCGAGGGGTTTGGATTTCCCGGCTGTCGACTGGGTAATTCAGGTTGACTGCCCAGAGGACGCAGACACATATATCCACCGAGCAGGTCGAACTGCGCGCTACGAACGCAACGGGCGAGCAGTTCTGTTCCTAGAGCCCAGTGAGGAGGCGGGAATGTTAAAGCGGCTGGAACAGAAGAAAATACCCATCGAAAAAATTAATGTCCGTTCCAAGAAACAGCAGAGTATTAAAAACCAGTTGCAGAATATGTGTTTTAAAGACCCATCTTTGAAATACCTTGGACAGAAAGCTTTTATATCCTACGTCAAATCCATCCATGTGCAGAGGGATAAGGAGGTTTTTGTTGTGAAAGACTTGCCCTTGCAAGAATATGCCGCGAGCTTGGGCCTACCTGGTGCCCCGCGCATCAAGTTTATCAAGGGTGAGGACTCCAAGAAACTGAAAAATGCACCGAGGAGATTATTAGAAGCACTATCAAGCGGAGATGACACAGATACAGACGGTGGGGAGCACAAGAAAAAGAAGGAGGAAGCCGTCAGAACTAAATATGATCGCATGTTTGAACGACGAAACCAGGACGTCTTGACTGAGCATTACACGAAATTGATCAATGAGGACGGCACCACAGTTGCTGGTGGCACCCCTGATGATTCCAAAGCAGATGCTGATGAAGATAATGATTTCCTTTCTGTGAAGCGTCGATTTGACGCAGGCGACGATAATCTCGGCGAAGAATCTGATGGTGACTCCGATACAACGAAACCCAAGCCTAAAGTTGTACAAATACCTGGTAGCGAGCCACTTATCATAGATTCTCACCGGCGAGAGAAACTTCTGAAGTCGAAGAAGAAGATGCTTAAATACAAGGGCAAAGGGTCGAAATTGGTCTTCGATGAAGATGGGAACCCGCACGAAGTGTATGAAATGGAAGATGAAGACGACTTCAAGAAACAGGGTTCTGCAGATGCGCAGCGGGCCAAGTTCCTGGAGCTGGAGGCCGAGCGGACTCGACTTGCAGATATCCGGGACAAAGAAATTGCGAAACAAAAGAAACGGGAGAGAAAGGAGAAAAGGAAAGAAAGGGCAAGACTGGCCAAGGAAACAGGCGACGCTGGAGGGTCAGCAGTGCTTGCGCCATTTGATGAAGACATTGAAGGAGATGATGACCTTAGCCAGGCTTCCGGCACCGGGCAAGTTCCCGGAGAGGCCCATCCGAGTAAAAAGCAAAAGAAATGGTCCCAAGACTCGTCTGGGGATGAACAAGAGAAGAAGGGCCGCGGCCGTTCGAATCGTAGTGAGGCAAATGGGCCCGTTGCGATTGAAACTTTGGAGGATCTGGAGACTCTTGCTGCTGGGCTTCTGGGCTAATGGAATTCTAAGGCTAGATAATTGGTGTCATCAAAATTTTCAAACCCATTTTTTTTGTATACGTGACATATGATCGTACGGATATCCCTTTTTTGTTGTAACTATCTCATGTGCAATGTGATCGATCAAAAATGCTCCAACATCAGTTGAGCAGTTTTGCTTTTTGAAGATTCATGAGCTCACCCCTGCTTTTTATTATGGGAAGCTCTAAGTCACAATCTCATACTACATTCAATGTAACGGTGAAATATGATGAAGCTTGTAACATCATCGAGTACATGGCGAACACTGTAAATTCATCTCACCACACTTGGCCGTTCTATTTCGCATGGTATCAAACTTTGTTTGACAGCTCACTGGCATGGGTTGTAGTTGATTTCGTCATTCAGGCTATTATTACTCTATTATGCCGAGCAGTAATATCAGCATGCCTAGAGTGTAGGATCAAAACCCATAGCTCTAGGATCATATATGCCTGGGGGCGTTGAGTTCCCAGCGGTCAATGGATAATTTGTTCCCCCATGCTCCAGCTCCAGCTCCAGCTCCAGCTCCAGCATGGTGTTCAGTGCTCTTCGTCAAAACAGCTGGCTATACTGCGAAGATAGATTCGCGCTTTGACAGTCGTCTCCCGCCTGTGCTCGTAGTCTTCTGTAGTACTACCAACCATGTTCCTGGAACAATAGCATGTATTTTTTGAATGCGAATAAGTGGGACTTTCCTTGACAAACACCGCAACAGAAGTTGGGGCGTTCAGTTGAACGTGGTTCAAACTCGACAGCAATGGCAGGGATGGGGTGGCAGGGTCCAGAGTTGAACAGGGCTCCATTTTGACCTCTTTTCGACTTTTCGAATGGTTATAGTATATCCCTTTGCCCTGTGCTTCTAGGCGCAAGTAACTCTATCAAGCTCTAATCCTAATTCCAAACCGCCAATTCCATCGCTAATCCTGTGTTAGCAATTTAATTCTGCCCCATGTATATATGTATGCACGTGGGCGTACTCTAACGGGTTGAAAATTATATTGACAAGCGTTGGACAGAAGTTCGAACAATTATAGACCATGCAATCTTGTGGGGACAATCCTTAAGATAATGTACTGTACAACAAATGCCATGGTTCGAAATCTCTTGACAAACATCCAATTCGTGATCAGCTTTTATTGAGCCGCGTTCAACTGTACCCTGCAAACGCCCAACCCCGATCTCCACCACCCCTTCGTCTTTGGTAGTAAGATGGCGGTTTGTATTCTAGATGGGGTGAGAATGGCATTGGCAAAGCTGAGCGCGGTGAGCACTTGAGTCAACGATCTTTGATTGAAAAGTTGAAGTTTCCGGAGTTCATCAAGAATCGCTGGATGGGCGTGCTGGGTTGAGAATTTGTTCAGCCAGGGATTCAGATTTTCATGCCCGCCCAGACATGCTGAACCCTTTTTTCTTTTTCTTTTTCTTTTTCTTTTCTTTCTTTTTCCAATTTTCCAGCCAGCTGGGTGTCATCATGATGTCAGTTGGTGCGATTGCGCAGAGTTTAGTTCGCCACGTGGGACAATTAGGAGAATTGAACAGGCTCAACCGGTATGATCATGATGGCGACGGCACACACGTCTGTTCTTCAGCGCTTATTACGAGTACTAGTGGTTATTGAGAATGCTAGGACCGTAGGCAAAGCTACTAAAAAATAGCCTAGTGCTAGTACCGAGAGCCCTTCACTTACAGTAGATGCGAGTTCTAGTATTCTTCTATTCTTCTATTCTTCTACTTAACTGACGCTGGTTGGCATAACTATTGCTTGGCATCGAGAAGTACTCACCACGCCATCGAATTGCAAGGTTCCAAAACACTTGAAGAGAGCACAGCGACTAAGCTGGATTGATATGTCTCTTATCCAGTCCTAACCACAGTGATGCTCAGTTAATTTTCCATCTTCTTCTCGCTACAACGAGGAATGTAGCGGTGCAGCGCCAAGCCCAACCCGTCCAGCGCCACACCCGTTGATCCTCGGCAGAGAGTAGAGACCGCAGTACATCTATCCACACCAACCAGTCATACTGTGATAGTATCTGTGGTCCAGGGGTTGTGCGGGGGCAAAAGCTGCCAAACCTCAAGCGATCACGCCATCAAGCTAAGGCGAGAGTGCCCTCTTCCACTTAGGCTTTAATCTTCCTTCTTTCTATGGGCGATGGCGTTTCTTTGGAAACAAATGAGCCAATCGTCAGATTTAAGCTCGACGTTTGCTGAGTTTATTTACCCTCCTCCGCCTCGTTGGAATATCTCTATAAACAACTGTCTCTGGGATGTCTTGTTTGATTCGATCAAATTGTGTGTTGGCGTGACTGTGTGTTTCTTCCTAATCCATTTTTGATCCCGAGGGTAACTGCTGCTTGCTTTTTCGACATTTTCTCCGAATTTTTATTGCTCTGAAGGTCCAAGTCCGCTCATCAGCATCGTTTACGGAAACGATTCCTGTCTGTGGGGGAACTATTACGGCGGCCGCGTGCAAAGTGCTCTCTTGCGCTTGGAGCGGCTAAATATTCCGCCTGACTCTCTTGCGAGAGTCGTATGCCATGGCAACTCCCGACTTGGATTCAAACAGCATTACCGGGGATGTAGAAAAGAATAACGGCTTCGGGGCCTCTGTCGGGCCCCAGGGCCAGCCCGTCATTGTCGCGGATAAGCTGTCGCGCAAGCTATCGGCCCGCCAGGTGCAAATGATTGCGATCGGAGGTACCATTGGCACAGGGTTGTTTCTGGGAACGGGGAAGTCGCTGGCTACCGCTGGGCCAGCGTCTATGCTCATTGCATATGCGCTTGTGGGTGCCATCGTATTCGTCACGATGTTGTCGCTGGGCGAAATGGCGGCTTTTGTGCCTATTGCTGGATCGTTTTGCACTTATGCTGGGTAAGTTTTCCCAGGAGTCCTTTCTCCCTATGATCCTGCGCGTTTGAACTTTCCCAACGCCGACAATGCTGACAAAAAATGGGGATCTCAAGGCGGTTCGTTGATGACGCTTTCGGTTTCGCCCTTACGTGGAACTACTGGTTTAATGATGCTGTGGCCACGGCGGCGGATCTTGTTGCGCTTCAGATTCTGTTGAAGTACTGGTCGGATAACTTTCCTGGCTGGGCGTTCAGCTTGATTTTCCTGTTCGTGCTTCTCGCGCTCAATATCGTCACTGTTCGAGCGTACGGAGAGGTAAGGCAGTCAGCTAGCTACCCTGATTAGTTTCCAGGTCTTTGCTAACGTGGGGTGAATCACCTGTAGATCGAATACTGGCTCAGCCTCCTGAAAGTTATCACCATTATCGTAAGTTCTCATCCAGCGAATAGTCCGCAACCATTGCTTTCTAACGATATCTCCTATCTCCTACAGATATTCATTATACTTGGAGTCGTAGTTAACTGCGGCGGTAATGTCGATAGACAGTACATCGGGGGAAGGAATTGGCATATTGGCGACGCCCCTTTTGTTGGTGGAATAGGTGGATTTGCCTCCGTTTTCGTCACGGCTGCATTTGCTTAGTATGTGATATATATCAATGCCATCAATGACGCTCCAGCCCCGCAACCGTTTACTGACATTTCAATCTCGACAGTGGTGGGACCGAATCTATTGCGGTAACTGCAGGCGAAACGAAAGATCCCTCCGTGACTCTCCCGAAGGTGGTGCGCAACGTCTTCTGGAGAATATTAATCTTCTATATACTGGGGGTGCTGATTATCGGCCTCAACGTCCCATACACATATCCCAACCTCTCCAACAGGGATACTCATACGAGCCCGTTTACTATCGTTTTCCAGCAGGCTGGCAGTAGAATAGCGGGTAGCTTCATCAACGCAGTGATCATGACGTCCGTTATCTCCGCTGGCAATCATGCTTTGTTTGCAGGATCTCGGATTATGTATGCACTGGCTGTGGATGGCCATGCTCCGGCCTTTTTGGGCAAATTGAATCGACATCGCGTCCCCTGGGTTGCAGTGCTTGCCACCTCTGTTATCAGCGGGCTCTGCTTTGGAGCTAGTTATATCGGGGCTGGACAGCTATGGTCCTGGCTGCAAAAGTAAGTGAAGCAACGTTCTTTACATAGCGTTTAAAGGATTAAATATTTAGAGGCCTGCTGCTAACTAACTCCATTTTTTCAGCATCGTTGGTGTTTCCAACCAACTGTCTTGGATATCTATTGGCGTCGCTTCGATCCGCTTCCGTTCCGCAATCCAGCGGCAGAACCTGGAGCATCTTCTCCCCTTTAAAAACTGGACTTACCCGTATGGCCCGTACGCCTCTGTGATTCTCAACGGCTTCATCATCCTGGTGCAGGGCTGGTCTTCTTTCAGCCCCAAATTCAACGCCGTTAGTTTCGCCAGCTTATATATCCAGCTACCAGTCATGTTGATAGTTTTTATAATATGGAAGCTGGTTAAGAGGACGAAGTTGTTTCCCTGGAGGACATGGACCTGCTCACTGACCGGTACGACAATGGCGTCGAAGGAACTGGTGCCGGAGAGCTACAGAAGAGGAAGCGATTTAGAGACCAGTCCTTCCAAGAGAAAGCCAAGACGATTGGAACGTGGTTTATATGAAATATTACCCCCATGTTTTTAAAACCTTTAATGGATAATTTTGAATTTACTCTCCAATGTTTACTGAACCATTTTTGTTCTATATATTTCCCCTTTGCATGCTCATTCTGCACCGTCTACAATTTTTATTTTCGCATTTGGCAATGTTGCTTATATTTCAGGAGGAGGGCTAGCTTAGGCCCATTGCTGTTCGTTTATTTGTGTTTACAATTGAAACTCTTTTGTTGCCAGTCGTTGCGCTGTTGAATCCTTGAATGCTTCCACGTTCAAGTTTCCCATTTTTCGAATTCTTTTCGTATGATTTTAATCTTTTAAGGCGGTGTGATGTTTTCCCTATCTCTATCTTGATCTCGTCCTCGGATTCGGGACTTGAAACTTGATTACATTACTCTGCAATACTTCAGACTGCACGATTGAGATTCGCATGCTGTTTGTGGCAATTGCACTCACTAGAAACTACGATTGCCACATGTATATACTTATATTACCTCTCTCTCGCCCTCTCAGAGTCTGAAGAAAAGGAGAGGCTGTTAATTAACCAACACCGATATTCGCCTTCCAGGCATTTCGAAGGTCTCAAAATGCGCTTCGAACGGAGATGAGAAATAAGTAATTCAGACATTCAATAGAAGACCCAGTAGCATGGTTGCCCCACCGCGCCTATATTGCTTTTGGCGGAAAGAAAGACGCTGAAACTGTCAACGTTGTGCTCTCAATTTTTATATATTTATATGCCGCACCACATGCAGTGAGTGGTTGCTGGACGAGGTTGTCGGAAAGGGAAGAGAAAAAAGAGAAAAAAAAAAAAAAAAAAAAAAAAACAGCAATTTTCCTTACCTCACTCTCTGAGGGGAATGAGATGAGATGAGATGGCCCAACCAATGTTTCGTTTAACCTCATCTGGCAGGATATAGCGTATACGCCAGCCCCTGACAAAAGGGGCGGCGCTTGAACGTAGGAGATTATCGATCGGGTTGTATCCGTGTTCACGAGTTACTTTACCAAACCACACATGCAATTGCCAACTATATATATATATATATATTTGTTGCCTCCTGTTTCTTAGGAATGAGCCCAGAGTGACGCGCACTGAGACCGCCCAGCTCCAGGAGAGTCAAACTTCGGATATTCTGCACAAAGTAGAGTAAATATCAAATATCAATGGCTAGCCACTCAAATGGCATTTCTGTCTGTCCGCTGAATGGCGCCCACGCGCTTGCTGGCCCTGTTAACCCGTGCTGCCAGTTGTACACGGGACCTCCATGATACTAAATCGTCACTGGGAACCGCTATTTGGAGGCTGCGTCTGAATGAATGCACGCCATCTGTTTGAATTTTTATGTTCAAGGTCCCCTTTGAAGAAAAAAAAAATCTTGCTCTTTCTTCTCGTGATTCTGCAGCAAGAATTCAAGGGAGAGGATCAACAACAGTCTGGAGAATAACCATATCGCTAGCCCTTTCCCTTGACAGAAGACGGAGGGGGAGGTCTCGCGGGATCTCACCAATTTTGTTGCTCGCCTGCTTGACGACTTCGGACATTAAGCCCGCTAGTGACGGGCCAGACGTCGAAGGGAAAGAATTTAACCGACAAATAACGGCCGTCCGAATTGCCTCCGGAGGGCTTGCTGGGAAGGATCTTGAAATGGGTATCGTGATATCATGCTGCGGCAAATTTGCTTCTTGAGCAACGGGCTATGTTTTTCGCATGCTTATTTCTTGGAAGTTCTCAGCTCAGCTTTTTAGCTAGACGAACAAGAATAACTTGTTCTCAAGCTTTATCTCCGGTATTGGGTCCAGCCCCAATACCGGTGCCAAGGGAGGGGGCATGCAACTACCCATCCGCAAGATGAGTACTATAAATCTACCTCCCTGGCACGATTCAGGGGGTAGTCTAGGTTGGATGGAACGCCTATTTCATGCCAGAGGAGTAAACCCAACTCTGGGCAAACTAAAAGGTGTCCATTCAGGGTAGCATGTAGGAATCAAAGGTCATCTCCGGGATCATCGTGAGAAAATAACAATCTATAAGCTTGATAGTATTTTAACTCAAGAGACACAAAGCAAAAGTATCTTTCACTCTCGAGAACAAGCATCTTTCAAAGGTAAGGGTGTGCTGGCGATTGTCGCCAGTCCCATGTGATGGATGAAACAAACGGGCATGGATAACCTGGTGGGCGAAATGAAAAAGCTTCCCTAGTCGACAGTTTAATCCAACTCTAGGGGAGAACGCTGCACAATTACTTTCTCGTTTTTCCATTTGTACCGCAACAACTCCCTACCCAAATTTCATAACACATAGAATATATGGGAGAGAAAGAGCCTGCAGAATCATGCCGAGACGGCCACTCTCCGAAGTTCCATCGCCATGTTGCTTCAGTTTGCGCATACAACTTCGATGATGGACATCATGATGACTTTCAACTACCTAGAACAACCGGTGATAGCAGGGTTTAGGGGAGAAAGCATTGAGCGTCGGGGAATCGGAAAAAGCCAGGGCGTTGATGGACCACAATTCGAGGCGATTTCGGCCCTGGCAGGGGCAGCCAACATTCACATTCCGAAAGCTATAGGTTCTCAGGCGCCGGGGTGTTTTGCGCATACTGTGGTTGTTCTTTTCATATCCCAGAAAATGAAGTAGTAACGGTAGGTGAACAAGAGGGACCATCTCAGCCGCACGAACACCATTGAGGATCTGGAGGAAGGGTTTGCGCTCCTGGAAATCGATATACTGGAGAAACCAGGGGTGAAACGAGTCCCACTGCGGCCTCTCCAGGCTAGGGTCGTGTCCATGGTTCATAGGATGAATGCTTTCTGTACAGTACATTCATACATTGGGCCCTCGCGAAGGACGAGAAATAACGGAAGCATCGAATAGGTCTTGAGCTTCTTGCAAATCCATCCTGACCTAGAGTTTCCCTCAAGCCAACAAATTCTCCATGTACAATTGGAGAATGCTAGAAGCATACTAAACAAAAGCAAGCCAATTGGCTATCGAGGACTTTTGGCACTCCTCAAAATCGGACGCAAAAGCTGCCGGAAATGCTCGTCTCCCCATAATTCATCATCTCGTCAATGATCTGAGAGCACTGCTGGAGAGATACATGCATCCGGCCATTGGAGGGAAACGTAATTCCAGCTGCCAGACGTTTGCCACAGCAATAATATAGTTATCAGAGACAATCAAGGCTGGCTTGGGCGGGGGTTAGTGATGGGATGAAGCAATTCCGAAAAACAAACGCTGCGTTCGAAAAACACTATTGGAAGGATCTTATTTTCAGCTCGTCCGTCCATGGAATTTTATGTGAGATTTATTGGACTACAGGAATTCGCCACGATCGTGTTGGAGCTTTCAACACCAAATATTATTGCTCGCTAATTCTCTAAATCCAGCCTGTGGGAGTTGATCCAGGAGGCTGGCTGAAAAAAAGCCGATGCACAAGCACGGCCCCAACGGAGGAGAGATGTATGCGTCGAAACTTTAGGGCCACTCCATTCTACGGATTTTTTGTTCCGGCTGCTTGACTCGAGAGCAGATCGTCGCTGGTTTGGTCTGGGATCGTGGCATCGTTGGCATCGTGGCAAGCGCCTGGCTAAGAGGGGCTGATGGTGTGGCTGAGAAGCGTCTCGGTGCCACCCAGCCTCGCAGTCTCCGGGCGATGAGGTCGATTGTTGATTGTTTGGACATGGCATTGGCTCGTAGACAGCCGTAGCATCAGCGTCAATTGGCAATTGAGCAATATGGCCCCCCGGATACTAGTGAGTCGTCTGGAATGGCAAGTCGACGGTGGGGCTAACCTCAAGAAGCTTCTTGCGTTGTAACGACGAACCAGCTCATGGATATCAATTTACGAAATGAGGCCGTCGAAGCGGTTGCACTGGGTGTGCCCGTGTGGCTTGCTTCGGCTGAGCCTTTGTTATAGCCTTTATTTCTCAAGGGGCGCTTGGTAATTGAGGCTTACACAATAAAGATCTCACCTGATGCTCCGCTGATTTTCCGCTGATTTTCCAAGAAGCCCCTTTCGTCGATCCGAGCGCTTCGCTCAACAACAACATTATTATGAGAATTTATCCTCAAAGGCATATGTGGCTCATCTCCCATCGAGATTCCGTCATCTACCAATGTCGCAATGAATAATTTACTCTCAAGGACCCTTCCTGGCATGGGTTTAGTGGAAAGACATGCATCAGATACGCCGGAGAAATTTCCGGGCGGAGAGAAGGTCGCGTTGGTGGGGCATTTTGATATTCTGAAACGCACAGAGCTCTAAAAAAAAAATAAAAATAAAAATAAAAGATTAAAAATAAGGGTGGTAACGAACCGAAAGTCGACGCACTTATTATTTTCTCCGAACTGAAGAATGCGAGGTGGGACCCACAACCGTTTGGGTGGTGACATGTGGTAGGTTGGCGATTCGGAGAATCAACACTGACCGGGGCCCGGGGGGTTGTTTAATTTCTGATGAACCAGGCCGTCGATCGGCGAATTCCTGAAGAGGTAAGGAAGCCTTTTTTTAGAGATGGGAATGCCTGTCATCAGGGCCCTTGCCAGTGTGTGAACCATCTGTAGCGTTGTTGAGGGACGGAGCCCCAGACCTGCAGAGCCAGGAATCCCAGGATGGAAAAATCTCCCGCGAATGCGGCTTCCAAATTCTGCGCCTCCATCGACGAGTTCACCGTTATGTTTGCCGTGTTTTGGAGTGGGAGCTTGCGATCGAGCTCCTCCTCCCCTTTCATCATTTAGGGTTGATAGGGGTAGCCGTCCAGCTCTGCATCGTCAAATATTTTTCGAAGCTGTGTTATATGCACTGGACATTACTTGTGTTCCATGTGTTTCATTTCTATTCTTTCTGTAGCTTTACGAAGTCACGTTAGCATATCATCTTGTCGTTGCAACGATATTAGAGACACCTAACCATGCGCCGTCCAACTGCGGACGTTGCATTGTTGCTATCGGAGGCAAAATGCTGCATCTCCTGCGTAAAACTTAGGGTACATGCCGCCCAATGAGTGTCCACATTGCTGTTTTTGGCTCCATGGCTGTAACGATGCTCCTGGTTTGGGAGATCATCAAGCTTTGTTTCTTTTTGGGGCGTATCGCCAAACACCCCTGGGAGGTGCTGAGATGAATGATAACCATCCCAGCGCTGGGGCCATATGAACTACTTACTGGCCATCACCCGCAAGAAGGATCTGACGCTGGTGATACAGTACACTCTTCAGATATAGCCATTCCATGCAGGACAGTTGCCATTGCCAAGTGGACCATGTCAACTTTCGTTTTGGTCTTCGGTTTTGACCGAGCTGGGCAGTATGTTCGTTCCCTCCCGTGAAAACAGAAATGGTAGATATCTGATTTCGGATTGGCTTCAGAGCTCCCTAGTAACTCAGCTCAATCCAGGCTCCGTAGCCTTCTTCACATATTTGGCAAATATAGGAAAGTTTTCGAGGATTCGGTTTCGCTGAGACATTCCGCTTTCTCGGTACTTAATTAAATGTGCTCTTTCACCCATGTCAACAACCTCCAGCAAGGAGCATTGTCTGCCAGAGCGTTCGTTATTGATAATACATCTGTGATCAACTAGTGAATTCCAGATGTCAAGGTTGGGATTACATTTGCGTGGTCATGGTAAATCCGAGACATTGCTTATATCCGATCTTATTATAAGTACGGGCGTATCCCTAAATAATAACATATGGGTTGTGGTCTGCTCGGGAATAAAAGAATGGTTTCAGCCTCCGAAAAGGTGCGCATGGAAATTTGTGAGATCCTGGAGGAAAGGCCCTGGTATCCAACCTTGATGATGATCGCATGGACGAACCGGGAGTTGACAATAGTAGGCATAATTAGCGAATAGCCTCGGTCCAGGAGTGACTCCGATTGCACAACCCCCCCGTCCCTGTTCCTTTTTCCCCGACATTACTCTCGCTGTTTTGCTCCTCCAAGACGGCCAGATATCAACCGAACATCCCCGAAATTTCGGCAGGCTGACTGATAAAAAAAAAAAAACGGCAAACTTTGAAGGTAGCCTAGTCACTAAGTTGAACGGACCGTACATAGTACACGCCCCTACGATCGACGACGTCCTGAGCATTGACCCCCTCATCGGCATGGAGTTTCTTTTGGCTTGATTCCGCTAGGGAAAACTTCCGGATCAACCGAGTCCACAATTCTACGAAAGGGGCACGCGTGCTGCATGCATCGTGGTCTCTGTGCCTGCCTGCATATGCAATGAGCACAGCCAGTCTAAGGAAGCCAGCCACCATGGCCTCCTCTCCACGTACGCACTTGGGAAGACCTGTCTTCTCTCTCGGCTAGTACAGTGGGCTACTAACAGCTTTTCTCGAGGATAGACATCGCGACGCTTGGAATATGCTTTTCAGCCGGCAAACGCCTTGGGATATGTTTTGTCCAAAAAAAAAAAAAAATCAGGATATTGGCTCTCTTGAGAGGAGTCACCAGCTCACTGTTAGTTACGTCGATGCTGGCGTGGTAGTTTTTTATTTTTCCATTTTTGCTTTTCTTCTTCTCGGGGTTTGCCGTCGATCCGTTCTGCACGATGATGGCGGCGGCTACATAAACATGGAAGCCATTGAATGAATTTGAGATCTACGCTGTAAGGTGTACCACGACTCGGTGCTTTTACCGGAACTTCTTGGTCACCTTCTGCCACGAGTATTCTCGCCCTTTTCAGGGCCTGGTCCGGGTTTACCTAAGCCACCATGGGTGGAGGAAAACAAAATTTATATCTACATCTCCGACGTTGGGCATGCTACATTTTTAAGGGTCTAAGGCAACTTCCGGACGGCTTGAACACCAGCTCCCAGCGGTGGCTACTGGTCAGTGCATATTATGGGAAGGTCGCAGAGGTTGTGGAAACGGCGAGTGTGTTAAAAAACTTATCCACCCTGCAGTTCGTCACCGCCAGGCCTAGAAACGCCCCCCCTGATATCATCAGCCAAAAACAAGCCACAACGATAATTTATCCGTAGTGGTTTTCTAGAAAATTTCCCGTGCATCGAAAAATCCTTTTGTAATTGTTGTGGAGAAACTGTAATTAAATAACAAGAGAAATGCACTGTTGTATGCTGCATGCGATTGCAAAATCTAGTATGCAGGTGTTGGAAATACAGTAATCCATGAGTGAACGCTTCTTACAAGATTAACCAAGTATCAATTACGTCTCATTCATGCCCAGGAGCCCTTGTTTTGCCTTGGCGATGATTTCAAAAAGACCCAATGTCAGGAATCAGCGGGGACGCTGAGCTTGATACGGATGGCAACACCATATCATTTTGACGTGCGTTGTGATAGCAAAATAATAGCAATGTTTTAGTTTTGCAAGGATGCTTTACAAGGTATTCAATGCAAGACACCTGGATGGGATTAATCTATATATAGAAGAAGCTGTTTCATGATAATGCTCAAGGAGTATAGCGGAGACCCTTAACATAATGGTGGGTTTTTGAAACAATGCAGCACAAGAGGAGAAAATATGAAGACAGGGCTGCTGGCGAGCCAGTTGCTACTCAGCAACTCACCGAAGTTCACAGGATATCCCGATATCCCGTTGAAGCTTTGGGATCGCAGTGGTATCGGGTGCAGGAGTGCCACAAGGGGTACTCCGCGAATAGCGGTGTTCTACATACGGTCGCTAGGTACCACGTTCTTGGCCCTAGCTTCCGCTTCTGGCGCCACAAGCCCTAATTGATCGTGCTCTCCTCGTGGACGGTGTTTCTCGTCCTTTTGACAATCATTGCAGTTTCGGCCAATTGTCGCATCACAGTAGCCCATTTGATTATATTCAATTGTGCAGGAGAATCCATTATTCTTCTCTTCTAGACTGTATCACACAGATTTCCTGGCTCATGCTGCCTTGATCAGTTGCGCTCTTCCTTGTTTGGCTTGGGTGTCACTACTGACAGCTGCAACCTCGACCAAATCGTGGACCCATGCAAGCCACCGGGCTACGCTTCCATTCCCTGCTTGAAGTGGTAAACCTGCGTCGCTAGGCGTCAAAGGACCAAAGCCCAAGATCCGCCCCAATCGAGTCCACCCAGCCAGAGGGGTTGGATGTCCGATTGACTACTAGTATTCATGGCTCCGCGTTCCTGTTCGACGAAAAAGAAAATAGCGGAAGCTCTGGATCTGCGAGATGCATTGTGATTGGGCTATTCCTCTGTTATTTGTCCGCCGCTGATGTTATGCAAGGGTGATCGACGTGACAGCAGATCAGGAGAACCAAGCTGAGCACCTGGGTATCCAGGAGTAGGAGACTGTTGGTTCGTAGCCACTTGGTCAACACTTTTAGATCCGGCCGAGTCTGTGTTTGGCATGGAACGTGATTGTTAGAGGATGATCCACCTCGCGAGGAGCCCACTAGTACTTCGCCAGTACCTTGTAGCGCCAATCTACCGCCTATCTGTTATTTCAACTTCAAAATTAGTCGAATCATTTTTTCCATGGACGTCTGCGTCCTCCACCAGCCATGCTCTCCACTACGGATACCACCTCCTGCGGAGCAGACTGGAAACGTTGGGGAAATGAAGCTCGTTGTAGCAAATCACTTCCTAGGACGTTTGGCATCCCCTGCCCTTCCCTGACAGCCTCTGGAGCGATGGGTGGGGGGGCCGACGGAGCGTTAATCCACCCCATGGGCCATACCCGAATCTTCCCTCCTGCCAACGCCACCCCTAAATAATAATAAATATTCACTAAAAGGATCCACCCTCGATTGCCCGAGATTGTGGCCTTTGCATGCATCCCAAGGATAACCCACCTTCTCTCTAACGTGACAACCCTGGGGTCTATGCTCCCGGACCCTGTCCCAGCCTTGCTATGACCTGCATCATGGATAATAGTATTATACCATCCGCCTCCGGAGATGATCGCGAAGGCTTGATTGATTCAGCCAGAGCTTAGCTCACTACTGTCCTCAGCTTCCGTCACTCCTAAATGTATCTGGGCATCTCTCGAGTTGACCAACTCGGCTCCTCCATAAACTTCAACATATTTCCACAATTAGCCACCACCAGCATTTTCCTTTGCTACTCGTCATCGCTCTCTCATTTCTTTTTTTCATAACACCCTTCAGTCCTTCTCATACTATTTTTGCCTCCTTCCATTCCGTCCAACAGTTCTTCACGTTTCTTTCGGCTTTCCCTAATTTGTTTTAGTCACCGCATTCTATAACGCCTGTATGCGCCTCTTTCGATGGTAGCCTTCCATCTGGCAATCATTGAACTTTAGTCTCCGAAGGTGTCTCTCGATTTGGCGTCGCCCAGTGGCAAATTCAGAGATGCGATAGGAGTCAATTGGACCCGTAAACAGTGCGAACCCCGTGCGGCCCTTGCCAACTAGTGTTTGTACGTTCCCCTTCTTATTTTATTTCGAGCTTGTCATACCCCCGTAGTGGGCGTTTCTTCCTTCTCAATAACTTAGGACGTTACGCCCAGCAATGGTTGTGGCAGTTCCTTTTAGACCATCGTCTCTTATTGAGCGCCTCAGGCTGGATTGTGACAGCTATCTATCCTCGGGTGTCATATGTGACAGATCTAGGGAATTTTGACCGGAGCTGATGAACTTTAGGCAGATCGAGTTCGTCTTTTTCATGAGCGGAAGATTCCATGCTGCTTGTTCACACCGAGGTTTATGATCTGCGCGATTGGGTGTTCTCGGTTTTGCCCTTCATGCGATAGTCTAGATCCGAGTCCGTTATCTGCTAGGCTTCTCATGCCATATACGGGCTTGTTTGTCGGCCATTTAATCCTTTGTTCCATCTTTTATACTTCCAGATGTTGGTTTGAGGAAAGCGAACCTCATGCACTCCGTACGATCTGCCGGGCGCCCCCTCCCCTTCTCGCCGTTCGGACAAGCCCACGGGTCAAGCTCCGATCCTCTGAGATTCCCTTTAAACTTGAATCTGTCAGACGAGTCTTGTAATCCCAGCCTTCGGGCTCCCTATCTCTCTCCCCCTATGTCCGGTTCCCCTTCGCCTGAAAGTCGTTTCGATCCACTTCTCAGAGACAGGCGCCGAAGGGGTTCTGATTCACTCATCCCGTCTCCTGTTCGCGGCAATGTACAGCCGCTTTTATCTTACGCGGAACCTCCAGCAACATCCCCGGGGCCGGATGCTCCTCTCCCCGATTCGCGACGGCTATCCGCTGGGCAACCGGCCATGTCTGTCATAGGCCTACCCGCAATCGATGACACTCAACTCCGGCATACACTTCAGACTGGGCCTCTCCTACCCCCAAGGGCCTCGCCACTTCCACCCAGATCCACACGTAGAGCAAAAGCTCATGTTGCATCAGCATGCGTGAACTGCAAGCGGAAACATCTTGGATGCGACTCTGCGCGACCATGCCGAAGATGTATTTCAGCTGGTAAAGAGGTAAGATCAGGCGGGATTTCACCATTGAGAAATGTAGTACTTTTGTATATTTGAACTTTGTATACTGTTTCATTGGATAATTGTATTTCTTAAGCCAACTATATAGTAGAAACTAACAGCCTAAAAATAGGAATCTTGTGTGGATGTGAGACACAAACGAAGAGGCAGACCCCCTTTGAAAGCTGAAGAGGGACCCATACAGACATACGAACCGACATATAGCTATCCAGGAGCATCTCACCCTCAGCCTGAGAGTTCCTCGCCAGTACCTCCGTTCTACGGACACAGACGAACTTCTTCCTCACGTGAAATTCGCCCTAATACGGAATTACAAGTGTCAAGGAGATCTAGTGAAATTGGGAGTGAATATGGGCGGCTAATGGCTGTTTCTGCGATGCCTAACCCCCAAATGTGGGCTCCTGTGACTCCGTTACGAACAATGCATACATCACCATCTATTTCAAATGCCTTTCCAGGCCAAATGTCGTTTCCCAGTAGTTCTCAGCAATCACATGCTCATAACGTCCCCCTATTTTCGGCTGGAGCAGGGTCATCCTCGGCATATATACCGGATTATCGCGATATGACAAGATCTGTACATCCTTTCCCTGATGAAAGGATACCGCCGAATCAGTCTCCTCGCCAATACCAACGACCCCATATCCCCCCGCTTCCTAGGGGGTCTACCTATTTTTCGGGGCCGGGATCTCCGCATGGTCCGCTGTCAAGTCCCCCCTTATCAGCTTCCAGCAGTGCGCGGAATTATCCGTTCCCGGGCCCTGGCCAATCCCAAATACTGCTACCGCCTCTTATACCGTCAAAAACGGGGTCAGATTTTGAGTTTGAGTTTTCTCAGAGCAGTCGACGACCACCTGGAGCACTTCCACCATCCCTGCCGTCAATACAGTCAGGGAGGCCGAACCTTAGCCGTGTTGAACATGCAAAAGAGTTGGAAGACCCTCGTCCTCTTCCAGCACACCCTCCCTTTCAGCCTACCACATTTTCCTCCGGGCCGCCTATTCGTGGCTTATTGGATCCATATCGCCCCTTACCAGTGCCTCCACAGCCGTTGCCACATGGAAAAACCACTCCACAGGGGCAATTGAGCACTTCGGCTTCACATAATCTGGCGCCAACGCTAGACGATGAAAGCTCACCAGCAATGGGAAGGGAAAGAGGGTCACCATCAAGACCCGTAAAAAGGCAGAAGATGGCTCTGGGAGATATGGTCAATGACTAGATATCATTTTTTCTATTCGACTACCTGATGTGATGTGATATGCGGCTTCATTTAAAAAGGAATCGAACGCGGAGATATGACTGGGAGAAATGAAACAATCATCTACTTCCGAAGAAAAGGGGCATTTACAACGAACGAATCCAACATGAAAATTACTGGCCAAATTCCTATACTTTCTTTTCCTATCATTTTCTTTGCTTTTCCGCCTCTTCCTTTGCGAGGAAACAGCATCGATCAGACTTACTACATACGAAGGGCGAAATACAACACACCGAGATAGAATCCTGCACGAATTGGATTTCTTTTGGATCCACAGCTTTCCTTTGCCCGACGCGATTTATGAAACAGAATGCGCGTACACCATGCATATGCCACATGCCAGTAAACCGTATCACGGGGGAAATTGTTCTCCCGCTTTCTTTTGTTTTTATCTTATTGACCTTTTGTCATCTCGGCCGAGATACCCTCTCTTCCATAGGAGTTATTATGGGGACCTTTTATCTGCTGCTTCTTCACGGCCATATATATGCACATCGGATCCACATATTCCAGTGTCTTTTTGTGTTTCAATTCCGATATCACCCTTAATGACATGTAGTCTTTTATTGTCGTATTTTTTATTTCTTAATTTCTTAATTTCTTAATTTCTTAATTTCTTAATTTTTAATTATTTTTTTAAAACCTTTTCCCAGTATTCCATTCAGCTTCTTCATACTACATAGATTAACGTCGTTTCCGGATGATACCCTCTGCGTTTTGCATGTTACGGCTTCAACCCATTCCCTGTCCGCTTTACCCTACACCGCTACGGCCTGCTTTCCCTTGGTTTTTGACGATACGCATTTCTATCCTTGCTGAGGGATATACGAAGAGCTGGCGTTATTGTATTCTTAAAATAAATGGCTGTTTATAATAAATTCCTACGATATTGATACCCTCATCAGGACCTGTTCAGGATGACGTTGCTTATGAAATTGTGTCGCGAAGTTCTAACATTTCTCCCGTTCAGTCAACTGATGGAATGGAAGGAGGAAAAGGCTTGCTTCCCACCTGGTTTATATATACGCCTCCAATTCTCCAACTACGGTATTTGACAAAAGCGTACTAGACATCCGAATTGAACGTTACATGAAACCCCTCATGCATCCCAGAGTGGAAATAGACTCATATGCTCATATAGGTATGGTAGGGTAGCATGAGTTTTTTTTATCGGATAACCGCCTACCAACCCACGCGCACCCCTATTCATGCATACCGGGTGTTGGCCCCTCCTCGTCGTTTCGCTGCATGAAGGACGGAAAAAAAGATATACCCGTTCGGGCCCCAATCGTCATTAACATCAAGAATGCGCATCGTCCCCTTGCTTTATTTTTCCCATCATGGATCATCGAGGCGTGGAGAGGTTCGTCCTGGCAGGACAATTGGAGAATGCTGAAGAGTTAAGAGCACCAGAAGACGCGACCATATTGGTGATGCCCAGTCCAAGGACAGGAGAGACTGGGCAAGGAATTTGTGTATAGTTTTTCGCGGGAAAGAGTGGTCATCTCCAAACTGTGTATCTTTTTCCGAGTTTTCAATCTCAACAGCTCGGCGGCTAGATTCGTTACCGCAGTAGGACATTCAGTCGCATGTTTCTTGCGCTCGTCGTGTATGTCTTCTAGCTTTTGCTTCCATGGCAGCTCGTTATCAGGAGTAATCTTCCTTTAGCCTGAATTACTAGATACGGTTCGCATCCTTTCTTCCCCCTTTTTTGAAGTGCCCTATTATTTCCCAAATTGCGTAGCCAGATTTATATGGTGCATATGACTTGCAATTTATCAGGATTAAGAGAAGGCATCGCATGATGCGCGTCCATGAGAATCATGGCTATTACTTGCTAGGTCAATATAGGGATGTACAGCACCATCCATGTACAGTAAACCTGTATGTCCTTGCACGGTGCGCAGTGCATCACAGAGCCAAAGCAGACAGGAAATAACAACCCCTCACTCCTCCACACGCACCAAATATTTATTTGAAGTAGCCTGTATGATTGCTTCACCCGTTGGAGGACGGTGTGAATGAGAAAAAATCCGCTGAAGTTAGAAATCTTCGGGCCATCTCCATTGGATTGTTTGAACAAAAGCTGGAGTTCATTGTATGTCAGTTTGCTTTTAGGAATTGCATGTGGTCTCTCTCGCTATATCACTTCCTTTTGAAATCTCCTTCCAACCGAAGCTATTTACACGGCGGTTGGTCGGGTTTTCCATGTAGACTCCATGTCACCCACTGCGGGCATCACACTCGGTATCGGAATGCGGGCATGGCTGAAATAATAATTTGGCTGTGGTTGGTTGGTAAGATTCAAAATTCACGTGGATGGGCATACAAACCGATTGGAACGGGGTGAGGGACAAACCTGATATCATATTGAAATATTTGGTCGCTAACTGGGCTTCTTCGATAGTGTTGCCCAAACGTCATCCACGCGCGTCGTATAGCTGCGTGAATAATGGCCAGTAATAAACACCGCGGACCCATCCACGACCGTTATTAAACGTCTGGAAATAACGTGCGGGTTGGAGAAATGGCAATCGATGCATCGACGAAGGTGACTCGAGATTAGGAACCGTGGTAGAACACAAGCATTGTATGCCAAATCGGTAGGGTTTCTCAAATCTGCCCATTGTATATTTGGTACCTCAAAGTGCCATTGTCTGCACAAGGCACCAAACAAGAACAGATCAACCGACATCCCAGGTCAAAATATATACAATCGAGTCTCTGTAAGTCTTGTCCTGCCCACAAGCTCATGGCAGAAGAACGTGATACAGAGCACTTCCGAGCAGCAGAAGTGGTACAAACTGCCATGCATGTTCATTCCTAGCTCCCATGAAGCAGTCGATAACCCATGGTCGCACCAAAGTATCGCTGTTTAAAGGAAAAAGGAAACAATAAGAGGGGAGCGAGAAGGGTATCGCAGACGGGACAACCAGCAACGCGGGGAGCTTCAGCAGGAACAGAAATCTTAAAACTGCCGTTACCGCTAGACGTTTGCATTTAACAGAGGTCCATGCAAGACAAATTGTAGAAAGAAGAACCTGAAGCACTGAAGCCAAACTATGTCAATCATTCCTAGTCCAAGGAGATAGATAATCCGGTGTCAAGGCAAAAAACATGCAAGACGTGCTGAATTTTAGTATGCCGTATCAAGGGAGCGAATGAATGCGGTACGTCGATTATTTGATAGAGTGAGACACTTTGTGCATATGGTAACTGCCTACCACCAGCTAAAAAAGAAATTAAGTGAAACGATCGATTCAGTAAGGACCAGCGACGTATTTATTGCAACAGTTGTTGGTCAAAATCTCAATGGAGCGCTGGGGGCATTCCTCGTACTAGCAGTCGTTCCCGTAAGTACTCCGTAATAGTTAGTATATAACTTTGGGGAGAATGTCATGAAACATTGGGAATCCGTGGGCGATAATAGTTTTTTGCCAGAAAGCATGGCAAGCACCACGATGGCGGACCAAACCGATGGCCATGTTTAGGATACAAGGTTTATTCCCTCCATCCATTTTCTCTTTTGAATAAGCAAGTTAGCCATTGTTCAAAGCATACACATGATAAGAGAATTAGGGAACGGAATTTAGCACCGTGTTTCCAATGAACTCTACTGTACAGGACAAAGGATGTAGATGGTTAGATATACAGGCGATCGGACATCCAAGAACGATGGGACCAAGGTCTGGTCTCATACGCCGTGGAGAGTTGCGTCTCATAGGAAGAAGATTCCTTCGGAATTAGGTATGTATGTACAGTACATGTCCAAGCACCTCGGAGTAAATTGGAATATCTAACGGTATTTTCTGCAATGTAATTTGCCTCTAACGAGTGGGCGGATATTGAAACTGTACATCAGGAAGGGAGTAGCAAGGCTAGTTGGCACTCCGCCCCCATGTGGATAGGATTCCTCAGTGTATTCGAACTGTAGACCAGCATCGAAGAGGGCAGTTCGATAAATGTGGGAATGAAAATAATAAAAATAATAAAGCAAAGTTTCTTGGTTAAATATCAACTGAGAATAAGGTCAGGGATACTGATACCCAAGCCTCTAATATAGGACATGCCACATCCACTATCTCCCCTTGCCCTTCTTTGAAGGTCGCGCATTTTTCTGTTTCCTCATCTCCTTCACCTTTCTAGCCTTCCTTATATCCTCAACAGTTTTAAGCTCACTTTTGCCACGACTCGTAACGGCTGCCTTCTTAGCACCGGAAGAAGGATCAAAAGCCTTCTCTGTCTCACGTTGCTTTGCAGCTTCCAACTTCTTTTTCTTTTTCTCGTAATCACCTCTAAATTTATCGGGAGTTTTGGGTGCCTGCTCTTTGCGATGCCTGTACTTTTTGCCCCCGGGCATACCGGAACCAAGGCCAGGCGCTTCCGCCTCTCCGACCCTTGGTATGCGGCCGATCCTCTTTCCTTTCTTCCACGCATCAAAACGTCCACTTCGGAAACTTGCCGCAATCTTAACTCCACTCTCGCCACGGACGAGAAGGTCGCTTTTACCTCCTTTCGAACCATCCTCGTCGTTTCGACGGGATACATATTTCTTTTGGCGCTTGTCCCAGCGCATGATGGAGCGTGGTTCCCCAAAGCCCCGTGAAGTACTTTCGTCGCCCGCAAGATCCATAGTCGCGATGCGTGAAGATTCAACGAAATTGGTGTTTGAACCTGAATGAACTCCGTATGCACGATCTTCAGCCAGAGAGTTGGATGCAGGTGTGTACGACATGAAATACTCTGGGTTGTGGAAGGACTCTCTGAGATTTGGATTATTTGTGTCCTTTTTCGAATTAGATTTGCCAGACTGTGGATAGGAGAATGTGACTTCAAGTTCTGAATCAGATGCGAGCGACATATTGTCAGCAGCAATTGCATTACCATTCTCGTCATCGAAGTCACGCAACTCATCCGCGTCATCGTTATCGTCCGGCGGGTGATGGTTAGCTATCCTCAAGTCGTGCGTGTTATTTTGTGCGCACTCTTTTCGCTTTTTCTTAGATTCAAGTGTCGACCTCATTTTTCTCATCATATCAATCGCCTCATCATTCCCATTCTTTCCCCCACGTCTGCCACTGATCTCGAAAATAGTTTCCTGTGGTTTGTAACCTCCAACGCGAGCAAGCATCTTCTCTCTTTGCTCCTCCAATCGGCTTGATTCATCATTAAAAAGTGGATGCACCATCATCCACTCAGCCGATTCAACTACTGCTTTTGCTCGCTTAGCGCTTTCACCGGAGGCCGAATTTCTTGTCCTCATGTACAGTTTTTCGCCCTTCATTGCAACTTCGCGCTGCAATTCAACATCGACATCTTCATCCAAAAGTTTGGTCATCCATTCAGTGTAGCGGGCAACCTTGTCTCTCGGTAAACTACCCACAACCACATTCTCGGCGTAGTTGAGTTGGTGACCCGAACCTCGTCCTAAAATCAAAGGCCGACCAAGGAAAAGTTGAAGGTCGAGCAAATAGGGAGTATCCGATTCTCGGATGAGGCTGTAACTCCAACCAGTCTTGCCAGCTCTAGCAGTCCGTCCAACACGGTGAACAAATATCTTAGGTTGTGAAGGGAAATCATAGTTGATCACATTGGAAAGTATCGGGATATCGATTCCTCGGGCTGCAACATCGGTTACAACGAGAATATGTGTTATTCCGGCACGAAAATTTTGAACCTCGATTTTGCGAGCGGTTTGGTCTAAGGAACCGTATGCGTAGGAAACGGCAAAGCCAGATGTACGAAGTATTGATGTTAGGTAATCAACATGATGCTTTGTAGCCGTGAAAATAATCGTAGAGTATTCAGTAGGCGATTCTTTATGGGAATTTGAAGTAACTTCGGACCGCTTCCGTTTTTTTGAATGCTTCACTTCTTCCTTAGCGCGTTTATGCGCTTCTGTCTCTCCGGTAGGGATTTTGATCACTTCATGTAAGACATGTAATAGAGCGCCCTCTTTCTCAGAAGACTTCACAGTGAAAAACGCGTTTTGAAGGTCCGGTGAGATCTTGCTTTCCGCATCGAGGCGGATCAAAATTGGCTCCTGGAGACCTGCTCGAGCGAATTCCACCAAAGACTTAGGTAAAGTCGCAGAGAATAGAAGGGTTTGCCGTGATGAAGGCAGACCATGGAGAATTTCGGTTAATTGTGTTGCAAAGCCCATCTCAAAAAGCCTATCTGCCTCATCGAAGACAACATAGCGGATACTCGACAGATCCAAGGACATCTCTACTTTCAAATGAAGGAATCGTCCAGGTGTCGCAATAATTATATCTGGGTTACTCGCCATGTATTCAAACTGTTCCTCCAGGCTATCACCGCCAACCAACAAAACGGATTTCAGGTCAGTCCCACGACCCAATTCTTTTACGACCTTGAGAGTCTGTAGGGCCAATTCTCTAGAGGGTGACAAAATCAATGCCCTAGACCCGAATTTGGCGCTGTGGCTTTTTAGCTTTTCAATCATGGGAATCACAAATGCTGCAGTTTTCCCCGATCCAGTCCTTGCCATTCCTACAACATCTTGATCATCCAACACAAGTGGAATAGTTTTCCGCTGAATGGGCGTTGGGACAGAAAATCCTTTCCGCGTAATGGCCTTGAGAAGAGCTGCATTAAGCCCTAGAGACTGAAAACCTCCACCCTTTTTCACAGTTCGGCCTTTAAGATTTGACGCTTTACGGTTTGCTGCTGTTTGCTGAGCAGCAATGAATTCTTCGTCGCCATCAGCGCCATCATCGCCATCGCCCATAACATCGAGGATCAAGGTTTCTTGTGGCTTTCTTTTCTTGGAAGGTCTCTCGAGATCGGAAAGATCATCCTGCCCCTTAAAGAGTAGATTTGAGATATCGAACTCGTTCTCCGAGGCCGCTGGAGACACATCTCGATGAGGCATGGCCATTGGCGAAGAGGCATAGGCAGGACACAGATTGAATATGTCAGTCTACCAAGCTGGGATATCCAAGAAAATCCCTGGCTCGGGGCTAAAGTTCTCCAGCGACAACTTCGTGCTCATCGACCCATGTCGCGGAAAAGATGTTGTTGTCTGGGAGAGTCAGTGCTTTCGCATCCCGCATCAAAGAAATGCAAACATCCAAGAGACATACCGTTGCCCAGAATTACCACTCGAGCCTATGTACCGCATCTCTTGCACAGCGTAAATTTTTTATCCATTGAATACTAGCAATATTTTTCTGGTGTCAGAATTCGGAAAAACTACGAAGGGAAGGCGGTGAGTGGAACAACATTCCTCCGATTTCCGACAACCCCCACCAAATTTCTAAGCGTGTCCATAGAACGCGTTGACTGACACGTCTTCGCGGGAGGAAGTCAAGGCGGGGCGGATTTAGATATCATATCAAGACAACCAAAAAAATTGTATCACCACCTTTCTCAATACCCTTTCTCCCTAGTTTTTAAAACACCCCTCCTGCCATTATGGGTTGGTAGCCTCTTGTTTGTTGGTTTTAGTATTTTCTCAAAGCTAATATAGTCCCGCTCAGATGGTGAATACGCGAACTACTCAACAACTTTTTATGGTGCGCAAGGTGGCATGGGCGGAGGGGGTTTCACAGGCGGTGAAGGAGGTAGCCAAGGAGGCAGTCAGTCAGACGGAAGGGTATGAATATGATACTACCACTAAAGCATCTCTCACTGTCCTCGTCGCCCGCGGCTTGTCGAGTTACTCCTTGGCGTGGCTAACAAGCGCGCTTCCTGGTTTAGGGCTATATGAAAAACTCGCTTCGTCCTGTGACAATAAAGCAAACGCTGGATGCGACCCAAGCGCATGGAGATGCAGATTTTAAAATTGATGGCACGGAGGTATCACAGGTAACCTTCGTCGGCCAGGTCCGCGCCGTCAGCCACCTTACTACATTTGTCACTTATAAACTTGACGACGGCACGGGGGAAATTGAAGTAAAATTATGGCTCGAAAAGAACGCAGTCAATCCCACAGGAGATGATATGGATACGGGAGATGCTCCACGCTCCTCGGAATCAGAAATTCCAATCAACGGGTACGCCAAAGTTTGGGGAAAACTTAATAACTTCAACAATCGACGGAATTTCGTCGCGCATGTCATCCGCCCTATAACGAACATTGATGAATACAATTGCCATTTTCTCGAAGCCACAGCGATTCACCTATACTATACGCGAGGGCCAGTAGGGGGCCATCTGGGGGATGAGAAGCCGCTCCCTGGTGCAACACATGCCAGTGGTGGGGGTCCTTTCGCCGGAAAGACTTTGCCTCCAATGTCGCCGCTGGCTCGGAAGATGTATGAGACTTTGAGCAACACGCCACAGAGCAACGAAGGACTCCACGTGCAACACCTGGCGTCACTGATGGGTTTGCCTGTTGGCGAGGTGTATAAGGCAAAAGAAGAGCTGCTGAGCCTCGCATTGATATTCTCGACCGTAGATGACAACACCTTAGCAATTCTAGAGTATTAAACATGATACTTCAAATAGAAATTGCGTATAGTTCTTCCGATTTACGTGTATTGGTATTAGATTAGGAGATATCTTATCGCTGACCTTGTCGCCAATGACATCATGCCACTTGATGATGCATCATATCAGGCTTAGCAGTCCATTTGCTGGCTCACGAAAAATCAAGATAAACTCATAAAATTTGATATCCTTCAACAACAATAAAAAGGTTATCCCATGATCGGATGTATACATTTCAAAGCATGAGCGTCGGCTTTCCTTGCGGCTCCTCGGCAGAGCGCCGTGACTAAGCCAATATCTGACTCAAGGTTTTGCCGATATCTTTTTAGCCTCATCTGGAGTCCAACGTCGGATAAAATCCAGCAGATACTGGAGAATGGTCAGTGAAAAATGAAATAACCCTTCCTAACTCTGCCTACTGCTCCTGGCGTTTCGTCTTTGGCCAGATCCTAAATAATAACGGCAACAATTGCCCAACCAATCTTTTTGGGTGGCGCTCATCGCCATGTCCACCAGAGCAGCTGGAGATGCGCTGCTTCCAAACGGGCTTGAGCCCGCCCAAGAGGAGTGTACACAAGAAAATGGGCACACACATGCGCAAGAACAGGAGTGTCAACACCTTCACGAAGAACATTCGCAACCCCCCCTCTCCACAGTAGTCGAAAACCTCCATAAACAGGTCACTTCATTCCTCTCTGAACCGCACGACGCTTCGAGCATGCTGTATAGAGTGCAGAACCAAACCCGCATCTCTCTCAACGTCATTCAAGAGGCACTCAAACGCTTCTCCCTAAATGAGCTCTCCCTATCATACAACGGTGGCAAGGATTGTCTAGTAATGCTCATCTTATTCCTATCCTGCCTCCACCCACTACCCACGACCGAGAGTCTGTCAAAGGATGGAAAACCCACGCCTCCCCCAACTACAATACCTGCCATATACGCACAACCACACCACCCCTTCCGCTCTGTGGAGGAGTTTGTTGCCTCCTCCTCACATGACTATCACCTCTCCCTAGTCCGCTATACCACCGATCCCCCGCGTTCAACCCTTCGTACTGTTTTCGCCGCTTACCTAGACCACCACCCGCAAATCCGCGCCATATTCGTCGGCACTCGCCGCACAGATCCACACGGCGAGAAACTAACGCATTTCGACCACACAGACCACGGGTGGCCTGGCTTTATGCGTATCCACCCCGTAATCGACTGGCATTATGCTGAAATATGGGCGTTTATTCGGCACCTCGGGATCGAGTATTGTCCTCTGTACGACGAGGGCTATACTAGCCTCGGCGGGACAAATGATACACATCCCAACCCGAAGTTGAAGATAATAAGCAACGAAAACTCGAATGATGATCCGATACAGCGACCTTCCTCTTCATCATATACTTCAAATGGCGGAAAGGCTCGTTACAGCCCTGCTTATGAGCTTATGGACGACGATGAGGAACGTTTAGGACGGGATTGGTGATTATAAAATGCAAGGGATATATTATTTTAGAGCATTTTTTATTGTTATATTTTCCTTTCTTCTGCATTCTGCGCATCGTTGCTAGTCTCTCCCTTGCTCGGCACTATACACACTGCATATATCTATATTATTCTCAATGATAGATTCAAATCGATAAGATTTCAATTGATATTTTATTCTTAGATAAAAATTTTACTGAGAGATTGATTTAAGCAGTATTCTGCCCCTAAACAATTACCATTTGTGCTGGGGCGGCCGAAACTGGCCCCATTTGACGCTGGCGCTTGCAAATCACACATATGTTATTGGCCAGAGAATATGCAGTGTGGGAACAGAATACCCTCTAGTCGTACGGAGTATATATCAAGATTTTGGCCCTCAGGAATGATTGATTGATCCACAAGCCCCTGCTCCTCAAATGGCAATTCGCCGTATGTTGTGACTGTTTGGTCCATAAGTGATATCCAATGAGAGCTTCAAGACGAATATCCAAACGGCACGCATCATCTTTGCTTGGGTGCTTTATTTCAGACCTGTTTCGTTTGGCGCCCATCCCCCGGAGAAGCGCTAATTTTTTCTGCGGACCAGTTGGGAGAGATTGTAAATATGTTGATATTTCCAGGTTATCGAAGGGAGAGATCTTAAACAACACGAAGCTTTATATTCCTGCCCCCGGATTTTCAACTTTATTCTGTTACCAGAGATTTTTCACCTTTCAGCCGCTTAAGAATGTGCGACATCAAGTACAATCAACTTGAGTGCTCAGAATTCGCCCATCATCCCTGGCCACACAACGCCAGTCGATGAAAGCTCCCGCAGTATTCGCTGTCAGAAATGTGGTGACTGGGCCCTGGCCGGATCTCGCTTTTGTGCAGTCCGTGGGTATCAAAAGAGCCTGATCTTGAAACCCTCCCAAGCCAGAAAAGAATATAGATGCCGTCAGAGGTCGATATGGAGCCTGTCCGAATTCAAGGTAATTGGGGGAATCTTTTCGTGCAGAATTCGTGTACCTACGCTCTTTTCTACAGACATGCTACTTCCGGATATTGACTTTGGATCCGCTGGTGACCCACCCTCTGGATTAAATATATAAAGCGGGGTCTGCCCCTGCACAAAACATTTCGCCCTCACTCGTTGCACCATGACCTCGATGCTCGACCGGTTTTTTAATTGTGACTTTGCGGGCTGTCTGCTACCAAGTGTTCGGGGACTTGGTCCGTGTGAACGATGCAGTCTTCAACTCTGCCTAACCCATCGCCGTTCACCGTTCCATAAGTGTGATGACACGGTCTGTGCTGCTAAGTCATGTAGTTAGATTGTCTCTGACAGCTTTTAGCCCCTTGCAGATGATTTGTTCGAAGCCAACATACATGCTGAAGTGGAAAATATTCGCGCGAAAATCAATGACAAGGCCGTTTGCGACCGTGCATCCAAACTAAATGGCGGTGTCAAATGCATGATTGAGCACCCACCAGCCTGGGGTCGCGGATCCCTCATGGGCTGTGCAAACTATCACGCCCGTATTTGCTTCACTGATAAGGGCTCTGTTTGGCTCCTTCGAGTACCTCGAATGAATGGCAATGTCCCTCAATCGCTCGTCAACTACATTATCAGAAGCGAATACGCAACTCTCAAATTTCTCGAGACGACCAAAGTGCCAGCTCCTCGGGTTTTTGATTATGGGATCATTGGTGACGGAAACAATGAGTTGGGCGTAAGCTATTTACTGATAGAAGAAATGCCGGGCAGAACTTGGAACTCGCAAGGTCCGAACGGAAAGCGGTTTGCGGATGACAAAGACAAGGAAAGAATTTGGAGTAGCTTGGCAGATATTCTGATTGAGCTCGAACGTCATCCATTCCCAAGGGCTGGGTCTCTTCTCCCAGGTCCTTCACCTTCTGATCCGATAATATCCGCGATCGCCAGTGAGAGGTTTCTTGTTCTGAGCCCTTCTGGGCCGTTCAATACATCCAATGACTACTACACTTCATTTGTGGAGCAAAATATGGCCCTTATCACCGATGGCCAGCTTTTCACATCTTTTCCCGTGAATGCCTATCTAGTATTCGCATATTTGAAATCCCAGCTGCAGGCTCTTGCAGCGAAGCCAGCAGAGAATTCAGTGGAAGCTACGGAGCAGTTCTACCTCAAGCATGTGGACGACAAGGGAGATCATCTGATGGTGGACGACGAGTTGAACATCATTGGAATTATAGATTGGCAAATGGCTCGAGTCGTCCCCGCCGGCGAAGCGTTTGGGCCGTCTTTAGTTACAGCAGAAATGGGCGGCATTTACAATGGCAGGTCGTCTTTGACTGTCCATGATCTTGCATTGGCATACTTCTTGAAAACAAAGGGCGCGGTTGCTTTGGCTGAAACAATGAGTGGGAATGAAAGAGTACGCAGATTTTTCTTTGGGCTTGACGTTGATCTCTCTTGGGAAGAGACATTACCTCTAATTCGAGGCATTTGGGCTGCGTTTGGCGACGATAAAGACAGAGAATGGAGAGGCTGGAAGATGAATATGCTGGGAGAACATACTCATGACGCGCGTCTTAAGCACATTTTAGATAGATTTGGAGCAGGGCCATGATAAAATTCCGTGATGCTTGTTCTTCATGAAAATGGATATTTATGCCGTATGGTCATTAGTTTCAATTTTTTTTAAAAAAAAAAAGCTCTTCGAAAGACCACACTGAATTCGGGACAGCGCCCACAGAAGGGCCTCACCCCGCCACCGAAGACCAGTCACTATCTTTTCTGCTAGGGTTTCCGAACTTGAAGATTTCGATTGCGCTCATGAGAAGATGGGACCCTGTGGAGCATAAATGTTTGACCTAAAGAAAGTGCTAACTGTTATTGGAGAGCAAGTATCCTGTCACAGAAGTGTCACTGAGATTTTACCGGACAACATTGACATCCAGGTCTTTCAGGCCGAGGGCCTGTTCCAGTGAACGCATGGTCGCATGGATGACCAAAGTCTCAAGAATAACTATTTAGCCAAATGACATGGTTCCATTATCTAATTATTAATCAAGACCCCATATGTCGATACTAAAACTCCCAAAAGGACAACAATGCATCTAAGAAGCGCTTCCTTAATGGAGATAGATCCCTCGAAGCTTAATATCATCAGGGAGATCACGCGCTCTGATTCGTCCTCAATATTCGAGGTAGATCTGGATACGCAAAAGTATGCGCTGAAGCTTTTCCACGACACTGGATGCACGGAAAAAGGGCGTGATTTGGACCGATTTCGCTGTGAACTGAACGCATACAAGAAACTCCGCACCTCTGGTGCCTGTGCTCGCAGATTCGTCCCAAAATTCTACGGCTACATTGATCGAATGGATCCCGCAGCATTCCATCCTGCTTTCCAACATTTCGCCCAAGATAAGCTCAACCCTAGGGCAATATTACTAGAATACCTCCCAGATGCAGAGGCCTTAAACTGCGTGAACTATTCGGACGAGCTCTATCCGCAGGCAATTGAGGGCATGAGGGAGATACACAGGGCGGGCGTTCACCACCAAGACATCTACCCTAGAAATATTCTCCTCGTTCATGGAAACCCCGATAGGCTGGTGTGGATTGATTTTGATGTTGCAACGACCTTCGCAGAGTTTGGACCCGAGCAGCTGGCCCGCTGTGACTACGAGATCGCGCTTGTGAAGGGATTTGGTGAAGCACTGGTAAAGGGCTCCGTTGCTCCCACTTTTGAAAAGCATGCTAACTTACGAAAATAGAGACATGATCAAGCTGAAGGTCTTCCACCGAATACAAAATTTTATTAAGGATTTTATGGGTCTTTGGAGATCCCGACAAATATGGCCGCGTTCATGTATTTTTGTAACAGATGTGAATCGGGGTGGAGTCTTGATTACATGTAGCGCTGTTTTATTGCGCTTTCTTCATTGAATTGACACTTACTTTACTGTACGTAGAATCTCCTGATTTCTGCACCGAAAAAGAAAGCCTGGATTAAGATATTGACCTACCTTGAAATTCCCGGTGCAAGCAGGCCGGAGGACACGACTCCGCCTAGCCGCGCACTCCGAACCCTCAAAATCCAACCTCGAAACCCTCTTTCCAGATGCCAAAGTTATCCACACAGACATGACATCACATCTCTATCCGCATGCTGTGCTCTGCTATCCGGCGCAACCGCCGTCTACCACGTCGGATCCTCCTTGCACTCTGGTGAAATGGACATGGGCATCAACATGATTGACGCTGCCATACCCGAGAGCCAGAAACCAGGGAACGTGTTCAAACACTTCGTTTTCTCCAGTGTGCTCGGTACGCAAAATCGGAATCTTATGCAACACGACCTGGAATCCCGCGTTGAGGAGCGCCTGTTTCTTAGTTCGTTGAATTCCACGATTCTTCAATCGACTAATTTCATGGACGCGTATCCTGTCACACAGCTGGTGGGCCAAGATAATCCGTCGATCCAGAGACTTTGGAATCCACATATGCCGAATAGCGTCATCGCACTCCGGGATCTAGCCGAGGCGTCTGCGATTGTGTTGAGTGAGAGGGAGAAACATTTTTTCGTGCAGTATCCCCTCGTCTCGACGTTACCGGTTTCTGATGTGGAGATTGTTAGCGCTATAGAAAGACACATTGGGAACTCTATTGAAACAAAAACGCCTAGTTTTGAGGATGGTGTTGAAAATGTTATTGATTATCTTTTTGGTGGGAAGCAGGATGCTATTTACGCGGGTGAGGATGTGGATAATGATTTGAGGAGACTTGCTGCGGATGAGGATCTTCGGCCCGACATTACAAGGGACGAGGCGGAGCGGCTTGTGTTATTTTATAATCGTCGTGGACTCAAGGGTAATCCGAATGTTTTGCGGTGGTTGCTTGGGAGGGAGCCAACTAGTATTGAGGAGGGGGTTGGGTTGCAATTGGGATAATTTCATCGCCATAGGTAGTAGTGCAGTGCAATACTATCTTTCATGGCGCTCCCAGGTCACCAACGTCACTATGTGGATTCATTGTCGTCATTCAAAGGATAAAGAACGGCGGCTATTGCCACAGAACATACTTCCTCATGGCCGCCGCTTGGAGTTGACCAACGATGTTCCAATGATTATGAACTTGTGGAATGTCCTTGGCACTTTTACCTCGAGCTGAAACATCGAGTTAACGATTGAACACATTGAGAGTGTCCGCCGCCCACCACAACGCTGTTCGACCAAGGTGACCAACTGAACTGATGTCGACATTAGGCAATTCTAGCAGATGGTCAACAGCCCAGCTGAAGCCACGAGTAGAATTCGAAAATAGAATATCCACAAGACACTCAAGCTTTGTTTCTCGGCCCGTACCCGAAACTGCGCTTATCGATATTAACATACCCGCGTAAAGACTCCCCTCGTAAAAATTAGACAACATTGTAATTCCAGTATGGCAGCTTTACGTACAACACTGTATTTCCCACATATAGACCGAGCTCGTGTAACGCCTAGCATAGTCGGAGACGGCCCAGCTTCCACACTCTGGGTTAGTAATTCTCTACTTTCTCTGTAGCAGTTTGTTAAGAGCTCGGCATGTCTTTCAGGCTCTTCAAGAGCTGGCATATGACTCGACTTTTCAAGCACGGCCCATTTGACCCGTGGTATTGATTCAAACCAAGGCCCCACGATCGAATCATTATTCATGTCGTACCGACTGATAGGAGCAGTGCTGGCACTTCGATGTATTTCGCTGTCTTGATGGCATCATAGTCATGCATGAAGCCTGGCTGGCGGATGAGGGAGATACCTTTCTTGCCATTCGTCTTCCACATTCTCGTGCTGTTTTCCCATGATGCTTCAGTGAGTACCGCAGGCCACGGTTCGAGTATGCAGAAATGCTTTTTCGAGAAGCGTTCACACGCCTCTTGGTATGCTGGGATGTCGTATTCCCCATCCGCATCCATCTGCATGACAGCATCAATCACGGGAAACAGCCGGAACAATCGTCCTCTCTCTTTGGCGGAGAGAGCTGCGCTCGGACATGAATTGGCGATAACCAACTTGTGAAGGCCACGCGACTTCCTTCCAGAATATATGCTGGCTAGCATACCACCCCAGCTGGGGCCGTAGATAGAGAATCCAACTTTTCGCAGCTCGAAATGGTCCACGAGATTGTCAAGCTCAGCACAGAACAAATCAAAGCCCCAGAAAGCTCTCATCATCAGCTTTATCGCGGATGAGAGACGAGCGTGAGCACCCAACCTAGTCATACAAGATGCAAGGAATGCCTGCAGCTTCGAGTGGCTTCGCAAGATGGAAATGGTACTCAGAGCCAGCGCCAGGACCCCGGACCCGATAAGGCGTTGCGAATCCATCAAGACTTGCAGGAGAGACGGAGTGTCTGCGCACTCAAACCCATAATTCAAGTCAATGTCACAGTCATGTAAATTCATCCTTGATATTTTGGGAGATCAACTGGCCCATCTTCTGAAGCAAGGCGCCTTGATAGTCATATAATACATTCAAGAAGATGGAAATAACAGCTTGCTTGATATTCTTTCAACTCTGATTGAGGTCAGCCACTCGAATAATCATTTTTTCATGATGATGCACTTATCAGTCTCAATTTGCAATTCACTGCATGGCACCAGTGCAGGAATTCCTAGCAAAATTTTCTCCTGCAGTAGATATCAGTTGCGCGCTGAGTTGAGTCAGTTCTTCAGCTTTGTGTGCTTTTCTTGGTATTCTCGATCATCCACTGAGGGATTCTCCTGGTCTAGCAGCTTGAGGTGGGGATAGAACATGGCCAGCAGGTCCCGGAAAGCGCAGGCGTCGGCTCGGCCCGAAGCATTGGTACCACCGACCGGCTTCCCGGTATTCGACTGCTGCCCGTGCCGACCTTCGACGCTTATATAGGTGATAATTCGCATATGGTTGCACCAAAATCTCCGTTCAAAACTTTCAATACAACACTAGTACTATCTCACACCTTATATGATGGGAGCAAATTTCAGTTCCATTATTACTATTTTGTAAGGATCACATACTAAAAGCTAAGGTCAGGCAATTGCCCCTTGATCGTCTTCACATCACTAACTAATACACATGCCCATTTTTAAACCGGAGCTCGTAACATCATGAATCATCCATCTTCATTTCATCATAAGCAAACATGGTACTATGTAGGACTAGAAATGCTCCCATACCATAAACAGATAACATCAAAACATACTTCAAACGTCACGGCAATGGCCAGAGACAAAATATTCACCGCTGAACTGTTGGGGACGTGCTGGAAATAAAATATCTGGTATGGATATTGTCCGTAAGCACGTATTGGATAAAAGAATGACTTTCTGACCATCGGGGATAACAGGTGAAGGAGCGAAGAGCTACCGTAAAACTTGTTGTGAGGATATTTCAATACAATCAGTTTTCCATGATACCGTGAGTCGTTATCCATTAATCGTAACTACGTGTGGCTGGCGATGCGATACCGATGATAACTTCAGTGCTAGAGAGCCGCAGACGAAGTAATTAAATAGCTGTTCATACAGAGCCGGAAAAAGACTCAAACAAAGTCGATAAGCCCTAAAGCCCTAGGTGGATGATTTTGGGGTCGCAACAGTAATTTCCCTTCGGCAACCAAGAGGGGAAGTAGATCCTGCACGGTGATTTTCTTTCCGAGGGCTAGAATTCTCGGATCTTGTCACGCCACCTAAAACGGGGAGAACGGTTCTAGAAGACTCTGTGGAAAGGCCATCTCCATATGAATCTTGAGTACTGAGACCCGGGCGACCGCGGAAGGTCGGGGTGTTCTCCACATTTCCATTACTACGTGCTCCCCAGGAGTTAAGACGAAGACTGTTCACGGATTTATTCATCATTGGGCCACTACCAAGGTGTCAGCTCTATATCGGGGGAGAAATAAACTGGTTTAACTTACGGTGGGGATATTGACGTCGCTGGCGTCCAGACGGGGCCATGCCCCAATGGAGAAGGGAAGCTAGCCTGTGAGTTTGGACTAAAGTGGGAAGCTGTCTGTTGCAAACGCTGAAGAGTTGGCGACGGGGTAGAACCATTGACCAATTCGACTGAATAGTTGTATTCACCAGCACGATACGCACGACGTTCGTTACTCTGCAATTTCAGCTGTTTCTGCGCTTTCGTGTCTGCAAAGCGGAGGAGAAGCTTAACCCCATCCTTAGCTGTGACGTTGTGAAACTCAGATAATACTTTTTCCGCAATTTCGCGAGACTCGAACCTTCAGAACATACCGCAAGTTAGCGCCCACAAAATATCATCGGTGTAGAAGACGATGTAGCTAACCTCGCAAATCCAACCTCCTTACTGACGCCGGTTTTCTCATCGCGGCTGATTTTCTCGGAGACAACTTGATACGGTTGAAAATGGCGACGCAGATCCTAAGAGCTCATTAGGAAATATTTCAAAGAAACATGATGTGGCAAGAGATATATGAAATCTAACCGCTTCAACCCAGTCGATGGGAACATTGGTGCAATATATGTTAGTAGAACTCTTATCTTCAAGATCCTTAAGTCGAGAATTACGAGATTTCTATGGAATGTCAGTTCTTCTTTTGGCTCGGACAGATGTGTTTGAGTAGTTTCAAGTGTAAATACCTGGGCAAAGCTGGCCTGATAGCCTAGATGAAAAAAACCTCGAATACAGTTCTCGCAAGCATCAAAGCTGAAAAACTGAACAAACCCGAATCTAGACAAGTGAGGGATCAGCAAATTACCCCATTAACGGAAGCAATGCTCAAAGTAATACGGACCCTTTGCAAAGGCCAGTTTCAAGGTCAACAATTGCCTTGCAACGGTCAATTTTTCCAAACCGAGATGCGTAAGCATGTAACATCTCATCAGTAGTTTCAGGTAAAAACCCCCGAATATAAACATTGGTGATACCCTCTCTGTTCTCCAAACACTTGGCTAGAGTAAGATCCGAGGGGTTGGTCCACATGGCAGGCACTGCACGAGGAATGGAAGGATCCTGTTGCGTCAACGCATCGAGGTCCTGCAGAACATAGCCGCTGGCACCCTTCATCATTTGGAGCGGGAGATATGGTTGAGCAGGTACCATTGATGGAGATGGAGTGCCATAATTGTAGAGCATTGGGGGACGATCCATGGGTGCAACTGCAGGGTAGCACTCTTGCTGTCCAGCTTGATCAACCCCTGGAGTACACGGATGATTTTCCTCGATAGAGGACCAAGAATCCCGACGATGGCCAGTGAGTTCGGGAGCCTCGCCGTTCAGAGCATAAGGCCAGGTATACCCTGCCACAGAGCCGGGAACGACTGGTGGAGCAGTCACGAAGTTCGGGTATAATCCCGCAGGTAAATATGGCACTGAATTATGCTGGTCAGTAGCCTGAACATGGCGTTGTCCATACTGATTTGCAGCGGGTACACCACCAAACATACTTCCATTAGGCACTATCAAGTATTGCCCATTGTATTGACGCTGCATGCCAGACATATCGCCATTTGCACCGTGGGAAGCATGGATATTTCCCTTGAAAGAGGCAAACTTGCCAGCATAACGCTGGTTCTGTAAGTTCAGTCCACCAACCGCATGGGTTATAGCTTGAACGTTGGAATCCCTCATATTTCCGTTCACGCCGTTAGGCTGAGAGACGTGATGATAGAAACGGTTCTGATGTTCTTGATTGTAAACCGAGTTCCGTCCGTGGGCAGGGCCAGCTTCACCAGAATGATGCTGCTGTTGAGTTTGGGTTTGCATATCCCCAAGTTTGGTTTGCTATAATATTAGAATATATTAGGGGTCAGTGAGTGGGGTGACCTAAAAGGCAAAAAGTTCTCAAGTCTCGTAGTGGGGCTCAATCCCATACATGTTTTCAAAGGCAGAAAGAATGACAAAAGATTTATATTGAGCTAATGGCTTAGGCAGGAGGTAGGGTTAGAAGTTGGATTAAATAAACGGTAGACCCAACTCCATAAAACGAAAGAGTAGGACTAGAATGAATGAACGAAACTAGCAATCTCAATAGTATATCAAATAACACTTACCTGATTAGTTGGGGTAGAAATCGTCCCGTTGATACCAGGTTTTGCGGCGAGAATACCGAGCTTCTCCAAGATATCCATGTTAGCGAACACAAAGTGAGAAAAACAACAGGTAGATCGTTTAAGGAACGAGATTTTAAAAGTAGGTAGAATACTGCACCTAAACAAGCCCTTTGGATCCGGAGGAGAAACCCAGAAGAGGCCGTGGGTGCAGGGGCCCAGGGGACAACAAACAACAGACGAAAATGAAAAGGGTTAAAAAGAGAAAACAGATGGGGTTGGAATACAACGAAACAAATGGCGGGAGTAGAAGAAAGGGATGCTATAGAAACAACAGTGATAAACGAAAGAACTGCAAACTGAAGCTGGAGGAATGAAGGTCTTAGAGATGAATAAGGGGGGAAAGGGGCCCGATACGGTAGACCGAGAGAAGGTAGCTGTTTTGTAACAGCTAGCTTGTCTCGATGCCGATGGTAAACAGAGCGAGAGGAAGAGTTTGAGATGGATGATGAAGATGATAATGAAGGGAGATGGAGAGGAGAGGTGGGAAAAGAAGTGGGAGAAGAGAAGAGATGAGATGAGATGAGAGGTTTAGAGGGGGCAGTGGGAGGGGGGCCGGGTGTTGGCCGGGGAAGGCACGCTGCAATTTCAGCAACAACACAGAAACCGCCACCAGTCACTGCGGCGGGAACAACACACTGCGCCTTACGATATTCTGTTGTCATTCACCATCGGGAAGAGGCAGCAGTGAGTCTCCTGCACTTGGAAACTAGAGAATTGAGAAATCGAGGAAAGAACAAGCGGGGCTATTATGGTAGTCCTTCCAGATGGTTTTGTTTACTTCTCCCTCCCAGCTGGCTGTTTGTATTTGAGAAGCTGCTAACGTGCGTGTCTTGGACTGAAAAATTGCCTAAAATCAACGGTAGTGCCGCTTTTTGTATATATGACACAGCGTCTCTAGTTCCCGACAGAGAGAGAAGGAAAGGATACCCACCCTTCTTTATCTCGTCAAATGGAGAGAGCATATAGCTTGGAAACAAGCCCCAGGGAGAGAGATAGAGATGCTCTTGCTTCGGCAGCCAGGAAAAACATACCCAGAGAGGTTTCTCCCTCAAAAACCTCTTTAAAATCGAAAGAGAAAGAAAGAAAGAAAGAAAGAAAGAAAGAAAGAAAGAAAGAAACGAGATCGAAATCCACATAGCTCAACCATGTCAGGCAAAACATTATAACCGGAGCATGAGAATCACTCCCGTGGCCAAAAAAAGAAACCAGCCTCAAAAATCAAATAACCATAGCTTTAGCAGCCAAAGCACGAAATATGGTTATTATTTGGCAGGCAAGAAAGAAAAACCAGAGATGGCTAGAGAGACAGAGTGGGCTCGAAAGGGACAAAACCTCCTTTCTGGTCGAATGGGTACGGAACTCTCTCCGCATATTTAGGAGGCAATAGGGCCGCGAGGAAGTCACCTCTCTACCACCAGTTCTGTCCTCGAAACTTTGTTAGATAGATAATCCTGCTCTTTAACACAGTTAATGTAGGATGCATGATTTGAGGTAGGGTTGGCAGACCCTTTTCTCAGTAACTAAAGGTTAACCAGTCACGACCAGACACCGAGTCTCCCATCTCCTCCAGATCCTCAACCTGTCTATCAATTATATTGCAACAGAGGAATCAACGTTCACAGCGTCCCCACTACCCCCGTACTGCCAGACAACCCACGCCGGAGAAGACGGCAAGTGAGGAGGACGATAATCTTCTGAACAGGCACCAGCCAAGCCAGCCACGGCGGACTAACTGCTCGGGAGACAAAGAAAAAAAAAATTGTGATGCCTGAGGAAGTGCTGGATCTACAGATGGAGGACTCCGTACTTTCCCAAGCAATCCGAGAAACCAAACCGATTCAGTGCAAGTTTCCTCAACATGCGTGGTGAAAATTTTGCGGACCCAAAGCAATTGCATATTTGATGGAAATTACTTAGGCAAATATTTTCTTGCATCAGATGTCATGTGATCATACAATGTTGGTCTCAGCTACCTCAGACAGAGTACATGCAACTGTTACATATATATTGAAGGATACTCCTTTAATTAGTTAATATGAAAACGGAAGACACAGCAACAATCAATAAAAGTTATGGATATATAGAGTAAAAGAAGCAAATGAAGTTAAAAAAAAAAAAAAAAGATTCGGTAATAAACGGAGGGAAAATTTTAGAAGATGAATTCTATGCAACCCCCTAGTTGTACAGGGTAGACATAAATAATTATATATATCCAGAAATTGGAAAGTGCGGATTGAGCAGAGAGCTGGTAGACATAGAAGAAAAAAGGAAAAAGGAAAAAAGCAAAAAGGAATGCAATCTATGATCAAAACAAGAGAGACAACAAGAACTAACCTTGTATAACAAAAGCATAAACAAGAAAAAAAAAAAGCAAAGCAAAGCAAAGAAAAGAAAAGAAAAGAAAAGAAAAGAAAAGATTGGGGAAAAAAATTACCCCAAATGTATCCATGCATACCATACCATGCTATACCATGCGCATGTCATAAGGGTGTCTTTCCACTTCAACCCACACTACAAAGGAAAACCAAAGAAGCAAAAAGAAAACCACGAAATCCTTAAACCCCTTCACTCCGCCACTCACTCCAAACTCATGACCAAACATCCTCCTGATATGACCCATTGTTCCGCATATGCTTCACAAGCTCCTCGCCCTTCTCCGGCGCCAGCCCGCGCTGCTCCGCAATGATCTGGCCAAGGACCACATTTACCTCGCGCGCCATGTTGGCCGCATCACCGCAGACGTAGAAATTGGCCTTTTGGAGGAGGAGGTCGTTGACAAGCTTGGCATGTTCGCGCAGCTTGTGTTGGACGTAGACCTTTGTGGAGGTCTCACGGGAGAAGGCGGTGATGATTTGGAGGGAGGAGCCAAGTTTTGACGATAATTTCTATTTATTTTGTAGATGGTTGTAGTGGTCAGTAAGGCAATTTTTGCAAATTTCTTTTTTAGGTTGGGAGATTGGACCGGGAGGGTCGCGATGAGAGGTTGAATGGGTTTGGATTAAATGATTTTTGTACATACCTCCCACTCGTCTTTATACAAGAAATCCTCCTCGCGCTTTCTGCAGCCGTAGAATAGAATAGTTGGGCCGACGGTATCCCCCCTCTCAAGCTGTGCGGCACGCTCCTGAATAAACCCGCGGAATGGAGCGACACCGGTACCAGGCCCAACCATGATGACGGGTTTGGCCGGATCTGACGGGAGCTTGAAGTTGGAGTGGCGCACATGGACGGGGACGTGGATGCCGTCATATTTGTTTCGGGGCCCATTGATGGCGTACGTTAAGCCGTGCGGGTCCGGGTTGGGGTCACCATGTTGCTTCTGCTTCAGGGCCAAGAGATAGTTTGTCGTGACACCTTTGAGATTGTGCGTCGCGCCTGGGACACGGAGTGATTCCACGATGGCGGTGACGCTTATCTTGTTCTTTTGTAACAAGGAGGAAGACGAGATGGAGTAGTATCGCGGTTGGATTTTAGGGATACCTTCGATGAGCAGGGAGAACGGGACGTCTGAGAACGGTAACGAGGTGACGCTTTGCAGGGCTTGAGCAATGTTCATATACTGGCTGGCAATCTTCTCTTGGAAGTAGTCCTTGTCGCTGCCTAATCGTTTCAATTCATTGCGCGAGGATTCGTCTGGCGCGAAGGCTGCGAGAGAAGCGACGAATTGACGAGATACGGGACCGCAGATTTCCATATGATACCTCATGACGGCGTCATACGTTGTTGGGGTAGGGAAAGGAACCTTAGCAGTGACGTCTAGAGGCTTGATCTTGATAACCATATTGCGCTTATCTGTAATTCCAAAAACGGTTGCGAACCGGTCTACCTCTGCTCCGGCATTAGTGGGCCAGATGGCGATATGGTCGCCGGTTTGGTAAGACAGTTTGCTTCCCTCAATATTAATTTCCATATGTAGGCAGTTGCGGTCCTTGACGGTAAAGAGCTCCCGAGACTCGACGATGGGAGCAATGAACGGGTTGTGTGCGTGGTATGGTCCTTTCTGCTGGCCTTCGAGGTGGTTCTGGTTCGGTTCTCCGAGGTAGACATGGTCGGCCTCGGGAGACGTTTCTGGTTCTTCAATAACGGAAAACACTGGTTCGTAAACGGCCTCTCGTTCTTCCAAGTTCATTTCCTCTGACAGAGCCTTCCACATTGGTTCTTTCCAGGCCAGATAATCTTCTTCCATCGTGCCCGCACCGTCATCGCCTTCGCCAGCTTCTCCGATTCGTTTGGCCCCAAGTTTCCGCATAGTGGCATCAACATTTCTTACCATCGAGTTGAAGTGTTCATAAGTATTATTTCCTAAGCCAAATGCGACATATCTGATGGAAGAAAGAGGACTGTCATCTGGTCCTCCGCCACCCTCAAATGCGACATCTTCGCCCGTAAGGAATTGGTAGAAATCCACAGCGTTATCCGTAGGCTCGCCTTCGCCGTAGGTGGCCAAAACGAAAAACATGACCTTGTCTTCGGGGAACTTATCCAGATTCTCATAGTCGTAATCTTCCAAATCAGCAACCATTGTCTTAAGGCCGAATCGCTGGGATCCCTCTTTGGCCAACCGAGAGGCGTAGTCCTCTGCGGTGCCGGTCTGGGAGCCGAAGAAAATCACACAGTTCTTGCCGGTTTCGTTTAGTTTCTCGATGATATCTCTTGACGCTCCAGCTTTTGAACCATTTGCGGCCGCAAAGTTCGTTGCATAAGGGTCCTTGGTAAAACCCCATAATGAGCCCTTTGTGAAATAAGCGACGGTACCAACGAGGATGGCCACCAAGACCACCATGTCCAAAGTATCGACTGAGGCCATGGTGAGGAACTTGGGCACCAGACGAAGCCAAGAAGAAGACAGAAAGAAGAGAAGCAAGAAAGAAAGGGGCGGGGGAAACGAAGCGGAAAGGAGACCGGGTAGGCGGAAGAGAAAAGGCAGATTCAGTTCCTGAGCAACGAAAAATAAACAATTGTCAGTTCGATGCACCTCCCACAAGGTAAGAAAGGGGAAAAGGCATTCTAAAAACAGGTGTGAAAATGGTACAAATAAAATAGCAACGCACTAGTTGGTTAGTAAAATAAAATTAATCAACTAAGTCTGATTCAAAAAGGGATATCAGGCGGAATGTCCTCTCGCACCGTGACCGGGAGATCCGGTGAGGGAACAAAGGAAATAAACGGCGATGGCCAAGGACGAGGCGAGCGGGTCTCTTTATTTCCACCACCTACTGCTGCGCGGTCAAGGAACGGAGAGGACAGTGTGCTGCAGTTAGGTGAGGCGGAGGAGGAGTGTTGTTGACTGTTGCGAAGCCGGGAGTAACTTTCTGCGAACCCGTTGTTTGGGCCGCGATCCGTGCCTCGGCTAGGCCAGGGTTAGTCGTTAGACTGGGCCCTGAGGCTGTTCTCTACCAGCGAAATATTGCTGCGAATTTTGTGGGTTTGTGTTTCTATTCCTGTCTAGCCCGTTTCCTGCGGCCACTGCGTATTATCACGGCCATGTGAGCTGTGACGAATCTACGGTCATGGTGACCAAGCAGTCCTGTCTGGTTGTAGTAAAACAAAGAAATGCCCCAGGAAAAAGCCACCAAATGTCGACCATACAACCAGCTCGCCTTCTCTCAATACTCATCTATATATACTCTTCTTTTCCCAGCCTGCTGTTGCTCGCCAGTTTATACTTGTATCAGCGCCACTGTCCTGGGCGTGTTTGCCAAAAAGACATGACAACATCCGCCGAGTGTTTTCTAGAAGTGGGCGCATGCGGCGACATTCGCTATCTGTTCAAGGATGGGAAACAGATAATCGTCAATGGGACTCTGTCCATTGATCTCAGCTCTATACCCTTGCTTGAGGATACTACGAGAGTGGAGGGCGAGAGAGTTACGCATGAAAAGAGGTACACGAAAAGTAATACAATCCTCATCAAGGACAGCGATTTTCCCAATGTCCCGCGAATTGACTACCACACCATGCGGCATGGGACATGGAGCGACTGTTTACCTATCGAATTCGGCCACGGTACTGATCATCCAGAGACCGTGTTCAAGCTGGCTGCCTGGAAGACCAAACTCGTACATCGTGATGCTACCTTTCTCTCTAGGCTAGTAAACAGTGATAATATTGTCCGCTTGGTGAGCATCGTGACCGTCGAGGGTCGTTTCGCTGGGTACGGAATGGACCTACTCTACGAACTTCGCTCTCCTCTTGGTCCTACGACGGAACGGCTGAAGGAGATGTTACCGGATTTTATTCAGGACACAGTCGAATACCTCCATCAAACTGCCCATATATACCACTGTGATATTAGGATGAGTAATATCATGGTAAATGGACAGGGTAGGTTAAAACTCATCGACTTTGATATCGCGGAAATAGATGTATCGGCTTCCCCGCGCACCTACTTCCCTACCGCCCAGTTCTTTCTTGGTATCTGCCACAGGCTCGATCACCTTGACGTAGGTATGTCCGTCTTCCTCATGTTTATGGTGTTGTCAGATACGCGTGAAGAGATACCCGCCAACGCCCTTGACCCTTTCAATTTCTACATCGACAATAACCTCCAACGCTCAGCTTACTTTCAACATGTGCAGGACGCGGTTCAAGGGAAGCTGCGGGCACACCTGGAACGTCCAGATGCGGAACTTTCCATGCCCTACAATCACGGCGAATGCTGACACGTTGGATACCTGTCCAAACTGCTGGAGAAAATAACACATGATTGTTCCTCCATAGTAGTGCCCATGGTAACAACTGCTTGCATACTTTACTCCACTTTTTCAGATGCCAATGAGACATATACTGGAGGCGGATTATCCCGACATTCATTTTTCTCTCTGTCCTCTACGATCTTCGACGGTGGAGACGGTTTCGTTCACTGGGGAAGAGGGAACCGGTATGGCTGAGGTTATTGCTACGGTAGCTAGGAGGGTGAGGACGGCGGAAATGAGGTGGAGCTTCATTTAGTATTCTTATGATCGACTGGATTTACTTCCTTACCCTTCAGGCAAGTTGGGTCGTGGTTCCGTGTGGAGGATCTCAGTTTTGGATTGATCTTTCCTGCTGCGGCTTCAATTCTCGGGCTTTTATACCTGGTCGAATAAGCGGTAATACCTCATCTCCTTTAATGGAGAAGACTCTACTGCCTTTTTATGTTTATACGAGCGCTCCTTGGTGCCAACACCGCGGTTGCTGGTGAGAAGTGGAAGTCATGGCCCACTTCACCTCGTCGTCTTCAACCGAAGACAGGAACGATGCTTGTACGCAGACTCCCGTTCATTAGCCGGCACATTTGACCAATAAACACTCCTATCATCGGCTTCTCAGCTATGCATGCTCTAATGTTCTTCCCAAAACTCGGACTCGATCGTTCGAAATGACTAGATAATAGCTTCTAAATCTCATAAATTCGGTTGCAAACGGTAAGTTGTGTTCCGACATACGGCAATGGGCTCGCGGCCCATTTCACTGGTAGAGCCTGATGACCCATTTTCGATCTCAGTGTAGGAGTGGTAGTCAGTTACTGGAAAGCGATGTTAGATTTCAGGGCTATGAAGTTATAGCCAGTTCCAGCTGGTTAGGAGATTCGTTTTTAGTAGTATAGCATAGATCGCATCGACTAGAAAAATCTGAAATTATAGATTCGAACTCTGTAAAAGGTGTAGTTATATCTAGTGGTTGTACAGGAGATTTCGGAACATGAAATTGAGAACACCAACCTCCCCCCACAATAACTACTACGCTATACCAAAAACTGCTGTTGACTCCCTCCTGCAACATTACTCAATATCTCCTTCACCAAGTGGACATTCTGAGGGATTTTACAATGATACGTCAGCCGTCGGCCGCTTGTTATTTGACTCGCCATTCCCTTTGGACCCATCTTGCATCCAAATCGTCTCGTCATTGTGCACATCACTCCAAAGGTCATGCAATGACGCCCAAGTTGGCTCCCTGTCAGTCTTCGTTTCCTACAACATTTATCGATTAAATCATTTACAAAGGTAAAGATGAAGGTTTTGATCCGCATACCTACACCGGCGGCCGGTGGCTTCGTCACGATAAGCTGGAGAGGGACTCGCGCTACATCAAATTCAACTTCAGCGCCCTTTGCCAGAGGGTTCTTGAGCTATGCCCAGGAGCTGAGTCGATCACAAGCTACCAGAAGACGGAAGGAGGCTTCAACCGGGTCTTTATTTTCACCCTGAGTAATGCCAAACGGGTCGTGGCTAGGCTTCCATTCACGCTGGCGGGCCCGTCGAAATTAGCCACGACCTCTGAAGTTGCCACGATCAAGTATCGTGAGTTCAAATAACATAACTGGCCCACAACGCATCAAAATTGATAACCAACTCGTTCATAGTACAAGCAAAGACCAGTATCCCGATACCGCCAATCCTCGACTGGAGCAATGATTCTACAAATTCCATTGGTAGCGAATATATCATCATGGAACATGCAGCTGGTGTTCAATTACACAACAAATGGCCAGATATGGCGGCTGATCAACAAGTCAGATGCATAGATGCGATTTATCGGAAGGCTAAAGAAATGATTGACATAGAATTTCCCGCTTTTGGGAGCCTGTTTTTTGTCGATAGTCCACTGGATTCTGGTCACAAAACTCCTCTGGACGAGATGTTTTGTATCGGACCTCACTGCGGATCTCGGTATTGGGATTGCAATGTTAGTGAGCCAAAATATTATCATAACACAAAACCTAATAATGGCCCTTGTAAGTCTTAAGGCTCTTGACAACCTTGATTAACCCGCTTATAAGTAAACTAGGGACTAATCTTGACCACTATTGTGACGGTCTCATTGATGCTGGTCTTTCAGGGATCCCACCGGTCGATATTGAGCTTGAGAAGCGACCCAGTTTTCATGGATCTACTGAGTTGCACGTCAACCTCTTGAAACACGCCCGCACCGTCCTGAAGAGAATGTCTGCAGATTCTCAAGTCCAATCTGCTGCTACTCCAGCGCTGTTCCACCCTGATCTACATAAACGGAACATATTTGTGTCGGAAGATGACCCTTCTATTGTGACCGGTATTATTGATTGGCAATCGGCTAGTATCGAGCCGGCTTTCTGGTATGCAGATGGGGTACCAGATTTTGCCGAGCCTGGAAGCCTATGCGCCAAAACATTTGCGGTTTGCTCCCAGTTTCTCACGCCAAAACTCTTTGGCCCCAGGCTGATGGATGAAAATCTTTTTCGGCCGTTTCGCTACAGCTACAGGACATGGAAGGACGGCGCCGTGGCTCTTACCTACGAGCTAATTGAAACTTCCCGAAGTTGGAAGGAGTTAGGACTTGCAGGTTCCAGCCCATACCCTCTACCTACACAAAAAGAGCTAGCGGACCACGAGAGGGAGTACAAGCTTTTTGTAGCAGCCCAGAATTTGAAACGCGACCTGTCTAGCCTTCTCAACACCGCATCCGATGGATGGGTTCCTCTAGAGGACTGGGAAGAAACTAAATCAGCCCACCGGGAAGTTTTTGACGGTATGTTGAATGCTGTATTGACGAATGACGACTCAGACTATGACGAGCCAGTAAAAGACGAAAAGGTCTTAAGATCAATCTGGCCATTTGATCTTAATACTTAACTGCCATTATAGCCGAAGATACGTAAATGGGAGGCAGGGAAGGCCAATGAAGGAATAGACACTGTCTTTTCTAGTCGCTACTGGCTTGCCATCTGAATTAGAACGAATGCAGGAGAGTCAAGAGGGGGTGGGAGGCATTTAAGGTTGGTGTACTGTTATCTAGGCTTCTGAACCGTCCTGTTGTTCCTGTGCTCTGCCTCGAGCTTACCACCAAGCGTCGAATTGGAGTCGTAGAATCACTATCAATCATTGACTTTCATCTCAAATATACGTCACAAGGTCCGTTATTCACTTCGTACAAATAGTCATTGACGAGAAACTACTGTTTTGGAGGAAGGGGAAGGAGGCTCTCATGATGTTTGTTGATCCAGTGCTTATTTAAATCTAGAATCTAGCACCTTCGGTTGTGAAACTTCAAGTATCAATGAGGATACTCTCAATGACATCAATAACTCTTCCCCTGGGCTCTTGTTGTAAATGACCAACCAACCAACCCATCTCCACAGGCTTATATCAAACGATTCCCGATATGGCTTGCAAGGAAGACAATCTTTACATCACATATCCTTCAGCTGGCTGAGTACACTGTCCAGGTTCCGACCAGTAGTGCTCGCGTTCTCAGCAAAATTTGCTACAGATATTATCAATCAGTAATCCATAAGACAGAAAGGATTTGATGACTGGATCGTACCATCAAAAGTTCCATCTAGAACTATCTCATGCATCTTCCCACTCAAGAATAAAGTTGCTGGGCTTGTACTTGACTCTGTTTGACGAGGAATCTGACTTGGGGTATAGAGACGGGGATAACTTGATGATTCTAGCATTAAAAACATACTAGTTATTAGCACTGATTATACAACCACTCACTCACTCACTCACTAATAACTTACCAAACCCAAAGTGTTGTGAATCATGGAAAAAGGTAAGTTTACATCTATCTTCAGCATTAGCTGCAGAAGCTGATGTAACAGGGCTGGCAGCGTGGAGTGCACTACCAACCCCCGGTTCAACCAAAACATAAGTTTCTCCTGGGTTGCCAATAATAACAGGCACCTTCCTGGTAATCAGATTTCCTTTCGTGTCATGGATAATGAAATCTGTTGTGACCCGATGAAAATATCGTATGGTATGAGCACTTCTGGTGTAGTGGAAAGAGGAGAAGGGCCGAGAAGCACTGCGAAACATGTGGAATTGGATTTATTGAAGTGAAGACTCAGGTCAGTAAAGGAACAGATAATTATTTCGCATTTGAGGCGTACAATGAGCTCAATAGGTTGCAGAACACATTCGCATACCAGTGCTCTTTTTGCACAAGAGGTTGAACCTGGTTGGTTGTTATTATCTATCTAATGGCTAGTGGCAGCTAATAGGGCTGAAGCACACATCTTCGAACACCAAAAAGATCAACTTTAAGGTAGCCAGCCACCTATGCCTCGATATATATATATATATATATATATACATGATTTACAGATCCTCCACCTATATCTATCCTTCTCGAGTCCACCCCGCAGAGACGCGCGTCCTACGAAGAGCTACTCAGAAATCAGACAAGGGTGGTGCACAACATAATGAAGAATCATAGTTTGCCAACATGGCGGCACGATCACTCACAAAAAAGTGCACGAATATAGAGATACTTAGCAAAGATACAGTTAGATTCGTCCAATCATGTTAAATGAATGCTCTCAATAGCATCATGAGCTACCTAGTTGTATATATAACCAACTCATGCAGTTAGAGTCTGAAACCAACTTGACCCATTTCTCCCTCCTCAGCACCACCACAGCTTATTAAAACCACCCAAAATCCGCACATGTGAAATCTAGCGGAGGGTGAGAGGTTGGTGACGTTGGCACGATGACGATGGGAGGTCTATATCAGTAATTAGTTTAGTTTTTGATCACTAGTTCTTCGCTGTTTTCCAGACAGAGAGCTGGCTTTGTAGCGTAATCTCTTTGGACATTTTGAACAAGATGGCTATATACCGAAGCAACGTCTTCTTCAGCGATGCAGAGATTGCTGCTAGCCGCTACAGAGGTCACGGCAACTGAGAAGGAAAGAGGAAACGCAAGAAAAGGTCACACAGACAAAGTGTCAGCAATGCAACTGATTGTACCTGACCCTGCAGACGTAAGTATATGGCATAAACGCACAAACTTGAAACGCGGTAGTCAGAGAATAAGACTTGGAGCTCTCTTGCGGGCTATCACTGCGGATCCGTGGGCTCTAGTAAGGCTTCACCCAAACCACTTCCAGCCCTTTGTCAGGGTATCTCTCGGTTCTCGAACCTCGCTAGCCATTTCATATGGCTTGCATACAGATTAAGCAGGACAAAAGGGGTCAACCACGCGTCTGGTTCTGGGTGGACCGTATCGCGAGGCGTGCCGGACTGGCCTCCGCGAACCCTAGACCAAGTCGAACGCCTTGCGGGAGGAGTCCCTACCACTTACTGGGGAGTGAGGCATCGTGTTTGGTACAGCTTTTGATTCCTCGGTTCTTGAGCTTCATACTGTACATAGCGGACTTGGAGAGAGCTTTTCGACCTCCGTGGAAAATACTCTAATATCCGACTCCAGGGTAGATTCCACTCCTCCAGCTCAATTAGGAGCTTATCGTCCTCGGGGAGGAATCGAGTTCCCTTGCTTGTGTTCACTGCCCGACACTTCTTGGAAGAGAGACTCTTAGAATGTCGGTTCGCACATCTGGTCTCTGGAACTTCGCGTGATCTATGGGAACAGGAATTCTCCCGTTGCTCTTCAAAGGTGAATGAGTATACCCTCTTTAAGAATATCCGCCGCGTGAGAAAACCTCGCATAGGTATGGTTTCGATGTCATAGAGACTTGTCGAGGAGAAAACGTGATCCGCGGATATGCCGGCCGGTGTCGCCTCTGTAGGGGAGCGACAGGCAGCCTTGCACTGCGTGTGTGCAAATGGGAGTCTCGTTGCAGTAGTCCGTCTTGGCTTTTTGTTGGTTGAAAAAATCCACCACAAAGATCTCTGTCGCTCTCTTCCGTGTATCCCTGTCATTAAAATCCCGGGGTTATCGCTGTCATCACATCGCAGCTCGGTTCGATCTTTTCTTTTGCCCGGACATCTTGAACGAAATCTAGAAAGGGATCCTTTGAGAGCGTGAGCACAGCCCAGGGGCCACCCCTAGTGGCGGGGAGGATCTTTGCCTGGCTCCTGACAAGTCTTCTTCTGCAGGACCTGGATGGAAGCTCATCACATTGCTACAAGTCAGGAGAAACAGGCGCAGGAGAAAATGCTTTATTTGCACCGAACTGGCAGGACGTTGCCTCGGCTGCTATCATCATTGAGCTCTAGCACCTTATGGTTGTCGGGTGCGGCTGCATGGCCCGTGGCTGCCTCCACCGTATGTTGTTTTGCAGTGAAAGGCTGGTTATTGCTTGCATTTTCAGTATCTACACTTCCCCTCTGATAGGCACAAGTTGATAGCTGAAGATTATCATTAGCGGCTTCATGAGGAGAGTTGAGCTGACAGAATGGTGAATTCCCCTAGTAAATGAGGTTGTCTCAGTTTGTAGACAGTGAACATTTTTTTAATCAGCTATCATGCAGTTCTCTATCTTATCACAAGCAGAGTCATGCACCTGCACGACATCCATGGTGGGGAGCAATGCATGACAAAGCCAAGTGCTTGTAGTAGTTTGCAATGATGTTTGGGAGTAGATGGGCATTAATGGATGGTATCATCCAGATTGACCACAATCATAGTGAGAAGTTTTCAGAAGCAATCAAACACAAGGTTAGGTCTGAAGAGTCAGTACTCTTGATGTCAATTATAGCCCAAGCGATCTCTTTATACTTGACCACTTTCTGACTGGTCACTTTCTAGTCACCTCAAAGGGTCAGAGCCATCGCCAACAAAAGAGAACACCAAGATAGATCACACAAATAGATACCACTTCAGGTAGTATTTTTTCAATTGGACAACAATTTCAACTAGTCATGTGTTCAAACAGCCTGCTGATGGATTCGCCCGTCCACCATACCGCGACAGAGTGCCATCGCAAAGGGCGGGGCCCATGGACTGACTAGGGGGCTGCTTGGTAATAGAGAAATCATCCTGTGCGGTCAGTCCACATCATAAATCCAGTAGCAAGAGCCCACCCAATGCGGTGGAAGGGCCAGTAGTTTCCGTAGAGAAGTGAGAGAGTGAGGCATTAGCAGATCACTATCTCAGAATAATAATGCATGTCTAAAAGACAGTGCACATGGCAATCAGCACCTAACATAAAAGCCAGCTCAAGAGTGCCATATCATAACCTATCAGATATTCAATGACATTGCAAGATTGATCAAGTCGGCCAGTCAAGTCATATTCAGTCCATCAATCATGGAAAGTGCACCAAAGCACATATAGACACCATCTAGAGACATAGTAAAATTTTGAAGAGAACAGAGCATCTGTAGGCCTCTCAAGCAATGGGGTTGTAACAACAGGGCAACCAGGCGAGAAGAAAATGCAGCAAGGAGAGTCAACGGTGGTCGAGCGACACACCAAGTGTTTATATAGTTGGAGGGCAACAGCGGGGGCAGGCGGTCAGGGGCGGCAGGACCCATTCTGGGATAGCGCAGAATCAGGGCACACTAAACCCGAACAAGGGCAGGGAGCCGAAAGCGGCCACGTCGGCAGCCAATGACAATTGCCCCACGTACAGTTGTCAAAAGTATACACAGCACTACGGAGTAGTCCAAGCATGTTTGATAGCAGCATGGTCCGATGGTCTGTGAGAACTGAGTATGAGGTACTGAATCATGCGATACACAGGCTCCAACCGTTCAATGGCCTTGAGTGGATCGGAGTTCCCCAAGGATGGACAGCAACTCAAGGGGATTGTTTCGAGCGGCAGAGAGAGGGTTGGTGGAGATGGCCATTCGCTGTTTCCGGGCGCTTTCAACGTCTCAGATGGGGGTGAAGCGGATCCACTCAGTGAATTTTGTTCGCTGGGCCAAACCCGGGCTAAACGCAGCAGACTCGAGGGGTTTTGTAAAAGTTGTACACAGTAGCGTTTCGAAATGGCGGGTAGAAGAGCATGCACCACACTGCTGGATCCTATCAATGGGCCTGGGTCGAGTGGATGGTTCTGTTTCGTATTTGCATCACGATCACGGTGGGATGGGGCTAGGTGACGCAAGGACCGGAGTTCCATCCATCCCCCTTGGACGAGTCTATCCCCGGCCAGGAATCCTAGCACCTAGCCAGCGGAGTTTCTCGATCTTCAATCCTATTCGAATCAGAACAGCGTGCATGAACCAGCATCAGCCTTGGTATAGTTAGTCATTTTTGATTGTAGACTGGAGGCATTGGCCTTTTGTTTGTCCTGGCCAGCAACAAGCCCGGGCCCACCGCCGCCTGGTGCCAGCGTGAAGTAGACGAGAAGCCGAAAAAAAGCCAAGTCGGTCCAAGCCCGCTGGAGGCCTGGACATCTGAACTTCTCCTCGCTCCTCCAACATCCCCAACGCGCTGTGCAGGTGCTGTGTGTCTTGGAATGGGCTGTGAAATCAACGATGCGAGGAGATAGATACTCCTTTGCTGCCCTCTCTTCTCACCGTTGCTAGAGGAGGCCGTTGAAGATGCAACAACATACCCGTGAGTATTTCTGAGGGGTCCCTGCCAAGCCAATCCCGGCGCTTGCTGTTGTTCATATGGGCGACTTTTTTTACTCGCTGCTCCAAACGTCCATGAAAACCGGCATCATCCACGGATTACAGTTTTCCTAGTGATCGTGGTTGCAAACAACGGCTGACTCTATCTCTAATCCTTGTACAGCCAGTCCTCACCCGCTGCGGCTAGTCGTTGGCGGCCATGCGCTGCCCTACAGACTAGATGAACCCGCCCTCACCACCTCCCAGCCGAATATCCACTCCTCGTCCGATCGTTTAGCTTCCAGAAACCCTCCCGCGATGATGTCCCATACTAGAGACCCATCTGCTGCACGCGGGAGAGCTACCGACTCTTCTCCCGGTTCCCTTCAATCCCTACAACCGCAACCACAACCCCGGCTACGTACGCAGTCACACTCCAAAAGCCCCGAGTCCGTCGGTACACGATCAGCTACAAGTCTAGATGGCGAAGGCCTCGAGAGACGACCTTCCAATTCGGCATACGGACACCATCGCCAGGCTTCAATAGTCCACGGAAGCATCCAGCACTCGAGGAATGCAAGTTTCGCAGCTTCTTCCGCCAATCCCGGCCCTCTAAGCCCGGAAGGAATTGCTACTGCCGCATATGGGGTTTCCCACGCCCTTGATTCCCCTTTGAATGGAAAACGAGATCCTCAGGAATACTCTTCGGGATATACTGGGGCCGGAACCCCTGTCACTGGCCACATGCAGCCGGCGACCCTCACAACTATCCAGGATAATCACCAGGCTGAAATCGCCAGTGAGCCAACTTCTCAGCGTAAGGCAACTACAAGTGGGAAATCACGACGAGACCATTCTCATCATCCATCACATTCTTCCAAGCATTCACAAGAGGCGAGGACTGTTGGAGAATATGCCCTTCACCATCTGTTCAACTCGGTGTGTGTTCCTCTCCCTTAGGAGAAGCAGATATCTAAACGATTACCACTAATTATTGATATATACATTTCGCAGTTCGTTGGTCAAGCGGATGAGAAAATAAACCAATGCATTTTAAGTATCGGTGAATTTGACACGCCCGTGGAGCATATTTGCGGCCCGGGTGCGGATCCGATTTTTGACCAACTCATTTCAGCCCTGGGCCACATTGCAAAACAAAAACCGAAACCCTTGATAGATACAATTATGGTTTGGAGAAAGGCCAAGGGAGAAGCTGCGACTGCGGCTAAACAAGCTGCGAGCCATGTAAGATTTCCTGATATGGTTTTTTAATCACATTTACAGGCTTCCCCTCGACCTGGCTAACCCAATGCGATAGGCAAAACAAGCTCCCCCGTTTGTGGCTGCTCTTTCACGCCGCAATACTGAACCTACGCAACCAGGGCCTGAAAATCCAGATTCCAGCACGATGCCGAACAACTCACTCCTCTCTCCAGTATCGCGCCAAGAAGACGTAGTCCTCGCTGAACGGCGTGCTACAGTTTCCGTATACCTCGTCTGCCGCGTGTTGATCGAAATTTTCAACCAGAGCACGCTGCAGGCCATCACTGCTGAAATGGCAGAGAGGTTAGAAGACATTGTTTTTGGACAATTAAAAACAGTTGATCCGGACCAAATTGCTGCGTCGCCACTTCGAATGGCAAACTGGCGAATTTATGGCCAACTTTTGGGCATTATGAGCGAATCTAACTTTGGCAGCGTTTCAAATAGATTCCTTGCGGAGCTGAGCCAATTTCAGAAGGATGATTTCAGATTAGCAACGACGAAGGATGCGGAGACGAAAGCAGAGCTACTTGTATTTGGGATGAGGCATCTACAAATTAGGACATCCCCAGAGGATGCTTGGAGTAGGTCTTGTGACTTTTTACTATCCGTGGCGAGATTATTCGTCAATTCGCACGGCCAGTCCTTGAAGCAAGCGTATTGTCAAATCCTCGAATCCTTCCTCCTACCAATTGCTGGGAATCTTTCCTGTGACCTTACATCACCCAAGTGGAGGGAACTTGTTGATCTCCTCGTTCCACGCTTATCTCAAATCCTCCCGAAACCTCGTCATTGGAATAGTGCATTTCCCCTTTACATACTGCTGTTATGCGCATCTCCCAAAGAAGCGTTCTATTCCCAGTGGATGTCTGTGATAACCAGTCTCCCACAAAAGCTAAAAGACCGGCCTTCGCGAGGGACTGCCCTGCAGGCAATCTGTCGATTGCTTTGGACTTACCTTTTCCGCTATCCCGATCCCCATAGCAACCCACTTCGAAAAATAGATGAAATCACGCGAATTGCGCTCCCGGGCGGTAGGAGAACGTATTTAACTACGGAGACTGCGGTGGCAGAGCCGTTGACGCAACTGGTTCGGATGGTCGGCTATAAACATCCTGATATGTGTTTCAGAGGTGTAATCTTTCCGCTGGTTAACTCGGACCTCATCATGTCCGGCAAAGAATTGAAAATCGAACAAATGGAGCCAGAAAAGATGGTTATCGGGATCCGCTCTTTTCTAGCAATAATGGCCGATTTGGACCATGGGGGCCAAGAGCCACCGCCATTTCCGCAAGACTTTGCCGTTATGGATCAACCTTTTGCCACATCTTTTCCCTTTGCCGACCCGCGAGTACCACTGGACCATCTAAACCCGAACAAAAATGTCCTGCATGAGACTGTTTTTCGTCCTGTAAATACTGCGAAGCTGAGTGAGAATTCCAGGAAATTTTACTACCGCTTCTGTGAAATATTAGGCAAGATCACCATCTTATGCGATAACACTTTTGGTGGCCAGGCAGCTTTGGATGAGAAGTTTGGTGGAGTCACTCCCAAAACCCCAATCACGGAAGCCTTCAGCTTTGGAAGAAGGGATGATCATTCAAACGGCCCTGATCAAAAACAAGCCTTTTATGATTTATTACATGTTGCCGTCCAAGCTCTCCCACGATGTCTTTGCGATCACATACCTTTCAATTCTTTGATAAATTTACTGTGCACAGGAACTGCTCATGTACAGTCTAATATTGCCACTTCTTCCGCCGAATCTCTCAAATCCATTGCTCGCCTGTCCCATGCCCAACATGTTGCAATTGGGTTCGCTCGATTTATATTCAATTTCGATGCAAGATACTCGACCATGTCTGACGAGGGGATGCTGGGTCCGGGCCACATCGAGTCCACCTTGAAATTATATGTTGAGTTAATACAGATTTGGATTGGGGAAATTAGACAAAAGAGCAGAGATGCAATTTCGGAGCCGTCAGAGAATGGTGGAAGTGGAAGCAGGGGGCTTCAGCTGGATTTGTCAGCGGTCATGGCCCATGTAGAGGAGATCGAATCCCACGGGCTGTTCTTTTTGTGTTCGCAGTCGAGACGAGTTCGTGCGTTTGCGATCACTGTTCTGCGGCTTGTTACTGAGTTCGACAGCGCCCTGGGCAAGACTGGGAAGGATGTGCCGCGTATAATTCAGATTTTGGAAGACGCCTCGTATAACGTTCTAGATCTGAAGGATGAGCTGCTCACTGTTGCAGAGAGAAGCCGCCTTCAAAAAGGGAAACAGCAAAATGGGCCACAAAACACCCTCATAGAGATCTGCAGCAGCGAGGTTTCCTATGACTCTACCTTGTGGTCCAAGGTATTTCCGAATCTCATCCGGATCAGCTTTAGAACTTGCCCATTTGCTGTAACCTTGGGGCGAGAAATTGTCTGTGCTAGATTAGTTCAAATGCACAACAGCATCGCTGCTCTCGCTGAAAATTTTCAACCGGGACAGTATGGCTCTCTTGATATTGCCCATGGTCGACCGGTTCCCCGTAGCAGCAATTCGCCTGACATCTTGGTTGAGCAGTGGAAACTGTACTTGATAATGGCCTGCACTACCATCAACACAGCCGGAGCACAGTCTCAAAGTCAACTTGCCAATGCTCAGCATGCACGTAAAACCTCGAAGGCGGGCCAGCATCCCCAGGATAAAATCGGTTCTGCTAGAGCATTGTTTGCCACTGTTATTCCTCTTCTCTCCGCTGGCCCTGACTCGATTCGCAATGCCATTGTCGTCGCCCTTGGTTCTATCAACAAGAATCTATATCGAACACTGCTAGAATCGTTGCAGTATGCGGTTACTACATGCAATGAAGAGGCCCGAGTCCGAATTGGAACGCACAATAGGACCCCCAGTAGCCCCCGGCGAAACAGGAGAACTGACAGGCTGCGAACTGAAGTCACCAACGTCTACAAGGTAACATCGCACTTTTTGAAGGAGCCGGAGGTGTACAATGACGACTGGATCCTGAATAACCTCGTAACGTACACGAAAGATTTGCGGATATTTCTCAGCGACGTTGAGGTGCAAAATGACCTTGAGTTCCAAAGGCTCAGATTTCATTATTGCGGTCTATTGGAAGAGCTATTCGAGGGAATCAATAAATCCAAAGACCCCTCCCGCTGGATGCCGTTCGAGTCTAGGAAATCTGCATTTTCACTCATGGAAGATTGGTGTGGTTATTCTCCGAATCAGTCCCAACTTGCTGCCCGGGAAGAAAATATGAGGAAGCTTGTGATTGCGCGGCAACGAGAAGCGTGGGAGGCTAGAAGTACTGCAGCATTGGAAATCGAGAAGCGGAATCTGCGGACGGCTGCGTTGAGTGCTATGGCTTCTCTGTGCGGTGGGCCTATCAAAATAACTACGGAGAGCAAAGCTACCCTCCAATTCGATATGCGTCGTATGCTTTCCTGGATTGATATTATTCTTAATACCGTGAGCGACAAACTGCACGCAATTGGCCGACGAGCTCTGAAGAACTTGATCGTCCATAATAAAGACCTTCCGTACCTATTAGAACAGTCGATCGAAATGTGCTATATCTCTGAAAGCCCGAAGGCGTTAGAGAGCTACTTCGATGTCGTTGCACAGGTTCTGATGGAGCACACTGATTATCCATTCTCGTTCTGGAGAATCCTCGGGGCTGTTCTTTTCGCCCTGGGAAACGCGAAGCGAGAGATCCGAATGAAATCTGCACGCTTGTTACGAACCCTGGAGGAGCGGCAGCAGAAAAGCTCTAGGATTCAGGACTTCGACATTAGCATATCCGATAAGACAACCGCTGTCTACAAGCTAGCACAATTTGAAACTTCCAAACGGTTGGCGCAACAACACGCTGACCTAGCATTCACCATATTTTCCGAGTTTTCACTGCACTTCAAGAAAATCCAACCTGACACTCAACGGAACATGGTAGCAGCTATCCTTCCGTGGATTCAGGCAATAGAGCTCCAAGTGGACCCGAATGGCGGACCAACGGCAAAGTCATATATGCTCCTTGCCAATCTCTTTGAGATCACAATTCAATCTGGGAATGTTCTTCCTAACGAAGTCCAAGCCCTCTGGCAAGCACTTGCAACCGGGCCTCACGCGGGCAATGTGCAGCTGGTTCTCGACTTCATCATCCAGCTCTGTCTGGAGCGGAAGGAACAAAATTTCGTAGATTATGCGAAGCAGATCATAGTATTCCTGTCTACGACTTTGGCGGGTTCTAAAGTCATTGAGTTTTTCCTGATGCAAGTCATACCTAAGAATATGGTTCAAGAACGAAGAGATCCACTCCCGCCACCATCCGATTTGAAAAGCTTGCCCTATGTTGCCGACCTTGGGACTGTTTTGCCTGTTGGTAACAAGCAGGTAGGTTATTGTTTTAAAAAAAAAAAATCTTCCTTGGGTGTATTTGACGTCTAACAGATCTTGCAGGCTGGATTTTCACTTGGTCAAGTTTCTCTCATTTTCCTGGTCGACTTGATGGTTTCGCCTGTTACACTTGGACTGGACAATGTTATCAAACTTCTCCATACTGCTCTTATTTTTTGGGACCATTACACTCTCACCGTTCAAGAGCAGGCCCGAGAGATGCTTGTCCATTTAATCCACGAACTTGTCGCCTCGAAAATTGGTGATTCCCCTGATGGCATGCGGACGTCTATTGAGGATTTTGTTGAATGTATCCGACGGGGGGACACCGCTGTCGTTTGGGACTACGAAGACAATAATGGCGGCGAGGATGACCAAGATCCTAGCAGAGTTCCTGCGTCTATGCATCGGGTGACCCAAGATGTAGCGAATTTCTTCTCTACTGCCTACGAATCAGTGAACGATATATGGGCGAAGGAGGCGTTGAACTGGGCTACATCCTGTCCTGTTCGACATCTTGCATGTCGATCCTTTCAAGTGTTCAGATGCATCTCAACATCCCTTGACTCGAGAATGCTAGCGGATATGCTCGCGCGATTGTCTAATACCATTGCTGACGAGGAAACCGATTATCAAACCTTCTCGATGGAAATCTTGACCACGTTGAAAATTATCATCAATTCTCTTGCGCCGCAGGATTTGCTCCGCTACCCCCAACTCTTCTGGACAACGTGTGCGTGCCTCAACACGATTCACGAGCGCGAGTTCATGGAGAGTGTTGGCATGCTGGAAAAGTATCTGGATAAGGTGGACATGCGTGATCCGGCCGTTTTAACGAAACTCCGGGAGAGCAAGCCACCCAAGTGGGAAGGTGACTTTGAGGGAATCCAGGTTCTGATATACAAGGGCTTGAAATCCGGCGAATCGCTAGACAAGACTCTGTCCGTTTTGCATCGGCTCACTGCCCTCCCTAATGACGAACTGGTGGGTGACAACAACCGACTACTCTTTGCAATATTGGCAAATCTCCCGGTCCTCCTTCACCAGTTTCATCTTCCAGAACGGCCGAAAGAAGTTGTAGAGCGCGCGAGGCTGCTTGCTTCAATTTCTGAGAACAACGGCTATACTCGCTTTTCTGATTGCTTATTCGGCTTCTCAAGCGGCCATTATAAGCTTAGTCAAGATTTTTTAGTGGACTCCGTCGAAGCTATTCGGTCCTACTACTTCCCTGAGCAGGAGGCGCAAACGCTTATTTTTCTCATTGGGTTACTTACGAACACGACGGCATGGTTTCGAATTATGACTATGAAGATACTGTGTGCTATTATTTCTGAAATCGACATGCGTCGCCCTGAAGTCGCATGTTATGGACCGGATCTCATATCCCCGTTACTTCGACTACTTCACACTGATTTGTGTCCCCAGGCCCTGGAAGTGATGGACCACATAATGACCGTTTCCGGAAACCCAATGGAACGCCATCACCTGAGAATGAGTATGGCTTCCGCATGCTCATCTCGAGCCATCCGCAAGGAGTTTGAACGTATCCAAAGCCTGTATGGAATACCTGAACGAACTGGCTGGTCTATCCCGGTACCCGCTGCCCAGTCTGCCCTGACGAGGAACAATGTTCACGCTGTTTTCTACACTTGTGCAGAAGCTGATGGATCAGAGCAAACTCCTGCATCCCCTGAAATGGAGTTCCACGTGGAGGAATACAACAATTTGTATTCCCCTGGTCTACGAGCTGACACGATGAAATCTTTCGACACACAGAACGACGGAAACATGGGCGACCTGCTGCAGAAACTAGACAGCCTTGATGACTTCTTCGACGAAACTGAGGCGATTCCGCGCCCCCTGAATTCGATTTCAGGCACTACACTGCACAGTTTTGTAAGCGATTTCCACGACGCCAGCGCCAATCTCTATGATCAGCAAACCGCCCCCCTCCTACGAAAGTCCCTAGCTCGAACAGCTTCATCTTCGTCCTTCCAGAACGGCCTTGCTGAATCTAGACCAACAACCAGCCGCACTGAGGCAAGTGGGATGCACTCGTCTCCTTTAGGTGGGAGCTCCGGCCTGCCGCCTTCCCGGACTTCAATGCACACACGATCTGTAACATCTCCCGCAAACGCCTATCCGTCCAGCAGCCAGTCATCGATGCCAATGTTCGGAAGTTCATCAGCAATCCCATTCCTATCCGACGACGAACTGGAGGAAGCTCTCTCAGACTCCGACGATCGTTTAGTCCTCGGCCAACCAGCGTCCAACTCAACCACATCCCCGCGCCATGGCAATGAAGGCCCATTTTCCCTCGAGTCCGTTATCCGCAGCAGCGTGCGTCGCTTGACTGGCGGCACATCCTCTTCCAGAGAGAAAGAACGCCAGAGGGACTTGTTGAGAGCTCAGCAACGTGCGTTTGTCCATACAACCAGCTCGCCACGCGTTCCGAGGGTCCCACAAGAATATCTTACAGGTCCATCGGGTGGTCTTCAGGGTGCCGCGGCAAGCGGTTCCAGCACTACCGGTGCCGCTTCGAGTGGCCCCACTTCTCCAGGGCATTGAAGCAGCATCATGAAATCACATTACCTTAACTATATATAATCTATTGCGTATCTATGTTTCTTCTCTACTCCCTCTTTGTCCGGCAAGATACCCTGATCTCTTAAATATTTCTGTTCTTTAACTCTCTGCCCTTATGCTTTTAATCTACCGTTGTTCTACATACCACATCCACATTTAAATATACACATCTTGAAAATTCTTCCTTGGACCATGATGAAGTCGCGTTCCATATTTTGGACTCCTTTGTTTTTCTAACTTTGGACTCATATTATATCCCTCATCCGCATGCACAATCTACAACTAGTGGCGTGCCCCTCTGAAACTGCTCAAAACCGTTTTCATTTTTCTATCTTATCGTTAATCGTTAATCCAACAAGCAGGTAATGGTTGCATCATTTATGGGTTGATTTGCGTTTTATGTCTCAAGGTCGGTGCTTCTGGAGCTTGTGGGATATATGAGTGAATGGAAGGTATTTCTTTTTCTCCCCCGAGCCATCCACATAAGAATGGAAATATTCAATAGAAAGATTGCTTGGCTTCTTAACGTGTAACTCCGCGTCCCCAACATTTTTAATGCTATCTTTCGCTATTTTGCCCTGGTTTCCATTTTCGAGTTACAATAGAATTTGGCGATTCATTTTCCCGTTGGTTGTCGCATTCCTCTCTCATGTTGGTGATTTGCTTATATTTTTGATATATAGAATGTTGTATATTAGGCTTCAAATCTACTCACTGCTGCCGCCTAATGTATCCAGTATGTCTATTGACGATGCCGAAAATTTTTTCCAATGCCGCACATGTATGTACCGTACATGTAAAAAAAAAAAATTGGTTAAATGATAGTCATTGTCCTCAGTTCAGCATCCTGAAACAATTCGCCCACAGGGTCTATAGGTGGGGGATTCTGCCTGAGAATCACCGTTCCTATCCTCTCAAGACGCCCTGGCGATTCAGACGCCCTTTTCAAGACGAGTGAGATCATATGGTCCGACGAACCCTCCTGTATAACGCTCATGCGCAGACAAAACACCTCAGTCCCTGGCTTCGTCTGTCCAGGCCCGTCATGATCAAGCAGGTAGTCGGGCTTAATCGCCAGTCGCAGCTGATTATTCTTCTCATTACTACCATCATCTCTCCTGGGCAAAGAAACATAGTGCACGATATCCTCCACCCCATCGCTCTGCGCCTTAACCTCCCGCTCAAGGAGACCGGTAACCACCAGTCCTGAAATCGTAAGCATCCCGCTCGAAATAGCCCCGAACTCGTCAACAGCCGCCCAGGTCACTTCACACTTCTCCACCGTGCTAAAATGCTTGTACGGCTGTCTCTCCCTAAGCGACCCCTGCTTGTCCTCCAGGTTGGTAAACAACACGCCATCGTAATACAGCACACACGCATCCGTACTCGCCCACGACCACGTCGGCGCGTTGCGTGGGTACGGCCTCGCCTTCTGGTGTCGCGATTGCCAGTGCACGGTCCAGAGCAGATCGTCATTGATAGACTCCTCCCACAGGCCAGCCAGGTACCTCGACTGCCTGCGCGCAGCGAGATCCTTGGCAATACCGCTGATGGCTGGCAGGCGATCTTTCGACTTCGTCAGCAGCAGCGCGCTGTAGCAGCTCACCATTGTCCGCCACAGGCTCGCGCCCTGGTAGTGGACGGCGTCCCGGAACTGGTCTCCATCAACCCAGCTGCTGGTGTAATCGCCCAACGCTTCTGCATGCTCAATCTTGAAGAGCGCGATGGGTGTTTCGGGAGAGGAGCCGTGGAACTCGATGTCGTCGCATTCGCAGACGATGCTGCTGCGGCACTCAAAGAAAAGCTCGTAGCGCCCGAAGTGGAGGATGCGCGTGGAGAGCATGCGTTCTTGGTAGACCCATGCGCGGGTGAGGAGGGGATAGTGGGTCGCGGTCGGGCTGCCGATGGAGATGTCACTGTTGGCTATGCCCATGTCGATGTGGTGGTCGATGCGTTCGCGGAAGAAGAGGCGGTAGGGCTCCCCCTTGCCGTTTGTATCTGAAGGGGGTGCCGTGCCAGAGACTTCGAAGTCTGGGGTATCTCTGAAGAGTCCGCCGGCGCCATTGGCTGACATGGTTGCGGCGATGGTTAGATGGCCATTTGTATATATTGCAGCCATATTGGAAGACTCGACGTCCCAATCCCTCGCATCGTCTTGGATAATGCAGAGGGAGTCGATCCAGATGTATTTGATGCCAAGGGCCCTGGTGAGGGAAATGGCGTCGCGGAAGGTCTTGGATAGGCTTCTCCAGGGTATGCCCCTTTTGCGATCTGCGAGGGTTGATTTTGTAGTCGTTATGATTTGGGCAAGGCCCCAGCAGTGGCTCAGACAAATGTACTTGGCTCTGACGGCCCCCTTTGGTTCGATGAGCTTGACGCTGTCGTCGTCGAGGCCCACATCCACTACTCTTGTGGGCAAAGGTGGGTTATCGGGAGAGTCGCAAAAGCATTCAGGGGTGTAATGGGTGACGATGCATGATGAAATCCAGCCTTTTATGGTAACGATAGCCATGTCAGAATCGGTCCGTGGTGATGTCCTCCGCGAAACAGGGATGTAATCCCACGAATCTGGGATTGGGCAATCATCATCCTCTGTACAAAAAAGCTGGACTTCAAAACGGCGTCCGCCTTTCATGAGGAAGATCAAGTCCTTGCTCGCCTCTTGTTTGACAGCGTTATCGAGAGTGGTCGGATAGTAGAACCGAAGAATCCCGTGTACGATATCAGATTCCTCAATGCCGTGCTGGCTGAAACATCCCCGGCATCCAGATATGAGAATATTGCAGCCGTAGCACGAGGTTGCCGAACATTGCATCTCCTCCCAAGTGAATCTAGGGACGATGTGGTGTCTATTCATACCCCGCAATCGGGTATCTGAAAGGTTCCATTTCCCCTGGAACTGATTGCAGAGGGCGCATGTCATCTTTGCAAAGTACGTTCCAGTGTCTGGATGGCGCGGGCACAATCATACCCTCCTCAATTCCGCAGCGAGCAGATGGTTCTATATCCCCCTTGGGGAAACGTTAGACACTGGTAGCACGATCTATGGAGATAGAGAGTACATATTCGGGTCTTGTTCGAGGCTCTAATTTATCTTGATCAAATTGTTCTGCCACACTTAGGTGTTGGGGAGATGCTGCTGCTCATTCTCTAATTATCCAGGGCCCAGACAGCCCATGTGCTCAATATAGGTGCTGTTTGTTTCAACAGAGCACATCCTGGCCATCGAAGGTGGACATAACTCCTGTTGGATGCTACATACGAGCTGCGAACAAGTGAGGTTTGCCGTGCGTTTTCCGTGACTGCTAGGATGTTCTATGCAGTAGTCAGTTTATATAGTTTTCAACTAGCTGAGTTCTAAGTAGCATTTTGAAGGATAAACCAGATATTATATTTATTGTTGATTGATTTAAATTTTGTGATTATTTCGTCTCTCAACTACCCAAGATGACCCTGTTCGCAGCCCCAACTCCCCCGCCTTCGGTTGAAGCCGGAGCTGCTGCAACGCTGTGAGTGGCTGCTGTGACCAGGGTTCCACAGCCGGGGCTTTAGGGGGGAACTAGCGCGAGTAGCCCCTATTAGCCCCTATTAGCCCCCGTTAGTCCCCATTAGCACCCTTGGGAGCCATGGCTGCAATGGGAGACTGGGGCCTGGCAGCTGGGGCAAGGCTAAGCACGGTCTCTGGACCATCTCGGCTCAACCAGCTCGGGTTCGATTCTGGTATTCTGTGTTGATGACTTTCTTCCTTGTCTCTCTATCCTCCGCGATTCAACATATTAGCCATTTCTTAAGTTCTTTTCTCCCACATTCCTCCATTCCCGCCACCACCCACTCTTCATAACCAGCTGTTCAACATGAGTGCTTCTATGTTCAACTCGCCGCTGAAGAGGCTACTTGCTTCTCCCTATACTACTTCTCCGCTCGCCTCCCGGAGGGCTTTCTCCACGACACTCCCCCGGGATGCGACTTGGGGTTTTATTGGCTTGGGGCAGATGGGTATGTACCGAATTGTGCCTCCTCAGGTTCCTTTGCTTCCTTCAATACATGCTGCTTTTGTAATATATATGTTCGCCCTCGTTGTGCTGGTGTTGTTCCCGGCGCATCGCTCCCGTTCTCTGAATTTTCACCGCCAACGGGCGACATGCACAACTACCCCGCGTCATACTCAATACCTCGCCTTGGGGCAACTTGCTAACCAGATTGTGCTTTTTACTGTCTCTCTCTCTCAACAGGATACCCAATGGCTAGAAACTTGCGCTCCAAAATCCCGCAGTCCGATACCCTAATCATATGCGACGCCAACCCAAAAGCCACCCAGCAATTTGTCCAGGAACAACCCAGCAGCCTCAAGGTGGAGGTTGCGACTAGCCCTCAACAGGTGGCTCTTGAATCGGTATGGATTTATTTATATACATATATTTACAAATACATATTTCATACCTATGCACCCTTTGTATAAGATGTTGCTTTTTTCTCAGCGTTTCACCCTTGTGGGTGACCATCCCTTTCACAATGCTTCTATCGATCGTTGCGTTTTATCAGATATTGATTTGGAAATGGGCATCTGCACATTCCCTTGGATGGCTCTGCTCTTCTACTAGTATCTAGACATTTCTCGTGGAAATTAATAACACCCAACTTGTCTACCGCTGTAGGAAACAATCATAACTAGTCTCCCCGAACCCCGCCATGTCAAAGACGTCTTCCACATCATCCTAAAAGGCGGCCTCCCAAAACTGCCGTCAGACAAAGACCGCCTCTTCATCGACTGCTCGACAATCGACCCCACTTCCTCTCGCGAAGTCGCAAACGCAGTACACTGCACGGGCGCTGGCAAATTCGTAGATGCACCCATGTCCGGCGGAGTCGTGGGTGCCAAGGCCGGCACGCTCACCTTCATGCTCGGTGCCTCCTCCAAGGTTTCCGGACTCGCCCAGCGCGCTGAGGAAGTGCTCCTGCTCATGGGCAAGAAGGTGTGGCACCTGGGCGAGCAGGGGGCCGGACTCTCGGGGAAACTAGCCAACAACTACCTCCTCGCCATCCAGAACATCGCGACAGCGGAAGCGATGAACCTCGGGATTCGTTGGGGGCTAGATGCGAAGACACTAGGCCAAATGATCAATTCGTCCACGGGGAGGTCATGGTCGAGTGAGGTGAATAATCCCGTGCCGGGAGTGGTGGAGACAGCGCCCGCATCGAGGGAATATGCCGGCGGGTTTGGAGTTTCATTGATGAAAAAGGATCTTCGGCTTGCCGTGGAAGCGGCCAAGGAGGCGGGAACGCCGTTGAAGCTTGCGGAGAAGGCTCAGCAGGTCTATAAGGAGACGGAGGAGGGGTATCCTGGGAAGGACTTTTCAGTGGTGTATAAATATTTGAAGGATATGTCGCGATAGATGGGCAATGCAGTGTGTTTTATGTAACGGATTTGTTCTCTTTTTCTGTTTTTTTTTTGTACCCATGGGATCTGTGGGGCCTCAGTTATGGGCTTTTTTATTCCTTTTTTCTAGAATGAGATACTAGATGAGAAATTCGATTGTATATAGATGTCTCTTACTGCTGCTGCTGTTCAATTGCATTCTGTATCCATTTCCTTTTCCTTTCATGATTAGTCAGTCCTGATCCCCGCCCGTTCCTGAGGTTTGCGCGCCAAGCGGAATCAACCGGCCTCCAACTTCCACCGTCCAGACAACAACCCGCATATCTACGCTGGAGAACCATAGTCGTCCACATACTCTCTGTCCCTAATGCATGTGGCGACGGATTGGTATGCTTACGGCAACCGGAGCGGCTCCGTACACCCCTTGATAGCCGAGCTGTTTTCCATTTATATAAGCTGTGCGCTCCAGCACGCATAGCCAGGGCGGCTACCAGCTCCCATTTTTTTCAGATATGGCGTACGTGGTGCCTATTCACCATGCAAGCAGCATCCGCCATGCCATAAAACTCCAGTTCTTGGAGCCAGAAAAAGACTGTTTAGTTGTTGCGTGAGTATCTCCACTTCCTGTTGTATATGCGGGATGTCAAACATCTAACCACCCCCCACCAATTCCAGGAAATCCAACCGCCTCGAATTCTACTCCCAAACCCCCGATGGCTTCTCTCTCGAATACTCAAAGGCCATATACGGCAAAGTGACTATGCTTGCAAAGCTCTCACGGCCTCCGCTACCTTCGAAACCACCCCCGCAACCACAGTCCCTGGATCACCAGCTACCCCTACAACCGGCCCCCTTCCGTCCCCAAACCGATATCCTCTTCATAGGCACGGACAGGGCCTCCTATTTCACCGTCTCCTGGGACCAGAAGACAAAAAATCTCCGCACAGAGCGTAAATACGTTGACCTCGCCGACCCCTCGGCCCGCGCGTCCCAACTGGGCGACCGCTGCCTCATCGATCCCTCCGGTAGATTTCTCACACTAGAGTTATACGAAGGCATCGTCACAGTTATACCCATCGGTCAGCCACTGCGATCACGAGGGTCTGGGCGGAGGTTGGGGAAACGCGCTGCTAACGCCAGTGCAAGCGCCGCATACGCAAATCAGGATGCAGCAGCAGGGGCTGCGGCGGCGGACCTAGAGCTAGGCGAGCCGTGTCAGGCGCGCGTTGAGGAATTGTTGGTGCGGTCCTCGACGTTTTTACATACGCAGGCTGATACGCTACCGAGGATGGCGCTTTTATATGAAGATACGATGGGGAAGGTGCGGTTGAAGGTTAGGGAGCTGGAGGTTATGCATGGGGGAATGGGGATGGGGGGTGGGACGGGCAGTGGGGGCGGGATTGGGGCCGATGGGGGAATTGTGGCAGTGTTGAAGGGGTTGGATTTGTTGAAGGAGGAGTTGGAAATGGGGGCTAGCTTTTTGGTGCCGGTGCCGGCGCCCTTGGGTATGTTTTCTGTGCCCCTCTTGTATAGCGGGTTGTTCTCCACATATATTTATATTCATTTTACTCATTATTTACGAATAGGAGGCCTCCTCGTCCTTGGCGAAACCTCAATCCGATATCTGGACGACGCAAGTAACGAATGTATCTCACAACCACTCAAAGAAGCCACCATCTTCGTTGCCTGGGAGCAGGTCGATGGTCAGCGATGGTTGCTGGCAGACGACTATGGCCGGCTATTCTTCCTCATGCTTGTTCTAGACACCGACAACGCCGTGCAGAGCTGGAAGCTCGATCTTCTGGGTGATATCCCGCGTGCGTCTGTCTTAGTTTACATGGGTGGTGGAATCACGTTTATTGGCTCCCATCAGGGGGATTCTGAACTTATCCGCATCACTGAGGGATCGTTTGAGGTCATACAGACTTTCGCGAATATTGCCCCGATACTTGATTTTACCATTATGGATCTAGGCGGGAGGGCCATAGGAGAGAGTCAAACACATGAATTTTCGTCGGGCCAGGCACGGATTGTTACGGGTTCCGGTGCATTTAATGATGGAAGTCTGAGAAGCGTGAGAAGCGGCGTTGGAATGGAGGAGGTGGGCGTGTTAGGGGCTATGAAACATATTACGGACCTCTGGGCGTTGCGGGTAGCTTGTCCCCAAGAATTTTCAGATACCTTGTTGGTTTCATTTGTGGATGAGACGCGGGTATTCTATTTCACGCCGGATGGGGAAGTAGAGGAGAAAGAGGAGTTTATGGGGCTGGGACTTGCGGAAAGTACGCTGCTCGCGGCGAATCTGCCACATGGCCGGATTTTACAAGTCACGGAATGGAATGTCCGCGTTGCGGAGCTAGATGGTGGAATGGTGATTTGGGAGTGGTCGCCGGAACAGACGAAAGCGATCACGGCAGCTTCGTCGAATGACGATCATCTCGTGTTGATGGTTGGAGGCCAGGTTCTTATGATTTTCGATATTAGTGGCGATATCAACATTACTGGGGAGAAGGATTTTGGCGTCGATACCCAGGTTTCTGGTGTTACCGTCACGACGTCCCCGGCCCGCGCCTGTATTCTTTGCCTTCCACAGACGGCTGAAGTTGTCGTCATGAGCCTACCAGACCTTGCCATCCGCCGTAGTACATCGCTAGGAGAACCTGGAGATGCAGTTCCACGCTCTGTGCTGGTCGCAGAGGTGCTCCCCAATAATCCTGCAACTCTGTTTGTCTCCATGGCCGACGGAAGCGTATTTTCCTTCTCGTTCAATTCGGAAGATTTCTCCCTGACAAGCATGAGCAAATTGACTTTAGGCTCTGAGCAGCCTTCATTTAAGAAACTCCCCCGAGGAGACGGTTTGTATAACGTCTTCGCTACCTGCGAGCAGCCAAGCCTAATATACGCGGTAGAGGGCCGTATCGTCTATTCCGCCGTCAACTCTGATCAGGCCTCGCGCATCTGCCACTTCAACTCTGAAGCATACCCGGGATCCATTGCGCTAGCCACCCCGTCAGAATTGAAAATCACCCTCGTGGATGCTGAACGGACCACGCAGATCCAGACACTAGAGGTTGGCGAGACAGTGCGAAGGGTCGCGTATTCAGCACCTGAAAGGGCGTTTGGAATAGGCACTATTAAACGGACGCTTGAAGATGGGGCGGAGGTCATTGCGAGTCGGTTCATGTTGGCTGATGAGATCATGTTTCGCGAATTAGATATTTATGATCTGAATAAGGATGAGCTTGTGGAGAGCGTCATTCGCGCGCAGTTCCCGGATGGAATCGACAGTGAAGGCAATGACTTATTTAAGGACTTGTTTGTCGTGGGCACGTCGTATCTTGATGATTTTGGTGAGGGCTCAATACGCGGGAGGATATTAGCATTCGAAGTGACGGCCAACAGGCAACTGGCGAAGGTAGCGGAGATGCCTGTTAAGGGAGCGTGTAGGGCGCTGGCTATTGTGCAGGATAAAATAGTTGCTGCTCTGATGAAAACGGTTCGTTGAAATACTCCTTCCATACCACCCCCCAGAACAACCATGTGAGACTAACTCGTAAATCTAAAACAGGTTGTTGTCTACACGCTCTCCAAAGGCCAATTCGCCGACTATACTCTCTCCAAAACCGCCAGCTACCGCACCTCCACTGCTCCTGTCGACATCGCTGTGACAGGCAACTTGATCGCCGTCGCCGATCTCATGAAAAGCGTTTCCATCGTCGAATATCAACAAGGCGCCAACGGCCTGCCCGACAGCCTGACAGAAGTCGCCCGCCATTTCCAAACCCTCTGGAGCACTGCTGTCGCCCCTGTGGCCGAAGATACGTGGCTTGAAAGCGACGCTGAGGGAAATCTTGTCATGCTTCATCGGAATGTCAATGGGGTGACGGACGATGATAGACGAAGGTTAGAGGTTACGAGCGAGATTTCACTTGGGGAGATGGTAAATCGGATACGGCCGGTGAATATTCAGGGATCACAGGGGGCGGAGGCGGCAATTTCGCCGAGAGCGTTCTTAGGGACGGTAAGTTTATGGTTATATGGTTTTTTTTTTTTTTTTTTTTTTCCAATTTATACTTCACTTTTCATGATACGTCGAAAACTAACGACGCCCAAATCTATGGGATGGATATGTAGGTCGAAGGCTCCATCTACCTCTTCGGGATCATTAACCCTACCTACCAAGATTTGCTCATGCGCTTGCAATCCGCAATGGCTGGTATGGTTGTGACACCTGGCGGGATGCCATTCAACAAGTTCCGCGCCTTCAGGAATACCATACGTCAGGCGGAGGAGCCGTATCGGTTCGTTGACGGAGAGCTCATTGAGCGGTTTTTGGGCTGTAGTGTGGAATTACAAGAGGAAATCGTCGGGAAGGTCATTGCGGATGGGGTTGCGGGGGTCACTGTTGAGAGTGCTAAGGGGCTTGTGGAAGAACTGAGAAGAATGCATTAGGACGAATGCACTTCGCTTGTCGCGTGTTGTGGATACGGATCGTAGTGTATCGACTTACTAGCGATATAACACTCTGATATAAGCTCTTTTGTAAACCCTGGAGGGAAGCCTTTTGAGCTTTTTGTTGGGTTGCGACGGTTCCTTTAATGCAAGTTTGTAGAATGGGCAGTTGAGATTCAAATTCTGTCTGGGGTGTAATAATGGGTGATGGAAAAAAGCAGCAACACAGAGTAATACTATATACGGCCTTCATACAGGAGTAATATTTCCATCGTTTATTCAACCGGAGAGCTCTCTGCAGGGATTGACCAAGTTAATCCCAAAGTAAGATAGCCAATCGGGATTCCAAGTTTTTATACATACGAAACAACAAAATCGAATGAGATATTGACTTTAGCGCAATATTCAGAGTATGTAGTATCCCAAAATCCCAACGCCACAAGAAAAAAGTGGGCGAAATAAAAATCAATCCTCCAGCAAATCAGCAATATCATTATCATCTTCATCTTCCCTCAGTCTCTCCCCCGCCTCCTCAAGCTGCCTCAACACCCTCTTCTGTCTCCGCCTCGCACTCTTCCCCCACTGCGGCACACCCGACGGCTTCACCACCCTTCCCGTCCCGTTTTCTCCTCCTTCCTCCTCGTTCTCCTCACTATCACTCCCCACACCCAGCGCGCCCCTCAGCGCATTCGCGGAGATCTTCGCCTTCGCGCCGGCCGAACCCGCATTCGCAGCCTCCACCTCCGCTCGTTCCCGTTCTTTCTCCTCCGCGTCGGCTTTATCCATGTTAGTGTTGAGGAGCTTGCGGAACCCCGCATCTATGTACGGGCGCAGGAAGAGGTAGCCGCCTATTATCCAGACGAGGCGGATGTAGTCGCGCAGTGTCAGGGAAGAGAGGGAGTTGGAGAGATTGGATGTTAGGTTAGTGTACCAGGTTTGGAGGGTGGCGAGGATGGAGGATGGGTCTAACGTGGCCATTGTTGCTGCAGCGGCCTGAGATGGAATTTGTGCGTTTTATGTGAAGGTTGCCGTTTGGTAAAATTTGTTGTTCGAGGTGGTGGATGGATTTTTAGCTGATTGGGAGGTTTGAGATTGGTGGTTGCGGAGAGGTGCGAGGGTGAAGGGTCTTCGAGTGGTTACGTGGTTTGCATAGTGCGGGAAGACTGGGGTTCCAAAACGATTGGCTATACCTCATTGATGGGATAGGCGGTCATACTTAGGTATTTGGATATCCCTGGGAACGGAATATAAATGGTTTTCTGCTCTAGCTTACACCTATCCGACTGGTAGATTTGCGGCAATTCTGAGCCGGAAAAAAATAACTAAAAAGAGAAGAGAGCATTAATTACGTCATCATCTCGTGATCGCTTAGTTAACGCTTAACGCTTGACTGGTCCAATGTCGCGTCTAGCGCGTTTCATTCCAGCCCAACCTTCAGGGACGATAATTAATTAATTAGTATCCATGGATTCCAGCTGAAAACCCCAACATCCACTCCAATGGCTGAGCAAGAACAGGATTCCGTGGCCCTAGAAGAGGTCAGTCTAATCTGCCATATTTGTTGATGCGGTATCCTCCAATGGCTGGACATGCTAATATTCTTCGTACACCCGCAGCGCCTTAAGTCGGCTCTTTGGCTTGAAATTGGGAGAATTGTGGACGATGAAACTATTAAGCTAGGTGTCGATGCGACTCCGCAGTTTATAGGCGCGCTGATGGAGATGGTTTGGGCACAAATAGGTACATTCCACCCAGTCTTGATGCGAGATTATTTTACTCTCTTCATGCCGGCTATGGCAATCCCAAGAGAGCGTTGTGTGCGTGATGCTGATATCACGTTCAGAAACCGTAGGACAGGACCTGGAGGCATTCGCCAAGTAAGAGCTAATCTTCATTTGTCGCCTCTTTTGCAACTTGAAAAGTCTAGTGCCTCCCCGCCGAGATATTTCTCGTCTTTGCTTACTCTGTGACCCCATTGACTGTAGACATGCCGGGCGGTCAACGATCAACTTATCCGACGTGATGCTCCTAGCTCGGCGAAATGAGGGCTTAGAATCGATATTGCGAGCATTCGTGGACCAAGAACTAGCAAAAGAGTAACCAAAGTGCGGGACGAAGTGACCTCGTTATTGCCCCACGGATTAAATTTCTCAGCCTTTTCCGTGATACCATCACACCATATACCAATCACCGTCCATCCTTTTGTCCAGTGGTGTTGCTTCACAAAACTAGAAATCCATTCAACCTGCCCACGATGTCCCCAGAATGACTGCCTTGCGAACTTCGGTTGAGAGGTTACCAAATACTCGATTTGCCATCAGATACGCGACAACAGATAGAGTGGTTGGGAATATAATCTTTCCGTAGACGTGGAATTCCGGACGAGTTTCTTCTTTATATAGGTTTCGCTCATATACACTCGGGAAACTTCAGGGCCGCTTGTGATGTGGTTACCGAGAAACTGTTCGAAGCCAAGGAACATGCCGAATGTGTGGAGTGTTTACGCAGCCAACACCTTTTCATACACATCAATGCAAGGCTAAATTATTTGTTCAGTCAGCTCCGAAACCCTGTGCGTGGTTTAATACGGTGAATCTAATTATGATCTGCTCTGTCTCCCCAACTTCCCTTTACGCTCCTTATTATTGATTATTTATTCCCTTTATTTTTCTTCAATTACCCACTCCCCGCTTGCTTAGTCTTTTTTTTTTTTTTTTTTAACATGTGAAATGCGGGCAGTTGACGTAATTGCTACCATACTGGATTCCCGCTGTTTTTCTAAACCCACACAACGCTTTTTGAACTCGCACTTGAGGATCGAGTTGCGCAGCGTATACGCAGAAAAAGAGAAAAACACAAAAGAGAAGAAAGCGACCGCAAGTTGAACAGCTCTCTCTAACTGGGTCGACTTTTTATTGTTGGCTTCAACGTTTTTGCTCGCAGCTCCAAGTTAGCCAGCCGCCAACCTGCCCTGACGTCATCGTGTGGCTCCTCCTTGCGACGGCCGATTTTTCCTGAGAAGCCACGGCTCGGCGACAGCCAAAATCCGCCCAATTCCATCGCAGTTGTGATTCTTGTTCTTTTGTTGTTAAGTTTTCCCTGGGAAGCATTTCCACACACTGTTAGCATGACATATTTACTCTAACTGCGCGACATTTCCCTGCTGTTTGAACCACCTGCCGATTTGATTTACAAGCCCCGATAGTTTCATTATACGCAAGCTTGGATAGGCTTGCTAGCCCGCAACTATGAGTACCGCTGGGTTTCTTATCCGTTTTACCAACTTCTTCTTCCGTCTTTTCCAGCTCGCCGCGTCAGCCATCATCCTGGGCATATTTTCTTATTTCCTCGCAGTCCTCACCGACCATAACATGCCCATTGCACGATGGGTCAAAGCTGTTACGGGCATTTCCGGTGCAGCAACTCTATACACACTGACGGCGTCGATACTCACACTCTGCATTGGAGGGATAGCATTCTTTGCAGCATTGATGCTTGTTCTCGACATTTGTTTTGTCTGTGGTTTTGTTGCGATTGCGATCATGACACGACATGGCGCAAATTCATGTTCTGGGATCGTTGTCACTCCTTTGGGTACTGGAGCTGCGAATCAACCCGCTCCCGGCTTCGGAGAGGGCGGCTTCGGTACTGGAGGTGATAGGCACTTCACATATATGCCGAGCTTAGGATATGCTTGTCGATTGCAGAAGGGATCTCTCGCCGTTGCTATCATTGGGTGGTAAGTGCTATTGTTTATTTTACTTTATTTATTATTTTTCTTCACAACATCGCAATTCCCATCTTAACGTCTTAACGCCACTCCATATGCTCACCCGTTGGTGACCCGGCAGCATACTCTTCGCGCTCTCCCTATATCCCCAAATCCTCTACGCTCGCCATCACAAACGTGGCAAGCGCTTCGGCCCCTCACCTGGAAACAACTATACAGAAGGCCCCAGTCGCACTGGAGGACGATCTTTCTGGGCCTTCGGCCGCCGCCGCAGCCCAGAAACTTCCATTGGTCCCTCCACAGGTGCTGCAGCCAACAGCTACCCACCAGGAGCCGATGGCGTAACCGGCGACGATCAAGACGAGAAACCGTATTCTCGTTACGCTAATGTGTTTAGACGGGGGAAGCAATCACATGGCTCGACGGCTGGTGGTTCGGGTACTGACGCCCAGCCTCAGGCCGGTGGATATGGTGCGCCTGCGACTGGTACGCAAGCATATGGTGAGACACCTGCGGTTGGCATGCCTGGGGCTGGAGTTGATACCACTCCAGGAGTAGGAGGGTTTGGAGGTGGAGGTGGAGGTGGCGGGAGTGCTGGGTATGCAAATTATGGATATGGCCAGAGCGGCGCTGTGGAGGATGGGTATTCTTATGGGTATGGGGCCAGACCGCAATATGAAACTGCGCAATTCCCTGTGTCTTCGGGCCAAAGAGATTTCTAAGGGTGGGTGGGAAATGACTGTTTTCGATTTTTCTGTTTAGCCCCTTTAATAGCCCCTTCTGATCTTACTCCCCTATCCTTTTCAATATTAACGTAACTTGTCAAATGCGGGCGATATCATAGCCGTGGATTGGCAAACAAAGCTGCTGAAGGGCAGTGCTTCTCGCTTCCACCTGAGTTCACAGCCAATAGCCTAAACCAGAAGCTGAAATTGGGTGGTCAAAACAGCTCCTTGCATCATTATGGATAATTTGTATATATTAATTCATTCCTGTATTATATTTTAATTACTTTTTATATTCCAATGTTCTCATAGTCCATTCACTTTGAGATCATGTTTTTGGTCCTGACCAGTTGGTTGTTGGTCTTGTTGGTTGGTCGAGGACTGCAGAACACCCTATTCGTACGGCCGAAGACTATGTATGTATCCGTATGGAAATTCAACAAGTAATATCATATCACTGCAATAAAATCAAATTACATGATCAATACAATTGTAAGCGATGTATACACCTAGAAGTCTGATACCTGTGAGCTCTGAGGCAGAATGGGAAACGCCCATGAAACAGGATAAAACATTCTCTAGCATAAATGGATGAAATGAAATCACAAAGGGACAGAAGGGTAAATAGAAGGTATGTATTTCGTGATTCGGGAAGCACCCCTCAACAGGAGAAAGAGAGCAGACGTATTTTGAACAAGCAACCCTTAGACATTCGCCATTTTGTCTCAAGATATCAACGACAAGATAAGTGTAGGCGAAAAAAAAACAACCGGGGAACAAAGATAATCAACAAGAAGAAGGAAGAAAGAATCCGCCGATAGGTAGTTACCTTGAAACACAAGGTGGCAAAAGTAGGGGCAATATCAAAAACGGCAACAATGATACTGGCAGGCACAGCCTTGGGTCGAATATCAAATTCGTCCACAAACCAACAGGTCATTAAAATAGCATCGTGTGCTGTTTCAAGTTACTTTCTGAGCTTCCACAGCCATCAAATAAAAGGTTTAAATAAAAATGAAAAATGATAAAAAAGAAGAAATACCCCTACCCAATATTTCCTTTTCCTTGCCTTCGCCTCCTTTTCATGCAACACCAATCTTGCCACCTCTGCACGCTGTTCCTGCCGCCACTGATCCCATGGAAATGTAGTGGGATCCATCGCCGGAGCACATGGACCATGTAGATTCCGAGTCACACTTTATGCTTCCTGCAGTACAACCTCCGGAGCTTCCTGGAGCAGGAGCCGCCGCTGGCGGTGGAGAAGATCCTTGCCCTCCTGTATCTGGCATCGGGTTCGATGGTGGAGTGGGGTTGCTGTCAAGCGGCGGTGACGCAGGGGTTTGTTGAGGCGACGACCCAGCCGGTGTAGATGCTGGAGAAGAATCTGCAGGAGATTGAGGAGCTGGAGTTGGTGGTTCTGACTTCGGTCCAGGAGCTTGGCCGCCAGAAGGACTAGTACAATTGACAATTCCCCTGTTCGGTGGACCATTACCGTCGGGTCCTAATTCAACAACCGATCCCGGGTCTGGAAACACTATAGCGGACCCTTCCTCGGTGTTGCACTTGGTTTGAAGGGCAACGTTGGCCTTGAAGAGCTCAGGGAGACTGTCAAAGCCATCTCCTGAACCACCAGCAACGTTGACGTAGGCACAATTCATGTACATTTCACGATTGCCGATCCTATTAAACCATGTCCAGGCGAATACTGCCTTGCCAGAAGGCGCATTGGATGGAATCTTAAATTTGTATTTGAGTGGTATGGGACACCCGCCAATAATGGACTTGATGACCTTGAACGACTTCCCTTGGTCGTAAGAAAGTGAAATCTGGCATGAACCACCGCCATGGGTTGCTATATTTTGATCTATTGTCATTTCGTACTCATTCCCAGCTTTGTACTCTGCAGTTGCCTTGAAAGAATCTGTTAAGTATCCTTTGCAAGGATAATTCGATCCGTTCTTCCATAGTGGGTCTTTATAATTGAAATCCATATTGGCAGAATTAGCAGGATTTAGGGGGCTTCGAATTGGGAGCGGGTTCAGCATTTGCATGTGGCTGTACACCCCATGGCCTAGAAAGCCCAGGACAAGAATGATAACGTGATATACAATGGTCATATAGGCGGTTCAAGGTAGTTCCGGGAAGCTGGAGAGTAGAAATGCGCTTGTCAAATAAAATGGATCAGGTGTTCGCAATTTTAGCGGTCGATTGAGAAAAGAATGAACAATATAAATCTGAATGTTGGTTCGTAGGTGCGGTCGGTTTGAAGCCGTGGGATAGATAGATATATCTATATATCTATATATCTATATATATGTTTGATCATTGCTGACGAGCTACTGCTGACATTATATAAGATCCCTCTGGCGCTTAGGAAGGGAGCCATGATGAATTCGCCATTAATGGTGAAACCGATGGCTCTAGGAACGAATAACAATGGCAATAATTTCATTTGTGTTTTCCCATTCTCATCACATCGACCAAAGTAACTGACGGGTAAGGCCGATTGATGAACAGAATCAAGTCGCAGCCGCTGGGTGGCGAGGGATTCTGAAGTTATTCCCACATTGGTAACAATTCATAATGAGCTGGACAAAGCCTTTGTATTGAGAATGCCGTGGGTGATTGTTTCCTGCCGTTGCCCCAACATCGTCTCCTCAGAGGGGTTAGGAATCAATGGTGAAGTTTCATGTTGTCCCTCGACAGAAATTGATACCAGGATCCCAGATCATAGAAACAAGAACAGGCATTACTTTAATAGATTCTAAATTGATTAAGGCTTATGTATTGATACATAATTGCATGCCGCCGCGACCATAGGATCGATATTTGAAACGGGAAAGTCAGAGGTTCCACCGTAAACCGATATGTCCGAGTCATGGCTTACTGGCGATCCATCTAGGAAGTTAAAATGTCAGTTGAGAATACGGGTTAAAAGTCCCACTCGGAAGAAGTAAATTCCCCCAAGGGCCTGAGGGCTGGGTGCTTGATGAAACATTAGTTCGCTCTTCATAACAGAAATCCGACAATTTTCGGTATCCGGCGCACTCCATTTCCATTCTCGCCCGACTCAACTCAGGGAACATGTTTCGCCCTTTTCCGGTATGCTTCATGTCCAATCTGAGCCTGCGATGTTCGTCAATACAGACACCCTATAGTTGACTACATTTCGTAGATGGCGAATCATAATTATAATTTTTCTCACAGTATTGTGCCACTAGCTTCAACTGGAACTAATCGGTTGCTCATCTGCCAAGGCTCACAGAACATGTAGCCCTACCGCGCTAAATAAGAGCGATGTGTATTTCAACCTCCGATGAGAATAGATATCATCCAATCTATGTATTTGTACGTCAAAGGATCGAACGAGTGCAGGATCCACCTACTGGTTCCCTTCCCAGGCTAAGACGCGTCCCCAGGAAGCAAGTCAGCACTAGACCGAAACATAGAGAAGTAGGTATATCCAGATGTGATATTGCGGAATAACCATGACTACGACATCATGGGCTAAATCGAATCGATATGGTTTCAACGTCTGTAATCGTAAAACACAGATCCTAGAGGAGATGAAGTCCCAATGAATCCCTGCCGGCACACGCAGCAAAAAGGACAATGGCTTGATGAACTGAGAATCCTTCACGGTAAACCCTGTGGTATTTTAACTGGCATGCTCCGAGAATTAGATCACGAAATATAACCCATTCATTAAGGGATTTGGTAGCATTGCCCCAAAGCATTTACCTCCCTGTGGAGATGGAGAGGATATAATGAGAGTAAAAGTGTATAGCTGGCTTATTGACGAATCGATAGCCTTAGAGAAGTGCGATCATTAGTATAAAGGGATTAGAGGCATCCTTGACAAGAATCGGAAACCCTTTTCGCACAGGTGAGAGTTCGAACCCAATACTATATGAGGACAAGTGGAATGTGTTGGGGGGATTGGGTTGGGTGATTCGTACCCTCTATATTGAGCTCTTTTGCCCGAAGTGGCCTAATGGAATGAGGGTTAAGTTACCTAATCTCGCATTTTGCCCCCGCCAATGATATAATCATAAATATATCATGCATTTCATCGAGTCTTTCCAAGGAAAGACAAATTCCGGCTCCAGTAGCTCAGCGGTTAGAGCGTGCGATTGCAGTTACGCACTCTATCGCAATGTCCCTTGTTCGAATCAGGGTTGGAGCTGAACAGTGAATTCCTTTTTATTCCTTGTGATTTTTTTTTCTTAAAAAACACTTCCAGATTTCCTTTCATAGTTGATGCTAGAGCAATGATGTCGTCCTACTTCTCCCTTAATTGTTTAACTTCGTCAACTATATTTGTTGCATATCGAAGGGCGAAGTCTGTGCTAGAACAGCGGACAGGAAGACCATTCCTTACGCCTTGTTCATTTTGCAACGGATAAATCTGGCCACGTTTGAGATATAGATAGCCTGTTATATCTTGAGCTAAATTATATTGAGGTGTGAGATATCTGCGATGTCTACTTTTATATACATGGCTACTATTTTTATAATCTCTCCTGTCAGCGGAATGACGCATCTAGAACCAGGGGGCACACGCTTCCATGGTGATCCCTGTACGCAAGAGCAACTGAGATCTAATTTTGGCGCTAGCAGTTGAAACAAAATGCACGAAAACGATTTCCACAGGCTGCCCAAGTCCTTCTAACAATCAACAAGATGTGCAGATTTCCATAGCTTATGTGGACCCTTTTTCTTTTCGACATTTCATGACTCTGATGCAAAGAACGGAGGTTGGTGTGCCCGCTACAATTTAGTATTGCCACGCAGAAAGTGGATTCCAATCTGAAAACATTGGTAAAATTGAACGCTATGCTCATATTAGAAAGATTACCTATATGTGAGTGGGATGCAGGACTTAGGATAGCGTCGATATATATTGAATGTCAACCAAGTAGAAACGGATGAAAGGAAATCAGCCAGCGGGCAGCAACAAAGTTTATCTTACACATATTAAAATATTTATGGAAAAATCAACAGTAGGAGGAACGTTTCCGTTGAGTATTTGCGAAAAGAGGACAAGGAAGCCGAAATCGACAGGAAAAAAAAAAACACCTTAATATAAGTGCTGGGTTTGGCGGATGAAGATAAGCCATCGACTTTATCATATCTTGTGGGAAAAGATGGAGATGGATATCAAGAATATTTATTGGGAATGAGAAGCTGCGTATTCCGACGGGGGTCCAATATATAGCGATGTAGCGACGTTCTGATCAAAAAAACAGTAAAATTGGAACGACTAAAAATTGTTCACATAGAACGGAATGAAAGACAATAGAGCCACTGGACTAGTTTCCGTTTGTTTGTGTCCCATTTTCCTGTTTCCCGTTTCCATGTTTACCGTTCTTCTTCGGCGCGGCTTTTGATATACTAGCCCTCACATACGTTTCTCTCACTGGATCTCCTTTGTGATCTAAAACAGCCCACTCCCCAATGCCCAGATCCTCTGGAGCTATCCTGACTCCACGGCCGCCGCCGCCAATAATAAGATTACCGGGACGATAGTTATTGTCCGCCTTTAACCGCTGAATGGCAGAGTTATGGATCTTTGCATCCAACGGAATGTCGCGCACTTCCCCGCAGGGTAGAGGCCAACGAATAGGGGCCCAAGAGCCATCTTGCTGTAAATCCATCCTTTTAAAGGGAAGATACTCCATCATTTTCCATGCTAATACTGATACGGCTGGTAGACCAGACGTAAATTCCAGAGAGTCATGGATGTGACCTTTGGTTCCAGAGTATTGTAGAGCATTATAAAAACTCCTTGATAATGAAGACTGTTCTGGGTCGTCTTGGGGAACTTCTTGGACGGCTGAATCATCCACTCCATTGATTACAATCTCCGGTGGATTTGGTTGTTGCCTCTGGTCGATATTCCATGATTTCTCAATGGGTGAGTAATCGCCAGAGAACTCTAATGCGCATTCGAATTGTTTGAGTTTGCGCTCATCGAATAGTAATCCAGCGCGTTGTGCTTCGTGAACCATCCAGACCAAGGGTGCATGACTGAGTGGCCATTTCTCTCCTGGCATGAGTCCCCAGCCACCACCGATATCAGCATGACAGCCAGGGAACCAAACTTCCTGGATATCCTGGACAGTTTGGTCTGATTGGACGGATCTGTCATCGGTAATATGAGAAGAGTGTGGCGGGAAATGGGCCACACTATCGGCGGAGCTCGCACAATCAGCAGAGAAATTACGGTTATCAGGGACCGACAGACTAAGATTATGCATCGAATGATGAGGATATGATGGACGGTAGCGGTTCTCTTCTTGAGGCTGGGTCCAACCTGTTTCAGGTGGATTGGCGTTGACATTTCCTAAAGCTTTGGTTTCACCCTTGCCTGTCCTTGACTTGGATTTTTCCCGGAGCGTTATCGAAGCCTGCTTCTTCTTTCTGCGGGAAGATATACGTGAGATGAACGAAAATCGGCGATATCTACACTGTGATTCTTGGGGGTGATGGTTTTGAGAGATCAAGTCTTGGCGGAATTTAGCACGTCTTTCATCAATGCCAACTGCATGTCTGATAACCTTGGCCGAACTTCTCGCGGTATAGGGGAATCTGTTCCGCGACATCCATGGTGACTCGAATTTGGGAACGCTGTTCACAGTGTCAAATAGGCCTAAGAACCGAATCCGCTGGATTGGACGACTGAACGTTTCGCGAAAAGCTTTCATGAAATTATATAGATCGTGTCTCTTTTTGATATCTGCCTTACTGATCCCTGCTCGCTGTTGCCATTTTGAAAAGGTTTTCCACGCAAAAAAGACGAGCTCTTCATTTCCAATCGTTAGGAGGCCAACGTAGTCCAGCATCTCGGCCAGAAAGCGAGCTATATACGCCCCACGGCTAAATCCGAAGAAGAATATTTCATCGCCCGGAGAATAATACCGCATCAGAAATCGGTAGCCAGCAAGCACATGTTGATCAAACGATGAGCCAATAGCTGCGTCTTTTGCCTTTGTCCAGCTCCGTTTGATGCGAGAAAATGTGCCTGCATGACTTGAGATTTTCGCTGACGTTACGTAAGTCCCAATTCCAGGCTGATAATAGTGGAATTGTTGTCCTTGATTTCTATCTAGCATCTGCGGTTTAATGTCAGCACTGAAAATACTATCTTTACATTGAGTGTTTATAGCATTGATCACTGACTCGAAATATTTTTAGTACATTGCTGTCCGACTCGTCGCCAGAAAATTTATTACCGGTACCATCGAAGCAAAGGACAAATGTTTTTGGAATATCTGAGGCGTAATGTGACATCAGGACGATTTTATGCGGAATCGCTGCTGCTGGTACTTGCAAAGTGGTGTCGACAAAGGAGAAAGGAATTGGATTTACTGCTCAGAGAGGAAGTATAGTCCGAAGAGGGGTTAGGTTTGGTGGGCTTTTCTTAAGTTAGTGTAACGCAGCGCTGCTTGTATCACTGTGTGTAAAACTTGGCTGCGTTGATAACGTTCTTCATGTGAGGAAAATGATGGTTCTTTTGCTCCCAATCAGGGGCTCAATGTAGTTGGAACAAGCACAGCGGTAATCACTTGAAAGTGGTGGATGACTACAATTCTAAACGTCACTGCGGGATGTATTTATCTATTTTGAACTCAGAGGATGTCAAGGCGGAGCCATCGTCACAGCTGGAATCGCGCTGGAGGATTGCACAGGCCTGGTGTTGATCGAAGAGGAGTTCTGCAGGTAAAGTTAGCCGAAGCTGAAATTTGGATCCATCGACATTGAAGCTATGGTGAGCTCAACCATTTTCGGATTGGCTCAGCCACTAGCCTTAGCGTGAGATCTAAGAATGACAACATTGGTCAGCCTGACGGGCGGAGCGCTGCATGTTCTCAAATAGAACTCCACATTAAAATAAAACGTCCAGAACCCTTCGGTTTCCCTGTCCCGGGATCTCAAACAGGTTAGGCGCTGGACGCCCTTCCAATGCTCTGTCAGTGGATCATGAAAGCCGAGTCCGTCACACAATGGTTTCGACTGATGATTATGGCTGGCTGAGAAAAAGCCCGAAAATGCACCCGAAGAAAACCTCAAGAGGATCCTTTACTAGAGAGGCGATTGGTCCCGAATACCCTGCAAAGACAAAATTGCGCCGACCTGATAATAAAAGGAGGAAGAAAAGTCAAATAAGATTTACCTATAGCTAGTCAAGAACTTGGTGACTCAAACACATGGCTATGGACAAAGAGCCGGGTTGACCAGTCCGTGAGTTCAGAGATCAAGGGTCTGAGGAGAGCAGTCCGAGACCAAGTCCTTATGCCCAGATCGAGTAGCATCAATAGTGTAGTTTTATGGTGGGGCACCAGGTGGCATCCATGTTTTCCACCTCCCCCGCCGCTAATCAACTGTAAACGAGGATCGAACATTGTTGTGGAGCGAGCAATGATGTTGGAGGAGCGCAACAGAATGGAAACGTGGAAGTTGTGTTTGACGATGAGAGGCTGAGAGTGTGGTGTTCTTCTGCAAATCAGGTGATTGATGGCGCTTCCACTCCCAAAGGCTTCGTTTACTCCTTTCCAAACCTCCAACCAGTTGGCTGGACACCACCAATAAGACTCCCAAGCCAGAGACAGCGTCGAAGGGTTTCTGGCCAAATGCACACTCAATTTACTCCTCGATCCGGGATTCAAATTCTGCCCGAGTGTGGCGCGTGCATACGATGCAGTAGTTGCAGTATGCTTCGCGCACCTGTGCTGCTTGACAACCGACAGGCATGAAGTCAATCATCTCCTCCAATTAGTGGTTTGCTCGCTTCCTGAATTGACTGAATGATAATTGGCTCTTCCAGTCAGGATTCCTCAGGAATCACTGAATCAGGAATCAATTTGTGATGATCAAACGAAACCGCCAATCCTTACCTCTTGTGTTGAGCTATTGGTCGCAACGATTCAATAATTCGTCTATCTCACCTTCTTGCTTGTCCAACCATCCCTTTTGATTTGCTAAAATTGAAGCTCTGTCGGTCAAATGTCTAGCAGATGCGTGCCCTTACCCGAGCACTATGGTAGATTACTTTTGTGACAGCATTTCATCACTGGCCGAGTACCCGACAGCTCAAATTAATATGTGGCACCCTCTGAGCAAGCTGGAGCTCTGCACGGATCGGGCGCCGCGGAGCCTTGATCCGGACGTCAAGACAGAAAATAACAAGCCGCTGCGAACACCAGTGTAATTTTTGGAGGCATTTATTCCAGTTGAAATCATCATGGCAGAGTGGAAATTCAATCATTCGTGTTCTCATTGTCGATTGATTTCTTGACAAAACATTTCATTCCCTTCACCTTTTCGAAATATCCATTTTCTGAATTATTTGTCTATTCTGTTGTCTATTCCTCCTGTCTATCACAGGTTATCTTGCGCAGATGGCGGGCTTAGATGCCGCTCTGACTCCAACAAATGGCCAGAAGAATGGTCATGTGAATGGTAAACTGAAGGATGCACCCCTCCCCGTCGCGAAACGCAGCAAAGGGCGCCGCGTCGAACGACAGGAAATTGAGGATACATTTGCAAAGTATTCGGAATTCAGCGGCGACCATTCCCGCATGAAGAAAGATGGAACCAGCAGCAAATTTCAAGAAGTGAGGTGGATGGGCTGGAAGGGCGTCCGGACCCTGTTGGAGGTGGTAAAGGGCAAAACTTCTAGCAAACTTGTCGACGATAGGGACTACCTCATGGAGCGAATTATTCAAGTATGGTCAAGCCGATGAACGCAGTAAAAGCCAGAGACTTACTTCTTTCTGCCTACTTAGCTTGTGGCCAATCTCCCTCCAGAATCATCAGCGCGAGAACAGCTCACCAAGACTTTTGTTAAATCACTCTGGGTCTCTCTTCCTCATCCACCCCTCGCGTAAGGATCCTTTGTGCTGTGAAACGCCTGCGTTTCATTAACGTATTTCCCTTTTAGATATCTCGGCGACGAGTATCGCTACAGAGCCGCCGATGGATCGAACAACAACCCGATGTTTCCCCGACTGGGAGCCGCCAACACACCCTACGCGCGCTCCGTCAGACCTATCACTATTCAGCCTGCGGCACTTCCAGACCCGGGTTTGATCTTCGATAGTCTTTTCGCTCGCCAGGAATTTAAGCCTCACCCCACTGGGGTCTCTAGCGTATTTTTCAGTTGGGCATCGTTGATAATTCACGGTAATATTGCGTTGTGCGATCTTCATTTGGAACCCGCTAACTGGTTTGAAAGACCTTTTCCAGACCGATCCAAGGAATCAGCACATCTCACAAACTTCTTCGTATCTTGATCTTTCCACGCTCTATGGAGATAATCAAGATGACCAAAACCAAATGCGTACCTTCAAGGATGGGAAACTCAAAGCCGATACATTTTCGGATCCTAGACTTCTCGCACTCCCACCTGCTTGCAGCGTTATTTTGGTCCTGCTGAACCGGTAAGGAAATTGGATACTCGCTGCTCATCCAATCGCTTTGTTTATTAAACTTCCTGGATTTGGTCTATCAACCTAGTTCAAAGGCTGACCTTTTTCCCCAGATTCCACAACTATGTTGTCGAACAGCTAGCACAGATAAACGAGAATGGCCGGTTCACTAAACCCCATGCTAATCTGCCACCAGATCAATCGGCAAAGGCATGGGTTAAATATGATAATGACTTGTTCCAGACCGGGCGGCTGTAAGTTTATTCAGATGGTTAACCTTATTCATACCTAATATGAGAATAGTATAACATGTGGCCTCTACATAAATATCACATTGTACGATTATGTACGAACCATAATCAACCTTACACGGAGCAACACGACCTGGAGTTTGGTACGCAATACGCTTTCGCAACGTTGAATATATGCTAACTTTTTTTCAGGACCCAAGAATTGACACGAAGAAAGATGCTGCTCCGGAATCTGCGGAAAGCGGCGTTGGTAACCAGGTATCTTTCGAGTTTAACCTTGCTTATCGGTGGCATTCATGTATCGGCCAACTTGATGAGAAATGGATCAACGATATCTACCACGATCTTTTTGGCAAAAGCGGGGAAGATATTTCTATGCCAGAGCTGATGGCTGGAATGGGAAAATGGAAACAAAAACTTCCTGAAGACCCTTCTAAGAGGACATTTGCCAAGCTAAAACGGCAAGCAGATGGACGGTTTAGGGATGAAGATCTGGCTAGAATTATAACCGAAGCGACTGAGGAAGTTGCAGGTGAGTGTATTCACACGCTTTAATTCACACTTGTCTAAGGAGAATATAGGAACATTCGGTCCACGTAACGTTCCCAAGGCCCTCCGAGCAGTCGAAATACTTGGAATTCAGCAGGCGCGGAAATTCGGCTGTGGCACTTTGAATGAGTTCCGGAAGTTCTTCGGCTTAAAGGAGTATGAATCGTTTGAGGAAATCAACTCTGACCCTGAAATAGCCGGCCAGCTTCGGAATTTATACGAGCACCCTGATTATGTTGAGCTTTACCCAGGCATTGTTTCAGAGGAGCCGAAGATTCCTATGGTCCCTGGAGCTGGGATTTGTCCAACCTATACTATCTCGAGAGCAGTTCTTTCAGACGCAGTAGCACTTGTGCGTGGTGACCGATTCTACACTGTATGTCATCTCAGTTTCGTTTATTAACTCCTTATTACTGGTATTGTGACTGCAAACCACAACTAACATATCCTCTATAGTGCGACTACAATGCCAAAAGTTTGACAAACTGGGGATATACAGAGACTCACTATGATCTTAGCATCAACCAGGGTTGTATGTTCTACAAGCTGATGCTACGCGCTCTTCCAACTTATGTCAAGCCCGACTCCATCTACGCACACTATCCCATGACGATTCCCAGCGTAAACAAGGAAATTTTTGCCAAGTTGGGCCGACAGAGTCATTTTTCTTGGGATCGCCCTGCGTTGTTGTCCCCTCGAATTGACCTCACTTCCTACAATGGAGCAAAAACAATTCTTCAGAACGCTAAAGATTTCCGAGTCACTTGGGAGGCGTCCCTCGGTTCACATCTTGCAAGTCAGGGCTTCAATGAGTCACAAGCTAAAGTCATAGATGAAATCTTTGCTCAAGACTCGTGGCGCGAGGAAGTCAAGCAATTCTATCAGGATATAACTCAAAAATTGCTGAAGCGGAACTCAGTGAAAATCGCTGGAATTAACCAGATTGATATCACCCGGGAGTACGATCATCAGACCCCCTACTCAAAAGACCCCCTACTCAAAAGACCCATTGAACTAATTAATATCCAGTCTCGGTAATCTCACGCATGTGCACTTCGCTGCAAGTACCTTTAATATTCCAATCAAAACAAAGGATAACTCAAAGGGAGTATTCACCGACCATGAAATGTTCATGGTAATGCTGGCGGCATTCACCAGTGTATTCTCTGATGTAGATCCCACAAAATCTTTCCCCCTGCGACAGGTGGCTCGTGAAGTGGGTGAACAGTTTGGTCAGGTTGTGGAGTCATACGTCAAATCTATCAAAGCGTTTAATCCGTTCTCTAGTATTATTGATAGGTTCCAGAAGGATGGCAACACGTTGGCCAAGTTCGGCGCGGACGCAACCCGCAGGCTTCTAAAATCCGGCCTCAGCGTTCCACAGGTGGCTTTGTCGTATATTCTTCCCATTATCTGCACAGCAGTGCCGAGTCAAGCCCAGGCTGTGAGTGTTTTCGCTGCTCATTTTGGAAAGCATGAACTAACTTCTATCAAGTTTACTCAAATCATCGGCTATTACTTGTCAGATGAGGGCAAAAAACACCTCCCTGATATCAACAGCCTTGCAAAGGAGGATTCCTTAGAATCCGACACGAAACTTCTGCATTATTGTATGGAGGGGCTTCGACTTAGCGGGTCATTCAGTTCCTATCGTGATTCAAATGCAAACATTCTCATCAATGATGGTGGTCGTGAAGTTTCCATCAACGATGGAGATAAAGTCTTCGTGAGCATGGTAAAAATCTTACTTTTCCCACCGTGCTTAAAATTTTACCTCATACATCTCTAAAAACCTAGTGTAACTCGTGCTGACATTTAATTCTAAAGATTTCTTCTGCTAGGGACCCCAACATATTCCCAAGCCCCGACGAAGTCGTTCTTGACAGACCTCTGGAATCCTATATCCATTACACTGATGGCGCTTTTACCTGTTTCGGAAGAGACGCACAGATGGTGGCGCTATCCTCCATGCTGCGTGTAGTTGGGCGTCTAGATAACCTACGCCCTGCGCCGGGCCCTCAAGGCCAACTGGCGAGAATTAGCCGTCCTGACGGACATTTTGCTTACATGCGAGAAGACTGGGGTGGCTTTTCGGCGCTCCCGATGAGTAAGTTTTGTCCCTGTTTCGTCTGCCTTCCGTTCTCGTTCTTCACCTCGCTAGATACCATTTTAAGTGAAATTTTGTGGCTGATTAATAACTTCCTCCTTTCTTTTTATCCTCGATTGCAGCTCTGAAAGTCCACTACGACGGTGAGCTTCGGTAATTGTGCACGAGTATATTTTGCATAGGGACACAGGCTCTGAATCCTACCTTCTCACTGACTCTGTTTCAAGTTCTCTCTTAATTGTTCTTGGTTTATTTTCTTTTCTTCTATGCATTTTCATAACGTGGTGCTTCGTCAAGTTTGTCACCTACGCATTTAATTGTTGAGAAAGCGTGGAGCAAAGCTTTCGTTATATACTTGTCCTTCATATACAGTAATCTTTTCGTGCTAAATACAAAGTGAAGGCTGGCCATAGAGACTCAGCCAATCGAAATAATCACATCCTCGGCAAATTATCTCACCGTCATGCTGTAGACAAAATGAACATACAGTGCCAGGCCATACGTATTGGCAACATTACCACAATCATGGTGCCCTTTTTGTGGCAGAAAAGTAGTGGGGACTGCCAATACTTATGGCCTGGAACAGTATCTTTCTCAGTGACTATAACAAAAATTGCTCAATGTTGGTTTAAAACCGGCCTCTCTCTAAAATACAGCAGCTAATAGTTGCGAAGATGCTCCCTATGTAAAGCGTTGAAGTTAGAACATAAGTTTTCTACAAAAATGGGGTGAGTGAGGGCAATCACTAGCAATGGTGAGAAATTCCAATGTCCCATCCATATTTTATTTAAGGAGTGCATCTCTCTTCATTCAATTTTACTACACGATATTTCCCATTTACGGCTAGGCAGGAGCGCAAGAACACTGGTAAGCATAAAGTCAAGACGCAATCAATTGAACGAGTATGAAACTTCGAACCATTCCTTCAACATCTAGCACGCGTGATGAAGCAACTTTTCAAGCACCTTTGGCACTAGTCGAGCGGGAGCCCTATAACTATATTGTTAGAGGCCCAAAGCATTCAAACAAGTCTACACAGGTAGCAGAAACGAACCTACACAGCCCTTCCCGCCGCGGTATACATATGGCGTGGGACACCATCCGCCCAAATGGTGCTAGATCAAGATCTGGGCGAACCCAATCATACCAAGGCTTGTTGTTCATCTTTACGGGATCATGTTTCCATTGTGAGCCACGGCTTAGCCGATAACTCGTGTTCACTGACATGGGAGAGATTTGGTGGCCAGTATGCTCTCCAAGGTTGGCGAAAAGAACCCAATTCAGGCCTGCCGTTAACATCCGCCAGGTTTGTTGTTGGTGGGTTGCTCAGTGGCGGCACGTAGAATTGTGAGGGCATTACTGATATAAATGCTTTGTCCCGAAGAAGTTGGTGGGCGCATTCTCAGTCCCGATTCCTCCACCCAGGCAAATCCCCCGCCTTGGGCACAAAAGTTCTACATGTCCGTTTCAGGCTGGCAGCATACCAGGAAACTTCCACACCCCCAACAGCCCTCTCTACCATCTCGCCAGATGGGGGAAGCCGGCTCTTCTCTAAGCTCCAACTACCAACTGCCATTGTCCGGAGTCTTCCAGGGTGCATGGTAAGGGACTGTCTATATTCTGGCATTGATCGGATTCGAACATGCTGTAGCATGTTGGCACACCCAGCGGATTTTTGCGCTTTTACGAGCCCTAGAGGTTTTGAGACTCCTTGCCCCAGTAGCCTACAAATTCCAACTACGCATGCTCGACTTGAAGGGGTCAGTTGTCCAGCCCGGGTATCTGAAGAAGCCTAGTTACCACCAGCACCAACTTGTAGTCCAACAAGTTAAACTGGGTCCTGGCCAGTTGCTTTTCGAGCACACGTCTAACTATACCAACGCCGCAGGTGGATCGGCTTAGCTTTCAAGCTCTATGAAAATGGCACTGCTAGAAAGTGTGCGCTCAGCTAGCCACGCCCTCATTCTGATACTCTGTCTCGCCTGCCTTGGCTTAATCGTCCTGAGAAGGTCGGAACAGATGAGCCTGGTCATCCAACAGCCTCCGTCTATTTTGACTCTTGACGAAGCAACTTATTTCATATCCTCACCATCCAAGGTACAGAATCCGTCGCACTTACCTCACAAGGGGATTCCGAATAACTCTTTTTTTGGCCTCTCTAAGGTCGAGTACAGATTTTCCAAGCGCGCTTCGGTTTCTGGGCCCTGCACTGTCATTCGTGTCCCCAATGTCCAGATCACGCCAGATGATCTCATTGAGATCCGGAGGATGCTTTCCCAAGATGATGTGTGGTCAAATGGCTTTCTACAATACCTCATTTTCCTGCCCCAGACAGCCCACCAAACCGTCCAAATCAACACTGCTGCTCAGCAAAAACTCGATACTTGGGGCAGTCAGGTTTTATCCGCGGGCAACCTGGGAACTCTAGACCTTCAGCAGCCTGGTCCTTATTTCTGTAACGCTGGTCAACTGCACAAAGTGTACAGGCTATATCCTGATACAGCGGGAGCATTCATGAGTGCCACAATTCAATCACCAAACGATCCATATCTGTAAGTGTAGTTACTAGTAACCAATGATCTAAAATTATGTTGACTGGTTTCAATAGCTATAATTCGTTCAATGTGTCTGTGTTTACGGAAGAGCACCCCTTAACATTGACCATCGGCGTTCCTTCCCGCTTATATTTCACACCCACCCAGGAAAAGCCGTTGGCCGGACTGCGAATCGCGGTCAAGGACACACAAGATGTGCAGGGGATCAAAACCACTGGATCATCACGTGCATATGCTCGACTCTATGGGCCACGAGATAAAAGTGCCACTGGAGTTCAACGCTTGCTGGATCATGGTGCCATTGTAATTGGCAAATTGAAGTCGACTCAGTTTGGTGAGAGTGAGTGGGCTACAGCTGACTGGGTAGACTACCATGCCCCGTGGAATCCTCGAGCAGATGGATATCAAACTCCAAGTGCAAGCAGTTCCGGCAGCGGTGTGGCGGTGGCTGCTTATAACTGGCTAGATTTATCTACTGGTACAGACTGTAAGTGATGTTCCGCCTATTAGCCCTTAACGTGGGAAATAATATCTCACTGAATAAGCACAACAGGCAGTGGTAGTGTTCGGGCTCCAGCTGCTATTCACGGACTATTCGCAATCAGACCGTCTACAGATGCAATTGACAACAAAGGCGTCATCCCATTCTCCAAAAATTTTGACACCTTCGGCATATTCGCGAGAAATATAGAAACTCTTACAACTACGTCATCAGTTCTTTATAATCAACATGCAGAGATCCCTTCTTGTTTCAAGGTAAGATAATTGAAGAACATGTTTGAATGTTTCCGCTCACGGTCCAACAGAAGCCCAAACGCATTGTATACCTTAGCGAATACTGGCCAGTTAAAGATAAGGCCAGTTCATCTGTGTTTGAAAGTGTTATCGGAAAGCTCGAAAATGCAATTGGCACTAAACGAACCAACCTCAGCCTGAACAAACTCTGGGCGGAAACAAACCCAGTTGGAACGGCCGTCTCTATCGATGATTACTTCAGAACGACCTTTGTTTCTGCATCTGCCCCAGATCAATGGAACATGCTCAAGAGCTTCCACTCGGAATATAACAGGATTTTTGGTCATTATCCTACACTAAATCCCCAACTTCAATGGAAAATGTGGTTTGCCTGATTTCCTTTATCGACTAATTACCCATGGCTATATTCTAACACTCTAAAGGGAATTTTTGCCAAAGCAGACACTGGAGATGCAGAAGCAGGGAGAAAAAGAGATTGAAGTCTTCCGCTCCTGGTTTGCAAAATATGTAATGCTGGCAGATGAAAACGGCTGTTCTGAAAGCTTCTTGGTCCTGCCATGGACCCAAGGGCAACCGAGCTTTAGAGATGAATATCGAGAGTAAGAATTCTAATTGTGACTGTCTCGTATTATCCGCTGATTGGCCCGCAGGCGCCCATCTTGGACTGGTGAAGGCTGGTTTTTCTATTTCATTTCGGTTTACGCAGGAGCCCCCGAAGTCATATTACCTGGTAGGCCACACTTGATTTTCATCAGTTCTTGTCTATCAACTAATATGCGATAGTTGGCCAAACGCCCTATCACTCTCGAGTGACAAAGAGGGAGGAGTGGCTCCCTGTGGCCATTGGACTCGTTGGAGCTAGAGGTACAGATGCGGCATTTACTTCATTTATAAAAGATACCATGAAATCCGCGAACATTTCACAAACGGTAGACGTCGGGCGTACCGCTTTTAAATTAAATGCGTACGAGACGAACGATGTTGTCGAAGATTCCACAGTCCAAATACACCAGAATCAAAATATCTTATTAGGGGAATTTCCCCTAGGACCCAGCAGCTAGGGCTATTTCTTTTGGACATGTCAATAATTTTGGGAACGGGCCTCGTCTCTATTCTGCAAAACATCGGCGTCCGAGTGGCTTTCATTGTAGGGGATGGTGAATCTTTGTCTATCTACAGATAATTATGGGTATATTTCGCCGTTATAGTCCATGGATTGCAATGATAAAATACACCATCCAGATTGCGAGGCAGCATCAAATTCCACAACGTGACTAGACAAAAGCAACCATGGAACTGTATCGGGGGGTGTTTACAATAAATCGGCCCAAGGATTAAATCTTAACCATCACTAGTTTTCCCAGGCGAGGTAATTGTATTTGGCTCCCACCCCAATATGAGAGTTCAGACCTACTGATTCGTTCTTTTGGTCTCCTCACTTAGATGCATATGCCTCAATTTGGGTTCCCCAACTGGGTTGGCCAGTCAGTGTACTTCACAGCCGGCATGGTTTGGTCAGCTTATGCTCGGTAAATTAGTTAGCTGATTATGTGGCTCGACATACATCGTGAGGACTTCGCTGTGAAGTTTCAACTACAGCCTTATGTACTGTACCAGCCGAAAATGTAGCGTGCTCCTAATCCGAAAAGGTCACATTTTTCTAATCCTTTATTAATTACAACAATGTTCTCCTCCCCTTACCTTCACTATTTCCATCTACATTGCACATCATGAGATATAATCTTTTCTTCGATTTATATTGCCATGCTGCACTCTTCGAATCTAAATTTGAAAGTACCACTCCATCATTCAGAACGGCTTCGGACCGTTCCCCAGATGCAATTGACTACACAGTAGGGTGAATCTGTTCACTTGCAGATGAACTGGTAGTGGCGGAAGCGATGCTAGATGAGCGTTACTTATGCTCTCATCCGAAAGAAGCCTGATATTTTTCACAATTTGCAAATTGACAACATCGCTAGCACTATACTTAAATTATGATATACAGTTACATATAAAAAATACTCGGAATCTATTAACGCAGACTTGAATAATCGAGGTAATCTATGCATTTTTACAGACTGACGATGTTGTCTCCTAGGAAGCATGCAATGCTAGCAATGTCACACACTATCACCACTCCAGTACCCAGGCCTCACTCCACGCGTATCTTCCATTCATCAACTCTTTCAATTTATTAACAGCCAAGACACGAGATGTATGGTTATACGCCACATGCTTGTCAGGGACTTCTTGGCCGTTGAACCTAACCCTACACGTAGGTGAACCAAAGGTCAATCCTAGAATAGTAATGTTATCAAGGTAGTTTGTATCTTGATACGTTCCATTGGAGACTGCATTGACACTCCTTTTCTCCACATTAAGATGCACCGACAAAGTTGACGTCGGCTCAGCGCTTTCTCCATCGTCGATATATATCTGTCCATGTGCTGTGGATTTGCTGTCCAATGCGATAAGAAGAGACCATGGAGAATTTCGCGCTGCTCGCGTCGTTAGGGCCGGCTCTTGCATTGGAAGGACGCTTCCACCACGAACGTAGAGGGGGATGTGACCAAGTGGAGCATCAATGGTGGTGTTTTTTCCTGCTACTGCCTTGAATTGAGTGCGCGTATACCAATCATACCAGATCTCGCCGTCAGCAACACCAGGGAAAACGCCATTAACCGTCGTCGCCCGGGGCTCCAGAACCGGGATGATCATAAGAGATGGACCTAGAAGGAATTGTCCATCAGCTGAGGCTAGACTTGGGTCATTTGGGAATTCCCAAGCCAAGGCTTTCATGACGGTTGAGCCCGTCGTGTGTGCTTGATGGAAGAGCGTATATATATATGGGAGCAAGGCGTATCGGATTGCCATGGCCGATTTGGTTGCCTTAATGACGGATGACCAGACATATGGCTCCTGCGAAATAGCCGAGAGGACGTTGTGGTTGCGATAGAATGGGAAAAAAGCTGAAAGCTGCATCCACCGGTTGCACAGTTCCTCGTCACTGTTGCCGTTGAACCCACACGTATCGACGCCAAACATCGGGATACCGAAGAGCGAAAATGACAAGGCCTGTGGGATGGAGAAAACCATATGGGCCCAGCGGGATTGGTTGTCACCTCCCCAATGGCCAGCCCATTTCCCGCTTCCCGAGAAGGTCGATCGACCGATAATGAACGGTCGTTTATTTGGAAAGACCTGCAGGAGACCATGATATGTCGCGTTCAGAAGCTGATGGCCATAAAGATTGTGGATCTCATATTCCACGGTTCCGTCGGCATGTGTAGCATTTGGTGATACCGCGTGAACAGCTAGATCGCCCTGAACATGATTGATGACATACGGAGGATGGTTGACATCGCGAATTCCTGGACTGGGGGTGGTGGGAAGATAATCTAGCGTGGTAGTTGTGGTCGGTGCTGCGATACCCGCCGTTTTCAGCACATGCTGTCTGAAGGAAGCGGATGACGCAGACGCGGCTTCTGTGACGTTGGTAATATTGAAGCCCTCAGGGTAATCATAAATAACATTGCCATGTTCTCCTGGCAGTTGGAAAGGCGGATGGACTGGGTTGAGGGTAAGGTTTCCTGAGCCACAGCTGCCAACACAGAAAGAAGAGACTTCATTCATATCAATCCACATTCCGTCATATGGAACTTTGTTGAAAAACTCTTTCAGCTCAGTTGACCACCATTCTTGGGAACCTGCAGCCAAAAAGTCAGGGAACACGGTATATCCCGGCCATACGGCTCCGATATAAACGCTGCCATCCGGGTTTCGGAGAAATACATCAGAAGCGTTTCCTCTCTCGTACGGTTTATACCTATACAACTGCTGTCAATTAACAACAGGAGTAATTATGGGATGTTGTTGACATACGCATCAGAGCAGTTTTCTGGATTAGGGATATAGATTGCTGCATCAACGATTGGAATCCAGTGCAAGCCTTTTTGATGCAGGGTGGAGACAAATTTCTGCCCTTGTGGGATTGGATAATTTTCAGGGTGGAACTCAAAATCGCGGTATCCCTTCATAAAATCGATATCAGACCTATGGTTTAAGGGTTAGCCTTACCCTTTCACACTGAGGATGATATAATTTATTCTCACCAAATGGTTTCAAGTGGAATTTCAAACTTCTCAAAGTTGGAAACAACATCTTCCAACTCTGTCCAACTTTTGTAGCCCCAACGGCACTGATGAAAACCGAAGGTATAATATTGCTGAAGTGCCGGGAGTCCAATTGTACTGAGTTGGAAACTCTTTGTCACTTCAGATTGAGATGGGCCCGAATAAAAGTACAGATCTATGCTCCCACCTAAAGTTCGCCAGGTAAGACTGTCAGGTTGAAGGAGAACCTCATGCCCATGGGCATTTCGGAGGAAAACTCCGTGAGAGTACGATACGTATTTCCGCGAATAATCGTGCTCATTGTCAGCAACCGGAACCAGCCTTTTATTATTCTGAACATCGAAATATCGGGTATCGAGATAGAAGGGATGAGAGCCGTAAAGATTGCTGGTAACAACAACTGTCAAATCACCACGCTGAAAGTGCAAACATATATAGTAACGTACGTATCAATCGGGTCACCCACATCCGCCGCATAGATCGTAGCTGTGAAATTGTTTCCAAGTCGCAACCCATGGATGCGTTCGCCTAGCCCATACAGATTGTAACCAGCAGGCAACGAGCTAACAAACTCAATGAATTGATTTTCGAACACCAAGACAGTTCCCGTCGTATCGAAAAGCACGTCGCCTGTACTCCTGCGAGTCACTTTAAACGAGAAGCTAGGCTCATTTGACCAGCTGAAGTCAAGATCCGTCTCGCCACTTCGAAGGTCTGAATGCGCCGCTGGCTTTGGCCTCGGTACCAAATGATCGGGAAGGATATAGTGAGATCGATTGGAGGAGGAAATATGGGTTGGCACGATATTCACGTTTAACCTGTTTTTGGATGAATATACAACAGTGAGATTCAATTTATCCACATCTGTCCCATAGACATTGCATGGCTTCCCGGAGAGGGACAACGTGGCACTGAAGCCATGCGTTATTTCCTTGACATCGGATGCAAGATACCCCGGGCAAACATCCTGTGCATTCACCGATTTGGGATCTTTGACATTTGGAAGTAATAAGGCCCCTCGATCCGCGTTGGCTGGAATAGTGAATACGGGTTTGTTACTATCTGGCGTGTTAGAGGTAGAGGCATATGCCGGGAGTGGATGGTATCCATTGATTGCAAGCGATACCAACAAGATGTTGGTCCACCAGTGAGCGATGCTGGAGTGTGCCATGGTGAGCCACGCAATTTGGAAACTTTGTTGCCTCCAAATCACGTATCAATATCGAGGGATCTTGCTGGACAGGTTGGTTCGATTGGAAATATGAGAGACGGCCATTTTGCAAGGTTGCAGACTGACTTCTTATATACATAAGGGAGTAAATTATTCCTCTGCTAGTGCCTGACGATTTACCCCTGTAGCATACTTCATACCCCTAAGGTCGAGAGCTGAATCATATGCTGCTAGTGTCCAAACACCTTCGCAGAGTCGAGTGCATTTGCACAATCGAACGAGCGACGTTCGCCCAGGAGCTTAACCAACGGGGAGATGCATCGCGACGTCGGACGGACCAAGCTAGGTAACGGCTACGATGACCATCAGGCAATCTGAGAGTGACTTCGGAAAGCTAGATCCAATGACATTTGGATTGGACGCGCAAACCAAGCTCAACATTGGTGGATTTGACAGCGATCGGGAAAATACCGGGTTGCGGGGTTGGTTACTGGAGACAATAATTAGCTAGCGAGGATAAAGCAGCCGTTGCGCAGATCACTAGGCATAGTTGATAGATTCCAAAAAACGGGGAATGTGAGCTTTCATTCCCGCTAATCGGGGAAAGCCCCGTTGATGCTATTCGCAATGGCTCTATCTATGAGTTCCTGATAGAGAACTTGAACTCGAGAGATAGGGCTACGATAATCACGTGCGGAACGCCTTCACCGCCTTCTTCTTATGGCTATTTATCAAGTACGAGTAGCCTAGGTAGAAGATTCAATGATCTGCCAAGTTCTCTCTGATTGTTCCGCCTCTCCCATAGGCAACTGGAGAGGAGGATGTCGCAAGCATGCCTCCCAAGACTGTCAAGGGAGAATACATAGAAACCGTAATTCCCACCATCACCCACTTCTCCATAGCAAACTCCAGACCGCACGTCTAACTCCCTCAGGACACCGGAAACAAAGTATCTCGCCGGTCCCAGGTGCATGGGACCCAACACATCATTCTCGGCGGCAAGACCGTCATCCAAGCCGACGTGTGTATCCGCGGTGACTTGTTCCGCCAACAGTCTGAACAGCAAATTTCCAGCTCCTCCAATCCAGCCCCAGCTAGCCCCGCGGTTGCCGTCTCAATTGGTCGCTACACGTACCTCTCACGCTCCTGCCTGCTCCGCCCACCGTCGCGTCTACACCGTGGTGTGCATTCATTCTACCCGTTAAAGATTGGAGACCATGTGTTTGTGGGGGAGAAAGCAGTGGTGGAGGCGGCCAGTGTGGGAAACCATGTGCATATTGGTAGAGAAGCGGTGATTGGGTCTATGGCCATTTTGAAGGATTTTGTTGTAGTGCTAGATGGCGCCGTGGTACCACCGGGAATGGTAGTTCCGAGCTGGTGTGTCGTCGGAGGTAGGCCAGCTAGGGTTGTTGGGGAGATCGGAGAAGGCTATGGTGTTGAAGGGGGAGAAGGGGGACTGGCAAGAGAGAGATACAGGAATGTCGGGAAATGATAGGTTATGTGTTACATCCTGCCATCAATGTTTGGTTCTTTCCTGGGCTGCACGGCGTTGGGTAACAGCAGGCTGGGTTTCGGGAGACAAATAACAATATATTATGCGTAAGCTTTTTTAAGACATCAGGTCCAGATGTGAACCTACCGGTGAACTCACTTGTATTTACTAACTTAGTAATAGAAATTTTGATCGATTGATACTGCCCTGGATCAGTTGGACGTATGTTTAATAATCTCCCACATGCATTATTGAGTATCCATAGTCTAAATATCAATGACAACGAATAATACAAAACCGTATATTGGGGGAGAGGAATGCCATACGGGAAATCCATACAAAGAAATAAAGCAACATAAGGGATATCATAAGGAAATAATTTCGGGGGGAGGACTAGGCAAACAAAATACAGCATATGGTGACGGAATATCATTTGACAAGGACTGCAAATAAAGTGCAGGGGAAAAGAATGACAAGAAACGGCAAAAAGTGGTCAATGCTGCGTTGACTCATGATAGAAGACAAGTAGAGAAGTAGACTAAGAAGACGTATGTGACGGAGCAATGATAGGAGAAAGTCCCTAGGCAAATGACAACGGAGCTACATGTACACCTTTTGGTACATGAGGGTAGGGTGATCAAAGGCTCGGCATGTGACCGCGGATATGAGCGGTGAGCATTTATTTAATTTGCTTTTGCGGTTGAGACTTGACATTGTTGGAGAGCCAGCCCTAGAATCAATATTTAGTATTTTACTTACCAGAGTAGAGGACAGAATAATACATACCAGGCCCTCAAACAATCCCTCGCCTGTGGTCGCACAACTCGGGACAACAAACCACACTTTGTCCTTGAGTTGGGTCAATTGGAGCTTGTCAGTGACTTCCTGGGGGGTCATAGCTGTGAAAAAGGTTTATTTTTAATTAGCATAGGGAACAAAGTGTGACACACATAACCAAATCAGACGAAACCTACCTCCGGGAATATCTTGCTTATTTGCGAAAACTAGCAGCAAAGCCTCCTTCATCTCCCGATCCAGGATGATCCGATGGAGCTCCTGGCGTGCTTCGTCGATGCGGGCGCGATCGTTCGAGTCAATAACGAAAATGAGACCCTGGGTGCCTAAAATGCCCCACTCACAAGGTTAATTGGCAGTAATTCCCCGCCAGGACGGAGAAATCAGATATACCAGAAAAATAATGTCGCCAAAGAGGGCGGATTTTGTCCTGTCCACCAACATCCCAGACATTGAACTTGACATTCTTATAGGTAACGGACTCGACGTTGAATCCGACAGTAGGAATGGTGGTAACGTCCTGGTTGAGTTTTAATTTGTAGAGAATTGCTTTGAAATGGAAGGTTAATTAGCTCCGCGAAACTCAGGAGATTAGGGGATGGAACATCATCACCTACTTGTCTTTCCTGCAGCGTCGAGGCCCAACATAAGAAGACGCATTTCTTTCGATCCGAAGATCTTTCCCATGATTTTGGAGACTTGGCCACCCATTGTTGATGTCGTTCGCCAACGTCGCAGGAGCAATTGGTGTATTGCGGATACTTCAAGGGGGGCAGAATCGACAGACGCCTCGGAAGGGTACAAATAGTCTGTCCGTCAACAAAGACCGACCAGTTGGTATCCGTCCCTACGTCTTGATATGGTGGAGAATGTGAGGAGCAGGAAGAAGTGTTTGAGAATGATAGCTAAGAAGAGTTCAGGCCCAACGAGGTAAAATACTATAATAGATCAAAGCATGCTGAAACGCCAGTTAGTAATTACGTTTGGCCAAGCGCAAGTCATTGCTGCAGACTTAGCCGAAATTGAGAGACAACAAAGCACTCACCCGAGGGGATAAAAAAATATTACGTTTGGAACGGGCAATGGAAAGTCGCCTGCAACTGGCAATCGCATTACGATTTAGTTCTGTGTTGGCCAGCTTTGTTGTTATTCGCGTAGATTTTGAGGTCCAGTGAGAATGGGTTGAATATCATGTGATCTTACCAGCAATTTTACGCTAGATCAAAAGAGGGAATAATAAAAGGGGTTGACAAGAGTAAACATCCTTATCTCAATGTTGAAGATCAAAAGGATTCCTTGGAAAGGAGCCCTTTTCTCTTTTATTCCGGTGCCTACCTAGCTCTTCAGTCAGTTCGTATGAACACATAACGGCGCAAAGCGGAAGTCAACCCACCCCTGGCATTTCCTGGCCGCAGCAACGATTTCACGATCTTGGTGGGAAAGAAATTTACAACACAATGGAACCTGATGGTATTCATTCTGACGGTTAACGACAGATGCTCAGAATGCTCAACTCTTGACAAATTGGTTACGGCGATTGCAACTTGGTGTACTATGATATCTTGTCGAGGTTCCTTGAAACTGGGAAACTTCAACTGCATCTAGAGACGAATGGCTCCATGACTTTTGGCAAAGCATCCCCGAGCTCCCCCGCACATCCCCCGTTGTGCCTGTGTCAGGGAGGTTGGCTATCCTTTCATCAAATTCTTCACATAATAAAATACGTAGAGCTGGTTATCTATCCACGGGCACACAGTTGAACGTGGTGCTAAAGAACTTCGTCATGCAAATCTGGAGCCGGAAAAACGCTCATCTCACCCCATGGAAACTGTATGCACTAGTGCCGGGTTATGCACACTTGAACGTGGTTTAAAAAAGCGGATCTGAAAAATAAACCATGCTCAAACCTTCACTCCCTCACTAAAATTTACACACACTAAACAGCTTTTACACACTCTCAGTAATTTTATTAATCAGTTGTCATATATCAACATTCAAAGCTCTTCAACATCTGAAAAGTAGTTATGGGCTAGAATTAGTGACTAACTAAGAGTTAGAATCCAGGTTAGGTAAGGAGTAGAGCTCTAAGAAACATAATAAAATCACTGTCTCTGAAGCGCTCAGAGCATTTAGAGCGGGAGATATGACTAGCGTATGTAGATTTAATGGGGGGGGGGCTGATCTGGTTTAGGTAAAAACCACACCGAAGGTTATTCCGGCCCGAAAAGTTAACCATGTTCAACTTTTCAACAACCACGTTCAACTCACATAGTCTCTCAACGATGTTTGATTTTTCATATTTTGCAAGGCCCTAACCCTTTCTAACTCTAATCCATAATCCCTAACCTCTAACCCCTAATATAATCCCCTAATGGAGGAGAGTGTTTTAGATAGGGTGAGGTGCAAAGCCAGGGCTGGAAAAATAGCTCAGTGTGATGCTAACACTGCATCATGGCATGGTGCAAAAGTTCAATGTGGTGCAATTGATGGTGGTTAAACTTTTACACCATGACGAACTTTTCAGCATCACGTTCAACTGTGTCCCGCCTATCCACGAGTGAAATTCCGGGAGATTCCCGAAGTGTTTGTCCTTGTAGCCCCCACTATAGCCTGCTCAGGGCCTTTTTGGTGGTAGTCGTCATGATGGGCATATGTTAAATATTTTAGCTCGCCAGACCGTCATCTCCTCAACCTCAGTTTCGGCTCTCAAAGACGTATACCACCTTTAGAACCTCTGGGCACCTAGTTGAACGTAGTTAAGAAAACTGATGTACGGGGCTCTCATCATAAGGTGATTATAACCACAAATTCAAAACATATTCAACTAATTAGTAATATTCAACATCAAATAATGATGAATCATTCGATAGCTATATTTATCTACAGTACTTATCAGTAGAGTCTATCAACTAGATATTCTTCTGAATAACTGATATATATATATATATACATCAAATAAGAAAACAATATTATAGAATTGCAAGATCTTAATGAAGACAGAAAAGAGGCTAGACCCTATTCACCTTAAGATCTAGCCATGTTAATGCTCAGTCAGTATTGGTTATGGGTAGAAAATTTGACATTTAACCTTTTTCTAACCATGTTCAACCCGGACCCGGAACCTCTCGGTCCTTCCCGGAAGGGGATCATTCAGCCTGCGTATTTAACCAGGGATGTGGTAAAAGAGCTCGTTGGAGATAATATATCGTGATATCTTGCCTTTTGATCGCTCATTAAATCGCGCATTCCTGCTATTATATCATGTAATTACCAGAGGTAGGGTAGTTAATTCAATTCAATTATTCTTCGATATTCAGTACTTAAGGCAATATTCGGATGTTATCCCGTTCCTACAGAGTTCGAGCCTTAAGGAATACGATACGGCACCCACGACAATCCTAGTCCTGGTAACTCTCGGAATAATGGATGACTAGTCCTGATACAATAACTGTTTCAAATACTGTTTCAAATCATTTTATTACTCATTTCATTCCTTATAAACAGGCACATAGACATCACGGATAGTCCGTGTTGTGCGGAGCAAGTGATACCAGCAATGCCAGTGTGGATAATGATATAGATTCCATGAGGGAATCTTTGGATGAATTGATGGATGGATGGTGAAGCAACTCCCACCATAAAGAACATATGCTGCGTAGATACATCTGAGGGGGATGAATATCTGAATACAACCTGGCCTGGTTTGGTGATATACCATATGGAGCGGCAGAACTTTGGCGGCGCCGTTAGGACAGGTGTTAGCTATCAGGTCCCCGCAGCCCATTTACTATGTAGTAGTTGCTCCCTTAGCGAGATAGGTACCACACAGCCTTATCCTCCAAGAAACTTAACATTATGTGATGAGAAGCTTGCCAGCGTTAGAGACTTGGTAGCGACATAAAATTGGACATTTGCCACAAGGTATGTACCCACATCTATTCAACTAGATCGATCTTCTTCTAAATAGTTAACTACGGAGTAGTTAGTTCAGTGGAATTGATTTGCAAGGTGGTGTTATTTACTAAGTTAAGTCATAATTGAAAAATAATTATCATATTAATCGAATCTCAGTATTTGCCATTATTAAACATTGATTTTCCATTTCGCCCCACACTCAACAAGGTGCTAACTAGTGCTAAATGCCACCCAATCTCACGTACTACGGAGTTGTGCCGCTTTGATTCAACGTTTAAAGCTCAATACCGCCATGGAGCTAAACATTCAAGTACTAACTTGTTTTTCTTTGAAAATTATAAAATGACATTGTCGCACTCTTACTAGCAATAGTTCTCGATTTTGTGTTGCATGGAGCCTTGAACAATACTTTTCACACTTTTTGTACTTTAGATGGTCAGGACGGATGTTTAGCTTGGTCACCCCGATGTTTTGCTAGATAGATAACACGCTAAAGCCTTATATGATCTGTATTCATCTTGTTCATAAAACTCTCCAAAACTAGTTGGAACGCAAGATATATACAGATCTTTTGAGTTGATCACCAACATACGATACTTTGAGGTTTATAATCTACAAGCCTCGGCCTGCCTACAATTGCATGGTTGGTTTAAAACCCTCCGATAACAATGCACTATTTCTCCTTTACCTCTCTGGGCTTCATCGCTGGCCTCGCCCTTTGTGTTGCTACCAATGATGTCCTTGATCGAGAAAATGGACGGGTGAGTGATATATCCCCCTGCCCTTTCTCACCCATCCAGAAGTGTTAACATGAAGTATGCGTCAATGATAGCCACATGATTTCATATATTGGCAAGACAAGCAGAATAACAACGTGGACTACCATGGCCTACCAGAAAACATGAGGACTAAGTCAGCCGAATTCCATCACATTGGTAACGATGGCATTTTGCGCGTCTTCAACGAAGCTGGCGAGGTCATAGATTATGCCCACCCCTCCATTGATGAGTTGAAGACTATGATCGAAATTTCTCCCCTTTCTCCAGAGGAAAGACATAGTATGCTCAACGTCTGGAGTGGCATGGATAATGTTCAGATAAGCATGGAGCAAATCTGGCAGCCGCCTAGGGATCTTCTTCCTCTCAAGTTAGCGGATCCGGAGGCCTTTGCCCGGGAGGTGAAGAATAGAAAACAGCAACCGGCTCGGTATCAGTCCAGTAAACCAAACCCACTTTTGCAAAGGGAGGCTCCGGGTCGTTGTCAAGAGGTGGGGTGCCACAAGAGTGAACTCTGTTGGTACTCTCGTTGCACGTATTGCTTGTTCGTCGGCGCCTCTATACTCGGTACTTGTAGAGGAGAAAGATAATCGAGCATCCCCTTGTAAATACTGTCATTTTATCATGTAGTTATCAAGAAGATCATAGTTAATTCAATTCAATTTGATATTCAGTATTGGGGCAATATTCAGATAGAGAATACTAGCTATCTGCCTGCCTACCTGCCTATCTATCTACTGATCTGCTTGAATGAATGATATCTATCAATGGTATCTAGCAATGGTATCTGCTAATGGTATGTATCGATGGTATCACTCTTCACACTATATCTTCTTACAAGATTATACAATTATAAAATGAAATTGTGAGAAAGAAGGTTTTGATGGAAGTATATAGATAGATATATAAATGAGTGAGTGGGTGATAGAGAGTTGATTGTATAAATTAATTTATCAATAGATAAGAACTTTCAACAGATTTTATCAGTTATCAGTGATTCTCATCACTGATGAGAATCACACTGATATAATCAGTGTCTGTAACTATACAGTTTTCTCGGATCGGATCTGATCCTGACAGAGCCTAATAAAATAGTCAACTAACTAGTTACTGTAGTCTCACTCTGACGTAATTCCTGACCCATGTTCAGACCTCACCAACATCAACTTTGTTACCCCAGGCACCATCTTGCACCAATAGAATGAATATCCCCAACAATCCCTTTTGATATTTTCCCCACACATGGCCAGCAGAGTTCTATTATCGACACAACCTGTGGCTTCGATAGAGACTCTCCCCAATGAGCTTCTCGATCAGGTCCTCTCCTACCTCTCACCAGGGCCTCCTCCGTCTTCCAGGAAGCTCCGTCAGGTACCCGCGCACAGCGTCACATCATCCACGGCTCTGGATCTGAAAAATGTCTCGCGAGCCTCGCCCCGTTTTCGAGCCCTAACGCGGCCTCTCCTCTTCGCCCACACCCGCCACGAGCTGCGGGATCAGGATCGCTTCCTTGACTTCCTCCGCGAACATGAGCTTGCTCCATATGTGCAATCAGTCGTTGTTTCTGTGCGATCGATATTCCCCGGCAGCGAGAAACCGCTGTGGTGGGTGCGGTTATTGGGAGAGGTCGACCCTCGCCATCTCACCGTCATTGCGCCACCATATATGTTTGCACATATGGCGCTCTGTCATTTAGACGGCGTGCATTCCTGGGCTTTCGAGTTGCCACTTCAAACAATACAGTTCCATCGGCCGGCTCAGCGGTCTGTCCCCCTTCCGAACCATGGATCGGATGACACGCTCTTCAGCGCTCGACCGTGGACGGAAATCCTGTTCAACGAAGGTTCTTCTTTGAGAGCATACAGCAACTACGAGTACTATCTTCTCCGCGTCCCCTCAATTATGGATCACTGGGGCTCTGTCGACCCTCTCCAATCCAAAGAACTGCCCTACCCTGTCGCTGCCATTTCGCGCCTGACATCCTTCCATTATATCGCCGTTTTCCCTTTCTACAACCACACGAATTTGGTCCTCAAGGTGATACGCAACATGTCGAATCTCCGCCATTTGAGCTTTCAACTTGCACCGCAGCCTAACAGCACAATATTTGAGGATGAGCAGCGCGCTGGGACGCTGGATCCCAACGACCCATGGATGGAACTGGATACGAGCTATTCACTGATTTCGCACTCCGTCAGATATCTGGGCGTCCAGGGGAAGTTGGTTGAGTTTCGGTGTTTCGATTTCGAGCTTGAAGCCCTGAGAGATAATCTGGTTTCTAGAATCGGATCGAATCTGAAAGGGAAGTGGGCCCACCAGGGAGACGGACTGTGGCTGAAATTATAATAGGATATCCGGCTCACACCTGGTTATTGTGAGGCTACAAGGCTTCCCGTACCTTGACATCAGGATGTTGGTGTGCGCAGGTGTAGACGCGGTATCATGGTTAAGCTGGTTATCTATCTGTTCAGATTGTTGGAAAATAAAATGTGCGGAAGTAAATATGTGTATACTTTTTCTGGTGATTGGGCAGAATATATCTATATATACCCATGGAGCACCTGGGAGCAATTTGTAAGTTTCTTTCTTTCTTTCTTTTCTTTTTGATATCACATTACTAGCCTCTTTGCATTTGTTCCCTTTCGTTAGTGTTCTGTTCCACTTTATTTAAACGGTAGCGCTGGGCATAGCAACCGCAGAGTAATGAAGTCTTTTGAGGGATCGAAGAATTTTATATCCCTGGAACGACCACATAGATAGCAGAATTTTGGGGTCCGCCATGACTATTGGTTGATCTGGCGCACACTCGAGAGTGACATGAAGGCAGCCCAGAACTTCTTTTAACAGATCAGTGAACCCAGGGCAGCCTCGCAACCAATACAGCCGGTGATTTTTCTTTTAATTTTGTAATACGGCATGAAAAGACAAAAACGATCCAAATCCAACAAAGAGATTCTATAAAAAATTAGCCCATTTTTATATGCAATCCACTCGTAGATCTATTTTCCCGGTTTGCCGAAGAACCTTGAGGATCCGACTGTTCCATCTCCATCAATTGCTGTCGTTCGTCCGCGGTCATCTCGCTCTTCGCAGCATTGACCCGCACGAAAAGAATCATAATCAACAACGAAACAATCGCGCATCCAACCTGAAACCAAAACACAACCCTGTAACTCCCTAATTTCCCCAGGTGCGCGGTGTTTACATGCGCTACATCCGCAAACCCAAGAAGAAAGGCAATACTCAGGTGCAGCACCGAATTGATCACCGCACCAGCCAGCCCTTGCCGCTTGGCTGGCTGGCTTGTTGTTATGAAGATATTCGTGATGTTGAAGGTGATGTCGATGCCCAGCGTGGCGCCGATCATGGATGGGAAGGCGAATGCCCAGTACGACGCTCCCTCAGGCATGACGGCAAACAGAACGCCGGTTCCAACCCATCCGATGCCGGAAATGATAAGCAAGACTGTCCCCGAGATGAGGTGGAGGAATAGGGCGCAGAGGATGGGGAAAACAAATCCCCCGACAACCATGGGGACACACCAGGCCACAACCTGCATAGGAGTTGCTCCCATGATATTTACCATACTGGTGGATGAACGTGGTTAATGGTAGCGCAACGTAAAATGATGGGGGAAGATGGTTGTATGCACGTACTATAGAGTTCCGTAAAGGAGGAAAACACCTAAGCATCCGTAGAAAAAGAGGAGTGAGGCAACCAATGGCTTCATGTAGGGCGCATCGAATATATCGAATGGTAACAACGGCGACTTGGCAACCCACCCCTCGACATACACAGCAAGCCCGAGAAGAATACCACCGATGATGAGACAAACGTACACATATGGGGTCCTCCACCCGTCAGGGGCATGCGCGCTATCCGTAATTGCAAAAACAGTCAATACCAACCCCGGAACGATAAGCGCCGCACCCATATAATCCATCTTGACACCTTGCTTCCGAGTCTCCGCCATATCGGACGGGATGGCCAAAAACGAAGAAACCGTCGTGATAGCTGCGAGAATCGCACCGATCCAAAAATACCATCCCCAAGAAAAAAACTGCGCTGAGACCCCGGAGCAAAAGATCCCAATAAAAAACCCAACAACCGCACAGGTCCCGTAAATGCTAAATACCATATTTTTCCTCGGGCCTGGTCTGTATACTTTTGCAAGCAGCATCATACTCGAAGGAAGATAAGCAGCTGGGCCGATTCCTTGCAGCATCCGGCAAAAGATCAACATCAATCGGTTCCGCGAGAACCCGGCAACGACAGACCAGACAAATAGCCATGCCATGCCAAAAACGTATACCGGGTAGCCGCCAATCATATCAGAAATTCGCCCAAAAATCAGCAACGTTGCGGCTACCACGAGTGAAAATGCACTTGCAGGCCAGACAGCGGAGGATTCGGCAATGTTCAACTCCTCGACTAGAGATGGCAGCACTACATTGAAACCGGAGATGAAGTATTCCTAATAGATAGGAATAGGTGTTTAGTAGGACTTCAGCACAAATGGTGCCCGCACGCCACTATACGTTCACACTGAACAATCCAAATGCTTAAAGTAATATGGATATGGAAAGAAATGAAAGAAAAGAGGAGTATCTTACCGCAAGGACTTGAGACATGGAAATCGAAAACACAAACGCGATCTCAGTCCAAGCATTTTTAAATGCACTTGGACGCTCCCTGCCCAAGCGTTCGATGTCACGCTCTGACAGCAGCTCGGCCTGTGCCGGTTGTTGTCCGCGAGGAACAGATATGCCAGTAGTGGTTTCTGTAGCGGCGGGAGTTTTACGGGCCTCAGAATTGATGGCGGGGGTCTTTTCGTTCCGCTCGTTCCAATGGCATTCCAGTTTTTTCCTCTCGGGATGCCGTGCGATGTCCGATTCCACGGTTGTCGAGTTGCCGTGAGGAATGGGAGCGTCCGTATCTGATATTGCCATGATTATCGGAATATATATAAAATAATATATAGAGGCACCTATCATATATGAACAATACAACAATATTGACAAATTGAATAGCGATAAAACTTGTATGCGCAATGGTCAGATGCTCGACTAAGGAAGATTATGTGCTAGAAAGCACTCCATAGGATGCAAGAGACATGCAGGATTGAAGCTGTTAGGAAAAGTTTGGTGGCAAATAACGCCTCCTGCAGGAGGAGCGCTCTGGAGATGCGGAATCTTGAAAGAATTGTGGAAGAAAAAGCCATGTCAATGGATTGCAAAGCAGCGATCCGCTTGGATTTCTTAGACGGTGTCAAAACCAGCCAGCAGGCGTCATTCTTCCTCTAGCAGCAGCAAGGATTGGAAGTAGACCACATATTTTCCCCTTCGGTTGGTTTTTAGCTCGATCACCAAGTGGGGGTGGAGACGGAGGTGAGAATCGGCAGGTCTGAAGCCCAAGAAAGATCAGAACTCCTCCTGTAGGTTCCGATTCAGGCATGTTATCATTTGCATTTAATATTTTGTACCTTGGAACTGCATTCAACTTCTAATGTGTCGTGGGACTATGTACTAGGTCGCTGAAGTCCAGGATTTCGATCGAGGTGGCCATGGAATAACTAACGGGCCGAACAGATTCCTGGATGGAACGAACAACCGAGGAATACGGAGGATGACATTATGAAGACTTTTTTTTCTACTACATGCCTTCATGCTGACCTGGGCATCCATCCCCTTTGTACGAAGGAACCTGGAGTGACGAAATATCCATTGAGGCGGGATGGTTGATTATACAAAAGAAAAGGAGATTGCAATTGGAACCCAGATCAACACTGATGAGTGACCAAGATTGAGTGCGTATCTCGTTGTCATGAGTAGTTGAGATGCGATACGCAGTAGTGCATAACTGCCAAAAGCGATGTAAAGGGACAGATAGATAGCCTTGAGTAACGAGTAGGCAGCCCAATGATTACACTCGCAGCATTCTCAATACTTGCAAGAAAAGGAAACGGTCATCAATAAGCTAACTACATAGGCTACTTATTGTGAATGTCTATCCATAGCCAGTTAACACCAGCAATTAAACAAGGTATAACATATATTCACGTATCTGCTGTCCCGAGAATAGAAATCCATGATCTGGCATAATAATAAAAAGGACGAACCATTAAAAGAGTCCTACAAGATGTTTCATCTCACGTCCCAAAGATCCCCACTGTTCAGCTTCAGCGACCACGCCTTCCCGCTCTATTATTTGAGCCTAATCCCGATGAACTTGCACCACCTGCTCCTCCCCGCCCTCTCTGGGTGGTCGGCCTGGCAAGAGTGTATCTGGAGAAGAAAGAGATTAGAACAGGCAAGGAGCAAAGATATGTCACAACAAACCAAAAAAGAAAAACGTACTTAGCAAATGCTCTCGAAAGAGCCTTTTTGCAGCTGACTTTCTGGCTGCTGATGAATGAGTCGACCGTCACGGCAATGGCGCGATCGATGTCTTGGGCGCTGCAATAATCCGATAACCGCATTTTGCAGAATGCTTCCGCAATCCGCATTATGGCCTCGAGATGGCGTACCTATTTACAGTATCATTAGTATCAAAATTCAACAGTCAGAGAGTGTGGCAGGCGTTGGTGGGAAACCACGCATAGAGACAATAAAAGCAGAGAGCAAACCTACCGTGATTGGATATGCCCCCGTAGCTAAGCTTTCTCTTCTCATATCTGCGAAGAGACGTGCAACTTTGTCCTGGTCAATTTGGTACAATTTCGGTCGGCATCGCTCTTTCGCATATAAAATATATTTCCGGAGAAGCTCTTGTGGTATCTGCTCTACAGCTCCGGCGGCTGAAGCTCCTGCTTGAGTTCCGTCCATTTCTTCGTCTTGATCTTCATCAGATACTTGCTGTGGAACACGGTTTCCGAACTCGTCGGTGTGAGGTCTGGGACGGTTGGCTCTAGAATGTGAGTCGACAACGAATTTTGCCAATCGCGCGTCTTCATCTGGATTCACCGTGTCTCGAACCACACAAAGGATGTCAAAACGCGAAAGAATAGGCTCTGTCAACTCGACGTTATGGGAGAATGGAATGGTTCCATTATATCTGCCTCCAATGGGGTTGGCAGCAGCGACAATAGCGCAACGAGCCTGGAGTGTCGTGACAATACCGGCCTTAGATATCGAAATTGTCTGTTGCTCCATAGCCTCGTGGATGGACGTGCGGTCTTGGTCATTCATCTTATCAAATTCGTCGATCAGACATGTACCTCGATCAGCCAACACCAATGCTCCACCCTCGAGTGTCCATTCGCTAGTCGAGGGGTCGCGACGCACGCTGGCTGTGAGACCCACAGCGCTGGCACCCTGACCCGTTGCAAAAACAGCTCTGTGTGCAGTCTTTTCAACGTACTTCAATACTTGAGATTTGGCCGTGCCAGGATCACCAAGGAGAAGTACGTTAATATCGCCACGGATGGACATTTTGCCTTGCGCCTCCTTGCTCACACCGCCGAAGAGAGAAAGCGCTATAGCGGTTTTAACGTCTTCATGACCATAAATACTTGGCGCCATAGATGCTATAAGCCTATCCACGATCTGCGGGTCTCTAGACAACGCTCGGATTTGCCGCTCGTCCTCCTCAGTGAGATGGAAACCCGCGAGTTGGTCGTGTGATTTGACGAGATGATTAGCCTCCAAAATTGTTGCAAACACCGGGAAGCCATTTTTGTTGTTCAACTGCCCATCATAGTGATTGCGATAAATGCCGATAATTTCGACTTCATCTCCTGGTTTCGCAGAGTCAATAAGGTCAGCGAGTAGAATAACCTCCCTGTGTCGTGGTAGCCGACCCGCTGGGACCGTCCCGGGGGATTCCTGCAGGGTTAACTTTTGGTAGTTGCGGTATTCAGTTTTCTCAGAGTTTAGTGTGAAAGGACCCCGGCCCTGGCAGTTTTGACAGAAGGAAATTTTGACTTCCGCGTTTGACTCCTGCTGAAAAGGTCCCAAAGTAACACCACATTTTGTGCAGTTGAACATGACATACTTCAGTTGGGGGAAGACACCAGTTCTCCTGGTGACAACTCCACTGACACCGACAAGACAGTTGAGGTGACTTTGACGAAGTTGCCGAAGTGTATACCTAAACGGGAGGTTGGTGATACGAACATGGATGTCGTTATGAATCCGGTGATAGTCTGGATAATGAAGCAGAGTCACTTCCATCGCGGCTTGGTCAAAAATTTTTAAAACCTCCGCAGGAGCATGAGCGAGGAAGTAGGCTAAAATTGCTTTAGAGTCACATAAATGGGCGTACGAAACCTCTAGGGACTCTGCATTGATTTCTCCAAGGTTTCGAATACGAGTTCCATAAACGGAAGTACCATCCTTATCCGTAAATTCGGTTAAGAAAGCCTTAAATTCGCGATAAATAGACCTATGGGCAGAAGGCTGAGTAACCCATTCTGTGACGTTGGCCGCTTTAATCTCGGCCAAAGCTTCGAGTGTCATTTCTTCGTCCATAATGTCCATGTCCATTTCATCAACTTCCTCATCGTAGTGATGTCGTCGCCTACGAGGCTGTCTAGTGAGATCGATATTTCCATCGTCATCATCGTCCTGTAAAAATGCTGGGGGTACGCGACGTCGTCGAGCGAGCTCTCGATCACGCCTATTTAATCTCGCTTCAAGTTGGCGTCTAGTGGCCAGATCCAGTTCTTCGTAGTCCCCAGTGTCGTCGATATCGTCTCCTTCATATGCCTCAGGGTCGCGTGGCCTGTAATCCCGCTCAAAAGTGTCCGCAAAAAGATCAATCCCATCCTCATCCTCCGCCATCTCATCAATATCATCTACATCGCCGATATACTCTGCCTCTTCATCCAAGTCATTTTCAATAGCATCATCAAGAGGCAGAATTGGGGGCGAGGAAGGTGGCGCTATCTTCTTTGTTAGCTGTGCGTATTTTGACACTGGAGAAATCAAGCTTCTCCCACTTACGACTGGAGGGAGGGGGTGCTGAAGAGTTGTCATCGTCTGGCTCACGCGATCTCTTCCGTCTAGTAAGGTTCCCCAAGCCGCGATTCGCAGCTGAGCTGCTTGGATGTAAAGGAGAACTGTACAAGCTGTTAATGGCAATTTCGGGTGCCGCAAAATCTTCCCAAGGAGAGTAATCTGCTCACCTCATGACTAGAATCCGACTCTATGTGGCCTCAGGAACTCCTGTATATATCTAAAAATGTATTGCGTATCTGAGATGAAACATGGAATGTTCCCGGAACAAATGGCGTTCTTGTTGTTGAAGATGGGAGCTCAAAGAGGACGGGAACAACGTGGTGGAAATCGCGTGCAAGAACGAAAAAGCGACGCGTTTCGGACGCGTTTCAATTAAGGCCTAAATAGGAAAGGTTCCGAGCGAGGCGCGCCATGCAAACAAAGCAAACACTTTAATGGAATCGCGTGCAACCACCAACAATCTTGGAAGTTCGACCTCGGGGTTCGATCCGTTCCATCTTATTGATTTGATAGGCCAATAATATCATCCTTTTGTCTTATCCATGGCAATACCCCTCTGTCAACTCTAACTGCTGTAGTTGTATAGACCATGGATGTGCTCGATTCCCACCCTGCAACAAACGAGACCGCAACCCAGATGGAAGAGCCCAAAAGGCAGCGGAGGGAGAGCTTGGTCTCCAATGACTCGCAAACAGCGTCAGAGTAAGTGGATAACCTCCTGAAAGCCTCTTTTGAGGTATACCGCCGTTCATTGCTTCTTCGATGGTGAGAACAATTGCTCGTCTCTAACACTCCGTTTCCTCCAGCTTTATTAATAGCCAGCTAAGACTCGAGGCCGATGCGCGAGAAGCTCTCCCATATGCAAGCAGCCCAGAAATTCCATCGTTTCACACTCAATCCAGCTAATATGTCCTTTTAGTCTTTTGACTCTTGCACACAGCCTTTGGGTGCGCTCCGTCAAAGTCTCTTCTCTTGTTTGACATGCAACCCCCCACCTTCAGACCTTGAATTACCATACCAGGCCGCGGGCGTTTGCTATTCATGCTCAATCTCTTGCCATGGCGAACATACGCTCGTTGAGCTATTCAGTAAGCGTAATTTTGTATGCGATTGTGGAACGACACGGTTCTCATCCGCCTCACCCTGTAACCTGCGAATGACCAACAGAGGAACCAAAGGCACCCATTCAGAGCAGCCTGCGCCGGGTAACAAGTACAACAACAACTTTCGCAGCCTATTCTGTGGATGCGGAGAATTGTATGACCCGCACCAGGAGAAAGGAACGATGTTCCAGTGCCTTGGCCTAGGAACTGTTGAAAACGGAGGTTGTGGTGAAGATTGGTATCATCCCGAGTGCCTCCTAGGTCTTCCACGTAATTGGGCAGCCGCTGCGAAGAAAGGCTCTCAGATGGAACCAAAGGACAAAGAATATCACCAGCAGGAGCAGCAACAGAATGGAAATAATGAAACTACGGTGCTTGCGCCTGCCAACGAGGATGCAGAGGATGAGCCACCCTTACCTCCAGGGTTTCCCGATGAGGACGATTTTGAGACCTTCATTTGCTACAAATGTGTAGATGCAAATCCTTGGATAAAGGTATATGCTGGGACGCCTGGCTTTTTACCTCCAGTTTACAAGCAGGGTGTTCCTCTGCAGAATGCGCCAAACGGAAATATCACGCCGGAAACAGCGGGGGATGCTGGCGATGATACGTCCTCAACAAATTCCAAGAAGCGTGAACTTGAAGAAATTTCAGACGACATGCCCAATACAAAAAGGCAGAAGGAGGAGCCTTCAACAACGCCCACCTCAGGCCCAGAAGAGAAGTTTACCGAACCTTCAAAGCCTGAGCCCAAGCACAAGTCACTCCCAGCGAATGCCCCCGCAGGCACCTTCTCACTCTTCCTCAAAGAAGATTTCCGCGACTACCTCTGCCATTGCCCTTCTTGTTTCCCCAACTTGATCCCACACCCTCAACTTCGTGAGGAAGAGGAAACCTACGAGCCTCCACTCTCCCAGACTGGGGATGACGCCAACGGCGATGGTAGCCATCACACGGGAAGTCTTCTGGACCTCGGGGAGGCGGCACTCAGCAACATGGACCGTGTACGTGCGATTGAAGGAGTTATGGTGTATAACCACTTGAAGGACAAGGTGAAGGCTTTCTTAAAGCCATTCGCAGAGAGTGGTCAGGCCGTTGGGGCTGAGGACATTAAAGCGTATTTTGAAAAGCTGAGGGGAGATGATCAGGCGATTAGAGAGGCGGGGGGTGCGGCTTCAGCATCTGGATCGCGCAATGACGGAGACGGTGAAAATGGCAGTGGCGGTGCAAATAGGAGAGAGCAGAGTGGTGAGTTAGCTAAACTCTGGACTTAGGCATTGCGAATATCTAACATATACCGTATAGGTTATTGATTCCATTGATGGAACAGTTACCCGGCTATTTCTAGTTGTATTTTCTATCTCCTGGATGGAGCAAGTGTATTGCAAATGAATAACGGACACAATAGGCACAATTTACGGACCTCCTTTTATATGCTCCGGCGGCGTTGGTTTTCTGACTTTGAAATTTATGGATTTAATTCTGATGTCGGCTGGGGCTGTCTTTGATCTTTTGTCTTTTCTTTTCTTTTCTTTTCTTTTCTTTTCTTTTCTCGTTCATATTTTACAGTTAGCTTAGCTACTCTCTCCTCGGGATATTCTATGACCGTATCTCTCCAGGTCGAATTTGCTCAGCAATATATTATTCTTGGATGGCAGTAGTAGGGGTGTGTGATTCCAACGCCTCCGCCTTAACTTATACTCTAGAAACCTAGATAACTCTAAGCAAGAGAGAATGCAGCAGTCCCACCAAAGGGCTGCACAACAAGAGAGGTTTTTTAATAACATGACGGTTGCACGAAGATAACGAAACGCTATTTGCCTTCCCGCAAATGCAAAACCAGCATGAACGAGTTAAATTCGCGGAGTAAACGAATGTAATTCGTGGGTACCATAGCCATCTAGAAGCTGTAGACTATAGAAAACCATGAAGGGAAGAACAAGAAGCGAGAGAAGCAAAGCACAAACAGAACGTGTCATGACCGCCATAAAGCTCCTTCGCATCCCAACAACTGACCTAACTATTTTGCGCCCCCACAAGGACCGGGTGTAAGAAAACCGCTCCATATAAGGAAAAAAAAAAAAGCAAGTTCGTCCATCCCAATAAGGGTATCGTCATCATTATGCAGCAACCATATCAGAATTCCCAGTTATCTCTTTCCCCCTTCCTCCCTAGAAGGCAAGACATGCGGAATCTCTCGAAAAACCCCATTCCTTTACCACCTATATCTGGAACAATGGCATCTCAGAAAGGAGTCCTCATCCTGTAACCCAGTATCAAATAAAATACCCCGCGACGGGCGTTCACTTGAAGCACATGCAGCGGCCGATTCTGAATATCCATGGTGACCTGTGCACGCCGTGGCGGTCGACGGTGACGCCGGTGGAGACATGTTTACCCCCGATACGCTTTGAGTAGAAAAAAGGCATGGTTGTTCTTCGTTATGGCGCTTTTCCCCTCCTTATTTGGTACTCGTGCTTTCGAAGATATGGTGGACGATGTAATAACTCCCGTATCTGTGGGTTATCTTCCCGACACGGACAAGGCGGATTGTTTGGTTTTGGGGAGTTGGCGGCCTGTGAGGGCCCGGTTCGTGAGAAGGAGGAGGAAAGTGAACTCGACGCTTGTTGATTGTTGAAGTATGATGAGGATTTTTTTGGTTGGAGAGTTTCGGGTTCCTGGCGGGTGTTCTTTACTGAGAACAGGTTCCGTGGAAACGAGATTTTAAGCTTCAAGCTTGATATTCAAGCGCAAACTGAAAACAACCGCTGACAAAAAGAAGGATTTTTGTTCTGTGAAGGCTTTCTCAGAGTGTACAGTTAGCAGATGTTCATGAAAGAATAACACTTCTTCAGTTTCGTAAAATGGCTATACCCAAGGCTCATTATTCGCCTCTCTATTTCTGGAGAAAACCAACAACTTTCTCAGCCTTTGTGGCGGTTTCCTGCAACGTCACCCAAAGCCTACTATGTAGAACTTGCTTAAGCGAGTGAGCTTGGGGTCAAAATATATTTTCACCCCTCATATCTAATATAGTCTGTGGTTGGTTATTGGTATGTACTGGAGAGGGCATCTGAGATGTGCCTATGTATTCAGGCTTGTTGTCGCATGCTGTGCAGCCAGGAGAGAGATATCGAGAGTCCGACCCATCACAATGGGATAATCCCGCACCATCTCTGCTTGTCCATGTGGAGAGAGTGGCGTAAACAAAATATCCGCCACTGGAAAACCCCGTTCCTCGCATTGCAATACTTCTTCGAGTCCGACATACCATGCTATCCTGTGGAAAAATAAACATTCACTTCCTCGATTGGCGTCAACCTAGAACGGGACCGGGAGAAAAGAATCGGCAAAAAGCGGCCTTGTGAGCTGCTTCAATGAATGGCATTGTTGGGAAGTTTCCTGGCAAGCAAACTTACCAGGATTTACGATGGCGATGATGAATATTATGTTGCTGCCATCATTAGTAACACAACAGGGGCGAGGAAACGGCTTATATCAAATCACCCTTGAGAGGCTTGGAAAATCTGTGGAGTTTGGATCTGGAGCCATATCCCTGGGATCATGTGATATTCAATTCGAAATTTATCTTCATAGTTCTTGTGATGATCTTACCTTGGGATGCTGGCCGTAATGCAAGCACAACGTATATACAGTACATGCAATCCTAAAGTCATCTGTTGTGCTCCAGTCCAGTTCGCTGGGTTATAAATGACAAAAGCCACCTCACAACGGCTCTAAGGTTAAGAAATAAAAGAGCCCCTCCTTGACAATTGTTGTCTATTACAATTGTTGTCTATTAAACTACCAAAAGTGTACATAGGGAAAATAACGTCACTAAACGAGTATGAAAAGGACCAAAACGAAGCAATCCATCGGCTATGGTATCAAAATAGAGCAACGAAAGCATGTACCACCAGCTACGCCCGACCATATAATGTCCCAACGCCTAATGTGAATCCCAGTTTCTAGTATGGTTCTCCATTCATTTATCCTTCTTTATGTCGCTTTGCCGCTCTGGAAGTTAGGGTATCATCTGGGAGCCCACTCTTTTTCGTACCCGGCAAACTGCTTGTCCGAATATCGTTGTCTTCCTGGCTAACTCGCCGGTTCGGATATTTTCCTTCAAATCCTTCAAAGCAATTTGCGGTTACCGGAGAACCGATTGAGAAATATGGGTGTTTTAGCGCCTCTTCGGCGGTTAGGCGCTTTTCGGGATCATATTCTAGAAGGCGGGAAAGAAGATCAAATCCTTCCCTTCCAGGAGACCCAGACGGCGATGATGGGTATCCTGCGGCATTTGCACATGCATGATACCAGGCTTCCAAATTGGATGGTTTGTTCACGTGGCTTCCGCCTCGAGCTAAGACTAGAGTCTGAAACTGCGCGTATTCTGGCATGGCGGTAAGACCAGGCCAAGTTTCCTTTTTTGGTACTCCCAAAATTTCAATGATCTTAAGCATTTGGTTCCGCTGGAATGGCACCGTTTTCTTGCTGTCCATCTTGGCTTCTTCCCCTTTAAATATGGGGCGGAGAGAAAGCAATTCCGCAAATATACAACCCACAGCCCAGAGGTCGATAGCAGGCGTATAATGTCGGCTTCCAAGTAACAACTCAGGGGCTCGGTACCAAATTGTCACGACAACTTTATCGCCGGAGAAAAGAGAGTTAAGAGGTTTGTAGAAGAGACGTGCGAGGCCGAGGTCGCCGATTCGAACCGCACCAGTAGATGTAACTAGAATATTTGCAGGTTTGAGATCTCGGTGCAAAACCCAATTACTATGGAGATACAGTAGGCCGTTCAGAAGTTGGAATAATATCGATTTTATCATGGGAGCGGGTATAGGATGTCGTTGAGCTTGTGTGTGGTGGTGGATAATTTGCAGGAGATCGTGTTCCGTATATTCAAAGACCATGAAGATACACTTGTCCTCGAGGATTATTTCCTCCAGATGAACAACATTTGCATGTGATAACTCAGAGCATAGTGCGATTTCTCGAATCGCTGACTGAGATAGGCCTGTATATTGAACGATTTCTCCTTCCTTGTCGGGTTTGAATCTATGGATCTCAGCCTCGGAAAACAAACAGGAGTTGTGGACTGCCTATACAAACTTTTTAATCGCAAACTCCCGCTTCTGACTATTTCTGCCGATTGCCTTATAAACTCGTCCATAGGTGCCACTGCTGATGAACCCAACGATATGATATTTCTCTCGGATGTGAACTTTGCTAGTGTAGCCAATCCCAGGAGATTTTCTTGGTTCCAGCGTATCTACACATGTGAGTCTAGTAAGCATCAATTTAAACAGCAACCAAGGAAAAAGGTATTCAACGGAAGCTGCATCAACTGCCCATGCATGGGGGTACGGCAGGTGAGCTCTCGACATTTAGAATAGAACAGAACTAGCAAGGAATTTAACTGGAAATAGTGGGTCAAAGAAGCCTAGGTAAGCTAACAAGCACTGACAGCACAAGAACACATATTAAAACTGAAAATCGAAACGACCTCGATGTCAAAGCCAAGATGAGAGGAAATAGGAATAGGTTAAGTTACCTCGCAAAACGCTGGCTCTCAAAGAGTTCATATCGCGAAATCTGCGCTTTGACATTTTGGGAAGGAAGGAGATTGGCAGAACAGTTGAAAAATAAGCTGCAGATGGAATAACATGCGGGAGACAAAACACTTATACAAGATGTGAGGTTTTTTGCTATGCAAGAAGGAAAGACTAAATATGGGAAGATATAATATGGTATCAAGAAGAAATTTTGCAAGGAGCTGGGTTCTTCTGTGAAAAGCACAGAACCAAAATTTAACTTCAAGGCTGAGAAGGGAATTAAGCGGTAGTCGAAGACCGAGGGCGTTGAACAGAAAAAAATTGCGCAAGCAAGCAAACGGAGATAAGCGAATCAACACGGAGTTGAGGCAAACGGTAGGTGATTTGAGTGCAAGCCAAAGAAGGGATTTCCGGAGCATTCAAGCAGACCAAAATAAAGAATGAAGGAAACAAAATGAATCACCATTAAAGGCTGCCTGCACGCTCCTCTTCGTGCCCAGCGTGGGATTGCCGTTATTATTATTCAAAGCACTGGCTGATGGTCTGGAAATCTGGGTGGATCTCGCGGACGCTGCATCAGACAACGAGCCTCCGCCGGCGGAGTGCGGCGGATTACTGAGCCCCATTGTGGATTATTTGCCGGCGATAATCAATTATCAAATCTTCTGACCGTGTCTCCGAGAGACCCGTGGGGGCGGCGGGAGGCTAATGTTTAGCGGGGTCTCATCTTGCGGAGAGATTCAAGATGCTTCCTACTACGTAGGCACCCAGTAGTAAGATGTTAATCGGCGATAGTCAACAGAAATGGGGTGGAGCTCGAAGGGATTACTTCCGCCTCGAAAGTCGGTGTTCTTGTGTGTATCTGATTGACGTCGTCTAAGTTGAGATCTTGAGCCTCCGACTCGGAAATTCGGGATGGGTCATGTGACCGGTCTGGGCAGTGTACGAGCCAAGGAAGGATTATTCCTTTTATAATGAAGCTCACTTTTATTTACTAGTTATTGTTTTCTTTTATAAAAAGGGATGAGATTGGCTTGTTTTCTTTTTCTTTCTTTGTTTATTTTCTTCTTCTTAGAGAATAGGGAGCAATAGTCATAATTAGACTGAAGCAGTTGATAATATCAACTCTTTTGTATCTAATCCTTGGGGCTAACTAGTTAGCGGAGCTAGGAGGGCTTACGTCAGTCCTCCCCACCCGCAATTGGTGCTTGTTTCTTGGGCAACCTTGGAATTCGCCTTGGTGGACTCCATTTTTAACCAGCAGAGGCTTGTTGGTTCATCGACGATGGTTGATTCTTGTCGCTATTTCTCCCCAAAAATGGTTACACTTTGCCCAAAAGCAGGATTTGGACACTTCCGGATTTTAGCTGGCTGGTTGAGAATTCTGTCAGCGGTTTCAGCCTATTTAATGGAGACAGCCCCGAGTGGGCCAAATTCTCGACACGCTTCCTACTATGATAGCGAACCGTTCGGACACATATTGCAGAGCGATCTGTTGACGGGCTTTGAGTTTATTTTAAGATGAGATACTTTCATATTCTAATGATAATGAAGTGCCATAACCTGAACAGGACGGAGAACATGCCATAGCACCAATAATTTTGACCCTCCTTCTGGAAGTTTGATAGCCGAGCTCCAGGCATCAAGCTTCGAAACTAACCCTAAATCTCCTAGGGGTCAGAAATGACAGTTGGTGTTGAGCTATGACTCCAACTTCTAGGAAGAATTATAATACGGGATTCACTAATAATAGTAATACTTTAGAAAAGGGACTAGCATACCTGTCAACTTAGGGATCAGAGGAGTTTATGTAGCCATCAACGTCCGCTCCTTGAAGAAGATCACTTCAGATTCCGCATTTCCATCCTGTAAATCCTTAATCAATTAATTGATTTGGATACCGGTGGTACCGAAAAAGGCTCCGGATCTTCAATACTCAGCCCAAATTGATTTTAACTGCTTGAATTCACGATGGACCACGACACCGAAAATACCCCCCTTCTCAGCAATTCCGATGCTGGCCCTCCTGATGTAAACGAACAAACTTACGTTACATTGTCGCGCAACCCAGCTGCAGCAATCTTCCATCGTACAACTGTTGCCTTAACATGGCTTTCTATCGGTCTCTCAGTCTCAACCTTCGCTTTTGTGTTTGCCGTTATGATAATATATCAGATCTGGCATGGCTCCAATTTGAACTCGATAACTAGAGAGAGTTGTGCCTGGTTGATGTTACTGGTAATTACATTGCACCTCTCGAAACAGATTTCTGAGAAACAAGGCGTGACTTGGAAATACCTACCTTTGTTGACCGATTTATCTTTAGGGAATGGCCACGGCTTTGATCAGCTTCCTAAATTTAGTCTGCCTGTATGTTCGCCGGAAAGCAATGCCACTCGTTCTCAACCTGGTTATCGACCCCATTGTTATTTTCTACTCTTTTGGCTGGAGCGTCACTGGCCTAGTTGAAAATTCTCCCTGGTGTGAACCTGAGTGCGATGGTACCACCAAATGGATCCAACTTTTGGCCGGTATTGGGCTAAGCTTTGCATTGGGATTAGGGTGAATATCCATCCATCCGATATCCCCTGCGGCGACTCGTACTGACAACGGTTGAAAATCTAGACTCACCCATCTGGCTTTATTCCTGATGCGATGTGTCCTTGCGGTCCGCTGGGTTTTTGAGCAGAGGCGCAACAGTTCAGGACCATTTCTTCGTATCCCGACTGGGCAATTCACGGTGGAATTCACAATTAGATTATTGAGGCAGGATAATGCTGTTGTACCCCAATCCGCGGATGGAGATCAGAGAAACGAAAATATCACGGAAGAAGAGAGCCGGGCTCTGGCTTGATTAGCATCCTGAAAAAGATATATTATCAGCGTTCGGCGCTACCTCTTCCTTGTGAGGTGCTCCATATTCGGCTGGAGAATATATTGTACGGCTTATGTACCTGCGTTGTCTTCCTAGGTATACCAAATATTCTCATGCCAATATATCAAGCTTAAGATACAAAATGAGTGGGTTGTCCAAACCCGTGCAGCGCAATACAAAAGACGCGGTTTGTCTTTCGGCCATGATAACATGAAAAAGGCCAATAACTTTCTGAAAATATCATAACATGACCATCCGAAATCAGGAAACGACATGGTACATGGAATTCGGTACGAAATTGCCGAAATCTCCTTCAATTTGAAGTTGAATGGGAGTTTAATGGGGGGATGGTCAATGAGATCTGGATTATTTGATTTAGGGCTGCGTCATCATGTGATCTTCCAAAGTACCCCTCGGGAGCCCCGCCGCGGTTGTTCGATCGATCCCAAACGATCCCTATCGACACTTTCACATAACCCGTATAGCTCAGATGGATCCAGAGGTTAAGTATCTGTTATCTCTGCGTGCCATCCGGGAGCGCGCGATAACCGTAGGGGATGCCGCTCGAGCCGGGAGGTTGAACCATTTCGACCTACACGAGGATCGAATGGATGCTGTTGCAGATTTCGTGAGCTCTATTATCAATGTATGTCCAGAACTCGCCAGTCCCTTTTTTAAGCTGACGTGTGGGCGAAGGCTTAGCTGACTATCTCTGCCAGCGGGATTTTGGCCCAGACAAATTCGCTACAATTCCGCCACATGGCCGCTGGCAACACTTTGATGTTGGCAACGTGCCACGTATCGAGAATATTATACAGGATTGGAAGAATGAGAAATGTGATGACCTCGAAGTAACGCGACGCCTCATCGATCTATTCTTTGTTTCTGTGCTCTTGGATGCTGGTGCCGGTGACCAGTGGCGGTATATCGAGCCAGGGACGGATCGAGTGTACGAACGGAGCGAAGGCCTTGCAGTTGCGTCATTGTATATGTTCAAGGCACTGGCTTTTGCTGCTGAGAAAGCCGGAAGGACGCCCTTGGTTGATGGTACGTCACCGCTGATCTTATTGAGTGGGTTGAGGTGCTAACTTTACTGGCAGGTAGGGGATTAGAGCAGCTGAGTACCGAGGCATTAGCAGAAGGTTTTCAAGTCTCGCAGAGCAACCCAATGCTTGGAGTTGACTCTCGTGCAGCCTTGCTCAGAGGATTAGGGAAATCGCTCCTCTCCAATCCTGACATTTTTGGGGATCAAGGCCGCCCAGGCAATCTTGTTGGTATGCACATTCCACGCATCACTATAATTTGCTAAAAGGAAACCGTGTTAAGCGTAAATATAGACTTTATGGTTAAATCTGCTGGAAAGTCTTCAGAACTTGACATTCTAGCTTTTTGGGACATTCTTCAAAATCTCCTGATCCCTGTCTGGCCCAAAGACCGCACCACGGTTAACGGACACCCTATCGGTGATGCATGGCCATTAGGCATTCTGCAGAAACAAAGCGGCTCTCATGATGGCCATCGCTCAGAATGCATTCAACCATTTCACAAACTTACCCAGTGGCTCACTTATTCGCTAATGGTCCCATTCCAGCGAGTTCTCGGTCTACAATGGACCAACGCCGAGTCACTCACTGCCCTGGCTGAATACCGCAATGGTGGCTTGTTTGTTGACTTTGGTGTCCTGACTCTCAAGAAAGAAGCGCTTGACAGAGGATTAAGGGCATCTGGGAGCGAACTGCCTCAGTTTGAGGCGGATGATGATGTTATTGTCGAATGGCGAGCTATGACCCTGGTGCTGATTGATAAGCTATACTCCATGATATTATCGCGTCTAGACGGCGTCCGCCTGACTATGGCACAACTCCTTGAGGCGGGGACTTGGAAATCCGGCCGTGAAATAGCAGCACAGCGTCGCCCGACGACCAAATCGAGTCCAATCGTTGTTAAAAGTGATGGCACTATATTCTGAGTGATTGGTGTCGGTGACCCATTTAGATAATGAAATTGTTCATCTGACTCTGCTGCTGTAGATCTATCGATATGTTTGTCCCATTGTTCTTTCTTCCTTCTAAAAAAAGGAGGTCCAATAGACTAATCAAAACTTTTGAAGCGAAGAAAGTGTTGCGAAATCCCTTTGCATACTTCATTGAGTTGGGAAAAAAAAAAAAAAAAAAAGGTCCAGTAATGATGGATTATTTTCTGTTTTTCTTCATTGATGCCTTAGGAAGTATTCCTTCTATGACATCGTCGAGCTCCACACTCGTTGATAGGAACTAGGGGAGATTTTCAATTTACGAAGCGGTCTGGTCTGCCTTACCTGATTGATGTCCACCTAAATGGCAATTCTTATCTCTACCAAATAGATCTTCTGGATTGGACATACTTAAAGATAATATCCTTTGCTTCTATTGCATATCTACAGCAAATCCCTCCCTGGGAGGTAAAACTCACATTATCTCAACTCGCTAGAACTTGGATAGATGCATTAGCAATGAGTTCGTGATGCTGCTTCCAAGCACCATTTAGCCATTCAGCATCAAATATTAATATCTCATTCCATATGTATCGGCAGCAGGAGCTGTAAAAATATAATAACTCGCACATCTATAGAGTTACCTATACTATAATCTTTTAAAAATGCAAAGAAGATATAGACAACTAAAAGATTAGACTTTGTTCAAGCATACACTCAAAATAAAGCAAGGATATATTGTACTGATAAATATATCAATACTCAAAAGTGCAGGTAATAGCTATACAGAAACCGGGCATTGGGCTGTGAATCGTGTAGTTCCAGCTAGGTTAAATGATAACATCGCATGGAATCTCGCACGAGACCTGCAAATCGTCAAGAGTTTCTGGTCGCCTGAATGTTTCCGCCTGTGATGAGGCCGACCCTGATTCTCGAATGCTGTTAAATTTAGCTGCTACCAAGCTAACCGTGGATTTGGCGTCAGTTGGGTTCTAGCTCCAACTATATAACTTGCTTCCACCAACCGCCAAGGATGAGTCTGCTGCGAAACCACTTTGGGTTGCCAACAACATTCTGTCTCTGCCTCTGGCTGCTGAGATCAGGAAAATAAATATTCAACCGCATGCAGCCAATATTGCCCGACTAGCTTTTGCATCCTGTCTGATATCAAAGGACCCAGCCGCAGCGATGGCACCCACGACGTCGTTGGAATCGAAATCGCTTGTGACGCCATACCTGGTATTCATCATATTCATAACCACATTGGGGCCTCTCCAATTTGGATATCATCTGGTGAGTAAATTTGTTCCTATGTATTGATCTAGAATTACCGAACAGCCTGGAGTGGTATGATCGTTTCCAGCAAACATGTTTTATTAACGGGAAACCTTCGTATTTTCCCATCTCAAGGCTGAGCTCAATGCTCCGAAAGACGTCATCACCTGTTTGAAGAAAAGTATTGCCTCAGAAAAAGAAGCCATTTCGAAACTGCCACAATGTATCCCAATGAATGAGTTTCAATTCGGCATCGTGTCTTCAAGTTATACGCTCGGCGGCCTTCTGGGAGCCCTTGTCGCGGGGCCCTTTGCAACCAAATACGGCCGGCTCCTTGCTCTCCGCTTGACAACGATATTCTTTATTACGGGTCCCATTGGCGAAACCCTTGCCACTGGCATTGAATCTATAAGCGCTGGCCGGTTAGTCTCAGGCATTGGGGCTGGCGCTGCAATTGTTGTCGGGCCTATATATATCGCGGAAGTGGTTCATGCAACCCAAAGGGGGTTCTTCGGTGCCTTTACACAGGTCATGACCAATGTCGGAATATTACTCTCCCAATCTCTGGGGTACTTTCTAAGTAAAGGTAGCCTATGGCGTATTATCCTTGCAGTTGCTGGTGTCATTGGTGCTCTGGAAGTCCTTGGACTGCTCTTTGTTCCTGAGAGTCCCATCTGGCTGGCTGAGCATCAACGGGCAGCCCATGCCATGCTAATCCTCCAGCGGATCCGCGGAAAGAATAAAGATATTGAACAAGAGGCAAAAGCCTGGAGAATTCCGCCGGGCCAAACCGATGCAAGAATCGCAGAGGAAGAATCTCTTCTCACACCACCAGCGGGGAATCTCCCTCCCAAGCGTCCCCAAGTCTCCATGCTAGGGGTCATAATGAACCCGACGTACCGCCCTGCAATCGTCGCTGTCATCGCGGTCATGGCCGCTCAGCAATTTACCGGAATCAACAGTATAGTCATGTACAGTGTTTCCATACTCTCCGACATCCTCCCAACCGCAGCTCCGCTGCTCGCCGTTGGAGTCTCCGCTCTCAATCTCATAGTTACCCTCCTTTGCGCTCCACTAGCGGACAAACTCGGCCGCAAAACATGCCTCCTCCTCAGCATCACTGGCATGGGTGTCAACTCCATGCTCCTTGCACTGGGCATCTCATTTAATTTCGAAATCCTCTCCGCTATTGCGACGCTCCTATTCGTAGCAAGTTTTGCTGTCGGCCTTGGGCCCGTTCCATTTATACTTGCCTCCGAGCTCGTTGGGCCCGAAGCGGTTGGTGCCACACAAAGCTGGGCTCTAGGTGCCAACTGGACCGCTACTTTTATCGTTGCGCAGTTTTTCCCTCCACTCAACATGGCTATGGGAGGGAAAGGGAGAATTTATTGGGTTTTCACGGCCCTGGCGGTGGTGTTGGGTTCGTTTTTGGCCTGGTGGGTTCCAGAGACGAAGGGAAAATCTACCATGGAGGAGGTTTGGGGTCGCCGGGCGGAGCGGAGAGTTGATTAGATTGAGCATTATATATCAGTTACTTCATCTTACAAATATATATATTGGGATGTGGTAGGTATCCTTCCTCATCTCTCCCCAATTCCAACACGCTGTTTGGCTGGATGAGGTACCATCCGTCACAATCACCACTGACATATATTTTCTTGCCTGTCGGCGCATAGGCTCTTCTAATTAATAGCAAGTAGAAGCCATGGACAAAGTCGAACAAATAACATCTTACCTAACAGTATAGCTAGCCGAATGGTTGATTGCCACTTCCAGTGTCATATTTCCTCTCATTATTTCCTAACCCAGCAGCTACAGAAAAAATACTATTCCTGGATGGATTACAAAGTTGTGCACCCCCGAAAAAATCTTAGTTTACAGAATATAAATTGATAGTGGGTCATATCCGGATTTTAATTTGAGTAACTGGAGATAAACATTTACATCTCTAACTTATAGTTTATTGAAAAAAGATGAAATAAAAATATTAAGCGTTCACCAGTGATGAGAAAAATCTAATTCGGAAGAGCAACAAATCAATATTAATAGTAGTGGTAGAAAGATTAATACTAGAAATTACTTAAAAGGCTGCCCAGTTTTTCGCCCACTACTATCCTAGAAAAGTACTTTTTTGTAAAAAACAACGATGGAGCCATTGCATTCTAAGCCGGGCTGAATAAAACAACATAACACCAAATGTAATGTTTCAGCTAAGGAGTGACGGTAATTGCGCAGATAGTGATGGTAGTCACATGCCTACAGCAGCAGCGGTGGTTGTTTAATGATAGGTCATCACTGGTTTGGCAGTGGTGGTATGGTGCTTGGTCGTAGTATGATGCCTAGTTGTGGTAGTAGTAGTAGTCACTGGGCTGACAGTGGCGGTGTGGTGCTTGGTTGTAGTCTGGTGCTTGGTTGTAGTCTCGTGCTTGGTCGTAGTCTGGTGCTTGGTCGTAGTATGGTGCTTGCTCGTGGTAGTAGTGGTGGCGATAGGGCTAACAGAAGTCTCACGAGTTGAGGTGCTAGGCGTGTGAGTTCGAGTTTTAGTTCTGGTCTTGGTTTTGGTGATATGAGTTTCGGTGGGATACACCTCAGTAGGATACACCTCGGTGGGATACTCCTCAGTGGGATATGGCTTCCCATACTGCTTGGTAGGGTACCAATCGGTGGGATACACCTCAGTCGGATACACCTCAGTGGGATACACCTCAGTGGGATACACATCAGTGGGATACTTCCCGGTCGGGTACACATCGGTCGGGTACACATCGGTCGGGTACCAATCGGTGGGATACACATCAGTAGGATACACCTCGGTGGGGTACTCAGTGGGATATGGCTTCCCGTAATGCTTGGTAGGGTACCAATCGGTGGGATTCACCTCGGTGGGATATGGCTTCGTATGATGCTTGGTAGGGTACCAATCGGTGGGATTCACCTCGGTGGGATACACCTCAGTGGGATACACCTCAGTGGGATACACCTCAGTGGGATACTCCTCAGTGGGATACACCTCAGTGGGATATGGCTTCCCATAATGCTTGGTAGGGTACCAATCGGTGGGATTCACCTCGGTGGGATATGGCTTCGTATGATGCTTGGTAGGGTACCATTCGGTAGGATTCACCTCGGTAGGATATTCCTCAGTAGGGTACAGCTTTGTGGGATATTTGGTAGGGTACGCCTTCGTAGGATATGCCTCAGTAGGATAACGCACAACCGATGTTTTCAAAGTCGTTGGCGCAAACTTGGTGCTTTTTTCGTGCTTGTCATCACGAGCTTCAACACACTTGCCATTGTGAAATCGCCAGCTGTCAGAGGATTTCAAGGGACCGCACTCATAGCAAGGGCCTTTTCCATGCCCTGCAAGCATTATACATTCAGCCAGAGAATGGTCGAATTTAGACGCACACCAGGCTACACAGACATGGTGGTCATTTTTTCCATCTGCATAGGTCGATGTGATCGCCCCTGGATGTAACATTTAGTACTAGTATGCAGTAACACTTCATCCACATAGGCCCTTGGAAAAGAAGCTCACCAAACAGAAGAAACGACAGCAACATAACACGCTCCATTGCTGCGTGGTGGTAGAGATCGGTCAGTTGTTGGAGTGAAAGTCCGATCTAGAGAAATGAATAAGGAAATCTTTGTAAAAGGAAATATACAGAGCTCAATTGTTCTGAGAGAAGAGCCGAAGGGGAGCATTAAATAGGAAGCTCCGCAATATATATATATGTTAATTCAGTACCATGAAGATACCGATCATTGCGTATACCAAAAATCCAATACAATCAATGATTGTACGTATAGGCAAGTCTAGAAGAAGAGAAAACCCTGAAAGACATGTCTTTCGCTGGGGAGAATGGGTGATATTACACGCCCAGGATATAAAATGAAAGTGGACGATTGAAACCAGACCCGAACATCGGATCATAACCCTGCATGTCTTGTTCATGATGGTAGATCTGGAGAATGTGGCAGCCAGGAACCAATGCTGTGTGTTGGAAGATGAATGTTCATTTTCAAGAAAAGCTGGTTGGGGTTTGGAGGCTGGGATGGTTAGTCAGCCGTCTAGTTCCCGCTGATCTTGTCTCGAACTTCGTCGTCTATTACCAGCAGTATTTATTCATCGACGTCCACGAAAGCAGGAATCTATCTCCTCGCAAGCTCCATGGAGCTGCTTGGTGCCAACTGGGATACAAATCTGTATCATCAGAAACATTGTCTAACTGGGGCTATCAATGCGATCCGTGGTTCTTCTATCTTTGCAGTCTAGTGTCCAACGCCGTCTCCTCGTCTTTCCAAGAGGAGTCGGGGTTATATGGCCTTGATTCTTCCAGATATACGCACTTGTCTGGTTCTGTCCGAATCACGTCCTGTTTTTAGTCGTAAGTCCAGCTGCTTATGCCGCAATCACTTCAACGAAGAGAATCTTGATTTTCATTCTAGATTATTCATATACAACCAACTATCCAACCTGCAGCCCACCAAAGGGAGATCGAAACGGATGATACTTTTTCTTCTTCCATCTCCTCTAACACTTAATCCCCAGGGAACAACGAATATTCCGGTTTCGTGAAGGACCATATTAGAGTCATTGATATCCAGCTCTCGGAGGTCGGTTTGGGTTTTCACATTGTTCCATAGGTATGGTACGCCCTTGTCTATTTTTGGTTATCCTTATCCACCTACAGCTGCTTCTGAAGGAAGTAGCAGTAAAAATAGGCATGTGGGTAAGCATTAGATCCGACCGCTGCACAGACCTGTGTTCTTGCAGAAGTAGCTGCTCATGTTTCTCGTTTGTATCCATGTCAATCTTTTGACAGACTGGCGTCATATTGAATTAATTGCCATTCAGTGCTTGCAGAATCGACGTGTTTTGCCTCAGGCAAGCACTGGCAAGTTAAAGATTTAATTTGATTAAGACAGATCTATCGATTGATGGTGGGGAAAGGGGTGACGTTTCCTAGCGCTTGCTAACAGCATCCACTTCCCTCCCTTGGCGCAGCTGGCTCCACCATGTATACCTCAAAACTCGGCTTGCTTCTGCCAGTTATCATCAACATATTTGTTGCTTAGAAGTCATCCATTGAACCATAGTGGAATGCCTTTAGTATCCCTGCGAAGCAGCTGTGGGGCAGGGGTCAGATAGTATAACTTTTTGGTTTTTTCTCATCGCCTTCTAACGATGCCTGGCTCCCGTTCTGGTGCTCTGGCTGAAGGGCGATTTCGTTATCAGGTGGGGGGCGTTCATCATCTTCAGAGGTACTCAACCTTCCCAATAATGCCCGTTTTCCATTCGCAAAATGCATGCTGTGTATCCCCAGCATGTTCCCAACCAATCCAGAATGTCTCTTTGATGGTGTCAGCGTATGAAAAATTGCGATAATATCGAAAAAAAGGCCTACTCGCCGGGAACCATATCGTTTACCCCTATTTTATTCTCATCCTTAATTTCCATGTCGATCAGAGCCGTTCATGCTACATACAAGCAGCACTGTCATAAAATGTCTCCACCTGTCTCCACCTACGACGCCAAACTCTTGCATATGACCACTTTCACCGGTCCGAAATCTGGTCACCATGGTTTCCCTAGATATAGGCCTGGGAAGAATTTGTTGTAGGAACTCCTTTTTCGATTCCGGGATGATACGCCGGTTCTTTGAAGAATAATGCACCTGCTCTTGTATATAATTTTTCTTCCAACAGCGCTTCCTGGTTCTGGAAAAACAACGCATCGGCGTCAACAGAAAGGACCTCCCGGAAACTAGAGAGTAGAGGGTTTGGCTACCCATCCTTTGAGATTCTACCACTTGTTGTTTGCCATCTAGCTTAGATCCCTTGTAATGACCCCTAGGAGCATTCTCAGCTTGGTGCGGTAATCTCTTACTAAGGTCTTCGTCGCCCAATATATGATTTCAATGGGCAAATTGCAACCAAGTCGTCGAAACCACTTAGTCGATAGGAGCAGCCAGGGTGCTTGTTTGTTCCCCTCCCCCATTGGAAACAATTGCCTGACTTCTATTTGAAAGTTAAGATGTGGATGCATGTGATCGGAGAAGTAAGAGGAGCTTGAAAATAGAAGCTATAAGCTCTAGGCCTCAGGCCAACTTCTCGCAGTTCCCCTTCCCTGTCGCCTCCGATCGGCTCAGCAATTCTCTAATATGCATGTCATCCGGCATTGTTTTTGTTTGGAGGGGTCATGTCAGTAGGAATCCGTCTGCTGTGGCCCTCTTGTTTTCCTGGAGGCAGATCCTTACCTAAATCATATTGTTCGACCAGATCTACTTCGGACGTTATTATTGCTTGTGCTGAAGATCCTGAAGATCGGTTTTCTTTGAAGTTGGTAATCCATATTTTTGCCCGGAGGCGGGGGTATTGTCTTTGCTTTGTCGCTCTTTCCTGTACAGTTCTGGTGCGAGGGAAGCCAAATCCATAAAGGACAGAGTGATCGTGAATAAAAGAAGCAGCAAACGTATTACGGCTCTGCATTTTCGAGGAGGAGAGTATCGAGATCACCGATATCGATTGGCCGGGAGAGAAAACATCATATTGACCACTCATTAAGTTTCCATGGGCTAGAAACAAGTGAAAAGAGCTTCTAGAGCAAGCATGAGATTCTGCATCTTCTAAGCCCATGAAAAGGAATCTCGAAATCAGCAGTTACTGTACTGCGGACATCCAGAAAGTACTCCAGTCGCAGCCCCAACTGATATTTTTCTTGCATCGCACCAGATCAGGGCTAGGAAGCTTTAGGGAAGTCCTAATAATATCTCGGTCTCCCCCTGTCAGCAAAATCTGGGCTCGAGACTGTCGACTGGGTAAGGCCTCTTTTTTTCGGATATTTGTCCTTCTCAAGGATCCCCGAGCCAGCCAACCTTGAGATAAGACACTAAGCTCATTTCACCGTCGCGCGGCCCGCAAGCCAAGAGCCTTAGTCGCCGGCCTCCTGTCGTTGGCTTGGCCGATTTTTGTGTGCAAGAACCTCATGAATCAACATCTTGTCGATTGCATCACCATTCTGCGGACATTCAGGTACTGTTCCAACTATTATTTGGAAGGACGAAAAACACCCATCGCGACCTCTGTGACATACCGCTCGTTCGACCATAGATCTCGTCTCCCCCAGCAACGAGCTTTGGATTGTCTTGCCAAGATTAATTCGCGTTGTTTTGACGACCAGGCCTTCGAGGTGAATACACACCATCGCCTTGCGCGACTCTAATCTGGCTGGTTTGATTCCAGTCATGTCCTGACTAGTATCAAGGCTTATACGATAGCTCTAGGCACATCTCCATACGCGGCGCTCTCCGGTTTCAAGCAGCCCAGAAACACCTGGGCTCAGAGCATTGCAGATCGTCGTCGACAATTCGTCCAACATCAGCGCCTTTGCAAAAACCGAAAGCCCCTCGATGCCATCTCCCTCGTGACATCTTACTATTTCGGGCTTTGTGGACAGTGGAACGGCGCGTTGCCGATTCAAGATGAAGGAAATAGATATCGAGGAAGCTCCGGTTCCTAATTCGCTGGAGGCGAGCAAAGGTTCAAACTGGTCTCTTGTTGCGTGGATAACGGCGAACGTCTTGGCGACCACAGCGATTGTATGAGCCCCTTTCCTTGGAAACGAACACGACGACATCGAGAACAGGTAATGACTAACATATAATATAAAGGTCTATGTCAACAAGTTGATCTTCACCGACCCCTCCTTCGGGAGATGCCCGTTGGGGTTTGCTGCCTTCCACTTCTTCATCACGGCCTTGCTGCTATATTTTGCTTCTCGTCCTGGAGTGCGCCTATTCGTCCCGGTACGAACAAGTGTCCTCCCGGTCCTCCCTCTCACATTGATTATGTGTGCCAACGTTGTCTTCCTAAACCTGTCGCTTGCCTATTCCTCGATACTATTCTACCAGGTTGTTCGTATATTACTAACTCCTCTTACCGTCATCATTAACTTTTGCTTCTACGGCTCGAAAATCCCCGTGAGGGCATGCCTCGCCCTCCTCCCCACCTGTATTGGCGTCGGGATAGTGTCGTACTATGACTCCTCAGCGAAATCCAAGAACGCTGCGGTCGAAACTACCTCGGCGCTGGGTATGGCCTTTTCGTTTACTGGTGTTACTATCAGCGCTGTATACACCCTTTGGGTTTCACAGTATCACAAAAAGCTGCAGATGGATAGCATGCAATTACTATATAACCAGGTTCCCTTCGGCACATTGCTCCTCTTCATTGCAAGCCTTTGCACAGAAACATTCCCCGTGTGGGGTGATGTACTCCCTCGGCAATGGATACTACTCGTGATAAGTGGAGCTTGCGCTTGTATCGTGAACCTCTCTCTCTTTTTCATTATTGACCATGCAGGCCCTGTCAGCAGTACTGTCACTGGACATCTAAAAACTTGCATCATCGTTGGACTTGGCTGGGCTATAAGCGAGAAGATCGTGGGTTTTGAAAGCAAATTTGGCATCCTTCTCTCAATACTGGGCATCATATTATACTCGTTTGCAATGCATAACAAGAGCGCGAAAGGCTCTCAGCCGGAAAAGAGCAGAGAGGATGAAGATATGAAGTAGGTTCTCAAAGTCAGATGGGAGCCTTATGTATATGATATATGTTACACTTAGAGATAGTAAATGTTAATATTTAGCCGCTTTTCAGCCATATCTGCATTCAACTTTTTGGAGGCCATTCTACGGTGCCCGCTGATGAACTTTGAAAATCCATATAAGGTCATACAAGTATGAAAACTTAATATTCTATTTAACTATCAGTTAGTTACTGTCATTGATTATTCTAGTTTATAGAACAGTGGATTGATTTACGAACCTGGCGGAAATCAAGCTCGAACTCCCCATGATCCATCTGGCAATCCTCATATTCGTACTAACACCGCGCAATTTAGAGATAGCACTTCCCAGCTTGAAACGAGGCAACTTTCACTTCCAGCCTACACTCTTTTACTCCACTCAGTATCCCCTAGCAAATTTGGAACCGAAAGCATCCAAGAGGGGCCATCTACACAACTTCAAGAACGAGAGAGAAAAAAAAAGGAAAAGAAAGAAAAAAACCGCTCCGTCGCCATAGAAGACAACTGCCGGCGGACTTTAATGTACGGCCTCAGCCATCTCATTTCATTTGCATCAAGTCGAGGAGTGGCTGGAACCCAGAACAACATACGTTTCAAGCGCTCCTCGAATTTTTGTCGGCTTAGGAAATTCAACAACTAGCACTTCGCCTCGCCAGGCACACAGTTGAGATAAAAGCGCAGAAAATATATGAATAATTGCCCCTCTGCTCCTCTCTTTTCCTCTTGTTCTTCCTTTCAATGTAACCTTTTGCACTGTACATTACACGTTTTATGTGTCAAGGAGCTATGATTTAATACTGTCCTTTGTTTCAAAAGGGTAATAATAATAACAATAAGAAGAACCAAGAATCATTTCATCAATTACATTGATGTAAAATCAATCTTCGAACACAATAGGCGGATAAGCCTGGCTAATAATATTTACAGGTTCCAGGTGCGCGCTATCATCAACTTCTTCAGTAAAATTAAATAAAAGAAAAGAAAGAAAAGAAAAGCAACGCTCAACCTCTGCTCTCTAGCCTACTCAAGGCCGCCAACACAATGGCCAAATCCTCCTTCTCTATTCTCAAATCATCCTTCTCATCCCCATCTGCATCTCCCCCGTCGCCTGCTCCTTCATCGTCCTCCGCTGCTTCACCAACTTTCTGTTTACCCTTTCTCCTTCTCGTTCTCATCGTGCGGCCGTTGGCACTGCTACCTAGCTCCTCCCCACCAATTCGTTTCTGCCGTAACTGATCGCGCTCTTCCAATAGACGCGCACAAATCGCAAGAACCTGCCCTGCCACGTCATCCGCTGCGCGGCGGAATAGCTCGATGTCGTGGATTCCCGAGGCGAAGGAGTCAAGGGTTGGGATTAAGGATGTCGTTAGGTGGGAAAGGCGGGATGTTATGTTGGATATTGAAGTACAGGATGAGTCTGTTTGCGCGGTTGGTGCTTATTCATCGGAAGGTGCGCGGGTAGAGTGTAAGGGATTCAGAGCCGTCAGGATCGCTAGTCGAGAAGAGTCGAGGAGGGCCGGGTTTATTACTTCTGTTTGTGGTGTGCATGTGGATGGTTGTTGATTTTCGGATTTTTGTGCGGATGTTGAAGACGGAGGTTTTATTTTTGGAATTGACGGTGGCCGTAAGAGAGATGTAAGTGATTGTCGCTCTAGTTGTAGTCTACCATGTAGAGTTAGTATTTGTTTTCTTCATGTATATGCAAGTCAAAGGTGAACTGCATTGAACTGCATACTTATGTATCTGCTCCTCCAATTCTTTAATTTTCTCCGCGTTTTGTATATTCCTTGGATTTGGTTTCTTTACTACTACGGCCGGCGGTGTGGTTTCTTGCCGACCAAACCAGTCCGAAAGCTCAGGCCGATTCGCGAAATCCTCAAGTAGCTCCTCCTGTATTACCCGAGCTACATGGGGGAACAAGACCGTCGTTAGCATCCACTCAAATGCTGCATCTCAGAAGCCTGTCTTGGGGCTCAAAAAACATACCAGCTAATCTAGCACTTTCGTCCCCCGACCTAGATCCAGATGGCTTCTCCCCTAATGCTCTGGTCGCGCACCACGTAAGGAGCTGTCTCATTCTCTTGGGCTCCGACAAGCCCTCACATTCGATATGTTTGTAAAAATGCGCCGTGTCAACCTGGTCATGTGGTAGCGCTATTGAGACAACATAGAAGCATTAGCATCTTTTCTAGGTCGGGAATAAACACCGTAGCGGAATAAAATAAAATCATATATGAATCATAAAACACACCATTAGACACCCCGGATTCAATCAGCCAGCTCGCTCTCCTCCCCCTCCTCCCAAGACTACTCCGCCTCTGGCCCTTCTGGCTCTTCTCCATCCGCATCTCCTTGTTCTTCTGAATAACGGGCGTGTCCGCAAAGGGGAGTGCAATTTTCTGTGTATTCACATCTGCTAATGGCGTAGTAACCTGGCCTTCCGTCTCCTCCCCTAGAGGCTCCGTTTGTGAGCCTTTGGCCTTACTTGAACCCCGCTTCCGCTGAACCATGATTGGTGCGGGTGCGATATCACTCGATTTCCGCCTGGGCTTTAATGATTTCTCTGTCACTGTTGCAGTTGGTTCCTCTTCAGCCAGACGTTTTGACGTTCGTCGAAGTGGTCGAGTGGGGAGTTTTCCATTGGGAGTCTCAAATGTTACATTGCGCGGTGCCTCCGTGGATTTGGGAGGTCTCCCTCTCCCCTTCTGCTTCTGAACAGGTTGCTGTTGAGTATCCTCATCCCTTGGCAGTGGTGGAACCGAATTCTCCTCGATTGTAACAGACTTTGATTTCTTTGGGACAGTTGCGCGAGTGAACTGAAAGCCTTCAACATCCTCGTCGTACTCAACTGTATGATAGAGAAAGGGAAAGTGAGGATTAGCACTGCTCAAACTACACCAGCCAACGCAAAGTAATCAAGCCTATCAACCAACCATGAAAGAATGAAGAACCACTCACCAGCCTTCCGCTTCCCTCCCCATCCATTCGCACCACCTTCAGCATACCCATCTCCTCCCTTCATACTCTTCTTTGTTCCGTTCCCATTTGCCAGTCGCCCCCGCGCCTGCGACATCGCCGGATTGATGGTCGTCAGCGGAACGCGACTATGTGTCGTCCCCTGCTTGTATCTGTTTGGCCTACTATCGCCAAAATCAATGATATGATGCGTGCTTCGTGTACTAATCGTGGCTGCTGGTGCTGCGATGGTGGCTGTCATGTCCGGTTAAGCAACGCAAGTAATTTGTTCAGTTGTTGTAATGCTTGCCGCGAGTTTGAGTGACGCCGTCCCAATGTCACGGCAAATGAATCACACAGAAATATGCAACTTCTTTTGGGCCGCTGGCAACAGAAAGTGGATTCCGTTGGATGGAAATGCGATGCGCCGGATTTCTGCGCTGGTATCACCTTTCAGGCTGTCCCTACCGCTTCGAATTCGAGCAATTCCCCGCAACAACAACCAACTACCGCGGAGGGCAAAGACGACGCGCCCAATAAGCCGTGATAAGTCGCAGTCGACAAGCCGATCGCAATTCTTCGTCCCTGGTCTCAGTTCCTTTCCGTGGTGTCTGCGTACAAAAGCTCCAATCGCAATTCAATGCGAAATGGCTAATCCGAATCTGCTCTTGGCCACACCCAGCTCGTCTCGCAGCATTTCCCCAGCGGCTCGAACAATGAGAATACGCCTCCTATCTCCCCGCCGGCAAGGAAATCGTAGCAGAAGGCACGGTTTCGTCCTCGTCGTCCGTGTACTCCGGACCGTCCTTCAGTATCCTCCCTTTCTCGCCTGGCAGCAAAGCGGTGTTGGATCGTGCTACACACACGCACACAATCAATCGGTCGTCACGAAAGAAAAAGAATTGGCGAGTCCCTAATATATCGTAGATCCGGGTCCCTTGCCTTTGTTCAATATGATGGTCTTTGTGTGTGTGTCTGTTCGCTGCCCTTATCCATGTGGTTTCATCGTCCACGCCGGAATCCAAATGTTTTGGTCTTGGCGCGTCGTCGAGGATCAGCACATCAGAGTTGGCAACTAGTTCTATTTTAGACTAGTGTTTTTTTTTTTTTGAGATTAATCACGTGATATATAGTATGCTTTGAAAATAGATTGCACTACTTCAACATTTCACCGAAACTTGGAATTAACAAGAAAAATTCAAGGAAGAAAGGAAAGAAGGAAAGGAATTGAAAGAGTATACATGAAAGAATATCAACAAGTTAAACGGGGCATCGCTGGTGTGTCATCACTGGTCGTCATCATCACACATCGAGGGACTTTTCCTAGTAATGTTGTTGAAATCATCTATGGAGTTGTGGCTTTTAATGTTTCCCCTTTTGTGCCTCCTTCCTTAATTAACTAGCTCTAATATCCAAGCTGAGGCGGCCCCCCATATTTAAACAGATCAATCAATGAATCTAACATCCAGAACTTTTCCTGATCTTGACGGTTGCCTCATTTCTTATTCGTCAGATGGAGCATTCAAGCTCCCTTCAATTCTGCGCATTGCCTCCGCCCGGTCCTTCTCCGTGACATTCTCTTCATTCTTCCGCATATCAGGAGTGTGCTGTCGTGTATCAGGGTGGTGGCCAATGGACATGCCAACGCGGACCTAAATGAGCGATTACAGTTAGACAATAAAATATATATATTTTGATCAAGAATGCGAAAATTCATGCATCCAGCCTTCTCTCCTTTTGTTTTTTTTTTCTCTATTTTTATTTTTGTTCCTTTTCTTTTCTTTTTGTTGTTCTTGTTTTATCTAGATTTTGAACTCGCTTCACTGGGTATTATGAAAACTTACCAAAGTCTCGAGTGCTCCCAAAGAATTTCCCACAAGGTCTGGGTCAAAACACAGCTTCCCTGGCTCAAACAACAGCAACAACGTGCTACCGCCGAATTTGAAATAGCCCAGCTCTTCCCCGCGCGCCACCTTCTCGCCTTCCTCCCGCGTAATAACGGTGCTTCCAACCATCATCGCTCCGACACAAATAACCATCACACGACCATGCTCAACTGAATCGATGGGAACGACGATCCTTACGTTTTCTCCGTACACGTCCAGTGCGGAACGGATCGCCATTGGGTTCACGGTGTAGTATTCACCTTCGATAGTTTTGGGCATCCCCATCACGCCATCGACGGGGATGTGGAAGCGGTGGTAGTCCTGTGGCGCCAATCTGAAAATCCCAAGGGCACCGTTCTTGTACCGCTTCGCGTCCTCCGGGTAAGCTTTGCCCAGGAGTCGTTCTACGGAGAACTCCCTTCCCTTAACCCAAATCTTGGTAGCTTCGTCGATGCGGTCGAAAACAACAGTCCGACAATCAGCTGGTGATACAGCGATTTTAGGATTGTTTGGCGCAGAGCAAGGGCGTGCACCTGGTTTGAGGGCGCGGTAGAAGAACTCATTGAACGATTTGAATTCGCTCAGAGGAAGGAGAACTTCGGACATATCGAGCCGGTGAAAGTTTATGAAAGGTACGATCTGAGCTGCGGAGGCAGGGTCATCATACTTCTTTCCTTGCTTGATACTCAATGACTTGAGCATTTTCCGAACTATGATTTGGTGAGCATAATCCTGTCATCATATTACAAAGAACAATTTATATGTGAACATACTTCGTTTTTTCTCCATTTCCCTACTCTTTAACCCTTTGTACAGAAGTCGAATCCCAAGTCTAACATAAACACTCATCCGTTCCTCGTTGATCTGCCCCGTAATCCTATCCTGGACCAGGATGTTGGCAGAGTTTGCACCTAGTTTATACCCGCCATAGGATATCTTCGTAATAACTTTCGAATACCATTTCCGCTGGGCCTGACTAGAAGTTACAAAACCGCCCATAACCAGATTATCAACCTGTCTCCAATCCTGGCTCATGCAAGTAGCAATGTGGGTTATTATATCGGCGTCTGATCGTTTTCCCAGTCTTGGCTGATGGCAAATTGGACATTCTCGAATTTCGACTACATGTTCCTCTCCTCCATCCTCTCCAAGATCATCAGGATGGAGGTTATCATCGCTATCCCCAGAAGAGCTTGGTACATCACGGGATATAGTTGGTACAGCTGGTCGCTCAAGCCCAGTATTCGGAGACCGCGTAAGGCTAATTTCAGGCATGTTGTCCTCACTACTGGATTGATTCTCACTTTCCGGGGTCTCTTTGGGTGCATGACGAGGAATGTCCCTCAATGACTTTTTCTGCAGAGACTGTAGCGTATCTTCCAAGCAAATAACAGCTTGATCAAATGTGAGGTCGGCACTTTCACTGGGTTCATTTTCCTCTGCGAGTCGCTTGAAAAATCCGTCGATAGTAGACTCTTTAAGCGTCGAACCCAGAGTGTCAAGCATTGTCGTCAGTTCAACTTTGCTAATGCGCCCGCTATCATCAGCGTCGTATTGCTTAAGCATTGCTCTCCAAAACTGTTGGCGCAATGCCGGATACGGCATGTATTTCGCTTTCACATGAAGCTCTGGGAAATGCTTGTCCTCCCAGCGCTCCTTGTATTTCATAGCAAGCGGGATAATGTAGGTCTTGAGACCATATTCATCGGCTGGCACTTCGGGCTCTTCTACCATATTCCCCGATGCCGGCAAGTTTAGCTGGGACGAAGTCTCGCACGCGATGTTGGGAGGGGAGGTGCCTTGTTGGTCCTGGCCAGACTGGCTTGACAACGAAGTTGTTGAGCTTTTAGACCTTAGTGATGGTTTTGTGGGCTTTGTCAGACTTGTAGTCGACGAAGAACGAGATAAATTGAGACGGAATCGTGATTTAGAAAGAGGAGGTGTAGGGGAAGGATCCGATGGGGGCCCGGGCAACTTGTATAGCCCCGTCTCTGGGTCTGCAATTGGTGCCGCCAATGCAAGTGTTTGTAAGGGGAAACTGGCCGATGCGACGAAATCGTTCCCAGACAGTTTGTCTCTGTCAATAACTGTAAAGTAAATGCAATACGACTGCTCATGTTTCATAACTTGGAAGACCATCTTCTCGTCGAAAACAGGGTTTAGATTATGGCGTATAACACGGGTTCTGAGCGTTTTCTTGCCCAACGACGTAACTACGAAGGGATCCATGTCGAAAGACGTGCGTGTCACTAAAACGCGATGTCAATTCGAAGACCGTTCCTGCATAAACATAGACTGGGGGAATAAAACTCCTTACTATTTCTCTCTGGAGGCAAATCCAATATTTTCACTATTTCCATAAACACAATCCCAGAGACACCATCTTTGGAGCCAGAAAACTGATATGCTCTGGCAGCCATAGATTTGCGCTTCAGACGAGCGATCCGAAGCTTGCGACGGCGCTTCTCAACGACGTCTGTCTTCGTGGGGTCATCAGTTCCATCAGATGTCTCATCTTCCTTCTCGAGATCGTCCGTATCAGGGGAAACAGCAGGGCCAATCTCATCCTCATCATCGCTAGATACGATGGCTTTGAATTTCTGAAAGATCTCCGCTGGCTTAGCAGATGGATCCGAAGAGTCAAAGAGAGCAAATTGCATCTGGATTTCACCAGATACATCACTCCTCTTCTTGCCCGCTTTCCGCCCAGAATGCAACGTGTACCATTGTGGCTACCCCCAGACATCAGCCCCATGCAACTCAATAGAATATCACGCCACCTCTTTCTAAACATGGAAACGCACCTGTGGTTGGATAGTTCCAGCAGAAAAGATATCCTCCAGGGGTATATAAAATTCCCCCATGTAGTCTTTGCCAAATCTATCTTTATCCCAACATGTGCACTCGAGGAGCGGCACACCGAGGATTGGTAAGTCGAAGGAGACGTTCCATTCTGGATTCAATGTTTTGCTTATCGTAGGGGTTGACTGTCGGGCTTCGCCCAAGCTTACGACTAAGTACTGTGTAAATTGGGAGAGGCAAAAGCCGAAGAAAAGTCAGTCGAGATTGGAAAGGATGGAAGTAACGGACGAGCAGAGAAGACTCACAGGGTCACTCAACCCATTCCTATCCTTAGGTGCTAGGTTCCTTCCCTGTAAATTGACAACACAATTAGCTTCTGCTCCATCGCACACATTATTATTGGCCCCACGGTCCCGCAGATACACGGGGAAACAGAATGGCGTGCATACGGATATAACTGTTGCCTTGAGAATCAACGGTTTGGTATCGGGCCTTGAGGGAGCGAGGCCAGGACTGAGATCGGCAGAGGGAGGAGTAACGCCGCTTTTGGAGCTCAGATGGCGACGGGCAAGAGATATTCGGACCATTGTAATGTGTAAAAGGTTATGGGGGACGGACGGGATCCGCTAAGAGGAGACGGCGTGCCTGGGCGGGAAATGGATGCACAGGGTCAACGGTCAAAGCGAGAGGGCCGGTTAAGAAACAAGAGTAGAGACCGGAGCAAGGCTGCGAAAACAGCACAATTGCCAAGGAGATAGATATGCAGCGATTCTGAAGAGACGAGAGCAGAAGATATGAGGCTGCGGTGTAATGACGAGAAGCAAAGTTGGGTGAGATGAAGAAAAGATATGTCGAAGTTACCGAACGGCTTCTCTATACGTATGATGGGGTAAATTAACGAGCGAAAAGGTTGACACGCAGAGGAATCAAACAGGATGAGACGGGAGCTGGATCTGGGCCTGTGGCCGAGTATTGGTGGTTGTTGACCAGCTCTGGCGGAGGAGCGGTCAGACGCCAGCAGCTGGTATCATGGGCAGCGATCACTGGGGAGACCAAACAACACGACCCAACACGACCCAACACGTCAAAAACACGATACCCGCAAGCAGTTGCAACAAGGAATATATACGAAACAGAGAGGAAAAATGTTGATAATTATGGATTCATGCCACGGAATCGCCTATCCTTCGTGGCCCCCCAGCAGCAGCAAAAGACCTGGGAGTGCCATTGGAGCGGATGCGCGTGTTGGGGAGGCTCAAGCCCTGTCTCGAAGCGCTTCCCAGCAAGCCCAAACCTTGGGTGTGGCTAGTGTGATGTCGACAGAGTTAATCCGCGGATACGAGGAATCCCTGAGGAATCCTGGCCGATTCTCTCCTGATGCCGAGCGAGATTGGCTTCCAGCGGTACCTCCGTTCACCAATTGGAGTGGGCACATACAGAGAAATACTCAGACGACCTCCAGAAACTATGACGATATAGATGGCTTCTTAGCCTGGAATGTCCTTAAGAATTGCGGGTTTCTTCCTTGGCCAGAATTTTCGAACTAGCTCCACTCCTACTGAACTCCTCATTTTGACAGCCAGTCGATGGTGGGGTAAATCCCAATTTCCGACACTGTTCATAATGAGAGTACATGTCAAATGCGTTTGGATTTTAACTAATGCATCGGGGGGAGGCCCGCATTCAATGTTGCTAACAAACCCCGCCCCGGATGCAGCCGAGAAACCCAAAAAGCAAAGAATCCAGGACTCAATCAAAACTCTGTGCGTATTCCCCTCAATCTCGTGCACGATCAATCTCTCCCGCGCTCAAATCAGATACAGGTACGTGGTAGGGTAGCCACCCCACCATGCATCCCAGCCTCTAGCCTCTTCCCTGAAACAAGCCACACATATCCCAATGACACTGAGGCTGCGCATCCGGTTCGTTCCGCACTTCAAGTCCTGGGAAATAGGATTCAGCTTCGAGTGGGGTGTGGAGTCCGTCGCACTGTTGACAAGATTGTTTGCTCAATGATTTGGCCAACGATCTCACTCTTTCAAGCCTGCTGTTTGATACTGCAAAGGCTAGCACCCCACCCAAGGTTACATGTCAGCATCCATGAATATCAAGGGCCAAATGGCCCCATACCAGGGATTGTATCCTATCCGGAGCTCTCAGACATTTGGAATGGGGAAATAATCTTTAATCCTGAACATTTTTGTATGCAGCGTATACATGTGTTGTCCACGCATCACTTGAAGCTAATTACACTTTTGAATCAATAAGCATTTATCGATGAGCTCACTATTCGTCATCTTTCACTTTTAGAGAAAGTAAAATAAGACGTAAAAACAATCCTTGAAGCCATCATTGGTGAATAGAAGGGGAAGCTAAAATAGGGTGCGTCGGAATCTTAATATCAAGTAATAATAATATTATTAAATCATCTCTCCCCGCTTGCTGAGCGAGATCCCACTCTCCTGCGAAAGCTAGCATGGAATTGTATCCTCCTTTTTTTCTGAGGTTTTGTTTTTATTTTGATATTTTCTAGACTGTTCTTCACCCGCAAGTATCTATTCTACCTATTCAGCAGTAAGCAGTCATAAAAATTTGAAGTGCAGCACCCGCACCCCATCAACAGCTCGTCAAATTTATCATATCATTACAACCCACTCGGAAAATTACCCAACTTACAGCGTAGATGCGACCCAGCATTATAACATCGCTTCGTAATCTATCGGAAATTCACCGAAATTGGATTAGCTAGGCCACGGGTCCTCTTTTAAATTCCCACGCTTTTAATTGCCTCTTTTAGTTACCATTTCATACACCAACGGTGCTTCACGTGGACACATGTGCCCTCCCATTTCTTCGGCCAATCCTTTGATAATCACATTTAGGGCTCTCTACAGAATTAAAAGAAGAAAAAAAAAAATTTTGGTCACACTTTGGCGATGATACTAGGTCAATTTCGTTTTCAACGAGTTTCTGACCCATGATACGACCTATAAACACAATACGAGATCACGGATAGCTAGTTTTGATCAACTCATCTTATAAACCATTTACTATGGTCGCGGAAGCCATACAGAGAACCTCTCAATCGACCTAAACCTGACCATCCGGTATAAGTCCGTTCACGACGCGTTTATCTCAAAACACAAATGCCAAGAGATGATCAATTAATTACTCATGCCTATGCGCAAAAATTCTTGATCAATGAAACACCCGAAAGTGCTCATTGATATATATAATGTCCCTTGTGATTGAGTACAAAAAGGGACACCTTTGGTGAGAGCATCTCATGTACAAACAACCCCCCTTCCACACACACACACACCTCATGTGTTATATATTACATGCATTGAGATAGGTTATCCCCACTACCTTCGGGATTGGCGGCTGGTACAACTAATAAATTGCCAATGCCCGACTGAATACGTATTCTAAAAATAGTGCAAGAAGCCAAGTGCCAAGAAAACCCTAAATAAGCTTAAAATGACTTTGTTCTCCTCGAAGAAACAGTCTCCTGTACCTACTAGTAGTGCATTTGACAAGATCCCAAAAGAGCCAAAAGGGAAAAAAGAAAAAATACGTATATATACACATATATATATACATAATTTTGCCCTAGATTATCCCAACTTGCCACATTACTTTTATACTCTTAAAACGATAATATGATCACCAAAGTACCAACATACGCGTGCAGTTCAGCGAACATCACTAACCATTTCCCCATCTGGGCGACGATGAATCAATCCCTTCCTTAACTCTTCAGCCCGCCTTTTGGAATACACGTCTTTCATTCGTCTCAGCAAAGAAATATATCGTCCATGTTGCGATGCTGATGATGGGCCGCGAAGGGCTGACTGCGTTGGAAATTTCTCTAAGGTAGGAAACAAAACCCCTGCCGGGGCTTCAATGAATATTGAATAATATCAAGAAAAAATAAGCCAATTTTGAACTTTTTCCACCAACTGTCTCAAAATTCCAGGGTTGGCTGTCGAGATTAGTAGAAAACCCACAACTCCCATCTATCTAAATCCGAGTTAAATCTATATAGAGAGATAAGAAAACGAGAGAGAGAAAAAAATATCAAAAACTAAACAACCCGCTCCTCTTTTTACCGAACGGATAGACCACCAAAGCAGCCATGAACAATCCCCCGGAAATCCCAATAGCCACCTCCAACATCCCATACCCAATATCAAACGCCACATTTCCCAAAAACCTGCTCATAACCAACTCCTCCATCACATATTTCACGTCTTCCACAGATTCCCCAGTCGAATTCGCCAACAAGTCAGCTGCTAGCTCGCCCAACGGCCGCGACGAGGACCCATGCTTCCTGATCTGCGTTGCAATGATTAGACTTGATACCAGGCTACCACTGGACGCCAAGCCCGAAGGCAGCTGTATGAAAATAGCCGGTAGGATGGCGGCAGCGGCCAGCCCCTGGCCCAGCCGACTATACAAATTGCCAATCATGCCAATTGCCAAGGCGCCAAGGGCGCTGGAGATCTGGGTGGATGTGAACCGGCGTCCGGCGAAGAAGAGGACAACATATCCAGCGGTAGCAATGAAGACCATGACTGGGATCTGTTTAGGTTTTGCTTGGTTGATGAGGGAGGAACAGACGGCGAAGGCGACCACGAAGGGGAAGCGTTGCAGGTACTCGTTTTGGATGGGGCTGGGTGGACAGGCAAATGCGACTGAGGCATTGCTGTCGAGAAGACCGTAGACAGCGGTGCCGATCACGATCCCGAAACCAAGGAAAAGGGAGTAGATAATGGCATAGACCAGGCGGACGGAGCCGGCAATAATATTGCGCGATTGCAATGCCAGTGCGCCGCACAAGACGATATAACCTGGAAGAATCAGACATATCGAAGACTGAGCCAATGCAGAGAAGCAGAAGAGAGGTTCTCCGTTTGAAGTCCTTATGCTTCCGAATGCTCGAGCAAAGAATGAGGTGATGACAGCAGCGGACACTTCGAAGATGTTGGCATAATTCGATGAACGGGGTATTAGGACATGCTGTAATACGGCAAGTACACATCCTAGAATAAAGCAAATGGGCATATCGATTGGCCGTGCACCAAAAGCAAAGGGTCCAGCCATGGCGCTGGCTAGCCCTTTCAAGAATATCAGCCAGAAGATTCCAAACCTGCGTTTCGCATTCATGACACTCCGCAGCTTCCGAATCGCCTCCTCTACATCGATTCTGCTGTGAACGACATCTTTGTAAATCTCCTGGATGTCACGGAGGCGGCCCAAATCGACGGCTTCGTGCGATTGGACAAATTTTAAGTCAGTGGTGTCCGTCGCACTATCTTCAAACGCCATAAACATGGTCCCAGGAAAGTACGTAAAGCTTCCTTCCAATTTTAGAGCTCGAGCTGTCGTTCTCATGTACTCTTCCAGTCGATGCAGCGGAGCCCCAGAATTCATCAGAGCACGGCAGAGTCTGTCGAGGTATTTCTTTCGTTGGCGAGTTTCTAGAATATGTGCCGTGAAATGCATATCCTCCTTGCGTTTAAATTTATTCTTCAAGAGAAAGCCACTGTTGCCACGAATCCTTCGTTTCTTCACAACTGACGATCGCCGAGGTCCTCCGAACGGCGAGATTGAGTCAAAGGAAGGCATTGATAAGTTAGCGGACTTAAAACTGCACCATCTCCGTTTTGAAGGTCGTGACCAGCTTCCCCATAGAGGTGCGGGTGAGGGTAACTCTGTATCATGGGTCTGCGGTCCGTTGCTCATGCGGCTACCATACATCCCAAGTAACATTCCCAAAACCCCGGGCCTGTAATGTGATGGCCGCTTAACGTAATCCTCCTGATATTCCCTTTCTTCAAGAGGGGTGACGGCGCCAGACGGGATGTCACCGTCGTGCGCAGTAGTTCTGGTGAGAGGGTAGGAACTTAAACCGGCCAAGCCTCGCCTCAGCTGATCGGCATGGGCTTGAAACTCCGCGTTCGTATGCCCATCATCGACATCGCCATCATCATCATTGTCGGAACCGTATGACTGCTTCTCCATTTTATCTAGGTCATTCCAAGATGGCGACTTGGATTGCTGTGGCAATGAAAAAGGCCTGTTTCGAACCCGGCGAGAAAGTGTCTGAAAAAGACCGCTCTGTCCTTTGGAGCGCACGGAGGGTGGACGTATAGCGGAAGCTAGCCTCTGTGCTCTTTCGTGGGCACCGTGCAGAGCCCATCCCTTTTCATCACCTTCTTCTTCTTCTTCCCTCGCATTCCCATCCTTGCTGATAAGGTTGGCCTTGCTAGATATGTATTCGTTGCCGCCCAAAGGAGTTGACCTGCCTGATGATCGCTGGAGATCAAAATAGCCGAACGAATCATCAGACTCTGTGCGCTGATGAGAATAAGCTATTGGTGGAGCTCGTGGGAGACTCCATTCAACATTTATTCCATTTGGAGGACTCGGGCTGTTGTCTTGTTCTGACGCCTCTTCGTCGCCAATGAACCTCACACGGCTCGACTGACGAGATCGGCTGCTATTAGCTGCTCCTGCACTCCTGGAGTGAGAGTCCAAGAGGTTCGGTCGTGCAGCAGGACTTGGACTTGACGGCCTCTGGGGGGCTGTCAGTGAAATATGGGGGTTTCTACCCCTCGGGCTTGGGGGGGTTGAAAGATCTTCTGTGGATTGCATATGGAAATCGAAATGCTTCATTTCCTGACTCTTGATTTCTTGCGTGGCAGATCACGTATACCCGCCAGGTTCGATACTTGTAAAACGCGAAAAGTTATATGAACTTTGCAGGGGTATCCCCGATACTAGAACGCAACGTTTTAGGCCACGGGTCACTGGTGGTAACAGATGGACACTGGAACCATGGGGCTGTGCAATTGCAGGGTTGCAATGGCTCAAAGGTTCGGAAGATGAGTCACCCGTGGAAAGGTAAAAAGCTTACCTGAACTCAATATCTTGTAAGCATAGCCAAAGGTTTTGGAAGATGCTTGGATAGAGAGAATTGGTTGAATGATGAAATGGAGAGAATCGTTGCAATATAAGTATGAAGTCACAACAATCTATGTTCCACGGGGAAGGAGGGTGATCTTGCTTCAAAACTGCGGAAGAAAGACGTAATCGAGGTGCCGTTCGCCACGGAACAAACGAGCGGTTAGATGACGAATCAATATCTTTTTATAAAAAAAATACAGCATGCTTATGGGATCTGAGGAGAAATGACTCCACAGCCAACAAATCAAGGCTGAAACGAAGGCGACGATTGAGGGGGGAGAGAATCAAAAAACAAACAAAATATGAAGAGTATCGATGTCCTCGCATAGTGCTGTCGTTGTATCTGAGCAAAATCATCGCATCAATATCAAATTGCCAGAGCCGCCGAACAACAGGCCATTCCAGTAGACCAATGTCTAAAATCCGTGCTTCAACAGCATCCAGTAGGGCCATACTGCGTAGACATACGAAAACCCTTTTGAACTTTTTCAAGCGGTCTATCCAGGTAAGGCTCCATAATAGCTCTGATCCATTGGCTCTGCCTAAAGCCAGGAGAGGACCCCGGAATGGGACAAACTTTAGCAGCCCGTGTCAAATCTTGATGGTGTTTGGCGCGAAATTTCAGATATCTAGAACTCCTAATTCGAGAAATCTCAACGCAACAAGTTCGAGGCGGGACAAAAAAAAAAAGAACAGAACAGAACCAGAACCAGAACCGAAAACAAGAAAACAAGTTCAGTGACAAAAATGGCATTCTGGAAATTTCTCACCAGGGAGTCGATACTCAGCCTTTGCGTCTTAGGCACGAGAAGAGTTGCAACAACCTTACCCGCCGTTCCTGTTGCCACGTTTTTCGGGCTGTTGACTCCGCCAGAACTGCACATTACCCGAGACCGGAGCCCTCTCGACCAGCTTCCCGCTCGTAGAAGTGGACCTGGCCCAGGATGTTCCAGGCCCACAACAGCCGCTGTCACGAAGGTTAAAGCTATAAATTGCTCAGTTCTCCCGCCAAACCTTCAATATGCCGGAACGGCCACAAAAACCCGGTCTATTCCGTTTGTGGCAAGCGGGCTGGTTTAAACGCGAGGAATCGCGTGAAAACCCATTGTTTTCCCATATACAACATCACCACATCGCGTAGCTATACCAATGTCAATGCTCTGTCTATCGGAGACTGGCAGCTGGAGGCCGTTAGGCGTTGCTAGCTACCTCTACGCAGCCGACAAGAACACGTGTCCTGACTCCCTCAGAGCTGGCCTGAGAGATATATATCTATGACATCATGATAGCACACCGCCATGCAAAGCATCTTCAGGCCCGGGCTCCCTGGTGGCGTAGCTCTGCTAATCACGTTGTCATCTACTCCGTAGTAGGTGTCAGGTTTCTGACATTCAACGGTTAGACCGGGCCCCCGGATCCCCATTGATCCCGGCCCAGAGCCGGAGGAAACGACCATGCATGGGAGCTATGATTCAAGCACAGCCATACTGCAACTAGCTTTGTATCAGGCATTCATTCCGGCATCAGCGGGTCATCAAGGGAGCAGAGAGAGAAATGGTTTCCGTCGTTGTACGCTGCTTGCGGCTTGGCGTAAAGGAATGGCTCGAAAAAGCCACACACGACGGGCAACCGGAGAACGACCAAGAGCGTGAAGGATTAAAAGCTCACTTGCTTCGGATTACGGACTATCAGGGACAAAACAATTAGCAAAAAGACGAGTGTAAATTCTTTGGAATAACAAACAGGATGGAGATGTGGAGAGGAATAACAACCCCCTTTCTCTCCCCCTTTTTCTTCCCCCCCTTCCAGAAAAACAATAAAACGGAAAAAAAACACAAACAGAAGGGTAAACCACATTGTCCTCCCATAAGGAAAAGCCCTCGGCCGGTCTTCAACAAGCGCCCCCGCGACACAAACGCGCCGACAGGAACAACGACAACGGCCCGGGCTGGACTGGGTCTGGGCCTGGCGCCATACATACAGCCCCTACCTAGCGCTAGGTGAAGCTTAAGTATTTATTTAGTTCGATACTATTATTATTATTATTATTATTCCCCACACGGCCCGCCGAAAGCTCGGAACAAGAACAACAACGCAAAACCAAAACCAAAACCAACCCAAACAAACAAACAAACAACTCCTGTTAATTTTCTTTGCTAACTATGGGGGGTAAATATATAAACACTAGTAATTAAAACAGTAAAACAGTTGGAGGGGAGGTTAGGGGTTTGGGGGATCACTGGCAGGGGACACAGTTATATATATGTATATATTGTAGTTAAGTTATATAACTAATAAATAGATACATCACATAATCCATTTTATACCCGCATTAGTTATTTCCTTTTCCTGTCCCAGTCGAAATATATAATCTTTTCTTTTCTGTTTATTCTTTCATATCCGTCCCATCCCATCCCATCCCATTCCCTCTGATAGACAATCGCTTTGAAAGTCGCAGCAAATACATAAACCGGGAGAAAAACGAAAAAGAGAAAGAAAAAGAAAAAGAAAAAATTAAAAAAGGAGAGAGAGAGAGAGAGAAAGAAAGGGAGCGCTAACAAAGAGAAACTTGGTAAAAACATATTACAAAAGAGTAAGCCACTAACTAACACATAAAACATAAGAAATAATTTAAAAAGAAATAAAATAAAATATAAAATATAAAAAATAAAAAAATTCATCAAAAGATATATTATAAAAATTAAAGAGATAAAAAACAAAATGCCGCTCCCCCAACTCCCTCTATTATTATACTCACCCTTGCTTCACTCATATCCTCCCTCTCGCCGATCTCGATCCATATACTCAAACGCACCTAATCCCTCCATGCCCGGCTCTTTCTGTGCCCCAGCCTCTAGAAGCCTCTTCACCACCGCGCCCTTGAGCACCCAATACCCCTCCAGCTCCCGGAGCGGCGTGCGGCCCTTGGCATCCTTGCAGTCCGGCTCCGCGCCCGCGGCCAGCAGCGCCGCGACGATGCGCTCCTGATAGCGCGACTCGACGTTGCGCGCCGCGTAGTGCAGCGGCGTCGCTCCGGTGAGGTCGCGCGCGTTGACGTCGGCGCCGTGGCTGATTAGGAGGTGGATTTTTTGCGTGATGTGGTCGGTCGCAGGGGCGAGGGTCTTGGTTGTTGTTACTGTTGGTGTGGAGGGAGAGGGCGGGGAGGGCTTGTCTGTCGTGCTGGGTTTGGAGGAAGCGAGGAGATGGAGCGGTGTGGCGCCGGTTGCGTAGGTGGGCGTGCTTGGGTTTGCGCCGTGGGTGAGGAGGAAGAGGAGACGATCGGGGCCGCTGTGCTGGGCGGCGTAGTGCAGGGGTGTGGAGAGGACGGTGGGTTTGTTGAAGAGGGCGGCCGTTGCGGGGTCCGGTTGGTTATCGATGACTTGACCATTGTCGTCATCGTGGGTTTCATCATCATTATCGGAATTAAGTTTGTCGTTGTCGTTGTCGTTGTCATTGTCGTTGGCGTTGTCGTTGGCGTTGTCATCATCGTTTGCATTGGCACTGGTATTGGCATTGGCATTGGTATCGGCATCGGCATCGATATGAAGAACACTCGCCGCCACCTGTTTCAGCAGCTCAGTATCCGGTTGGAAACAGACGGTGTCCAGCGGGGTGTCGCCATGGTTATTCGGGGCGTTTACATCCGCTCCCCTGTCAAGCAAGAGGGCAATGACATCACGGTCTGGCGATTGCATCGTGCAGCAGCGCAGCAGGGGCGTGGAGCCCCATTTATCACGGGTGTCGACGGGCATGCCCAGATCGAGAAGGGCCGTAGCCATCGCGAGACGGCGGGAGGTGGCTGTCGGTGATGGGCCGCTGGAGCCGGCCATGAATCTCAGGCGCACCCCATCAGCGTAGATGCATGCTTCATGCAACAGCGTGTTGCCATACCGGTTGTGAGCTTCCAGATTCGCCCCTTTGCCCACCAGGGACTTGATGACGGAGAAATCCTCGCGCTGATCCGTCTTCAACCAGCGGTTCAGCGCGCAGTGTAGGGGGGTATTGCCATCCTCGTCCGCGGCATTGACATCCGCCCCGTACTGCAGAAGCGTGGCCACCCTCTTCCGATCCCCCTCCGACACCGCATGGTGCAATTCCGTAGATGATTGGGCGGTGGCCAGGTTCACCTGCGCACCCCTCTCGACCAAGCGACGTACTGCCTCGGGCCGATTCTGCAGCACGGCCCACATGGCAGCCGTCCGCTTCTTCGAGTCTCTGATCTCAATGCCATAGCCCATATCGAGCCATTGATCCAGGGCCTGATCGCTCGTCTGCGCAGCCGCAAGCGTCGCCTGGACAAGATCATCGTTGGTATTCAGCGTGATTTCCTGGCCGTTAGGCATGAGGAAGGTATTCCCAGGCATCTTCTGCGCCGGGCCCTGGTACCGCGAACGATGCAGGCCCCTGTTCCTTTCGTGTTCGTGGGCGTCATGGCTGTCGTGGCTGCGTAAATCCCCCCTGCCCTGGGAAGCGAGGGTGTTCGCCTTTCCGGCAATCGCATCAGGATCGCTGGGCAGTGTGGCGGGCGGCGATATGTTAAAGGCTATCCGCGTGTGCTGGGGGATGGGGAGGGACTGCTTCGAGGCGTCTGGATTGCCGTCGATGCTGCGGTATGCCGGGGGTGGAGAAGGGCTGGCCTTTTCGCCATTGTCGTCAGGTCCACCGCAGCACAGCAACCGCGAGAATCGCATTACTCTCTATCCCCAGCTCGGTCTGGAACGGACGAGAAGCGTAGACAAAAACGAGTGCTGGATCGGGGATTTATTCTCCACTGCGGGCGATGAGAAAGCGCAATAAAAGCAAATACTGCAAAAAAGAAACCCCATACAAAGCAAGGTAACTAACTCTCACTCTCACCAGCAAGTCCTCGCTCTAGCTCGGGGAAAAGGCGAAGGGCGAAAGAAAGTGTGTGAGGTGAGAAAGCTTACCCGGGAACAGACTGGACTTGCTCTGTGGTGCAACCGACTCGCCCAGCCACCGCCAGCCAGCCCCCAGCCTCGTCCCTGTCAGGATCAAACTCAAAAAACTCCCGAGATAGATGTTTATTTAGTGATTCCTACTACTGCGGTGTATTCCGTACGACTATTACTATTAACATGATTGTTATGAAGCAACGCCGCACAAGAGAAAGACAGGACGCTGAGGACAGGCTGGCTAGCTACTTATTACATGAATACCCGGTGTTGCATCTGTGTGGTGTGTGTGTGGCCATGCGTTGTCAAGCGTTGGGCCGGTGGACTCTGTACAGGGCTACAGTTGATAGAGTTAACTAAGTTAGCACTAACTAGTTATCTAACTATCTAACTTATCCTTAACTTACATAGTAGGCCGTTTGTTTGTTCAGAGGTGGGACAAATACAGTTATAGATGGGTCAGATTATAGTGTGTTTGAACCCAACCCTCACAATAACCTGATTATATGCAGAGGTGCAGTCACTCAGTCATCAATGTCACTGTATATAACCTGATTATTGCTGATGTGTGTTCAATTTCATATTTATATATACAGAATACTTGTATTTAGTAAGAGAAATATTATTAAATTCAGATATATATGATTTTGTATATAGAAAATTATATAATTACTAGCTAAATAATCTGCTTAATTTTATTTTTACTAAAGAGCTACTAATTTCAGATACTGTATAGAAATATAAATCAACTATCTGAATATTATATACAGTCTATACAACTAGATCTAACTCTATAATAATAATATATATATATCTATAATAATAATAAAGAAATGAAGATCAAAGAGAAATAGAATAGAATAGAACAGAAAAATAAAAACTTTGTATATACTCTATTCAATAAAAATAAAATTATTTTATATATTAAACTGAATATTATAATTTATATCATCTGCTGCTGATACTTATAGCTGTGATGACTATCTATTATAGAAATTATTATATATATCAGACTAATCTACAGAGCTGTGAAGAAAGTATTATACTATATAATTATATTATTTACAATTGATATATACTTCTTCAAAGTAATTATATATACAGTGATACAATGAAAATAGTTTAAATTCAGAGAATATATAACACTGTATACAGTCTGTAACAAGAGTTCTATTATAGAATTAAATCAGAATAGTATTTATATATAATAAATAATAAAATAATATTTAATCAGCTCTGATATATATATAAATATATAATATATCAAAGTCAGAGATAGTAAGCAGAATATAAAATTGAAAACTATAATAAAATATACTCAGCTGAGAATTACTGATATATATTATACTATATTCTGATTATTTCTATTATTTATTTTAATATTTAACAGCTGAATAATATAAATCAATCAATTCAGTCTGAGTCAGATTTCATTGAATGATAATAGAATTATATAAAATAAAAGTTCTTATATTATAATCAGTTTTTTATACTGTACAGTAGAGAAATAGAGAAATATTTATATTATTTATAAAGAGAAAGAAGACACTATTGAAGAGTAGAAAAGAACTGATTTTCTTTTTTATAAAAAAAAAAAATCAAAAATTTTCTCTGATTATATATACAAATCTCTGTCAGTGTTTTTCTTTTTTAATATAATAAAATAAATATTTTATACAGTGTATAAAGTGAGAAAAAAACAGAGTAAATAATAAATAAATAATTTTAATGAATTTCAATAAAAGAATGATAAATTCTGATATAAAAAAAATTGTATATACTGATGAATAATAATAAAGAAATTGAAGAGAGAAAAAGAAAAAAAGTTAAAAAAAAAAACAGAGAAAAAGAGAATTTTATAATCAATTTATTATTATTATTATTATGAATAAAAGAGAAAAGTAAGAATATTTTGTATATAAAAGAGAAAAGAAAGAAAAAAAGAATACTTATTTTTATAAATTCTGCTGAGACAGTCTGTGTATATAAATAAATAAATACTCAAGATTAAAAAATATATAATATAGTATAGTTAATATATACAGATTATCTTCTTACTCTTCTAAGAAAGACAGAGAGTTTATTCAGACTCATTCTTAATTATATATACATCAATTTAAACTTTTTTATAATCTCTAGAATAGATTTTAATTTTATTGTATAATAATAACTGAGTATTTTATTGATGATTATCTTCTGCTGAAAAAAAAATATATATTTATTATTTTTCTTTCTTTAACTAAATTTATATAATGACTTCAGATACTGTATAGAAAGCTATTTATTTAATCTCTGTTTTTATTTCTTTCAGAGATTATTAATCAATTAAATTGTATAGAAGAGTTGATATATTCAAATATTATTTTTAATTGATAATATTGTAGCAGAAGTAATGACAGCAGCAGTAGTAGTTGATAAAAAAAAAATAAAAATATAGATATAGAAATGAAGAGAATTTTAATAGTATCTTTCTATATACAGATAGAAATAGAGATAGACTGAAAGATTCAGAATTCAGTTATTATTATATCAATTTCATACTGAATTTTATTAATCTTTTTCTTTATTTATATATCTCTGATTTTTATCTGATTTATTATTATATTGATCTGTCTCTATACAGTGTTCAGACTTTCAGAAATCTATAATACTGACTGTTAAAATATTATTTTTTATAGAGAAATGAAAACTAACTCTGCAGTCTATACAGTATTTGCAAACTATTTATACTCTATATATTGAAATACTGAGTCAGTTTATAGTGAATAAATTGAAAATTCTCTCTGAAAAAGAGTAGAGTTCTATAATATTACTGTATAAAAATAATCTAACAGCTGTAAAAATCTCTAAACTGTAAGATTATCTGAATCAAATAAACTTCTACTATTAAACTACTTTAGACTTATATCAGAAATCTCAGAAGAAGTGATATAAAAGAATCTATTCTCAGAATAAAATCAGATAAATTATTTATTTATTTATAGTCAGAGAAATTTCTTTAACAGCTCTGATGAGATAACTATAGCTTATAAAAAATAGTAATTATTTAATAAACTAGAATTGAATTCTATAATTTCTTATATAAATTTCTGATTAATCTGACTGAAATAGCAGTTGATCAAAAAGTTATTATTTCATCACTCAATTCTACAGATACTACTTTTATTCATTTCATTAAACTTTATCTTCTATATATCTATAAATTATTCAGTATGAGTCTTCTTCATTATTTCTAATATATCTATATATATAAAAAACTTATTTATTTACTTAAGATAAGTTCTGTAGAAGATCTATTTGTATAAATTTCTACTCTTAAATAAGTAAATATTATATTAGAGTTGATAGTAGTGAAACTGAGATAGAGACTTCTATATAATATTTCATCTATAGAATAAATAGAATATAATCTATAATATTGAATAAAAAATATAATTTTTATACTATATAATAGTTGAATATTTAAGTCTTGTGATGGATTAGCATTTATTAACAGTTAACTTATACAATCAACCCTCTACTGTATACTCATATACTTATATATACTTATAAAATTCTCTCACACCTTCTTGTGATTCTGCTTCATAATTATATATATTTTAATACTCTAACAATTCTTCTGTCTCACACTTCTTCAGAGTACAATCTCTGATATTTCTTTTACTTCAATTCTCTTATTTATAAGAATTCTTTTATATAATCTCTTTTTCTGATCTTCTTTCTCTTTCTTTTCTTAATCAATTTATAAACTGTTATCAGAATAGTATTAAGTTTGTTGATATTGCTGTTGAAACAGATTGTATGAACTGTGCAGATAATATAAATAATTTAATCTGCAATATCAGTAACATCTGTTTAATTGATGATATATCTATTATATTATAAATCAATTCATCTGCATTTAAGATCTGAGTGTCTAGTTATTAGATTTCTATACTCAAGTGTGTTGATTATATTTAAGATCTGAATGTCTTATTATCAGTTTCTATATTCAAATGTATTGATTACATTAAAAAGATCTGAGTGTCTAGTTGTTATATAAGTTCCTTATGAGGGCTCAAGCACCCTTATTGTTAGATATATAGATCATCAAATCTAAATGTTCATGATACAATCAACTGTTTTATGAAGAGGCTCAAATGTCTATAAACTATAATGCTGTGAATAGTATTTACAAAGAAGCTTGATAAACTTAGTGCTGCAATACTATAAATAGTATTTATAAGAGTCTGAATGTCTATAAATATTTCATTCTCTAGAATTATATATCTTTAGATACTGAAATGAGTTATCAACAGATTTATAAGCATCTGCTGTATTTGAATATAATGGATAATAATCTAAATCTATAAAGCATTCTTCAGCAGCAAGCACTGTAGATAACTGAGCTATAACAACAGCTTACTGAGATAAGTATATCTACATTCATTATTCCCTCTACATCTGCATCTCATGAGAAGTTTTCAAGAGAGAAGCTTTCAATTCTTGATAAATACACAGAAGATCTAGCATTATATCTTGTATAAAAGTTAAAAGCAAACATTAAGTTGAATATCAATAGCCAAGTAATAGACTCACTATTGAATCAAGTGTGATATATTTATAGCAGATTAAATAGCAATGTGTTAGCAAAATTTCAACTCTAAATGAATTACTGTCTGAATAATCAGTGTATATCAGAGCTAGTTTTTCAACAGTTTGATATTCTTTTTCTTAATTCTATACTTCAAGTCAAGATATTAGACTGACTAAATGAGATTTATCAGAAGAATACTGTGTTAGTAATCTATCTATCTGAATTTAATTGCAAGCTCTTAGAAGCAGACAGACAGAACTGAGACAATATTATTAAGATTAATATACTGTTCAAGAATTTAAACTTTCAGCTGT